AAACAATTTAAAATTAAAATAACTAATTAATTTAATTAAAATATAAAAATTATAAATTAAAAAATTTAGAATAAAATTAAAGTGTGTAATCATTTTCCAAAAAATGAATATGACAGAAAATATGAGAATGACAAAAATAATAAAATGGACAGAGTAAATGGAACGGATGATATACACTTTTAATAAATATTTTTCAAACTTATTTTTAATATAAAAATATACTCCTTCCGGGCAAATGTATGCTCATTTGAGCGGACATGTGTTTTAATAAACGTGAATAATAATTGTTATATTTTTTTTATAATAAAAAAATATGTAAAAGTATAAGAATTTTTTATTTAAAAAAATATATTATTTTATGACAACTGAAAAAGAAAAGTAAGTATAAATTTAGATACGATTATTTTTATTTACAGAATATTAAAAAAATAAATTAATCAAACTTTACAACAACACACTCTTAAATTCAAATTGGAGACAAAATTTCCTTAATATGCCTAGCTATTGAAACTTTTGATTAAACTGTATTAATCTATCATGAAAGTGAATAGAATATAGCTTTCATAAATTCAATCGGTTAGTCAAAATGCATGTGGACCAAAAAAATAATTAATAAAAATATCTTCAATTAATTGTACTTAATAGTTTAAAAGTGGGGTTAAGAATAATAGTTGAACTAATTAATTAATTGTTAAAACAATTGATATTATTCATGAGCAAACACAATTCATCCCAATTAATCCACATCCCAATTAGTCCAGATCGGATCCTCTGTAATTAACAAATCCAATCCCTGTCCCTACATGCATAATATGTATACACACATGTATATGTAAGTAGAGTTGGCAATGGGTCAAATCACGTCAGATTCATATCGGATTGAACACTTTAAACGGTTATATTACTCAACTCTAACCCAACTCATTTATTATCCGGTCGGGTTCGTTTGTTGACTTGTATACAATGAATTAGATTGAATTATTTAAAACTTTAAACTAATAATATATGAGCAAATTATTAAATTATAATTATTTTACATATATAATAAAATATATTAATCAATATTAATATATTATAATCGGATTGTCGAGTCCGATTTGAGTTGAGATCATCAACCCTAACCCGACCCGTTTATTATTTTGTCGGAGTTCATGTCAACCCGTATATATAATCGGGTTGAAATATTTGACCCAAACCCAATTATTTTATATCGGATCATTTTTTGCCAGCTCTAATATATAAACAGACATTATGCCTGTGGGGAAAGGGGGGTAAAATTTATTTGAGACTGGAAGATCTCATCAGTCGGCTAGACATGATTAGGAGAGCCTAGAAAAGTTGTTATTAATTGTGCCCGTGTCAATCTACTAAGAACACAAACTCCAACTAAACACCTAAGGTATATACTCATTCTTACCACATTACCTTGTGTCGACGACAACGACGAATCCGGCGAGTTCAGTATCCGATTTCCCGAAGATGAGCCTTCAAAAGGCAATGAGCTCGCACTCGTGCTGATGCTATCATTGCTGTGAGCGCGGGAAGCACCGGGAAGTGCATGCGCCGTATATGAGTAGGCCAGTCAGACCATTGACACTAGAAGAAAACCATTACGATGTACCATGTTTTTTGCCCAATAATTACGGAAGACTATATAATATGTAATTAATAATGCATATCTTCACTTTAAAATTTAGGTCGAAGGCAGGCGATGTATGCATAAAATATTTGTGTGATACCTTGATTGTTGCTCCTCCGAAGAACCTTCTGTAGCATCCTTTCTGAATAGCTAACGCTGCTTCGTACTGACTGCTGTAGCTTATAAACCCGGAGTTCTTCTCTGGCACAATATTACAGCTTTCAATCGTTCCAGCACCAAGACTATTAAAGAAGGTCCACATGTGCAGTTGTGTGACCTACATGCGCTGCACATTAGAGTTTTTTGCGAGACAGGGCCTTTAGTATAATTAGTTACGATGGATGTGCTTACGCCGGGAGCAAGATTGGAAAAATATATAAGGGCCAACTGTCGGTCCATTAGTTCCTTACCCTCGACATGGAATGGTTTTACTGCAATAAGACATCATATTCATAGCTCGCCCAAAGTCAGCTATGAAAAGATTTAAAGAATGGAGTGAAGGGAAGGACCTGGTAGTTCAGGCGCAGGTGATCCGACAGAATGGTGTAAATTGTAAGAATGAGCAGCACTGCCCGGTGCAGCAGTCGATTGATCCAAGGCGCAGAGAATTTGTCTACCCTCGAGCATTGTACCTGTTGAATAAGAAAATATGTTTAGTGTTTGTTTTTTACGATGTATTCATTAATTATTACTTGCAAGCCAAACACTCTTACCATTCAATTCATGTGCTGCCCTACAAGCATGCTGAGAGGCATAAGCAAGAGAATGTTAAATAGTGAGTGATGAGTTTGTAGAACCGAAGTTCAATGGAAATGTCGAAATAAGAACTTACAGACCTGTTGGCTACGGAAAGAAACCAAAGCAGCACCCAATGGCTGAGAGTTTGCATCCATAAGGACCTTTGCCTCACTGCAGTAGAGAAAACACACTTCTTGAAAGTTCCAATTTTGATAATTCAGTCATGGGATGTCGCCCCAAATGGAAAAGATCGAAGGCAGTACAGTGCTTACACACAACTGTCGTAAACAGAGAAGTATGCATATAACACATCACCAGTAATCTCTGGCACAAGCTCGCCGACAGTGACAAAGTAGTAGCGGGCTGCATGACCACGTGGAGATCATTGAAGCGTAAGTCTAGGAACTATATATATGAATGCAAAAATAAAGATGGAAATAAAGATATAATGATAAGCGTACTTGTTTGGCCCTCCGGCGGATTTGTAGGTTGTGGCCAGCTAACTATTAAGATCCTAGCCAACCTGAAAACAGCATATTAGCTAGAATGGCGAAAAGGTATAAACGCATGGATGATTTCTCCACGTTTACAAGTTCAACTCACAAAGAAGCTCCATTCAGAACTCCAATAGCAATGATTGCTGATTGAGGATTCTCAAAAACAACATTGCCGTAATGTGACTGTAGAGCAAGACAAGAACCATTCATAGATGGAGTAGATCGAAGATTTATATCATAACGTCCGGACAAAGTAAAGTTTCGGTAACGCACCTCATCATTGTGAAAAACAGCGCAGCTATGAACTGGACCAGCAATAGTGAAAAATTCCTTAAGAATGTTTTCAGTAATAGCTGGATGGAGATTACCAACAAAGCTGCAAGACAGTAGATATCAAGATTTTAGGATTTGACTCAGAATGACAATAAAAAGAGAACACAATTGAGCCATTTGATACCCATTATCATCATCCTGGATAGTCAACTGAACGATGATTTTTAATAAACTAAGTGCAAAAGCAAACACAATGAGAGACAAAGTAGAACAATATGCTTTTCAAATGTAATTCTCAATTTATACAGCACAGTCTATGCAGGATATACTATTATTCGACACCATCGTAAGTCATTCACCACTTTTGTTACGAAAACATCTGTGTTTTTTTTATCAATAGAATAAAGGACTGCAGTGTGTGATCTCTCACTCTACCTCGCAATAATGATGAATATCAAGAGCCAAAATCTGAGTTTCAGCCACTTCTTGCTATATAAAGATTTACTTGGGATCTTATCAAGAACACGACTATAGCATAATGTGAAGACACTAATCAACATTTAGAAAACCAACATATTATTCTCAAAGAAATAAAAGGAAAGGAAAGTAAGAACGCTAAGGAACTCACACACGGCAATGTCCACTTGGTTCTGGTCCACGGCTAAAGGTTTTTCCTCTCATCTGTATAATTAAGAAGAAGCCATTGTTAATACAAAATTCGTTCTTCACAAACAGTTAAAGAAGTAGTCAAAGCACCAAATCTATAAAGAACTTCTCATGGATCAATGGTTACGACTCTGCAACTGACAAAAACAATAAACACTGATCGATTGCTTTGTCTACAAAGAAGGTAACAATCTTAACTTTGACAGTCTGCTAGTTCCATAATCCCATTAATTGTTAACATCACCAAATTATGTTCCTGACACGTCTTAAATGGCGAACTTCAAAGTGCAAAAAACCCTAATTCTGTATTCTTTTCTTCCATTTTCTTCGTATTTTAAACCAAGAAATTGGTAAACTCTGTAACCGAAGTACCGAAGCATGCACGTCGCGATAGGAAAGCACAATCATCATAATCATCAATAAGCAACAAAATAAACTAAAACGAAAAACAAGACAGTGATTCTTCACGTAACAGCTATCATCGCCAACAACCACAAAATGCCCGATCATCTCTAATCATAGTCAACTAACAGAGTCAAAAGAATTCAAATTCACTCTGAATCATTCTCTTCAAATACTATTACGTTCAAGTAATTAAATTACAAGCTACAGGTCTTAAAGTACATTATACTCTTCTGACTTCTCAACTCACGTAACGTAAGAAACATTTCACTAAAATTGGTAAAAAGGAAAACGCAGGGAAGGCAACCTCAGAAGACGAAAGAATCTTTGGCTCTCCAAGATTCATAATGTTGGCGAAGGAATGCAGAAACCCTCAAAAGTCAAAGAAGTCTCTTCGGAGAAGTAGAATGAAGAATTGAAGAACGAAGAACAACAAAGAATAGGAGAGATCGTTACCGCCTGCGTTCAGGGTGTATTTTATAGCTCAAGGGGGGAGTAATCACCTGCATCGCTCTCCCCGTGCAACCGGGTTTCGTTGAGTACCACTATTCGACCCGTGTTACTGGACCCGGCCCAGATACTCTGGCCCAACCTTAATAGAACTGGGCTCGGTCCGGTTCATGTTCGTGCAATTTGTTTGTCATTTTATTTATTTTTAACACTACAAAAAAATAAAAAAACCGCGAACCCAATTTAAGTTGTTAGGAACGGTTTTCCCCCTGGGATATAATCGTATAAATAGCCAGACTGCTCACTGTGTAAAAAAAAATAAAAATAGCCAGACTGCTCACTGTGTAACGATATTTGCTATTCTTCTTCGACGAATCTTCACTTTTGAGATTTCTGCATCGTAATGGATCCAGAAGGGCTCGGAATTCCTCCATGGACTCAGGTTCACTCTCCCTGCATTTCTATGTTTGTATTTTATTTTTTATTTTTTCCAATTTTCGTAAAATGTAACGTGAGATGTGTAGCTCACGAGTAAAATGTAAGGTTTATCAACGCTTGTGGCTTGTAATTATTTGATTGAATACAATGTTTCTTGGAGCAATTGACTAGGGGAAAATTCGAAACCAACTGATTTTGAAGTTGTTTACAATGGCAGCGGTTACGTGAAGAATCACTGGCTTTTTGTTTTTTTGGTTAATTTTGATGCTTATTGATGATTATGATTGTGTTCATCTATAGCGGCTTGAAATTTGAATGCTTCAGTATCGTTTCTGATTCTTGTTTCAGTCGAGACTGAGTTACAACATTCGTAACATTGTTTTAGTTTTACCAATTTACTGGTTTAAAATGCGAAGGATAATTCAAGAGACCAAAATGGAAGAAAAAAAGTAAGAATTTGGGTTTGCACTTTGTATGATCTGTTGAACTATGAAGAATCTATAGATAGTTTTTTGGATGTTTCTTTTCACTTTCGTGAAGAACAAGTTTTGTATTTACCTGTGGTTTCTTCTACTTAATTAACTATATACAGGTGGCAACAGAAAGTTTTCTCCATGGGCCCAATCCCAGTGGGAATTGCCGTGTGTGAGTTCCTTATTCTACTTACCTTCCTTTCTTTTTATTTCTTTAAGATAATATGTTGGTTTTTCGAAATGTTGATTAGTGCCTTAACATTATACTATAGCTTTGTTCTTGATAAGGTCGCTTATTAATCTTTATATATCAGAAAAATGTATTCGTAGTTTATTGGGAGGTAGTGTGAGACATTGCACATTTCAGTTCTTTATAGTATTCATAAGCATATCGATACTTTTTGTAAAAAAAAGCAATGAATATGTTATAATTGGTTGGTAATCTTGATGTGTTCTGAATAGCCTGTTGTGTATAAATTAAGAATTTAGACTCGGGACTGTGTATTTGTCTAACTTACTTCAGTAAGAATTGTTTTGTTATTGCCATTCTGATTCGAATCTTAAAATCTGTATATCCACTGCAATGCAGCTTTGTTGGCAATCTTCATCCAGATGTTACCGAAAAAATTCTTGGGGATTATTTCAGTATAGCTGGTCCCGTTCATAGATGCCAAATTACTCACAACGATCAGGTGTGTTAAACTCTCTGAATTCTTTGATAAATTTTCAATCAGCTGTCTACATATTAATGGCTCCTTATACTGCAGTTACACTACGGTCATGTGTTCTTTTCTAATCGACAGTCAGCTATAATTGCTATTGGAGTTCTGAATGGAAGCCGCTTGTGAGTAGAACTTGTAGATATACAGAAACATTATTGGTGCATCTATTTTGTTTTTAATATTTTCGGTTTGTTGTTCGGGCTAATATGCTATTTTCAGTCTCCAAAGGCCCTTACTAGTCTGCTGGCCAGAACCTAGAGACTGGCGGGAGATCAAAACAAGTATGTTTCCCTTTATTCCTACCATTTCCATCGTTATTGTTACATTTTTATATAATAACCACCCCCTCCCCGGCGATGCAGTTGGCTACTTCTATGTTATTGTTCGTAATCTTTTGCCAGGGATTACTGTCGATGTGCTATTTGCATACTTTTCTGTTTACGACAGTTGTGTGTACGTTAGCACTGCCTTTTTATTTCCTTTAGAGCAACATCCCCTGTCTTTCCCGCCGAATCATTCAAATGAAGGATTTCAAAGAAGTGTACCTTTTTTACCTATTGCAGTGAGGCAAAGATCGTGGTGAATGAGAACAATCTGCCACTTGGCTTTGGTATGGTTTCTTACCGCGGCCAACAGGTTTGCAAGTTTTTATTTCGACATTTTCTTTGAACTTTTTGGTTGTTACTTATCGATCATTATCTAACTTCCTCTTGCTTGTGCTTCTCAGCATGCTTATAGGGCCGCGAATGAGTTGAATGGTGAGAAATGTTTACAATTTTTTTCCCCGATTGCAGAAAAGAAAAATCGATCTTTCTTGTACAACAGGCACAACGCTTGAGGGCACACAACTTCAGTGCTCTTTGGTGGAAGATAATGCTGTACCAGGCATGCATACTCCGGTTTTCGGTTTACAACATTTATCCGAAACAACTTCGCTTGGACTACCAGGTCCTTCCCTTCCCTGTTTATATGAACTTGTTACCGTTCATTCATGTCCTGGGTTCGTATGTAGATTTCTGCGTTAACTATCTGCTTATTTTGATGTGTTATTGCAGTATACCCATTCCATGTCGACAATGAGGAACGGATCGATCCACAGTTCACCTATATATATGTTTCCAATCTTGCTCCCGGCGTAAGCACCTCCCGGCATCTAATCATATTGCCCTGCGTCGCGAAAAGTCTAACGAACATTTACGTATGCTGCTGCAGGTCACAGGAGAACTCCTGCGAAACTTCTTCGATAATCTTGGCTCCGGAAGAGTTGAATTAGCCCACGTTGTACCGGGCAAGAACTACGGCTACGTAAGGTTCTGCAGTCAGTATGAAGCAGCTGTTGCTATTAAGGAGGGATCCGGAAAAATGCTTATGGATTCAACAGTACAGGTATTGTATCTATACGGTATTCACGAGTAATTATGGATGCGACATACCGTATATCTGTATATACGGGACTAGTTACCATGCTGATTGGAAACCGATTTATTCAATCAGCACATGAAAATCCAGCAAGACATCACATGTTTTCAAATAACATAGCGTATTATTTGAAATCACGTGTTGTGTTGTTTATTTGTATATATAGAATGTACTGTATGAACATATAGTATGTACTGAAATCAATAGTAAGATGTACGTATTGTGTAAATTATTTTTATGTATTGCTAGTTCATTTACTATATTTTTATTATATTAATATAGGTTGTATATTGCCTATTATCGTATCATGTAATTTTTAGTGCATGTGGAGTAAGAGTCTTATTTCATATATATTATCTGTTATTATGTGTTGAAATGAATAGTAGTATATGTTGTGTAAACTATTGTTACTTCGTGTGTTGTATTTATATTATATTAATATAAATTGTATTGTCTATTATCATATCATGTACTATCTGTAGTGAGTTGTAGTATTGACACAACCGTATATATATTTATTATAAAACCAACTAATGTTTATCTTATAGTGTATATGTACTATCTATAATTCATTCGACACATTAAGTGCAGCGCTCTCTCTCTATATATGTATATATATGTATGTATAACAAACGAATGTTTATCTTGTAGTGCACGTGGAGTAAGACGCCTACTCCGATAGACCAGTTGGTTTTCCCTCTACTTCCACAGATTGCGCCAAATGCAGCATTAATACGAGTGCGAGCGCATAGTCGTTTGAAGGCTCACCTTCGGGAACTTGGACATTGAACTCGATCGTTGATCATCGAGCGACTTGCATGCGCTTAAGCCCGTTATCGTCGTCATTGTCGAAAACTGGTAATGTAGTAGTGAATGCATTGGTGTTAGTATGATGATATTTGTTTTGTTTTGTACATATCTTAGCTTAGGTGTTTTCGTTTAAGGATCTCATATTGGCACCCCACATTGCTATACATCACATTCTTTCACGCCTGCTTTTTTGACATGTACACAATCAATGAACATTCTTTTGTTCAGTGGCCGAGAAAAAGTTGGCGAAGACCATTTATTTTTTCAATATATAATATAATTAAAATTATAAGGTTTATAAATTTTTTAATTTTGGATTTTATAAGTAAATGGATTAATATATTTGAATAATTAAATAAAATATTTATAATAATTATTATTTTTATTAAACTATTAGGGGTGGTTAATTATTCAAAATTTTAAATGTATTATTCAATTTTTTAAAAAATTACATATAATATAAAAAATAATGATAAGAATATAAATTTTTTTAAAGAGACAGATTTTATTATTATTTTTTAATTTCAATAATTTTTTTCTACTTGCAAAATATCACATCAAATATCAAAATTTTTACTATTTTCTAAAATATTTTCAAAACTTTCAAAATTTCTATCTCAATGCCGGGTGTAAGTAGTTAATGTGAAATATTCTTTAAAAAAGAAATACTGACAATAAATATGCTAAAAACTAAAAAAGTATGTAAACATATTCATACAAAATAGAGCAAGTTAACCACTTGATATTAAGAAGAAGAGCATTACAGTTACTTAGGTAGGTAGGTAGTTATACCTCACTAAACTTGTGTGTTGTATCTTTGGGTCGTAGAAATTCCCAATTCGTTTCCTATATGTAATTAAATTGGTTGGGGAAATTAATTAATTAAAATCTATAAATAGAGCTGGGGATTTTAATTTCATTATCTTCAATTAATTTAGGGTTAGGGTTAGGGTTAGCTTGAAAACTATGATAGAGGTGGTGCTGAACGATCGGTTGGGGAAGAAAGTAGGCGTCAAGTGCAACGACGACGTCACTGTCGGAGACCTGAATAAGCTCGTCGCAGCGCAGACGGGCACTCGCGCCGACAAGATCAAGATCCAAAATGCCACACAATCTACAAGGACCACATCACCCTCAAGGACTATGAGATCCACGACAGCGTGAGCCTCGAGCTCTACTATAACTAACTGTTTACTGTGTATTAAGCTCGACCGGAGATTTACTTATAGTGTATTTAAGGAATAGCGATTGTAAATTTTTATGTTATGATATAAAAAAATTTGCACAAAATTCTTATAAATGGGTTCTAAACATTTTATAGAAAAAAAAAAAATCCTCGTAGATATAAATAATATATTTGAAATAAATAATTTCTCATTACATTAATAAAAAAAATATATAAATGAAATTGAAATTCAATTTTACCACCACAAAATAGGATAACATTTGTAAGGAATTCAACTTAAAAAATATATATTTCGAACAACCGTACAAAAGTATTTACATATTTTTTATAAAATATTTGAATATACTTTTTACAATAGACTCAAAAAAAATGCTCCATTAATTATGAATAGATTAAGGATTTTACGTAAAAAAAAAAAAAAAAAAAAAAACTAATATTATATCTGTTAAGTATACAATAAATTAAATATGAGAGATTTTTACAAATACATAAATATGCCATAGATGTCTATTAAAATTTATCGAAAAAAAAAAATCAGATACTTCTTATATCTTACAAAAATGTATTCAAAACATTTCAAAACAAATTTTAATGCATAAGATTTTGATTGATACTTTTTATTACTTTTTTCATTGTTTATAATAAAAAATATAAAAAATCATATAACTTTTATTAAATGAAAAAATAAAAAAATAAAAAAATAAAAGACAAATATAAATGGAAAGTAGACAAATTTTTATTAGAAGGAAGAAGTATAACCTATTATATTTAACAAGAGATCCGCAAATTAACACAAAAAATTTAGCAAATAATCACATAATATATAGTACATTAATAAATTAGCACATTAATTTGAAACAATTAGTAAATCATCACAAGACATATATCATATATATAGTGCTGCATAATGTACTATATATTGTGTGATGATTTGTTATTTTCTTTATGAACATTTGCTATTTTGATCAAATTACAATTGTATTAAAATTAAAATATATTTAACTAAAATCAATATATATTTTAATACATATAATTATATAATGTGCTATTCAAATATTTAATATATATTCTATATCAATTGTTAATTGAATCAACTCAGTATCATACTGATTTGACTCAGTCAACATATTAATGCATTATTAAATAATATAATTAATACGAGTATATGTAATTAGGTGTTAAATAATTAAAATAATCAACACCCGATCCAAGCTAGGATATTAATACAACAAAATTACATATAATTCAAATAATTCTTCTACAACAAATCTAATCTTATAATATCTCATTTAGATCTCCCCGAGCTGAATCCCACGCCTAATAAATTAATAAAAAAAGGTGATCACCGCACCCTAAATTGCACGTGCCCTAAAACTATAAAAGCATTAATACCCATAAGGTAAACAGTAAAACTTTAAATAAAAATTATTACTATAAGACTACAAGTTAATAAATAATTACAAGAAGCATACAATTTTAGGAGGACTAAAGGCGGCGACGTTGGACCGGGAGCTCCGGAGCCAAGCCGAGCCACGGCTCGCGCCGAGCCGGCTTGCTCGCCTCGTACGGCGCGTTAGCCGCGATTCTATCTTTCCTCTTCTCCAAGAAACGAGCCAGCGACCTCTTCCTCGTGATCGGTAAATCTGAAATCCAAAATAAGCTTTTAGGTATACAGAAATCCAACGTTGATGTGAATCTCAAGCATTTAAATCTCGATCTACAATGGAGATTTGATAAAAAAATTGCTTACCGGAAGCCAGAATATCGGAATGGTGGAGGCGAGGAGTGCTGGTGGCGGATTCCGCCGGACTCGGCGGAGCAAAGGCGGCGCTGGAATTCCTGGCCAGAATCATGACTTCCTCCACCTTCTCCGCCGGAAACTCGTCGTATACCATCACCTGACCGCCGTAAAATATGATCATCTGACCGATCTCCGCCGATCCACTACGAAATCACAAATTACTCACCAATTAACCTAACGAATTCGACAAAATCACCAATCGAATATTAGACACAGAAACGCAGCTCACCTCAGTTCTCCAGCACCTGTTCGGTTCGATTTCTCAAGCTTCGGCAACAATTCCATAGTTTCTGTTCAAAATCGAGCAAAAATAAATAAATAAATCACAAATTCAAGCTACACGATGCAGTCATGCAGCCTACATCGAATCAAAATCTTCCAAACCACACATTCATACCTCTGCGTTCATCCGTCGCCAAGCTCGGATTCAAGCCAAGTGTGACGTCACCGAAACTGCCTCTCTCCTTCAAGTACTGACTCAGAAGACTACACGTCTGCGAGAAGTTATTAGATCTCCGTCCGGAAAAAGCTTTTCCCGTCGAATCCATCTCTTCTCCGGCGAGAACAACAATCGCCTCCACAATTGACCAGTTGGAACTAAACGGAAAGCAATTATGAATGAAATGAGCATTGCCATACACACATATAAAGATATATATATATATACATACGACGAGTTAGGCCCTGTTTGGATGTCACAATAAAGAGCACGAGCAACACATGGATTTTGAATTTTAAAAGCTGCGGGTCCCCATAGCCGACAGTTCAGACTAGCTGTAATTTTGCACCTTCCAAACAGATCCTAATCAGCACCACTCATGAATATTCTTCATCATTTTTTTTATTATTATTTTAATATTTTATATATTTAGAAAACCAACGTTTATTGTTTCGTGAATAGTAAAGAAAGCGGTATCGAAGTTCGTGCAGCTTTCGTACATCGAAAAGGCCCTTCGTTCTAACACTATTTACATCTTTGCCACTACTGTGTTGGGAACCGTCGGATCAAATCGAATATCAAGTCAATCAATCAGTCACTATATCATTTTAAAAATTGAAACACAAAAAACACGTGGTTATATTGCAATATAATTAATTAGTTATTAGGTTTTACCATTTCTATAGTCGGCTCGTGCTCTAGTGACTAGTCCAAACATTGACTTAGTTTAAGTCATTACTATTTGCTATTGTGATTTGTATTCGTTTCTTAAGTACCTAACTTAAGCCTATGTTTATTGTGGTTTTAATCCTTTTAGTTAATTAATTTTTTTTTAAAAAAATCTTCTTTATACAACATTTTATATGATTTTCCCACTATTCAATTTCTTCTAAAATATCAATTCACATATATTTTTTTATTTCAGTTTCAATATTTTTAAAATTTTTACTTATCCGTTACAAAGTACTTCTTCCGTCCTAAATATCTTACAACAGTTTTTTTTTCCCAACTCGCAATATTTTTTAATTTAAAAATAATTAATAATATTTATATACATATATTAATATATATTTTACTTTATCCCATCACAGTCAAATAAAAAAATAAATAATAATTTCTCTCTCAAATCGCATCACTTAATATCCAAATTATCTCAAATTATTATATTAAATACTCTCCACCTAAATTCTCGTGTCAAACAAAAATATTGCATGATGTTTGAGACGGAGGGAGTATTTCTTTTCTAATACTCCCTCCGTCCAGTCAGAAAGTATACACATTTCTATTTTGGGACGTCCAATTACAAAGTAATCATTTCATTAAATATCCAATTTTTTCACAAATACCCCTACTTTACATCACATCATTACTTTTATACCAAAAAAAGTAAGGGCAAAAATGTCATTTTACTACTTTTGTCTATCCCTATAATTAAAATACTATTATTCCTTGATCTCCGCGCCAAAAGTAATTGTATACTTTTAGCTTGGACGGAGGGAGTATAATAAAAATAATTCTATTCTAATAATAAAGTATTCTTTATTTTTATATAAATTACAAATATATTATTACATGTATAATTAGTTTATGCATAAATATAAATGACAAAAATATCATAGCGATCTTACATATTTTCACTGGCCAATATTAATCCAACTTAAAGTATTTTTTTATCATTTCTGTTTATTCCAATAAAAGAAGTATTCATTTTTTTATTTTGACATGTTAATACCAAAATTACAAATAAAAAATAAAAAATTATTCAGGTGACACTCATCTGATGAAATGTCCGCCAACATGCTACATAAGTGCCACATAAGCATCACATACTAAACGCGAAAATTTTTCACTTATAAGACTATTTAATGAAAATCTCCGATTACTATACTAAAATAATAAATAAGTGAATCAAAAGTCATAATTAGGTATTCATTTGTTTTTTCATGTAGTTTTAGAAATATTAGTATTATATTGAAATATAGTAGGAATAAAATAAAAATGACTAAAATAACTTATTGGTGTGATATAAATATAATGATATTTGTGTAATATATTTTAAGTTGTAAAGGTATCTGTAATGTTAAGTAGATAGTACAGTTATTAAAAAAAAATGAATACTTTGCTATGAGACAGATTAAAATGAAAAATGAATATTTTGTTAAGGGACGAAAGAAGTAATTTTTATATTTTATTTATGTTTATGAGTTTAAATTCTTAAATTCATATTGTAATTTTTTTTTCGGACTTTTCATTTTTATTTTTCAACTCAACTTCTTACTTTTCATTTACCTTTTTATCTACTTAGGGTGTGTTTGTTTGGGGGTTTGGGTTTAGGGGTTTGGATTTTGGATTGAAATTTGAATAGTAAAAATTTTGAATTTGAATAGTTGTATGATGTGATATAAATAGGGTTTGATGTGATGTTTTGAATGTAAAATTGATTTTTAGTATAATATAAAAAATGAAAAATAGGTGTTTGATTTGATATTTTTGGGGGGAAAAAATTGAATGAATAGTGAAAATTCTCCAAAATCCTTCAAACAAACACACCTAATTTCCTCTTCTGCAATATTTTTCAATTCAATTCGTATCCGGTCCATCGTTAGCACCAGTCTGCCATTCCCCAATCGGGATGCTGCTAGAGCTCAATGACATTTTTCTCCAAGCACAAACGGGGATTGACAATGGAAACTTGAAATTTTGTAAGGGTAATGGATCGGTTATTAATACATCAGTAGAATTGTACTGTCGTGGCATTTCTGCAAAAACTTTGCGGTCAAATTACTTTGCCGAAACCTGTCAAAAGCACTGCAGCTTGGACCCTCGATCGAGCTTCAATACACGAAGACATGGCTTCGACAACAGTTACGAAGTCGGCGATCATAGCAAAGTTGAATCTGAAGCCGAATCCGGAAGGAGGACTTTACTCGGAAACTTTCAGAGACACTTCGATTATTCTCTCCAAAACGCATCTCCCTGCGCAGTGTAAGCCTTGTTTGTCCTTCATCTTCTTCAACTACATCTTTTCTCTGATCATTATTGGTAGGCATAATAAACCTGTTGTCTGTTGATCCTTAACAATTATCGGATTGTGGTATAAGATTGAACCCTAACGGTGTTCGAAGAAATGCCGCAATAACAGTTTCTAAATTCTGCTGAGTATTCAGCTTTGATGCAGATAAGGTGGATCGGCCCGTCAGTACGTGCATCTATTACTTGCTGCCTTCTGGAAGATTTTCCCACCTCCATCGAATCCCGTGTGCCGAAGTCTGGCATTTTTACTTCGGGGAGCCTATAACGGTATCATATCTTAATGCTTACGTTTTGCCAAATTTTGGGTGATAAAAATTTAGTGTGTCCGTTGCTTACAAGTAATTTTGGGGAATTTTTGGATAAATTATCGTTTTTAGGACACTTTTTCGAAATTTGTATTTGAATCCAAATATTGCTGGATTATGGAATGATCAACACATCATTCTCTCCGTTTAGACACTGATTTTTGGAGTTTTTGAAAATTTGAAAGATAGTAAAAAGTTAATTATTTGATTCAATGTTTTACAAGAGAGAATATGTATTTAGACCCTTTGTTTGTTTTTGGGCCAATATGACGAGCTTTGTTCAGTCCCAAATCAGCTGGTTTGTATCCTTCCTTAAAGTTTGATATACCTTCTTGAATCTAGAAAAGAGCAGGATCCTGTAATCCTGAACATTACATTTCAATGCTACGGAGATTGGCCAAAGATCATGTTAACTTTCTGTCTGCCCTCTCTATTTCAGCAATTTGTAAAAAGTAATACTCCCTTGGTCTTATTTATTTTATTATTTTAGAGTAATTTTTTAGACGTGTTTAAGTCGTCAGCAACGAAATGTCACAACAAACATGCCTGTGTTCCAACTAGTACACGGCTGTGTTTGAACACCAGACGTGTTTATGTACATAGATGGATGTGCGTGCCAAAAAAACTGAAAATGGCTGTATTCATGCACGGCTATGTTAGATGAAATATGTCCTATTTTTAGGCTGTACACGGCCGTGTTTCAATTGAGACACGACAAAATAGGGCATATGAAACACCTGTTTTGTAAGGTGTGTTTGATCGTGTTTTTAATATTCTGCCGCATTTAAACACGGTTACAAGAGCGTGTTCTTTAATGGCGTGTTTTTTTAATTCTCTCTTGTGTTTAAAAATGGCTAAACCAAAACTGAATAAAATTGTTTAAGGTAAACTAACTTTTTAACTTTTCATGTTCGTTTTATCATTTTAGGACCATAAGTGTGCCTTGTATAAAATAATCTCCCAACTTAAATTTTTTTGCACAAATAATCATCTGGTACCATAGTTGCACGAGGGTGCCAAGCATGCAATTCCAATACCGAAGGACTAATTTTTGCCAAAAATTTGAATTTGCAGGAATATTTCTAAAAGAGTCCACTTGTGATCCTGAAATGATAAAAGGGTTCCTTAAGTGACTTGAAAAACATTTTACTCAATTGTTTATATTTGGACCAATATTGATGACTTTTTTTCAATATAACTAAAATTTATTAATTTCTTTCTCAATGGGATCACTTTTTTTTTTTACTTTAAATAACTTTTTGTCAATTCTCTCTTTATTTTTTGTTTGGAATGTTTTTATAAATGAGTAAAACTTTATATAAAAGGGTATGATCTGAGGAGTGCCATCGAGGAAGGGCTTTAAAGCATTCTTATCTTTGCAATCATCTTAGAAATTGTAATACTTGGTTCTTGCTCTCCAAGGGAGTTTCAGGGGTTCCATGTGTCTGTTCATTGTCGTATTCTACCATTAAATCTACATTCTTCTTCCCTGTTTGTTTAAGGTATATAATTTTGAGATTTGTTTGTTGTTTTTATGGATCTCCTTAGAATTGGATTACTTTATGATTTATTCTGCAATTGTTCAATGTGTGAAGCATAGTTGTCAATAGTATGCAAATAGTGGTGTAGTGGAACAGAGCAGCAGTATGCCGCTACCGCCGCTCTGCGATGTTTCTCTTACACATTAACGGCTTTTGCGGAGCATAGCAGAACACCTTTTAAATTGAATAATATATATTATAAATAGGTTTAAATCTTACAACATAATAGTATATTTGTTATTTGGCAAATATAGATTTTATACTATTATAATATAGCTATTTTTAGCTGAGTAGCTCAATAGAGGGATAAAATATTGTACGAGGTGACACCCGTACAATAGAAGAAACTGATGAAAATGAAACATGATGGAAAAAATTATTTATCAGATTTTTTATTTTATTAAGTTTTGATTATTTTTTTACAGTTTATTGGATTGAATGATTCTATATATTTTTCTTATGTATTTTATTGTAAATTTTGTTTGATGCTGATTTTTATTATCCAATGAAGGTGGTGGAGCTACATGACGATGACGGGAGCATTGAATTCACATGCCTTGGACCGGATCTTCTTGCTGATGATCAAGTAATGCAGCATATAGTGCCGCCAAATGTTTGGTTTGGCGCATTCCCCACTAAGGACTTCGTAGTATCATCTGAACTTACACCTGTTAAAACAGCTTCAAGGAATCCTGAAGAGCACTTCTCTCTTGTTGGATGCACTTGCGCCCCTGCATTCCAGTTCGATGACTTTGAGATGGCAGCTCGTACTGAGCTAATCTCACGTTTTCCCAAGTACGCACCTCTCATCTCCATGCTCACCTTCCCTGACTAAAATGCTTGCATTGTTCATTTTGTATGTGGAAATCGTAGCAACTGATGTTTTATAGTTCCTGAGTTGTACTACAATTATTAGTCTTTATGTGTGCACTTTTTTTCTGCTTGTTGGATACATAAATCGCTAGTTGTTAGATTCCTCATATATATGTAATTATCGAAATGTACAGAAGATTCAGACTATAATATTATCCCTGCTTGATCGATGCTCTTCATATTGTTCTGTTGGCCTTTAAAGCCTTTTCAGGCTGTGTTACATATTTTCTTCGTACAATTTGTTCTTGGTTGAGTTTCTTACGAACCATACAATGTAAACCAATGATCTGAGGATACTGTTATTTCCTCAGGAGATGAAAATTGTTATAGAACTCTCGAAAGCTTTTAGTGGATACCTGCCTTGACTCTGGGATGTATAGAGCATTCGATTCACAGCTCTAAAACAATATCTGTAATTAAAGAAAATTGTAAACTTACAAATGATCTGCAGAATAGTTTTTAGGGGTTATGTTGTTTACTTACATTCTGAGTCTGTTTTGATCCAATTCTCGCGCCTGGCCTCCCTTTCCTCAGTTTCGGAATATAGGTACTTCTGTGTGTAGCAATGTTTCTTCTTGCAAAGCATAGACCTCGATATCTGTCGGAGAATTTGGAATTATGGCGACATTTGAGGTAATGAGTTTGTAAAACTGTGTTAGAAAGCGAGAACGAACCTTCTCCATTGTTGAGTCATCGGCTTTATTTTCTGACTCTTGTATTACATACTTAATCTTGATCATTTCCTCCTCAGGTAAGGTGTCCAAGAGCTTCTCCATCAATGACATATACTGCTTTTTTTTCGATTCCCTGGAAATGGTCGAATCGAGAGGGACATGCTTATAGCCATCTAATATTATCTTCAGCTCTTTGTTGCCTTCTCCAAATTCTTCTGAACCACTGTTTTCCAGGGAATCGCGCGCCATTCCCACCGGCTCCGGCCTGATTGGATTATCCTTTCCGTGAAGAATCCTGCTTTTGATCCGACTAAAGATCTGAATCACCAAACCCCCGAACAAAAGGTCAGTAAGAAACAATACAATCAAATCTTACCTGCTATATATCAATCCATACCTTCATCTTCTTAAAACTTCAATATCTCCGAATCCCTCGACTACACTAATGAAAAAAGTTCTATCAGTTATAAATAACATTGGCTCCCAGTCTAACAGGCTCTAGCAGCTCGAAAACAGGCTGTGTGACATGACGGTGATGAGGCCTGCCTAACAGTGGCTGGCAATGGCAATCAAGAATGTCGACGGATGTTTGTTTCATTTCGAGGATTTGTTTGTGGTTTTTAAGGCCGCAGTCCGAAATTGTTAATGCAGAAGGACATTCGTACATTCATTGGATGGAAAAGCAAAGACATGGAAATGGAGATGCAAGTTTTAGGCATGACTGGTTTGAACCACTCCTCCATAATTGGATCAAAAATAGGGATAAGTTTGGTGAGGATGATAGATTATCATTGAACAGATTCTTTTGTGTTTAATGAGTAAAGAATGTGTGAATCTGCAGCTGTTAGTTACTCTTCGAGTGTATATATTGGAGAAATTTTTAATTGCTAGTAAAATAAGTCATATTAGGCGAGTCCTGTGTACAAGACAAGCCTTGTGCTTTCTACTTTATTTTGTCTATTGGAGTTTCGATTTTATTTATTTTTTTGTTTAAATATTAGTTTTGACACAATTTCTCGTATATAGTATATAGTTGCATTGTAAAATAATTAAAATCAAAGTGTTGAATTCGATCTAATAAAACCCTTTCATTTTATGTTTTTTTTTTGCACTTACACACCTAGTTATACACTTCAAGGAAATCAAACATTCAACTTTTAGCATGCAATGCAAAGGAAAGTTCAATCGTTATAGTTATTCTCCTTTTTTTTTTTTTTTTAATATTTATTTAAGCCTTAAAAGGTACCATTGAACTCGAAATCTAATTTGAATTTAGAGTGTGTTTTTTTTATTAAAAAAAATCAATACATTATTCTAAAAAAATTGATATATTTTCCTTCAAATCAAAATAAACAAAACAAACAAACAAACTCTGAATATATGATTTTCAATTTTAAAAAATATTCATTCCGTCTCAATTCAAAATAAAATTTTACAACTTATGTCTCACTCTAAAATATTATTTTTTTTTTAATCATATACTAATATTAAAATATCTTTTAACTTTTCTTTAAATTACAAACATACTAAACACACATAAATTACCTTTTACATAGCAAAAATTGTAAAATTTGTTACACAATTTTACCCATAAATAAAATATTATTATCTATAAAACCACAACACCCCTTTCAAGTGGGAACGGAGTGAGTACATACGCAAACACATTTTTATTTTTTTTGTTTTTTTAAAGGTCAATTAAGATGGAAATAGTTGTTTAATTTTTTTTTAAAATTGCAGCTTAAATTCTAAAGATTTCCACGTCGGATGTCACGTGTTCTGCCTTTTTATCGTGCAAGTCTGCATGCATATAACTATGCCCTTCTACAGTTACTCAAAATCCATTTCGTTGATTCGTCGCACAAAATTGTTACCAGTTTCCACCGGCAGATTCGTGGAATTCTTGCAAGTCCAAAGTACGTGTCTGCAACTGTTGATCAATTCCGCTTTCGTTATAAAAAATGCAGTTTGTGTATCGAACTTTTGGATCGTCGTTTGGTTTACAGATTATTTGTGTACGTTCTTCGTTTTTTTTCACCGTTTTCTGATGAGGCATAAGTTTCAAAATTGCGTGTGCGCGGAAATAGTTGTGTGTTCTCTTCAATTTCTCGCATTCAGTAATATGTGTGGAAGATTTGGCGTTGGGGAGTACGAGAAATCCAGAAGTTAATCGCGGAATCCCTAGAGAATTGGCTTTTATGAAATAGGAGAAAATCCTTTTTGTTTTTTTAATGCCTAAATTAGAGCAATATTATTGTGGAATTTCATTTCTGTGTAGACTTATTCTTTATCGATAACCTCAATTTCCAGATTTTGAGTGAAATGTTTATAGTTGGGATTCCGATTCATATGTTTACATTGTTAAATTTGAATACTGAAATTTCATGTGGAACTTTTGAAATAAAAGCAAATAAATGAAGAAACTTACAGTTTGGATGGACATGGACATAGCCGATGACTACAATAATCTGTTGGACTTGAAATCTTCCAAATCTATACAACATTTGATTTTTTTTGTTTCTGAAAAGAACAGTTGTAGGTATAAGTAAAGACTCATATATGTGTTTGTTTGCATATATGTGTCGGAGAAGTACAAATGATATCCCTTCTCTAATTGGATGTATTAAACTTGAAGCTCTATATAAATTGTGTTAATGGGGCCTAATCTTTCTTAATGCCATTTACACAATTACATTTAATTGGGTGCTTTGATCACTTTTTGTACTATTTGTTCTTTGCTTTCTATAATGGCAGATTAGATCCCTCATTTGACCTGAACGTAGTCGAGGAACTTCCTAGAGCATGATAGTTGATGGCGATAACAGAGTTGCTTATGCATCGCCACATATACAAATACCTTCATCTGCCAGCCATTCTCATTGCAGGGTGCTTTGTTTTTGTAGCATTATTCCTTTCTCTCCTCCTTACTTTCCAACATCTCAGCTTCTACACTAAACCTTCGGTAAGTTCCTTGAAATCGTGTTTCTTGTAATAGTTCAACTCCACTCAAATATGTTGAGGCTTGTCCTTTCAGGTTTTATTATTATGGGGATACACCTGGATATATGGTTTAATCCTCTTTTATAATTGAGGATTGATTTCACTTTTTCATTGATGAAGATTGATGTGTTTTGTACTCATATTTAGTGTTGAGTGAGGAGCAATACATGTATGTAGTGCAATGTAAACTGACCATCTTTGATTACTCTTACAACAGGAGCAAAAATGGATTGTTGCTGTTATTTTTATGGTTCCTGTCTATGTTACTGAATCGGTAAGAATCTTACAGTTCATGAGCAATTTAGATCGGTACACATTGTTTCTGCAATTCAAAACGTCACGGCATAAACTAGTCACAATTTCCCTCAGGAAGCTCAGTTCAGATGCAGTTTTTATCATCTAACACTATACTAATTACATGGAATTCTTCGATATGCATAAGTGTTTTTTGTTAGAATCCTAGCCAAAAAGTCTTGTATAGAAATATATGTTCATAGTATTCAAAAGTGAATACTTTTATAATAAAACCACTGAATGCTGAGCTTCTATATGCTGGAAAATTGAAAACAAAGAATGATAGATTTCATCTTGTCACAGTTCTCGAGTTTACGTGTTAATTTGATCCATTTCCGATCTTTTGCAGATTATATCCTTGTGGGATGCAAAGCTATCCGTTGCTTGTGGCATATTGAGGAGTTGCTATGAAGCATTTGCTCTCTATTCATTTGGGAGCTATTTGATTGCTTGTCTTGGTGAGGCCACTGTAACTTAAATGTTTTAGAACTCATTCTCTCGATTTATGCTCCGAGTTGCTATGCTGTTATATTTAGCAACAGAAAAAAATGCAAGATATCGGGATTTAGATTAAGTTCAGTTACAAGGATACAATTTGACAGGTGGTGAAACAGAAGCCATAAATTTTCTTGAAGACCAGGCTAGAGGACAAGGTAGCAAGCCACTGCTAGAAGGGAAATCGAATCCTAAATTACGACATAAAACTTTTCGCAACTTCATCTTCAGGCCGTCTGTTCTTGGAAAAGAATTATTCGCAATAATAAAATTTGGTCTCGTGCAATATGTAAAACCTCAGTACTTGTTGTAATGCATTTCTGTTTTCGCCTTTCTTGGTCATCCTTGACACCTCTCCTGAGTTTTGCTCGTAGATGATTCTCAAGACTTTCTGCGCATTCTTAGCGCTCATCCTCGAGCTATGTGGAGTGTACGGTGACAGGGAGTTCAAATGGTACTATGGGTATGTATATATGCATGTGTCCTTAATCTTTGAGGCTCGCGCCTTTTTTTTCATGTCTGGTTTTAAGGTTGCCTAAATCGAGCTTTTGTTTATACTTCAGGTACCCGTACATAACGGTAGCTTTGAATTTCAGCCAAATGTGGGCGTTGTATTGCCTCATTAGGTTCTACAACGTAATTCACGACAGGCTTGAACCGATCAAACCACTCGCTAAATTTATCAGCTTTAAAGCCATTGTATTCGCGACATGGTGGCAAGGTGTTGTCATTGTCTTGCTATGCACTTTCGGCGTTCTTCCTAAACAGGACAAACTTCAAACTGGACTTCAGGATTTTCTCATCTGCATCGAGGTATGCGTTCGGAGGTATCATTCAAATTCAAATTCAAATTCAAATTCGACGCCATTTTTAAATGATCTGTTTTACATTTGAACAGATGGCTATAGCAGCTGTTGCTCACATTTTTGTATTCTCTGCCAAGCCTTATCACTACGTCCATGTCTCCGGCTACGAGCATTTTTCAGCCTCGGCGACAACTGCTGCGCTCGACATAAAAGGAGGCGGCGAGGATTCGCCAGCAGATGTGGAAAAGCAGAAAACTGAAGTGGAATCTCCCGGGACGAGCATTAAAGAAAGCGTTCATGACATTGTTGTCGAGGGCGGCCAAAAAGTTATCTAGTCTCACAAAATATTAAATCAAATATCTATTTTTTTTTAAAATTTTATTTATGGTGTCTAACTCACTGATCGATCGGCAGGTGGTGAACGACGTGGTGCTGACAATTAACCAGGCGATCGAACCTGTGCACGAAGGCATGACAAAGATTCAGGAGAACTTCCAACACATATAGACGTGTTTGATGATCGAAAGAGGAAGAAGATCGAGTCAAGGAAAGATGAACTAAGCATTCGATAAAGGACACCTCAAGTATAAGACAGCAAAAGCTAAATAAGTCTGACGCTCAGGTTAGTCCTATGCTTGATTGAGTGATTCCAATTTTGTTCATCTCAATTATTTTATATAAATTTCTAAGTTTGTTTATCAATATTTCTTTTTACATAGGTGAACATTTGGTTTTTCTTTTGCATGTAAGCTTTTAAATTTATTTTTTTTGTTTTCATGTAAGCTTTTAAATATTAATATTATATTGTATTTAATACAAATAGATAAAAATAGATAAAATATAATATTATTGTATAATAATATGTCGTAAATTGTAAAGATATAATATGATAGTTCAATTAACAAATAAAAAAATAATAATTTTGTTTTGTTTTAGGACGAATGAGCGACGAAAGAAGCGTATATTCTATTGTTTAACAAAAGAATCAAACATATATCCGCTAAAAATATTTATTTTTTATTTTAATAAAAATAATTATAAATTAACGACAAAATTATCTTTAATTTGTATTTTAATTATAAATATATATTACAAATACATATAATTAATTTACACATACTGTTTAATTAGTTAATAATAGTTTATAATATATTTTTTTTATTTTGTTATGTAATTAATAATATTAATAATTTTAAAATAAATTCAATATATATAATTAAAAAATATAGAATATGTATTATATGACATAAATATTACTCTTTTCCGTCCACCTAGAAATATACATATTTCTAAAGTAAATATTTCATTAAATATTTCACTTTTTTTCACAAATATCTTAACTTTACATCACATCATGCAAAAATTCATTAAGATACCAATTATAATTAAAATATTATTATTTCTTAAAGTATGTGTACAAGTAAATAAAAAAGAAATATGTTTATTTATTTATAATTAATATAAACTAAATATGTAATTTTAAATATTGATAAAAATATGTATTTTTTGAAAAGTTTTGAGTGGACATGTTATATTGTCCCTCTCGGTTCGTTAACAGTCAACTATTTTTCTATTTTGATTCATCATATTCATTTTGTTTTTAATAATTCTATTATTTATTTTAACATTACAAATATTATTACAGTACAATACTAATATTTAGATAACTCCGTGCAAAAAAATAAATGGAACAGAGGGAGTATTATGTACTTAATTAAATTAATTTTTTGTTAAATATATTTTAATTTAATAAATTTTATTAAAATATATATATAGATAAAAATAAAAAATGACACACAATACTGTATGTGCGGTACCGATTTGCAGTGCAGTCTTAAGTCTAAACCCTGCCTAAATACTTATCCTCCATCGCCGCCGTGGAGCCTCCCTTACTCCACCGCCGATCAGTCCACGGCCTCCCTATAACCTCCGACCGGATTCCGAGGTACAAATCATGCTAACGCTCAGATGCGCCCGGCAGACGCGTGCCTTTCTCTTCTCTCCTTCGGCCTTCAATGCCGCTGTGTCGCACCTCCTCATCGCCTCCTCGTCCTCTTCCTCCTCCTACTGTTCGATCCAACCCTACGCTCTCTCAACGACGGATTTGAGTGGATCTCAATCGGAGATACGCCGGAGTGAGATTGTGAATTGTTTTCGCGAATGGTTCATGACTCGGAAGATTCCCCTATTCGACCGTATCTACGAAATACTCCGCACACAAGAGGAGGCTTCGATGGATTCCTCCCTTTCCTCACTCAATCTCTACCTCGACGAATCCCTAGTCCTCGATGTATTGAGGTACGATCCGAAAGACGTTCTTTCTTGCTTGAAATTCTTCGATTGGGCGGGCAGGCAGCCAGGGTTTCACCACACTAGAGCCTCTTTCGATGCCATGTTTCGGATCCTATCCAAGGCGAAGCTAATGAGCTTAATGTTAGATTTTTTAGAAGTCTTTGTGAAGCAGAATTACGCTCGTAAGATCAGGTATTACAACATCTTAGTAATTGGTTATGCTATAGCTGGAAAATGTGAGACTGCACTTCTAATGTTTGGTAGAATGCGATTCCTTGGTGTGGATTTGGACATGTTTTCATATCATGTGCTTATGAATTCACTGGTTGAGCATGGCTATTTTGATGTGGTGGAGATGGTGGCAAATGAAATTCGAAACAGGGGGTTCCAGAATGATATTACACATTCGATAATGATGAAGAGTTTTTGTAAACAGAATAAGTTAGAGAGGGCGTCTGAGTATTTGCACAATCTTGCTCAGGATGGAAATGGACAAATAAATGGAATTGCCGTGGGTACGTATGTCGACGCCTTGTGTAAGCAAAATCAGTTCGAGAGAGCTGGAATGCTTATCGAGGAGTTACGAAGTAATGGTTTGGTGCCGACAGAGCATGCCTACGGTGTATGGATTAGGCACCTTGTTGTTGCTGGGAAGCTCGATGCAGCTCTTGAGTTTTTGAAGGATAAGCAGGGGATAGAAGGGTATGTTCCCGAGGTCTTTCGTTATAACATGTTGATTGGAAAGCTTTTGAGGCAGAATAGGATCGAGGATGTGTTTGATTTGTTGGCGGACATGAAAGAAAGAGGAATAGTACCAGATAACGTTACTATGAATTCGATATTGTGCCTTTTATGTAAGGTGGGAAAAATGCACATTGCTTTGGAGTTGTTTGACTCAAGATCTGAGTTTGGCCTTTCTATTAATTATATGGCGTATAATTATCTTATAAATAGTCTTGTTGGGGGTGTTCGTGTCGATGAAGCTTATAATGTAATGAGGAGTTCGATTGAACATGGTTATATACCTGGACCGAAGACACTCTTGATTGTTGCCGATGCTCTATGCAGGGAAGGAAGGCTTGATGAGATGAAGGATTTGGTTTCTTTTGTAATAGATCAGAATATCATGCCCAATAAGATGGCGTATGACAAGTTTGTGTTAGCTCTCTGTAAGGCGAGGAGAGTTGAAGAAGGGTACATGATCTACGACATGCTTAAGCAGACAAAAAAGGAATTTGGGCAGGGTACTCGCAACGAACTGGTAAAAGGATCTATTGAGTTAGGAAAAGGTGATATTGCTGTAAGAATACTCGTAGACATGATAGAGAATGGTTATATGCCAAAGCGCTTGCTGTTTAGAAAGACATTAGCCTGCTTATTGAGAATGGATAATCCCGAGGATAAATTTCTGCAACTCCTTGAGATGCTACTTGCTCGCCAACAGCTGACCCCCTCTGTCATTTACAATTTCTTCATTGATGGGGCTGGCTATGCGGGTAATCCTGAACTAGCCGGGCATGTATTTGAAATGATGAAAAGAAGTGGTGTGGAACCGGGATTAAGATCTCACATTCTACTGTTTTTCAGTCATCTAAACACTGGCCGAATCAGCAGTGCTTTGCATATATTCAGTGAGATGTCCACTAAATGGAATAATAAGAAATTGTGGCGGGCTATTGTTGTTGGTCTTTGTAGGATCGGGAAACCTGACCACGCATCACAGGTGATGGATTCTATGAAGGCAAAACTGTTAAAACCAAGAGTCGAATGCTACGAGGCACTTGTGAAGGCATACTGTGATATAAAGCATTATGAAAAAGCTATAGAGTATGTCAATGAAATGACTCGAATGGGCCGTCCGATTTCTTCCTTTATTGGGAATGTTTTTCTGTTAAATGCCTTGAAGAGCAGGGAATTATATTATACTTGGGCTTATTTAAGTCGCAGAGAACACCTAACTCCGGCATGTTGGATGTTGGGTCACATGGTTGGTGTATTTTCCGGTGCTATTAGAGGTGTTGACACAGAGGAGTTGGAACAATTGATTGGCGAATGCTTCCTCATAGACACTTACACCATCAATATCCTGTTGAGAAGAATGAGCATGTATGGAATCGACAATGCATTAGAATATTACAATAAATCGCTTGAAAAAGGCTATGAACCAAACAGATGGACTTACGATATAATTGTCCATACTTTAGCCAAAGGAGGACGGTTTGAGGAGTGTAGAAAATGGAGGGATGAGATGCTTAAGAAAGGGTTTGAGGTAACTGAAGCCACAATAAGACTACTTTAAATAAATGAAAAGTCGATGCTCCTATGCTGGAAGCGTACAAAAATAATGCCCTGAGCTGCTCTGCCTTTCAAGTCTGGTGAGCGAGTAAATTGTAAGACTCGTTATAATTTTGTGTTATTTAATTGTGTTTGTGCTCGTGATTATTTAATAGTTGTATATTTGATTGAAATGAAATTGTAGATCGAGTTGAGTTAGTTCTGTGTTTGCTTCTTTATATCTATCTCTACCACAAGTATTATGATAATTGCATTGTGTTTGTTTGAAGAATTTAATAACCGACTTTGAGCTGATTCATAGTTAACTAATATCTTATAGAATTAACTTGTTAGTTGTTATGGTAAGTGAGTAATAGATTTCTTTTTCTAGCATATGCTCTTTTAATTTGTGTTTATTTGATCGTTTAGGCATTGGGTTTGGGTTTTAAACAGTAAAAATTTTGAATTTGAACAGTTGATTGACTTGATATAAATAGATATTGATTTGTTGTTTTTAAAATAATAAGAATTTGATTTGATTTTTGTGGAGGGAGGGGGGGTGGAGTAATGAATAGTAGAAAATCTTCACAAAAAACCCCAACCGAACGTGTGTAATTGGTGCAACTTTGGTCACAATGAAAAAGAAAAAAGGAAAAACCAAACAGTCATTAAGGAATATTAATTGTCTTTTCCTCTTCGCCTTAGGTGAAGTAAAAATGGAGGTAAAAAGAATCAGGAGACGGCAAAGTGAAATATTTAGTTACATGGCAAAAAATGTCTGTCTGTTGGATGAATAATGACAGACTGGTTGGTTAAGCTTCATGATCTGATGCTGATAGTTCGATTTGTGACCAAGGGGGTAATATTGCATTGGACTTTATTTTCCTTGTTATTCTTCCTCTCAGCATAAAATTCTATATGTTGCACTTGTGATATTATGCTTTATATTTGAATATGGTGCTTCGATCTCTTTATGACCTGTCTATTCTGTGGATTTTTATTTTATTTGTTCTCTTTCTTTCTTTTTTGTCCCCATGTTTGTCCAGGCTATAGATCCTGCAATGGCTCGATTCTGTATTCTAGGATCGTGCAGAAAGAGAATCTATAGGGGATTGAGGAACATTCGAACTACAAAAATACACATGGGCCGTGGCTATGGTTCCTCGTGCATAGATATATGATTCCAGAAGTTAGTCATCGACATTTCCTTCCAATGCTTCTCTGTGTGCCTTATAAGCTCGGAATACATATATCTGTGTATGTGTGTATATATATATATATATTTGCTTTTATTTTAACAGTATGTTTAACGTGTTACTGTAGCGCAAAAGGGTCCTGATTCTTCAACAATCTCTCGAATGTGCAGGTGATACCTAAAGGTGTGTATGTGCAGTCTTTTTCTCCAAAATTGGATTAATTTTATCATTTTTGTAGAGAGCTTTAAATACTCTATTCTGAAGTATAATACCATTATTAGGTGTTTAATACACATGTATTTCTGAAGTTTGAATTCCTCTTTCTTCGGAAACAGGCTTGATCGTTCTCGTTGTATGTGATTTTCTTCGCTCCAAGAAGCACTGTCTACACTCGATTCAGCTTCAGCAGTCAGTCCTACACTATGCAGCGCAAAATGGTGGAAGTCGGAATAGTGTTTTCAGGTGAGTCGAATCAATGCTTTTCTGTTGTTCTATCATTGCATTACATCTTTGAAGAATGACCGATATCATCCATTAGAGTTGCTATCGATTTTCTTGTGAAATTTTAGGTATAGAGAAGTGTGTTTGTATAGTGCTTTTAGTTTGAGGTGTTTCTTATGTTAGGTATGGGGAAGTTTGTCGATAATATGAAGAAATAATATTGTGATAAATTATTGAATTTATGTCACAATACATATATTATGAGTTGTATAGGTTTATGTATATATTGTATTTTTGTATTTTTTTATAATATTAATCGGGAAGTTTTGTCTTTTTTTATTCTTTTGTTGAGTGGACACACTAATGTATATCTCATGCATTTGATTTTAGTTTCTTGATTCTCGCTGAGGTTTGCTCACTTTGTGTTTTTCCATGAATGTGTACTTTATGTTAGTATGAAAATTGCGTCGGTGATATAAAAAATAATACTCCTATATTTGTATAATTTTTTGTACACTAATCGAAGTATTTTTGTAATTTTTTCTTAATTTGTACTATATTTTGATATAATAATTAATATTTAAAGATCAACGAGGACTCTTAGAATTGAACGGATATAGTATTTAATACTTTGTGTTGAATTGTTTTTCTTTCTTTTTTTGAGTGAATAAAATATATATTATATATATTTTGTTATGTGTATATATTATATTTTTTGTAACATTTATAGGAAATCGTGAATAAAATATATATTATGTTATGTGTATATATTATATTTTGTGTAATATTGATAGGGAATCGTACCACCCAAAACATGTTGGGTGAGCAAACCCATTTTGTTTTCCAAAATTGTGCAAGACTAGGGAAATTAGATCACTACTTTGAGAACTTGGAGAAAAATTGAACTTATGTCCTGGCAAAGAAATAGTCAGGATGTTCAATAAATTACAAAATATGTTGCTGAAATTTTTATGATCAAGTTGAATCTTTTGTCGACTATAATGTTGGTTTTATCGAGCATTATTGTTTCATTGTCAGCTTTGCGTTGGAAAAATGATCCTTGGATTGGAATTTCTTTTTTTCAACATGGAAATTTACAGCCGCTACTTGAAAGGACTGGAATTTCTTTCTTTCAACGATGGAAATTTACAGCCGCTACTCTTCGAGTATGTACTGAGTAAACTCTCACAAATCGAATGAAGTAGCCTGGAAACCATGTCAGCCGAAAAAGTCACCCCAGGCAAGTAAGTTCTATGTGACAAGTTTGGCCGAGAAAATGCTAGTAGGATTTGGTTATGGTGCTAAATCTGGTTCAAACCGAATCCTCCTTCAGTTGCTTGGCTTCCATTTTTGTCAGCTGTCGAACAAGAGACCAGCTATTGGCCCAAGTCGAAAGACTGGCCGGGCTTAGCTTAGCTCAGCTTGGCTCATTGGAGAGACTCAAGTTTCACATTAAAAGTTTATTTAAAAGAAGTATATCTATAACTCATGAGAAAGTAACAAGAATATTTTAGCACTAAAGTAGAGATTATTTTTATTATATTATCTCCGTCTAGCTCTAAGATTTCATTTATTATATTTGAATTTTAAATATTATATCAAAATATAGTACAAATTAAAAAAATTAAAAAAAAAAAATTGCAAAAATACTTTGGTGCAAATGTAAAGATATTTTTAATATTAAGTATTTAATATTAAGTACAATGACGCGAAGAGTAAATGTAACCTTAGAGGCTGACTGAGGGACTAATAGAAAATATTTAAATTTTGAGTAAAAATTATTTTTGGTCTCATTCAATATCATAATTATCAATTTTGGTTTTATTAAAAAAAATTATCAATTTTGGTCCCACTCAAATGAAAATTTATCAATTTTAGTCCCAAATTGGTTGACTGTGCGCCGTGTTGAATGACTCAAAAGGTGACTGGGCATCCCAGGCAGTCAGCACGGCCGTGTTGATTACCCTGCACTTCTGAACACGGTCATGTTCCCGATGTTCCTGTCCATGTTCTCAACACAGTCATGTTCTAAGTCATCTTCACGACCATATTTTCAATATAATCATATTGTAGGTCATATTTATTATTATTTTCATTTTTTGGTTAAAATTATTTGATTTAAATATGTATATTTATAATTCAACAAAAATATTTTTTACAATTATTTCAAAATATAAAATTAAAAAATTGTGTGTAAAAAAATGAAAGTGACATGGGATGTGGGACAACAAAAATTGCAATGTGGACATGGTAAATGAGATAGAGGGAGTATTATTAAATATATATATATTAATATATTATTGTTTTTATATATTTTAAAAAATATTAAAAATTGATTATTCTTTGTATTATGAAATAATTGTAAAAAATATTTTTGTTGAATTATAAATATATATATTTATATCAAATAATTTTAATCAAAAAGTGAAAATAATAATAAATATGGCCTACAATATGATTATATTGAAAATATGGTCGTGAACATGGCCTAGAACATAACTGTGTTGAAAATATGGGCAGAAACATGGCCTAGAACATAGCCGTGTCGAGAACATGAAAAGAACATGGGCAGTGTTCATACAGGAACACGGCAGTGTTCAGAACACGAGCTGGAACACGGCCGTGTTCAGAAGTGCAGGGTAATCTCAACATGGCCGTGTTGGCTGCCTGCGACGCCCAGTCACCTTTTGAGTCATTCAACACGGCCGTGTTTAAGCCAGACCGTGTTCAGTCCCAATCAACCAATTTGGGACTAAAATTAATAAATTTTTATTTGAATGAGACCAAAATTGATAATTTTTTTTTGAATGAGACCAAAATTGATAATTTTTTTTGAACGAGACCAAAATTGATAATTGTAATATTGAATAGGATTTTCCCTTAAATTTTATATGAAAAAATAAAAATAGCAAATTGTATATATGTGGATATGAAGAAAAAATATATATAAATATGAATTATGTACAATGGCCCTGGTCGAAGACCCAGCCTATGGGTGTGTTTGTTTGGTGATTCTCCCCAAATACACTATTTATCTCAAAAACATCAAATTAAACACTTATTTTGTATTTTTCATATTATACTAAAAAAATCAATTCTAAGTTCAAAACATCACATCAACACCTATTTACATCATATTATACAACTATTCAAATTCAAAATTTTTACTGTTAAAATCTCAACTCAAAATCCAAATCCCCAAACAAACACACCCTATAAACTGCTGAAGATTCTCTGCTCATCCTAATCAGGATATGTTTATATATATTCATGTTATAAGATAGCATAAGATAATTATATTATATTATAAATATATATTGATCATTTTTTATAACATAAAGATGTTAGATCCGACCAGTACTATGCTAACTTAACCATATCTGCAACCAATTTATGCCCTATATAAACATATACCTATCAGTTTATATTGCAGGCATATATTATAAGTGCTACAACTACAAGCACTAAACTTACTAATTATAATCAGCTCTGTAACAGTACACATATATCATATTACTGTGGTGTAATTTGGGCTGTATTAGAAGAATCCAATCTCCCACAACTATGATATATCAATCAATTGATCGATCTATCTCTCTCTCTCTCTATATATATATTACAAAGTTAAAATTCAAATATAGGATAGAAATGCAGCAGAAAATTACACTAAGGGCCAAAAAAATTCATTCATATTACCTTACAAAGAAGTTAGGCCTCAATGCTTCAACAACCCTGCATCATCATTTCCGCGTTTCCGTTTCGATTTCGATTCCGACTTCGATTTTGATTCTCTTCCTCCCGGCAAAAACAGCGAGGGAAGAACTCAAACAAAATATGAGTTAGATCAATCATATTTGATTAAAAAGAATTTCATTCCAAGTATCGGGAATACCGGGTAAGCACCAATGCAAGCAATCCTGCACGCCGGGAGTCGCCTTGATGCTGTACCGCGAAATATGGCCCTCGTCTCTCAGCTGAGAGAGCGCCGTAATATCTAGAAGCTTCACGAAGGTTCCGTTCACGGCCGCTGCCGCAAGACGGTCGCTCGACTCGTCTTGCGCGACTTCCTTCCCGCCTGACAGCGGAGTTGTGTTGTCGCAAGTGCCGCCCGTGTTCCACTCCCCGTTGAAAAAGTGCCTCGGCGCCAGGGTACGTAGAAACGCTTTCAGCCCCGGGCGCGACGGGAGCTGCGAGTCGACCCATTTGACGGTGCTGCGGACGGTGAAATCCTTCGCACCCCCGATCGTCGCGAGCTTCCGGTTAGTGTTGGGTACACCCCCGACGTGCATCACCCACCGGTTAGCCTTAAGCTTTCCCCTGTTCCAATGGTGGCCTGTGTTAAGAACAAGAACGTCGAATTTGTGAAGAAAGCGCCGTAGAAATGCCGGGGGGCGATCAAGGTGCATAGCGATGTCGGAAGATGAAGCAATAGGCTCCAAATCACAGAGACTTGCCGACCAATAGTAGAGAATCGTCGTGTTCGTCTGAGGGAATCGATAAGCCCATCCATCTGGCCTGATAGAACCCCGGGATTTAACGAGACCGTAATCATGCCCCACGTCAAGAACATCGGGATTATGTTGTCCACCTGTCACCATGCACATGAGGGACTGGAATTGCTGTCGGCCGAGTGAATCCCCAACAAAAGCCAAAGTTTTGTCCGTCATTCTGTAAGAAAGTGAAAATCGAAACTAGTTTCAAAGCCAAAATGGTAAATATTATACCGAGAAACTAATGCAAATCTTATCAGCTTGGTGTCGGAATTCACAGCAACCAAAAGATAGGAAAACAATATTAGACTATAGCACCTTCAAGTTTAAAAAATACGACATACCTCTCGAGGAATTTGGAACCCGTGAATCCCTCCATTTTACAATCTTTGGGTTTCCAACGTAGTTTTTCATATTCAAAGTCTGTACGTTGTGTCAAGCGACAAGCCCACATCGGTGACAACCATTGGCTACAACCAAACCCAGAATATACCGGCCAGTTATCATCAATTACCCATTTGCCTTTGGCGTAATTACAACCTGAAAAGCAGAAAAGGTGTTAGGCTATAAATAATTATCTTCTAATCATCATAATTTGGATGTCTGCAATATACCGAATCTATAACACACCAAAGTCATGAGCAATCCGGGAAACAGTATGCCACTAATTCAATTTAGTTCAGACTATGTAAGCTCATTCAGATATAATCCTATATACAGCGTGCAGAAACATAATTCTTTTCGGGTATGATATGACCTTCATTTCTTGTAGTAGCTGACAAGTTTCTTGGTTGATCTCTCGGTACAACTGATTTTACAGTTGGAGCGTTCTCTTGTACAATCTCTTCCTGTTTTGAATTGTTTTGTCTTCCTGAAAGTTCATATGATTCTTGTTCTGCTATAACACCAGTCACTGTAAGAACAGTAAGAAATGTTAATCCAGGGGGCCATAAGTATACAGCGCTTCTTAAGACAGATTGGTTGAGAATAATCCATAAACGATGAAAGGCTTAATGTTATGCTAGGATCTATCAGTTCTCCCAACTCAATATAGGGCTTCAACAGGCCAAAAGAAATGCAGATCATGGATAGAAACTACGGTATGTAAAGAAACTTACGATGAATGGTTTTAAAAGTAGCAAAATATGTTGATCCTAGTGATGCATAAATGTGCATAGAAGAAATTGAAAATATGAAAGTATATATTTTACATGAAAGAATACAGATTGATCTATCCTGTGAATGATACAACCGATTAAAAAGTATCTTGACATATAGTATAATTTTGCATTTAGTGCTCCAAGTTCAAATATGGTGATATAAAGCAATAAGAAATCCAAATTAAATCTTAAATCCCACCTTCCTTTCCTGTAATTGTCACATTTTCTGTAAAATCCCTCTCTAATTCAACTTGTTTCAATCCTGCGTGCGCCGAAGTATTGCTCCCAGAGATTTCTTCTGGACCTACTACATGCATGACAAAAGATCGGCATCACTAAAATTAGGTACCAACTGCAAGACCTTACAATTATTATAGCATTCTACACATACCTAAATATGAGCATCACAAACATGTTAACATGGGAAATATGTGTATTTTTATCATAAATAAAATAGGAAATATGAATTGAAATAATATCTTCTTGGAAATATTCAGTGCCCTAGTTTCGACATCACTATTTTCTACAGGACATGTGTATCGTATCAGGGCAGCATGAGCATATCATACAAAATACTGTGACTGCTGTGCAAGAAACAACACTTTTGCAGCCATGGAAATGCAAGTTCACTCAATATTCCCAGGGAACGGAGTCCTTTCCCCCAGCTTCTACAAGTACAAATCACACTTTTCTCATGTTTCAACTTCCAAGCACAATCAACATGGATGAACGAGCAGAATGTTTGTTGAGGTATTTCAATCATAAATAAGTGAACTAAAATTTTAAACTTCTATAGTTCCGAAAGCACAAGAGATAGCAAAATGAGCTACCAGATTTTACGAATCCCAGCTTAACCAAGCACAATCAACATGGATGAGCGAGCAGAATGTTTGTTGAGGTATTTCAATCCTAAATAAGTAAACAAAAATTTTAAAAACTTATATAGTTCCGAAAGCAATAGATAGAAAAATGCTTTCCATTGACATGACAATTCAGTCTACGGTCAAGTTCTAATGAGCTACACATAACAGATTAATGTCTTAGGATGCAAATAGACATTTTTTTTCAAGTTCATAAAAGAAAAAATCCCACTAGGTTTCTCATTTGGATGGCTGAGAATCTCCTGATTTCAGATTCAAAATCAAAATGGAGTTAATGAAGCAAACTTATACCAAGCTGCAGCACCCGATTCTGTATAGGAATGAAAGAGGCCAGAAATGTTGTCTTGGACCATGTCAATGCAAGCACAGTAGCGCACACTAAGCCAATCAGGATGAAAGAAACCTGTGTAACCTTCAGCCCTTGCGTAACTCCTTTCATCCTCAATGAATTAGCAGATTCAGAAGCATCCGTACTATCAACAATGAATCTTCACTGGAAAATAATCTGTACACGACAAAAATCACAGAAAGTGGTAGGAATTAATGATTCGAAAAGTTCAACCAATAGCCTAAACAGAAACCTTCATATATAACACATGATAGAAAGAAACATGGCATGTTGTACTACTGACTTTCAAAGTTCAACATAACAAATGATACGAGCCAATTACAAAAAGAACCATTCTACCAGTCTGCTAACACCATTTCCATATCCACCACAACAATGCCTGCATTCACACTTCTAATTCACCTCATCCATGTTCAATTTTCAGAAACACAGCTCTCAGCTACACCAATTTCAGATTATCACCAAATAATAATTAACTAATTGATAAGTTATCACGCTTCTCTGAACAATAAAATTCACAGAATTCGTATGCAGAACATTACAGAAAAAATATACAATAAAATAAGTTCCAGATCAAACGGTCGGGTAATTACGCATAATAAGGCCAAAAATCGTCACCACGAAGAGCAGAATAATCCCCAGGCTTGGATCAATCAATCACGGCGCAGATTTAAGTACTCAAACTTCATAGGATCACACGCTTTACCGGAAATGGAATAAACCTCCAGAAAGCCTCGGATCTCTCGGCAAAACACGCGAAGAAATCCACTCGAATTCCGCGCGTCACAAATCCAAAACACACAAACAAAAATTGCCGCTCACACCAATCGCAGAGACGAACGCGATTCCGCGTGAGGCAACAATTGATGAAAACTGCGTAACGCCAAACTAAGATGAAAAAGAAAAAAATAGTGACAGACAGATTTAAAGACTACGGCAGCGCTACAGCTGGTGAGGAGGTGTCTGTACGGCGGAGATGGCGGTGAGAATCTCGGCAGAAATACTCTCTGGTTTTTTGTTTTTTGTTTTCTTTTTTACAAATATATATATATATACATATATATTTTTTATATACATAAGTGGCAATATTTAAATATTGTTGGGGGGAATAATATAAATCTGGGAAATGGGAAAATATGTTTTGCTATTACAGTCTAATAATCCTTTTTGAAATTTTTATAATTGTGTTTACCATTAATACCGATTTCAATATTATCCCCAAATCATATTTCGGCAAAATTGTATTTTAGGAGATGTATTAAATTAAAATTTTAGGATTAGTCTCAACATTTAATTTTTATTTTCTTTTTCTGTATAAATCTATTTCATTTAAATTTATTATTTTATTACAAATACAAAATTATCTATGTTAAAAGTATATAAGCTTTGTTCACATAATATTATTTTTCAATTACGATTTTCAAAAAATAATATTTTCTTCGTCCATTTACAATATTTAGATATTTTTAGGATGTTCAATTACAAAGTTAACATTTTATTGAATACTCTATTTTTTTTTCACAAATACTCTTATTTTACATCACATCGTTACTTTTACGCAAAAAGTAAAGGCAAAAATATCATTACACTATTTTTAACTACTCATTATAATTAAAATATTATTATTTTTTAAACATCGAGCCAAAATTAAATGTAAACATTGTAAGTGAACAGAGGAAGTAATAATAAACAATAAAAAATATTTTTTATAAAAGTAATTAAAAAAAATTCCTTACAAAATAGAAAAGTCAAAATATTCAATTTAAAATCATATTCAGTCACTTGACAATCTATTCATTTTTTTCATTTTGATCCGTCACATGAGTATCAATTTTTATTTTTTATTTTTTTTTAGTAATTGTACTATCTACCTAACATTACAAATACCCTTTCAATTTACAATATATTACACAAATGTCATTACCTTTATTTCATACAATACTAATAATATTAATTTAGTCTTTTTATCTTTATTTATACTTTATCTCAATATAATATTAATATTTCTAAAACTCCGTGTAAAAAGCAAATTGATATATAGATATGGAACGAAATGAGTATTTTCTATATTTGACATAATTTTCCATATCATATGCTAAAAATCAATTCATCAATAAAAAGTTACTCAGTCATAGTTGTTCGGTATAAATACATTTTGTGTTGAATTTAATTGTAAATTGTTGTACTATAAGATAATGCTATGTATTATGTTATTATATATTAATCCCTCCATCCCAAAATTATAGTCAGTGAGTAAAAAGTACGGGTAAAATATTTTTTTGTCTTTACGAGTGTATTAGTGTAAAAAATAGTGGCAATTGTGTAATAATAGTGAAAAAATAATTGTAATTTTATAATGATATGATTATCTATAGAAATCAGATTATTGTTTTAGGACTAATAAAAATTGTAAACAAGACTATTATATTGAGACGGAAGGAGTACAATTTTTTTATAACTAAAAAATCTACCGTCGTTACTATTATGTGCTATAGCTAAATCTCGACCAAACCTAATAACTTGTAATTTATGTATTGTTTGTTGTTTGTACCATATTTTGTATTATTTATTTTTACATAAATTATTTTTTATTCTTTGTACTGTAATTATTAATATAATTATATATTGTATATTTGTGACATTAGTTTATGTATATTATTTGAACTCTATATTTAACAATATATATAAATATCAAATATTACATTAAATATTTATAAATAAATACTCAAACTCAATTTTCTCACACCTATAAATTTTTTTTAAAAATATAAATTATAACAAATTTTTAAATATTTATTTTAATATTTTTTAATATATATTTAATATAATAAATTGTAAATAGGATTGGATGCAATAAGGCAGAAAGAACGTGACAAGAAATGTCTAGCACTATCAAAGTTGGTGTTCATAAAAAAATAAAATAAAATGGTGTTCATAATAATAATAATAATCTGGTATCGTATGATGGCACGTCTTTGTTAATTTTGAATTAATCAACCCTTTTTATCAATAAATAAGGTTATGGTTCTTTAAAATTAGGTAGATTTAATTAGATAAAATATTAAAAATAATAATAATATTTTAATATTAAATTCAGTATATAAAAATTTAAAATGACATTTGAATTTACTTAAAAAATAAATATAAATTATAAGCAACAATTTTTTATAAAATATTATTTGAATATAATAAAATTGAAAGTTATTTTAAACTGTAAGGGCAAAAATATTACTCTCTCCGTCCCAAAATTATAGTCAGGGTTGTGTTCGACATGAGATTTAAGAAATATTGATATTATATTGGTAGTAGGTAAAAAGTATAGGTAAAATACTTTTTTGCCCTTGTGAGTGTATTAGTGTAAAAAGCAGTGACAATTGTGTAATATAATATTGATATTATATTGGTAGTAGGTAAAAAGCATAAATAAAATACTTTTTTGCCCTTGTGTATTAGTGTAAAAAGTAGTGGCAATTGGGTAATAATAATAAAAAAATAATGATAATTTTATAGTGATATGATTATTTATGAAAATAAGACTATTGTTCTGGACGGATAAAAATGGTAAACAACACTATTGTATTGAGATAGAAGGAGTATTATATTATTTTAACTATCAATTATAATTAAAATACTACTCCCTCCGTCCCACATACAGTGTAGCTGACAGCTACACTGTAGACACTGTATTTTAGGAGGGGTGTAATTAATAGATAATTAAAAATATATTAGTGAAAATAATTATCCTATAATATAAATAATTATGAATTAAGATTAAGATAACTAATTAGTTTAATTAAAATTTCAAAAAAATAAAATTAAAAAGTTTAAAATGAGATTAAAGTGTATAATCATTTTTTTAAAAAAGAAAAGTAACATGATATGTGGGACGGACAAAAACCGTAACGTGGACATGGTATGTGGGACGGAGGGAGTATTATTTATTAAACTTCACGTCAAAAGTAAACATATAGCTTTGGACCGGACGGAGGAAGTAAATACTCCCTCCGTCCACTTACAAAGTATACATATTTCTATTTTGGGACGTCCAATTACAAAGTAACCATTTCATTAAATACACGACTTTTTTTCGCAAATACCTTTACTTTACATCACATCATTACTTTTATACCAAAAAGCAAGGGCAAAAATATCATTACACTACTTTTACCTATCCACTATAATTAAAATACTATTATTTCTTAAACTCTGCGCTAAAAGTAAATGTATACTTTATCCGTGGACGGAGGGAGTAATTTTTTTCTGTAAAAATATTATGGCAACGTTTGTTTTAGGTTTCTAAAGAAATTTGATTGAATTATCATTTTTTTATATTACATTTTTCGTCCTCTTTTATACAAAAAATTAATTGAATAGTGTTAAATGAAATGAATTAAAAATTAAGTAATGTCATAAAAAGAAATCTATATTTATTTTGTTATTTAAATTATGTAATAAATAATTATTTTTTATTTTATCTTATTTTTAAAATATTGCATGACCAAAAGGAAAATATTGTAAAATATATAGAAGGGAGTTAGTAAATATAATAAAATAAAATAAAATAATGGCATTTTTTTAAAAGTTTTTTTGAGTGATTAATTTGGTACTTCATGTTGTCGAGAATCAAGATTTAAAATTTTCCAAAATTTGCTAAGGTGAATTTATGCATCAAACGACGTCGTGCCACTGTCCAATCAATTTGATAGTTCTTTTCCAAGGAGCAGTGCTGCTTCGTGCCGCTTTGAGTTTACGGAGGAGAATTTATGCCTTGGAATCTTTGATTTTACCCTTTGTGCCTGATTCGACTGGTCTGTAATTGATTGATTGTTTTGCTCTCTCGCTTTAATTTGCTTTGCAGGGCCAAGGCGGAGGAAGATAGCAGCCATGGCGAATGGTGTGGAGCAGGACAAGGCGCTGCAATCAATATTCTACAAGCACGGTTCGCTTCAGTTGCTCGATCAGGTATGGCTTTTCTCCAGCTCTACCTCGAAGGTGATTGTGTTTTTGTTTGGTTTAACAATTGATTGAGTGAATGGAGAGGGGGATGGATTTGTGTGTGGGAGAGTTGCAATTACTCTGTTCCTAATCCCCAAATTTTAGGGTTTCTCATGTGGCGTATGTTTGTTGCTTGCTGGTTGTTGTAAGATTACATCGTGTTAATCTTGAACTTTTTTGTGATTTGTTGAGCAGAGGAAGCTTCCGTTTGAAACTCTGTATCTGGACATCAAGGATTCCCAAGACGCATGGTAAAGAATGTTTGCTCAAATTAATTAAGCTTCTGGATATTGTTTGCTGTGTTCTACTAGTTTCATGAATCTGAGATTATGGTGCTAATCATTACCAATGGATTAATTCATTATGTTCATACAGTTGTTTATCATTATTTTGTTAATCGAATAGTGGAATAATCGCAACATTTTATTGGAAATTATACCACTTTGCGAGCTGTTCTATCACTCAATACTTATAGAGTTATCCATTGATCATCCTGTTGTCTAGTAGATTAGTACTTAGCTATTTCGAGAACTGTCTTTGTAGAAAATGATTTGTCGAATGAAATATGGTGCAAGAATTCTGGTGTTATAACTTAACAAACATCTAATGGAAATTTATGATATGGGAAGATTTGGAAATTGATTATTGCTGATTTGCTTCTTCATTTACACATCTATTATCAGGGTAGCAATACAGGATATGGTTGTTCGTGGTGCGCCTGCAATTGCGATAGCTGCTGCCCTTTCCTTGTCCGTAGAAGTTTCCAAGTTAGGGGATTTTAGCGGCACAGCTAGTGATGCAGCGTACTTTCTTAGCGACAAATTAGACTATTTAGTTTCGAGGTGATGAGGCACTAGAATAATCTTCATTTTATTTCATTCAACCGATTACTTTTTCTTTAGTTGCATTCGAACTGAGGAAAAATGGGTACGCATTGTGCAGCCGTCCAACTGCAGTCAATCTCCATGATGCCGCAACAAAACTTAAGGAAGTTGTGCGAAAGGCTGCAGCCACTGTATCCGATGCACAGACCATCTTCCAGGTACGACTTTCTACCTGCATCCGATGAACTGATTATGTTTCTTTCGCGCATCGTGTAAATAATTTCATCTACATGTTCTGCCCAACACAAATTGTTTGAACAGATATATATCGAAGCTGCTGAAATAATGCTTGAAGAAGATGTGGCTTCCAATAAAGCTATTGGATCGTACGGCGCTAATATCATCCAACAACAGCAGAAAGATTCGAAGAACGTATCTGTTTTGACGCATTGCAACACCGGAAGGCACTTACCCTATTTTGCACTTCACTCATTATTGCGAGTAGCTCAAATATTGTGTCCTTTTGGAATTCAACGGTTAATTGTTGCCATTGCCATCGTCCCGAAGTTCTTTCTGGTATCATGTAGCTAATTGACCAACGTCAACTTGTCCATTTGTTGTTAGTCTTGCAACTGCTGGATACGGAACAGCTCTAGGAGTGATCCGAGCCCTTCACGAGAAAGGAATTCTAGAAAGAGCTTACTGTACAGAAACGCGCCCCTTTAATCAAGTGACTATTGCTATCTTTAATTTTATTACATATAATGTCGTTTATTCAAAATTTAAGTAGTTTATCGTATGCTTTTTTCTTCGAATCACCTCAGGGATCGAGACTCACTGCATTTGAATTGGTGCACGATAAAATCCCCGGAACACTCATAGCTGATTCGGCTGCTGCTGCACTAATGAAAGCCGGTCGAGTAAATGCCGTGACTGTTGGAGCTGACCGTGTTGCTGCCAATGGTATTCGAATTACATTCTTTCGATTCTAAAACTTGCTTCGCTCATCTGTTCTGTTCCAACACTAAACCAGCGAATATCTTTGTTTATATATATATTTTTTCCGATGTGGCAGGTGACACGGCCAATAAAATAGGGACTTACAGCCTCGCCTTGTCGGCAAAGCATCACGGCATCCCGTTTTATGTGGCTGCACCTCTCACTTCCATCGATTTATCACTCCCTTCCGGGGATAAAATCGTTATAGAAGAGAGATCCCCTAAGGAGCTACTGAATGCTCGTGGCGGCCTCGGAGAGCAAGTTGCTGCATCGGGTATCTCCGTTTGGAACCCTGCCTTTGACGTCACCCCGGCTTCTCTCATCAGCGGCATTATCACTGAGAAGGTCCCGACTCCGGCTTTCTCTCTCCATCTCTCTCTATCTCTCTCCATCTATCTATATATCTATTGTTTCTCATTATTGTTGCTATATATATATATTTGTGATTATACAATGCAGGGTGTGATTACAAAAGATGGGACAGATTGTTTCGACATCAAAAGTTTTGCTGAAGGAGTTTCGACATCCACCATGAACAAGGCTTAGAATATAGTAAGAATCAAGTTCTGATTTATGTGATATGCCTTTTTGTTAAAATAAAGTTTGTTTGAGGGAATAATTTGGGACTTAATGTTGTCGAGAATCTAAGATTTTAAATGGTTATGGGTGTGTGATAATCACACTTTGCAATTATTTTTTTTAAAAAAAATTAAATTAAATTAAATTAATTAGTTGAGTGTTTTCCTTATTATTTATATTTGTTTTTTAAAAAATTAGTGAATGATATTATTGTGTACATGTTAAACTTGTAACATATGGTTCGCTGGTCGGGGATTTATTTGTGTTTAAGTAGCGGCAGCAGGATTCAACATTATAAAAAAAAATAAAATTTAATGACTGATAAATATGTTAGTAAAATAATATCTTTATAATATATTATATATTAATATAGTATATAATTTTTTAGATCAAAAATAATATTCATTAATTAAAAATATTTTATTATAATAAATTATGAATAAAATTAAATATATTTAACTCATATACTAAAAGATTATATAGAATATGTATACAATTCTACCTGAAATCGAACTCGAGCTAGAGTTTAACCCTTACAAGTTAAGCTCGAATTTGAGTCATTGTTTTAATTTGAATTCTTAACAAGTTAAGTTGAATATGTACTACTAACAAGTTTGAATCGAACTCGCTCCGTTCGTTTAAGAAATCTAGTGAAATAATGATCTCACATTGCAAAAATGAGGACATATTTTAAACCCATGGCTTGCCAAGGAATAATTTTAATCATTTATTATAACGCATTTAAAATGAGTAGCTTATTCTTTTTTTGTATGTGAAAATTAATCTTCAATATCAGGGTTCTATATTCAAAAGAATTTGGTTTTGTACATATATATATAATTAAAAATAATTTATTTTATTATTTTTTTAAAAAAATAAAACATCTGTAATTTTAAAAAAAAAATAAGAAAATTGCATCATTACTGTATGTCACTATCAACATACTTCCTATTTAGTTTGTATTTGATTATTTTTATTTTAAAAAAAAACAATATTTCATTGGTTCACAAAATATATATTAATTAGCACAAATATTAATAAATATAATATTATAGCGATGATTGTATCATAAAATAAAAATATTTTAGAGATCATATAAATAAATTAATAAAAAATAAAAGAAAAAAATATATAATATTACTTCCTCTGTCTCAAAAATAATAGAGACATTTGAGATAGATACAAAAATTAAGAAATAGTATTATATTAATAGTGAAAATAAAAGTATCTCTAAAAAATCAAAATGTCTTTTAGTTTATATAATTATTGTAAAAAGTAAAGATCGTTTTGTAAAAATATAGTAACTAATTATAAAAATAGAAATAACACTATTATCTTAAGACGGAATGGACCAAAAATAACAAATCAGATGGATACATTTTCTAAACAAAAACCTAGAAAATGGATACATTTTTGTAAACCCTCACAACATATATACACACACAACACAAAATCTAATATACTCATATAGTAAAGTACCAGAAAATTTACAAACGAAAAAACAAAACACTACCATAAAATCATCCGGCCAAGTCATCAAGCGACCCATCCGCCATCGCCACGCTCCCTCTCACCACCAAAAACCCTCCGTACAACGCCATCAGCCCCACCCCCAACACCCTCCCCGGCCTCATCCCATTCCGCGACAGCACCGCCGCCGCCCACCCCAGCGCCGCCACCAGAAACCCCAACGTCCAATACAAGCTCCCGTCCCCCGCCACCCCGTACCCCCCCGGCCCCCTCGACCACGCCCCGATCGCCATCGACACCCCCAGCCCCACCACCACATTGAACATCGGCCCGGCGTAGCATCCCGACATCGCCATCTGCACGCCGTGCCCCGAGTTCATCGCGATCGCCACGTTCGACATCAAATCCCCCGTCGAATTCCCCCACGCCAGAATCGTCAGCGCCAAAAGCGACGGCTCGATCGATAGAATCGACCCGATCGCCGCCAGCAGCGATATCAGCTCGTTCGCGATCATGTAGAACCACACGATGCTCATCACAAACCCCGCCAACACCCACGGCAGCTGCCGCTCCCGCCGCGGCGGACGATCCGCCGATGTGTATTTCACCGTCGCCGCGCAGAATATCGCCCCCATTGCGACCCCGATCACTCCCGCGACGACGTAATCGTTACTCCCCTGACTACTTCTACTATATAACGCGGATAGTAGCACCGGCGCGAAGAACACGCTCGCCGCGGCGTACGGCTTCGACCACCGATCGTCCTCCACGATCGGGATCGTTAGCCTTCTCGGGATCGCGAGCGGTGCTTCGATCAACAAGCACAATGCTCGGCTCGAAAAGCACGAATTTTGATCGGTACTTTCGCGATCGTTCCAACCCCAAGTCGGAGATGCGATCCGAGATTCGTCATCGACTTTGTCGTCGGTGTAAATCGCGACGTGCGACGCCCACACCCAATGCGGCAAATGTGGCACGCCGCCGTCGTCGCTACTTCCGTCATTGCCGTCGATTCGCTCTAATAGCGGAGCGTTTTCGTTTTCGCTTATGGGTAACAATTTCATCGAATAGTTACGGAATTTCAACTTTCCGGCGCGCTTCCGCAACGCCTCGCCGGCGGCGACAAACAGCACATAAACAACGTAAATCGATACGAAGGCAATGGCGCCGGCGAGGCTAACCTCGCCGACGAGCAAGATGATCAGCAACGACACGACGGCGACGAGGAAGAAACTAACGTCTCTAAAGAAGCATTTCTTATCAATCTGTATATTCCGGTCGGCGACGCAGACGGAGATAATTCCGACGACGATACAAGTGACGAAAACAGCTCCTCCGAGCACACTGTTAAGGCCGACGTCGCCGGAATCTCTGCCGGCGAAGGCAGCAATACTAGCGAAGACGTCCGGCGCGCCATTGCCGAGCGGAAGCAGCGTCACGCCGGCGACCGTCGGCGGCAATTTCAACAGATCGGAAAGCTTTTCCAAACAACAACAGAAGTAATCGGCGGCGGTGTTTCCGAGCAAATAGAACAGAGCAAGCAACCAAATCGATAGAACAACGTACCCTAACGGCTTCAAATTCCGGCAATCGCAGTAGAAGAAGACGAGATAATTGAAAAATCCGCCGGAATCGCAGTCAGGATTCGCTTTCAAGTAATCGCAAGGGGAATCGTAACCTTCGTGCCGATGAATTCCAGTGCAGATCGTCGGGTTCTGCTTCGACTCCAAATCCGTGGAATTAATCCGATTCAGGTAAATCCTCGTCGAATTCTCGAAATTTCGAGTGAATTTCTGGTAGGGTTTATAGGAAAGAGGATTTTGAAGAATACCTCGTCTGTCAACAACGAAGAATAGAAAAATCAACGCGTAGACTCCATTGAAGCTTCTCTGAAACTTCCTCATCCCCATCCTCCTTCACTATATCAACTCAATTCAGCCAACAAAATCCCCCCCCCCCCCCCCCCCAAAAAAAAAACAAACCCTAGGGTTTCAAAATCCCCAAAATCGCTCCAATCAAATTAAGCCAAATTCTGAAATTAGATTAGGATCACGACGCTAAACATTCCTTCGGAGGAATCGAGCCGAGAGGAGATCCACGAGTGGCTGTGGATCCTTCCACATTAAGACGAATCGTGATTGGGACATGAAAAAGGGATAAAAGAGAGAATGGGAAAGGAATCGTCATTTCATCAGAATGTGACCGCGTAATCGGTCGGGAGGAGAGAGCTTTCCTTTCCACACTGCGAAAAAAGAAGCAGAGGCGACGATGGCGACGGCTGACACGTGGCGGTTTCAGAGAAGTCGGTATTCGGGTGGCCCACGTGGCGTTTGTTGGGTTTCCATTTATTTATTGAAATTGATTGGATGAATACTACCGAACGAACTGATTGGATATGTTTTTCAACAATTTTCGATTTTTGGTTTTTACATTGCTTAATTTGGAAGTTTGCTTACCATTATACTGCCGTTGTTTATTTATGGTAGTTGCGTTTTGCTATAAAGTAATCTTTCTATTTTTTTTTATTTTTTTATTTTTTTTAAAAAATTAATATATTATATACATTCATTCCTTCTTACTTCATCCGTCTCTCAAGTAAATATTTATTTATTTTTTTAAGTAATTTTATAAATATTAATATTATATTAAAATATAGTAGAAATGACTAAAATAACTTTATTCGTATGTATGTGTGATATAAATATAATGACATTTGTGTAATATATTAGAAGTTGTAAGTATATTTGTAATATTAGCTAGATAGTTCAGTTATTAAAAAAGGAAATTGATACTTTGGAACAGACTAAAATAAAAAAATAGATACTTTATTATGGGACATAAAAAGTATTTTTTACACAATTTTTTATATTTCATATAAATTATTTTTTTTCAACAATCTCACTGAACAAACATACCCTTAAAGCCATATTGAAACATTTAAAAATTAAATGAGTTACTAAAAAATTGTACAATATCTGGAGAAATAGTATAAATTTGAAAATACATATACTAAAATGACCCTTAAAGCCATATTGAAACATTTAAAAATTAAATGAGTTACTAAAAAATTGTACAATATCTGGAGAAATAGTATAAATTTGAAAATACATATACTAAAATGTATGTGGTAGGGAGATATTCATTGTAGCAATCAATTATAGAAATATGTAAGAGTTTTTGACTCTTGATGTACAATATTTAATATGATACTTTTAATTGGTAAATTATTAAGTTCGATCGAATATTTATTAGAACGTATTTAAAAAATAGTGATTGAAATTCTTTTTGTCATAAAATATAGATATAAATATGCTATAGTTATTAATTTAAGGAATATGATTTATCATAAAAATACGAACAAATAAATCTTTAGCAGCTTTAATAAAATATACTATCTATTTTTAATTAAACAAAGTTATCACCGTAAATTAAAATATTAATTTAAAGGATAGTTACATCTAAATATATATTCCCAATCGAAGAGAACGACAATCCTCAAAGGTCAAACTAATTTATTCAAGCCGAAAAAATCGACAAACGTTTCAATATGTATAAAGTTATGGATGTATCAGTTTATTTTTATTTCTTTTACTGCTATTTTTTTTGGATGACATAAGAACCTACCGTCGCTACTTGAAAGTATATATTGGATAAACTTTCGGTCGAACTTAATATCCTACAAATCAGATCCGGCGAAAAATAACACTAGACGAATCATGTGTGGCAAATGACCTGAGACAGGAGTTCAAACCATGATCACAAATTCAACCCCTACACAATATTTATTGATTAGTGAAAATATATAGAATATATTGATTTTTTAAAAAACAAATACAGAGAAAAGAAACTTTTGTAAAAATTAAATATAGTTTGAACGAAAAAGATTATATTATGTGAAGGAAAACTATTGAAATAACATATTTAGTTTAGGTTTCAAATTCAAATTTTTGTAAAATTTTTAATAAAAATATACCATAAAAAATGCTTATGTATTTGTTTGTGAAATTTTGGTTAGATTTTATTATTCCAAAAGAAAAATTCTAATGAAACACTAATCTATTACATTTAAATTTAATTTTAATATGAAAGTATAACAATATATATATATATATATATTGATTACCTTTGGCAATGCAATGGAAATTGGTAGAGACCTAAAACCGTGAGCATACTTTTATTATTATTATTATTATTATTATTATTATTTTGTAGTTGTTGGATATTATATAATATTTTTATTATATTAATTTGCATATAAAACACAAAAAAGAATCAAACATATATGTTAAAATCAAATACTATAAATCAATCATGGAGTAGATAGATTTAAACTCTATTAACATAGGTGGGAAGTTAGAAATTAAGTAAGAGTAATTTATTTAATTAATATTCAATTTATTATACAATCTATATAAAATTTTAAAAATTAAATTTATATTTAATTATTTAATAACTATATTTTAATAAAATAAATACAATATAAATATCATTTTATGAAAAATAAAAATTTACATAATTAAATAAATAAATACAAATATTTATTTTATAGTTAACATAAACAACCAATTTTGAATATATATATATATATTTATATTTATTAATTAAAGAAAAATAAAAATAAAAACTTCCAATAAATTTGAGTAAATCCCAAATAATGTAATATTTTAAAAAAAATAAAAAAGTCAAAAACCATATCAAATTAGAGCCTAAATTTTCATTTCTTCTACTACCATCCAATAATCTACTTATAACCTTCCTCAACATATCTACACAAATATCAATTTTAAAAATTATTGTCTATAAAAATTGGCTCTATTGACATTCATATTTTGAAAGCTTTGACAACAAGAACTTTTTCGAAATTTCTTTTACAAAACATCATATCAAATAATCAAATTTTAACCATTCAAGATTTTCCAAAATAAAAAATAAAAAATATTCTCAGTCAAAATATATCATACAAGCACAGTATGGTATACAACATTCTTGTAAAAAATATTATACCAACAGCTATTCTCCCCTCAAAAATATCAAAATAAACACAATTAAATCATACAAATGAACACACCTATAGATTTTCGACAAAGAAGGTTGAAACAGACCAAAACAAATCCAACCAAATGAATTCTCAAGCCATGTTAGACACATACTTTTAAGGCATTTCCCAATCATGAAAATAGATGATTCTCACAAATACTCGGCTTAACTTAATAATAGTGAAAGGGCGCAGATAGGCAATGTCGATTAAAATCACTAGCGAAATTTCAGAAATGTAGTAAAATATCCAGCAAATACAATAAGCATAATAAGGGGGGTGGTCCAACCAAGAACATAAGATTCAGATACTGAAATGTACACGCAACGTTATGCTCGCAAGAAATATAGTGCAGCCATCGAAACTGTAACTAGTTACCATATTTCCCGAACTTCCAGATGCTGTAGAACTTACAATCCAAGACAACAATGACTCTTTTGGAGACCAGGTAGCACATGCAGTACCGTCTAGTGGCCATACTTCTGAAACTCCCACTCGCTGTTATCTGTACAAATTAGTAAATTAACTGTAAGCTACGGCATCAAACAATTTCATGATTCCGGCATGAATAGAGAACAGCAACAGGTCAGTGTATTACCAAGAGGGCAGACTTGACGGGTTTTCAGCCATCTGCTGATGCAGTGAAAATGGAAAGCATGGTTGCAAACACCTGAATGAATCAAAGAAAAAGGGTAAAATGTATTTTATTTATTTTCGCTCTCAATGACAAAAACATCCACTAAACAGATAGAGCATCAGTATGTCAAATAAGGAAGATTGATTAATAATAATAAGTTTAATTTTCACTAAAACATTCACTTCGCAATTTAAACATATTGAAGGAAGCAGCCATTACAATATAAGTAACAACCAATGAAAAAAGAATTAATATACCAACTTTCAATTTTCCAGATGCATGTGGTACATTTGCAGTGAACTATTAAGGCAAACAAGTAAAGCATTACAGTTATACTCAACCAAAAACTGGATGAACATTGTAGGGCAGAAACTATCAAAAAGTCCGGCAGCATTAGTTAAATGGACATTGTATGATAGACAATATCAAAAAGTATGCTGCAGCTCAACAGAACAGTGGGGCCTGTGGAAACTAATGTTTTAGATTAATTAAGTACATGTCAAAGCACATTTTAGTTTGTCCAGGCAATGCTAGTATCTGATAACATGCAATGTCATCGAGTATCTTCAGAGGAGAAATATAAATTGCAACACCAAACGGAAACACACACCCAACATATTAGATATAGTACCCAAATTTATATCATTTCAGTAAAATCCTTGATCAAAAATAAAGAAAATGTAAAGTGTGATTTAACCTCTGTAATATACTTAAATACAACGTGTTTTTAAATTATATTCTGCCCCATTCATGCATCAAGTAAGTCATTTATTAAAAATCAAAGGACAACAATGAAAGGACACTATAACACTCAAAACTCTGATTAATTAACCATATATCGATCATACATATTATTCTGCACAAAATCAAAGAAGACCAGTTGCGTTAAGTTTCCAGAATTCTACCAATACAGTTTTTCGGGGGCAAAATCTATTGGATAATTGGATAGAGCTATAATTCATACATCTCACAGGTTATACCCGGAAGGGGTGGCATTTTCCACAAAGGACTATTCCACTTAGACAAAGAGCACTTTTAGGGGACAAAAACATTTCCTTCAAGCAAATTGGCGGAAAACAAAAGGATGAGGGACATTACTCGTTGGAACGCAAATCAATATTGGGAAATGCCACATAATATAATTAAAGGAATGCTACTAAAAGAGAATCATGAAGAAACATAAAAAAGCAAATCATACAATGAAAGCATGTATAAACAGATTTCATAGTTGAGTTTTCAATATCCATATTGCTTTTAGACAAATATCCCTATAACAAAGAATCCTATAAAAATCTATTGATTCAACACTGTTGTCCCCAGAAAACACCACAAATCATCCTTCATTCATAATAAAACAAATGGCATCAATACCCAAACAACATTACCACAACGAAGCCAAAAATTATAATAATTCAAAATACGTTATTAGCAATACACCATACCCCAAGCAACTGTGCATTCTTCACTCGTAGCACTAGCTTGATTCGCCTGACACTCGATGCCTAGTTACAAAACCAGAAAGATTAACCAACAAAATTGAGTCTAAAAAAACCTCAACAGATTCACCGAAGCATAAGAAGTCTCACAGAGATCCATAATATGATTCCTGCAAATCGCACAATTATCGACCACGATATCTGCGCACCAGCAATTAGGGCTTACTTAGAAACAATCTCAAATGTCAAAAACACAATCCGCGTACACACAAAATTCCGAACTAAACCAAACAACAGATATTACAGTTCGAATTCGATTATATACCCCAAGCCCACAGAGCGACGGCGTTCCATTTCTTGATCTCGAATCGCTTCGCTTTCTTGGAGGAGGAGGAGGACGGATTACCGGTGGAAGGACCCGCGGCGGACGATCCCTCGCCGGCGGGAACCATATTCACGTCGGAATCGAGAGATGCCATCTTCGACTGACTAGGGTTTGCTGCGTTCCTTGATTTTGCTTCGAGTTTACTTTTTCGTCTGTTTTGAAATATGCAGTTTTCCAAAATTAGAATAAAGCAGATAGATATTTATACGCCTTTATTTATTTTATTAATTATTTAGGTGGGCCTAAGCCCAGGCCCGTTAAAAGGCCCAATTCACGTTCTCTTTTAATTACACAATACCCCTCACGCCACAAATAAATGAGCGTACATATTTGTAAAGTCAAGCAAAATATTTTGAATAATTAAATCAAAATTTAAATGTGGTTCATATTTTTAAAATTTTCGAATTGAAAATTTCTAAAGGAAATTTTTGATCAATTTGGATCGATATTATAACAATTCAAACAAATCTAAAATTTATAATACTATTTCTATATATGTTTCAACTTTTACCTACTTCCTCGGTCCCATCGAAAGGTTGTCATTTTTTATTTTTATCTGTTCCAAAACAAAATTACCATTTTCTAATTTAGTAATTGTATTGTCTACCTAACTTAATAAATACCCCTTCTAACTTACACTATATTACACAAATGTCGTTACTTTTATATTATACAATACTAATAGGGATATTTTCGTCTTTTTTACTACAACTCGATATAATACTAATATTTAAAAATTTACGTGCAAAAAGTAAACGGTAACCTTGCACCGACACAGAGGGAGTATTTATTTATTTTTTTGTTGTTGTATATTAAAATATAATACTCTGATATTCTAAAATTGTGTTTATATTTTTAATATTATTTTTTTTATAAAAAATATTATTTCAAGTAAAATATTATACCATTTTCTATAGTTTTTTTATTATAAAAAGTAAAAATTGAAAAAATATATCAATCAAAATCTTATATATTAAAAGTTGTACCTAAAAATTTTGAACACAAATTTGAATAATAAAGAGGTTATTAATTTATTTATTATTATTATTTTTATTTATTATTGAAAATATTAAAAGATAATTTTAGTATTTGTGTCAAACAAAAAAAAAAGAATAATTTTTTTATAAAAAATTAAAAATATTTTGATATTATATATAAATTGTTTTTGCTATAGTATAAAATGAATAATTTATAAATTATGTGATGTGGCAAATATAGAAGTGTATATTCTATTTTTTTATTTTAATAATGTAATAAAATAAAATATGAGGTAGAATTAATATAATTAATTATTTTTTATTTTTTTTTTTAAAAAATAGAATGTATCTGAGATAGGTGAAATATAATGAGAATTTGTACATATTTCATATTTGATTTTTTAATTAATATTTATTTTTAAATATTTAAATACTAACTAGTAATCCGTGTACCAAGTATTTTGTATACTAAATTATATGTGATGAAATCACTATGATCATAAGTGGCTTTATTTTGGGTCTATTAGTATGATCATAAGTTAAATTAGCTCAAATATTAGCTGATATAAATACTTTTAAAGAGTGATCTAGGGTTTGGTGTTTTATCATTTTAAATTCATATCAACATTATTTACCTTGTATATTTTTTAAATAATTTTTTTCATAAAATATTATATTAAAATATCATTTAAATAAAAAATCAAATCAAAATAACTGGCGAACAAATAACTAGTCATTGCATGAAGTTTGAGCTCTTGTCCATTCACGAGAAAAATCTATGTATTACTATAATTTTATACTCATTCTGTCTTTTAACAATCAATCTATTTTTTTTTTTTTTGATCCGTCTTGTAACAAAGTATTAATTTTATATTTTTTTAGTAATTATATTTTTTACTAATATTAAAGATATCCTTACACTAATCATTATAATAAATATTGTATCATTTTATCATATAATTATATAATTCATTAAAATAACTATGTATTATAATTCTATTTCATAAACTAACACACCCTCGTCACGCTATTACTAATAAAAGTATATTATTTCTTATGATTTAGTAAGATGACCATTTTAGTTAAGAGTTATATTACTTTTAAATAGTATAAATTGGTAAATTATCAACAATAACTTATGATATTATTTATTTATATATATAAATAAGAATTTTGAGTTGATTGTAAAATATTAAAAATTTAATTAAATTAATTTATATTTGTTAAATAGATTTAAAATAAATAAATTTACTTAAAAAGTTATATATTATAAGAAAGATAAAAGAAAATAATAATAAAAAAAATATGTTGTGTTTTATATATATAATTTGTCAAACAACAAAAAAAACATCAACGAGAATGTATCTAACAAAATTGAAAAAAAAAAACAATATACTTTCTGAAAATCAATTTAAGAACACAATCAATCTATGCAAAAAATCAGAATTCAAGATTAGACAACGCAGAACATGAACTTCCCTCTTTTGACAGTCTTCCGGCGAACACACCCAGTCATGCGCCGCAGCTCCGGCAACTTCCTCTTCCGGCGATTTCCAAGCGACTCGACAAAGGATAGGGGAAACTATTCTTACGGCTCAGTCTACAACCTAATAATTCACATTTAGGGACTAACTCAACCGCCTCCAAACAAAACCCCAAACCAACGGACTCGATCGATCCTAAAGTCTAATCGACCGATTTCCCCCAAAACCTCACAAAAGCACCCAGATGAACAACTTACCGAATGAATCGAACAAGAACGACGGCGATTTCGGCGAAGAAGAGAACCCAAAACTTACAGAGAAGAAACCCTAAACCCTAAAGATGAACCAAAGGGAGAGAAAATCAGACTCTAAATAGCGCAATACACTATCTAATGAGAAAACGGGTGGTTTGGGGGAGTTATAAGGTGTCGGTCGGGTCGGCTCGGGTCAAAGGGTTTTGAGTTGCGGGTTAGACTTGGTATTGAGTTGGGCCAAAATATATCTAACAAAATCCTTAGTGATAAGACATAAAGAATATTTTTTAATAAAATATTATATTAAAATAATATTTAAACTAAAATAGAAATTTGAGGATCAATTTCATATACAAACCAAACAAACCCATTATTACATATTTTCATGGATTTTGTTTGAAATGAAGATATTAGTATGAATTTTGATTTAAATAATACTCCTTTAATCTGATATTTTTGAAAAACAAATCATACTTCTTTGATTTTATTTAAAATTATTGTAATTTTGATTTTAAATAGAAACCAATTGCACCCCATCTTCAACTTTGATTTGGAAATATTTTTACAATATTTTTTTTTATTATTTTAAACTTAAATTAATATTACTCATCTTATACGATTTTTAATAATAAAATATAATTTTTTATTTTATAAAATATTATATCAAAATATTGTTTAAATAAAAACTAAAATCAATACCTCATTTTAAATCAATTTTAAATTACAATCAAATGTTTCAAAAATATTAAATTAAAATTTTATGTTTTATATTATCCAACCTAATTATATAGTAAATGCACCCTACGTATATTTTTATCATATTAACATTATTTATTATTATTATTATTATTATTATTATTCTTAATCAGATTCTCATCCATAACCAAATTGTTATCCGGACAATTATAAGTTATAAGCGTGTTGGGCTATTTTCGGAAACCTCACGGCAGATTTGTTTGTTAGCTTGCTTTTTCCTAAAAAAATAAATAAATAAATAAATATTTTTTTATCTCGGTATAACCAAAATTCATCATTTTTTGTCAGAATATAAATATCTTATCAATTTTGGTTTTAATATAACCAAAATTTATCATTTTTTATTCCAATGTAACCAAAACTCATTATTTTTGGTCTCAATATAAATTTTTTTATCAATTTTAGTCCAAATATAACCAAAATTCATAATTTTTTGTTCCAATATAATCAAACCTTATTTTTTTTTGTCCCACCATCACCAAGCCAACGAAAAATGTTGACGTGGACTTGCAAGATTGTGCAATTTCTTCAAATATAAATATAAGGTTTGATTTTTTTTCACGTCAATATTTTCCGTTGGTTTGTTGACGGTGGAACCAAAAAAAATAAGATTTGATTATATTGAGACAAAAAATGATGAGTTTTGGTTATATTGTGACTAAAATTGATAAAAAAAATTTATATTGGGACAAAAAATAATGAGTTTTGGTTATATTGGGACAAAAATGATGAGTTTTGGTTATATTTAGACCAAAATTTGATAAGATTTTTATATTGAGACCAAAATTGATGAATTTTTGTTATATTGTGACCAAAAATGATTTTTTTCCCTTTTTTTTTTCTTTTTCTTTTTCAAAATTTAAAATTCTACTCTCTCCGTCCCGATTTTTTTACTGTAGACACATAAATTTAGGAGATGTATAATAATAAATATTAAAAAATTAATTAGTAAAAATAATTGTCGTATCATAAAAATAATCATATATTAAGATTAAGATGACTAATTAGTCTAATTAAAATTTAAAAAATTTAAAATTTAAAATTTAAAATAAGATTAAAAGTGTATAATATTTTTCCAACAAAAGAAAGTGACAGAATATGTAAGACAAATATAAATAAAAAGATAAACACACGTAAGTATAATTTATTCAATACGATTTTCAATAAAAATATACTCATTTCGTCTGTCTTTAATGGTCACATTTACATTTTGTGTTATTGTACATAAAATATTAAAAATATTGTTATATTTGTATAATATTTTGTACAAATATCATTATATTAGTGTTATAAGACATTTATAAAAGTATTTTTGCAATTTTTCTTTAATTTATTCTACATTTTTATATAATGATTAATATTCAAATATCAATATGCAAAAATAAATTAGACTTTTAAACACGGACGAAAGTATTTTTTTTACAAAATATATTTTAAATTAAAATCAAACAAACCTACAACAGTCATTCAAAAATGTTATGACAATGATCTTTGGAATTTTCAGAAACATTAGCCAAGGAATTGAAAATTCTTTGATATGATAGATCTTGATTTTTATGGGATCAAGACAAAATAAATTGACCACCTATTATTACTCCCTTTCTTCCATAAATATAATCTTAATTAGATTGGATATGAGATTTAAAAAATATTGATATTATAGTGGCAGTTGGTAAAAAGTATGAATAAAAGACTTTTTTGCCCTTGTGAATGTATTAGAGTAAAAAATAGTGATAATTGTGTATTAAAAATGAAAAAAATAGGATGTTGATATAATTATTTATGAAAATAAAACTATTGTTTTGGGACAGACAAAAATGATAAATAAGACTATTGTATTGAGACATGATGAGTATTATTATTAGTAGTAGTGGAAAAAATAGTAAAGAATTTATTGCGTGGTTTATGAAATTTGCTGAAAATATTTTATAATCTTAAAATTTTGTTTTACCTATTCGTAATTTAAACAATATTGTAAAGAATACCTCACTCAATAGAACTTAAATAAATAAATAAATAAAAACATTTAGTATTATATAATAAAATATTTATAAATTATAAAATTGAAAATGTGATTAAAATGTCGAATTCTATTTTTAAAAAAGAAATGACAAATTACGTACAAGTGACGAAAATAAAAAATAAAAATAAATGAAATACGTGGGACGGAAGAAAGATAAACCTATTATTCCTTCCATCCCACTAAAAATGTCTACGTTACTGTACACACAAGAATTTAGATATAGTATAATAATAAGTAATTAAAAAATATATTAGTAAAAAAATAATTATTATATATAAAAATAATTATAAATCACGAATAAAATATCTAAATAATTTAATTAAAATTAAAAAATTTTAAATTTTAAATTTTAAAATATAATTAAAATACATAATTATAATTATATTTAAAAATGATAGTAAATGAAATAATAAAAATGAAAAAAAAAAAAAACAAAGAATATGTTTACCTAAGAAGTTTTTATTTTGAATTTTGATTTTAAACAGTAAAATTTTAAATTAAAATAACTGTTTGACGTGATATAAATATATATTAATGTAATATTTTAAATATAAAATTAAACTTTAGTATAATAAAATAAATAAAAATTAAATATTTAATTTGATATTTTAGAGAAAAAATAAAATTAAAATAATAAAATTAAAATTAAAATTTTACAAGTAAATGAAGCCAAATATTTTACATAAAGGAATGTCAATAAATAATTTTTATACTAGTATGATAATGAAAACAAAATAGGCATAATTATTACAGAGTACGTAGTACTTAAAAAATGAAAAAAGAACTTGTGGACAAAAAAGGACACGTCACGTGGTACTGCAATAAATTATTGTACGTGGTACAAAATGAAATGGCACTGTCTATCACATGGTTGAATCAGATTCTTTGATATCAAATCCATCGTAAAAAAAAAAAAACACGAAGTAATAGCTGCTCCCTCTATCTGTTTCATAATTAAATATTTATTTATTTTTATACATAATTTTAAAAATATTAATATTATATTAAAATAAAAATAAAATAATAATTAAAATAAAATAATGACTAAAATAATCTTATTAGTACGTGATATGAAGGTAATGACATTTGTGTAATATATTGTAAGTTATAAAAGATTTGTAATGTTAGGTAAATAGTACAGTTATAAAAAAAGAAATAGATACTCTGTTATGGGATGAATTAAAATAAAAAAAATAAATATTTTGTTATGAGACGGAGAAATTTTGTTTTTTTAACCAAATTTCACCCCATTTTACCATTTGAATTTTATGTTTTTCGAATTTTTTTTTTAATCTCATAAATGTTTTATTAAGTATTTCATCCGTCTCATATCTATATATCTATTTACTTTTTACACAAAATTTTATAAATATTAACATTATATTAGAATAAAGTATAAATAAAGGTAAAAATACTAAATTACCTCTATTAGTATTGGATGATAGGAATGTAATGATATTTATGTAATATATTGTAAATTGGAAGATATTTATAATGTTAGGTAGATGATACAATTATTAAAAAAGGAAATCGATACTTTGTTATGGAACGGACCAAAATGAAAAAATTGATAGATTGTTAAGAGACGGAATGATTATAAAATTATAATTTTTTAAAATTACTCTTAATTACTCACTCCGTCCACGTAAAAAGTAAATATTTACTTTTGGCGCTGTATTTTAAAAATAATATTATTTTAATTATAATAGATAATTAAAAATTGAATAATGAAATTTTTACCCTTGTTTTTTGTGCAATGATGTGATGTAAAGTAAAGTTGTGTTTGGTACAGAGAAATAAGACCAGAGAAATGAAAATGATATCATTTCTCTTGTTTGTTTGAGTCAATAGAAATGGAACTTGAGAAATAAATCATTTCTATTTCTCTGTTTTCATTTCTCTGCTATATGCAGAGAAATGGAGAGAAATGATGTTGCAGTATATATATTTTTTAATTTTTTAAAATTTTTTTGTACTATTTAATTTTTATAATTTTTTAAAAATTATATTATTTTAATTTTACAAAAAACAAACTTAATTTATTTTTAAAGTATTTAATTTTTACGATATTTTAAAAAATTGTACTAAAATATAATCTTAAAAAACATCGTATATAATTTATAATTTTTTATTAAAAAATTTACCAAAAATATTTTTCATGAATTCTCATTCGTTAAAACTCTATTTTTATCGTATTAATAATTTATTTTTGTTTGCTCATTCATATATCTGTATTTTTTTTTAGATTTTCCAAATCAATTCTCTGTTTTATCAAACAACAGAATTAATTCTCATTTTCTACTCAATTCCATTTCTCTCCAATTCTATTATCTACTATCATTTCTTTGTAATTCAATTCTATGTACCAAACGCCCCCTAAGGGTGTGTTCTTTTGGGAGATTTCCCCAAATTTCTACAATTCATCTAATTTTTTCCCTCCAAAAATATCAAATCAAACATCTATTTTTCATTTTTTTTTATATTATACTAAAAATCAATTTTACATTCAAAATATCACATCAACACATATTTATATCACATCATACAACTATTTCAATTCAAAAATTTTACTATTTAAATCTCAATTCAAAATCCAAACCCCAAACAAACACACCCTAAAAGCATTTGTGAAAAAAAATTAGGTATTTAATGAAATGTTACTTTGTAATTATACGTCACAAAATAAATATATATATACTTTCTAAATGGACCGATGTAGTATATAATAAAACTAATACTAAATTAACTATTAATAAAAGATAAAATAGTTTTTTTAATATTAATAATATATTGTACTATTATTTAATCTTATCTATAAGAGGAAGATCAATCATCTGCTACTATATCCGATTATACGAACTATAATAATGAATAGTAAACATGTGATTCACCTAATTCTGCAAAGTAAATACATCTAAATAAATACTCCCTCCATCTCACATATCATGTCCGTTGACGTTTCTGTCCCATATATTATGTCATTTTCTTTTTTTTAAAATGATTACACACTTTAATCTCATTTTAAAATTTTTAATTTATTTTTTTTAAAATTTTAATTAAATTAATTAGTTATCTTAATCTTAATTTATAATTATTTATATTATAGAATAATTATTTTCACTAATATATTCTTAATTATCTACTAATTATACCCATCCTAAAATTTTAATTAAACTAATTAGTTATCTTAATCTTAATTTATAATTATTTATATTATAGAATAATTATTTTCACTAATATATTCTTAATTATCTACTAATTATACCCATCCTAAAATACCGTGTCTACAGTATAGCAGACACGGTATGTGAAACGGAGGTAGTAATATTTTTCTCGTTTTGTCATTCCCTAAACTTATGCACAATTCATTTACAACGTTATTCAATCACAACAATATTATTATTCTTATTTTTCTATTTTTTTTTATCAATTATTTAATAATTTTTTTTATAATACCTTATTTTACTTTTATCTACGGTATTATACTTCAATAATAAAATGTTACTATTATTTCTATTTTTGTTTTCGACCAAACATAAGTAATATTCCAAGGATGGAATATGAAGGGTGTGTTTGTCGAGGGGTTTTGAATTTTGAGTTGAAATTTGAATAGTAAAAATTTTGAATTTTAATAGTTGTATGATGTGATATAAATAGGCGTTGATGTATAATTTTAAATATAAAATTGATTTTAATATAATATAAAAATAAAAAAATAAGCGTTTGATTTGATATTTGTAAAGAAAAAAAAAAAGGGATAAACAGTATATTTAAAATCTAATCCCCGACAAACACACCCGAAATAAATTTGAAATTATAACGGAACACAACAAATGTACTTCGGTACGGACAAGGTACTTTTAATCACAGCCGTTGATTTTCATCCATCGTCCAATCACTAACCTGTTCTATTGGCTCGCTCGTGATCCTCTAGATTCCATTCCACAGAGGCGACAAATTCCAACCAATTATATCTCTCCACGTCATCATACATACTGGCCCACAAGCCAATTAGATACCAAAATAAGTAGTATAAATAGTTCTACTCTGCTCTGTGCAATCTACCGATCCACTAGAGTAACTGTCAACTGCACAATCCACATGGCTCATACGTTGCAGCTCCTCCTCGTCGCCGGATTTCTGATCGCCTGCGCCGCCGCGTCACTCCGCGGATCGGATTTCCTCGAGGAAAATCGTATCAGACAGGTTGTCGATGGCATGCACGAGTTGGAGACCTCTATACTCGGAATTGTAGGCAACTCGCGCCGCGCTCAATCGTTCGCTCGCTTTGCTCGTAGGTCAGTTAGTGTTTTGGACTTTTCTAGTTTTGATTTTTGACTTATTTATTTACTTTGGTGCTTTGTGTTTGTGGTTTGTTGAGGATTCGGATAGATGATTTAGGTTTAGAGTGATTTGGTTTGTTGATGGATTTTCTCTGGTAAAAGGTACGGGAAGAGGTATGAGAATGCTGAGGAGATTAAGAGAAGGTTCAAGATCTTCTCAGAGACGTTGAAAAAGATCAGAGTGCATAACCAGAAGAATCTGTCTTACACTTTGGGAATTAACAGTATGTATATTCTCTGTTTTTGCACGTGTATGTGCATACAAATATTCTATGAACTTCAGTTGATGACATTGATGTTGCTTTGTTTTATTTGCATGTTTACTTGTTTACTATTTGATGCCTCAAGCTTTTGTGCGATGAAAATGCTGATGAAGGAAGTAAAAGGATTCAATTTGTAATGATAGTTTCCTACATTCATACAAATGTCCATTTTAAGAGTTCATGACAATAATGATTGGAAGATTCTTAGAGGAATGCTGTTTTTGGTAATATATATATATATAATATGTTTGCTTGTCATATATAATATCTGCAAACATGACACAAGCTATTACAACAAACTTTTTTCCATCTGACATTTCTCTGCGTTGATCAAACTACACAATGCTGATTTTATCATGCATGTTATGGAGGTTATTAATCAGATTGAATCCTTCTTGTTTCTTCTAGCATTACACTTTCGAACAGTTAATACGAAGCTTATTGAGTTTATAAGCTGTTTTCATACGTTAGAAGTACTTGACTCTTTCTTGATGATGCGTTTGCAATGGACAGAGTTTGCTGATATGACTTGGGCTGAGTTCCGCAAGCATAAGTTGGGAGAACCTCAAGAGTTTGACTGCAGCGATTCAAGAAAAGGCAATCACAAGCTAACTCACGAAAACCTTCCTGAATCGGTAATCCTTCAGCTAATTAGACTAATGTCCATTTCACACTGTTTTAATTTTGCATATTGGAAACTTGTGATGTTTCTTAGATCTGCAAACAGTTTTTCGTTGTAATTATATTTTCTAAGAGATAAGATTCTGATAAGGGCTAGGCTTTGCAACAATATAATGCTAAGGAACTATAATATGAACAAAATCTAAACCTTACTGATTCATTCAATTTGAGATGGGTTGCAGGTAGACTGGAGGAACTCTGGCATCATCGGCCCTGTCAAAGATCAAGGTCACTGCGGATCTTGCTGGGCTTTCAGGTAGGTTCAACTTGGTCTATGGAGACGATGATTAGATCGAAAACTAGTTTTTTTTGTTTAATTAATCACTATGTAAGTCGTCGTACTCTACAGCGCAACGGGAGCACTTGAGGCTGCATATGCTCAAGCATATGGTGTGAACATTTCTCTGTCGGAGCAACAGCTCGTTGATTGCGCTGGAGCATTCAACAACTTTGGTTGCAATGGCGGATTGCCTTCTCAAGCCTTTGAATACATAAAAGACAACGGTGGGATCGACACTGAAAGTTCATATCCCTACACGGCAGAGGATGGCATTTGCCAATACAAACCCGAAAATGCTGTAGTTAAAGTACAGGACTCCGTCAAAATCACTATGGTAACATAATCTGCTTCATCCCTTTTGTCATAATCTGCTATGTTCGATTGGATTCAATACTCCTGACAATGTACATGAAAATAACCACAGTACGCCGAGGACGAACTCAAGAATGCAGTGGCATTAGTTCGTCCGGTCACCGTGGCTTTTGAGGTTGTTGACGACTTCCGTTCATACAAAAGCGGCGTTTACACCAGCGATGAATGCTTCGCCGAACCGTGGGTGAGTTCTTCGGCATGGTGCCCCCAGGCCGGGTACCATGTTTGTTGTCTGAAAATTAAAACTGAGAAAGGGATTGGATTGGATTTTTTTTTTGGCAGGATGTGAACCATGCTGTTCTTGCGGTTGGCTATGGAGTCGAAGACGGCGTCCCGTATTGGCTGATCAAGAACTCGTGGGGCGACGATTGGGGCGATAACGGCTACTTCAAGATAGAGATGGGCGAGAACATGTGTGGTATGGTTCGATCTTACGTTTTCGCCGTTTTAGTTGAGATGATCGTTTAATATTATATTTGAGAATTTTGATTGAATTTAATTTTTACGTGAGATTGTTATTATTTTTGCGTACTTTGCTCGAACTCGATTCTCTTGCAGGCGTCGCCACCTGTGCATCGTACCCGATTATCGCGTAGTCGGCGGCGGCGGCGGCGGCATGTTGCTGGAGAACTTGATGCATATGTATCTATCTATGTATGGTTGTAATAAAGGTGAAGAAGAACCAGGCAGGTATTGGTATGGTACGTTCTATGTTGTCCCTTCTTCTTCATGCATTATTAGCTTGGAATAATTCCTGTATCATTTTAATGATAATTAATTATTGAGGAATTAATATTATGTTTAACTTGAAGTATTAAAATTATTATAGTTTATTGCTATATTTAATAAAATATATGCAATAAACGAAATAACTATAACAAAAAGATCACAAAGGAACAAATGATTTTATAGCCCATTTTTTAAAGTTATGTTTGTAATGATTACGTCTGATTTATCAATATTACGGTTCAATACAAGCAACTGCTTATGTTTTTATAGGACGTAGGTCGTGATTGTGATTGTTTTCACAGTTGAATACGTACATATGAATTACAGTTTGTTCTTATCTTATAATTATGATGCATTGTTTTGATTGTTTTCTAATTTGTTGCATTCTTCTAGATGACTTTCAATTGATCTAGTTTGAGATTGTCGCCTTCTTTGTACTATGTTCTTTTGCAATAATATTTCATTTATTGTATTAAAACGAATTTTTTTTAATTTTTTTTTGCATCTTAATCCTAATTGAGAACCCTCTATTATGTGCATACTTTATATATAGATATATTAGATAGTGAAAAACGTCAAACAATATATTGTTTATTGAATTTTAAAATATTTTACATGACTTAGAAAATGTTGAGTTTTGTTTTCAATCTCATTACATATCAAGTTGTATAATATAGTATAAAATGCTCCTTATTCTAATTTATTTCAATTACAAATAATTTCAATATTTTAATACAAAAGCGATCACTGATACATTTTATCCAAATTCTTTAACATTTGGAAACAAGATTCTAATGGTTTAACTCCTCTCTAAACCTTGAAAAGTCATTATAAAAAATAATATTTTATCCGACTCATTGAAATGTTGTCATTTTTCATTTTCGTCCGTCTCAGAACAATGTTATCATTTTCTATTTTAGTAATTGTACTATCTACCTAACATAATAAATTCTTCCAACTTACAATATATTTCACAAACGTCATTACTTTTATATTATACGATAATAATAATAGGGGTATTTTTATTTTTTATTTTTTATTACTGCAACCCAATATAATATTCATATTAAAAAATATACGTACAAAAAATAAATATCACCCTTTCAATGGGACGTAGGGAGTAATTAGGTTCACACAATTTTATAAATTATTTTTCACATGTTTTAGGCACACAATATTTTTTTCTATCTACTTTTCTAGCATTGAATAATATACATGTTCACACAATTTTATAAATCGAATACAATATATTGGGTGATTTTGACTTGGTCATTCGGTTTCAGTGAAGGGAGATGAAATTTTAATTTTTTGGATATCTTTGTTGCTTATTGAGCGATTGATTGAGATTGAAATTAGAACAAATAAGTTTTGCTCGTCCATGTGAACTCTATTTGCTGCGTCGAAATTCAAGTCATGAGAGGATGAAACCTTGTTCATTAGATTATGTTCGAATAATACATGCCGTTGGATCAATTGTTGTAATCTAGTAGTGTTATTAATGAATCAACATGCTGCTGATAGTTGTGGGTCAACATTAAATCTCACATGACATATTATATATATATATATATATTGAAAATTGGATCATTTTTTTTTTTTTGAGCAGAAATACCCTATATATATTTAAATTTTATTTGGTATGTTTGATTATTACTTGGAATAATTTTTTTTTTTGTGTGTGTGTTTTTTCTTATTATTATTTTTAAAAGGAGAATTATGAAATTATAATTTTTAAAGTTGAAATTGTGTTATAAATATATATATTTTTAAAAAATAATACAATATATTGTTGGAGAAATTTTATTTAAAATGCACCAAATACATTTCTAATTCGTATATCATATAGCAATTTATAAATCACCGTAATTAAAATCAATTAAATCAAATAAATTATTGATTATTTCTATAATTAAATCATATATAATTTAAGTCAATCAAATAAATTATTAATTATTTCATAATTATATTACCTAATCTAATTAATCAAATGAACCAGAACAACTTATATAATTATACATTATTATTTGCTCATATTTAGATAAAATATACTCTATGTATTTTCCTAACATTCATTAGATGAAAATAAATTAGAGTACGTTTCGGAATTATTCCTTAAAATTTATCTAAAAAAAATATATTAATGCATGCATGTCATTTATTGAGAATAAAAAATTACCTAATAAAATATTAGAAAAGTTAAACTATTTTTTAGTTCTTTTATCATTTTAGAATTTCGAGTAAACTCTGAAAATAGTTTCGCAAGTAAAATTTTTTAGCTAAAATGATTTTCTGGTGCCCGACTCGTCACGCTGACTCGCCGTTATTGACGCGGCTGACACCGAAGGTTGAGCTCGCCGTGACATTCGGCGAAGCCGATGGAATAAGGCGAGTACCAATTAAACACAAACAGGGGAACCGGAGGGAAATACCTAGAATCCAAAGACAAACCCGGAGGACTGGAGTAAAGGAGAAAAGCAACAATTTAACCTTTAATCCGGAGGTTGAATAGTTCTTTATACCTCACACCGGGGGAAAGCTTGAATGCAAATATTGTGTAGTTCGTGTTCCCCTCTTCCGGGGGAAAGGGGGGTCCAAACTCCTGAATGCACGAGCTGCGGCGAGGGCTTCCCTCTTGCTCCCTCCCTGCCCCAGGGGATAGGTAAAGGGAGTTATCAAGAGGGAAAAACAAGAAAAAAAAAAAAATTTATTAGTAGCTAATCCGAGGGCAGCAGCTTCAATTTTACATGTGGATTTTTTATTTTTATTTTTATTTTTTTTACAAAGTGTCTTGTTAAACTATTTTTTTAGTCTTGTACATGATATTTTTTTTATTATTTTTAGGACATTTAAGTGGACTTTGTTTCAAAATAGTCTTGCAAGTAAATTTCTTTCGCTAAAATGGTCCTACAACGTGGCATCTACGTGGCAATGCCCTGTCATCCGCGTCAGTGCCACATCAGTGACGGCTGCTAGCGTGACGAGTCCGGCACTAAATGACCATTTTAGCAAAAAAAATTTATTAGATATGAAACTGAAAAAAAAAAAAAAAAAGTTTAATTTCAAATATATACAAGAGAGTGAAAGGAAAAAAAGCTTATTTGTTTGACTTCTCAAAGTCATTTATGTAATAATTTAATTTTAGTAAATTTATTTTTAATGTATTTAAGAAATATAAATTAATTATTTGTGTGTTTGTTTGGGGTTTGGATTTTGAGGTTGAATTTGAATAATAAAATTTTTGACGTGAAATAGTTGTATGATATGATATAAATAGGTTTTGAATATAAAATTAATTTTAGTATAATATAAAAAATAATAAATACTACTATTTATTTGATTTGATATTTTTTGAGAGAAAAATGTTAGTGAATAGTAGAAATTCTACCAAATCTAACAAACAAACACACCCAAATTAAATTTATAACATTTTAAGCATGAGAATTTTTTTTATAATTATTTTAATAATAAATTAATTTTATTTACATTTAAAACTCCTTAATATTTTATAAAATTAGTTTATATTAACCGTAAATATATTTATATTTTTTATTTACTTTTATCATAAAAAAAATTTATTTTATATTCATATTGTATATATTTTATAGAATATGTAAAATATTTAAATATGTATTTTAAATTTTTTTAACTATATATGTTAATTTTTATTTTAAAAATATCAATAATATTACTCACATAAAAAAAAATAATACTCCCTCCATATTAAAAGAGTTTGAAAGACATGAATTATGAAGTATTAAGGTTAATTAGTTTTGTAAAATTATTTGAAATTATATTTTTTTTTATATAAGGTATAAAGAATAGTAAATAATATAAAAATAATAAATTTGTGTATTATAGTATTTTTTAAAAAAATATTATTTTTTTACAAAAACAAACAAACCTTATTCTTTAATTTACTAATATTAATAGAAAAATATCTTAGAAATTTTTAGATAGGAAAACACAAACGTGCTTTAAAAATAATTGAACACGCACACAAAAATTTGATATGGACATTTGTAAGTGGACAGTGCCATTTCATTTTGGACCATAAAATATCATTTCATTAAGGTTTTTTTTTTTAATTTTTAAAATAAATTGATTTTTTGTGTGTAATATAAAGACTACGTTGGTAATATAAATATTATATTTTTAATGATTGATTTTTTATTAATGAATAATATATAGAAATTTCTCCGTCCCAGATACCATGTTCACGTTGCCGTTTCTGTCCGTCCTACATACCATGTCACTTTTCTTTTTTGGAAAATGATTACACACTTTAATCTATTTTTAATTTTTTAATTTTTTTTTAATTTTTAATTAAACTAATTAGTTATGTTAATCTTAATTTATAATTATTTATACTATAGAATAATTATTTTCACTAATACATTCTTAATTATCTACTAATTACACCCCTCCTAAAATACCGTATCTACAGTGTAGCAGACACGACATCTGGGCGAAAAAAGTATAATATTAATGTGTGTGAATATTGATTTTTTTTTTAATAATATTTATGAAAAATTATTTTATTAATAAATGTTGAGTGAATAGACCGAGTGTATCATGCAGTACCACGTTTGACGTGTCCTTTTTGCAACACTTTTTTTTTTTCTACTATGTATCCATATGTTCGAAATGATTTGGCCTATTTTGTTTTTATTAACGATATTTATTATTTTGTATAGATATTTTAGATTTAGTATATTATTTTGTTTAGATTAGTTTGATTTAATTTATTTTTGATTTGTTAGTTTTAGATTATAATTTGTTCTTATCTATAAGTTAAATTTTTTTTATATTAGTATGTCAAATTTGTTTTATAGTATCTATATACAGGTGATCAATAATAATACAGTCTTTGAATTTTTTTAAAATATTTTAATATTTTTGTAAGGAATAGTAGATATGTTTGATTAGTAATACAATATTTTATTTTTTTGGGATAAACTGTTCTTTAGTCTAGCAATTGGACCCTTTATCATTTTAGTCTCGCAAGTGGAGTCTGTCGCAAACTACTCCAATAAGTGAAAAATTTTCGTTGTTTTAGTCTTCCGGCGCCGGAGATGCCCGCGTGGCTCATCGGAGGTGACGTGTACGCCAGGTGTCCCGCCAGGTCAGCGACACCTGGCGGACACGTGGATTTTTTTTTTAATTGGACCAAATAAAAAAATAAAAAAATACAAATAAAATTAAAAATAAATTTAAAATAAGTTTTAAAAAAATCCACGTGTGACCTGGCGAACACGTCACCTCCGGCGAGCCACGCGGGCGTCTCCGGCACCGGATGACTAAAACAGCGAAATTTTTTTACTTATGGGACTAGTTTGCGACGGGCTCCGCTTAGGGGACTAAAATGATAAAGCGTCCACTCGCTGAACCAAAAATAACAGTTTACCTTATTTTTTTTAATGACATGTTATTTAAAATCATATAATTTAATAAATATAATAATATTGAAAAATAGTGATTTCAAATAAAAAGTAAATACACTTATATTTGAACATTATTATAAATAATAATAATAATAATAACAATAATAAAGGTTCTTGATTGATTTTGTCTTGACCCCATCAAAATCAAGAACCATCGTATTAAAGAATTTTCAATGCCTCCACCAAAAAATGTGTTTGTTTTGTGTTTTTATTTGAAGAAAATTGTTCATATAAAAAATTGTATAAATAATATAAAAATAATGAATATACGCAGTGTATTGATTTTTTTTTTTTTTTGAAAATAATGTATTGAAAATTTTTTTGAAAAGAAAACATACCACAAGTTTTCTGATAATTCTAAAATTGAAATATTATTATATGTGATATATATATTAATATAATATTTTAAATATAATAAAAATTTTAATATAATATAAAAAATTAAAAATACAAGTAAACCTCTATAAACAAATGGAGCACAAACTTGTAAGAGCTTGAATTTGTTCATCTAATATTTTTTGGTGATACAATTTCACATAAATATTACTCCCTCCGTCTCACATATCATGTCCACGTTGCCGTTTCTGTCCGTCCCATATTCCATGTCACTTTTATTTTTTAGAAAATGATTATACATTTTAATTTCATTTTAAATTTTTTAATTTATTTTTTTTAATTTTAATTAATTATCTTAATTTTAATTTATAATTATTTATATTATAGAATAATTATTTTCACTAATACATTCTTAATTATTTACTAATTACATCCCTCTTAAAATACCGTGTGTAGCAGACACGGTATATGAGATGGAGGAAATATAAGAAAGCAATATATATAATATATTTTATTTACTTATCAAAAAATCAATAATTTAAAATAAAATAGTGGTACTATTTTTATATTACCAACACAAATTTTTATATCTAATATAAAAAATAAATTCATTTAAAAATAGTATGTAAACAAACCCTTTATATATAACTGCCAACATTTTGTTTGAATATTTTTTTGGTATATATATAAATATATACATTTAATATCAATATATCTACTAACAAATTAAAACATTTGAATATTTTTATTTTAAAATATTAAAATTTAAATACAAAACAAGCACATTGGATGTTTTTTTACCATATAGTAAATTATCTATATACATTTAATTTGATTTATTGATTTGTGTTTCAAATTGAAATTGAAATTTTAATATGTATTTGAATTTAAATAATTTTTCTTCCACTTATAAAATATATATATTTATTTTGAATGGTTTAATTACAATAATCATTAAACATAATTATGGACCTATTATTTTTTTTTTACAAATATTCTATTTTACAGTCACATTATTATTTTTACACAAAAAAAAAAAATAAAAAATATTTTTATATTATATTTACCTTCTAATTATAATTAAAATACTATTATTTTTAAATTTTTATATTAAAAATATATGCTTCCTCACTTCTATATAGAATGTCTATATTTTCTATTTAAGTTCGTCCCACATAATTTGTCTTTTTTTCTTGGAAATATAGTTAGTTATACACTTTAATTATATTTTAAAATTCACAATTTATATATTTTTTAATCTTAATTAAACTATTCAGTTATCTTAATATTAATCTATAATTATTTTTATTATACAATAATTAGTTTTATTAATATATTTTTTAATTACATACTCTCTCCGTCCCACCTAATTTGTCTGCTCTTTCTATTTTGATACGTCTCATATAATTTGTCATTTTTTAAATATATAATTATATATTTTAATCAGATTTTAAAATTCGTGTTTAATTAAATTATTTAGTCATCTCAATTTTAATTTATAATTATTATTTTATTTTAATTAAATGATTTAGTCATCTCAAAATTAGAGTGAAAAAATAAACTGGGACAAAGAAAATAATAATTATACTTTATTTAAATTCTCATATCTACAATAATTTGGATAATTTACATTGAATTGTGATAATATCCCTCCGTCTCATAATAAGAAGGATACTATTTTCTATTTTTATTCGTCTAACAAAAAAAAATATAATTTTCTAATTTAGTAATTTACTATTTACCTAACATAATTAATATTCCTACAACTTTCAATATATTACACAAATGTTATAGATATTTTTGTCTTTTATATTACAAATCAATACTCCCTCCGTCCCACCGTGTCTGCACACTGTAGACACGGTATTTTAGTAGGAGTGTAATTAGTAAATAATTAAGAATATATTAGTGAAAATAATTATCATGTAATATAAATAATTATAAATTAAAATTAACATAACTAATTAGTTTAATTAAAATTAAAAAAATAAAATTTAAAAATTTAAAATGACATTAAAGTGTGCAATTATTTTCCAAAAAAAATAAAATGATACGTACGAGGAACGGAGGCAGTATAACCCTAACATTAAAATATATACATTAAAAAATAAATGCTATTTTGCGGGACTGAGGTATATATAATTTCAAATTAAATTACGAAAGGAGTATTATGAGTCAGCACGGTTGAAATAGAATTGATATCGCAAGGAAAACCAATATACTTTGGGCAAAGAACAACGTGCTTTAATCACAGCCGTTGATTTTCATCCATCGTCCAATCACTATCCTCTCTTATATTGGCTAGCTCGTGATCCTCTAGATTCCATTCTACGGACGAGACAAATTTCAATCAATTAGATCCCTCCACGTCATCATACCTACTGGCCCACAAGACGATTAGACACCCATATAAGTAAGTAGTTCTGCTCTGCTCTGTGCAACCCACCGATCAGATAGAGTACACACTCCACATGGCTCGTACGTTGCAGCTCCTCCTCGTCGCCGGATTTCTGATCGCCTGCGCCGCCGCCGGCTCACACGGCGGATCGGAGTTCCTCGAGGAAAGTCGTATCAGACAGGTTGTCGACGGCCTGCACGAGTTGGAAACCTCTATACTCGGAATTGTAGGCAACTCACGCCGCGCTCTATCGTTCGCTCGCTTTGCTCGTAGGTGAGTTTGTGTTTAGAATTTTCTAGGTTTGGTTTATGATTTATTTATTTATTTGTTTTGGTGCTTTGTGTTTGTGGTTTGTCGAGGATTAAGATAGATGATTTTGGTGTTAGAGTGATTTTGGTTTTGTTGATGGATTTTCTCTGGTTGAAGGTACGGGAAGAGGTATGAGAATGCTGAGGAGATTATGAGAAGGTTCGAGATCTTCTCAGACACGTTGAAGAAGATCAGAGCGCATAACCAGAAGAAGCTGCCTTACACTTTGGGAATTAACGGTATACTCTCTGTTTTTGTCCCTCATTCATAATCATACACAAGTATTTCCGTAGAAATATTCCATGAACTTCAATTGTTGAGATGGATGTTGCTTTGTTTTTTTCCCTCATTCATACGCATGTGTTTTCGTACAAAATATCTCTTGAAATGAAGATCAGAACTATGGATGTTATCAATCAGATTAAATCCTTGTTTCTTCTAGCATTAAACTTTCAAATATTCAATGAACAGAGTTTGCTGATATGACCTGGGACGAGTTCCGTAAGCATAGATTGGGAGCACCTCAAGAGTGCTCTGCTACAACAAAAGGCAATCACAAGCTAACTCGTGGAATCCTTCCTGATTCGGTACACCCGTCTCTATTCAATTTTGATTAAATCTTGTTCCGGTGTTGATCATCATTCACCTAATTAGAATAAGAACAAATGACCTCTTCGATTTGAAGATTTTGATATTTGTTAGATCTACAGGCATACTTTGGATATAATCATATTCAAATTATTCTAGGAGATAAGATTCTGACGAGGGCTAGTTAAACAATACTATGAACAAACTCTGAACCTTACTGTTTCATTCAACTAGTTAAACATTAACTTGTATCGTAAACAATATTCGACAATTTTGAGATGGGTTGTGCAGGTAGATTGGAGGAAAACTGGCATCATTGGCCCTGTCAAAGATCAAGGTTCCTGCGGATCTTGCTGGACTTTCAGGTAGGTTCAACTTGGTTCCAGCACGTCGAAACATAGCTTTTCTGTTGTGTCTAAGTTTATGAATCACTATTATCGTCGTAATCTACAGCACAACTGGAGCACTTGAGGCTGCTTATGCTCAAGCATATGGTGTGAACATTTCTCTGTCGGAGCAACAGCTCGTCGATTGCGCTGGAGCATTCAACAACTTTGGCTGCAATGGCGGATTGCCTTCTCAAGCCTTCGAATACATAAAATACAACGGTGGGATCGAGACTGAAAAATCATATCCCTACACGGCAGAGGATGGTATTTGCAAATACAAACCCGCAAATGCTGTAGTTCAAGTACGTGACTCCATCAACATCACTCAGGTAACATAATCTGCTCGATCCATTTTTCATATTGTCTCGACTATATCTCCATTCGTTCGTGTGGTTAAGTCGATTTTGTGCTTCGATCCCAGTTGAAAATTGTCTTCGGCATGCTATGTTCGATAAGATTCAATCCTCCTAACAATGTACATGAAAACGTAGTATGCCTTCAATTTTGTTTGTCACTTTGTTGAATTTTCAATGGGATGTCAAAAATAAGCACAACTCGAAAGCCCGACTGAGCACAGTATGAAAAAATCGTGTTTGGATCTCGAAAAAATGCCCGAAAATTTTCAAACAGTGCTTGACCAGATCTGGTTTTTAAAATTAATATTTAAAACTTTAATAAATTAATATATATATATATATATTAAATTTTAAAATAAAGACAAATGTTATAATACGATGGGAAAGGTCTTAATTTGTATATGTTTGGTTGTGGGTTCAATTTTTCATTTATATTATAAAAATATATTTTGTTCCAAATTAATTCAAAAATAAACAAAATAATTTAATTTTTTTTAAAAAAAAAATGGGCCGGCCCGGCGGAGTTTCCGATTGCAAATCGGTTGTGCTGGCCCAACACAATTTGGAATTGGATCGGGCAGATCCGAATTGTCACCCCTAGTTTTCACGGGTCTCGCTGCCCGTTCAGCGAGTCGGGAGGTCAAAGGGGGCCTCTTGGCTGGGTCCGGGGGCGCAGAGTGGCTCCGGCCCAACGGTACGCGGTATTGGGCTTTTGAGTTCGCATTTAACTAATATTCTCTTAGGGTGTGTTTGTTTGGGGGTTTGGATTTTGGATTGGGATTTGAATAGTAAAAATTTTGAATTTGAATAGTTGTATGATGTGATATAAATAGGGTTTGATGTGATGTTTTGAATGTAAAATTGATTTTTAGTATAATATAAAAAATGAAAAATAGGTGTTTGATTTGATGTTTTTTTGGGAAAAAAATTGAATGAATAGTGGAAATCCTCCAAAATCCTTCAAACAAATACACCTTTAGTCTATATGAATAGATTTAGATATCAAATTTGTAATATGTAATCTCGTTGAATAAATTTGTTCACAGTTTATGTCGGTGGACATATCCATTACATTTTTGGTGAATCACGATAGATAAATCTGTGTCTTCTTTACATTTTTGTTTATTTATTATTCGATTATTAACTCTAATCCGTCACAATACCACAGGGCGCCGAGTATGAACTCAAGCATGCAGTAGCATTAGTTCGTCCGGTCAGCGTGGCTTTTGAGGCGCTTGACGACTTCCGCTCATACGAAAGCGGCGTTTACACCAGTGACGAATGCGGCAGCGACCCATGGGTACAATGTTTGTTGTCTGAAAACAAAAACAGAGAAAGAGATTGGATTGGATTTTTTTTCTAAGTTGAGAGAGTCGATATGTGGTTGCAGGATGTGAACCACGCCGTTCTTGCAGTTGGCTATGGAGTTGAAGACGTAGATGGCGTCCCAACCCCGTATTGGCTGATGAAAAACTCCTGGGGCGCCAGTTGGGGTGATGACGGCTACTTCAAGATGGAGATGGGCAAGAACATGTGTGGTATGTTTCGATCGATCTCTCGTTTTCGCGATTATATTTATTAGTTGACTTGAATATATAATAATTAATGATATGGATCCCTCATTGTTTAAATTTTTAGGTGAGATAATTATTTAATATTATTTTTTTGCGAATTTGATTCTCTTGCAGGCGTCGCCACCTGTTCGTCATACCCGATTATCGCGTAGTCGTCGGCAGCGGCGACATGGTGCCGGAGAACTTGATGCATATGTATGTATGTATGTAATAAAGGTGAAGAAGGACCAGACTGGCCCTTCTTCACGCATTATTCGCATGGAATAATTCCTGTATCATTTTAATGATAATTAATTATTTGGGAATTATTAATATTATGTTTAATTTGAAGTATTTAAAATATGATAATTTGTTGTTATATCTAAGAAAATATATGTAATAAACTAAATACTCATAACAAAAAGATGCAATAATGACAATATGACAGTGAGGTCATGAGCTGCATTCAGATCATCCTGTCACATATGATTTGTCTAGTGTGGTTTATTTTGTGAAATTTAGTTTGCAGGCAGTGACGAAATTAACATCTAAATTCCGGAAGCAAAATGTTATAATTTATTTAATATTTAACTAATAAATTCAAATAAAAAATAATGACAAAATTTGGGAGCAAATTGTAAATAGATACATAAAAATTACTAATACTTTTAACACTAAAAAAATCATTAAAAACGTCAAACCCTATTGTAGTTCCGTTCCTGTTTGCAGGGTATATTATTAAGTTTGGTTGGAAGTTTACCGCACTTTCGAAAAGCGACGGCAGGTTAAGACATTATAAAATAATAATAATAAGAAGAAACACTAATGATTATGAATTGTCTTGGCGAATGTGAATTTTCCTTTACAATTTAAATCAACTAAATCTTAAATGAATGTTTGTTTATGTTTTACAAATATAAAATATTAAAAATTAAAATTAAAATTAAAATAATATTTGATGTAATATGAAAAATAATATATTTTATCCGTCCCATCAGAACTTTATACTCGGATTTGTAATATTAATATTATATTAGTTTATAGTAAAAAAGATACAAATAGAGTAAATTATATAACACACCCTTATGTTTTAGTAAAAATTGTATAAAATATCGTGTTTTTTATTTATTGTGTGAAACCTCTTGTGTTAATATAAAACTTTCGTGAAACATTGTATTTGTCCACAAATGATGTTCGGTTCTAAATAAAAATCTAAAATTATGCAAATTTTATACTAGGGTGTGTTTGTTTGGGGGTTTGGATTTTGAGTTGGGATTTGAATAGTAAAATTTTGAATTTGAATAGTTGTATGATGTGATATAAATAGGGTTTGATGTGATGTTTTGAATGTAAAATTGATTTTTAGTATAATATAAAAAATGAAAAATAGGTGTTTGATTTGATGTTTTTGGGGGGAAAAAATTGGATGAATAGTGGAAATCCACCAAAACCCTTCAAACAAACACACCCTAATAAAAAAAGTAAAATATCTTAAATAATATTTTTTTGAATAAAATAAATAAATAAATAATTGATTAATAATTTATTTTTATAATTTTTATAAAAATTATATAACAATTTGTCTCCAACAATTATAAAATGAAGGATTAATCAATTATTTATTGTATATTTTATTCAAATAAAATATTTTATTTTTTTTATTTGTATAAAATTTGCGTAATTTATGTATTTATTTAGACCAAATATCAATTTTATTTCGTGCAAACTTTACATAACTGTTCATGCAATAAACAAAACACATAGTATTTTGTGCATTTATACTGAGATACAATAGTGTGTTATATAATTTACCTGAAAAGTAATAATATTTCTATAATATATTATAAATTCTAAAAATATTTATTATTTTAAGCAAATAATACAATTATAAACATAAAAAATAATACTCTTTATCTTGGACGAACCTAAATAAAAAAAATGAAACAATTCTTACCAGACATATATTTTTCAGTATGCTTTTAGATATTTGTTTAAGTGCAAAGTTTAGTAAACACTACTTCCTACCTCCAAATATAAATTAAGTATAAATTTTTAATAAATAGTAGTATAATATTATATTAATCTATTATAAATATAATGTTAATTTGAAAAATATATAGATTAATAAATTTATTTATTTATTTTTTTTAAAAAATAAAATAAAACCAATACATAAATAGTATGGCATATTTGTGAATATATATATCTTAATTTATGTAAAAATAAAAATAAATAATTTGTGTTTTGAAAAAACATGACAAACCTGTAGAAAATATTAAATTGAAAATAAACATTTAATTTAATAATTTAATTTAATTTTTAATAAACAATGATCAAAACCAAACAAAAGAAGCCCTATCCCCATTTGGACTCGGTTACCATATATGAAATTTGTCTTTTTCTCATCATCTAAATGCCTCTTGCCAAGCGACGGTTCAGATCGCTCCGATGGTATCTGTTACGGTGCACCTCACAACACCTGATCACTTCCCACATTTAATATATGAGAAATCTACCAGAGATAACACAAGTTCAACGCTTCTCAATCTTCCATCGAGCATCTTCCTCAAGATCCATTGATCGCTCGATCTTCACCGTCCCGTCCCACGGGCGCAAATTTGTAGCGAAAGAGGATCTTCGCAGCTGGGACGGCGCTGTTTGTTTCTTTGGTAGCGGTGGTGACCGCTGTGGAGCTATGGTTTGCTCGTCCTCCTCGATCTGCAACTGCCCGGAGTTTGCCGCCGCCGATTGGGACTTTCCGGCGCCATTGGAGATGTTTTTGGGGGTTAAAGGCGGTTCATTGCCTTCTTCGTCCATTTTTTTCGATCGAGAGGGATATCGACGAGAGAGGTGGCTGCAGCGGCGGCGGGGATGGAGGCGGTGGAGAGTGAGGGTAGAGAAGGTCTGATGTAAGGGTAGGATGCTCTGAACAAAGTTTTTTCTGCAAGTATGTGTGGTATTTGTTGCTGTTTTTTTGTTAATTTGACGATTGAGTTCGATCTAGGGTTTTGAAGTTTGTAGGGTTTCTTTCACTAATTGACACTAGTTTTTGGTTGAGGCGATTCTTTGACGGTTTAGGGTTACGAAAAGTGCTTTGTATTTCCATCGATACTAGATATAAACTATTGACCTGATAAGCGAGTAGCGTTCAATGGAGATATTGAAGGAGAATTGACTGTGTATTGCGACGGCAACTAAATCTAAATAGGATGAACTTCGAAGGGCTGTTATATGAGGGGAATCGCTCCACAATATTTCAGTTTTTACTACTTTGCTTGGTAGAACATAGAAATGTTTGTTTGTAGGTGTCTTGAGGTTTCGAGCATGGCTTCATGCTGTGTTATGTTAGAATTTAACTTATACTGAAATGCCCTCATAATTGCTAGAATTTTGGTAGTGTTAGGATCCGATTTCTGTTGGCTTAGATTTGTGATATTTGTCCCTTATGGGCTTAAAAATGAAATTCTACACTATGAAATACTGTCTTGCTGCAATTAAATTACATTTTTAACATATGCATTTTGCATTTGTTAAAGGAATTGCATGGTGAAGCGCGTGTGTGTGTGTGGATATTGAAGTCAAAATGTTGTCATTATCTTTACATGGGTTTGGGTTTCCTTGGGCTTGTCATTATATACTATTTCTATTTTAGTTTTTATTCTAGAACTTTATCTTTTAGCACTAGATGATTGGGCTGCAGTGAATTGTCTAAAGTTATGGCTCAAGGCCCACGGACTTTTTATGGTTGAAATTTGTCTGACATTGTGAAGGATGTATATGGGCACGAGGAATAACTTTTGTAAAATTATGTTTTAATTAGTTAATTTACTTATCTGAGCTTTGAGAGGATGCCAAGTGTCGCTTTTAAAGGAAGTCTGATAATTTAAGTTTCTTGCTGAGTTGTATTTAAGAGTTTCAATGCTTGCCAACTGTAATGCATAATTTCCACTGATATAAATTTTCTACCTTTAGCATTCTTATGTTTATTTATTGGAAATTGCCTGTTTTTCTTGTTTCATTTTACCTAACAAGTATGTAATAAAAGTATTGTTACTAAAAAGAAGTAACAACCAGAAACTAATCCAATCACTCGACTTCTGGGAAGTATTGGCGAAAACTTTGTCTATCAATCCAATGACCACCAATCTCTGGTCCTCTAGTTAAATATTGCTTCTATGCTGTTTATTTAATAAAATATATGTTCTAAATGATTTTTCGGTATGTATATCTTGTTGGGAAGGTGTGTGTGTGTGTTTATGTTCCTCGAAACACGATTCTTGTGATTTTTCATGTTTCCAATTTTTTTTATGCTGTAAATTTCCATGTATATTTCTGGTGTTCCTTTCATCTAAGCTTAAAAATATTCATATTCCATATTTAATGTTGTGTTCCACCCTAGTATTAAGTTATTCAACATCTAATATGCATAGGTTTCCTATAATTCATCAAGCTGACATTATTGTGGTTAACAAATCATTACTTCTTGTATATAGTTGTGGCATGCAAGTTGACATTCATTTTGTTTCAGGAAAATCATATCGACGTATTACTGTGGTAAATCAAAATCCTTTACCAGTCTACCTGATGCAGCATCATGCTCTTCCATTAAAGAAATCACTATACCAGGAAATGAATACACTAGAAAATGCAACAACTTTCTGGCTTATATAAGACTAGAATCCCAATATGTCGAGAAGCTATAATGGTGGCATTTCAGAAGGGCGTACAAAGACTTGAAGTATGCCCTGTCTCATGGCATACTCAGTTACCCACAACATTTCTACCTCTATTTCATTCTCATAGTTGCAGATGCAGCTTTCCTCCTTTTCGCCACTTGCGCGATGATCCATGCACTGTGAGCTTCCAACTTTATCCTATGCTGATAGTTTTCTTAGTTGTTGTCTTTCTGTCCAATTCTACAGTGCTGTCACACTTGAACCTTGAAGCAATTGGGTTGGTTGAAACATAAAAAAAAAAAAAAGAAAAAAAGAAAAAACAAAGAACATAGATCTTGCCCTGGTTTTTGGTGTCGCCTGATAAATCTTTTTTGTGATCAATGTTCATATATATGGAGGCATGTGTGCTACTTTTCTTGTTTGTCATCCCGTCCTACCCCAATGAATATATGGAACCGGATGAACTCGGGCATTTCCAGGGTAACGGCTAAAAATACTTGGTCTTTGCTCTGTTATATGCTGGATTGAATATGCTTGTACTCTGAAACGCCCTGTATTTTTCCTCGCTGCTGTTTTGATTCTCCAAGAAGTTTTTAAACAGGTGAATATGCTAGACTAGGGGAAAGAATTTCTTTAAGCTGCCACTGGACTTTTATCTTTTGGCTTTTCTTCATGGGATGAACTTATCAATTTTACTCTGCTTTAACAGCTAGTATTTGTCTTTACCCATAGAAAAACTCCTTATGCAGAATTTCTATTTACCTCTACCATTCCTTGTGATTAATATGAAGGATTACTCTGATTATTTTGTCATTTGATTTTGGCATGTGACCTGCCTGAATTGCTGGTTTGTACTTAAATTGGCTAGCCCTTGGTTGGGAGTGCTGGTGACTGCTTAACTCCTTGAAGATATGGAAGGGTGTATGATGAAGCTGTCATTTCACTATCTTATATTGCTCCTTAAGGTATGCTGCACAACCTAGCTTATTACAAGGATTCAATTCTGTGACATTGATTAATTATGAAGCGTCATATTTTTGACATCTTTGTTGCATTAGTGTTCTTTCATGATTTTAAATGCCATGAGAGTGTGTTTCTATTTACACCTTTAGTGATTTGTTCTGATTAGTAATTTAGTATTAAATGCAATGTGATACCCATACTTTCATTTTGAACATTCTGGTTGCACTTCCTTTTGAGTTCATTTTAACTAAGTTTGTAATATTTCGAACATTAAGTCTGCACTTCCGTTGCTTCATTTTGAACTTGCATGCTTTTGGATTTAGCAAAAACATGAAAATAAGTTTGTGCACCAGTGCTTGAGTGGTACGTAAGTTGTACAGAAGAAGCGCATCATTTTCTTATTAAATTTTATATGTCCTAACGTAGCTTGATTCTTGGCTGCGTATCAGTTATAACGGCTGATTCCTTTTCCTGAGTTGAAAATAAAAAGTGCAGTATGTTTTTTCGTGTGTACACTGAATACATCAATTTAGATTGGTTACATACTGAACCCGGCAACCTGACTCTGTCATTGCAAATCTTATTAAGCCAATGGTGTGCAAGTGGATTTAAACTGAAAAGTTGTAGATTTATGGAAAATGGACCAGTCAATATTTTAAAAATCATGCAACTGTTTTTCCGTTGGGTCGTGAAAACTTTCCTTTCTGTTTTCTCCCAATAATTGTATCGACAGCCTCTGTCATGATGGATCTATTTACGTCATGACAGACAATAGTGAAACTGTTTTGTCGTTAGGTTGCTACGACTTTTGAGTGCTTTCTGATTTTTCCCCAATAATTGTACCGGCAACCTCTGTCACGGAGAATTTTATTACGTCAATGTCTACATTTGGATTTAAACTAAAAGTTGTAGATATACCGAATAATGTGACCAGTCAATATGCGGCTGTCTTCTTGTTAGGTTGAGAGAACTTTTAGAGTCCTTTCTGATTTTCCCAATATTTCTACCGACATCCTCTGTCATAGCGAATCTATTACGTGAATGGTACATGCGTGTGGATTTAACCTGAAAAGTTGTAGATACACCAAATAATGTGATTACTCAATTTGTTTGAAAAATATCCTTTGTCGTTACGTTGCGATAAATTTTGAGTTCTGTACGGAGTAGCTGCTTGACATTTATCATGTATGTACTGATTTAAGCAACATTCTCTTAACTGATACAACAAAAGAACAAATCATACTTGTGACGTCTGTGAATTAATAAAATCTCAACAGGATTACCGGCTACTTTTGATTATAAAAGAGCCTCAACAAATCCGATATGAAAAAAGTTTGGTTGACCATATCTAGGTAGACGACATGTCATAATTCAATGAATGTATATAAAGGACTATATGTTAAATTTTAAAATCTAATTCGACCAAGTTATTAGCTCAAAAATACATGTTGAACAGAGTCATCATTTTCTCTTATCTTTAAAAGGATCATGTGTAGATATCTAATGTAAAGGTTATGTGATATAAATAGTTTGTCTCAAACATATTTACCTGGGCAGAATATTCTGTTAGAGAACGTGGAATGAGGATAAATAGAATTGATAAGTTGATACAGCGTGTCGATTATTAACTCAATGGTATTATAGGTAGTGTTCTAAGACAAGGTATTTAAACAAAAAATGTTAGCGAATTATGATAAATGCTCAAGGTATGTCTTAGCTTTTCCAGTGATATTTAATTTAAAGTTTGACAAACTACTCCAATTAGTTTAAAGAAATTAAAGTAAGCTCGGGTAATTAAATGCTTTGTGGTATTGCTCTTACTGAAGTTAATCTGCTTTATTTTGTTTTCTTGTTAACTTTTATACCGGGTAATGGATTCTAGATAAAGTAATGAGATATTAATGACCGAGCAATGTTACCGTTATCAAGTTAAATAATATCTCAATGTTTTATGTTACAAACTCAAAATCTTTGATGCTAATTCTCATGGTATGCTAGATTTTGTAGAGCATATGCTATAATTTATTAGTAATCTCTTAGATATATTGCATTATATAACATAAATCAATAGAATTTCGGAAATTTCACTATAATTTGAGTAATTTTTTTTTTTTTGTTCTCACCCCTATCTGACTGAAGGTATGGGCACAACCATTATAATATTTTATTATTTCTGCAATATTTCTTATATTCTGAAATTAAAAAGAAAATTGAAAATTTTGTAATATAGAGTTCTTGTTTTCTTCGCCACCACCTCCTGTTGACGTGTGTACAATTTTCTCTGATTTATTGACTGGAAATTCAAAAGTCTTGAATGTTGCCAAGCCAGATTACCATAATCCCTGGGGCTGTAACATTTATTTCTACCTACTAAAGATAATTTCTGTGAGATGCTTCCAACTCATCATATTAATTAATTGTTTTTGTTAAAAAAAACTGCTGCGCACCTTCATCATTTTGCCCCTACCTTTCTCTCTCACACCAGTCCTTCGGTTATATAAATCTGGCGTAGGAGTTTAGAGTTCTTTCACAAAACGAAAGATTCTCTCTACAAGCAAGGCTTTTTGATAGTAAGCCTACAGATTTTCTGAGTTTTGGAGCCCTCTTTCTTCATTTCTGTAGTGTTCTTTAGATTTAATTGATCTGTGAGATTTTCTGCAGTACCTCTTGATGGGGGATTTTTTTTTTTCCTTTTTAGCATCCATGAATTACTTGCAGTTGATTTTTGCAGCTTCATTTGTGATGTTTGTGATGTTTAGGGTGAGATCCAAATTTCACCATGAGTAGATAATTTGGCCATCGGCTCTTTTGATTTTCTTTTACTAATCTCACCCCCACCCCCACCCCCTTTTCCTTTTCCCCTTATTTTCTGCTATGGAGTTTGGGTCTTTCAGCATCTGTTGGAAAAAATGGACTGAGATTGCAAAATCTGTGTTTACAGCTTCACTGGTTTCTTTTGCTTTCATTTTATTGGGATTCCACTTTGTTTTACCTGTTTTTGTTTTTATCTGCTCTGCTGCTATATGAAAAACCTTGATTTTCTTTTTTCTGTTTTTCTATTTTCTATTTTCTATTTTCTATTTTTAATCAGGATTTGAAGTTTCTGAGGTGTGCTAATCATCATGGACGGATTTGTGGAAAAGGCAACTACTGAGGAACTGAAGATGTTCTACGGACTCGACCGCGAACTTTACACGATCCTAGTAAGTGAGCTCTGCCGTAATCCTCTGGAGTCCCTGCAGATCATGGGGCTGTGGCTCTGGTTGGAGCGCTTAGGCATTTGCAATGTCATAAGCAAGATCTTGGCCATGACTCCTGCCCTAATCAACCTGCTCGCCGACGAGGCCGTGACGTGCCTCGACTATATTAGCAGCCCCTCCCACACCCAGCCCCCTTCTGGGTCGAACAACCGGACGTTCGGCCAGATAAGCGCCCTTTTGGACCGGAGCATAACTCACCAGTTCTTTCACACGCATCAGAACATTATCGTCAAGGAAATGCAGAAGCTGTTGAATGATATTTACATTCCTGTTTTATCTGACATAATGGACTTTGCTCGCAGTGGCGGTTTCGCCGCTGCAAGCTCGTCGCAGCCCGCGAGGAGGAACCAAAGTGGGTTGTCGTCGCACGCCCCGGCTTACCAGCCGAGAGCACCCGCCCCTGCCCCCCCCGCCGCCGCTTATGTCGATCCGTTGAGTCTAAACTTTGCAGGGCTGAGCATTCAGGGGAGTCCGATGGTCCGGGCCCCCGCCCTCAACTCGGTCCAGACAACGGCCCGACCGACGACGGTGACTGTCCGCGCCCCGAACCCCAACCCCAACCCCGCCAGGGGTTACGGGAACGAGCCGCCGTCGGAGTACTCGCGGACGATGTTTGCGACGTTCTCGAAGGGGTACCCGGTGACGGAAGGGGAGGTGAGGCACTTCTTCACGACGTTGCTGGGGGAGTGCATCGACTCGCTGCACATGCAGGAGGTGCGGGGGGAGGAGCAGCCGCTGTACGCGCGGATCGTGTTTCTGCACCCGGGATTCATCCAGTCGATCCTGAACGGGCAGAGCAAGGCGAAGTTCACGATCAACGGGAAGCACGTCTGGATGCGGCGGTTCGTCCCGAGGAACGGCCGGATCCTGCCCCCCTGTGGATGCCCCCCCCACATCTGCCCCCACCAGCCCCAGCCCCAGCCCTTCTATTATTGATCCATCCATCCATCTATCTATCCATCTAAGCTGTGTTTTGTAGTATTTTGCTGTTGTTGTTGGTAAATTTGAATGAATGAATGAATGATGTGTTGGGAGAGTTTAGTGAATGAGTGTTCAGAGGAGGTGTGAATTGTGTGTAAATGCTGTTCATCATCTTCAATTCTGAATCACAATTAATTCTCAAATTTGCCTGTTTAATTCCATAATTGGAAGAAGCAAATGGACTGAATATGCATATGTGATTTGGTCTCTTCTTTCCTTGTACATGTCGCAACATTACCGATTGAAATTTCCAATATGCCTCTCAAGTGGAGGTATGTGAAAGTTGCATATGCATATTATTATTAGAGAAACACAGTCACAAACATCACGCAATAATTTTCAAATTATTTTATTTAAATACTATTTATCTAAATATTATGTCAGTTACACTATATCTTAGACGGAAAGAGTATTGTATTCGTTAAAATATATGTAGTAAACTTTTAGATGGATAAAATTGTTTATTTTTACCCATGGAAAGAGAATATGTATTTAAATAAATTAATGTTTAATTTATTTATTATTATTATTATTATTATTATTTTAAATACTAATCTATTTTGTTGCTGTGGCATTTATATTGATACACATGTACAGTGGCCACCTTCCAACTTTCCCCTCTCCTTCTTATTATTGCGTTGTTATTTGTATTCAATAATATTGTTGCTCTTCTTATTTATTACTACTATCTTACCTACTTTTTACTATAAATACACACACATACCTATCTGTATCTTTTTATTATTAATATATTATTTTTGTCCATTTTAGGTTTACCCGGTTTTATTATTATTATTATTTTTAATTCTAAAAGAATTTAATAAAATTTTAAAAATTAAAAGTGTAAAAATTGGACCCATGACCTAACAATAATTAAACAATTAGAATAATGTATAACAATAGTTTACACATTACAATATCATTGATTTTAAATTTTTAACACGTATGATATATTTATAAAGCAAACCTTAAAATTTAAAAATTGTACATAATTTCAAAACAAAAAACACATAGCCTATGTGTTCGAAATCATATATTGTCTATTTTTATTTTTTATTTTTTAATTTTTTAAATGTTTTTTGTGGCAGTGATTGCTAGATGAAATATGTGGTCTGCGTTTTTTCATATCTTTATTTTAATTTATTTTATTGAAAAATTGCATCACACATCACATGTATGTGTATATATGTCACTTTACTATTTTCAATGCAATAAAGTAGTTACAAGAAAATTCAGTTTTTTTTACTCTTTCAATTATATATATATATTATTGAATCAAATTTTATTTAAAGAAAAAAAAAAAATCACTCAAAGCTTTAATCTTGATAAGAAATATTATTTAATTTTTATTTTTTACCCAGATTTTTATTATGGAGATTTTACAAATAAAATATTGGTATTGAAATAAAATGATGGTGTGAATCGAGTGAGGGGTTTGTGAAAGTGTCAGTAGTGTGTCTCTTTTGTCTTTGTAACTTTCCCTTAAAATATTAAATTGAGGATTTTGTTTGTTTCTCACTATTCACTTCTCTCTCCTCTCTGTGTCAGTTTGAGTCAGACTCATATATATTAGTAATATTTTTATCCATAGTGTTTGTTTTGATTGAATTTCAAAAATTTTGGGTTAAATTTGATATTTCTTTCATTTTATATCTATATATTTATTTATTTTTTATACGAAATTTTAGAAATATTAGTATTATACTAGAATAAAATAGAAATAAAAGTAAAAAAATTAAATATTGTATGATATAAAGATAATAACATTAGTAAATTGAAAGGGTATTTGTAATGTTAGATAGATAGTACAATTACTAAAAAAAAATGAAATAAATACTTTATTATGAGACAAATCAAATTGAAAAAATAGATAGATTGTTAAGTGATGAAGAAAGTATTAAAATAATTTATAGTAAAATATTTTGTGAGATGAAAATTTTATTTTTTAAAAAAAATATAAAATTTAAATAGTAAAAAATTGGAGTTTTAGACTTAAAAGAAACATACCATGCGAGCGAATTTCTTTAATATTCAAACCTAAAATTTCTATTAGATTGCCATTTTTCATTATTTTACTCGTATCTATATTTATTTAAAGATAAACTTTCTTTAACTTTAAATTCAAAGTTTTTACCGTTTGGACTTTGCGCTTTATAAAAATAGTACAATTACTAAACAAAAATTGGTATTTTGTTATGAGATGAATCAAAATGAAAAAATAAATAGATTGTTAAGGGATAATTTTTTTTTCAAAAAATGAACAACAAACAAAAATAAAAGAAATAGATAAATTAAGTGAAACAGAAGAAATATCATATGGAGTACTCCCTCCGTCCTTGGGGATGAACCTTTTTCTTAGAGACACGATTTTTTAGGTAGTGTAAATTACTGAGTTATTAATAAGTTATGATATTAGTTTATTATTTTTTATATAAACAATATTATTGGTATTTTAAAATTTTTTAAGATTATATGTCGAAAAAATATATGTAATATGAATATCATTTTGTAGATAATAAAAATTTATATAATACAAATAAATAAATAAAATATTTTTATTTTATTTATTATTACCACAGTTTTATTAAAAATGAGGAGTTTTAAAAATAAATAAAAAATTATATTAATTGAGGAGATAGATAGAAATAAAGAAGCTTTGAGTGGGTCATATATATAAGATATTAAAAATTTAATTAAATTAATTTATATTTGTTAAGTATGTTTAAAATTAATAAAATTACCAAAAATAAAAATGAGTCATCTTTTGTAGACGTACAAGAAAAAAAAAAAGAGTCCTCCTTAAAGGAACGGATAGACTATTATTTTTCTCATATTATCAACAATAATTTATTTTTAGTAATATTAATATTATTATTTTAATAAAATTTATGTTTTATTTATCTATTCTAGATCCCCTTTCTGAATATATATATATACACTTAAAATCCTTCAGTCATGATAATGATTCAATCATTACCTGCAGAGTATAAGAATATTCTTGAATTGTATCTGCTGCTGCTGTTGCTGTCACTTACTATTAATATACATTATTGTGACACATATTCATAAGAATATAAAAAACTGATAACCTTTTTTTTTTTTTTTTTTAAGTTTATATACAATATTATATTTATTTCGTCCGCTTCATATTTATCTTTTACATTATTATAAAAATATTAAAAAATATTTATATTTATATAATTTTTTGTACAAATATTCTTATTAATATTATAAGATATTAATAGAAATATTTTTTCAATTTTTTCTTAATTTTGTATAATATTTTGATATAATAATTTATATTTAAAAATCAACACGCAAAAAAATAAATGAGATCCTTATAAACGGACGAATGTCGTACTTAATAATTATTTTTATGATAATATGAATAAAGCAAAATAAAAATATAAGGCATTCTTGTGTTTTTTTTTTTAAAAAATCAATTTTATTGCTTTTTAAATTTTTTAAATTAAAAATAAAATCAAAATAATATTTTTTTTAGTTTTTATACTATATAAAAGATTAATTTTATATTCAAATTATCATATCAACAAAAATTCATAATCTTAAATACTTATTTATATTACACAATATAAAATAATTATGTTAATTTAAATTATTACTAATTAAAAATTTAAACCCAAGTCCAAAAGTGTATTAGGTTGTCGTGTGAAATTGATTTAAAATAAATATTGATCTAAATTTTTATTTAAATATATTTTGATGTGATATTTTGTAAAAAAGAATAATATATTTTTATGAAAAATAGTGCAAAGTAAATAATATTCATTCCGGCTCATAACAAAGTATCTATTTTTCATTTTAATCCGTCTCACAACAGAGTATCCATTTTTTTTTTTTTTGTAAATGTATTATCCATATAATATTACAAATACCCTTACAACTTACAATATATTACACAAATGCCATTACTTTTATATTATATATACTAATAAAGTTATTTTAGTCATTTCAACTTTATTCATATTATATCTCAATGTAATACTAATATTTCTAAATTTACGGGAAAAAAGCAAATAGATATCTAATTATGAGACTGTGAAATATTAATTTTAATTTAAAATCACGGTAAAACGGATTTGGTGGGTTTTGTGTTTGTTTTTAATTTTAATTTTAGTTTGAATATTGATATAAATAGAAATGGTGAGAATTAATAATGTACTTTTATATAAAATAAAATGAAAATATAATATATAGAATAAATTGTCAAATAATTAGAACACGTGTTTTCCTAATATGATAAAAATAGTGGATTTATTTATTTATTTATTTATTTTTGTGAAGTTTTGTTTGAATCTTATTATTATTATTGTTCTTATTATGTTTTACTGTGAATAAAATATAATTTTATACATAAAAAATATATTTATTATCTATAATTCTTTTCCTAATAAATTTTATACTACATTTGTCATGTAAAAATGCACTCGTTTCATTTGTATATATATATATATATATATTTTAAAAAAAATAAAAATAAAAACAATTTTATATGATGAAAATAATACTTCATGCTTCCCATAAATATAGTGTTAATTGGAATGAGCACGAGATTTCAGGAATACTGATATTATATTGGTAGTGGATAAAAAATATAAATAAAAGATTTTTTTACTCTTGTGAGTGTATTACCGTAAAAAATAGTGGCAATTGTGTAAAAAAAATGAAAAAGTAGGGGTAGTTTTATAGTGATATAGTTATTTATAGAAATAAGACTATTGTTTTGAAACAAGACAAAAATAGTAAATAAGACTATTGTATTAGAATAGAGGGAATATATAATACAAAATTTACTTAGATATATAAATTGATGCACTATAAACAACTATTGTATAGTATATTAAAATAATATAAAATACATATTGAAATATTCTTTGTATTATACATATATTATATGATATACTCTAAAAATACTAAAACTATACATATATGGAATGTAATATTTTTATAATATCAGAAAATAATTGTGTTATAAAAGTAATACTTCTTCCATCCGTCTCATATTTATCTTTTTGCGATATTGTATTTAATATTAAAAATATTTTTATATTTGTATAATTTTTTTACAAATATCATTCTATCAATATTATAAGACACTAAGAGAAATATTTTTTTAATTTTTCTTAATTTATTCTACGTTTTGATATAATAATTAATATTGAAATATCAACGCACAGAAAGTAAATGAAACCGTTAGAGCCGGATTGGATATAGTATTATAATTTACCTTACATAATTATATATATATATATATTATATGAGATACTAAAATATATTATAAATATTCATATATTAATGTAATATTTTTATAATATAAGAAAATAATTGTGCTGTAAGAGTAATATTATATTGTACCTTATATAATTTTGACACTTTCCAGTTTGTTTACTTTTTATTTCAAATTCGAATCTTCACTATTCAAACCCCATGTTTTTTTTAATAAAAATATATATATATTTTTAAGTATTACTTTAAAATATTATTTGAATAAAATTTTAAATTAATATTTAATTTCAAATTAACTTCAAACATAACCAAACAAAAAATTATTTTAAAAAAAATTATGAGTTTTTGATGTAACTGAGAAATATTTTTCAAATAATAATAATTATTATTTTAACATTTTATGAGACAAAATTATATATTCTCTCAATCCCACATAATTTATTCATATTTTTTATTTTCTTCTATTTAATATAATTTGTTCTTTTTTTAAAAAAAAAATATAATTATATACTCTCACAACATTTTAAATTTTATAATTTTAATTAAACTATTTAGATATATTAATCTTAATTTATAATTATTTTTATTATACAATAATTATTTTTATAAATACAATTGTTAATGCGCACATACTACATGAGACGGAGGAAGTATTTTTTCATATTGAAATATGTGATTATTGAAAATTGGAAAATTTTGATACCAATTATCTAATATATTTATTATGCAATTTTAGGAAATAACAAGTATAGCAATTTCTGTAACCCTAACATCAACACAAAATAGCATAGTTAAATAGTATGTGCAACTAAAATCAATATAAATTAGTAAAATAATATGTCTATTAACCCTGCAGCTCCAAAATTAACACAAAATAGCAAAGTCGTGTAATTCAAAATCAACACAAACTAATAAGCCTAACAAACCTCTTGTAGCTCCAAAATCAACACAAAATAGCATAACCCAACAATATGTGTAATTTAAAATCAATATATAATAAAAGGCCTAACAATCCCTGTAGCTCCAAATTCAACACAAGATAGCAGAGCCCAACAATCTATGCAATTTAAAATCAACACAGAATAACAGGTCTAACAAATCCTGTAGCTCCAAAATCAACACAAAATGACAAAGCCCAACAATCTATGCAACTTAAAATCAACACAGAATAACAGGTCTAACAAATCCTATAACTCCAAAATCAACACAAAATGACAAAGCCCAACAATCTGTGGAATTTAAAATCAATAAAAGAAAATAGCAAAATAAAAAGCCTAACAATCTCTGTAGCTCTAAAATAATACTCCCTATGTCCCACATATCATTTCCACATTGCCGTTTCTGTCAGTCCCACATTCCATGTCACTTTCATTTTTAAAAAAATATTACACACTTTAATTTTATTTTAAACTTTTTATTTATTTATTTTTTAATTTTAATTAAACTAATTAGTTATCTTAATCTTAATTTATAATTATTTATATTATAGAATAATTATTTTCACTAATACATTATTAATTATGTACTAATTACATCCCTCATAAAATATCGTATCTACAGTGTGACAGACACGGTATATGAGACGGAGAGAGTACAAAATAGCACAACCCAACAATATGTGCAATTTAAAATCAATAGAAAATAACAGACCTAACAACTCATGTAGCTTCAAAATCAACACAAAATTAACAAAAAATAACATAGCCTAACAATATATGCAACTTAGAATTAATACAAAATAGCAAAATAACATGCCTAACAATCCTAACAACCCATGTGACTCCAAAATCAACACATAATAGCAGAGCTTAACAATATGTACAACTTAAAATCAATGCAAAATAACAAGTCTAACAACTTATATAGCTTCAAAATCAACACAAAATAGTATAGTCCAACAATTTGTGCAACTTAAAATCAACACAAAATAATAGGCCTAACAACTCACGTAGCTCCCAAAATCAACACAAAGTAACATAACCCAACAATTTGTGCAACTTAAAATTAACACAAAATAACAGGCCTAACAACTCACGTAGTTCCAAAATTAATACAAAATAGCAGAGCCCAACAATTTGTGTAACTTAAAATTAACACAAAATAACATGCCTAACAACTCACGTAGCTCCAAATTTAATACAAAATAGCAAAGCTTAACAATTTGTGCAACTTAAAATCAACCCAAAATAGCAGCGCTAACCACTCATGTAGCTCCAAAATCAACACAAAATAGCAGAATCCAACAATTTATGCAAATTAAAATCAATACAAAATAGAAAAATAACATGTCTAACAACCCATGTAGCTCCAAAATCAACACACAAAAACAACAGAATCCAACAATTTGTACAACTTAAAATCAATACAAAATAACATAGCCCAACAATCTATGCAATTTAAAATTACACAAGATAGCAAAATAACCGGCCTAACAGTCCTGTAGCTACGAATCAACATAAATTGGCAAAATCCAACAATTTGTAAAACTCAAATTCAATACAAAATAACATGTCTTAACAATCCTTATACCTCCAAATCAATACAAAATAACAAAATTCAGCAATTTGTACATCTCAAAATCAATATTACAAAATAAAATAATCAACAATTTGTACAATTTAAAATTAATACAAAATAAATAAATAAATAACAGCCCTAACAATTCTTACAGCTTCAAGTAAATTAATACAAAATAATAGGTCCAACATCAATTGAATCTAAGATTAACAATATCCAATGTATCTACTCGCAAAATACTAAAAATGGATACTAGGATGGATATTAAATTCGGTCAGTGGTTCACCTGGTGGGCACTTTCGAATAGCAGTTGCGGATTCTTACGTCATAAAAAAAAAAAAATTAAAAATGGATATTATGATGGATATTAGGTTCGATCGGGGGTTTACCTACGGTGCATTTTTAGGTAACGATTGTGGATTTCCACATTATAAAAAAAAATACTAGAAATGGATACTTTTATTGTCTTTTGATATTTTTTTTATTTGAATTATAAAAAAATTTGTCTATAATATAAAAAAATATAATATATTAATTTTTTTGAAAAAATGTATTAAAATTTTTAATCAAAAGAACAAAGTCTAAAACTTACATGATAATAAACAATAGCTACGTGTCCTGTTAGCAAAGAAAATAAATCAACAACGCTATTACTTTACGAAAATTTTTTAGAAAATAAGTATAAATTAAGTTTTTAGGCATGTTTTAATATTTAATATGATATTATTATTATTATTTTTAAAAAAAAGAAAATTATTGGCATCATAAGTTTACAATACCAATTCTTAATTGCATTTGTATATTGTCTTTATAATTTTTTTTTTTTCAATATATTATTGTTTAAATGTAAGTTTATTAAATTTAAAAATTAATTATATTTAAAAAATAAAATAAAATAAAATAAACTCAATCTATCCGTTGAATTTGAAACTAATCTCAATCACACATTTATTCCACAGGCGAATTCTCTCTAGGGTTGCTTCCCCGCCGGCGCCGCCCACCGCTGGTTCCATTTCCGATGATCGTCCTCCGCCCACCGCCTCATCTCTCCACCAATAAATCAACCTATGCCGCTGAATTTCACCCCTTGTTGCACAGAAGCACAAGAAGAAGAAGAAGACGACGAATTCCAAGGTGATTATCCATCATTCGAAAAATGCCTCTTCGATGGGTACTTAATTTCGATCTGTCTGAAATACTCGATTTCTCAACTGGAATTCAAAGCAGATAATTGCATTTTATGTATGCTACTGATGATTTCAGCTCTTCCAGCGTTAGATCCGCTGGGTTCAAGCTTGTGGCCGGCGTTAATGGAGGACGAAGTAGCAGAGGTGAATTTGCGCAGTTTGTGGCGCGCGAGGCTCGATTCGATAATGAATATTGGGTAAAATTGCTACTCATTATCTATGAGACTTTATTCACATTAGTTTTGATTTGTATGCAGTGGTGATAGTGGTAGGATTTCAGTTTGTGTTTTTTTTTTTTTTTTTTTTGGATAGATGTGTTTTTTTATAATGAAGAATTGTGTTGATATAAAAAATATATTTTGGATTGAATCGTTTCATACTTCTTCGTCGGGTCTAAAGGACCTTTGTGGTTTTTGTATTAGATTAATAAATAATAATATTTTATTAATCAGTGGAAATGTAAAAGTTTCTAATATTTTTTTGTAACGATATATTTGTAATTTAGATAAAAGTTAAATGATTATTTTTACTAAAATAAGGTAGGGAAACTTTGGAATAGGACGGACGCAAAAGTAAAAATGGTAAAAATAGTATTTTAAGTTGGGACGGAGGAAGTATATTTTTATATATTTTTATTTGAATGATAATTTGAATGTAATGTTGTTTATCCTTTTCTTATATGTTCTCTGGTTTATACGATCGTTGTCATTAAGGTGTCATTATTATTCAGCATCCTAACATTAGATGTCTGCACCGTGCTGATATTTCCTGAAAGCACAAAGTAAATACTACCTCTTTATGGTTTTAAGGGTTTTATTTATTTTTTTTGGTTAATCTTTGAATATTAATTATTATATAAAAAATGTAGTACAAATTAAGAAAAAATAACAAAAATAATTTATTAGTGTCTTGTAATAAATATAAAGATATTTTTAATGTTAACTGTAATGACGCAAAAAAGTAAATGAGATCTTTAGTGCTATCTGCTTTTGAAATAAGAGTTGTGTGCTATTTATTTGTTTTTTTAAACCGGTGCTCCACATAAGTACGTCAGGTGTTTTACAAGAGTATGTGGAGTGCTCTATAAAATATATATGTGCTCCTATATAAATATATTTGGTGTTGTTTGAAATTTGAATTGGTGCTATATGAAATAATCAGCACGGTGCTGAATTTTTTGGATCCGCACCGAAACATCCGTCGTATATATTTGATATGTGGTGGTTGCGTCGGCTGGTTTTTGGCAGGCGGCGGCAAGGCTGAGGGCTGAGAGTTATTTCGAGGGCCGGAAAACTGACCGGTGAGCATGTGTGCACTGAGTATATATCTATATGGTTATTACAGAATTTCGATGTCTCTTACATTCGCTGCAGATACATCGGAAACTACAAACAGATGTTTGCGGAGCAGGTATATAGGAGAACTAAAGAACACCACCAGATCAGCTTCTTTTGTGTCTCAATAGCTGCTGCATTGATTAATTAAACCATATATATATATATATCTTTTGTTTGTCAGGAGTTCAATCAAATGAAAAGAAGACGTGTTTGGCCGCTGGGACAGCCTTGCAAATGCATTGTAATGGTAACTTAACGATCCAAGCGACACATCACTACAAAGAAAATAACATTTTTGTAACGAAAATTTTTCGTTTCTAAATCCATTCTTTCCATTGTGAACTTAAAGGGACGAAATTTTACAAATATGTTATTTTTTTTTTTGTATAGGTTTAGCCACATTGTCCATATAATCCCTTCTCTTGACAATTCATCATTGTATTAACTTAAAAAAGGAACTATCAGGTACAGGAGGATGGCACCACATCTTCAGACTGTGTCGTGGTTGGAACGCTGGACTTGAGCCTCGGATACTTATCCTACGGAGAGATATCCCCACAGGTACACATATATATATATATATATATGTAAATTGTACTCTTTCCGTCCTTCTCTAAAGGTTAGTAATTGTACTTAATATTAAAAATATTTTTATATTTGTATAATTTTTTTTTTTTACAAATGTCATTTCTATTAATATTATAAGACACTAATAGAAGTAGTCATTTTTCCTTCATTTGTACTACACTTTGATATAGTATAATATTCCTTTGAATAATATTCCTTTCCTTCATTTGTACTATTTCATTTGTACTATTTCATTTGTACTACGTTTTCATATATTGCTTAAAATTCCTTTGTTAAATACACTATTTCCATCCAAAATTGATGTCGGTTGTGAACACTCGCCTAATGTAACATGTACTAGATAGTCTTATTTGAATAAAATAAATATAGAAATAATTGAATTAGCCTTCATTTCATATTTTTTTTCTGGATACGAGCCGTGACTTAATTTTTACAAAAACTATGAAACGAAAGGTTGATCAGCTATAAATACTTGTATAATTAGGCACGGCCAACATCGTTTTGGGTGAAAAGAGTGTTTCAGTCATACTTTAATTTAACACTATACGAAGACTTCACTTAATAAATAAAATATGAGAGGTATTATGTAATTTGCCCTTTTTTATTATATATCGACAAACATAATTTGGCAACTCATATGAGAATTCTTGCCTTTTTAACAGGAAAATATTACTGTCATCAATGGAGGGGCATCCATGATACGATACGCCTACATTTCAAACCTGTGCGTCGCCACTTCAGCGCGTCGCCGTGGAATTGCCTGCAGCCTGCTGCGCTTCGCCATTTTGTCGGCTCAAGAAGATGGTACAACACACAAATATACTCACATCATGAAAATGTGTATATATATTGAAATTACATCCACAAGTTTTAATTAACCGAACTTTCCATACAAATGAAAACATCAATATATGTATGTAGGTGCAGAGAAGGTGTTTGTTCACGTGTCCAGAGAGAACAAGGCTGCACAAGTCCTCTATCAGAACCAGGGATTCCAAGAAGTCTCGATCATATTATTTTTATTTTTTATTTTTTTTCATTTATGTCGTACACCAATGATTTAATCCTGCGGATTAAATGATTAATGGTGATGGTTGGTTGCAGGTTGTTGTCGATGCAAGCTCTCATCTTCGACTACACGCTGATGATCAAACTGTAAGTTTGCTATGCCTCGATCCTTCGACATGTTCACTTGCCGATTCTTGATGTTATGATAGGAATAGGGCATTAGTTTTGTAATTATATATGTAATATGTCACACAATAGTTGTTCCGATATGTACAACTTTGCCGTAAAATCTGATTAAGTTTGAAGATTTCTTTTTGACGGGTTCGGAAAATTTTGATTTAAGTTTGATATTAAAGTAACGTGTGAGTTCAAAAAGTAGGAATTTAAGGTTTGGGTGTAAATAAACACACCCTTAATTTGTTGAGATCATTTTTTTTTCATGATTTTGAAATGTATGTGGATGTTTTGGTTTATTCTTTTACATTTTACCTGAATATACCGAGAAAGATATACAATCTAGAACCTATCTTAATTACCTAAATAAAAAATTTATTTCATTTATATTCAAAATATTAGATGAATATTTATTTATATAACATCAAATAATCGTGTCAATTTCAAACTTTTAATACTTCCCCCTCTCCCCGTTTCTTAATAACGTATCCATTTGCTTTTTTCGTTATTATATTTAATATTATATTTTTACATTTATATTATATAACATTAATAGAAGTATTTTTGTTTATTTATTTATTTTTTTTGTACTACATGGAAATATAATATTAATATTTGCCTTGTCCAATGTAGTTGGCAGATGATTAAGGGAAAAAAAAAATGTTACTAAAAAGTAGTTGATGGCATCATTATATGTTTAAAAAACAAAAAAAGAAAAAAAGAAAAACACCATGTATTATACCTGTAGTGTGACATGCGAAAGAGGAATTTCAAATTTAAAAACAAAGAAGAAACGAATATAGCTGCACTAATATTAATAGTAGATGTCCGTACATATTTTTCTTTTAAAATACTGCATATTTATTCTCTTTAAATTCTAAATTAATTTTTGGTTACTTTAAGTACGACATATTGTGCATCTTACGTGCCATACACGTGAGGAATGCCACGTCATTATTATGATTATTCCTATTAAGAGAATGACACCGAATTGATTTCTCAAATTATCTCTCCGTTTCGAAACTATAGTCATGGTTGTGTTGGATACGAGATTTAAAAAATATTGATATTACAGTTACAGTGGGTAAAAAGTATAAGTAAAAGATATTTTTGCCCTTACGAATGTATTAGTGTAAAAAGTAATGACAATTGTATAATAATAATAATGAAAGAGTAAGGATAGTTATATTATAAAATATCAATTCACCTTAATTTGCATGCAAAAGTCAAACAAATAATTTACTCACAAAAAAAAGTATATATCAAATTAACTCAAAATAGTCAAAAGTCTAGAAAACCCAACCAAACACATCCTCAAATAAAGAATTATTTATTTATTTTGAAAAAAAAAAAAAAAACTAGTTCTCCAAAAACGAAAATAGTAATAAAAAGAGGGACCTGAACTCATTTCCCCACACAACTCCCTCCCTCATCCATTCCAATTCGATCACTCCAACAATGGCGGACACCTCCGGAGCTCCGGCGGCGGCGCACCACCACCAATCGAATATTCCGACGTACATGTCCTTATCCACCGTCAACATCTCAAATTTCGTCGCCTTCAAGCTCACCGGCCGGCGAGCTTCGAGCAACTACCTAATATGGAGGATGCAAATAATTACCCTCTTCGAGAGCCACGACCTCTTGGGTTTCATCGACGGCCGAGTCGCCGCGCCTTCCAATCCCGTCACGCCGGAAGACCAGGATTACGACACGTGGCGGACCGACAAGATCGCCCGCGGCTGGATCATCGGCGCCGTCGGTGATCCCGAGCTGCACTTTGTATTCTTCGCCGGCTGCCCGACTGCCCGGCACGTGTGGATCAAGCTCGGGGAGCTGTTCTATGATCCGATGGATACTATTCGCAGTTCCGGCGCCACCGGTGCCGCCGCCCCGGCGGATATTGAGCCTCCACCGGACAACCTACCGCAGCCGTTGCCAGGCACTTCGAAAAATCTTATATTTATACTATTCATTAAAAAATAATAATCTCTTCGATTCAATTTAAATTATCTTTATTACTATTTTTATTCGTTGAATATCATAAAAGAAATTGTACACTAATACTTATGAATGTTTTAATTATCTATCAATTTTTCTATTTTAATTCTGTCTTAAAACACAATATTCATTTATTTTTTTAGTAACACTAATATCTACCTACTATTAAAATTACTTTTAAAATTTACATTATATTACAAATATACCACTACTATAAATTTTTACATTTATTTTGTTTTTACTACATTCCAATATAATATTATTATTTTTAAACTTCGTAAAAAAAATAAATAGATAGATAGATATGAGACGAAAGAAATATCATAATACTTTTAAATACTTTTCACTGACCAATAAAATAATATATCGGAGTGTAACATGGGAGTAGTAAATTTTATTCGACATTTATTGTTTAATGACCATTATCCTCTGAAAATTCATATGATTTCTCATACCATGTTAAATGATAAATTAAAATATTAATACTATTTTTACATAATATTTTGAATTTTTTAAACTATTTATTAAACAGAATGTTCTTAAAAAAAATATTACGTCCAATATATATATTTTTTCAAGTAATATTACATTAAATTACATACTTTTACATTTTAATTATTTATAAAAAAAATTTAAAACTCTACTTTTAATTTGAAATAAAATATTTAATTTAAAATTTTATTTGAATAATATTTTTATATAATATTTATTACGGCAGAACAAGTGAATATTCCAAAGGATTTCTTCAACGTACAAATGCCTCTCCTCCGAGCTGCGCTCCGCGGCGATTGGCCGGCGGCGCAGCGAATTCTCGAACACGACCCGACGGCGGCATTGACGTGGCTCGACAACAACGGCATACTCACTGCTATAGAGGCGGCGGTCGGGACCGGAAAAGATATTAATTTTGTCAAAAAATTGTTAGAATGGATTCCGGACAACTGCGTGGCCATAAAAAACGACAAAGGCTCGACCGGACTGCACATTGCCGCCTCCGTCGGCAACCGAGAAGCCGCCGCAGTCTTAGTCGAAAGAATGCCGGCCTTGTGCTACATTCCCGACAAATTTGGCGACTTTCCGGTCCAAAACGCCGCCGAGTACGCTCATAAGAATGTGCTTGGATACTTGCTCAGCATCACCAAGGGCGACGCGCCTGAGTCGGACGGTGAAAACCCTTACGCTGGCATGGCTGGATTGCGGCTTCTTTTGCACACGATCGACGCCGAATTTTTTGGTGAGTTTTTTATCGTCAGTTAAATTTATGCATAATTTAATTATTTAAAGAAAAAGTTATCCATGAATTCATAGTTATATTTTACTACACAGTCCACCTCTGATGGTTATATTTATATTTTATGTTATTGTATTAATATTGAAAATATTCTTATATTGCTCTTTTCACTTGATTTTTACTGCGTTTTAATATAATAATTAATATTAACTTAAAAATAACTGTGGTTCTTAAAGTCGGACTGGGATGAAGTATTATTTTTATTTTATATAACAATAACAAATTTTGCCATTATCTTTTTTTTTTTACTTATTTTATTATATTTTTGTACTTATTCCATTATTATTTTTGATTAATTCATTGACAAAATTTTTAAAATACTTTATTTTACTTTTTATCTATATAATTTTTATATTAAAATAATGTATTTTTTTTAGTTTTTCGGTGCCTAATTAAAATTGCATAATTATCCCAAATCGAATAAATCTATTGTAATTATTGTTTGAAATATTAATTAGTTATACGTAAATTAAATTCATGAATAATATTTTAAATCATATATATATATATATAATGACAACATATCATTGTCGTTGAAACTTAACATATGTTATATATATATATATCATTATTAATATGTATAGTCTGTGTGTTGTCTATAGTCTGTTATCCTATTATATGCTGAAAGTACTAATGACATGTGTGAACTATTGTCATATATATATATATATATATTTTTGGATGACGAATTATTGTCATATATTGTCGGATAAATATATTGTGTTTATATTATATTACAATAAAGTGTGTGATGTCTATTTATTTGTTATATATTGTCCGATCATATTTAAAATGCTTATATATTTTTATAGTGAATATATTGATTCAACATATACACTAATGTGCAGATGTTGGTATGTATTTGGTGGAGAAATACCCGTATTTGGTGGGGATTAAATATCCAGATGGTTATTCAGCTTTAGTTAAACTGATTGGGAAATCTGTGTTTTCCAACAAAAGAAATTTCAGCTTCTGGGAACGTTTCATTTCATCTCGTATGCTCCCTCCATACCTACCTACATAATTCAATACAATTATTTGTCATTTTCATTTTCCCAAAATTTCGTATCAAATACTTGCTCCGTCTCATAAGTGAATATCCATTTGTTTTTTGCACGTACTTTTAGAAATATTAGTATTATATTAAAATATAGTAGGAATAAAGTAGAAATGACTTAAATAATTTTATTAGTACGTGTAATATAAAGGTAATGACATTTGTGTAATATATTGTAAGTTGTAAGTGTATTTGTAATGTTAGATAAATAATACATTTACTGAAAAAAATAGATACTTTGTTAGGAGACAGACTAAAATGAAAAAATAGATACTTTATAACGGGACGAAGGGAGTACATAATTTTCATTTAATATATTACAAAACAAACTATTCATTCATGATATTTCATCGAATAGTTATTTATATTACATCAGACACTATTTGGATTCAATTTCCACTGTACCAAACCCCAAAAGTTAAATTTTGAAAGAATGGGATAAAATATAAATTTTTACTCTTGTATATGACATTTATCGTAAATTAGATTTTTTTTTTAAGAAAAACTTGTACACTCTTCGTCAGCGAAACTTATGCATGTTTGATCGGACACGGAGTTTAAGAAATTGTCATGTGCTAGTCCATGTCAACACAAGTGACAGTGACAAAGGATATTTTTAATGACTATGAATTAGATAGAAACTAAAAATACATTTATCTCAAGAATATATATATATATAGATTTGAATTTTTGATTCTTGGCTTTTTTTTTTAACAATGTAAAGGGATACCTGTGGCAACTAAATTGAGATCTCATTCGACATTGATTTCAGACATTAGTAGTCACCATGACATTGAGAGCATTGATCATCTTCACCATACCAACAAACCACAAGGTAATATTTCATTTCATTTCATTTCATTTCGATTCTATTATCGGAAATAAAGTACACCTGATATAAACAACGAGTTCTTAAACCAATCCTATTTTGTAAGCGGCGGAGCGTTCTTGGATCTCCATGCCCTTTTTTTTTTTCCTACTCCAACCCACCTTAAATTCATGAATGTTTATGTATCCAACTTGTCGATAATAATCATCACTGTATTAATTGAAAACTTGAAGTTGGGTTTTAGTCAAGATTTTTTTTTTTTTAAAAAAAAAAAGAAGAAGAAGAAGAAGAAGAAAGACGGCTTTTAATATTGTCATCAAATTGCTACATGTGATTTTTAATTGTCGCATAATTTAAATTTGCAACAAATTTTTGTGCTACTCAATTAGGTTGGTTACAAGAATTGTCGATTTTTTAAAGCTACTTACTTAATTGGAAGATAATTAAGAACATGTTCTAGATCGAAAAATTTTGTTTTAATTTGAATCTGATATTTTCTTTCACTTATTTGTACATTGAGATATATGTTTTGGAAGTATTTTAGATTTTAGTTTAGTTTAAATATAGTAAAACATTGATTAGAATGATGTGATATAAATAACCATGTTGAATGTGATGTTTTGAGCATACAATTTGATTTAATATTTTAAATTTATATTTTTTTAAAAAAAAGAAATATTACATTAATAATGCAAAAAATATTTTGGCAACATAAACATATTATAGCTTTGGAGTTTCTTTGGTTGAATTTTTTTTTTTTTTTTTTTTTTTTGAGTGTCTTTGGTTGATATAATAATTTGAAATTTGATAAGTGAAATAACAAACTCTAATACTAATTCATTTTATTTTTCCATGCAGTGCTTCAAAGTTCTCATGCCATGCTTTGGAAGTTATTGGAATATTTAGGTAAACTTTTTAGCTATATTAGTCTACTACATATTTTTTAAAGTTTTGTCACTATTATCATCAATAATTTTTCCCAAAAAAAAAATGTAACATTAAATATTTTTTATTTTTACAAAATTATACCTATAAAACACTCAATTTTAATTTTCCTATTTCCAAAAATTTTCAAAATTTTATTTAAAAAGTTTTTTTTTGCTCTTCAATACACAATGTCTTTCGCACAAAAATGACTTTTATAGAACAGTAGTGAAAAGTCTCTTACAACACAACTAAAATTGCACTTCGTCTAGTAACTTTAGCTTAAATAGACAATTTTTTTTTTTTTTCTTACATATATCGATTTAATGAATTCGTACCTCACATAGAGATCGTAAAAAAAAAAAATCCCTCGCCAACGAGAACAAGCTCTAAACCTCTTAAATTGTACTGTGTAGTAAGTTTAACTTAAGGGATTTTTTTATTTTTTCTCACATATATCGATTTCATATATTAGTACCTCGTATCAAGGTCGTCAAGAAAAAGTTCCTCGCCAACGAGAAAGCTCTAAACCTCTTAAATTGTACTTTGTGCAGTAAGTTTAACTTAAAGAGATTTTTTTTTTTTTCTCACATATATCAATTTCATGAATTAGTACCTCATATAAAGATTGTAAAAAAAAAGTCCCTCGCGAACGAGTAGGTTCTAAACCTCTTAAATTGTACTTTATGCAGTAAGTTTAACTTAAATATTTTTTTTTCTCACATATATAAATTTTATGAATTAGTACCTCATATAAAGACCGTAAAAAAAAAGTCCCTCGCCAACGAGCAAGCTCTCGACCTCTTCAAGTTGATGTGCACAAAACTCAAGACTATTGGCAATTTTGCTGAATCCCGGTATATCTATGAAGAAGGCGTGCTTCACGCCGCGGCATTAGGGGTTAAAGAGGCTGTGGAAATGATTATCGACATATTTCCTCTAGCTATTCATGCCATTAGACTTCCTTCGAGGCAGTCAATATTCCACGAGGCTGTTGAAAATCGATGCGAGGATGTTTTTAATCTCATTTATCAAATGAGCGATCACAAATATTTATTTTCGAATGCCATAGATGTCGAGGAGAATAACCTCTTGCATTTGGCCGGAAAACTTGCTCCGGCAGCAAAGCTTAATGAAATCTCCGGCGCCGCCCTACAGATGCAACAAGAACTTCAATGGTTCAAAGTACGTACCCTAAACCCTAATTTCTTTATTCTTCCGGCATTTATTTATTTAATTTTAAACTATTTTTTTACATACTAAAAAAGATAACATATTTGTAACAAAAATTTTATTCCTAAAGTTCACGTAGCTAACGTAATTTATTTCTAATTTTGTCTCTAATGTCATTAGTAACGGAAAAAGTTGATTTAAAGACGAAAAAAATCCGTTATAAAAATATTACTTTGTAGTGACATATCTATAAAAGTTTTGGCACTGTTATTTTTTTTATAGGTATATAAATTATTAGATAATAATTTTTTCTTACAAATATAAATTAAATATTTAATTTAAAATACCAATTATGCCTGTGATCTTCATGGCCTTATATTTTATCATTAAAATTCCATATTTATGGATAATTTAATGGATTGAGGATAATATTTACCTCATATTCTATAGGTGGTGTTTTTATTGTGTTTTGAATTTGGTGTTTTCTCTTTAATATTAATTATTAAAAATTGCAAAAGTATTTTGAAAAGGTGTGATATTGTTTGAATTAATTAATTTTAAATATTTTATCAGGGGAGATTATCTATTTTTATTGAAAGGTGCAAGTGAATATTTTTATTGGTAATAATATGCAAGATAAAAAATCAAATTAAATCATAATATATAGAGAAACTTTATAATTTCTTTATTATATACTAATGATTAAACTCAAATGGTTTCTCAGGTGAGATTTCAAAAAAATAAAAGAAAATAAAGTTACAAGACCAAAAATATATACATTGAAATTAAATTGAAAGTGATAATCGAATATATATATATATATATATATTCATGATCAAAATTTCATCAATATAAATACATAAGTTTCTTGCTTGTTTTTTAATAATAAAAGTTTTAATCAAAATAACTATGTAATGTAATATAAATAAAATGTAAAATTAATTTTTAATAGTATAATATAAAAACTAAGTATTTATTTTACCGTTTTCTAAGAAAGAAACATGTAACAAATAATTAAAAATTCTAAAAAAATCTTTGACAGGAGGTCGAAAACTTTGTTCATCCTTCGGCCCGAGAGAGCGAAAACGTCGCCGGGAAAACACCGCAAACGGTGTTCTCCGAAGAGCATAAGATCTTGAAAGAACAAGGGGAACGATGGATGAAAGACACGGCGAATTCGTGCACGATCGCCGCCGCGCTAATCGCCACCGTGATGTTCTCCGGGGCGATCACCGTCCCTGGGGGCAACCTCGGGAGTGGATTCCCGATCTTCTCCAACGACCCGGTCTTCATTATATTTGCGATTGCCGACGCCGTCTCGCTCTTCTCCTCCGTAACCTCTCTTCTGATGTTCTTGTCGATCTTGACGTCGCGCTACGCGGAGGACGATTTCTTGATCATCCTCCCGAAGCGACTGATTTATGGGCTCGGATCACTGTTTTTGTCGATTACCTCGATGATGGTCGCGTTTAGCGTAACTTTGTATTTGGTGTTCGGGAGGAAGAGCGATTGGGTTCTTGTGACCGTGTTGGCTATGGCGCTGCTTCCGATCACTTCGTTTGTTCGGCTCCAGTTTCCGCTGCTCGTCGACTTGGTTAGGGTTACGTACGGCCCGGGGATCTTCGGGAAGAAGAGTTCCCGGCCGTTCTATTGATCGGGTTGCGGAGAAATGGATTTGATCAACACGACCGTGTTTGATCACTTTGAGTGTGATTCTTTTGAGCGATTCGGAAGATTGAATTTTTTATTTAACTGATAGGTTTGCCTATCGGATTCTGTCCCAAAAATAAATTATATCCCTCTATCTCCACACATATAATATATATATATACATACATTAGTGTGTGTATACATACTATGTGTGTGGGGATAAGGGATAGGATCCACACGGGTGTGTTTGACATTTTGTTATAATTATTCTTCTAAGGATAAATTGATTTTTTTAGTTCCGTAACTGGATTATTTTATTATTTTAGTTTCGTAATTAAAGCATGTTGCAAACTAGTCTTGTGAAAAAATTTTGTAATTTTAGTCTTCCAGTGCCTAAGGACACGAGTCCGGCTGGTCAGCAACACCAAGAGGACACATGAATTTTCAATTTTTTTTGAAATTCTTTAATATCTTTATTTAAAAAAGCAATAAATAAATTAAAATTTTTCCAAAAAAAGCTCATGGGTCCGTCGAGTGTCGTTGATCTAACGGACACGTGTCCTCCGCCGAGTTACGTGAGTGCCACATGGACATCTCCGGAGCGAATGACGCGAAAAATTTTCAAGTATACCCTTCTTTTCCTTTAATATGTATATAGAAAGGGACCTTAAAAATACAAAGTGATAATATAAGGAAAGAATTTCTTCAATACAATAGATTTTTTATACAAGTAATGAGATTGGGCCTATGAAGCCCACAAAAAATAAAATATTAACTATATATATTAATTAAAGAGTATTTAGAAAGAGTTTGACTGAATTATGGGTTGATTCTAACAGATGGGCCCTCATGTGGGCCTACATTAATCAGTGGGCCTACACTATAAAGCTGTCTGATATTTTGACAGCACTGTGGATATTCAATTATTTGATCCAAATAAAATTGTGGTTCTCATTTAATTAGATATAAAGCAATATTTGTATTGTATTTAAAAGAGGGATTATAGTTTTATTTTGATATAATTTTAATATTTGTTTGATTTCATAAATTATATTTATAAATTTTAAAATATATATATATTTGTAAAAAGAAAAAAATTGCAAAGATTTTAAGACATTCTAAAATAAAAATAATAGTAGAAGATTTGAAATATATATTGTATAATTTAAAATTAGACAAATACAATGATGCTATACTCCATCCATATAATTACACCACTTCATTGTTTAAATAAAATTATGAAACTTTAGAGACTTTCGGTGAATTTTAAAAATAAAATAATAATAATAATAATAATAATAATAATAATAATAATAATAATAATAATAATAATTGAATATTTGATGACCTATTTTTAATATTGAAAATGGATGGTATTATCAATTTTTTATCCATTTAGATACAAGTTTTGGAAATTTTAGAATTTTGAAAAATTAAAATAAAAAAATGTGTATTTAATGTAATATTTTTGTGTGTTTTTGTTAATTTTTGTGTATTATTATTAATTTGTATTGTTCCGCATATACTTCATCAGTCCGTTCTAAGGATCACATTTATCTTTTGTGTTAACATTAAAAATATTTTTATATTTGTATAAATTTTTTTTGTACAAATTTCCTTGTATTAGTATTATAAGACACCAATGAAAGTATTTTTGCAATTTTTTTTAGTTTGTACTACATTTTGATATATTAATAAATATTCAAATATCAAAACACGTAAAAGGTAAATGAGACTTTTAGAGCCGAACGGATGTAGTATATTATATATTAGTCGGATGTAGAATGACAGTCTCACCTAAAAGTTCGAACTGTTATGGAAACACAACCATTAATTATTTATTCGGAAACGAGAGTCACCAACATATCAACATATTTAAAGCACTGAGATTTTATTCTTTCAACAAAAATTTTCAACATATTTTTTATGAAAAAAATATTAATATATTACACACACTTTATTCTTATATTATCTACAAAATTCCTCGTACCTCATATAAAAAATATCAAAACATAAAACAAACATACCCTAAGTGAAACGTTCATTTATTTTTATATAAAACCCGGCATTCAATAATGATTTATTTAAAAGATAAAAATTCAAATAATAATAATAATTAATTTTAATTTAATTTTTGCTTTTTTGTTTAGTTCAAATATATTTTTTTGTTAAAACAATATTACTCCCTCAATCTCAATACAATAGTTTTGTTTATCATTGTTGTCCGTCCAAAACAATAGTATCATTTCCATAAATACACATTTCACTATAAAATTATTTTTACTTTTTCATTATTATTACATAAATATCACTATTTTTACACTAATACATTCCCAAGAAAAAAGAATAAAATAAAATAAAAAATTATTCATATCTTTTATCAATTAATAATATAATATCAATATTACTTAAATCCAATAGTTAACTCAAAATAAAACTATAATTTTAGAAGAAAAAAAGTACTATTTATGTTATTTATGTATAGAATGTTACAATGATTATATAGTAAAAATAAAATACTAAAATTTTAAAAGAAAACATTATCCTCAATCAATCAATCGCAATCTCATTGGATCCATTGCATCAAATAGGTGTTGAAAGATTAATGAGACATTTTATATTGTGAAATATTTAAATAGATTATTTTATTTTATTTTATTTTTTTTATTGAATTATAGAGAATTATATAATTTATATAATAACAATAAATATATATAATATATTAATTTTTTAAAAAAAATATGTAATAGAAAAATATAAAAAGAACACATTAACATATTTGAAGTTGAAGATTCAATTACCACAAAATATACTCCCTCCGTCCATAAACTAATGTCATATTTTTTTATTTGGGACGTTTAATAATTATTGTTCTATTTTTTAAAAAAAATACAAATTTTACATTTTTACCCTTCATTCATTTATTACTTTTAATCTCTATCATATAATCAATGACAAATTTGTCAAATCATAACAAAAAGACAATCGCCTAAAAAATCGTACAAATATACTTTAGGACAATAGAAATTAGACGGATAAAATATAATTATGTGCATCTATCACAAAAAAATAAAATTTTAAAAAATAAATAAATAATTCAAATAGGTGTTGAAGGTTGTTTGTTTGACTTCCTGAGCGTAGTTTATAATATGCTCTCTATTATTATTATTATTATTATTATTATAAATATATTTTCTTTAAGTGTGGAGCCCACTTATATTTCGTACTCGGTTTGATTGATGTGTACAAGTGTGAACGTGAATGGAAATTATGAACTTATGTAAAAATAAATTCTAACAACCAAATTGAAGTCAATTTCTTGCTAATGGTCTTTGTTTATTACCGCCAATCTTTTGTCCCAAAAGTAACCTATAAAGCAAGCATACGCGTGACGCGTCCTTGTAATTTTTATTTCATTTTATTTTATTTGGTATATTTAAATTTAATTTTTTAAAATAAAAATATATATATATATATTAAATTTTGAATTAAAAAATAATAATAATTGTGCGTTGGATTTTTAAATATATATTACTAAAGATTTTTTTTTTTTTAAAAAAAATACTTTATCCATCCTAAAACAATGTCACTTTTTCTAATTTGTCTTATTTTATTTGACATCTTTTTATATTTAGTAAATTTTATTAATTTAAAATATATTTAATAAATATAAATTAATTTAATTAATTTTATAAAACACGCCCATATTTTTAAAATATAAATAAAACAATTACCTAATTTCATAATGTATATACACTACTTAGCATTCACTTAAAATTATTTATACCTAAATCTCCTTCATAAACAAATACTATATTTATTCACATTTAAATCTCCATACTTTTTTATAACATTAACTTATGTCAATCATAAAAAAAAATATTTGTATTTTTTTTATATATGTATTATATAAAATTTTATACTTTAGAAAACAATATTCATTTTATCCATTAAAAATTTTAATAAAAATTTTAAAACTATCAATAATACAGCTCACATAAAAATAAAAAAAAAATAATAATAATAATAATATAACTCAGTATAATTAATTTATTAAACTCCCACTATCTTAAATATTACTCCCTCCGTCCCACCACAATTGACACTATTTTTATTTTTATCTGTTCCGTAACAATTAATATTTTTCTACTTTTGGTAAAAAATATTAAATCAAAACATATTTAACAAATATAAATCAACTTAATTAAATACATGACATACAACATCATAAATAATCGTATGACCCACTCAAAACCCCTTTATTTATACTCTTTTAAAAAAAATAAATATTTTTATCTATATTTAAAACTACACATTTTTTTTTAAAAAAAAATTGATTTATGTTAATTATAAATAAGCAAAAATAATTTTTTATTTACTTGTATTATAGAATATTTTATTCTATACAAAAATGATATCCATATTGCATATATTTTTTAATTGCTATATAATTTTTAAATATTTAGACATATATTTTAATTTTTTAGTCATATATATTAAATTTTCTTTAAAAGTATAAATATTATTAACTATAAAAAAATAATATAATAATATCATAATTAATTATTATTAACTAATTAAATATCTTCACCTTAAATACCGTGTCCCTAATCAAATGGTTTAATTCATGTAAGATGGAAGGAGTATGTCACAAATTAAAAGACTACTTATTTTGTCCCGTAAAAAATAACAATGTGAAATGAGGTCGTCACTATAAAATTATTAAATTAAAAAATCTAGATCTTGCCTGCCTCGTATAGAAATTCACAATATTTAATTATTAATATAATTTAAGGATAATTAAGTAATAATATTTGATGTTTACATTAAGCTAACATTGTATTGTCGTTTTGCCTTTTTTGTCGCCACATTCTCATACATAATTGCCTAATAAATAATTCGTTACCAACCTTTTTCCACGTCCTATTTAATGCTTGTACTAATATTATTTAATTTATTTTCACACTATAAGAAATATTTAAAATAGGTAAGATAAAAATATATATATATATTTTTTTTAAATATTAAATGAGTAGATTTGAAATTTACAATCAATTTTAAATATTTAAAATTTAGTGTTTTGTCAAATGAAACAAATAAATTTAATAGATTAATTTGAATTTTACAATTTTCATTTTGGGTTGTTCAAAATTTTTTTTTTTTTTTTGACAAAATATCATATCAAATTCAAATCAATTTTTTTTAAAATATTTACCAAAGAAACGCACCGATTGAATTTGATGGGTTTCCATTTTTACATTCTATTCAACTAACTATACTACAAATAATTATTCAATTTTTTTTTTTTTTTTTTTTTTTTTTAGTAACGGTACTATTTGCCTAACATTACAAATATTTTTTTAATTTACAATATATTATACAAATATCATTACATTTATATCATACAATATAATATTAATATTTCTAAAATTTCATGAAAAAGGAGTATAAAAAATTAACACAGACATGTGTATATATGCATATACATATAGGGTGTGTTTGTTTGGGGGTTTGGATTTTGAGTTGGGATTTGAATAGTAAAAATTTTGAATTTGAATAGTTGTATAATGTGATATAAATAGGTGTTGATTTGATATTTTAAATGTAAAATTGATTTTTAGTATAATATAAAAAATAAAAAATAAGTTATTGATTTGATGTTTTTGGGGGGAAAAAAATTGAATGAACAGTGAAAAAAAAGTTCAATCCCTCAGACAAACACACCCTAGTGTCAAATGGTACAATGAGTTGGATGTAATAATATTTTTTATTTATATATTTTTAAAATAAAAAATAAAAAGTTAAGAAACCTTTGTGCACTTTTGTTCGCATTAGAATCTTGGAAGAAGTGTTTTAAGTATTATAATTGTTTATACTTTATTAATTTTTAAAGTGAAAATCAGAGATTTGAATATGATATTTTAATTTTAAAAAAAAAACCATTTAATATCACAGTTTTGGAGAAAACCTAAAATATACACTACATAGGTAAAAATAAAAAATGAAAAATAAAAAATAAAGATGAAAATATAACGTTGAAAGTTCATTGAATTAATTTTATTTATTTATTTTTGCTATACTTATTTTAAGCATTGGTAGGTGGAACAATCACTTGCTTAGTTGTACCTGCCATTGCATAAATAGTGAATTGTTATTAATTAAAAATCTTTAGAATTGCAAAAATAAGGAAAAATATATTATTTTTTTTATCGGAATAATTATATCAACTTTTCAGTTTTTTTTAAGAGATCACATGTTGAATTTAAAAATTTAATAACATTTTTAAAATTCAATAATTATTATTGTTTTGATTTATTAACGTTGGTTGGAATGAGGCATCAGATACCATTGTTAAATGATCTCACCAAAAAACTTAAGTCTGTAATTTATTTATTTATCTATAATCGGAAGTCAATCAAAAATTATATGAAACAATATAATTAATATAATTATTTAAATAAATTTTGTAACATGATGCACATGCTCAACATATGATCTATGCTTTTTTTTTTGTTTTTTTTCTCAGTGTTAGTTAAATTTATGCGTAATCTAAACAATTTTATTTATTTTTTTTTAAAAAAATAATTATATTATTTCAATTTCATATTCAACAATTTATTCACTCATATTTTTATTACTTTTATTTTAATAAATAATAACTAATTCTTTTTTACTATTTTGTCCCTAATTATTGGAGTTTGAATGTTGTAAGTTCACATGTTTTTGTGCTTAAATTCTATTTGCAAGGTTTGTCTGAGAGATGACAATTAGAGACATAAATTCATTTACGAATATCAAATACTCCCTCCGTCTCATTAATATTAATATAGTTTTAATTGGGTTGGACACAATATTTAAGAAATATTAATATTATATTGATAATTAATAAAAAGTATGGATAAAAGATTTTTTTGTCCATACGGGTGTATTAATATAAAAAGCAATGAAAATTGTGTAATAAAAATAAAAAAGTAGGGGTAGTTTTATGGTGATATGATTATTTATGGAAATAAGACTACTGTTTTGGAACGGACAAAAATGGTAAACAAGACTATTGTATTGGGACGAAGGGAGTAAAAAATAACAAAAGAATTTCTTCAACTCAACAACCATCAATTATCTTTATGATCTTGAAATTTTTTTGGTCTTGTTGAAATTTCACTAATTTATTTGTTTAAGTTCTTTTGAATTTTGTTGATCGGTGTTTAGAATAATTTATTTTTTTGTTTGAAGACAATATTTTGAATCGTATCGTAAATGGAACTCATGCTAAAATATTGTGGAACAATGGAAAGTAGTTGTTTCAAAGATGAAGAACTATAAGTTATTATTTTTTATTATTAATAATAATAATACTCTCTAAGTCTCATAAAAATGATAATATTTTTTATTTTTGGTTGTACCAAAACAAAGATATTATTTTTTAATTTAATAATTGTATTAACTACTCGACATAATAATTATTCTTATAATTTATAATATATTATACAAATGTCATTATTTTTGTATTATATCATACAATTCTGTCTTTCTATTACAAACTAATATAATACTAATATTTAAAAATTTACGGGTAAAAAACAAAATAATTGTTTAAAATGTGAGATGTGGTTGTGATTTGCTGAAGGTAAGTAAATAAATAAGGAAAGTTATTAAAAGCTACTGAAGAAATTCAATGGAAAGCACCTATTAAGTTCGTACGATTCTTGCATTATTATTGATTTTATTAAAAAATAAATAAAATCTAATTATAATTGCAAAGTAGAAAATTAGAGAAAATGTCAAAAAGTATAAAGGAAAAGGGAAAATACATGCATAGTGATAGAGGAGTGTTTGCTTTATTTGTTTATTGTTTTTATATTATTTAAATAAAAATCTGGGAAATTTTAATTTTTTTTTTAAATTCTAATAATAGTAAAAAGTTAAATACTTTATATATATATATATACTCTATCGTTGTTTAAATTTATATTTATTTTTCTTTTTTTATTGTTCTTGAAAAATATTTTTATTTTTTTAAAGTAAAAAATTATTTCAGTTATATACTGTTTTTTACTATAAAAAAAAAATTAATAATTATTATTCATTTTTATTAAAACTCGATTAAATGAACACACATTGTACAACGGAGGGAGTATATAATGTTTTTAATCATGATACTTAAAATTTTTAAAAAATTTTTATTATAAAAAAAAAAAATGCAAGATGAAGTCAAGTGTGTTTGTGTTTTGATCTTTGGAGTCTTTTCTATTACCTCTTTTTTAAAACAAAATAATTGGTTTGTTAATTTTAAAATTTGAATTTAAATTTTTATTCAAATAACATTTAATATATTTTTTTTAATCAGGAATATTGTACGAATTCATAGTAAAAAATTAATTATATGGAATCAAAACGAAACACATATATCAATATAATTTTTGTAATAATAATAATAAAAAAAAAAAAAAAACTCGAATATGATAATCTTTAAGAAAAGAAAGGGTATGTCTTGTTTTAAAATCTTTTCACCTAACCAAAATTTTTACCTGACATATTTTCAATGTATAATATATATATATTTTTTTTATCTAATAGAAATTTATAATTTGATACAAAAATTTATTTTTTATATTACCGACAAAATTTCTTATACTTCACACAACAAAAATTATTTCAAAAAAAAAAAAAAAAACAAACAAGTATTTTAAGAATAGTGAAATTTTTGTTAGTTACTGAAAATTTTACAAATATTTTGAGAAATTGTGATATTATTGGGATGAAGTAATTTTATATTATTTTTTAAATATTTTACGAGAGCAAATAATGTATATTTATTATAAAATTTAAAATAATGTGTAATGCATAAAAAAACGAACTTGTATAATTTGTTCTAGGTTGAAAAAATCAAGAAAAAAATTACTTGTGATAAGTTAATATATATATATATATTTTTTTTATGACGTGAGAACCTACGGTCGTTACTCGAAAATGCGTCTTAGGTAAATTACCGGCCGAATCTAATACCCTACAAATTAGGCCCGATAAGACAAGTCACACTAGGCAAACCATGAACGGTAAAACCTAGTACCCTACAAACTAGACTCGAAGCAAAATTGAGAGGATTATTAATCAATCTTTCAATTTATATATTTCCACCGTCCCATTGGAAGGGTGACATTTGTTTTTTGCATGTAGATTTTTTAATATTAGTATTATATTGGATTGTAGTAAAAAAGACAAAAATATCCCTATTAGTATGGTATAATATAAAAGTAATTGCATTTGTGTAATATATTGTAAGTTGAAAAATTATTTATTATGTTAGATAGGTAGTACAATTATTAAATTAGGAAATGGTACAGAGAAAAATAGAAAATAGTAATATTTCAATGGGATATAGAAAATATAAAAATATGTTTGTTTCATGTTAAGTGCTTATGAAAGACATATGAAAAAATTTAAATTGAATTATTAATTTTTACAATCATGAAAATTTTCACCTCAAATGTATCAAACTGAAATTTTAAAACTAAAAATTCAAAAACAATTTTTTTTTTTTTTTTTTAAGAAAAAGAAAACACAATGAATTTAAAAAGAAACGAGTCTCCAATTTCTTACAAATACCCATAAAAGTCTCCCATCACTTGAAATAAATGACACACAAAATAAATAAATAAATAATACACAGACAAACTTCGTAATATTATTACAGATACACATAAAAATTAATTGAAAATGACTTCTTTTCCCCTCAACTTGCAATTAATTATCCTTTCTCCCCCGACGCGTTCCCTTACATTTTCTCTCTCATACATATACATATATATACATCTCCCATTTCCACTTCACTTCCTAATCGCCATTGACAAAACAAAACAAAGCTTCAATCCAAAACCCTAAGATCCAATAAATAAATTAAACACAAAATTAAATTATTCTGCTGCAACAGATCTGCATCATTCCTCAGCCATGGCGGAATCCTCCATTCCTCCGGCGGCGGCGTCGCTGCCAGTCTACCAGTCGCTGGCGACGGTCAACGTCGGAAACTTCGTCACCGTCAAGCTCTCCGGCGACAGGAAATCGAACAATTACCCTTCCTGGAAGCTGCAGGTTCAGAACCTCATCGAAGGCCACGACTTGCTCGGCTTCATCGACGGCTCTATCCAGCCGCCGGACGACGTCCAGAGAGAGCCCAACGCCCCCGCCGGCGAAGGCGGCGGCCGCGGCAGCCCGGAGGCGTACGACCTCTGGCGGACCGACAAAGTCCTCCGCGGCTGGATTCTGGGCACCATTTCCGATCCCAAATTGCTCTCCAGTGTCTCCAAGCTCGACACCGCCGGAAAAGTCTGGTCCTCCCTCGAGAGACGCTTCGAGCACAGAGGTAGCTAGATTGAGCTTCAATAGCGGAATTAAATAATTAAATTAAATTTTCAATTTTATTTTTTTTAATTTTCCAACTATCGAAGTTAATTAATTAAAGGTAAAGTATATAACACTTTCTTATTTATATATATATTTTTTTAGCAAAATACCTAAAACTTCTGTGTTAATAATGTAAAATTAGACATAAAACATCATTTTTATTAAAAATTGATATTTAATTATATATATATGAATGTGCAAAATGTTATACAAAAGAGAAAAAATATTATAAATAATTGTTATCTGATTTTTTTTTAAAAAAAAAACTATTTATTTATTTATTTTATTAAAAAAATTATTTAAAATATTTTACTTCTTTTATTTGTATAAAATTTATCTAATTTAGATTTTTATTTAAAATCAAACATAACTTTGGACAAGTTGTGTGCAAACTTTAAATTAAAGTAAGGGTTTCACGTATAGGATTTTTGTACATTTTAACTAAAAACAAGAGGAAAGTGTTATATTCGTAATATCATTTAAATTTATTTTTATTTTTCTTTGTTAAATGTCATTCAAATTTATTTTTGTTTTCTTTAGAAAAAAAAAATACTATTTATTCTAGTTTTTTATTTTATCATTAAAAGAAAAAGTTCCTATTTATTACTATTTTTTAAGAATTCGTGTTGGATCAAATGATGATACTGACGGAAAGAGTATAATTTACCTATTAATTTATTGTCAGAACCGGCGCCGCACGCGCAGACGTTCCACGCCGACGTAGCGCCGAAGGACTTCTTCAACGTGCAAATACCTCTTCTAAAAGCGTCGCTCGCCGGAAACTGGGAGAGCGCCCAGAAGCTTCTAGAAAGGGACCCCGGCGCCGCCATGACTTGGATTGACGACGACAACATTGTAACGCCGTTAGAAATCGCCGTCGGGACGGGGAAGGCTCTACATTTCATCGAAAATTTGCTGACTCACATACCCGACGAGAAGGTGGCCTTAAAAAACGATTTGGGATCAACGGCGCTGCACATCACGGCGGCCGTCGGAAACAAACCGGCGGCGATGAAGCTGGTGGCGAGAATGCCGGCGCTCTGCTACGTCCCTGATTACAGCGGCGACTTTCCGGTGCAGTACGCGGCTCAGTATGCGAAAAAAAATATGCTCGAGTACTTGATCTCCGTCACGACGCCCACCGGCGGAGATCAGAATCCGTACGCCGGTTTGGCGGGGCTCCGCCTTCTAACATACTCCATGGACGCCGAATTCTTCGGTAAGTAAAAAATAAGGTGAAGTATTATATGCTAATCTTTTGTGGGTTGTGGTAGCATTTAATGTGTGTTATGAACAATAATAATATAAGTTGTAGGAACTATTATTATACTACTTAGTTTATATATGTATTTATATTATATTAATATAATTATTTATTATATTTTTTTTTTCATTAACTTCTAATATATATATTTTTATTTTAGTCGGTTCTTGAAAATTTTATATTTTTATTTTAGTCGGTTCTTGAAAATTTTATGTATATATTTTTTAAGTAATTGTAAATTATATCATTAACTATTATATACTTCTTTCATTAACTTTTTTCATTACACTCTATTATATTTAACTATTACTATTAAAATACTAATATTTCTTAATTTATATGCAATACGATAAATATAAATTTTAAAGATGGACAAAAAAAATAGTATTCTTTTTGTTTTTTTAACAAATTATCCAATTTTCTATTTTGATGTGTCTCGTAACAAAATATGCATTTATATTTTAGTAACTGTACTATTTATTTTGTACTATTTATTTAACGTTACAAATACTTTTACAATATACAATATATTACATAAATGTTATTACTTTTATATCACACAATACTAATAGATTAATCATTTTTATTTTATTCTTACTATATATCAATATAATACTAATATACCTTAAATTATATGCCAAAAAAATAAAATAAACGGATACCTCTTTAAACGACTAATGAAGTATTTTTTATATTCTAATGTGCTGTTAGTAAAGTGCCTAATCGTATCATCTAAAAGATATTGGATGATTCGATGAAATTAAGAATGACTGGTGTGGTGTGCAGACATTGCTTTGGATTTGGTGGAAAAGTATCCGTACTTGGTCGGGATAAAATTTCCAAATGGGGATTCAGCTTTGGCTCACATAATTGGAAGGTCTGTGCTCTTCAATAGAAAACGGTTGAGCGGCTGGGATCGATTTATTGCGTCCTGTAAGCTAAATTCGACTATTCATAAAAAAAAAAAAAAAAAAAAATTTCTAAAAATTCATCGATCGGCCGATTAATGATCATTTCGATATTTAACAATGTTGTTTGTCTTGCTATAATCAGACATACCTCGGACGCCGACATGGTTCCCGGAGAATGTAATAGAGAATGGACAGATCAACGACATCGAGAGTGGATTGCTTCATCACGGCACACTACAAGGTAATCGATCTAGCGATTGAATTTTGTTCGTCAGACATATAATATACTTTCTTTATCCACTTGTAAAGTTTACATTTGTTTTTTTTTTTTTTCACGTTGATCATAGTACAAATTAAAAAAATAAAAATAAAAATATTTCTATTAGTGTCTTATAATACTAGAACTACGTTTATACAAAAAAATTATATAAATATAAGGATATTTTTAATGTTAAATACAATGACGGAAAAGGTAAATGTAAACTTATTAAGTTAACGAATAAAGTATAAATTAATAATATATATCATAACAAATTTAAACTTTTAAGTGAGACGAAAATCTCTCTGATCGTAGGATCTCTGGATGAGGATGCGAATTGCAATTTCAAGTTCTTGGAACGACTAGGTAATTACACGACTTCTTCGAGTATACATGTATTATATCGTTCTTTAATTTTGCGATTTTTTTTATAATGAATATTATGCGCGTATAGTGCCTCGAATAAAGACGGTGAAGGCGAAGTTGAAGGCGAACAACCAAGCGCTCGAGCTCGTGAAATTGATATGCGTCAAGCTCCAATTGTTGGGAAATTTTAAAGGGGCGAGGGACATTTACGAAAACTCGATCTTGAAGGCGGCCGAATTAGGGTTGGGAGACGTAGTCGAAATAATTATGAACATATTCCCGCTTTCGATCTACGCTTACCGCCTTCCGACAAAGCAATTTATATTCCACGAGGCAGTCGAGAATCGCGCCGAGGATGTTTTCAATCTCATCTACCAAATGAGCGATCACCGCCACTTGTTTTCGAACATGGTGGACGGAAACTACAACAATCTCTTGCATTTGGCGGGAAAACTCGCGCCAGCGCACCTGCTCAACGAGATCTCCGGCGCGGCTCTTCAAATGCAACGCGAGATACAATGGTACAAGGTGCGTCGCATTCAATTTTGATGCAACGGAAGTCTTTCATGCATGTTAAATAATTTTATCGTCTAAAAATTTAAATTTTTATCCGACCAAGTCAGTATGGTACTGATTTGACCGGATCAACATAGATCATACACATAACCAACATAAATTAGATATGCATAAAATATATGATGATGGTCATTTAACATTACTATATAATATGTAATTTAGGTCGGATTAGAGGTAGCAATTCAGGCCGACCCAATTTTTTTGTTTCGGGCCAGCCCGACCCGATTATACAATGGGTCGTACAGGCACAGCCCGAGCATGACCCGGTTTGAACTCATAACTATATGTACATATGTTAAGAACTTTACCGTCAAACTATCTCTTAATTTTTGTCATTATTTCATTAATTAGCATATATTAAATATTAGATAATAATTTCAATAAATCGAGTCGGGTTGGGTCGAGCCATGCAAGGCCTGACCTTTATGGGCCCGGGCATGGCCCGATTTATTAGTAAGTCAGGTAAGGTACGGTCCAAAAAATCTCGCACTTATTTTTGGAGGCCTAAGCATGATCTTTTTGTGTCGGGCTCGGACCGAGTTTTCGGACGGTGACTATTTTTTCCACCCTTAGGTCAAATGGTCATTTAACATCGTCTTTACAAGTTTTAGTCTGTATCGACCGCAGGAGGTAGAGAAGTTCGTCCACCCCTCGACCCGAGAGCGCAAGAATTTGGCGGGAAAGACGCCGAGAGTCATGTTCACGGAGGAGCACAAAGCGTTGAAAGAAGAGGGCGAGAAATGGATGAAAGACACGGCGAATTCGTGCACGATATCGGCGGCACTCATCGTGACAGTGATGTTCGCCGCAGCGATCACCGTGCCGGGTGGCAGCGTCAGCGAATCGGGATTCCCGATTTTCTCCGAAGAGGCGGCGTTCATCGTGTTCGGAATCTCGGACGCGATCTCGCTCTTCACGTCGGCGACGTCGTTGCTGCTCTTCCTCTCGATCCTGACGTCGCGATATGCGGAAGAAGATTTTCTTCGGGTCCTCCCCAAGAGGCTGATCTTCGGGCTGGCAACGCTGTTCCTGTCGATCACGTTCATGATCGTGTCGTTCAGCGCGACGCTGTATCTGGTTTTCGGGAAGAAGAAACAGTGGGTGCTTGCGCCAGTGCTGATCGCGGCATTGTTGCCGATCGCTTCGTTTGCGCTGCTGCAGTTTCCGCTTCTCGTCGAGCTTACTTATTCGACGTATGGCCGAGGAATGTTCGGTAAGAAGAGCAATCGTCCATTCTATTAAGCACACAATGAGTCTTGTATGTATGTATGTATTTTTGGGAGGCATTTTAAGAAATTGGGAGTGTGTATACAAGGCGTGTTCTTTTGAGGGGTTTTGGTATGTTTGGCTGATGGATCAGGTTTGTGGTTAGAAGTTCGGTTGAATCAAATGCTGTTTTTTTATTTTGATTAGTCCCGCATAATAATATTATTATTATTATTATTATTATTATTATTATTATTATTATTTTTAAACACAACATTCTCGCCAAAACAAATGAGCCTTATTTTAAATTCTATAATTTATAATTTTTTAATTTTTATTAGACTAATTATTTTAACTTTAATGCATAAATATTTGTATTATATTGTAGTAATTTTACTAATATATTATAGTAATTTTACTAATATATTTTAAATTATTTACTAATCATACTTCTGTTAAATAAATTTATGTGTCTATGGTAGCATTGACACAACACTTGAGGCAGAGTATTATTTCTTACTTACTATGATTGTTAATCTCTTCAATATATATCTTTTTTTTTTTCAATTTTTAATAAAATTTGAGTGGTGTGTTTGCTTTTTTATTTCAAATAAAAAATAATATTAACAAGATTTAAGCCCTCCAAGTTTGTTATAGAAAACCAATCTTCCACAACTAGAACTAGTTTTGAATGTTACCACATCATTACATTAATCTAGTAATAATATTCCAATTTGAGCCGATCCTAAAACCAAATAATTTATAAATCTAACCCACCAAATTGTGGACTACTTGCTATAAGTTTTGTAGGCTAACTGTTTTGCCCGTCGGGTTAATCCGTCCCACCTCACAATCCATCCTCGCCAAATTTGGCTAAACTATAGATGTGTAGCTGATCCATTAACCCGCTCGAGCATCTTCAAAGCTCAAACTCGACTGCTCGAATCGAGCTTGAGCTTTGTTTTAAAAAGTAGCCGAGCCAAGGACCCAAACGAAAGAAACACAACACGAAGACCAGTGAATAATGATTGTAAGCCAAAACAGTTCATCATCATCATCATCATCATCATCATATACAACACCATAAAAAAAAGGGTCTGTAATTATGCGCGACGCCGGTTATTCTCGTGTGAATGAGTCGAGCTGCTGCGAGGAACGAGCTATGGTATGAAGCCCCAATACTACAGGACACCTAAAACTCAATTTACAAACATGCTTCTACTGCTATGTTACACTTACATCGGGACTATTGGAGTCGGGATCACCTGTTTTAACACCGCGCAACATAAGAGAGTTCATCTGTTTTCTCAATACACCGTTATCGACTAGGATTCTCACAAGCATCTTCCTCAACTCCCTGTCCACAGACCCGATGCAATCATCTGTGTCGTCCACAGCTCGATCTGAGGTTGAACCAGCGTTGAGATCATCCTCGGCTAAACGCTGAACCTGAAGAACATTATAAGCATGAATTCAAAAATGACGTATTATTAATCATATTCTGGGATGATCATCGTTCCGGGTTTGAAAGTTTATACATTTTTCAATAGTTAAATTCAATTGTCCGATAAGTAAAAATGGCAGGAGAAATTAAAACCAGATATTTCAAAATATCGAAATTTAAAAATGAGAAAGGAATCAGAGAACAAGCGACTGGGAGTACCTTGGCAAAAAGGTCAATTTGATCGTCAGGTATGCCAACAAGATCATTGCAATCCAACAACGATGAGGAATGTCTCTGTTGTTCGTCTCCTCCCGGGGACTTTAAATAATCATTGCTACAATCCTGAAGCTGATCATAAATAGTCTTGCATTTATCGAGCAGATTCATCAAGGAAGATTTTGATTGCTCTTTCCTCTCTCTTTCTTCTTGAAGAAGTTCCTAGAATTGCAAAAGTTTCAAAACAGAATTGAGAATCAATAAGAATTAAGTCTTGCTGAAGTTTGAGACACAAAAACACAAGGAACAACCTAAGTTCAAAGAAAGGTAACCTAGAATCGAGCATATTCTTCCTTAAGAGATATGGTAGAATACTCCCTCATCCAAGAGATACTCGCGTACCCAAATATATGTTGGATCAACTAATTACGTGGTATATTTTGGAGAAAATATACTGACTCAATGGTCCATTAATTAGCTCGCCACAACTTTGCACCTCCCTCAAGAGAACTCCTACATCATTGGTATGATTTAAGAAATTCCGGTTGTGTTTGGTTAGGGTTTTCCCAAAGACTTTCACTATGGACCAACTTTTCCCCTAAAAAAACTATTAAATCAAACTCTTGTTTTTATTTTTTTTAAAAATTATGTCAAAAAGTAATTTTACATTATAAACGTCACATCAATATCTATTTATATATCATCAAACATCTAATCAAATTCAAAAATTTTACAATTCAAAACCCAAACCCAAAATTCCAACCAAACACACATTTTTCGATAGTCAATTAAAGAACATAATGATAATGATAATTATTTGAGTGTGAGATGATATACGGCACTATTTTACATGATTTTAGAAAGTGGAGCAACTAAGGCATACCTGTGCTTCGGATTTTTCACTGAGTGCCTCCTTAAGCTGTTGCTTAAGTTCTGCCTGTGAACTTCTTAGAGATTTAACTTCTTTAACAAGAACTTTCATATCAGATTTTGATTGCAGCTCCAGGTCTTGATATCGCTTCAACAAGTCCACAAACTGCTGCTTTACGGAATCCAACTCCTCATGGAGCACATCATCCTGTTGTCGATTACCTGCTGAATTGTCCGACTGAGTGTGGGCCTGGAAAAGGTTTCCTGTTACATATAATGTTGTTCAAAGTGAGGAAAACTACATTTCATGGATGTGTTACCTTTTGAGTACTCGACTTCAATTCCATTTCCATTGCCCGTTGCTTAAGCTCCTCCATGTCCCATTGCATTTGGGTCACCCTTTCCCTTTCAGTTAATAATGCTTGTTCAAGATTCTCTTTACTCTTTTGCTTAGTTGTCTCAAGCTCCACTTCCAAATCCTTGACCTGGGAATGACGATATCAAGTATTCCATATGCAATGATAGATACAACATATATGCACAAGAAGGGCCTCACATCAAAGTCGTGAAAATATATATAAAAAATAAATAAATTATATGAAATCAGGCAAATTGTACATAGAGAAGGAAGATATGAAGTCAATATCAACTGTGTGTCCGGACTCTATATGTGAGTCATGCTTAACCAATGCCTTTGATATCAAGTTTGATTTTCATGAACACAATCACAAATGAAGTTAACTCGACTCTTGAGGTTTTAGGATTCTCTTCAAAAGCAATAAAAGTAGATATGGTCTTCTGAGAACATGTTTCTTTGTTACAGAATTAAGCACAAGCCACGAGCTAGTGTTACTTGGGCCAAAAGCAATAAAAGTTGACTCGACTCTTGAGGTTTTAGGATTCTCTTCAAAAGCAATAAAAGTAGATATGGTCTTCTGAGAACATGTTTCTTTGTTACAGAATTAAGCACAAGCCACGAGCTAGTGTTACTTGGGCCAAAAGCAATAAAAGTTGATATTGTCATTCTTTCATATTGTTGTGTTTCTATTTTGAGCAATGAAATAAAAAACACTTAAAACCACTGGTTGATTTTTCAAGACTTTTCATGTCATGGACGTTTAATTTATAACAGATACAAAGAAAGAAACCAAATTGTAGCAAGGTCAAAGCTTAACAATTACAATACCTTGGTCGTAAGATATTCCTTCACTGCAATTTCCTGATTCAACCTTGATATAAGATCCTCCATATCAGTTTTTGCAGTGATCAGCCTTCGCTGCAATGTCATAAGCACTCTATTCAACTTCTGGCGCTGCTCCATTGGGACCAATAGATGTATGTTATCTGGAAGTTTAAAATCTGAGTCTTCAACAGTTCCAATATTGGAGATCTCCATCCCGCTTCTAAAGTCAAGAATCCCATGCCCATTCGAATTTGGAAATAATATATTCGACAATTCACTGCCTCTCTGCGAACTTCTGTCACTTCCAATGCTTTCATTTGATAGTTTTCGAACATGGGGAACCACTAGCCCATGTTCCGGCTCAGATCTGTGTTCAATTGTATCCTCCATATGATGAGAGGCTTTAGAAGAGCTTCCATTACTAACCTTGTGCTCCGAACTACTATGAATATCTCTGGGATGCAGCTTATGCTTAGGAAAATTTTCAAGTTTCTCTAGAATAGCATGCCCCATAGACAATCCCTCGTCAATATTTGTCATGCCATACTTCACAAACTTGTCTACTGGACTTGATACATCATCATAAAGCGTCAGATCATCCAACCCTACTTCAGAGTTGTTATCCCTTCCAAGGCTTGTAGTACCAACCTCGGATGCCTCATAAGCTGTATCACTGCCATAATCCGACGCCATTGAGGAACTGCCTGCTGTTGCAGACAAGCTTGAATTTGGATCAACATGATGAGATGATTCCACCATACTCACAGAACTATTCGGATCCAAGCCATGCTGGTTCTCATCTTGGAATGCTGGGACGTAAGAAAGAAAGTTTTATATCAAGCACGTGTGTAATGTTAAGAACATCAGAATAAAACATGTGTAATGAAAACTGCAACACCATTAAGTCAATAAACATATTTTGAGTGTAATGATATAAAATCAGAGATGACACCCACATGCTCTAGCGGCAGCCTCCAGCTCGAGAAAAGAAGCAACAGGCATACTTCGTGACAAGTCAATGTCAGAGAGTAACTTTGTCATCCACTCCTCAAGAGAACCCCTCCTCTGGAAAAAACAGAAGCCTTCAAATAAACTTCAGATGCTCTCAAAACTGGGGGTATAGATATAAAGTACAAAACTCTTGTTTCCGCTAGAGAATGTACAGAGATTGGACCTTCCAGACCTTCCAGACCCTCAATCTCAGATATAGAATTGGACAAAAAGGTTTGCAGTTCACATTAAGAATTTAATGAAGTAATATCCAAACAATATTTACCGCTTCAAGCATTGCCTTAGTTTTCATCCTCAGAAGTCCTTTGGGGGGAGTTGGCGGAACATTTTTCTGTGGAAAGGATCGTTTAATCTGCAATAGAAGTGCCAACCATACCAGGATCAATAATCATAATTTCCATAAGGCAACAAACATGAAGTATAAACAAGGTCAAAGTACATTTTTCTATTTAATATACTCCCTAAATGATTACGATGGATAAACTTACAGCAGCATGCAATTTTAAGAAATCGTTGAATCTTCTCAAAACAGTTCTGGTTGTTGTAATTCCTTCTGGTGATTGAAGACCAACTTGAACCCTGTAAAACTGCCCTTTGGAAAAAGTTACTTAGGAAACTACCTAACAACTAAATCATTCAATAGGAAAGTGTGTCCAACAAAAGGATATACGGGGCAGAAGTATAACGTTTTCAATAAGCTTTGAGCAGATTGTAATATCATGGCACTTCTGGAAGGTCTTCATGTTGTAAGATGCCAACTTAAATGCTTTAATCTTATTCTAGAATTTTCATTTATGAACTAAAAATTTCCTTATATTACTTACAATTACAAGTATTATTAAAGTTAAGCAGTTAAACCATATGATTTGCAGAACATGTATCAGAAAATTAATAAAATACCACGGTAGGGTCAGAATCTTTTGATTTGGCAAGTACAATCCAGGAGGGTATCGTGACACAATAACTCCATCCAGTCCGAGGATCATGAGGCCAAACAGTCTCTCTCCCACCCTACAAAGTTCATCTACATGTCAATACAGAAAATAATAGCATGGGCTGACTTGAAATTTGAACGCCAGAAAAGTTTCAATCATTGTTCTGCATAAACTGCAAGTACTAAATTTAGTGTATCAACATCTTGAGAGATATTTATGCAAGTCAAGCAATTTTAATTAAACATTACCCAGGATTGATTGTTAGCACCGTCAATGGGAATCCAAGGCTTGCGATAATATACAAAAGGTCAGATCTCTTGTTCATAAAGCTAAAATTTAAATGACTACAGGGCTGATCACAACCTAAATTTTGGAAAGAGGGGTGAAGTGAACAGTCCGTAAATTGAAGGAAATGTTCACGATATAAGAAATAAACAAATAATTTGTAAGAACAAGAATCATACCCAAACACGAGGAGGAGGGCTCCAATCCATACCCAAAGGCAGAGGTGAAGTTCCATCATGCCTGTGCTTAGGTGTACTTTGCCTCTGCATCCCCACAATTTTGGACTCCGATCACTTTATGCCCTTGTTTAACTCAAAATGAGTAGTCCCTGTAAAATACTTATCTGATTATACTGAATTACTGCACTCACACGGAACAATAAAGAGAAATAGGTATTAAATGAGCGGATGATTGTCCTATAACTTGGATTTTGGGCAATTAAGAAAATGGATTTTCTATAGAGGCAATAGCTTCTATAATATATATATATGTATATATTTAGGAAGTAGATATTTGTTTTGAAAAATGTATTTTTGAATGGTACTAAAATATTAAATATATGTTGAACCACTTTGAACTATCAGAAAATTCTGTTGAATGATACAAAACATCAGCATGGTGTTTAACCACAGTATAAAATTTGTTGAACATAGTGTAAATATGTTGAACTCTTACAGGAAAAAAAGCAAAAACAAAAAAATTGAGCATATCTATTGAAAACTTATAAGTTTACACCAAAAAAAAAAAAAAGATCTGCTGAATGACATAGAAAAATTGCCGAACCACCATATAAAACATGATAAACAACATTATTCAGATGTAATGTGTAATGCATCATCACCGGATCCAAATTGAATATATGAGTGTGTGTGTGTGTATTATTGTGTAATTTATCCAAAAATGATGGGTTCTACCGTAATCTCTTAGAGGGAAAACAATATTTATGTTTGCAGCATCTATCACGTTTGTATGGAAACTCTAAACTTCGGCGTCAAATGATCTGCAATTGTGTTTACCAGTACCTTACTACAACTACAACACACAAGTCAATAATTTGATCAACGGCTAAGATAGCTAGTTCTCAGATAAACAAAGACCATGTTTTCATTAAGCTAGATAAGAAAATATTTATTCAATAACATGAATCACAATCACATTTTCAATTAGTGGAACCAAAAAAAAAAAACGTATTTTCAACATTTATATTAGAACAATCAATGTTTAAGATATCAAAAATAAAATACAATCCTTAGACCCACAATCCAGTTCTGCAAAATTCAGATATGCTTCCATTAATCTCAAAAAACACATAAATCAAGTTCATCCACAAATCCATCAATCATCAAACAACAGATTAAAGCACGCACACGATTGTTACATACAAGCACCAATCATCCACAATTTAAACCCAAAAACGATCTTCAATAGTATAGCACACGCAACAACATACACAGAAAACAACCGAATTACTAGCGAGAAAGAGAAGGCAAGTGAATTTGCAAAAACAACAATATCATGTCAGCAGGAGAAATTTCACTGAAACAGAAACACGATTTAATCTACTCACAAGTCCGATACTTCAAGATCAATCTACTGAGTATTTCGTCCAAAATCTTAAAGATGATTCACGTCACACCCGCACCCCGAATAATTAGCAGGAAAAAAAATTAGAGCAGATTAAAACGACAGTAATAAACCTCAAGGCTCGGAGTTACAGAGGTGGAGCCGTGATCGATGCGGTGGAAATGTGCGGAACGATCGATGGAGCGCTCCTTCTTGCTGGCTCAGCTCCTCGATGCCATGGAAAAATCGATCTGCTCGACAAAGAAAAGGCAAATAGACCGAATCCTTTCTTTAGCAAACCTCGTCTATTTTGCTCTTTTACATTGGGCCGGACCGGCCCATTAACTTCGTTATGGACCGCCCCAATTAGAATTGCACATTCGATTCCGAACCGCCCCAATTAGAATTGCAAATAAACACTTAAATTAAACAAGTTTTATACACGTGAAATTAAAAAATTTGTTTTTAATAAAATAAAAATAAATAAATAATTAACCAATTATTTTTTTAAAAAAAATTTATAAAAATCTAATAGAATTTATCTCAAAAAACTATAAAATAATAGTTAATTAAATATTTATTTATTATTTGTATAAATATACTTTAACTGGTTCGTATTTACAATCAAAATAATTATATAAATTTGGCTTGACACAAATATTAAGAAAATAATAATACTTTAATATTAAAATAAAATATTTTAAAAAAATAATATATTACATATAATAATAATAATTTAGTTACTCCCTCCGTCCCATTGGAAGGGTGGCATTTGTGTTTTGTATTAGTATTATACTTGATTGTAGTAAAAAAGACAAAATACCCTTATTGGTATAATGTAATATAAAAGTAATAATATTTGTGTAATATATTGTAAATTGAACGGGTATTTATTATATAGGTAGATACTACAATTACTAGATTAGAAAATGATAATCTTATTTTGGGACAAACAAAAATATAAAATGATAACATTTGAATTGGGCGGATGGAGTATTATTTCTTTCTCACTTTCCTTACTATTAATAAATTTCTACCAATACCCTAGTTTATTTCTATCTATCTATTTTAATACTATCATATTACTCCCTCCGTTCAGTTAGAAAGTATACATATTTATATTTTTGGAACATTCAATTACAAAGTAACTATTTCATTAAATACCCCATTTTTTCCACAAATATCCCTACTTTACATCACATCATTACTTTTATACCAAAAAAATAAGGACAAAAATATCATTTTACTACTTTTACCTACCCACTATAATTAAAATACTATTATTCTTTAATCTCCGCGCCAAAAGTAGTTGTATACTTTTAGCTTGGACGGAAGGAGTATTCCTTTTTAGTCTCTAATAGTGTACTCATTTAAAAAATTAAAAAAAAAAGTTATCTACATAATAATATTTATGTTATATATTTTAATTTAGATATAATATTTATTATTGAAAATAGGCATCAATACTAATAATACTATTCATATAAAAAAAAATAATATCATAATATATTATTAATAATTTATTAATTTTTATTATTTAAATAATTGTATCCAAAACAAATAAATCATTTATTTTCTTTATGTTTTTTTAAACTTCAAACCACATATGTTCTGTATACTTTGTAAAACAAAATACTCCGCCCCAATAATAGTCTTATTTTTATAAATAATCATATCACTATAAAATTATCTTTATTTTTTTTATTATTATTACACAAATGCCATTACTTTTTTCACTAATACATTTACAAGGACAAAAAAATATTTTACGCATACTTTTTACCAACTATCAATATAATATTAATATTCCTTAAATTTAGACTCAAATAAGATCATAATTTTTTAACAGAGAGAGTATATTTCTTTTTCTCATAAATATCTTATTATATATTACTTACAAAAAATTTAAAAGAGAAACACATTTTCGTATATAAACGGAACCCAAAAATTGTTGAAATAATCCTGGTAAAAATGATTACTTGCTAGGTCAGCCGATCTGACCCTGTCAAAGTCGAAATATTTGTCAACCATTGACTTAATTTATATATATATATATATACACACACGCGGTGTGTGTTTTGTTTGAGGAATTTTGAAGAAAAATTACTATTTATTTAAATATTTATTTTTATTTTTTATGTATTATTTAAAAAATTAATTTTACACTCAAAATATTACATAAACACTTATTTATATTACTATTATACAACTATTTTAATTCAAAAATTTTATTATTCAAATCTCAACCCAAAATCTAAACCTCCAAACAAATACTGCCATAATATATTTTTCACGATGACTATTTTACTGGATTTTTCAACATAGTTTGAATTTTTAAAAATAGCAGTACTACATCATTCTAATTAAAAATTTGTTATTTTTTATTTTCGTTCGTAAAAAAACAAAGTTATCATAACAAACCCTTTTAACATACATTTTATTACACAAAATGTCATTACTTTTATATTACACAATATTAATAGAAATTTTTTTTTCAGTACAACCCAATATAATACTAATATTAAAAAAATTACGTATAAAAAGTAAACGGTAACATTTATACAGGACAGGGGGAATATATGATTTAATATTTTATATAGAAATTAACACTTTAATAAAATTATGTTAAAAAAATGTATATATTACTACTGAATAATTACAAAATTTTGAAAAACATGAATATCACAAACATAATTTAAAGGGAGGCGTAAAAGTGAGTAAATAAATGGTAAGAATATGTTATTTTATATTATTATAAAAATTATATTTTGTATTAAATTATTATTATTATTATTTTTAAATAAATAAAATCTACTCTCTAAATCCAAGAACAAATGATAGTTTAAATATTAGTATTATATATATATATATTGCAAGTCAAAATAAAAGACCTAAATACTTTTATTAGTATTGTGTAATATAAAGATAATAGTATCTGTAATATTGCAAATTGTAATACTCCATTTGTCTCATATCTATCTATTTGTTTTTGCATAAAGTTTTTGAAATATTAATATTATATTAGAATATAATATAAATAAACGTAAAAAGAATAAACTAACTTTATTAATATTGAATGATATAAAAATAATGACATTTATGAAATATATTGTAAATTGAAAAGATATTTACAATATTTAGTAAACAGTGGAGTTACTAAAAAAGATATAAATAAATACTTTGTTATATTAAAGACCAAAATAAAAAAATAAATAGTTTATTAAGAAAGGAAGACAATTTTATTATTTATAATATTATGTTGGTTGTCGAATAAAAAAAATGATAATTTTCTTTTGAACTAAAAAATAATATTTGTTGTATGAGAAGAAGAGATTATATTATATACTGTAATGTGTATATAGATATTTTTAATACTCCATCTGTCCGAGAAATAAGTATTCATTTGTTTTTTTACGTAGTTTTAGAAATATTAGTATTATATTGAGATATAATAAGAATAAAGTAGAAATGACAAAATAACTTTATTAGTATGTGTGTTATAAAGGTAATAGTATTTGTGTAATACTCCCTCAGTCCCACATAATTTGTCTCTATTTTTTATTTTCGTCCGTCCCACATAATTTGTCCTTTTATTTTTTGAAAAATTAATTATACATTTTAATCATATTTTAAAATTTATTTTTTTTAATCGTAATAAAATTATTTAGTTATCTTAATCTTAATCTATAATTATTTTTACTAAATAATAATTATTTTTACTAATATATTTTTTAATTACTTACTAATTATATTTTACCTAAATTCTCGTGTCTACATTAATACACCCATATTTTTTGGGACGGAAGGAGTATATTGTAAGTTGTAAGGGTATTTGTAATGTTAGGTAGATAGTACAGTTACTAAAAGAGGAAATGAATACTTTGTTATGAGACGGACTAAAATGAAAAAATAGATACTTTGTTATAAGACGGAGAGTATAATATTTATCTAAAACTATTTTATCAAAAAAATAAAATCCAATGTCCTTATTCAATCTTTTTTGAGTTCGAAATGTTCATTATATATATAATATTCGATTTATTTTTTATAAAAAAATACTATATATATTTTAAAATTTACCGAATCAAGATAGTTAACAACTTATATAAAAAGTTCATATTTATGAGATATGCAATAAAAAATAAGTGAAAATTGCTTATTAAAGAATTATTTTCTTTTGATTTGAGTAAATACCCTGATTTGAATGATATAATATTTTGGTTATTTTTTACAAAAAAAATAATATTTTTTTTTGTTACCAATAATGTATTATATATATTTGTTCATTCCGTACAAAAGAATTATGTAATTTTATTGTATATGAAAATAAAAAATAATGATATTATAATATTAAAATATACTAATAAATTAAAAATAAAGTAAGTTATTATATGTAAGTATATAAAAAAAACTTATTATTAGGGGTGTGTTTGTTTGGAGGATTGAATTTTCAATTCACTGTTCATCCAATTTTTTTTCCAAAAAATATTAAATCAAACATCTATTTTTTATTTTTTATATTATATTAAAAATTAATTTTACATTCAAACATTACATCAACACCTATTTATATCATATCATACAACTATTCAAATTCAAAATTTTTCATATTCAAATCTCAATTCAAAATCCAAACCCCCGAACAAACACACTGTACGTTGATAAATTGTTAGGTAAAAAAATAATAAAATATTATTATTTATTAAATATATTATAAAATTATAAATAAATAAAAATATTTTATGGTAAATAAAATGAGTGAACATTTTAAAAATAATTAACATAATTTTGGTGTAAGAGTTTATTTATTTGAGTCAAAAGTCAATTTTGGCTGCCTCTGCTTTGTGTGGACTTTTCACATGACCTTAGCTATTTTTGAGTGAGTCCAAGGATCTCATATCCCGAATATTTTTGCCACTCAAAAGGATTTTGAGGTGTGCTTTTTTATCAATTTCTTTTTTTTTTTTTTTTTAAATTTTAATATTTAAATTTTATTTGATTATAATTTAAATAGAGTATATATTTAAATTTTTGATTAAATAGTACTCCCTTCGTTCCACATATAGCTACACTCTAGACACGGTATTATAGGAGAATGATCTAATTAATAAATAATTAATAATGTATTAATAAAAATAATTATCGATAACATAAATAATTATAAATTAAAATTAAGATAACTAATTAGTTTAATTAAAATTTTTAAAAAATAAAATTAAAAAGTTTAAAATGAGATTAAAATGTGTAATTATTTTCTAAAAAAGGAAAATAGCATGTATATGGGACGGACATAAATGACAACGTGGACATGATATGTGAGACGAATGAAATATTTTTATATAATATTAAAAGAATTAATATATTTTTACTGAAAATATATCAAATAAATAATATTAATTTTGATTTAAAATAATAAAAAAAAATCATTAACCATACAAAATATTCAATTAAATACTATTATTTTAACATTAATTTCAAATCATATTTTTTTAAACTAATACCAGAGGAACACATTACTATTCTACCATTATTATTATAAATAAAAAAATTTATAGTTCTATTATACGTATAACATTCTGGAGCAGGAGTCCATGGAGCAAGCTAGAAATTGTGGGTACAAGTCCATTTTTATATATACAGATGCAGTTTTAAATTAGTAAAGTAACCGAGGACTACTCTGCAATAATTGCAATTGGAGTTGTCCTCACTGTTCTGTTCTGTTTCCGACTCTGCTTGCCTTTTTGCCTTTGCCCTTTACTTTCTTTTTCATTTTTTGGTCCTTTCCTTCGCGGGAATCAGCAGCTCTGTATCCGCCATGGCCGCCTGCAATTAAGCATCTGTGTTTCCTGTCATCGGAAATTCTGCGCAGATGCTTTCATGGAGAGACGATGTTGCTGAAGCAAACCCTCGAGTTGGACGGTGAATTTTTGGTTCTCTCTTTATAACTACTGTCTCGTTTCTTTATATGAATTTTTGCTTTTGTTCACGTGTTCTTTGGTTTTATCTGCTCGAGTATGTTTTTGCTGGTTTGCATTAGCGAAGTGAAGTGATTTCATTGAGGAGCTCTTTGTTTAATTAATTAATTTTTTAATATTTGTCGTTTTGTAAGGTTAGGTGTATTTTAGATTGTGGAATCAGCAGATTGAATTTGTGTATGTTCTTTGTTATGGAATTTTTATATCGCTTTGTGTGTTCCAACGATTTGTTGACTTCAATCTAGGTAGGATGATTATGGTAATTGGCTGATCTGCTTGTCAACAAGTTAGTATTCATAAATCTAAGAGGACCTGTAAAATTCATTGCAATAATATTCAGAATGATTATTAATCTTTTCGACTGTCGAATACATGGTTTTAATTCATCTGCAAAAAACTATAGACTACAATCTGCTTATATAACTTAATTTTGAGTTCATTCGATGGAATTAAGTCATTCTTAGGTGGTGTTCTTGCCTGCACATATTTTTCAGGGGAGAGGAGGTTTAAGAGATGGAGAAAGAAGACTCCGGAAGCCCTGGTTGGAGCACATCATTCTTCGTGCAAGCTGCCGAAGATGTTGCTCGAGCTGTCACAGTTGCTGTTAACACGCCCCAACCTTCTGCCGGATATTCATTAAAAGAAGAAAGCGGCAGCCAGCTTCAAAGGCTTCAGAATCACGTGACAAGGATAATCAAGGGTCTGTCGAGCCCTCCCGAAGTGAAAAGTGGACCTTATAACCCGGAAATACTAACTACACAGAAACGTCAGTGGTCTAACTTTCATTTGCAGATGCTGGTAAGCTGTCTTCGCATAAGTGTAGTATTTTACTCGTTTTCTTGCTTGTTTCTAGAATTGCTTGCTATGTTTATTTGTTGACTTTGTTTATGGTTGGATAGATGGTATGAAGTCTAAATGTTTTATTTTTATAAATATATGACCCGTTACCTTGCATTGTAGCATCTAAAAATCTTAATTCATGTGATTCCTGGCTTTCACGGTTGTAATTCCTTCGATTCTACTATACTTCACTATGAAATTATGAACTATATTTAGAGGAATTAATGGAGGATGCCTCTAATTGTTTACCTCTCTCTCTGATTTTTAAATTTTGTTTTTAAGCCATTTGATATATTTATTTTCAACATATATTTAATCGTTTCGAAGGTAATGGTTTCTCTTCACAGAGATGTTATTTGCAACATATAAGAACAAAAGTTTGTGCTTTTTGAAGTTTTCGCATGTCATTATGCATCTAAAGCCTGCAGGATCAAAGAGTCTGGAAGGAACCCTCGAAGCTTTTTGAAAGCATGGTCGTGGTGGGGCTTCCACCTACTTCTGACGTTCAAGCGCTTCAGAAGCTATACTCTGTGAAAAAGCTTAAAGGTTCAGCCGGACTTCGAAGAGGATTTGACGATCAACATCAGTCTTGTGTTGAACCTAGCCTTGAGCCACAGGTGGTTTATTCATATGCTTTTGGCTTCCGTACCCGTCTCTACATCTGGATTTATTGCTTCAACACTTGTGGTAATCATCTTCTGTTCTCATTTACAGGTCTTGTTTGTCTATCCTCCCGAAAAACAGCTGCCGCTTAAATATAAGGACCTTCTTTCATTCTGCTTTCCTTCAGGAGTAGAGGTGGGGAGACAGCTGCTTGTTTTTTACTCTTTTTTCTTCTAATTAGTGAATGATATATATTTCTTGTCTGGAAAATTAACCCTCGGTTGCAAGGGCAGGACAGTGAGTAAGTTGAGAAGAAATTATATGTAGAATATTGTAGGGTTGCTGATTTTATGTTTAAACTTATTTTGGATACGGGTCGATTTTCCTCCCTTTTAGTTGTTATCTCCCAAACTCTAACATTGGCCAAGAACTTGTTTTGTGTACCCGTCTCCTTGGATAAATATGTGCTAGTTAACGTACTTCAGTTTTGTGCATTTGCAAACAATAATACTATGTTTTTTGATAAGTCCATTGTCATCAAATGTTCTTCATGGGTGTTCTTGTGCATTCGACTGCTTGGTGCTTGCTTATGTATTTAATCTCGAGAAAGAAAGTGTGTTGCCAACTCACGTTTTGCATGTAATAAATCGTTATATTGTTGAGGGTTTCTTACGAATGGGTCTGATATTATTATTGAGTTCTAACCTACTTAATTGCAGGTTAATGCTGTAGAGAGAACTCGGTCAATGAGTGAGCTAAATGAAATATTATTGGGACAGGTACTTTCAGAGATGACTTGCCTTTCACTCTTTGTCGTTAAAATTTTATCCCATGGTACTCCTAATAAATTTTAACCATTTCGGAAAAACTGCGTATGGATTTAAGTAAATTATTAAATCTTAGATAAAAAGACATTTTGTGAATAGCTTTCGCATCACATCTTTAGTTAGTAGCCTTCACAACCGTCAGAAACAAAATCATTATTACGAAGTTCAATCAGGCAGTCCTCATTGTATCTGCTTTCTGCATTTTCTTTCGCTGATCATATGGGCTTAATCGGGTGCTATTTTTACAGGAACATCTCAAGCAGAGTGACCTGTCCTTTGTGTTCCGGCTGCAGGTATTTAAACTTTTACCTCATTCACTTAGGGTTTCATATTGTTAGATTCGTACGACTATAAGCTATACAAGAAGAGTAGCTCGTGTCAAGGATTACGTAAAAGCATTGCTCGCTATTCTCATGTTAAAACATATTTGCAAAAGACAATCTTATTTAGCTTCTATTATGTATCACATTTTTTTAACTTGTATGTTTGAGACTTACTTCAGTGGCAGATATTGTTTAACCTCGAGTTTTTTTATGTACCTATGGCCTTTTAAGCCTCATAGATGCAGGATAATTCTAGTCTCTTCCTCTCTCTACAATGCAAATATTTGTTGTTTTACCTTTCAATATTATTCTCTTTATCCAGGTAGCGGATAATTCGACACTTTATGGGTGCTGTGTTTTGGTTGAAGAAGTCATACAAAAACCATCAGGATTGATTTCCATGATTTCCGATGGGCAACCACTTCACTCGAGTTTCAACCGCCATATTTTTACTACTTACCGATGTTATTGCATTCTTTCCAGACTGCCATTTTTTGAGCTGCACTTTGGCGTCTTGGATAGGTATCGGGACAATCCTTACTAGACTCCTCATTTAAGACATCCTAATGGTTTCTTGTCTTGATTTGTTTGTTCACACTTTGTAGCATATTAACCGAAGAGAGATTGGAACGTTTGACGAAGCAGATTAATTATCTGAATTTGGATTCTTCCGTTGGCCATAGTCTGGCTGAAATGCTAGAATCACCTATTGAAGATGGAGAAGACACTTGGCAAAATGGAATAGTCGACGCTTCTCGATCAAGCCCTAATAATTCCTTCTCAGGACAGAGAGACAATGCGTCACAATTGGAGCTTGAAAACGCTGGGGATAATTACTCCAAGAAAGAACTTCATCGTGATGACCAAAATTCTTGTGAAGAAACGGGCGGTGATACGTCGGTCAATGGAAATTGTATCAGCAAACAATCGGTGGATAGGCATTTACCTGAAGCCGTTCTACCATTATTGCGATTTCAGCAGGGCGACAGCTCTGAATCCTCATCAAGGTAAGTTATATAGTTCCATTGGCTCCTGGGATTTTTACATTCGTAGTCTGTTAAAGAATATGATTTCCCCGATTTTACAGTTGTTCTAAGCTCCCATCATCGAATCTGTAGAGCCTTCCCAGTTTTCCTAGTGATAATCTTTAAACCTTTTCGTGAACAAGCGTGTAGCAAAAAGGACTCCTGATAAAAATCGACTATAACCTGTCCTTTCAGTTTTCAAGATTCTCCGGTTGAAGATAGGCATTTCAGAAGTGATCTGGACGAGACAGAAATAGAGGACACCTCTTCGTCTGGCCAAGAAATCTTCAGCGACCACGGAGATATACTTGAGTGGTCAAAGGTTGGATATTGTCCTGTTGATGTATTTTGACATTGTTGGCATTGTAATTTTTGTTGATCGATTTCTTGTCAACTTATTTGCAGGCAAACAATCATGGATCCTTACAAACAATCTGCGAATATTACCGGCTAAGTTGCCCACCCCGGGGGTCGACAATCAGGTTCCAGCCGTTGGATCACTTGCATCCTCTGGAGTACAACAGACTTGGGGAACCAGTTCTGCATTTCGCAGGATCAGCCCTTGATTTGAGCCCGGAATTAGCAGAGGTATTCTCTTAACTCCCAATATTTCATGCATCTGAATAATGAAATTGGGATGAATTTGTCCTGAATATCTTTCGCCAATTCTCACCCCTCATTTTTAACTGTCGAATCTTCGTAGGCTCACAGCCAACTCATGGTAGAGGAGGAGGCCGCGGCTTTGTCAGTATGGGCTGTTGCTTGTTTATGCGGCTCCCTTCGACTGGACCATGTACGCACTTAACCTACTTGATACAGCATAGTCTTTTGTCATATATTTCATTACCCAAAGATGAATGTATAGAATCTATTGTTACCTAAGTATATTGATCAAACTTTCGATACAAGCTCAGCCAACTATTGAAATCTTGGCGCAGTCCCAAGATGCACACTATTGACCACATTTTCCTTTTACAGGTGCTGACACTTTTCGCCGGGGTTCTGCTGGAGAAGCAAATCGTGGTTGTTTGCTCAAATTTGGTAGGTCATTTTTGTAAACGAATCAATTATGACGATTAGACCAACGCATTCCCCATTCAACCTGATGTTGCTAATTCTAGCATTTAGTTCTGAACTTTCTTGCTTGTTTTTCAGGGGATTTTGTCTGCTGTAGTCCTGTCGATTATACCGCTGATTCGACCCTATCAGTGGCAAAGCCTATTGATGCCGGTAGTGATCATAGCAATCTTATATCGAATTCTCCTATTTTTTGCATGCATAATAGTAACTGAAATCGAATCTATCCCCGCACAGGTCCTGCCAAATGACATGGTGGACTTTCTCGATGCGCCTGTTCCGTACATAGTATTTCCTACACTTATCGGCTTCTTAACCTAACATCAAGCTCTTATATGTCACATAACTAAATATACAGGCGAGCAAAACATTATTTCGTTTTATTTGTACCCTCTTGAGTAGGTAGGCGTAACGAACAAGACAGCTGAAGTACAGCTGAGGCTAACAAATGCAATTCTAGTGGACATAGACAGAAATCAGGTACGCAATAGATCTATCAAAACATAGATCGATTGCAAAGAGTTTATGCGAATCCAACTGACTTCGTCTCGACAGGTGAAATCACCGTCGAAACAGCATTTACCCCGGTATAGAGAACTGTACTCAGCTCTTAGCCCATACCACGCCAATCTCGTGGGTGAGAGCTATTTAGGAAAGAAGCGACGAGTATATGAATGTAATACTGTGCAGGTATGTATAGCTGAAGTTAGTTAAATCTACCGTTTTTTCGCCCTATCTGATTTTTTTAACTTGCAATTTTCTTTAGGTCGAAGCTGCCAAAGGGTTTCTACAAGTGTTGCGAACTTACTTGGAATCGCTGTGCTATAATCTTCGTTCGCACACAATTACTAACGTTCAATCAAATGATGACAAGGTAACAACATCGTACCTTTCATTTTAAAGTACCTCTACTTAGCATCGAGCAAGTGCCGACAATGACTCTGTTAAATTGTAGGTGTCCTTGCTGTTAAAGGAGAGTTTCATCGAGTCCTTTCCCAGCTACGATCGACCCTTCATGAAGGTTTGCCTCTCTTTCCGGTTTATTCAAAGTCAAGGCACAATATATTATCGTAGTCTAGTCCACTCTTTATGCACAACTCATGTTTTACACTGTTGGCCGGCGTAAATGCAGCTTTTTGTCGACACGCAGCTCTTCTCCGTGCATACGGATCTCTTGCTTTCTTTCTTCCAGAAAGAGTAGGGAATATGATTTCTAACCGAGACTTCGACAGCTTCTGGTAGTAACAGTATTGACAAATTTTGCTTTCGCAATTGGAAGGTAAGTTCCCAACGTATAGTTCAAGAAAACAACTAGTGTGTGTAGTGTGTTGATGTTCTCTATATTTATGGTAGTGTGAGACAATCGACTATATATGTAAACCAAACATATATGCAATCAATCTCTAATGTTAGTGAAAGTTTTGTGCATTTTCACCCATCTTCCGATGCGGGATCAGTGTCTACTTTGCTACGAAATCTGTATATTGTTATGTACATATATACATATATATATATATATCGTATCTGTTACATATTCGCCTAGTGTGACTTGTCTTGTCAAATTTAATTTGCAGACAATTAGGTTCGGCGAAAGGTTTATTCATAATACACCCAAAGGATTTTGATGGTAAGCACGTACAAAATTAAATGATGCACATGAGATGTATTCAGCCTTCATAAACACCCTAACCATCACCAATCCAGATTCATCGAAAGAGTAAAAATATCCAAAGGAATATAGCAAATACTAAAAACACAAGTTTGATAAAGTCGAAAATCTAATAATTCTTTCACTTTGTGCAAGTTTTCTGGCCAGAAAAGGCAAGTGCAATATACCGCTAACAAATTAGTAGCATATTGTTAGAATCAAACATGCAATCCATATTTGGCAAAGCATGAGAGCACAAGTTATATAAATGATGGTATTGGAAATTACAAACCCGGCGTGTATCGAGGATCAATCTCCTCCATTGTCGGCTCTGGCTGTTGATGTTCACTCACTCTCCTCCATGTCAGAGTTTTGAGGCGGCTCTGGCTGCTGCTTTTGCACTGGGGCTTCGTCTTCCTCGGATTCTGACCAAGCCGCTTTTCGCCGGTGGACATTGGAAGTTGCACCCTTGAACAAATATAGTCGATTAGAAAGATCAAAGAATTCGACAGAAGATGAAAAGTTAATAATAGGACATTTGTAGGTATTATGGATTATCCTATGGGCCCTGATCTCTACATGCATATATATATATATATACATATATATAGGGAGAGAGAAAGAAAAAGAGAGTTACCACATCATCATCGGCATCGGAATCTTCTAGACCGGCTTCTGCAAGAAGATCCTGAGGTTTGTCTTCTTCTTTCTCTTGATGATCCACATGATCATCTTGCTCCCTGTTTGTGTTTTCATACTCTATATCCTCTTGATCCTCCACATCTGCCTCAGCTTCCTCAGATTCATAGCGTGATCTCTTATCCTTCCTTCTCCTCTTTCCGCCTCCTCGCCTCCTCCTCTTCTCACTATGCCCACCTTCCTCATCTTCGGTTACCTTCCGCTTTGAACTGGAAGAGCTCTTCCATTGTTCCTACAACATAAAATGGCATAGGATTTGAATAACTCTGACAAATGGTAGTGCTGAATAGACCAAGAAAGCGAAGAATTTGCGCATGTAAATAATAAAATTTCTTTTATCCATCCTGATAGAATCAACAGAAATGTTTATAGCGTACTTACTGCTAAGTAGTAAATGGAATACCGTAAGCAAAGGCAAATAAAAAGTGATATAACATAACCACTTTAAAACAAAGCATACAATGGGCAAAAAAAAGGTTTTAATCACGCGCAGAGGAATCTCTTACCTTGATGCGCTCCAAATGCTTTTCTTGTTGCATAACTTGCTTTAATTCGTCTTCTTGTTTTCTCTTCTCCATCTGCATTTTAAGTTGAGTAAATGAAGGGATAGTAAGTTTATTGAAATGAGATTACAAAGTAATACAATCACCTGAACTTTCCTCTGCTCTTCAGCTTTTCGGCGTGATTCATCAGCCAACTCCATCTGACGCATGACTTCCAACCTTTGGATATTCTGCATCTCTTCACGCTCAGCAAGCTCACAATGAACATTAGCTGCATCGAGCAAGTGCTTGCAATATGCAACATGAGTTTCAATTTTCTTCTCATCAAAGCCATGAAAGTGAAGGTTTGATGCACTGGATAGCATGCTGAACAAACGGACAGCATTTTTTAGCTCAGCCACAGTAGTTCGCACCTAAAACATGGAAAGCAATCATAAACATGGTGAAAAGAAAACTAATTCCAAGCAAGGAATGATCTTATATAAGTTTCAAATTTTTATAAAAAAGAATCTTCTCATGCATATTTTATACAAAAATAAAAACAAGCAGACTGAAAATACTTCAGTAATCCTCTTTGAGCAACTAGAGATATATTTATATGAAAAAACATGACTGATGAACATGTAGAGAGAGCACCGACCTCGGGAACAGTTAGTAATGTTCAATTTGCAGCACTCTTCAGTAATAGAAAATCACATTAACCTACCACTTATATAAGCCAAAATATAATTGAGTTAAAGAGTAAGGACCTCGTCCACTGTTCTTTTAGTCTTTTGTAGTGTGGATGCAGAGAACTTCTGCAGAGTAACTCCTGCATCGAATCTTAATGTGTAATTTGATGGAGCCAAATGGATGGCTCTTAGTAAAGTCTTCTTACAATCTTGCCACTGTTCAGCTTCATAATGTGTCCGTGCTAAGTACAGAAGCACTTGGCTGTCAGTATTATTGTAGAACTTGCGCAGGCAGTTTTGATACTGCAAAGACGGACATATATTCAGGCTTCGTACATGTTATTTCATTATGAATTTAAAACAGAGAATATTGAACAAACCATTTTCACTGCCAGTGCAAAATTTCCCTGAGCAAAGTGAACATGTGCCAGGTTAATCCAGACATCGGGCATCTGTACATTGGAACTTCCACTTGCAGCCTCTTGCACCTGCAGAAAAAATAAATGAAATGATGCTGTTTAAATCAGGTGTACATCTATCTTCTGGCCTAATTAGATAATAACAAGTGCTGCAGACCTGCGTAAATAAATCCTTGGCTATATCAAATTGACCTTTCTCCGCAAATACCATAGCGGCGCCATTTGCTGCATAGAGATTATCAGGTTGCTGCAGCAGAACCTAGATAAGACATAATTGACAGGATGCTTTAAGTTAGAGTCTTGATAAAACTGAGAATGTCACATTATGGATAGAAAATTAGCAAACAAAAACCAATTTTACAGTTTCAACTAGTTAGATTCAACTCATCAAGGCCACCAACCATGACCATATAAGAGAAAAAGGAAAGATGAATAATTCATTGGAATAGATAGGAAAGTAGAGATAATTAAATGCAGGTCATTCACTGAATCGGCTCCGCACAATAAAATTAAATAGCATACTTTAGTGTACAGTTCCTTGGCCTTTTCATAATGTGTAGCTTCCAACTTTGGGGCCCTTTTCTCATTACGATTTGCAGCAAAGTAATTCCAATTTCCCTGGACAAGAAAATGATAAAGTTACTGAAATTTTTATTTGATATTGATAATTTCTTTGAGAACATTATTCCTAGGCAAACATGTAAATCATTAAAAGGTGCCAAGTTCCAGCCATTACTAGGTTTTAAATAGCTTAGAAGACAATACCAGGTTTTAGGTCAAATATTTAAGTGCTCATAAAGCTACCAAATCAAATAATATTTGTGAAAGCATTTTCAATATAAATGTACCAGACAAACAGCAGTATAAGAATCTTTTCCATCAGTCGACTCCCTTCCAGTCCGAAAAGTTTCTTTTGCTTTCACCCAGTCATCATTTTTAAGTTCCAAGTCCCCAAGCATTATTAAAGCATCCAAGCACTTATCATCCACTTTCAGTGCATCATCGATCTAGGACAACACCACCATATTACGAAATTTGATCTATGGATAAAGGTATATAGAACAAGAGTATCGAAGAAAGATTAGCACAAATCTAACCAGTTCAAAACTAGTTTGAACATTGTTTCGAGCTTTTGCAATGGCAGCTAGCCTCAGATAAGCATCTGTGTACTCTGGGAACTGATACGATAAAAAGGGTTAGAAGAAGTAGGATTAAGAATAAGTCAAAAAAGCATCCCAGCACGATCATTAAGAATCAATTACTTTAATGTTAAATGAAAATAAGCCAGCCATCACCCCGCACTTAGGAAAGGGAAGCATTGTATAACACAGAAATGCACAGAAAACTGAGCAACCATAAGATTGTAAGGGATGGTTCATAATGGAGCATATCAGATTCTAACACTTAAAAAAAATCAAGGAGAACCAAACAAACCATAAAATTCAGGAAATCGTGGTATAGTGGTGTGGTTGGTCAGGCCATATCATATATTGAAACTGTGAATAGCTCAGAAATCTTAGCATGCTAGTCCTTGGTTTGTGTGTATGTGCATGTGTGTCTCTTCAGGTTGACAATCAAGTATCTTAGTAGGTTCATTCATTAGAGAAAAGAGTTTACGGCACTCTAATGAAGCATGATTCAGCAAAAGTAAAATGAACGCATAATCTAAACAATCCATCAATATGTGCAATTAAAAAACTCAATACCTTAAACAATATCAGACGGTAGAGGATACCGGCTAATTCACTTTTATGTATCTTCTCCAACACTCTAGCCATATTGAACAAGGTGGAAACTTTTGTCCAAGGAACTTCAATTTTTAAACCCTGTTCTTCCAGTCGATTAAACAGTTTTGTGTCTCTAAGTTGATGGATAGCTGCACTGCTATCAATAGGATATAATGTGTTAATAATTAGATTAGCCCGGGCTATTTGCTCAGGACTCCTGCCTTCCAAGTTGCTGGAGGACTCTCCATGAGCACCCATCTTTGCCATGTTTGAACTAGATCCTCCGTCAGCATAAAAGAAGTCACACCATATGCCCTCCCCTAGAGCTTCCTTAAATGCCTCACCAGCAAGCTATAAAACAGAAGAAATTTCAGCGGGCAGCCAATACGCAATTATATTAGGACCGCCAAATCTGAAACAATGTTCAAAGAAACTTTACTAACCTCAAACTCTCCTCTTTCAAAATGGAGTGCCCCAATATTGTTTAGCAATTCTAAAGGCACTTCCTCTTTCCCTTTTTTCAGCAGATTATGAGCCTGCGCAAGAAAAAAGATTCACCAAAGAGGTTTATGAGTAGATTCAAATTGTCAATAATTAAGAATGCATGGTAACTGTAGTAAAAAAAGTTCCTTTTTTCTTCCGGCTTTATCTGTAAAGGAAATATTTTGTAGCCTGTGTTCTTCAAATATTTATACATACATATATATTATATGTGTGTATATCTAAATGGTCAAGACTGCTAGGATGAACAAAAGCATTGCTTTATAAAATCTGTAAAACCACATCTGAAATACATGATTCAAAATATTATAAATATATATGTGTGTGCATTTGTAGTACATCTTGAAAAGAATACATGTGATGTATATTATGGATGTCTACAGAGATAAAGGCAGATGTTTTACACAATTTACCTACAAAAGGACCATCTACATTGCAATGTAACTTTTCCTATTTTGTATTTGCAAGGGAATCAAAATATCATTGTCTGAATTGAGGATAATAGGTGGATACACACACCATATAATGAAACTGACTAGGAAAGTGAATATAACTAATCCTCCTACAACATCTTTTGGCTGCATATAGCAAGGGTACAAGTGCAATTTTCTACTCCAAATACATAACAAACTTCTCCATACAAGAGAGAACAAAAAAAAAAAAAAAAAAAAAAAAACTGAACAGACACAGGACTACCACAAACTACAAAGGAATAAGTTTGCATCTTCTTTTGAGGAAAACAACATAAATATACACCTGGCAGTTAGCCTATCATCAAATCATTTACTGCCTAATTCCAATACACGCACGCAGTCACAAATGACAAAGAGAAGATACAAAAGGCATCCTGCTTTAACATTAGTATACATAGGATATATAAAATGGAAAGATAGGCAACTACATTTCTACTTAATATATAAGAAAATTCTTTAACAACAAATTTGGTGCCTTCAAATTGTATTGTAAGGAATTTAGATCATTGGTAAAAATAGAATACAAAACTCTTAAGAGCTCTATGAGTCAAGTTTTGAAGTGCCATAATCAATTAATAAGTTACTGGAACATGAGGTCCCATGTTAGAATTCCCATTTTCACCCTGTTGTATAAAGAATTACATGAGCAACAATTTAAGAAAATAACCCTACCCAGATGTGAAGGAACTAGATAAAGGGATTGACAAACAAATATATACAAAATGATGGATTCTAAACTTCTGTATGGGGTTGTTCGCAGATAAACTTGTAAAAGTGCTACAGAGTTTGACTCATTTGATTCCATTCTAACATGTCTTCCAAAGAAGGAATATAAAATAATACCAAATAGAATCTCCTTTTGTAGGAGAGGTGTTATCTAGTTTATGAATTACCTTGAAGGACAAATTAAAGCCTTATCTCAAATAAGTGATTCGTTCACAGTCCCACCCATTTTCTAAAGAGCTAGAATTCTCTCAAGATTAGCTAGGGTTTGTTTATTTGTGCTTTTTATACCATTTGTTTTTTGTAATTTTATGTTTTTGAGAAATAGAGGTTGGATGTGTTATCAATTAAAATTTTAGTCTTGGGTGTGATGTTTGTAAAAGGATTTGGGATACTAAATAGGAAAATAACAATAAAAAAACACACAGAGACACAAGTAACAAGTTAATAAACCCTAGAAGTTTCAAAAAGCACCTACTTGGCATGTCAGATTCCAAAAATATACACATTGAAAACATGTTAAAAATAAGCTGACAAACAGTAACGCTGAAGTTTCACTTACAGTTTTCCATGCATCTAAAGCTGCACCAATGTCTGTTGAAGTTAAGAGCTCACCAAGATCCATAAATGCCTGAAAGTAAGTATTTTAGACAAAATGAATGCCAGTTGTAACAAACAATTATAATATCAAAATGCATGAGATTTTAACACCTTCATCAAACTCAGGTAGATAGGTCTAAGCAAACTAACCCAGAAAAAGTGCAGCATCATGGAAGCAACGATTTGTTTAGTTAATTTGCATTGAATAGTCATTACAATTAAAATTTTCAAAAACAAAATAAAAAATCAGCATCCCATTTTGAATCTTTCTAGTCAAATGCCCAAAATAAGATGGCATAGTCTACCTCCATTAATGAGTCATTGGCCCCATCATTTGGAAATCCATGGTGAGTTGTAGAAATCTCAGAAACACCATAAACAGAGCCAAATAATATTCAAAAAAAAAAAAAAACTAGAATCAGGATAGTTCATTCAACATGGAAGGGAAACATGACATGTACGATTACTTCTGAGAACAATCATTGTTAATACATTTTTAAAGCCTTAATTGCATTATCTTGTTGTCATTTTTATCAAGACCTATCAACACATTGATGAAGCAACAGTTAATCCCAACATATAACATCAAATAAGAGACTAAAAGAGCCAAAGGAACAGCAGAAATAATCACCTCCGGATCTCTGGGATCAATTTTGATGGCTTTCTTATATAGTTCTTGGGCCTTCTCAAACTGCTTGAGCAGAACATGAATGTTTCCAAGAGCCTGTGTCAAAACAATTGCAGACAATCATAAGAACAGAACACTACAATAGAAGAAGAGCAAAAAGTAGAAAACATGAATTTGTAACATAATTCTTTACTCACCTTCAATGTCTCACAGTTTTCAGGTTGCACCTCCAACACTTTCTCAAAATTGCTCATGGAAATTTTTAGATCTCCTAACTTTTGTTGGACCTGCCCAAGACCTATCTCACGTAACAGTTGATCAGTGAGATACAGAAACAATATATTTACAAAGTGGTACCACTACAAATATCAAATTGGAAACTTCAGTACATTAGCGAGTATTATGGTTCAATCTTAATTTAATATAACTAATTGAAAAAATTCATTATGGGTGTGTTCGTTTGCAAGATTTTGCAAAATTCTTACTATTCATCCAATTTTTTCCCCCCAAAAAACATCAAATCAAACACCTATTTTTCATTTTTTATATTATACTAAAAATTAATTTTACATTCAAAACATCACATCAACCCCTATTTATATCACATCATACAACTATTCAAATTCAAAATTTTTACTATTCAAATCCCAACTCAAAATCCAAACCCCCAAACAAACACACCCTATGTGTCTGTGCGAAGTTGGGCACTGTCATATGACTCTTTTTCTAGCAAGACACTGACAGGAGATCTACATATAGTATGTAAGGACTAATAAAACAGAAAGGGGCATCAAATAACAGAAACCTCAGAGCAGAGCAAACACGCCCTTTCTTTCACTCACATTATAAGAAGCAGTAGGTGTTATTATAACCGAAACAGGGAAAGAAAGTAACTCATAATCATATCAAAGGACCAAGAAAAAAACCAACCTCATGTAAAAGCATTGTATTGCTATATTAATTTTTACTCATATATATGCGTGTATATAAGCCAGAACTTCATAATAAAGAGCTGTTCAAGGGTTGCATTGTTTTATTTACAGTTTTACACTGAATAGTGTAAAATAAATCAAAGAACCAGGGGCATTCAAGCACTCAGGCAAAAGTCAAAATCAACAAAATAAAACCTACATCTTTGATTTAATTAGCGTACTTCCTTCGAGCACAGCTTCACTTATGTACGGCCAACATGGCCGACTGGAGTAGCCTATTAGGTAATTTTTAATTTATAACAAACTGAAGAAGGAACACAAAAGTCTCATCAACATAAAACTTGATTGCTCGAGCCTACAAGTTCTACTGTACCAAAAAGGTAGACTAGATATGATTAGATGCAACTATTTCACATATCTATAGATTCTACATAACCAAAGATGAATGTGACTAGTGGGTCCTCAAACCAGGACCTAAGCTATCACTGCAAGACATTAAAATCTTGCACTCATTCAAATATGAAAATACTTTTTATTTATGAGGTTGATTGCCACACTAACTCTTCTAAGATTCTTCAATCTCCACACACTTCCTTCTGACAAGGTTATTTTCTCCAACACCAGCATATAATATGAAGCCTATAAGAGCAGCGAAAACTCCCATCTCCAATATGGCTCTTTATTATAGGATTATTAGATATTTAATGAATGACTGATTAAGGATGATAATATATATACACCAATCTGTCTGTGTGTTTACTATTTTCCATCAGTAAACTTAGTTAACCCTGGTAAATCATAAATATAGTTACCTTAGAAATTTATGCTCAGTAACTAGTTTACTATATGTGCATTTCACATGGCTAATGATTATCTATAAATATTTAATTGGAATATCTATTAACTTGTTGAACTTCAAACAGACTAGAATATCAATTGACGTATGCTAAAGTATACACTAAATCAATTCTAAGGATTTGATAACAAAAGCATCTTTCGAATTTTCATCAAATGAGCCAGTATGAACTAATAGCAAATGCATTTCCATACATGACAGAGATCGATCGCATATCCGTGCTTCCATATTCCAAAAGGGAAAGATAATAGGAAATAGGATAGGGAAGAACAATTCGCATACCATAATAAGGCAACACAAAATCATGAGGACTATCAGTTTCTTTTACAGATGCCATGTAGTACATCGCGGCCTTTTCATAATCCCCCTGTATCAAGCACGAACAACATTTATGAAGGACAAACAAAGATGAGATGACCAAAAAGTAATGTGCATCAATATATTTTTAACTAGTCTATATATACTCCACTACTTTTCACTACAAAAAACCAAGTCTGTTGGAAAAACAAGAGAACTGAGATAATCAACCTTGCTGTGGTAAGAGCGAGCCAAATTGTAATAAGAGTGTGCCTTTGTTGGACCATGCATAGTTACAGCAAGTGCTGTTTCAGTTAGCTGTTCAACCAGGAAATGCTGGCCAGTGAAGAAGAAATGAGTGGCAAGATAATTTAGAGCTGTTGCACAGTAAGGATAAATCTCGAAAGCTTTCCGCATTTTATCAATCCCTTTCCTAATGCCAGCAGCTGTAAAACATTTGAGATAAATATAACACTCAAAAAAAACATAAGGAAACATTTCACAAGCTCAATAATAGTTGTGAATCGCACATGGCACAGCACAGAGCAGCACACAGCATAAGTATTAATGTAATTAATATACAAACATAAATGTCGCAATCAAGATATATTTGCATGGCAGTATCCTCCCACAAGAAGGTGGTTGTTCTATATACACTTCCTCTTGTTTACCATGCAAGAAACCATTTTTAATGTCTAATTGATGCAGAGGCTAGCCATGATTAACCATTTGAATGGGCGCTGCAGAAAATTTAGGTTTCGGGCATAATTACATGTCAAAATTTCTTTGTGAGAGAGTGAAGTATCTTCTGGGTTTCTAGGTAGTGGCAGCGATGATCCTATGTTGCGGCGGCAGCAGAGGCTTGGGTTTGGTGACTTAAAAACCCTAATAAAGAGGGGCTCTGAATCAAATCCTCTGATACCATGTAAATATGTATTTTATACCATACAAATGAATATTCTATTTTCTCAATAATGAATTACATATTATGAATTAACACAAGTAAATATACATAGCCCAACCAGGCCTAAACTAATCACAAATAAGCGGGCCTAATCCAACAAGACAAAAATGTGAAAATGAGGCTAACAACATCCTGCACAGTTAAAATACTGCCTTTTCAAGAAAATAGACAAATCATACTAAATGTTACTTTCAAATTCTTAAGATGCAGTATTCATGATTGAGGAATCTGAATCCACACTCACACACATAACACCAATAGTAGGCAGTCAGGTTTTTAAAATGGAACCATTTTCGAAGAAGAAAGGAAATCATTATTGTTTCACATGAGACAGACGTTGATAATATTCTAAAAATCACCTTCATGTGTTTGCAAATCAGAAATTCCAAGTGCCACTAGCGCTTCAACATTATCTGGATCTAACTGCAGTTAAAATTAAGTCAAAATTCAAACATTAATTTCAACTATTAATCGAGCAAAATGCTGAAAAAACAAAAAAAAAAAAAAAAAAAAAAAGAAAACAGTATAATTGATGCAAACCAACAACTTGCCTGCAGAACACGGTGAAATGCTTGTCTTGCCTTTTCATGATTACCCAACTTATAGTAACAGTAAGCTATACCAACTCTAACACCAGGAGCCCCAGGATGCAGTTGCAAGGCTTTCTACAAAAGTTAGATATATTTCAGGAAATATAAGCAGTTCAGTAAGTTGTAGCTGAACAAAAGGCAGTGAACAGACCTTGTATAGCGCCAGCGCATCAGAATATTGACCACGATTGAAGTGAACAGATGCCTTCATATAATAAAAACAATTATGTTCACAGGAGATATTTTGGGGGCTCTTCACATCTTGTTAGATGGTAATTAAAAAGGTGTAAGGAGGTATCCTTTATTGGCTTCAATTACAATTTCATTCAGGAATAAACAAATAACACAATAAAAAAGAAATTCACTAGAGGATTAAGATGTCATAATACATGGCGAATGAGGTAAGAAGCAGACTCATTGGACCCCTCCTTTACCCTCAAATGTACATTTATTCGATGAGATAAACTTCTTAGATCAGTTCCATTCCATCACTCAGCTTCAGTAAGAATATATACACAGAACACTATACTTAGGTCTGAAGAATACTAAGGAAACTGAAGCAACATCACTGTTGGCATATATAACAACAAAAGTACATTCAGAACAGCAGACTGCAACAGAAATACTGTTTTCAAACAATTAATGACAAGGAATGGAATGCTAATCAAGAGTGAGGCATGATAAATGTGTAGAACTTCAAATACCAGACCAAGAAGACCAGGAACATTATCAGGTTCTGTTACTAAAATCATTTTGAAGGCATTGTGTGCTTGTTCAACCTCTCCTTTAAGTAGAGACAGCCGACCTGTTAGTAAATAGAAACATAAATATGAAAACCAAAAAAATGATAAGAATGCGCAAAAAGAGCTTCAAAGATTACTAGAAAACTTAAAAGGGTAGTAGGTTACTGGAGAGAACTAGAGAGCTCTATCATAGTCATCAAAATAAGAAGAGGGGAACTAAAATGTTGGAACTTCATACCATATTCACCAAAATAGTAAGAGCAAAACTAAAATCTGAAATATAAATTGGAACTTGGTTGCTCTGTAGGCACTTGACCACATTTTGAACATAGGTTAATATTCTAACTAGCCATTATTTTAGCTTAGGAGCTAAATAGAATCTACAAACACCTTTAAAAACGTATGGAAAGACAGCTAAATGCGCATTTGGATATTAGTCGTGAGGAAAAAAAATAACTCTATAGCAGCTCCATATGGAGCAGACTAAAAGAAAAAAGGTTCTACCTTTACCAAGCCAGGTTGAAGGTTCATGTACATTAATTCTCGAAGCCTTACTATAGCACTTTGTAGCCTGTTGAAAGAGGTCTTCCTTTTCTCTTTGTTTAGTCTCAATCCGACCAAGGTAGCTGTAATATGCCCCCAATGCAGTTAAAATAGCAATCCTCTCATACCGTACATCAGCATAATACTCATCAATCTCTGCGAATTGAGAATTTTTCAGTCTGGAATTACTCAAAGAAGTAATAACAGAAAACCATCTTCATTGAATTTCAACATAAAAGAGGAAAGTAAAATCGCTGCAATATTGCATATTTCTTTATTATACCAGGACTGGATCCTTCTTCTAAAATCTGCTTAAATTGTTCCATTTTTCCTTGCTTGAAGTACTCCCTCTGCACCCGAACAGGAAAAATTAGACTGATCTGGAAAAATGATAAACTCAATATCTATGGAAGTCTCCACGTGCTACATCTCGCCCTCTACAATAAGTAGGGAAACTCACAAGACATTAATCAAAAAGACAAATAGAATCAAAACAAGGTACAAAAAACATAAGTAGATTGTTGTAATCTGATGTTTCCACGTATCTCTTCCTTCCGACCAATATAGTCAGAGGCTCCAGGTGTCTCATTCCTCAATATTTTCACAAAATACATAAGGTGTTACTAGAAAAACCCAATAGGATTTAAAATGGCACTGTCAACTTAATATCCAAAATCACTGACATCCCACATAAGTTAGCAGTCCGGAACAATATTATAATCAAGGCTCGCCTATCTGCATACTTGAACTCATATGACTCTAAAGGGTACAGACACACATCGAGGAAGCAGATACAATAAATAATTTCAAACCTGGTGATTGTGTCATTAATTTTTCTTAGACTAGTGAGTCAACTGGGACAATTGTCAGTATTGAATTATTCAGTTCTTACACATGCAAATGCATAGCGGCGGCATTGATACAGCTCAACTTGTATCCAGCCGCTGTACAAGGATACAAACACCAGTAACACTAATACGAAAATGGATAGAACCACTGAAATAATCTTCAATTCAACTCACGATCGAGATTTAATTGCTTGTGTATAGCCAAAGAAACTACACACGAGTGTAATTTCCCAAAACTGACATTTTGGAAGCTACAGATGCTGACAAGCTTCCAGATAGCAAGTCTATAGCACAAAACCTAAAATGACGGAATGAAAACTAAGAACAAACGAAGCAAATAAAGACTAAAAACAAATCGAATTTCTCCCCTAATAACACTAAACTTCAACCCCAAAAAATCCAACTTGTCACCAAGGCAGCACATCAAAAAACTTCAATTCCTCAATTTGCATTTTGCTACTGTCCATGATCACAGAGATAATCAGCACCAATGAATAGCAAGCCATACATACAGCGATTACGAGCCAAAGATCGAGCGGGGCTTGCTCGGCCTTGAGAATGTCGAGGATGTCCGTAGCATCTCGGGGCAACTGATCAAGCTGCACCCGCACCTCCTCCTCTGAATTGTGAACTGGAATGTATACAGACCCCATGACTCGTCCAAACAATCAAGCCCTAAATTGCAGCAAGAATCATAGCCAGTCGATTCAGCACAGACAAATTGACGGAACCCTAGAATTTCAAAGTTGCCGCAAGCATTGTATAAGCAGCATAAATAACTTGCCGATAATGGGTTTGTACACTACACTCGAATCGACTCGGCGGTATATTTTTTGCCAATTATAAATTTCATCGGATTGTGATAAAAAAGAAATATTATGAAATTGGGAGGAAGATTTTTAGAATTATGAAAAACTTTGGAGGCCGTTTTGTGAATATTGTGGTTTTTGCCTTATTAGCGCCTATGTGGAATCTTCTACTGTATTTCGAGATATTTTTTTCCTTTATTTATAATTATTATTTTTATGTTTAAATTTTTGTATCGAGAGTATTAGACAATAATATTTTTTTTTATACAAATATTTGAATTTTTACTATTAATACAAAAATTTAAAATATCAAATGTCTTAAAATACGCTCCTTTTCTCGATAAATTATATGGATTTACTTGCTTAAATAGGTTAAAGGTGTGTTTTTTTTTTTTTTTTTAAACAATACCCAACAAATTCCTCATAAATATTAATAATTTGTTCATTATTTTTATATTATTTATACAATTTTATTATTCACATAAAAATAATTTCCTTCAAATCAAAATACAAAACAAATAAACTCTAAGAAATAATAATACTACTACTGATTTAATATTCCTAAACGGTGTTTCATTTGTAGACAAATTTAGAATGATATAATTAGTAATTAATTAAGAATGTATTAATTAAAATTATTATAGTATAATAAAAATAATAGATAACTCATTAGTCTAATTGAAATTTTTAAAAACATTAATAAATTTTTAATATCTGATTAAAGTGTGTAATTCAAGTGACATAATACTCCCTTTGTCCTACAATGTTCATCTAAAATTATTTTTGTGTTGTCATATACTCCTTATGTCCCAATCAAAATATCATTTTTGCTTGTCCCACTACAAACATTCATTTATATTGTATAAAAATATTTCATGTCCTAAAAAATAATGAGCTATTAATAACAAAAATTAAATTTTAAATTCAGTCCTGTAATTGCCGGCCATACGCTAACAAGAGCAAAAAAACCAACTTACCAAAAACTACCAACTTACCAAAAACTACACTAACATTCATAAATTAACACTTCAACAAGCATCAACAGCCACAGCATACTATGCTGAGTATTCTCAGATTACTGCTGAATACAAATCATCAATGCACTTCAAAATACAAAACACCATTTATTCACCCCTTAGTGTTACCAATTTTGCCGCAACTTCTTCGGCACTGTCGTCTGGAAAAGAAAGAAAGAAACATATATCCTGAACAGACAGATTATAAGAACAGACAGTTGAGAAGAATTTAGCGACAAGAAATACTAAATAACAATGACAGTAGATGTAATGCATATCAACGATCGATGATTCCACTAATAGAAAGAAATGTAGGTTGTGTGACATTAAATATCTCCTCAGAAAGATTGCCGATGACAATGCAGAAGCTAGGAAGAAAACCCGATTTTGCTAACTTGATCAATTTCGTTCATACGATGAATTCCTTTGTTGCTATTCATGCTAGAGCTAACATGTGTATAATAATGTGCCAAGCTCCTATACACCTATAAACAGTTAAATTTTTCTTAAGGAAGTCTTGTTGCATCGAACGCTTTTCTACGATCTATAGAATTACTCGGAGATTTGAATAAACCCTTTTCGATTACTAACAAGCCAATCAATGCTAACACCATTTGTGAGCAATTCCTTAATTTGCCAGACAGCAGCAAACAATGAGCAATTCGTCGGAAAAAAAAAAAAAAAAAAAGAGTTTCATGTATGTTCATTATTCCTAATATAACCGACAGGGCGAATCATCATTCACCATTCCAAAATGCACTAAATCAATCATGTTTACATTCGATTTCTTGTAGACACCCACCAAGCTAAACCAGTTTCATGTATGTTCATTATTCCTATTATAATCGAAAGGCCAATCATCATTCACCAATCCAAAATGCACTAAATCAATCATGTTTACGTTCGATTTCTTGCAGATACCCAATCTAAGCATCCTAAGTTACTGTTATGCACACTTTGCTTATTAAGAAACATAGATTAGATGCAAGAATCAAGAATCAAGAAATTCAAAAGGCAAATTCAGATAATCTTACCATCTGAACCATAATCTGCATCTGCTTTGATTGCAGCACGCCTAACTTCCAGAAGTTTGAACTGATGAATCTACAGAGTAATCCAGCACCACTACACTGTCCAGATATTCCCTAACCTTATCCTTCTGCTCGTTGGCGAGCTCTGACTGCAATTCTAACTCCTCCAGTTCCTTTGTACCATTGAAAACTGCAATTGACCCGATCGAGAAACCCTTACACCTCTCAGGCGAAAAATTCTCCCCAACTGTCAGTTGCTCAATCGAAGGAAACTTATCCTTAATTCCTCGCAAAACCCCCAATACATCCCCTTTCTCGTTCTCCCCTGTACCTTCCTTCAGCTTCAAAACCGTCAATCTCAACGCCGAGCCAGGGGGAACAGTCACCGGGCCGGGGAAGTTATCGGCAACCCAATCGATGGCCATGACATCAGCAGGCAACTTTGGGTAGGTCGTTTTGACGCTAACGTGGTCAGGGTGATCGACGTACGCAGTCAAATCGGATTTGGATCTGTATCGAGCGTGGAGCATGTGAGTGAAGGTGAGGGAGCTGGAGCGGCATCGTGAAACCGGTCCGGCGGAGAGGTAGAGGACTGAGTCTAGGGATTTCAGGGCGTTGAGCTTGGCGAACATGGTGTCGACGGCAGACGGATCCGCGTCTGCCGTGAATTTGAAGAGCACGAAGTGCTCGATGATTTGGTTGGGGCTGGAATTGGAGTCGGAAGACGACATTCTGATCGAAGAAGATGATCGGAGAGGAAATCGAGAAGTTGAAGTGACGGCTTCCGGCGGAGAACAGCGGCGGAGAAGAGGAAAGTTCGTTGAAAGCACGTGCATACTTGGGCTTGTATTAATGGTACGGTAGTTGAAAGCACGTGAATAATAGAATAATACTGTGACTTTATTTACTTGTATTATATTATTATTAAAAATACTTTTTTTAAAAAAAAATAAATAATAAATTGTCATAAAAAAATAGGTTTATTTATATTATATTTTTATTTTTCTTTTTATTATAAAAAAATATAAAAAAGTAAAAAATATGTATATGTTACATTAAATATTAGAAATAATCAAATAAATGAATATATTTTTGGAAAAGAAAGTGATATTATCTATTTTTATTTTTTTTCCATCCCTAATTTTGTACTTTTTTTTTTGGTACGAAAGTAATAAACAATACTACTAATTATTATTTTTTTCTTCAATCTTTTGTGTATAATTTTTTTATTATAAAAAAAAAGATAAATAAAGTGGAATCACTTAAATAGAAATAATAGACAAAAAAAAAATAAAAAAATGAAATCAAGATAATAATATTTTATTTTTCATAATAAAATATCCATTTTTTTTAAATAATTGTACTGTCTACTTTTTAAATTACAAATAATTTTCCAATTTACAATATATTACACAAATGGTTTATATTATATAATACTAATAGTGTTAATATAATACTAATATTTCTTAAACTCCATACAAAAAAACAAAAAAACAAATGGATATATAAATATTGTATAGAATCATTTAAAAGTTGTACGAGATTCTTATATTTTTAAAAAATATAATTCTTTAAAAATGATTGTGAGCAAGTTTTTAAAACATAAGAAAATTTCATATAATATGTAATGTTTACTTTCCAAACCTTACAATTAATTTTGCAAAATATTTTTACGATCCGTTGAATTGTACTGCAACCTGGAGATCAACCTCGGCTCTGGAATACAAACCCTGGACGGATTTAGGGTTCATTTGAACCAAATAAGCAAAAAGCGAAAGGTTGGTTCCATGATCCGAGCATTTGTTTTTGTAGATTCATAGCACATTAATTTGAGGATTGATTTTGCTACTGGCTAACCGAATGGATTGCAGTTTGTGGCCGATGGTGTTCTATGCGGAGTTGAACGAGGTTCTGACTCGTGAGCTAGCGGGGGACGGGTACTCTGGGGTCGAGATCAGGGTTACTCCTATGAGAACTGAGATCATCATCCGTGCTACGCTCACTCAGAACGTTCTCGGTTGATATTCGATGCTACTCTTTTTCCATTATCATACGTTAAGAGCATCCATTTGTTCGTAAAAAAGTTCCACCACGTCATCTACTTTCGCAGAAACTTGTAATATTTTTTAGTTCTTTCTGTCTTACATTTGATGTTCGATACTACACTATTTCGATTACCATACGTAAAAATTGATGAATACTCCTTCAAAAAAAAAAAAAAAAAAAAACAAAACAAAAAAAAAAACAAAACAAAACAAAAAAAAAACTCCGCGTTGTTATTTGGCGAAATCTAGCAATAATTTTTAGTTCATTGCATTCAACATTTGATAGCCAAAAAATTTGTTGATTTTCATTTGTCTGGTTTGATTGTGATAGGTGAGAAGGGGAGGCGGATTAGAGAGCTACCTTCGGTTGTGCAGAAGAGGTTTTAGGTTTCCAGAGAGCACCGTCGAGTCGAATCGTATGCTGAGAAAGTTAACAACGGGTGGCTTTGTGCCATTGCTCAAGCCGAATCCCTCAAATACAAACTCCCCGGCGGCCTTGCTGTCAGAAGGTAACGACTTTACTTCCCACCTTGCTTGAAATTTCTCATCTTGTAACTTCACATTTTAACATGGTGATTGTGTTCATTTGAAATTTTTGTTATCTTCTTTTTGTTAGGTTCTTTAGATTTAAAGCTAAGATTAAATGAAATTGAAATTTCTTATTGAAGTTGTATCTTGAAATGATAATTGATGATACTCTAAAATGCAATGAAATTGGGTTTTTGTTATATGATGTTCAATATGATTGATGGAAGTATTCGAACATTTTTAGATTGTACAAGTAATTGAGTTTGTGTGCCTTGCTATTTAGTTCATTGGCATTTTGTGACTCGAATGCTTCCTATTAAGTCATCCATAAAGCAATATTGGTGCTTTAATATCAATGTTTGTGTCGGAGGATGACCAGATTGATATTCTTCCACTATTCAGTTCCATGAATCTTACTACTACTTGAGTTCATGTTATTTTCATGTGGAAGTTATATGATTTATTATTATTACTATTGTTTTAATTCTCTCTTCAAAAATGTTATTTGATGTGGTAATCTCTAATGTACTTGCATTCTTTCATATAGTTCTAATTCAGTTAAGAAAGTATCGGTTATGCTTTACGTTTGAAGGATTTTGTGGGAATAATTCTTATAATTTTTTTCCTCCAAACGCATCAAATCAAATACTTATTTTATGCAATTATTCAAATTCATAAGTTTTATTATTCAAATTTAAATCCAAAATCCAAACCCTCAAACGGACACACCCCAGGTAATCTTTTGGGTGAAAGTTCGACTCGTAATTATGTTAGAAGAAGAAAAAGATGGCTACTAAGCAAGTTTGGTGAGTTTGCAATTTGTTCTAGTAATTTGACCATATGTTGCAATACTTGCCGGAATCCTAGCGCAGTTATTTTCGTTCTACATCTAACAAATATAAATCATGTTTTCTCTCGGGGCATGTCATAGAGTTTTGAGGTCCGTCGTGGAGAGTTGAGCCAAGGAATGCGACGTAAAGATCACAAATTCGCGCAATCAGATTCAAATCACAAAGAATTTATGCATCAATGGTTACATTTGTATTCGAATTCAGTTCGGTTCAGCTGTTCAATTTGGTTTTTATGGCCACCATCGCTTGTCACAATTTACCAACTGAAGTTGTTGAAGTATAGATTACCATTAAAACTACATTTAGCTTATTCGAACTAATGTAGCTACATTTATTGAATCTTTAGAAAGTTTTCATCCATGAAATTGACAAATGCAGAGGAAATTGGATTTGATTTACTGCCATAAATAGGAACACAGAAAATACACTGATATATTTTAGGGCACACACAAAAGACAGGATAATATATATATATATATATATTGTTCAAGTTCTCTTGACAGGATCGAAATTGGCGACGGCGACGACGACGCCGGTGATGAGCGCGAAGACGACACCGCCGGCGACAATGCTGAGCAAGAAGTTCTTGAGCGACGGCGACACGGCGGCCTCCGCCGCGTCGGGGATGATCATCGACGCCGTGAGCGCAGCCGCCGTCAGTCCAGTGACGGCCTTGTCTTTGAGCGAAGAAGGCGCCGCCGCCCTGACCTGGAATTTTCCGGCTGCAGCCCTCGGCGGCGGAGACAGCGGCAGCGCCCTCAACGGCAATGGCTTGAAGAATGCGTCCCGGGCGGCGGCGCCGGAGGAGGAGGAGGAGGCGCGGGGCAGCGGCAGAGCCATGGAGATTGCGGAGGTGGAAGCCATTGGAGGAGGGTAAGGGAAGGTATGTGTTCTGGTCTAGTCTCAGATCAAAATTGAAGGAAGTTAATTTGTATTAGAATAAGAAGGGATTGGATTTTTAGATTTAGGGTTTGGGAAAGAGAGGTGGAAAATGGAGGGTGAGATCGCAGGCTATCACACGTGGCACCTTCCTCATTTGCTTCTGTAGGATAACCTTATCTATTCTGTTCTCCTTCATATCAAATGTATTTGCCCTTTCTTGTAGCCGCTCCCGGGACCCAAGCTCCTGGGCCTTTGGTATTGTTGCACCCTGTGCTGCTGAATGTTCGGGCCCATTTAGCCAGAAATTTTGGGAGAGTTTTGTGAAGAAAGAAATAAATATTGGTATTTGATTTGATACTTGAGGTGATGTGTCAAAATATATATTTCGATATAATACTTTTTAAAAATTAAATAATGTTAAATAAATAAAAATTAATTATGAAAAAGAGAGCTTTAAAAATATTTTATTTATATTAATAATATTACTATTATCTATACAAAAAATATTTTATTTATATTAATAATATTACTATTATGCGATAAAAATACTATTCTCTCCCTTCCATAACAAAGTATTCATTTTTTCATTTTAGTCCATACTATATACATAACATTACAAATATTCTTACAACTTACAATTATATTTCTAAAATTATGTGCAAAAAGCAAATGAATATCTAGGGACGAAGGAGTATTTTATTCATATAGTCTCTCATGGAATTTAGATAGTGTAAATTACTTTTTTATATTGAAAATTAAAATTTTAAAATATGTATTTAAATATTATTAATATTATATATAAGTAAAATATATACAATATAGATATGAGAATATTTTTTGTGTAAAAAATTATAAATTTAATTAAATTAATTTATATTTATTAAATGTATTTAAAATTGATAAATTTATATATATATATATATATAAAAATCATCTTTTGTAAGACGGATAAAAAAAATATATGAAGTAATCTGACGGAGAGAGTACCAAATAAAATATTGTTCTACCTTACATTGGAACTTTACAATAAAAAATAGAATCATATTTTCTTCGATCCAAAGCAACAATAACAATGTATTCAATCATGTTGCTTTGTGTAACCTATCTTCTTTGCTACAATTCTCATCTTCTTGTAACATATTTCCACAAAATTATTTTACGTTTAGGTAATATTAGTTTATAGCTTCAAAGAATTCTAAAAATAAGTAAAAGTAGAATTTTCTATAATAAGTAATAAATATTTAATTTGACTTTTAAACTGTCATATAATAATATCAAAATTTCTAAATATGTATATAAACATAATCCTACTTTTTTAAAAAAAAGTGATTTTTACCGGGATAACATTAAACATTGTTAATATTCGTAATATATTGTCAAGAAATTATGAACTTTCACAAAATTACTTTAGAAGATTAAGGGTGTGTTTGTTTGGGGGTTTGGATTTTGGATTGGGATTTGAATAGTAAAAATTTTGAATTTAAATAGTTGTATGATGTGATATAAATAGGGTTTGATGTGATGTTTTGAATGTAAAATTTATTTTTAGTATAATATAAAAAATAAAAAATATGTGTTTGATTTGATGTTTTTTGAGGAAAAAAATTGGATGAATAGTGAAAATCCTCCAAAATCCTTCAAACAAATACACCCTAAAAAATAAGTGTTGAATATAATATCATATATAAATCATAGTACAATTCAAGAACATCAATAGAAACACCATAGTGTTGATGAAAGAAATCAACTACAACATCAATAGCTGTTTTTTATAGCTAAAACTTCACATAAATCTATTTTTTTTCGATAATTTCACTTCAACATCCGTTGATACATCGGGGAATCCTCTCCGTACGCTCCAACACCAAAATGCCCGATGTTGCCGAGCTCAAAAAGATCGGAGGAGCTCGAACAACTCACATCATCCACGCCACTCTCTGACCAACTGAGCTTCTCTACACTCTTGCTTTCATCATCGTAAATTTGAAGATCATCGATGTTCGCCTTTATAAACCGGCTACCGATACCTGACCACACATCTCCGCCACTATGAATTTTCTCATCGACCGTGCAAAATTTAACGCTTCTCTTCGATTTTCTACTCGTTTTAGTCGAATGGTTCTTGATCAAGCAAGATCCCCTTGCGATCGTCGTCGTGGTCGTATCCTTCATAGATCTGGATTTCTTGATCGACCCCCATCCTCGCATGCCGTCGTTCTTTCCCGCATTTCTCGGATTGAATATACCGTACAAGAAGCGCGCTATCTTGCCACACGGCGAGACAGGCTGTTTCTTCTCGTCCCCGACGGCCTCATTCGGCGGCATCGAGATCGACGAGGAAGAGCGTAATACGGGCAATCGCCTCTCGCCGTAACTTTCCATCCATGTCTCCACCATGATGGCGCGGCGAAGGTTGTGGATGTCGATTTCAGCGTCGTTTCGCCTTCGAGGAGCGAAATCTTGCTCGTTTTCGTCGATGGAGCTGCAGATGGCCTCGAGGAGGGACGAGGAGAATGTCGATGGCAGCGTCGACATCGACGAGACAGCGTTACAGTAGCGGTGTCTGTCCCGGAGAACCATATGAGCTCCACTTAATGTGTGTCCGAAAAGGAACAATTGATGGGTGTAGATGTAGTAGAAGAGGGTCAGTACGTATTTATTTTGGCAATGCGAAGGAGAGGAGACATCATGGATGTCGGGTTTCTTCCGTCTCCTCAAAAAGTCGTTATTTTGTCGAGTTTTGTCGTTTGATTTCTGGGCTAAAATTCAGATGAATAATACTAACTCCGTCCCAAAAGTATACTCTTATTGTTGGGTACGAAATTTAACAAAATATTGATTTATATTAGTAGTCGGTAAAAATTAAGAATAATTGATTTTTTTGCCATACTGTGAGTATATTAGTATAAAAAATAGTGACAATTAGTGTAATAATAATGAAAAATAGGGATAGTTTTACGGTGACATGGTTATTTATGGAAATGAAACTATTGTTTTGGAACGGACAAAAATAATAAACAATAATATTGTATTGGGATAGAGGGAGTATTAAATATAATAATTTAAAATTATGTGATATGATGAGAATGAGAAGTGTATATGAATTTTTTTATTGGATGATGAATGAGAATGATAAATGTATATTTATTTTTTTATTGAGTGATGTGATAAGATAAAATATGATATATGAACTAAATACATATGATTATTTTTTATTTTAAAAATATTGTAAGATATTTGAAAAAAAAAAAAAAATGAAAGTATTATAGAATATTTGGGATGGATGGAATATTATCTATTGCGAATATTTTCAAATTGGACACATATACGAGGTTTGTTCTTTTATCTTTCAAATCAAAGTTACGGTCACATATTCATCTTACACCACCGTAGCATCTTTTACGGGATGGCCATGTTGATTAATCAACATATAAATCATTATTATAATAATTGTGGTCAATAGATATTAATTTTTTTTACATTTTATATATTACAGCAATAACGTGTAATCGAGTTTATGTTTGTTTTAGGATTTTAATATTTTATTTAAATTTCAAAAAAATAATATAAATTAAATAGTAAAAAAATTATAATAAATTTGAAACTCAGACCAATCAAAGGATGGACAGGAAGACCCTATGTATTTATTTTGGAGCAATGAGTGTGTATCAAGTTGAGAAACAAGACATAAATGGTGAAAGGGGCATCAGACAGTACATGAATTCATGTCTGATTTCAATTGGGTCTATGATTTATCGTAAAGCAAAATAAATAAATATTAAAAACCATAATACTCCTCCGTTCCGTTCGAAGAATGACGTTTGTTTTTTTGCAAGTAAATTTTTAAATATAGTATTATATTGAATTGTAATAAAAAAAAAGACAAAAATAATTTTATTAGTACGGTGTAATAGAAAAGTAACGACAATTACTTAAATTAGAAAATAGTAACCTTATTTTGGGACGAACGAAAATGAAAAATGATAATTTTTCAATTGGACTGAAGAAATAGAACTTAAAAATTGTAAAAAACCAAAATAAATAAACAAATAAAATATTTTTATTAATATATAAATATTCATTATAATATTTTAAATTCAAATATAATTTTAAAAATAAAAAATAAAAATGTAATATGTAATATCTAGCACTGGTTCAGGCTGTGATTGAGCTGCAGCAGTAATGACCTCAGCTCGGATCGTCCTTTTGAACACAAAAATAAACATGTATTTATGATTGTATTGTGTTCTACATAATTAAGGTATTTTTGACCGTATAAACACCGTTGTGTTCTACGTAATTCGAATCAGATACATCTTGCTTCCCTTGTTGCCACATTAATATATTCGGTTGAAATTTCAACCAGACAAAAAATATGATTTATGTTTTGTATAGGCTAATTGCGATAATTATATTTTTTAATTTTATATCTAAATTATCAAATAAATATTTGATTCAAAATTTGAATGCAATGTCCAACTTTCAAGAATAAATAATCTCTAAGGACGTCTTCACTAGTTGAAAGATGTAAACACTACATTCTGTAAAACATATTATACTAGACCGAACTCTATGTGACAAACAAAATCTAAAAACGTCGAAAATTCTGGAGTTCACAAATCCGGTACTAGCTATAAAAGTATGTGATTGTGCTTTGAAGCCGTTATACATGTAATAGTATATAATTCATATGTTTTTAGAAAAAAGACACACTGCACGAATAAAATAAAACCAACTTTAATTTAAGTAATAACTCACGTAACAAAACAAGGTTACAATATGAAACCACTTATATATAATCTTCCGAGAAAACCCAAAATTGCTCACTTACAAATTCTCTTGTGCCTTCCCCTCGCCCTTCCTCCCCCCCCAAAAAAAAAAAAATCGAAAAAAAAGATATTAATAATAAACATATATATCATCATACTTCGTATAACAAATTATGAACTTGCTAATTCTTAAAGGCCAAAAAGAATCAACAAGAACAAAAACATATATATATATAGGGTAAAAGCTTTACCTCATCAATATAATGTTCGAAAAATGGTTCGAAACCATCACAGGTATTGTTTATGTACTCTTGCTCTGTTCTCCTCCCACCATACTCTAGCATGCATTTCCCCGAACTTTTCTCGGCTGAAATTTCGATCAAAAATTCAAATTTTAGCGCGCATCGAAGCTAAGTAGGCAGTAAACAAAAGGGTTAAAAAAAGCGCCGCGTAATTGAGAAGATGTCACCTGAACCGGACACGTTTAAGTTCCCTTCTGCCTTCAGGCAAGGCCCTGATAGTGATATAGACGCCGGGCTCGTCTTGCTCGACCCATTCGGTTTCCAAGTCACTAGCATTGCTGATCGATATGTCGCCGGCGTCTCGGGAGGAGCTTGTCCTCATGGAAGCATCCATGGAGGACGTTTCGGTTTTGGCAGTGCCGCTAATGCTCGAGAGCTTGGGGGTGGAGGCGACGCCGCAGGAATGCATGGAGTGATGGTCTAATGAGTCCAATGAGGAGTAGGTGGTGGTGGTTGGGCCTTTTCCGGGGCGATGCAGAGTGTGCGGTGGTGGTTCCCGGCTTAGGGGTGGTGTCACGGGGCTGTGCTCGGCTGAGTCCATTTTCGAGCTGCTTGCATCCTCGGATTTTGGTGTTGAGGGAAGAGGGACCGCCTGGCGGCTCAGCCTCTGCACGTTGTAGAGCTCCATTACCTTTTCGGAGTTCTCCGCCCACCACCGTTGGGCTTGCCATTTGTTGAACATTTCTCGGCTGTGGAAATTAAAATAGTTGTTGTTAGTATGCTAAATCAATATATTCATTATGAATATAAGACGCAGTATATTGAAAATAAATAGACAATATATAATTTATATTAATATAATATAAATATAATACGACAGCGTAAGGAATCCTCGGTCCAAATGTTATTGTATACACAAAGTATAAAGTAAATGTATACAAATCATGTAGTGAATAGACAATAATTCACACAATACATATAACAATTGATCTAAGTACATATCATATCACGTGTTATACCAGCATAAACAATAAATAAACAAATGCTAGTGATATACACAAACATGTTTTTAACAACAATTATGTGTCAACCGAGACTAATCATCGTGGAGTCCCAATTAAAAATGATAACAATGTTTGATAAGAAATTAAAGTGTAACATACTGAAAAAACATAAAAAATGAAAATGATAGGTACAAAAAGCCTATCTAATTTAAGCACAATAATTTCTCGAAAAGGAGTACATTTTGAATTGGATTAATGGAGTTGGAGAATGATAATTGCTAAACAGGACATTCCATTTCCAGGTCATTACTTCATTGCAAAAGATTTCAACTAACAAAAGCATAATTCTTAATCATGCTTGAAGGAACTGTTGTCTATAATGGCGAGCCACTAAGTTGGACCTACACAGGGTTGTTTGATTATTAAGTGCAGCATAATATTATAAGGGGGACTAGAAATCAAAGATGGGGCCACAATGCATGTAAGTATGCTATTTAGCTTGCTTAGAGAGCATCCAATTTCACCTGCAAATAAATTTGTATGAATGCAAAAGAATGCCAGACAAGCAAGCATCAAGTAAACTGCATGATTACAATCTTTCATAGGAATGCAGAATGAGTCATAGTCCATTAAAAAGACATGAGAATTATAAATAACATAAATACAAAAATAAGAACAAATTTGCTTGGTGAAACTATTTTAAATCCAGTTCAATATTCATGATGGGTTCCTGATAGTTACATATTTTTGTAGTATTTTTCAGAAACTTTCACCTAGGGAACAAGAAAGTGAAAAGTAATACTACCATGTTTCTTATTGAGGAGCCAATTTAATTTGGGGTTCTCAAATAGTCACAGAGGAAATGTAACTTTCAGTAGAAGATTCAGTAAGAAGCAGCTCACTGCTCATAAGAAGACAAACTTATAGGCGTGGGTGAGGATTGAAAATGAAAGGCAAGTTTATTCCCGACAAGACAACAACAAATACAACAATTAGTAAAAGGTTTCCAACACTATGAAAACAGGCTCATCAGTTTTGACTTTTGGACTTTTATAAAGGAGGCCTCAGGTTCCTTTTTCTCATGCTATTTTCCCATCATGATCGAAATTATTATTGCCAACAAATGCTATATGGTTTTCCCATATATATATATATAAGGATCTGGCAAGTGTGAAAGGTGCTATCTGACTACAGAAAGGTGGGAGATCAAGTCTGGTGCATAAAACTACTTTTTGAGACAGTGTATGTTGGCAACTATCTTTTTGTATGGACCATGACAGACAGGGATCAATTTAGGGTGTGTTTGTTTGGGGGTTTGGATTTTGAGTTGGGATTTGAATAGTAAAAATTTTGAATTTGAATAGTTGTATGATGTGATATAAATAGGTGTTGATGTGATGTTTTGAATGTAAAATTGATTTTTAGTATAATATAAAAAATGAAAAATAGGCGTTTGATTTGATGTTTTTGAGGGGAAAAAATTGGATGAATAGTAGAAATCTTATTAAATCCCCCAAACAAACACACCATTATAGTATTTCTTTCTCATTAAATTGAAATTAATAAAAAAAATATGCATAACAATATGAAACTCTATTTGTTTCCGAAAGCAATGCATATAATTCTTTAAAAATTTTCAGAATTATGTGCAATGTTTTCTATACAGAAGAAAGCTTTGTGTAGTTTTCAAATTATAAGTAAATTATAAACAATTTTGCCTTGAATTAGTTATTGGTATGGCAAGCCAATGATATGATTTAAAGGGATTGATTGGAGAGATTGTTTGTAACTACTACATAACTGCATATGAAGTCCTAAAATGGTGTCAAAGAATACTGCTAGTCCAAGAACATATTCATTAGGCATGCATTCTCTCCTTTTCTGTAGGTCCTACAGCACTCCAAGCTAATTAATTAATCCTCCAAGGAGAGATAAAAGCTTATGCAAAATTTGTCAACACCTAGGAGCTTCTAATAATGACTATTTTCACCAGTTTACAGAACAATGATGCCAAATCATAGGCTTTCCACTCATTCTCCACTATTCTGCATTTGAATCTTTACTTGCATTTTTGGATTTAATTCTGAACTATGGATAAAAAGAATATGAAAGTTCTGCAGATTCATTGCTATACTAAGCCAGTGGTTCAAACTAAGGCGACCCCTTTACTTCTTGAAATGATTCTTTCTGTTAATGTGATTCTTTGAGGTATCTAATTTTCATTTATTGAATTCAAACACACAGAATACCCAGCAGTGTATTCCATAAACTTATGATTCGTCCTTCTAAGTTAGAAAATCAAATCATGAAGCTAAAGCTGGATGAAAATTCACATGTAAAATCCACGCAGAATATGAATTAACTCAGCAAATAGAAACCCCACAAAACGGTGAATGACCGAAATATGTACCTGAATCTGATCCGCTTAAGGTCATTGCCGCCACGTGGCAGGGACAAAAAGGTAATTAAGACACCGGGTTCGACCTGAGCTACCCACTCCTTTGGCTCGTTCTCTTCCACGAACACCACTGGGTCAACTCGCCGACCGCTCGCCGACGCCGGTGTACCCTCCCCACTGGAAATCCCCTTCAGCCTCGCCTCCAACTCCCTCCTACCTGCAGTGGAGCTCGAGTTTGAGCTTGAACTCCCCGTCCGCCTGTACGACCACCGGAATTTGTCCAATGACGCCGAATCCGCCTCACCGTTTCCGAAACCGCCAATCTTCCGTTGTTGAGCTTCAGGCTGAGTCGCGCATGGCGCGCAGTGGCGGTACGCGCCTGATGCTTTCAATGCCATATCCTTGATCTAGGAATTCCCCCACACAGCAGATTCAAAATTCTATGAAACGAATCCCAAATTCGGCTACTATAATTGAAAAAAAAAATGTAGAAAATGGAAGTGAATGATCTGGTGCTTGAATTTGAGCTAATGACCTGAGAGGAGAGACTTTTGATGGCTTGCTTTGTCTGAGTGACATTTGAGTTCGATTTCTCCAAAGGAGGACGATCGTGATCATTGGAGGACGAGTCGTCACTCGACTGCTTCGAACGTGCTATGCATGTAAGCATTTTAGTTTCTGCAACAGCTTAACGCTCACACACAAATAGCTGAATCACAAAAAATTCAAAACTAGAGCAAAAATCCTGCAACATAAAAATCTATCAAAATCCAGATAAACACGAAACGAAACTGTAAAAATAACTTCAAAGCATATCTAATTTCATTACCTCGATTGGAACCGAACGATAGAGCACTGGTAATACAACTTTCAATGCCGCTCTTTACACAATACCGCCATAACTAAAATCTGCTCAGATTAATCAACAATTGCGCAACAAATAACCCGAAGAACAGCAGATCCGCGCAATACTCACATACATGTATATCTTATTATTCACAAAAAAAACTGGTGAGCTAGGAAACTGCAGATGGTTGATTGATTAGCAGAAAATTGGAGGAAGGAATATGGAAAGCTTGGTGGAGAAGGAAGTAGGGTAGGCAGAAGATGTTAAAGGCAAAGGAGCGGAATTGAAAATGGTTTGCTGCTTTATGTAGGTTGTGAGGGAGGAGGCTTTCCTTCCTCCATTACTGAATTTATGAGATCTTGCCTCCCTTTGCTTTTTATACGTGCCCTTCTCTCTCTCTCTCTCTGCACCTCTCTTCCAAAATTAATTATTATTATATTTAATATTTAACACTATAATTACTTTGGTTTGCTTTTATTAAAAACTAAATTTAAATAATCTTTTAATATATAAAAATTTAAATAAAAATATTAAAAACGAAATAAGGAACGTAAATAAACAAACACGTCTTTGTAATAAAATATTTCTTTCTTTTAACTTATAAAAAGTACTATTTAATTCATTTTTTTAGAATTCGATGGCTGGTTGAAAAAAAATCTTACTCTCTTTCTCAAGGAAAACTAAGTAGGTTTAGTTGGATGAAAATTTAAAAATAGTAATATTGTAATGTTACAATATGAAATAGGTAAAAAATAAAGTAAAATATTATAAAAAAAATATTAGAAAATTGATTAAAAGAAATTATAATGAGATAAATAGAAAAAGTAATAGTAAATTTGTTAATATTTAACTTTATATATAAATTAATTGTTGATGTGTAATGATATATTTGCATTTTAATATTAATTTATAATTATATTTTTTATTTATTTTTTAGTCACGGAAACCAAAATAATAAAAATATTGACTGAGAGGGGTATTAGCTATCAACTCATAATAATAGTTGGGATTAAAAAAAAACACTTCTTTCCAATATAAACGGTCGAGTTTTATAATAAATTTAAAAATAATATTATTTCAATTATTTAAATTTATGTTTACTTTTATATTTTTATTGTCACAAAAAATATTTTCATTTTATTTTTTTAATAAAAGAATATCATTTTTTTTTTTACTTTGAAATAAAAAATTTATATTTTTATCTACTTTTCTTGATGCGTGATTATTTTTATTATACTAAAAAATAAATACTTTTGAGTTTGACACACAAAATAAGTAAAAAAATATGTTTTCAATTGAGACAAAATATATATATATATATACATATCTTTATAGTCCCGCAAAGCATGAACCGGTGTGAGGTGAGCTTTGCAATCGCGGAATAGAGGCTTAGGAATGTAAACGGGATGGGTTATGTAAGACCCGAGGCTCGTCCGACTAAAAAAATATTAGGCTCTCAGACCCGCTCCTCATCAAATCCTCCATGTTTGTGGCCAATCCGAAAATTTTGAATTTTAAAGGAAAAATTCAAATATAATTTATTTTATAATTTAATACTAAAAAAAAATGTTAAAGCACAAAAATATATTAGTTTAGAAAAGAAGAATAATCAAATATTGGTTGTGATTGATGGCAAGTCAAAATTTCAGTTTAAAAAATAAAACAATCAAATGTTGACAACGATCTTCAGTGATATCGGTCAGCGGCAGACAAAACGACGACAATTGTCTCGATTGTGAAGAAAATTGAGGAAGAAACAAACATCAATACAAATTTTATTTAGGAATTGTGATTTTTTTTTTACATTCAAATTTTTTACATAAATATATAATATAATTTATATCATATATATATATATATTAATTATAATAATTATCGTTCGAATTCGGGTCCGGGTCCGAATCGGAGTAATACAAATTTTTAATAAAACCCGTAATCTGCTCCGCCCCGATCGGATTTAAAATTTAAAATTTACAATTCATGCCAAACTATGTTTGTTTGAGACCCGAACCCATCTATTAAGAGCGAATCCGGGTTAACCCGCCCATTTGACATTCTTAAAATGGGCTTAGTCCTAAGTTTTTTAAAAACAAAAAATAGATATTTCTGTTCGGGCTTTTTAGGTCTAATGTTTTAACACGTCTAAACTTTGGATGGACCGAGCCGACCCATAAATTCAGATTTAACAGGGATCTAACGAGATCCAAAAGAACCCACCCAAACTGGTGTGTTTGTTTTAATTTTAAATAAAAAAAAAAAAAATTATTCAATTTATATATGTATAAGTATTATATATTTTAAAAAAAAAACGTAATAATATAAAACAAAAATAATATCTAAATTTAAAAATTCAAATCAAATCATTTATAAATGAACAAATAATGACGTCAATAAAAAAAATTTTAAAAAAGGAGAAAACAATATCAAAACGAACAGCAAAGAGGTTTAACACGAAACGGCGTCGTCTGGTCTGGGCAGGCTTTCGATTTGGAGGAAGAAAAGAAAGAAGAACGGGGCCGGGACGGGAATCGTCGTCCCTCACTCCCACCAACACCAAGTTCGTTCGGAGCTACCTAATTGGATTCAATTCCTCCTCGATCTGTTGCTCACGAGAATCCCACATGCTTCGACGAATCTACAGAGGCTTTTTTAATTATACCCAGTGAAGAAAGTAGAAGGATCGATCCAGGAGGGAAGTGAATCCGTCACTGTACTCATGGTGTCGTACGTGACCGCGTTGGCCTACGGCGTCGGCGGAATAGTGGTCGCCGGAGTCGCATTGCTCGTCGCCTTTCAGGAGAAGTTAGTCTACGTTCCAGTCTTGCCTGGCCTCACCAAATCGTATCCGATTACTCCTGCTCGCCTCCGCCTCTTCTACGAGGATGTCTGGCTCACTTCCTCCGACGGCGTCCGCCTCCATGCCTGGTTTATAAAGCAGTTTCCGGATTGTAGAGGTTTTTCCTTATTCCCTTTTTCGCTTTCTATTGAGCTTATATAAATGCCTTATTGATGAGAGACTGGATGTTTTCTGATAATTCGTTTACATTTAGGGTTTTAATTGGCGACTTCACTTATGACGACTTCACTTATGACTAGGGATTTGTTCAAAGTTTGTTTAGTTGGCTGTAGTGTGTTCTTGTGGAGTTAAGACTGTTGCGTATTGTGTGTGATAGGTAATGGAATGAAATGCTAATTAATTTGATGATGTATTATAAGGCCGTTGTTTTATGAATATGATGTGTGAGATTTTGAACCAGAGAGCTTTCTTCTTGCAGGGTTCTAAAGATTATGTGTTGGGTGTAAAAAATTAATGGTTGTTTTGATTTAGATTTGGATTACATATTCACCATTTTTATGGTAATTTTTATGCTTATTGGCGTTTCAGGGCAGGATTGAGTTATCTAATTGTTAAGAGTTGTGATGATTCTTGCTTTATTGCTTTATTGTTTGGGGGTTTGGATTTGAATATTAAAAGATTTGAATTGGAATAGTTATATGATGTGATATAAATAGATGCTGATGATGTGTTATAAATAGATGTTGATGCAATGTTTTGAATGTAAAATTGATTTTTAGTATAATATAAAAAATGGAAAATAGGTATTTGATTTGATGTTTATGCGGAGAAAATATTTGATGAATAGTAGATTTTTGGGAAAATCCCATAAACGAACACACCCTTAGAGATCATGGGGCTTATATATATTTATATATATATATGGTAGAATGTTAATGAGCATTTTTTTTAATTGATCGGGTAAATCAGTTCTGAAATTGTGTCTTGAAATTATATGTGAAATGCAATGCGTGATGAGAGGAGCTGGGTCGTAGCGAAAGTCATATATGATTACTTGATTACAAGAACTGAACTAGAACATAAAACATATGGTGATTTTGGTGAGTATAAAACCCCTCAATGATACTATTGCTATTTCATGCTGAGCTAGTATTGAAAAGTTGGATATCTGAGGCAAAATTGCAGATGTTGCCTGTTGTTTTCTATTATTCTATTTTATCCTGCTCATTGTTTTTCTTCTGTTGACTTTCTTTTAATGAACTATATATACCTGCTTAAGACACTAGTGATAAGACATGTTCTTTTATATATTTTGCAGGCCCAACTATTCTCTTTTTCCAGGAAAATGCAGGAAGTATCCTACTGTTGATCTATAGTTTGACAATGGCAATTTTGTACTAATGCTTATCACTATGGTATAACCGTATAAGTTGCTTACCACATTTTGAGTTAATTGATCTTGAACTGTTTCAACATTTGGGCCTTGACAAGCCAACTACAGATATTGCTCATCGTCTTGAAATGGTTCGGATAATGTTACAGAAACTAAACTGCAATATATTTATGCTTTCCTACCGAGGGTATGTAATGGACGCCCATTTATTGCCTCTTAAGTCTTAACAATGTCTTCCAGTTTCCTTCAATTTCATATCAAAGTAGATTCTTCTTGATCTCCTTGATTGGTTAAGTACAGATGCTGTCATATCGTATCAAATTCTCTTTCTTCCACTCCTTATCTTTGATTGCTGTTATTAATCACACCATTCTTCTCTCTTTATGTTCTATTGGTGAATATGATTTCTGTGCTGCATATCTAACCGAATCATTCCATTTATCTGCTGTGGGTTCTCAGTTACGGAGCTAGTGATGGATTTCCTTCTCAACATGGTATCATAAGGGATGCACAGGTTTGCCTTCTACCTACCATGTATTTCCTAACCTTTCTTTTCCTTCATTCAATGACTCAGTTGTCTTGCTTCTCTATAAAGTAAAGAATGGTTATTTGAGGAATTTATGTCTGTTGCACAAAACTCCGGGTATCCAGTTAACCAACACCCATGTTTTTTTTTTAGGCGGCACTAGACCATCTAGTTCAGAGGACCGACATTGACACTTCCAGAATTGTGGTCTTTGGAAGATCACTTGGGGGAGCTGTTGGAGCTGTTCTTACACGGGATAACCCAGACAAGGTGATAACACTATGGATGTGTTAGATTAAAAACCTGTGTATGCCTACAAATTCAGAAAACATGGCATGTCTATATTGCTTATTTCCCTAGTTGGTAACTTAGAATTTCTACACTAGCTATGAACCATTTTCTCTGCTGTAAGTTCCTGCCAATGATCAATTTCCATTACATGCCATAGAGATCTCTCCTGATTGGAGGACATAATCAACATATATATCTATCTGAGTTGCCTCTCAAATACAAGTGAATCTTCTCTTAGTATACCCTTATCTTCAACCAAAAACTAAGAACTATTTTCTTTTTCTTACTTATTATGTATCCGAAAATTTTCTAGTGGGTAAATGCTTGCTCTATTGTTCATTTCATATTTCATCCATCCCCACAAATAATTTGTTTATCTTCACTTTATTTATTCTCCCTAAAATCTTATACTGACTTTGAGATGATTCCATGTACTCATGTTTTCCCAGAAGGAAAACCTATTTGAACTGTTGCCATTTGTTCCTGCTTTACCAGTAGTTAACTGAAGTATGACAAAATGTCACTCATAGGGAATTGCTTTCTTTGTCATTATTATCTGTAGGTGCCTGCATTAATATTGGAAAACACTTTCACATCCATACTGGACATGGCTGGTGTTCTGTTACCATTTTTGAAGTGGTTTATTGGAAGATGCAATGTAAAGGGTCCCCGGATTCTAAATTTTCTGGTTCGTTCTCCATGGAATACCATTGATGTTGTTGGTGAGGTGAGGCTACATTTAATTGGATGCTTTTGTTGTGCTTCTTGACAAAATTCATATTACCAACCAGTTTTATATACTTATCAATTAGGCTGTTGATATTCAAATTGTGTTAAATATAAACCAGGCAACCAGCTGCTTCCTTATGACTGATTTGATAATCTTGATAAGATATGAGGGTGTGGTATCCAATACCATAGTAGACTGATACCGCGACACATGAGATTTGAATAGGAGATATAATGGTTTGAAGATGTCAGTGTTGTATTCGGCCTTTCTTACATGCTACCAAATTTATTTTTGAGTACTTGGTAGGTATAGTTATTGAAGATTGCAATGTTGCAATATAAACCTTTGATCAAATATATATATATATATGTGTGTGTGTGTTTGTGTGTATTTCCGTTGTAGTGCTGGCCAATATTAGTTTGTGAGTTTTAAAGTGTACACTGTGTTTGTTTGGGGTTTTGGATTTTGAGTTGGGATTTGAATAGTAAAAATTTTGAATTTGAATAGTTGTGTGATATAAATAGGGGTTGATGTGATGTTTTGAATGTCAAATTGATTTTTAGTATAGTATAAAAAATGAAAAATAGGTGTTTGATTTGATGTTTTTGGGGGGAAAGAATGGGATGAATAGTGGATTAAAAATCCAATCCCCCAAACAAACACACCCTATAAATTGAACTATCATCTTTTTCATATAAGAAATAGATTATATTTAGAAAAATATATGTATCCATAAATGGGCAAGTGTAATGATTTTTGATGTGGAAAGTAGTTGATATTCAGATATAAATGTAGATATACATATTAATGTCCAGGGGCTGTGTTGCAATAAGGATATTGTTGTGATCGTCCGATTCATGTTTAAGCTACATTGGATTTATATCTAACTCGAAGTTGACCTACCACTTTCGGGTGATAAAATAACACAACTCCTGGATCCGTATGAAGCCTAGATTATATACATCACATTAGAATTGTTTTTATAGCTTTGACTTTCTTCAAATATCTCACATACACAGATTTTGTTACTAGTACCTGCCTTCTGTGAGTTTCATATATCACATGTAATTGATGTTTAATACTTGAATCTGCAGATCAAACAGCCAATCCTTTTTCTATCAGGATTACGAGATGAAATGGTACCACCTTTGCATATGGAGATGTTATACGCTAAAGCAGCTGCACACAACCAGCAGTGCACATTCGTCCAATTCCCCACAGGCATGCATATGGATACATGGATGGTTAGTGGTGATCGCTATTGGAGAACAATACAAGAGTTTTTCGAAAAAACTGTGCCAGAAAATGTGGATAACTCTTCCAGAGAGGGTAAGGTTCGAATTTCTTATGCCCCTTTTTGTTAATTCTACTTGCCACACTACGCTCACCAATGCATTATTATTGGAATTTGGAATGCATTGTTAGCATTGCTAACTAATTCAATGGTAGAAAATCGTCAAATCTCCAAAATGAAGGGTTGCTTGACTAGAATGATAAAATCAAAATGTATTTTCAAGAATGAGCCAAATGCATATGTTCCTTAACTTATCATTGCTTATGCATATTCAGCAATGTTTTTCTCCCCTTTTCCGCCAATCGGTTGAATCTTTAGAAGTTTAGGTTTCCTTGCAACACTAGTTACCTCATTCTCTAAACTTTTGTTGCAGATATTGCAGCAAGGTGATCTCCAGGGATCAAGAATATAACTCATCATTCGATTGTTGTAAATCTTTGCAGCAACCAAAATGTCATCCGGTTAGATTAGCCGGTCAAATGCGCAGAGTTCAGGTAATCTAAAAATTTGTTGCCTTTTGGTGATGACCTTGGAATATTGTAATGTTTTATAACTTCGATTGCATAATTGAGTTGTCGAAAAAAATCTGGTATTTATAAGGGAGATAGAGGATTCTGATGGATTGCTTATATATACCTTTTCAAGGGATTTTGGTTGCCTACATAATTACTCTTTTTTGACAAAAGCGGGGTAGACCCTTGGACTAAAACCTGTAAAAAGTAGTCGAGTTGGTGTAGTATGATGACGGGCAATCTTAAGGTAACCTTACCAATGCCCGGGACTTCCAATGGTAGCTTACTTGGTTGGCGTGGTTGATATTTCATTGTGATAGTTTATTCATTTAGGTTCGATCTCAAGTCGATGCGTGTACGGATTAAAAAAAAAAAAGGACTCCCAATGGTTTCAAATATAATTACATATCCATATTGATGTAGTTTATCCAATATAATTTATTTTCTCAGTAGTTTATAAACTATTATTGCAATTTACCGTATAGCATAAAATGATAAAAAATACAAAATATAAATACAAAACATACTTTTCAAATCATGTCAAATAATATTAAAAATAGAAAAATAAACTTACCTTTCAAATCATATCAAATAATATTAAAAATGGGAAAATAAACTTACCTTTCAAATCATATCAAATAATATTATATTTGATATATATATAAAACAAGTCCATTCCTAAACAGTAGGATTTAAGATTTTGTCCGTCAGAATTTGGCTACGATCTTGATTTTATGGGTTAGAATTTATTTGATACGACAAAGCTCTTGATTACCCATGTTTAAACCTAAAATAAAATTTAACATTTGTCTTTTTACAATTTTAAATTAAAATGGTTTATTTACATATTTTAAATAAAAATATTATTTCCAATAAAATATTATATCAAAATACTATTTAAATAAAAATTTAAATTAACAGTTAATTTAAAATCACAATCAAATAAATATATTAAATAAAAAATATAATTAAAAATTTATTTAATAAAATTTAGACTATTTTAAAATAACAAAAATATTTAATAATATAATTTGTTTGTTATGTTAAATATTTAATTAAAAAATATATTGAATGTAATTATAACATAAGCCCTCTTCATTTTCCTCCATTTTATTTGTTTAGGACTTTTATCATTGATTTAAATTTTTTTAAAATAAAGTAAAATTTAACACACATAATAAGACAGGTTAAATAAAAGTTTAATTAAAAAATTTAGACCAAGAAATATAAAATCAATGAATTTTACTTTGGTGCTATCACTACAAAATAATAGTATTTTATTAGTTAGTAGAAATTATGCAAAAAATTTTGATATTTTTACTATTTGATTTTATATATAAAAAATAATTATACATGTATATGTTTGTAATTTAGCTAAGTATATTTTGGTATAGTATATGATTATTAAATTATAAATATATTATTATACATATAATAAAAAAAAAAGTAAAAATAGCAAATTCTTTTATAAATTTTACTAACTAATACTTCATCCTCCCTTAAGCATTTAGTAATTGATCTACTTAACATAATAAATACTTTTTTAAGTATATAATTGTAAAATATTTATATATTTTTTTTATTAAAATTCAATATAATATTAATATTAAAAAATTTAAGTTAAAAAATAATTTGGGTCGATGAAATAAAAATGTTAGAAATATGAAAAGACAGTGATATGCATAGAACAAACACACCCGTGCGGCTGTGCCTATCTGTCTGCTCTCGTCTCCTCCCTTTCTCACTTGAAAACCACTGTGTCTCCGGTGCGGTTGTGCTTTGCCGGAAAGGAGGGAGGCGCTATCGGCGGTTCTAGAACTGTCGAAGATGTTCTCATTGATTTCAAGCCAGGCGCAATGCCTTGATCAGAGCTCTTACCACGGGTCAATTTTCTGCTCTATTTTTTTTTTTTTAGTATTTCTATATTTGGTGTATAATTGGATTGTGGACATGTCACGCGGTGTTCTTTTTGTTGCTCGGTGCTTTTTGTTTCAGGTTTAGGGTCGGTTTGTTCGTCTCTGGCGCATTCTTCTGCATTTGTTTTATAAACGGTGTTTTCTGGTTTATTAATTTATATTTTTGTAATTTCAGACGTCGAACATTTTTTCCAGCAGTGTGATCCAGGCAAGTATATTCTAAGTGCTTGCCCTAATCTCTGGTTATGTTTCTTAATTTTTTATTTTCTATCTCCGTAAATTTCTAATTTACCGTCGGCAGGTGTGAGTTAATCCACTAGTTAATTAACTTTATGGTTTCGGATTAGAAATTTTGCTGAGTTTTTGCATTCAATTTTTTCAACTATTTGAAATGATTATTTTTGTGTGCTGTATACTTTTGTAATTGTTAGAATTGTTCACAGTTTCATGTTGAAGGTTTAATATTTTAATTTGATTTTCTGCTCTGTAGTCGGTTAGAAGTCTTCAAATTGGGATCTTGGGATCTGTGGGATTGAATTATGAGGTTTTACTAATGCCATATTATGAAAAAATTATGGTTGTTATTCGGATGTGCCATGCTTACCACTACTTAATGCCTCTGTTCCTCACCTTTAATTTTTCTGTATTTTTTTAGATCCAATCCATTTAATCATTTTCCGGTGACCTTATTTAGTTGGTATATTCTGCGAGCAATTTTTTGCAGAGAAGGAAAATCTTTGCCTTTATGAATTTTCAAATGAGGTTTGAGAAGTTAATTTACCAGGCGAGGAGCTCCTGAGATTTCGGAATCTACTCTGGGCATAAACTTTGCTTAGAGACGGCAAAGAAAAAAAGGATTGGTTGACTCTTGTTGCTGTGCACAGTTATGCATGGCTACTCTCTGGTATTTAATTTTTGGTGCTAGATTTGGTTTCAATAAAGCTGAAAAGTGTTTCAGAATCTTTGGCCTTACATAAAATTGATTCTATTATTTATATTTATTTTTTGTTGGTTCCAGTGATTGTAGAGATTTTTGTTAAATATCATTGCTAAGTATTAAGGGAGGATATATTTTCTTCAACTAATTGTAGTTATAAAATGACATGTGAGAATTTTAGGCATAGGTTGTGCAGTACTTTCGGGCTTTTTTGGCATGTTTTGATGTTTTGAATTGTATATTCAGATAAGCATGATCGCACTATTAGCTTTGAAATTATGAAAGGACCGTGATATAGGAAAATGGGTTAGGTGTGGTTGTAGTTGCCGGTCATGGACAGAGGCGCTTGCGGCGGTTCTGTAGAACCGTCGAAGATGTTCTCATTGATTTCAAGGCCAGGTGCAACACCTTGATCAGAGCTCTTACCACCGGTCACTTTTCTGCTAGTTTTTTATTTTTTATTTTTATTTTTCAAGTATTTATATATTTGGTGATGATTAGATTCTCGACATATTATATTATGTGGTGTTTTTTTTTTTGTGAATTTGTCGTTGCTCGGTGCTATTTGTTTCAACTTTAGGTTTGGTTTGTTCATCTTTGGTGCATTCGGCTGCATTAGTTTTACTAACTTTGCTTTCTGGTTTATTTATTTATTTGTTTTTATTTTTGTAATTTTCAGATGATGAAGATTTTTTTTCAACCTTGTGATCTAGGTAAGTATATATTGATTGTTTGCCCTACTCTAGGGTTATGTTCTTAGTTTTATTCTATCTCTGTAAATTTCTGATATATTGTCGGCGAGTGTGAGTTAATCCACTTGATGGTTTCCGATTACAAATTTCTGCTTAATTTTGGTGTTTTTCAACTATTTGAAATTATTGTTTTTGTGTGTGGTATAAGGCTGAACTTCTTTTTGAATTGTTCAGCTTCATGTTTGAAGGTTTAATAATTTAAGTGATTTTCTGTTCCGTAGTCTCTAGTAAGTTAAAAGTCTTCAAATTGGGATTTGTGGGATTGAGCTATGAGGTTTTACTAGGGCTATACTATGAAAAAATTATGATTGTTATTCGTATGTACCATGAGCTGATTGATTCCTCTATTCTTTCTGATTTTTGTTTGATTCAATCCACTTAATCATTCTCCGGTGACCTTATTTAGTTGGTAGTTTAGAGGAATTTTTAGGGCATTATCCTTTCAAATGATGGGAACATTACTTTGAAACTTTTGTAGAGAAAGAAAATCTTTACCTTTATGGATTTCCAAATGAGGTGTGGGAAGTTAATTTTCCGAACCGAGGAGGTTCCTCTTGAGATTCCGGAACCTGCTCTGGCATAAACTTTTCTGGAGACGGCATGCAAGAAAAGGATTGGTTGACCCTTGTTTCCGGGCATAGTGATGCATGGCTACTCTCTGTGGCCATTTATTTTGGAGCCAGACTTATTTCGGAATCTTTGGACTTATTTGAAACTACTTTTATTATTTTTATTTATTTTTCTGTTGGTTCTAGTGAGTGCTAAATTTTTGTTTTTGATTATATCATCAGGCTAACTATTAAGGGAGGATATATATTTTTTCAATTATTATGGAGTTATATAATGATGTGACCGAACTTTAAGCATAGGTTATGCAGTTGATTCGGGTTTTTTTGACACGTTTTAATGTTTTGAGTTGTTTCTTCAGATCAGCTCTCTATTATAATTATTTATTGTCTCGACGCTTGTGTGTGCGCGCACATAAATCACTCCATCCACTCAACCAATACCCCCAAGTAATGGTGTTCTAATCGAATGGCATTCTTGAGGAATGGATTGCGGGAATTTGTAGTTCTGTAGTTGCATACCATGAATCAATATACCAGTTTCTGGGGCATGTGTAAATTGTAATGAGCCGATTATTATGCTAAAATCTTTGGTGGTCTTTGCTTTTGTAAATTTGTATTTTCTCTCTTATTATTTAACTGTGCAGATCACAGATATATATATATATACATCAAAGGAAGAATGTCTAGAGATTCTATTCAATACTCTAGAAGTTTCTAGGACATTCTATATTTCCTAGGACAACAAGTACGCTATACTTCCCCATACGCCTATCATAACTATGCTACATATTCCAATACAGTTAACAACTTTCAAATAAAATAAAAATTGCACATGTTTGGGTATCATAATCCTTAGAATCAACCTTTGACCTTATTTCTAGTACTTCATTTCTTGTAGGTTTTCTTTTAAACATTGTTGCTTGCCTCTGGTTGTAGCTTATATATTATAGTTTGCATCTCGATTCTACAACTTGCTTGCAATTTCACATGTAAGTTGTAGGTGGTCATTTTTGTTTGTTGGAGTTGGGTAGGCAGTAGGAGTACTCTAAGGAGTCTCAGATGTCCTTATACTTGTTTTCTTGATTGAAAGATTTTCGATTCTTTTGTGTATGCTTCTTGGTATAAAATTGGTTAGCTTCCTGCACAAATTAAACGTGCATCTTTTGTGAATATTAGAGCAAACCATCCAAGGCACAACCACCAAAGGACCAGATGGAGAAAAAGAGGATGAGGTATTCGATGCAGATGAAGAGTATGAGAATGGCGATACCTTGTGTGGAATATGCGGAGAAAAGTATGCCTCATACGAATTATGGATCTGCTCTGACATGTGTGAGAGATGGCTTCACGGAAAGTGTGTCAAGATCACTCCGGCTAGGGCGATCCACATCAAGGTGTTCAAGTGCCCGAGGTGTAGCAACAGGAGAACCCGTCAGTGATCGTGACCTACCACTACCGATTTAGATTCTAAGAAGTCTTGGACTCCTTATACTTGTTTTCTTGATTGAAAAATTTTCGATTATTTGATGTATCCTTATTGGCCTAAAATTGGTTAGCTATCTGCACAAACTAAACGTGCATCTTTTGTGAGCTTAGAGCAAATCATCCATGGCGCAACCACCAAAGGACCAGGTGGAGGAAGAAGAGGACGAGGTATTGGATGAAGGTGAGGAGTACGGGAATGGTGAAACCTTGTGTGGAATATGTGGAGAAAAGTATGCCTCAGACAAGTTATGGATCTGCTCTGACATGTGTGAGAGATGGTTTCACGACAGTGTGTCAAGATTACTCCGGCCAGGGTTGAGCATAAGGTGTTCAAGTGTCCTATGTGTAGCTACAAGAGAGTCCTTCAGTGATCATGAGCTACCACTACCGAGCTTCTCAATTAAGTCTCTCTCTCTCTCTCTCTCTAATTGTGTTGCGGCTAACCATCTTGTTCATGGTATTCATTGACAGTTCTGTGCATTCTAGCGATACCCACTCTTAGGGAGTTTTTCGTGTCTTTTTTTTTAAAAAATTTATTATTAAGTGATTGTGAATTATGAATTATCCTCAAATTTCATTTTGTGTTGATGGTCTATAAGTTTTTGTGTGAATTCAATCCTTTTACCTTCTAACAAGAAGATGTGTAGTGATAAGAGAGCTGATCAAAAGCTGCACCACCGAGCTTCTCACTTTAGTTTCTCTCTCCAGTGACCTTATTTAGTTGGTAATTTGCGAGGAATTTTAAATGATGGTATCCAACAATACTCTGAATTTTTTGCAGAGAAGGAAAATTTTTGTGTTTATGGATTTCCAAATGAGGAGTGGGAGGTTAATCTACCAGCCGAGGCTGTTCCTCCCTCCCCCATAAGCTTTGCCAGAGACAGCATGCAGGAAAAGGACCGTGACTCTTGGTGCCAGATTTGGTTTCAACAAAAACTGACAGGTGTTTCCGAATCTTTGGACTTGTTTTGATTCTATTATTTATATTATTTTCAGTTGGTTCTAGTGATTGCAGAAATTTTTGTTTTTGATCGTATCATCAGGCTAAGTATTAAGGGAGGCTATATTTTCTTCAATTATGATGGAGCTATAAAATGATTTGAGCGAATTTTAGGCATGGTTTGTGCAGTTGATTCTGACTTTTTTGGCATGTTTTAATGTTTTAAGTCGTATCTTCAAAGCATGGTTGCGCTATTAGCTTCGAAAATGTAAAGCATCACCTGAAGTAGCAATATACTTTATTATATGTCATCTTCTAAACGTGGTATTCCATTATGCGTGGATACAAATTAGGTTATTGGTGGTAGCTTTCCTTTTAAGCGTATAATCTTATCACTTTTGTTCGGGTTGGGTTTGATATCTAGATTGTGTTTATTTCCTGAAATGAAATACTTATGTGTAATTTTTAGTGGTATGATTAGGATCTCAATGCACATAATTAATATCAAGCAGAATTTCTTTTGATTTGTTTTTTATTTCTTTATTGTTATGCATATCGGATGCAGTAACCGCCTATTCAATAGTATAAATGATCTTGCAACAATATTCGAAGTTGTGACAGGAGCTGCAAAAAATCGAGTGAAGGATAAATGATCCAACTCAAGAAAATCCAGGGGCTATGTATTCAATAAAGGATATTGCTGTGATCGTCCGATTCATGTTTAAGCTACATTGGATTTATTAGATACTCGAAGTTGGATCCATATGAAGCCTAGATTATATACATCACATTTAAAATTGTTTTTATAGCTTTGACTTTCTTCAAATATCTCACATACACACAGATTTTGTTACTAGTTCCTGCCTTCGTTGAGTTGCCGAATGCCACATGGATGGTTAGTGGTGATCACTATTGGAGAACAATACCAGAGTTCTTCGAAAAAAACTGTGCCACAAAATGTGGATAACTCTTCCAGTGAAGGTAAGGTTTGAATTTCTTATGCCCCTTTTTGTTAATTCTACTAGCCACACTACGCTCACCAATGCATTATTATTAGAATTTGGAATGCATTGTTAGCATTGCTAACTAAGTCAATGGTAGAAAATCGTCAAATCTCCAAAATGAAGTGGTTGTAGATGATAATATTAATACCCGAATCTAATGCTTGAATAGAATGATATAAATTCAAAATCCATTTTCAAGAGTGAACCGAATGCATATGTTAATTTACTTATTATTGCTTATGCATATTCATCAATTTTTGGTCCCCCTTTGTCAATCTGCTGAATCTTTAGAAGTTTAGGTTTGCTTGCGACACTAGTTACCTCATTCTATGAACTTTTATTGCAGATATTGCAGCAAGGTGATCTCCAGCGATCAAGAATATAACTCATCACTCGATTCTTGTAAATCTCTGCAGCAACCAAAATGTTATCCGGTTAGATTAGCCTGTCAAATGCGCAAAGTTCAGGTAAACTTAAAATTTGTTGCCTTTTGTGATGACCGTGGAATATTGTGATGTTTTATAACTTCTATTGCACAATTGGGTTGTCGAAAAAATTCTTGCATTTAAAAGGGAAATTTCTACAAGGTTTGTGATGGATTATTGCTTGTATTCATTTTCAAGTGATTTTGGTTGCTCCGGGTAAATCCTCGGTCGAACCTATTAGCCTGCAAGTTAGGTTCGACAAGGCAAGTCACATTAAACAAACCATGTGTGACAGACAAAACCGGGAGGCGTCGAAGTTTGAACTTATGACTTCACGGTCACAAGTCCATCCTTACACCACCAGGGTATCCCTAGGTTATCCCTTACGGATGCCTATATAATTACTCTTTTTTGACAAAAGGAGAGGGTAGACCCTTTGACCAAAGCCTATAAAAAGTAGTCGAGTTGGTGTAATATTGTGACTGGTGATCGTAAGGTAACCTTAGCAATGCCTAGGACTTGCCAATGGTGGCATAGTTCGCAGGTTATTGCAATTAGCTTAAGGGTTTAAATATTATATACTTAAAGAGGGATTGGTTGTAGTGCTTACTAAAGCTATTCGACACTAAATTGATTAGCTTAGTCAGCAATTTTTTATTTTTTATTTTTGGATGAAGTGGGAACCCGCAGTCGCTACTCGAAAGTGCGCACTGGGTAAACCCCCGGCCGAACCTAATACCTTGCGAACTAGGTTCGACGAGAAAGTCACACTAGGCGACATATACGATATGTGGTTAATGTGTCTGTATATCATTAGCATGTATTGCCTATGTTCTATCATGTTAAAATGTGGTATGAATTGAGATGAATGATAATATGTTGTCATATGGACTATTGTCATGAGCTTAGTATGTTGTATTTATATTATATTATGTTAATGTGCTCAAGTACCATGCTCAATATCAACATACTTACAACAATTATTTAGGTTATTTCTAACTCATTAATTTTATTTATAACATTCTAATTTATAATTTTATATCTTACTTCAAAAAAAATATTTTTTAAATATTTTATTTTATTACTTTTTATATTTATAACTAACATTATGTTTTAAAATTTAAAGGAAAATAAAAAGATTGGTGCAACCCAATATAAATTTGGTGTGTTGGTTAAGCAGTAGAGGTGGAAAATAAAATAATTTAATAAAATTTTCGGATTTTTCTAAAAGCATATTCGGTATGCTTCTTTGATCACATCAACAATAATAACGTCATTAATATAAGCATATCGACTATTATTACGTGAGAAATATAAAAATAATAAATATATATATATAATGTATTAATATTTATGAAAAACATGAGAAAAAATATATATATAAGAACAAAGCCAAAATATAACATAAATAAAATTAAATATTAAAAAAATTGAATTATTTAATAACAAAGTAATTATTCTTAATACAAATTAAATCATTTAGGGGTTATTTTGAAGACAACAGAATGGTTCTTTCCTTCATGGCACATGGTACTCACTCACAATCTTCACCATCATCCCAATCAAACCGGCAATTGCCGGCGTCGGAAGTAGGTGGGCGACGGAGAACCTGTATCCAATCTATCGGTGAATTCCTGTCGATCTCTCTCAAAAAATAGCTATATGATACAAATCTCCCAAACATCAAGAAAATAAATAAATAAACAAAACCAGAACCCTAAAAAGAAATTAGGGCAAGATTACCATACCGCTGTCGCCATTGAAAATTATCGGTAGAATTGCTGTTTCTCTCCATAAATTTTACAATTGAAAAACTAGAAAATTAGGAAGAACTATGAGGGAGAAGAAGAGAACACCAGAGCCCCATTATAAATATATATTTTTTTAAATAAAAAAAAAAAACTAACAATACCTGCCAAAGTTATATAAAATACTAGTCTTTAAGAAGAAATATGATCCAGTTTTACGTTGTTAGAGTTTAGGGTTCGGTTCAGTCGGAATTTCTCTAATATGATGTGCCTTTGATTAGGACTATCAAAAAAAATAATAAAATGATGCTTGCTTGTCAGAAATTGCCTAATATGACACACCTCTTAATTTTACCGGTCAAAATTTACCTAATACTTTATTAGTATAGTTTACGGATTATTATTACTACTTATAAAATATCATAAAAAACACACACAGAAATACATTGTTAGGATTTAGAATTCTGCCCGTCTGAATTATACGCGCCTGTTAATTTTCTGAAGTTTACCTAATATAATACGATATTTAATTTTGTTAATTTTATTTGTCAGGATTTACCTAATATAATTTACTTTATTGGTATAATTAATTTTACAGATTTATTGTTATTTATAACTCATCATAAACATAACAAAACAAATACAACCAATACCTACCAAATACTCCTATATTGAATAAATAATAATTTTTAAAAAATTAATAAAATAAAATGCTATATAATAAAGGGGTGTGATATACGTACCAACAAAAACACCAGCGCCCATCTGTCTGTCTCTCTCGTCTCCTCTGCTCTCTTTCTCACTTCAATTTTGAATAGACTCCGGCAGTTGTGCTCGCCGGAAATGGACAGAGGCGCTCGCGGCGGAGGTTCTAGAACAGTAGAAGATGTTCTCATTGATTTCAAGGCCAGACGCAAAGCCTTGATCAGAGCTCTTACCACAGGTCACTTTTTCTTCTCTCCTTTTTTTTTTTTTTTTTTTTTTTTTCTTAAAGAATTTCTATGTTTGGTGTATGATTGGACTTTGGAAATGTCATTTAGTGTTTTTTTGTGAATTTTGTTGTTGCTCTGTGCTTTTTGTTTCAGCTTTAGGGTTTGGTTTTCCGTCTGTCTCTGGCTGATTATTCTGCATTCGTTTTATGAACTGTGGTTTCTGGTTTGTTTATTGATTGATTTTTATTTTTGTAATTTCAGACGTTGAAGATTTCTTCCAGCAGTGTGATCCAGGCAAGTATATTCTAATTGCTTGCCCTAATCTCTGGTTGTGTTTCTTAATTTTTGATTTTCTATCTCCGTAATATCTAATATAATCCAATTTAATCCACGAGTTAATTAACTTACGGTTTCGGATTATAAGTTTGTGTGAGTTTTTGTATTCAGTTTTTCAACTATTTGAAATGATTGCTTTTGTGTGCGGTGTACTTTTGAATCTTTTGAAATGTTCACAGCTTTATTTCTAAGGTTTAATACTTTAAGTTGAATTTCTGTAATGTAGTCGGTTAAAAGTCTTCAAATTGGGATATGTAGGATTGAGTTATGAAGTTTTACTAATGCCATACTATGAAGAAAGTATGATTATTGCCATACTAATGCCTTTAATTTTTTAATTCTTTGATTGTTGCCATACTAATGCCTTTAATTCTTTAATTCTTTCTGATTTTTGTTCTACTCAATCCACTTAATCATTATACAGTGACCTTATTTAGTTGGTATTCTGCAAGGAATTTCAAATGGTGGTATCTAACAATACTCTGGAATTTTTGCAGAGAAGGAAAATCTTTGTCTCTACGGATTTCCAAATGAGGAGTGGGAGGTCAATCTACCAGCGGAGGAGGTTCCCCCGGAGATTCCTGAACCTGCTCTGGGCATAAACTTTGCCAGAGACGGCATGCAGGAAAAGGACTGGTTGACACTTGTTGCTGTGCACAGCGATGCATGGCTACTCTCGGTAGCCTTCTATTTCGGAGCCAGATTTGGTTTCAACAAAGCTGACAGGTATTTTAGAATTCTTCGATTTGTTTGAAATCGATTTGATATATTTCTTCGATTATTATGGAGTTATAAAATGATGTGGCAAATTTTTCGCATAGGTTGTGCAGTTGATTCGGACTTTTTTGGCATGTTGTAATCTATTGAGTTGTATATTCGGATAAGCATGGTTGCACTATTAACTTCGAGTATACAAAGCATCACTTGAAGTAGTAACCTACTTTATTGTATGTCATCTTCTAAAACTGGTACTCCACGACACGTGGATACGAATTAGGTTTCCAGTGGTAGCTTTCCTTTTAACCGTATAATCCTATCACTCGTGTCCGGTTAGGGTTTGATCTGTAATTTTCAGTGATGTGGTTAGGATCTCAATGCACATAATTAATATCAAACAGGATTTCTTTTGGTTTGTTTTCTAATGCTTTAATTGTTATGCATATCGGATGCAGGAACCGCCTCTTCAATAGTATAAATGATCTTCCAACAATATTCGAAGTTGTTTCAGGAGCTGCCAAAAATCAAGGGAAGGATAAAGCATCCAACTCAAGAAAATCCAAATCTAACTCGAAACAGGTAAAAGAATCACCTTTTTTCTGTTAGTATGTTAGGCAAGGGAGCATTTATAGAATTTATCTCGATTAGATTCAGTGGTAGCATGTGCATATAAACACGTGTCCAACTAGAAATGGTAAGATAAGGGCTTTATTAATGGTTCTTCGTAGCTTGTCTGAGTTAAGTCGAGTATGTGGTCTACTTTGATATGAAAGCTTTTAGAACAGTTCAGGGTTTATTGTTAGCGCTAGTTAGACAAGAATGCATTCATAGAATATTATCTCGATCAAATTCAGCGGTAGCATGCGCATATAGACTCGTGTCCAACCAGAAATGGTAAGATAAAGGCTTTAATAATGATTATTCATACAGCATGCATTAGTCGGTACTGTTCTTCCCTGCGGCTTGTCTAAATTAAGTCGAGTATGTGATCTAACTTTGATATGAAAGCTTTGAAAACAGTTCAGCATTTATTGTGAGCCCTAATGGCATTCTAAACACAGTGCATTTTTGAGGGAATGGATTGTGTGAATTTGTAGTTAATTTTACATATTGTAATGTTCCGACTATTATGCTAAAATCTTTGGCGGTTTTTTCTTCCAAATAGAATAAAAATTGCACATGTTTTGGTATCCTAATCTTTAAAATCAACCTTTGCGCCTCTGGTTGTAGCTTATATTTTATATGTCTGCATCTCGATTATAAGTTGTCATTTTCGTTTGTCGGAGTTGGGTAGGCATTAGGGGTACTTTGAGGAGTCCCGGATGTCCTTATACTTGTTTTCTTAATTAAAAGATTTCGATTCTTTAGTGTATGCTTCTTGATCTAAAATTGGTTAGCTACCGGCACAAACTAAATGTGCATCTTTTGTGAATCTCAGAGCAAATCATCCAAGGCGCAACCAAAGGAGCAGGTGGAGGAGGAAGAGGAAAACGAGGACGAGGTCTTGGATGAAGGCGAGGAGTATGAAAATGGCGAGACCTTGTGTGGAATATGCGGAGAAAAATACGCCTCGGATGAATTCTGGATCTGCTGCGACCTCTGTGAGAGATGGCTACACGGAAAATGTGTCAAGATCACTCCGGCAAGGGCTGAGCACATCAATGTGTTCAAGTGCCCGTTGTGTAGCAACAAGAGAACCCGTCAGTGATCGTGAGCTTCTAAGTTAGTCTCTCTTTTCTCTCCCTAATTGTGTTGTGGCTAACCATCATCTTGTCCATGGTATTCGTGGACAGCTCTGTTCATTCTAGTGATACACCGTCTTAGGGAGTTTTTCGTCGTTAGTTTAAGCTATATTTGTCTAGTGATTGTGAATTGTGGATTAATTCTCTAATTTCAGTTTCTGTTGAGGTTGGTAACTTGGTAGTTTTTTATCGCAAAAGTTATAAAGCATATTGTGTGCAAATTCAATCCTTCGCTATCTATGTCGAAAATCTAGTCCGTACCTAATCACGGCACGGCACCGTTATTTATTTTGATACTAGCATATACTTAGTGGTGTCAATTCGTGTTTTCGGGTTGCATTCGTGTCGGGTTGAGCTATGGGGTAAACAAAAAAATTGTCAACCCGAACCCCGAAATTTGACTTGAAACTCTAGACCCGAACACGACACGAATTCTTTCAGGTCGGGTTCAAGGTGACCTGAATTGGTTTCAGGTCAACCTGAAACATGAAAAAACCCGAAACTTATATTTGATTTTTATATATTGGGGTTCAACTCGAAAAATGATCCGAATACGATACAAATATTTTTCATTTTGAATTCGGGTCGACTCGATTTTTTGCAAACATAAACCTGAAAAATTTCAGGTCTAACGGATTCGATTTTTCAGGTGGGGTTTAATTTTAGCACCCCTACATGGAGAGTTTTTCACTAAGTATCACAATATTAGGATTCCGACATGTTCATTAAGCGCTGCACGAACACGAGACCAGTTAGAGATTCTAATCCTAAATCCTCGTCGTTAAATCAATGCTTAAATCATCGAAATCCGACAATTCCGTCTACAAAATTGTTAAAGCACCAGGAATTCCTATTGCAAAATCTTATCTAATTCAAACATTGCGATTCATTTCTATTCTGAAGATTATCTTCATTCCAGAAATGCATACATATATCCAACAAATTAGAAGAAATCTCTATTAACGCCTGATTCCGATTAGAAACGTATATAAAATTTCTAGAAATTCTTCAATAAACGATGCGAATTGCTGAATCGATTCACACGATTAATGTGTCCTAGAATCAGAAACGATCGTATTCTTCCGAGTTCCAAAATTTTACGATGAACAGCAATCTGCATTACGTATCAAATCAGATCATATTCTCCGCGTACGTACACACAAAGAGATGAAAGATCAATCAATTAAAACATTAGTTGCAGGAAAAGCAGCAGAATCAATGAATAGACGATTCTTACACGAAATTCGGGGGAGCATCTCTGCGAACCTTCCGCTCTCTGCTTGGCCTGAGGCTGTGTTGTTTTGAGTTGTCCGTTTATATACTTTTGAAGCTCAAATTATACGAATGGGAAACGATGCCGTAATTTCCCTCGCCGTCCCTGTACTTTTTCTATGCTTTCATTATGCAAACAATTAAATTTGTAGTATAAATGCAAATTGTAAAATTAGTTTATGAAAATTAAATTGTATTATATTAATCATTAAAATAATATGAATAAGATCCGAGTTAAACCTAAAATTGAATATCTAAACCCAAATCATTAATTATGATAAACACTCCGTCTATCAATATTGTCCCAATTATTATTTAAGATTGTTCTAATAAATACCCATTCTTACTCAATTATCAATTTATCTTTACTTAATTTTTTTTATTTACAAAAATAGGACTATAAACTCTAAACCAACTAGACCCAAAAGTGTTCTAAATTTTTTCCATCTTCCATTAATTTACACATCCATATTATACTCCGATTCTAAAGGTAACATTTATTTTTCTATATTAATTTTTAAATATTAATTATTATATAAAAATATAATACATATAATACTAATAGAATAAACGTTCGTACAAAATATTATATAATTATAACAATATTTTTAATATTAATATAATAATAGTAAAAGATAAATGTAATCCTTTACACGCACCGAGGGAAAATATAAATTTTCTTTAATTTATTACAATTTTTTTAGAAGAAGTACCCTGAATTGTAATAGGATGAAAAAAATATTTAGGGAAATGTGAGAGGCACAACAATTAGTATCATATCCTATTTTTTCTCGGCTGGATCATTTCATTTAATTTTCTTGAATTGCGGAATTTACTAATATCACTGTGTGTGTTTATTTTTCATAGTATTTTAAATTAGTTTATTTCATAGAAAACAAATACTATTATTTTATTTTTAGTATATAATATGCCCCATATCATTATGCAAACAAGAACAGATTATGCAATCAAGGTAATATTTGACTTTAAATAAATTAGTGTTTTCACCCAATTTGTTTTCATATTAATAAAAAATATATAATACTTATTTTATTTATTCATAAAAAAATTAGTAGATAATTAAAAATATATTAGTAAAAATAATTATCCTATGATATAAATAATTATAAATTAAGATTAAGATAACTAATTAGTTTAATTAAAATAATAAAAAAAATTTAAAATGAGATTAAAATGTGTAATCATTTTATAAAAAAGGGAAGTGACATGGTACGTGGGACGGACAGAAACGGCAACGTGGACATAGTATCTGAGACAGAGGGATTACTTTTTTTCATATTTCACATAATAAAACATTTCAATTTTAAAAAATATATAAAATCCATATAATATGCTATAAATGTCTTCCGGCGTATACTTTCAAAATAATTAAATTTTATTTATATACATAAGTAATACTTCCTCCGTCCCAAAAAGAAATATCTATCTTCTTTTTTCACGTAGTTTTAGAAATATTAGTATTATATTGAGATATAGTGGGAATAAAGTATAAATGACTAAAATAACCTTGTTAGTATGTGTGATATAAATGTAATGATATTTGTATAATATATTGTGAGTTGTAACGGTATTTGTAATATTAAGTAGATAGTACAATTACTAAAAAAGGAAATGGATACTTTGTTATGGAACGGATTAAAATGAAAAAATAGATACTTTATTATGGGACAGAAGGATTCCTATATTTCATATTTTAGAGACAATTCTAAGATTATAATATCCAAAAGGGCTGCGTAAACCTAGCCTATTTACCTATTATGATGATTATTATTATTATTATATCTACTCCTTCGTTCCCATATAATTTGTTCCTATTTTTTTTTTTGTCCTTCCTATATAATTTGTCATTTCTATTTTTGGAAATATAATTATGCACTTTAATCGTATTTTAAATTTTAAATTTTATAATTTTCTTAATTTTAATAAGATATTTATTTATCTTAATCTTAATCTATAATTATTTTTACTAAATAATAATTATTTTTACTAATACACTTCTTAATTATTTACTAATTATACTTTACCTAAATTATCGTGTCTACGGTAATACACCCATATTACATAGGACGGACGGAGTATTATTTTTAATATAGTGGAAACCGCAGTTGCTACCGAAAGTTACATTTAAGTAAATTTTCAATCGAATTTAATACTTTGCAAACTAGATTTGACAGGTAAGTTATACTAAAAAAACTTATGATTTCAGGGTCATAATATATAAACTAAAAAAATATATTCAAATTAAATTAAAAATAGATTCCTCCGTCTCAAATACTATATAATATTTAAAAATAATTAATAATATTTATATATATATTAATATACACTTAACTCTATCACATCACATCACTCAAATAAAAAAAAATCTCGTGCAAGAAACAAATAACTATTTCTCTGCTACTTAAATTCTCCTGCAAAAAGGAATGGAATTATAAAATTTAAAATATAATTTAAGTATATAATGATTTTTAAAAAAAATGAATACAGTTTTTAAAATGAACTATTTATATTATATCATGAAATCAATCCAATTTACCACTCAAACAAACAAACAAACAATTCATATAATAATAAATAATGTTATCCCATCGCCATCACCACCGCCGCGTTGAATGCGAACAGGAAAGTTCTACAAACGGAAAGAATCATCCTCTCGAAGAAATTCAAAAACTATACAATCTATCATTCAACACCTATCCATCTATAATCTATCTCTCTCTCTCGCTTTGAATCTGTCCTGATGTTTTGGGTTGGCCGCTTTTAATCCATCGACCGTCACTAGGACCTCGCCGAAATCGATTCATATCATATCATAACATAACATCCTCTTGCTTGGGATCGAGTTTCACAATTCAACTCGTTATTGTTTTCTGACAGCAGATTTGTTGTGGTTATTGCCCAGCATTATTCCTTGATATCATTGATAATAGTAATACCACGTTGAGAGGCTAGCTCGTTCAATTTGAATCGCGACGAGAATCCAGAAGCAGAGGCTGATTGGAAAATGGCGGGAAATGATGAAACCATGGAGGTGGAGTTGTCTAACGGGGATCGGTACGGCGGTAAGGTCAAGCAGAGGCTGAAGGATCCGACCAAGGTAGGGATTACGCGGTTTCGAATGCGTGTGTGAATTTTTTGATTTTGGGGGTTCGATTTAGGGTTATTGGATTGCGTGCCTGAGTGATTGTTGTTGAATCCGTGCAGAAAACGAAGGAAATGCTGTCGAAGCAAGCAGTTCAGACGAAGGAGATCTTGTCCAAGCAGGCCGTTAAAATTGCCAAGCAGGCCGAGGAGCATGAGCAATTCATCAACAAGGTTCCATAGTCATGGCGCGATTTGCTAAATTACTGTTGTTTTTCTTCATTTTGTTTCCATTGACCTTTGGATTCTGTGTAACTAATTGAATGGAATACAAAGTATGTGTTTAGAGTGTTTTGAATTTGAACTTTTTGTATAGAGTTTAGGTTTGGGTTGTAAGAATCCATTTCTGTAAATGGAATAGTGTCAAATGGATGTCGAACAAAGAAAGCTTTTGTAATTGAGTTTGAACATTTAGCATTAATGGTGGTTGGTTGTTTGGTGTTCTTGTGTAGGTGACACATTTGCTCGGTGTTCTTGGTTTCGGAGGGTTCTGCTTCATTTTGGGTGCAAGTTAGTATATTTATGACGTATTGGAACACTTTTTCTCTGTTTTAGCTATGCAGCTCGTCGATTGTTTTACTGTTGTTTGATGATTTGGTTACCTTTTGTGGATTATAATTATCAGGGCCGCAAGATGTTCGTTATCTGTACTGTTTGTTCTATGTGATTTTTGTGCCGCTAAGGTGGATTTATTACCGTTACAAGAAATGGCACTATTATCTTCTGGTGAGTTCCTGCGACAAAATCAGTTGTTATTCCTATTATGTTTTTCAGTTTGTTTGTAAAAGGGAAAACATTGATTCGGTTAAATTACGGATATGTAGGATTTTTGCTATTATGCAAATACCATCTTCTTGATCATGCTTCTGTGTTATCCCAAAAATGAGAAGTTCTTCATGGTTTGCTTCTCGTTTGCTGAGGTTAGCATTCAGCCTAGTTTGATTTCTTATCAATATTGATGGATTACTTTGTTTCGATTATCAGTTTCTTGTTTTGAACATGTATAAACTGGTGGCGCAGGGGCCGTTGGCTTGGGCACTAATTGTTTGGCGATGTAGCTTAGTGTTCAACTCCATGGACAAAATTGTGAGTGTATTTATACATCTTTTGCCCGGTAAGACGCCTCTTCTTGTTTCTTGAATATTAATTTCACATGTCTTTGCTGGTAATTCGTCGATTCATGTGGGGTTTGTGTTAGATTGAATACTTTAAATGGATTAAATAAGTCAACCCTAACCCGACCTATTTATTATTGTGGCTGATTCGTGTTGATTCGTATACATAATTAAGTCGAAATTCTTAATTATTTTTTTTCATATTTTCGTGTTATGTTAGTTTTTGTTGGTTATAAATTAGATTAAATTATATAAAATTGAACTTAGTTTAAATTAATATGTAGACTAATTATTAAATTATAACTATTTTATATATAATAAATATATTAATTAATATTAATATATCATAATCGAATTGTCGTGTCGGATTCGAGTTGAGAGTCTCAATCCTAACTCGATTCGTTTATTGTAGTGTTTGATTCTTGTCAAGCCGTACACATAATCGGGTTGAAATCTTTGACTCCAATTATTTCGTGTCGAATTATTGTATCGTGTCAGTTTTTGCAGCTCCGTGTCAATTGAAATACTTTCCAATTCTTGAACACATCCTAGAACAGAGCTTCCGTTTTTGTCATTTTCCTCTGATTAATTTGTCGAATTTTGAACACATCCAATAACATAGCTTCCATTTCTGTCCTTTTCCGATGATTAATTTGCATCCAGGCTTGGTTTTCTTCACAATCCGGTGGTGGGATCCGGTGTTCTTTGAAGCCATGCATCCAGAAGGAACTGCTCGACGAGCATCATGGCCGTACGTGGAAAGCAAAGTGAATCTATGGACATGGCTGTTCTTTGTCCCACTAGTTGCTTACAGTGTGTGGCAACTCCTATATTTCCTCATCGTCAACGTCCTACGCCGTCAAAGACTTCTGCGAGACCCCGAGGTCATGACTTCTTACAGGTTCGAAACTCGTCGTAATTAATCCCATCACTAATCAAAGGCATCCATTGTTTACAAAAAAAAGAAAAAATTCAATCTTTCACAGGGAACTTTCCAAAAAGGCTCAGAAAGCAAACAACATATGGTGGCGATTAAGCGGAATGCTCGGGGATCAGAATCGAATGTTCATGTACATTCTGCTCCAAGCATTGTTCACGGTAGCGACAGCGGCCCTTACAGTCCCAATATTCTTGTCCTACGAGCTACATTGCACTTTCCAACTACTCAAAGTGTCGGCAGCTGTTTGGAACGGCGGTAACTTCTTGCTAGAAGTGATGCCGCGACAGGTCATTCTCAAGGAGAAGAAGAAAATTGAATTGCAGCCGATTGAGCCCCAGCCCGACCCGTCATCTATGGATCAGTCGACGAACACAGACAATGCTGCCAATGAGGTGATCCTTTCTGACTAACAGTTTATGATCAAATTAAAAAGTTGCAAAAGATATCGTTTGAATGTAATTTTCTGCCGGCCGGGGACTTGTTTTCGATGAACTTGTCGTGTTTTCGGTATTATTTTCTGGTGGCCTCCTCCATGGTTGTTATTGTTGTGTTGTGTTGTGTTGATGATCAATTTGTATAATGTAGCAGTAGTTGTGTTTTGTAGATAAGCTGTAAGGGAATCTAACACTTCTCTTGTGTTTGTTTTGTGTGTTCTAGAAGTAGTCTTGTTATTTCATTTGTTTCTTTGTTTGTTTGGATTTATATCTAGATTGTATTTTGATATTTCTTCGAATTTTTATTTACATGATATAATATTTTATGTTTAGAGTAATCTTTTTAGTTAAAATGTGTGGGTGAAAATTTTTTGTTTGAAATTTCAAACCAAACACATTTTCTGTTGTGTTCGGCTGTGGGATTCTATCCCAAATTACTGTTTATCAAAAAATTTTTTTCAAAAATATCAAATCAAATACGTCAATATCTATTTATATCACTTCGTTACTACTGTTCAAACACTATTCAAATTTAACTATTTATATCATTTTATACAGCTATTCAAATTTTGTTCAAACCTCAATTCAAAATTAACCTCCAAATTATTTTATTTTAGTCCATAATTTACTCATCAATTTCTTGTTTTTTTTTTTATTTTTATTTTAGTTTGGGAGAATTGAATATCAAAATATTTATATCAAAATAAGATTTAAATAGTTGATTGTAATGATAAAATAATAAAATAATGAAATAAATAAATTTTTTACGTATGTATAAATTTAAGGAATAAAAAAACAAGAAATAGCGTAATTTTGATGACAGGGAGTATTATATTTACAAACTTGCAAAAATTTGCTGAACAAATATAATACAAATTGAGCACATAATTTAGCTGCACAAGATGAAAATAATCTACAGTTACTATCGTTATTGCACATGATATAACAAACAAAATATATTTTCAAATAAAATTTTAAAATATCTATTGTCAGAAAATTTGACTGAATAAACATGCAAAAAACAAAAAACAAATAAAATTTATTTACATATAACTTACATATTAAAAACAAAGAATCATCAAAATAAGTGTTCATAGAAAACAAAGAATTATCAAAAGCTCTACGGCTATCATTCATTTGCATCATCATCTTCTTTACACCCAAAAAAATATAACATGGATTCATTGCAAGCCATATTGCAAATCACCACAACCAAATCTCAATAACAAGATCAATACAACCTAGTACCAACCCGAAACCCGGACACCGAAACCAAGCCCGAGCCCTACCGTCCATCCGTCGGATCCTTCGATGGATGGATGAGAGAAATAAAAAAGAAAGAATGAACCCAGACGGCGATAAATTAGTGCCGTCCGCAACCAAATTGCGAATAATCAAAACACAAATATACAAACCAACACAAACCACATCAAATGATCAAACCCGCGTATATATATTGTATGTATGCACAAATACTTTCTGCTTTGCTGAATTACCCGGCGGCGCCAATCATCGTCAATCAATCTGATCGTTGATGTAAGAATACGAACCCCGAGCTTTCACGGATTAAAGGGGGAGGCTCGACGTCAGATACGTCTACTTGCTGCACCGATTTGGAGATGTCGTCCACGGAGAACGGGATGCTGCACAAGTTCATTTAGAACAGTAGAAGCTTAGAACAATGGTAAATCTACGATGTTCGACTATCCGGAAAAGGTTAAAGGATATTAAATGGGAATAATGCTGTCGGAAACACTATACCTCGAATCATCGTCTAATAGGAAGGAACTGCTTACGGAATTGTTTGAGTCCTCTGTCATCATAACTCTCATATTTGAAATGACCTATATTTGAAGAATCGTTGAATTTATTCGAGGCGAGGTTGGTTGAAGAGTGTCGTGAAGTGAGCTAATGTTCGAAACTAATGTACCTCAGAAGAGACGCTATGAGTGCCATATTTATCGTCCCAGTACATTGTGCTGATCCGGTATAGTTGTTGAATGCTCAGCACCTGTAAAATGATTCGATTGTAAGATAATGCCGAGATGATCCAGGACAGAAATTTGGATCGGGAAAGGTTTACTCACGGGACAAAGGTCATTCGTAATTTCACTCAACGTCTTCTTGGGCTTTTGATGTATGACCTGATGCACGAAACACGACAGCATTGTGACGCCGTTCCAGATAAGAAAGAAATGAAGTTAGAAATGAAACGAGGGGATGTGATCCGCACCAAAAATCCGACGGCCTGCCGGATATGCTTTAGCTCATCCCAAGCAGATCCTACATACTGCGCGCCAGGATTCGACTGTAAGGCAGTGATACGACGTACAGATAAATGGCGGAAATTATCGGAACGAAAGCTTACTTCCTCTGTTGCATAACAGCACCATTGCTCTAATTCAGCCAACCCAGCTTTTACGTACTCCCCGTTGCTGAACGAGCAGCATTCACGACGTAAAAGAAGACTGCAGTGTTTCAAATTAGAGAAGGTCATTTGAATCATTTGTTTAATGGTGCTAATATAGAATCGTAAGAACATTAAAGGTTTCGATAGAGATGAACTTGCCTGTTGAATAATTGCACATTGATAAACGAAAATATTTGAGTGAAAACCTTTCGAACCAGGAAGGGAGGAACCTGTAATTGCATTACAGCAAGAACAAAAGAACACAATCAAACTAAAACGAAGAAACTCGAAACCAAATTTCACGTTAAGACTTTCCGAGAACTTACGTAATTTGCTTTCATCGTCTTCAAGTAATTGTCTAGACTTTTAACAATGCTCTGCCAATGAGCAATCAGTGCTTGTTGTGCAACAGCATTAGCTTGGGACCGTCCCTTTACTAAACTCGCCCGAGACGTCCTGGGAGCCTGCAAACAAGTAGATTTACGATACAAATAAAAACAACAACAACGCATCTGCTTGATAGAGATATACATATATATATATATACATTGACAAACTAATCAGGAAAATCGAGTCGTCAGGATTTTACCTGGATACATAAACCAAGTACAGGGGAAATCTCTTTCTTCAAATTGTCCCTAATCATTCCATATATTTTCTCGAGGAAAGCCGTAAGCTGCTGCTTGAACAACAAAGCCGGATATTTGGCTTCAACTTGTCGTAAATCATCAAGTCTACCGAGCATACGGCCATTGAGAAATGCTAGCCCACCACTCTGGGGAGATGCTCTCAATCCCTTCGACAAGTGGTGTTTAAACATTAGAGGCATATTAAAAAACCAACAAGTAAAATTACATGCAGAAGACAAATGTAAAATAACATTGAAGGACAATAGCATACTTGCGACATCCTCCCAAAGAGAGAAGCCGATGATGATCTTCGCCGTTGTGGGGTCAAACTGGCAGCCCCACTTGCTTTCAGTGTGTGTTGGAGCAGTGTCAACAATGTGGAAGTATTACATAGCCAATAGGCTAGGACATCATTGTTATCGGGGGCCTTCAATGGAGTTTCACAAAATAAGTTTTTCCAAAGCATTCCACGTACATTTTCGAATTTAAGTTTGAGTTTTAATTATAGATTGCTAATAGAAATAGAAGATACCAATCATCTATCCATTTTTACCTCAATGGCTGATGCTATAGTTTGAATTATGCGATCGAAAACACTTGTCCTCTCAACCTCAAAAGATCTCCAGTGTAGAAGGCTTTTGTAAATAATACTAGCAGCAACAGGTTTACCACCAGAAAATCCGAGATCTTGAGTAATGCACTTTATCAAGAGATCTTGGTTTTCCTGCCAAAAACGAAAAAATCAGAGCTTGTTATCTTTTGAGATTGAAGGAGAATGAAACCTAATAAAGACCAGGCCTCGATCATTATTGAAATATTGAATGCACATGCTGAACCCATTTACCTGCTGCTTTTCGTTGAGAGATTTCTGGGGCTTTTCCTCCGATTCAGGCTCCTTGGGATTCGCCACAACAAGAGCATTATCCTGAAACAAGCAGACCATAAGCAACAATGATATTCAACCATAACCGAGTCGTGCTGCATTTCCTAAATTCCCAAATCTCAACAACAAAAGCTTTACATGTGCAGACTTCACTTCTCCATTGTGAATATTTCCATTCTCTGGAGTTCTCTGTAAAGTTACAAGGAAAGGTCTGATAAGAATATCTGCAATGGTAGTGAGTATAGGTAAGCGAATGATGTATCAGCATTACCGGAATAATAGTTGTTCTAGGTCTAGATTTCCCTGTAGGTGACATAGTAAGAGCCTGTTGTCGGAGAACTTGGTTCTCAGACTCGAGGTTCGACAGCTTCTCTTCAAGCCTACAATTAGGAAAGTAACAATCACACACTAAAACATATGAACCAAGCGAAGAAAAAGGTACTTTGTTGCTGTCATTGTAATTATTCGTAGGGATGCAGTAAGTTGATCCTTCAAACATGGCAAAATAAGTAAGTCCAATAAAGAATCTCAGAAATAGTTATTTTATGACTACTAAAAAAATATTTCCCTGACAAATTTAAAGATCAACAAGAAAGCTTCATGAACACAGAAACGGCCATTAGACAGACACCCTTTCCAGGGAAAAGTATTCAGCAAAAGGAAAGAATAATGCCTTTGGACAATGGATTAAACCAAATGTTCATACAGATTCAATGGATATACCTTCTTGTGGAATCTTGAAGTTGATCCACTTTTCCTACAGCTTCCTCCAGTTTTCTGGTCAATTCATTGTTTCGGGCCTCAGCATCTGTGCGAGCCTTTTTAGCCTCTTCTGCATCTTGTTTTTCTGACAGAAGCAAAGCCTGCAAATAATAAAAGAATGGACTTCTTATGAGGGAACTTTTGAAAAGGAAGAATAGCAATTAAATTTCTCAATACTTTGCAAAATGGCAATTTATCATATTATCTGAAGTTGATCCACTCAGCAATTGAGTGTTCAATCTGAAATGGGTTATATTTATAGAAACGACCTAAATTTTAAAGCCATCAGTCCAGTTATACTTAACTAGAGAGTTAATATCAGATATAAAGTTTCAGGGGATGATTCAGCAGTGGCTGCTATTAAGGAATTCAACCAAATGAGTAAACACTTTACCACACTGGAAATTTATCCCCTTGATAAAATACATCATTCGGTACACAAATAAATGTGTCGACAATATATATATATATACACTGTAGTGGTGACTTCAATTTTCAAGAAACTCTTATTTCAATATGAGTTCTTACCTTTAGACTTTCTACCTCTGATGTCAATGCATCAATCTTTGCTGTATCTTGAACCATAACCGGGGTTTCTTTGATGACAGGAGGTGCTTCTTCAATTGCCTTGCGCGCTGCTTCTTGTTCTTTTATCACTCTAGCATTTGCATCTTCCAATTGTGTTTGCATTGAATGCAATGCCTCCTGTAACTTTGCAATTTCTTGTGTTTTTGTTTCCTCCAACTCAGTCTACATCAAGAAGCAAAATAAAAGGGTGTGATTCTATTGGGTATATAAAAAAAACACGAGTCACAAAGTCAGTCGAAATAATTACCCTTAGACGTTTCTCAAACTGCAAACGCCATGTGAGCTCCTCCACCTTCTTTTCCAGCTTGTCTTTGGCTTCTTTAAGGGCTCCTGTTTCTCTTGCAGCCTGAACCAAGTAACAAAGATGCTTATAGAAAGTTCAGAAGGAACCAGCTACAAAAATGAAAAGGCTTAAGCATAGGTCAGAACCATTCTGAGCTTTCGAAGTTCTCTCCGAGCAACACGTTGCCTCCAAGCACATTGGGTAGTAATAGCAGCCTTTTGAAGACTGCGATAGTAAGTGTAATCTCTGTGACAGCGCTGACGGGCCTGCATGCCAACAATAAAATAATGTATCCATTAGTCGGTACAATGTTAACTGCTTAAACTCTCATCTGTCGAATTAAAGCAGTAGAGCCTAAAAAACAGACCTGAATTTTAATGGAAGCCTTAGTTTGCTTCCTGAATCTGAATTCATCCCGAGCTTTCATTGCCCGCATTCCAGTTTGCAACGCAATAGCCGAATCCTTCAAGGTCACATAGGATTCTCGAGCGGTGTGGCATCTGAAGTTCTTTTGAATCATAATAGCAGCAGCTTCACGTCGCAATTGCTCATAAAGTTTGCAAGCAGACAGAGCTACATAGAAAGGAAGAAGTTATATTATAATGCAAATTCCAATTTCCAGGGGAAGGGAAAAGGAAAAAAAAAAAAAAATCAACTTGGAGAGGTCATTTAAAGTTGACACATCACCAATTTGAGATGATGAGAAATCAGCTAAATGTTTTTAGACACGCAATTATTTTCATATACTGAAGAGCATATTATTTCACAGAAATATAATGGCACCCAATATCTTGGAGCATACGATTGCTTTCTTCCTCAGTATGCATACGCCTTCCTTTGCATATAGTCTTCTTGATTAGTATGAAAAATCAACTTAGAGATGAATAAACTTTACTAAAAAGACTGAGTTACCTCGCCAGCATGATTGCAATTGGATAGCAGCTTGGCGCAATAACAGAAAATCCTTCCTAGCAATGTAGGTACGGATTTGCCTTTGAATGGTCCTGGCTGCATTTCCAAGAACCTCTGCTCTCCTAGCATCTAGCTCAGCCATTTGACCAGCTCGTAGGAAGACCTTGGTTTTACCTAACTGCAGAACAAAGAGTATGCAAAGAACGGATCATACATCAACATAATTTATGACCAGAAATGCGCCTGATCATCAGGGAATCACACAATCAATGCTCTTGTCTATCACAGAATCCCAACTTCAGTATGAGGTGACATAGTATAATAGGGAAATGAATATATATATACATGTGCGTGCATATATATATATACACACACACCAATATTAGTACAGATTATCATATTTTAGTTACCTGATAGCCCTTCAATCCCATTTTGTCCAAAATCACTTGACATGCAACTTTGTCGTCATAGCTGCAAAAAGGATATATGGTATAAAATTATGAATAAACAAAATGAAAATATGCAGTGTGTTGGATGACACAAGGTAGGCTCAAATATGTAAGTTATAGGAATCAGTTTCAAGAAGCCAAAAATATTTACCTCCCATCCAATACTTCAGGAGCAAGAACACCAAATCGAAGAAGAAATTCATCAAATGTACGTCTTGTAGGGTATCCAGCACAGCTGATTCTGATAGCTTCGAGGACACCCTGTATAATCATTAGTAAAAATTCAAGTTAATTTACCATAAGAGGTAGAGGTCTTAAGCTGAGAAATCAACTCTGATGCCAAAAAAAATGACCAACACATCTTGTACATAATACTTACACCACATCGCAACTGCTGGATTACATTGATATTCTCAAAGATTGCAGGCTTAAGAACATTGTTTGGTTTTACACATCTGATGTAGTGAGGTTCCGTTGAACTTAGTGTCTCCATTAGAGACTGTAATTGTTGCTGCAAGGATATAAATATAGATCTCTTTAACACAACAGTTCTTAATATAAGTAAAATACCACTTACACACTCCTGCGTATTCGAAAATATCACCAATAATATTTTTGCATAAAATTAAGTTTCTATAAGCACCAACAATCAGAAATCAAACTATTCACTTTTCTTGGATACATAGAGCAACTTATGAACTGCAAAATAAGTATTTTGGCCTGTACATTTAAGACCAATGGATAGTTGTCTGGTTATTAATTATTCCTACAGATAAATAATATAATGTATCCATATTAGCTTATTGTTATGTCATGATTATAGTGTAATATGTATTATTGCCTCTCCTAATTCATATGGAACATGGAAAGTAACAGTAAAATCACACTCCAAAAACAATACAACCTCATACGATGTATGCTTTTTAGGTTTTACAAAAACAAAAACGGAAAATGCAGCACAAGAACTCAAAAATGAATATACCCATAAACCAGCAGAAGTTTATAGGGCTCGGAGTTCTAACCCAACATGGATGAATATTTTTCGAATGGCACCTCATTGTAACATTGCAATAGAACACTACTAAGAACATCTATCACCAAATTAGGTCTTCAAACTTCCAGTATTCCCTCATGTATTTAACTGATTATTAGAGAATGGATATTCAACACTGTTGGAAATAAATTTGAACTTCTTATTTTACACTAAACCAGATAGTTTAACATATAAATGCAATTTGAAAGAATATTCTAGTTATCAGAGACGGGTGTAAAAGGCTCACTATGACCGGATGATATAGCAAGCTTTAGTAATTTAACATTGGCATTGATAAAAAACTTTTACTAAACTGGAAGATATCAGAGAGACCTTAAAGCGGGTTCCGATTGAAGAAAATTTGGAACTTTTTGATGATTCTTCTGGAAGAGGAGGAAACAAACCAGCCACAAACGAGCACTTTGAAGCCGTTAACAAATCTTGATGCTCAGCCACCACATAATCTTTGTTCTTATCCAAGAACAGATCTGCCATGTATGTTACCTACAATTAATGAATATGGTTACATTATGTTTCCACAGGTGCGCAGCACATACAATATTTCACGATCAACACGTTATTACCTCCCCCGCATAGTGGGATATCGTGAAATTGGTGCGCGAGAGCTTGGGCTTTATAAAACGCTTATGTTTTGCAAAGGTTTGATACAACTTCTGAGCAAATGTCTCATGGGTAGATTTAGGAAACATACTGCCACAAAACAGTATTAATGTTGAGTACATGCCATCAGAAGTGAAAAAAAAAAAAAAAAGCAGCAGTGGTTGCACATAAGCAGCCACCTCTAATAAAGATGGAGCAATATTGAGAAATCCATAATCTTTCAATGAATTACAGAGATAAGAAAGTATTAGGATCAGAGAATATAAAAACTTCATACCAAGCCTCATCCAGCAGTGCAATTATCCCTCCTGGTTTCTGGGGAAATAAAAAACGAGAAAAAGAACATATATCAAATAAGTAATTATCAGGTTTCCTATGTGCAGTGACCATAAATAAATAAATATTGAAAATATTAAAATTTAAACATCCATGCTAAAATGGTGAAAATATATTCATATGAATAATTGGTTGGACTAAAAAACACAAAATCAGCAAAGCATTAAATCAAGGGTCTCAAAACCTTCTCAATTAAATCAAGAACATCTTGGTTATCAACAAACTCTATGTAGCTCCAGTCTATCTCTTCTTTTTCATAGTCTTCTTGTTCCATCTTAAAGACATGCTGAAAACGGAACACAAATCTCATATAAGCAGTTCAAGTATGGAACTGACATAATTTAAGTTTAACAAAAAAGAAAGACCTGATTAAAGTGTTGCTGCAATTTTTCATTAGTGAAATTGATACAGAACTGCTCAAAGCTGCCAACATGAAAAAAAATGTCAGGAGAATTAATAATATATCTCCCTATTATTGCTAATGAGATATCAAGGTAAGGAAGCTTGCCTGTTCTGCTTAAAGCTTTCAAACCCGTATATGTCAAGAACACCTATTATCGCTTTTGAGTTAGGATCCTGTCCGATGGAGATATTTATTTTTTCTACAATCCTGAAAGCAGTAGAGAGAACAAGTTAAAGGACAAAATGATTATTCAATTACTGCTATACACTTGAATGAATATATATATATATATATCTGAAGCACCAATATTGTACCAATCAAACAGCCGAGAATATACAGTCTTTGCCAAGGCATCCCTGCTACCCAAGGCAGCTTCTGGATCAAGAGTCCTTGTAATGACTTCTTCAGGTGTCACCATCACACGCTTGATCAATGCATCTTCCAAGCTCTTGGGATCACAACTATTGAATTATATCCATCACAACAATTTCTCACTAACACCATTAGCAATTTTATTCGAAGTACAAACAACAAGGACAAAAGCCTGACCTCAGTAATTCGGCGGTTGTATTTAGATGAAACATAGACTTCTCATCCTTAATCACAGAAGAATCAATCTCCTTGCCCTTGGCAAAATTAATATTACCAAGATGCAGAACTGCTGCAACCACCCTAAATATTGCCTCCTACAGAAATGTACATCATGATGAATAAAATTATGCACATAGAAAAATAGAGCAAGTTTTACAAACAAGCACATTTCAGGGTGTCTTCAGGTATAGGCTGACCTGTTCTTCTTCACTGATTCCAACTATATCCATAGCTCTTCTGGTTGCAAGGTATTCCTCAGCATCACTTACTCCATCAAGTTCGTAACACTTGGACTGGTTGAGATAATGAAATGAATCTGGCTGACCAAGTTTGTACCTTTCTCTTTCCTGAAGAATGAAGACATTATAAATTGTCCTAAAGCATTAACAAAACTGCTAACATGAACATGATGCAAAATCTATAAAAACAGTCAGGAACTAAACTACAAGAGAAATGCAACTTACCTCAGGCGGTGCTGCACATAGAAGATAAAAGCAATGGTAGTTCCTTTCGGGATTTGAAATTTGACAAACACGAGATCTCTCCAGCAAATATGTTCTAACAGCTGCTCCAGATATCCTCCCACTCTTGTCAAATTGGATTTCAACAAATTTACCAAATCGACTGCATATATGCAACACCAGCAAAACCATTAATTAATATTCAACCGCATTTAACTCTTAACTACTAAAATGAGTTGAACACAAATAATCAAATTAGACATGAACCTTACAATATCCTTAACTAAAGATAGGTTAACACTCACCTAGAGTTGTTATTCCTGACAGTTTTGGCATTACCAAATGCTTCAAGAACTGGATTTGACTGTAATTTACAACACAAATACAAGCAGTGAGACAAAAGTGGAGGCAAACATTATAGTTTGATTTGAGATTTATTTTGTATAGAGGAAATGTAAATTTCTACTTACTTCTAGAACTTGTTGTTCAACAGTCCGTCCTTCTACTCCAGACCGCCCACCCAAGTATGCAAGATATCTCATCAACATTTTTGTTGTTTCAGTTTTACCAGCACCACTTTCTCCACTGACCAATATGGAGTTGCTCTTTCCTTCATTAATCATTGCCCTGACAACAAGATGCATCATGGATGAACAAGTCACTATGTTGCCTTGCACAGCCAACCAAGAGATCCTCCGAACATACATCATAATGAAAATATCCTATCAAATATCACCTGTAAGCCACATCACCAATTGCAAAAACATGAGGACTAAGCTCTCCAAGTGCTGCCCCTTTGTATTGCTCCATCATGTGAGAATCATATAGATGTGGTATTTTTTGAAAAGGGTTTACCGCAATCAGAATATTTCCAGTATATGTCTGAGAAAAATGTCATGTGATAAGTTAGAAGAAGTACTTGTTATTTGTCCTAAGAAAGGATGGAAAATAAAAAGAAACAATTCTAATGAGGTTTACTGGAAGCAAGTGGATTACAGATCAATTATCAGGGCAAAATCAAAATGCTTACATAAATTTCATTAAGTTCATATCTCGTAGCCAAATTTTGCAGAACTCCAGGTTCATGTAAATATGAAAGCTTGGTCATATCATCAACACCCCCAGGTGGTGCTTCGGTATCCTTTGGAAACACTTTTGAGATATCTGCGACAACCTGCAAAGCAAAAGGCATATAATACATGGAAAATTCAAATTTAATATGGAACACAGTTGAAGTGAGCCAAATGCAGTCCACATATAATGAAGTAAAAATAACAGTTGACATCAAAATAACAGTTGCCAATAAAGATGTCAAGCAGCATACATAACACCATTTTGGTTAAAAATTATGGTACATAATGTAACCATATTAATGATTCCCATTGAAATTAGCTTCGTAATAGAACTTGAATGAAAAGACAAAGAAAACCTTCGCGTGAATACACGCAAGAAAACCAAAGAACGGGATAATAATGGCATCCCAATTATTTTACCAATAGCGTAAAAAGTCATTATGAAGTGCAACTCTGGGTTTCTCAAGACTGGTTTACTATTTTCATAAACTTCCATAGATGTCATTGTTCATATTGTAATACAATTTGAAATAACAAAAACCATTTCACAGCCATAAACTGCAGGAAAGTATATAGCATTAGCATATTAAGCTATTTACATGATGCCATGAGTATCCAAGAAATGAAATATTTTCAAATTCCATTAGTTCAGATTAACTTTAACATTTTTTGTTGCAAGAGATTGCCAAACTGTTTGTCCGATTTTTTAAGTTGGAATAACAGAAATTGGCATAACAAGTTTGTGATTATATTGGATGTTAAAAATAAGTGCAAAACCCGATCTAAATTAGCAAGAAAAAGTAAGACTTGAAATAAGAGTTACATGACTTGGCCTCTCCCAAGGTCATATTTATCACTCACTTTTCGTTGAAAAATAAAATGTAAGATATTCATGGAAGTGTTTTAACCGGATATATTCAGATAAGCTCTGAAACCCCCATGTTAGAGATAGTAACATGATTCTTGTCAGGTGAACCGAGAAGGTCAAGTACTATAGGATACAGGAATGAATATTTGTGAATAGGATCACTCAAGAAAACAAAATGCAAAACAGATGAACATTCCTGAAAAATCTGAACATTTAAAAAAGCTGAAACATAATATTTCTAAACTATCTTCACAACAATTTGGTAATTACAAGTATCACATCAACGTGACCAGTAAAAACTGCGTTACTTCCAGGCATTCACCTTTTTTCCATTGGTGGTTTGAACATGAACATTTTGACCATCTATACGGTTGACTTGCCCATCAATCCATGCCAAAGCTGGATCCTCAACCCACACATGTGAACCAACTATAATGTTAACTGGTGATGCCTGCAAAACAGTCAAAAGAAACTTCTCATCCATCTGGAGCAAGTTATCGCATAGAATGGTCATTATGTAATTGAAGATTAAGGAAGAACTAGTTGCCACGTGCGCAAGGTTTTCATGTTCCATTTCTCATACTAAAATATAAATACTGCTAAAAGACCACGTAAAAGCACCCCAAAATACCCTTCCATAGATAGGAAAAGTCCCATTACAAGTACTCTCCCACAAATATCTCCATAATCTTTATCATAACTAACTGGATGAATGTACCTAGGTGTATTGAGTAATCATGTTGCGAAAGAAGTCTCTTTATCAACACAAACACTAAAGTAGGTAATCTCCTATATTTGGAGTCCATGTACAAGAGGAAATGTCTATTTGGGTTATAAGTTATTTATGCCGAAGACTTCTTATGATTAGCATGATTTACATCTTGTTTATTATAATTATAGTGTATCCATTTGTAAGATCACTCTGCTTTGTGCTCAGAGAATTCAATTAATAGGAAATCCACAGAAAGAAATGTTTGATTACTATGATCAATGATGTGTCAACTTTGGCTAATACAATCAGTTATGCTGTGTTGGAGAAATTAGTATTGTACAAAGACTATCTCACATAATACTCATAAGCTAGTTGACAGGGAAGATAGAATATTTTAATATAAGAATATTTTAATATATGTTCATTTACATATTAAATCCTCCAATGCATCCCCTCGCGTGGAGATGGTATTCTTTTTCATAAAGCATGTAAAAAGACTTTCTCATGATGGGACAGTTAAGGTATAGGACATTCCATTAATCTCAACAAAAAACTTAAGTAGATGCATTCTGGTGCATTATTTATATATTTAATCCTCCAAAAAACATAAACAGATATACAATAATACCTTTAAAATTTAGAATAAGTTGACACTCATGATTCTGATTTCTTCATGTATGGCTATCATAGATACCTATAGGTTCTACAATGTTACGTAGTTAGTTATTGATTTTGATCCAAATGATTGTTATCTACATTTTGATCCAACTCGCTACTCACTTACAGTTTAAAGTAAGTTTGGGCATTCAAATCCTTCAACATATGAAACATACTTTTCAAGCTAGTAATTTATATTAAAGTAAGACTATAACATCAAATTAGAGAATAATTATCAAAATGTACTACTAAAACTCTAGGGTTGTGTTTCTTTAACATTTGAATTTGGGCCTGGAGTTTGAGAATAAATGAATAATAAGATTTTGAATCAAATTAATGTATAATGTGATGTTTTGAAAGACAATGATTATTTTGTATAATATATTAAATGAAAAGTAAGTGTTTAAGTTGATGGTTTTGAGGGAAAAATTGAGACCAAAACTAGACCTTAAAGAAACAAACCCTAGACTACACATTTCTTTATCACACCGATTTACTGTTCGAGTTATTGAACGAATGGGTTTTAAAAAGACAACATTAGATTGGGATCTCATTTCAGAATACTACTATAGTATATCGTACTGCTCATTGTCTAATATTTTGGTTAAATTAGCACGTCGCCTACCTTCCATCTGTTTCTGCTTGTTGTCTGTTTGTTTCTGCATGTCTGCAACTCTAGCTACTTGAAATCATCTATCGGTATTTCATTTTTAAGTTGATATAGTCTCCAAGTCATAATTGCGTTGGTATGATCATACTTTAAGTACTATATTTTAACTATTGTGTATTCGGAATATATGCATTTTCTTACTTGATAGCACAGTTTGCATTTCATAACCTTAATCAAATATTATTAATGGAAATCAACAAGAAGCTCCAATTTAATTCTTCTATACTCGGTAAGGCAATCACTAGTCAAGATCAACTTAAGATAACGAAAAAATTTATTTCATATGTTAAATTTAGTATGTTCCGTGAAACCAAACATTAATTACTGGTGGTAGATCCACCAACTTGACACCCACCACCCACGTAAAGCAAGTCTACTATTATGATCCAATATTCGATGGATCAAGGGTATTAAAGAAACCCCGCGAGTAAAACTAAGCAAATAAAATTTTAGTAGGAAAAGTACTTCTAGAGCGATGCCGGTATAATCAAAATTTATAATTCACAAACAATATTCCAAAAGCATCATATCTTTTAGACCAGAACAGCAATTAGGATAGACACGCGATTGCACAATTCACACTAATCTCATATTCGTAGCAAAATATGGCTAGTTTAATGTTTGCTCAAAAACTGTGCAACAATACAGCTCCTCATAACAAAACATTTGAACTGCTTAGCCAATTCTTCTTCCACATTATGATCACATAGAAATAATCTTCGAATACATTTATACATAAAACTTTAGGAAATGAAGAAGAGAGGCATTTTACAGCTACCATCAAAGATAATCTCAATATCGTCCACGATATCTACTAAAAATCCTTTACAACCTTCAGTCAATTAGCGAATACGATATCTACAAAAAAAATGAAATAAGTGTCTCCTAACAACTACTAAGGTCTCGTCACCGCAGAAAAATGAACTTGTATCAATAAGATGGTAAAGAAGTAAGCATATTCGAAGCCTTCGAGCAGTCAGTCATTAACAAGAGCACTATCAAAGCTTAACAAATGAAAGAGGCAACCATATTACAATTCTCAATCTTATATTTTCAGTGAACATGATTTCAGCAGCTTTTTATCATTTCTACCAACAAAATACGGCAAATCCAGTTTCAAAGAATGAACAAAATTAGTACATCGAATTTTCCTTCCAATTATATTCACAACTGCAGATAAATCCCAACTCCTCTAAAGAACAAAAAGAAAAACAGAATTAACCCAAAATAGCATACGCAATCCGAATTGAAACAAACTGACCAAATCCAAAGTCAAAACAAAATCAAAGCAAGTCCAAACCAAACACGGCAGCGGAAGACTAGTTGAAGGGATCAAAAACTCACCATAACTGAGCAGGACAAAAAACTCGATCTCTCACCCCCTCTTTCAGCTCATCAACGCAAAACGAGTCGGAGCTGACCGGCAAACCCAGATCGACCTCCGGAGAATTTCCCCGCCGCCGCCGCAAGAAATGAAATAATAAATCCCTTTTTCCCTCCAGCAACGATGATTAGCTCCGCAGATTCTCCTGCCAACAACCCAACCCTTTTTCTGCTGGCAAATCCACCAAAACCCCCAATTCAAAACACCCGCGAGCACAATCTTTTAAGCACTTACTGACGATTCTTGGGAAAGTGGGGTTGAATTTTTTGTTCGTATTTGGGTCTTCTTGGAGAATTTGAAGATTTTTCTTTGTGTTTTCACCCCGACGAATTCGGCCCCGCCGTACTCACTATATTTTATCTAACTTTTTTTTTTTTTTTGAGAAGCTAAAATATATATATATATACACACAAATGTACGTATTTATATATATGTGGAAAGAGAGTGGAGTCCCAAACATAAACAAACAGGAGGACAGAGAGAAGGAGAGATTAAGGTTATATATGCTACTGATTACTATACAGCACTTTACACTAAACACGACAGTTCGTGATTATTTAGCTGCCTTTTCTGGTCTAAATTTACTATTTTACCCCTATTACCATCCATTGTTCACTGTTATATAATAATGTTTTATATTGTTCACTCACAAAATATATAGTATTTTTTTATTTTGAATTGTTCTGATACAAATAAATCATTTCAAAACCAACTTATTTTCTTACATATACTTCTATTTTATTATGACAACGTTATTTTTATTAAAAAAAATAAAGATAATTATTTTTGCATTATTTTAAAGTGAGCATTGAGTAAACCTCCAGTCGAATCTAATATTTTGCAAACTAAGCCCGATAGACCAGTCACACGAATCATATGTGGTAAATAAAATTCATTCATATTATCAAATTTAGCGATGAAATTTGAAACTTTTTTTATATTGAAAATATGTTTTTTAATAATGAATTGTGCATAGTAAAAGAAACTAAACCAATTTTTAAAAAATATCAAGACCTCTTATTTCATTTTAAAAATTGTTTGATATGAGAAATTTTTAGATGCCAAAAAAAGCAAATACAACAGTGTTTGCCAAAAAGCTTGAAGTCATATTATTTATACCTAATGATTTTACTTTTTAACATTTAATTACATTGGCTATCAAGATTGCTTTATACATTACGTCCCGAAAGTAAAGAAAAACAAGGTAAATTTGGCGATTCAAAAAATTGACATTTTGAACACTGACCCAATCAATATTTTGAATTGTGGTTAAGGAATTGACAATCCGAAATCGATGGACAAATTTTCAAACCTTACAATTGATTGCAAAATCATAATCACCTGTTGAGCAGCCGGTGAAATTTCGGGGGTTTTCGCCGATAGTTGACGATCGTCTTATGGTCGAGATGTTGGATCTTCGATGAATAAGTTATTTTGGGTTGAAAAAATATGTGAAAAAAAGATAAGATATATATAGAACTAAAAAAGAAATAAATAAATAAATAAATAATAAATACATAAATAAAAAGGCTTGAAAAGTACCTCAACTTCACGAATCAACCTCCAAGCTGCATCTAATATTTTGCTTAGATGAAAATATCATTGTATGAGTTTTCTTTTACATGTTCAAATTTGTCTCATTTTCTTTAGGAAGCCATATCCATTTAGATATTAGCTTTAAAATACATTTTTACAATAAATTATGATAATAATGCTAATTTAAGTACGAGTAAATTATATAACATTTTATTGTATTTTAGTAAAAAAGTGCGTAAAATATTTCATATTTTATTTATTGCGTAGAACTCATTTATGTTGAATTAAAATTGGGATAAAATGCACACTTAGTCGAAAATTAATTCTATATAATAAAAGATATAAAATATATTAAATATTTTTGTTTGAATAAAATAAATAAAGAAACAATTATTCAGTCCTTTCGTTTTATAGGTTTTATGATCTTTATAAAAAATATACATATAAAATGAAATTGTGATCATTTATTTATTTATTTTACTAAAAAAAAAGTATTTAACATAATTTATCTCTTTTATTTGTATAAAATTAATGATTAAGTTTATATTTACAAGCAAACATGTCTTTGGACTAAAGATGATTTTGCACTAATTTTAATTTAACACAAAAGTATTTCATGTAATAAATATAATACGGAATATTTTGTATATTTTCGTTGTAATACAATATAGTGTTACAATTTACCTTTACTTATAAACAGATCTATAAAGTAAAAAAAAAAAAAAAAAAGAAAGAAAGAAGAAGAAGAGAGAAATCATAAATATGATTAAGCAGATCATTATTTATATTAATATAAATTTTGTATAATGTGTAAAAGCATAAACAATCGTTGTATATTAAAAAAAAAAAATCATAAAAAATCTCTTTAACAAAAGACACTAAGGTGTGTTTGTTTGGATTTGGATTTTGATTTGCGATTTAAATAATAAAAATTTTAAATTAAAATAATGTATATTATCATATAATATAAATAGATATTGATATAATCTTTTAAATATAAAAATTTATTTTTTAATATAAAAAAAAAACAAATAAATATTTGGTTTGATATTTTAACTTTTTTTTTTAATAAATAATAGAAATTTGATAAATTTTGATAAACGAACATACCTAAGTAAATAAACCTCTTCTAAAAAATAAGTTTGATTATATATTGATATTTACTATATTAATATCATTCTAATAAAATAGTATGTGTTATATGTGCATTATAAATTGCTATTTCCTAAAGCCATCAAAATAGGTTGAACACGTCGGATTGGTCCGCTCCGTCCTTACTTTCAAGGAGGATTGAGTTGTGATTTTTTAAGTCCGTGGGCCTAAATGGGCCAACTTGCATGGACTGCGGGTTGACGATGAATTAGCCCGCCGACCAATTAAATATAATAATTAGTACTCACAATATCATAATATATTTTAATTTTATATAAATTACAAATATATCATTAATTTATAAATAACGCACAAAAGTAAAAAGTATAAAAATCATCTTGTACACTTTATTTAATAAATAACATATGATTATTTTTAATCTAATGAAAATAAATATTTTAAGTTAATACTAATAAAATAAATCTTATATTATCATTAGCTTAAATAAATTATCAATATAAAATAAATATTTTAAGTTAATACTAATAAAATAAATCGTATATTATCATTAACTTAAATAATTTATTAATATTGTCTGCACGTTGTTTTTCTCATATTATCAATGTCACTGTTGTTTGTTTTGATTTTTCATCATTTGTTTTGTTCGTCTTCCATTCTATAATTTTATAATTTTACGAATTCATAAAATTAATTATGATTTATTTTTAAAATAGAGTAAATCTTATTATTAATTTTTTTAAATACACGAAGTAATAATATTTAGAATTGAGAATTTTTATATTTGTTATTATTTTAAAATATTTATTATTTAAATTTTACAATAAAACTATTTTAAATTATTTTTAAATATTAATTACAAAAATATTTATAATATTAATATTATTTTAATAATTTTAAAAAGCTCGTGGACTAGCCCACTTAGCTCGCCACTCGCCAGTGGGTTGAGTTGGACTGATGAAATTTTGATCCGCCCTACCGCAGATTGACCTGCAAATAATCCGCTTATTTGCGGGTTCAGGTGGGATATGGACTAATCTGTCCCACTAACCCGTTTTGACAGCTCTAGTATTTATACACTCATATGTTCAATAAATATTTGATTTAATATTATTTTATAATTTATGTTATATATATAGGATTTGTTTAATTTGATTTTCAAATAAAAAGATACTATTTCAATTTATATGATTTTTAATAAAATATTTTGAGTTTGTTCATTTAAATTTTTTGATATAGTTTCCTATCAATACTACTAAAAAACATAGTAATATATAAATATATTAACACAATATATAATACATATACTTTATTAATTAAAAGAATAATAATTTAATACATAATATTATTTTTTGGGAGAAAAAATAGGATGAACAGTGGAAATCCAAATAAATCCCTCAAATAAACGCATTTAAATAATACAAACTGTAATTCTATCTAATTCTGCATAATTCTGTAAAATTATAAAAAAAATTAAAATAAAAAATCCAAAAAATCTCAAAATTCTGATATTGCCATAAATTTACAAAATATAGGGTCCTTTTGAGCTGTTATATATATATATATATGATAAGTATTATTTAATTTGTCAAAGGAATATTATTACTACTATTTTATATTTTGATGCCTACCGCATTTTTGCTGGCGTGTGGAATATTTTATTAACGCACATTATATATTATTCCAATATCAGATTTATTTATTTATTTATGTAACTATTTATTTGCGTACAAACACTCGCTCACGTACGCGTTACAACCTGAAAACTTGTATCGTCGTGTTTATTAAAAATGCGACTTTGTTATCTCTTTTTTATTTATTTATTAATGTTATTATTTATCTCTTAATTTGTGTGACCTGACCGAGGTATTTGGATAATGTTTTGTTTTATACTCCCTCCGCCACCCGCAGATGATGGAGCCTTTTGTTAGGATACGATATTTTAGGTAATATATGTTATTAAATTATTAATAATAAATTAAGATAATATTTTATTATTTTTATATGCTTAGTGTTGTTGGTATTTTAAATATTTTTATAATTATATCTCAATAAAATATATGTAATATGAATATCATTTTGTAAACAATAAAATTTTATATAATACAAATGAATAAAAAAAATATTTATTTATCATTATCATAAATTAGTTTTATAAAAAATGACGAGTTTTAAAGGTAGATAAAAATATTTGTTAATTGAGGAGATATATAGAAATAAAAAAGTTTTGAGTTGATCTACATGTAAGATGTTAGAAGTTTAATTAAATTAATTTATATTTTTTTTTAAGTATGTTTAAGATTAATAAACTTGCCAAAAAAAAATAAATAATTTTTTAATAGAACGTAAAAAAAAAAAAAAGAGATTTCATATTAAATTAATAAATAATAATATTTTATTAATTAATAAAATATATAAAAAAATTTGAATTTTTTATTTTTACGTGGATAAAGTAATGATAATTATAATGTAATTAAAACTTAGATGTTTTAATATTAATGTATTGATTATTTTTTTAAATTAAAAAAAAAATATTTTAAAATAAAACAAACAAACGTGATAAAATGATATAGAGAAAGTAATAAACACACTAAGCAAAAGGACGACATAAAAAATTATGTTTATCTCATGCACTTTCTATTCAAATGTATTTAGTATAGAGTGTAGGGTGCTGATTGAAAATTTTTCAACCCATTTGCTTTAACGAACCATAAAAATATTATATATATATATATATAGCATATGAAAATGAAAATATAATTGATAATACATATTATATAAAACATTTGTATATATTATCAATTATGTTATATATATATATATATTTATTATATTTGTAACTACCGCCTTAGTATATGCATTTTGTAGCATACTATAAGCTTCTCCATTACTAATATAAACATTCTATAGTTTTCTTTTCTTTTGTATATATATATATATATATATATAGAAACATGAGTCTGTTTACTCGTGTAATTTTATCTCTGATTTTAGTATTTTATTTTATTTTTATCTTAAAAAATATCAAATTAAACATTAATTTTTTTATTTATTTTATTACAGTAAAATTTAATTTTAACGATCAAAATATTACGTCAATACGTATATCACATGAAAACAATTGTTTCAATTCAAAATTTTATTATTCAAAATCACAATGAATTTTATAGGTTTTTTTTTATAATTATTTTAATTCTTTCTCCCATAAGTGTTCTTGAATGTTTGTTTTGTTAATCTTTTTTTATCATCTCGATTCGTTTAACTTATTTGGGCTTTATGATACTGCCAATGGGCCTACATTATTAATCAATTAAATCCCCTTCCTTCGTTTCTCAAATTCCACATAAACCCTAAAAAGCGGAATAATAAACGGAATAAAGAAAGTGAAAGCGAAGGAGCAAGTGAGAAACCCCCATATTCGGTGAGTTCTCTGGAGAGCTTTCACAGGTGGAGAAGAGATGGTTTGGTTTCAATGCGAGGATTGTGGCGACAACCTCAAGAAACCAAAGCTTCCGAACCATTTCAGAATGTGCTCGGCCTCGAAGGTGCACATTTCTTCACCTCTTGGTTTAGGATTGCGAATATGCATTCGGGGGATCGCGGCTTGTGTGTGACTCGGTTTTGTTAATTTATTTGCTTTTCAGTTATCGTGCATCGACTGTGGAGAAGTTTTTGGGCAGAAGACCGTTGAAGGCCATACTCAGTGCATTACTGAAGCGGTATTTCGTTTTTCCTTTCAGTACGAATTCGGATTTAATATCTGGATATGATTTGAATTTATTAGTTTACGTTGTCTTCGAGATTTGTTCTTGTTGAATTTAGGGTTCGATGAAATGAATTTTGTGGTTCTGTTTCGATTTACTGTTGTTCGTATTGAAGAGGAAGGACATAATTTATCATCAATGTGTTCTTGTAGTCTTGTTCATTTCTTGAATTCGATTTGGAATATGATAGCTAATATCTTTAAGGAATTGATATGGTTTTTGGAAAATGTTGGCTACTTCATGTTTGGGATTTACTCTAGTTCATATTGAAGAGGAAGGATAGAATAATCATCAATTTGTTCTTATCAGTTTTGTGAATTTGATTGTTATCTTTGAGAATTTGGTATGATACTCGAAAATGTTATCCAATTTCAAGAATTCGACACTATATATCTGCAAGATTTTTTTATGTTTGAATTTTTTAGGAAAAATATGGCCCAAAAGGTCAAGCAAAAGCTTCGAATGGAATGAATGCGAAATCCAAAAACGATTCGAAGCAGAAGCCAGAGTTTGACATTAATGTTGGATTATCTGAACGGCCACCGTGGTTCTGTAGGTATGTACAGTCCACATGTCCGATTTGTTTGTTTCTTGTCTTGTTCTTTCGGTCAATTTTGGAAAAATAAGATTAAATATGTATAGATAGGTTATCGAATGTTGTATTTTTCTTCATGATCTGAGAAGGCTATTTAACTTGAAAAATGAAAAAAAAAAAAAAAAAAAAAAAACCTAACTCTTGGGATACAATTGGTATTATGGGGTCGCCATGTCTATTCGCTAGTATGCTAGCATTATAACAGTCTTTTATCGGAAATGTCGATATAGCTGCATTTGTGGGTTTTAGGTGATTTTAGTTTTAGAAGCTTTTCTGATTAACAAATGCCTCCTAAATGAATCGAAACTAATGTTTGGATATTTCTGCAGTTTATGCAACACAAAAGCCACAAGTAAACAAACATTACTCCTTCATGCCGATGGGAAGAAACACAGAGCAAAAGCGAGAGCATTTCATGCGGTAAATCAGAAGCCAAATGATACTGCAGAAGCCAACACTTGCGACGGAAACAAATCAAACAATACAGAAAATGTTCCGGAACCTAAAGAGCAGGAATCGTCTAAAGCTGCTACTGCCGATAATGGCTCAGGAGGGGAAACCAAAGCTAAAGAACCAAACAACAAAAGAAAGCATGACACAGTAAGCGATACTAAATCAGAATTGGGAAATGGAGAACCTGTCGGAAGTAATGGGGCTCAAATCCATGTTACAAAAGGCCCGAAGAAGGCCAAACACAATGCCGAACTGGATTCCACTCCTAACAAGGATTCAGGCAAGAAAAACATAAAATGGAAGAAACTTATCTCTTCGGCTTTGAAATCTGTAAGTATTTACTGTCCTTTTGGCAGTACTCGCTCTTTGAGTTTCTTGACTTCTGACAATATTTGTTTATATCTATATAGTAATTTATTTGAAGCTAATAACTACATCGACGTTGTCAATGAAGTCTTTCGAGGCAGTATAGTTACTGGAATAGGTTCTTGATAGTCACCATTAATGGATGTATTAGCTTTAGGGAATAACCTGTGATGGTATCTAGGCGTAAATGCTGGCTTTCGAATTGTTGATAACATTCTCATTCGCGCGTATGGCAGAATGCTGATGGCGTTTTGAAATTCAAGGAGCTTAGAAAACTTGTTATGGAATCTCTCAAGGAGGATGGTCACACACAAGAGAAGAATGTAGTGTCTGAGATGCTTCATGAGAAGGTTTGTTATTCATTGGATTTTGTTCGACTTTGAAACAATTTCTATGCCGAGTGAATTCCTGGATCTGCTTTATGGCTGTTTATGATGGGGTTTGGCTATTTTTCTCTAATCTATTGCAGATAAATTCAAGCTCCAGATTTGTTGTCGATGGGAAATATGTTAGATTGGCCACCAAAGGTTAATGTTCGTGTTGAATTTTGCAGCTTCAACTGAACATGGTAACCTCGTCGGTGTGGTAAATTTTGTTGTAGTATTCTTTATGTTTCGAGCTTAAAGTGGTTGAAAGATTTACTAGCTAAATGAGCAGTAACAGCAATTTTGTGGCGAGCAATTTAGTTTTAATCATCTTGTTGTCTTCTCTAAGACTCTGTTATACTACCTTAAGGATTTTGATTACATGTTTGCTTATTACAAATATTGATTACAATCAGACCTCTGTTGTCGAAGCTTAGAGTGTATGGTTATGATTGTGTATTAGAAGATTCGGCCAGCATCTAGTGTAGAGTAATGGGAGAGTAATGGGTGAGTTCGGAACAAGTTCCACAACCACACATGGTTCGGATAGGGTTTTAATCAAACACGTAACTCACCCACCCAGGTCTAAATTCTTAAAATCCATAACCCGTGTTAGGGACTAGTTACGATGTTGATTGGGGTCAATTCATAAGATATTGACCGACAACATATGTTTTCAAATAACTCTACATGTATAGACATATATTTGTGTATTTTCTTTCATCATATCGTATATTGTCATTTAGCACAGTAACTATCGTTTTCCGGTTGTAATTTTTCAAACTTTACCTAATTGCCATCTCTAGTGTAGGCATAGTAATACACATAGACACGAAAATGAAGCATAAATATACACATAAAAGGATTAAATTGCAATGTAGCCTGTAGTAAGTGTACAAAAAAAACCCAATGTTTTTTATTTTATTTATTTTCAAATAACACACAACAGATAGTCTGGCTGATCACATTATTTTTTTTGAATTTTCTTTTGGGTCTGCCAGTAGCCTCTAAAAGAGCAAATGGAACACCATTCTTGTTCCATATGCATTAAGGAACCCTCAAATTCTCAATACCATTTTCTCTAAGAGTAATTTTTTTTTTCTTTTTTTTCTTTTTTAATCAACATGTGTGTAAGATTGTACCTCTATATTGATGCTTGGGAACATTCTGGACATGGATGGAATAACCGAGGCCGCCGCATAAGCTAGAAAAGTCGAATTAGAATGATGATCAACAATATAACAGAGAATGCCATAGCCTGCGAAGCAAAGAATAAGGCCGGTCAAAAAATGTCTCATAATTAAGGTGTCTCATAATTAAGGAGCCGAAGATGATCCTAGCACAAGATTAACATCAAACAAGAAAATACTAACGGCGATTGCAGATGCAGCAAGCCCGGCTCGTTCCCTTGGATCTTTACGATAGTGATTTCCAAAGTACAAGATTGTAGCGTAGTACCACATAGGCGGGCACAAGAAGCCTGTGAGGAAACTGAGGAAAGGAAGGGATGCTATGGTTATGTTTGTATCGGTGAAAATGTAAGAAAAAAATGGGGAAATTTTGTGTACACTTACGAGAACCATCCGTGTCCACAGCCAAAGCACGGAAGAGGTTTGTCGTATAACCCCAATTCTTCATCTTTAATAAGAGTATACCTGCCTTTATCTTTGTCCACACCTTCGGGTGCTTGTCCTATGTCAAAAAAACATAATATGCTTAGTACTTGATCTTAGGAAGGGATATAGTAAAGAATTTTATGTGAAAAAATGGCGAACCACCTTTCTTTATCTATCACATTAGACAAATGTGTTACTTTGGTATGTAGTCCCTCTTCTAATGTATAATAGATCACACAAGAATAAATAAAGTTCGATTAAACTAATGGTAAATAACTCTTCTTAATACTATATTTAGTCATATGGGTTACTCCACTATATAATCATTCCGATGATGTAATATATATTACTAAAAAAAACTATATATGCATACTCACACATCTCATATAATATACTATATTCTTTCTCAAAAAATTAATAATTCGATACAAAATATTAAATAAACACATCAAATGTAAAATCATCCTTTTGCACTTTTTATCAAGTAATTTTTCAGACAAATGTCTTATCACAAGAACTAGTAAATGATGCTTCATAAATTTTTTGGTTTCGGAAAATAATTGTAAAAAGGGAAAAGAAAAAAAAAAAAAAAAACCCCAAAGCAGGAAACAGGCAGCCTTCAAACAAGAGCTAATATCAACTAGCATCATATCAATAACTTGTCTTGAAACTAAACCAAGTATTACAGAAATTGGAGAATTTCCCAGCTGAAGATTCCCAATAACCAGATAGATGCTAAGATCATTTCTCTGTTGTGAATGATGTGTGAGAAAAACTGGTGAATGATAATCGCAATTATCGAGCAACACCAATTTTCATACACATCCATAAAAAATTAAGAGTCAATTGTTGATGGAATGAAACAAATTTGAGTAACAGGACAATCCTAAAGTATCAACAAGACAGAAGGGCTTTCTAAGATTATTTATCTCTAAACAAGATGATGCAGAATCTACACGAGCCACTCAATTGATTTATTTATTCATTTGATATATATGATTTTTTATCACATCCAAGAGGTAAAACACAGCAGACCGAAATAAAAATATCATCAATCAGTTAAGCACCGCAAAGATACATTAAAGTGTAACATTAACTTATTAAATTAAGCAACAAAAGTTGGATCAAAAGTTCGTTACTCTTATCTATTGGCACTGTTCGGGAGGTCATTTTATGGCATTACGCTCCCTTCCACGATCACCTTTGGATACCTGTTTGACAATATTAACAGATTCTATCGTCAGGTTTTATCAAGAAAGTTGCTCTGCAAATGAACTCTTGAACGAACTCATTGCATAGGCGATATGAACAATTCAAACAGAGTTTGATTGAGAAATATAAGAAATATGAACTTTCCATCTTCAACATTGAAAACTAGCATTCATATTTATTCAATTGAGTAAAACTGAAGACATCTGTTCGAAATAGGGATGGTAAATCAAATATCACATGATTGCTATCACGTCGCCTTGAATCTTCATCAACTGAAAATTTGTAATCTTATTTCAAAACTAATGCAATAAAATAGCCGATCAGTGATGTAGTCACACCCGTGTTTTACCAATAGTTATGACTTATGAAAAACCTAAAACATAGGCTAATTTTCGAATTCATTTCTGTAATCATTTATGCTAAAATACAACTTATCCAAGTGTTCATTCTACTGAGTAATTCAAGATTCCTAACTCCTAAATCTGGTGCCAAAATACAGCTGATCCATGTTCTCATACTGTACTCAATAATTCAAGACGTCTAACTCCTAAAATCTAGCTTATAAAAAACTTTAAAATGCACAAAATTCAACCAGAACCTCTTACAGGATAACTTTATTGTTTGGCGAGGTTTGGGGATCTTGCAGCTCGAAGAATAGGAACTATCGACGAATTAAACGTAGGTTCTACCAAATTTTTAGGTTGGGTAGAAAATTCAACTCACTTGTCTCCATTTTCTAAAAAATACAATCCAAATCAAACTTGTTAAATCCCTAATTTTGGGTATCTTCGTCAATCCACAATCTAGAACAAAACAAGATTCCAGTCAAAACTCATACAACGCACGAAATTGGACGCCGTTCCCCAGCGAAATAGGCAGAAATCACGACGAGCAAACGCCAAATTAGTTCGAATAGAAACGAATACAAATCAAAACTTAAAAAGAACAAAAAATCGCAAAAAATAAGTAAATTAAAGCTATACTTGGCTCGAATCTGTAATGGATTTGCCTCCGAAAAGTCTCGAGGTGTGCCGAACAATGCTTGAAAGTGAAGGTCACAACCTATAATCGATCATCAAATGAGAATTTGGCGCATTTAAGAGAGAACTTAATTTACAATTGAAGCAAAGGCTGCTTTCAAGTTTCAACCATTATTCATATATACATATACATATATACGTATACGTATAAATGCGTGTATGTATCGTATTTGTACCCAACGGCGCAGGCGGCCGTCTCTTTTGTCGTTTTCTGACACATTTATATATGTATTTTTTAAGTAGATAATACATATACATTTTAAAATTTAAAATATAAAATATTTTTGTATGACTATTACTAAAACAATAATAATATTTGGATAATAAAATAAAATGTAGGAATAGTATTTTCTCATTTATATTTATAAGCAGATTATATGAATATATTGTAAAACTTATTTAAATATAATCGATTATGATTTAGATTTAAAGTAATATTCTATGGAAAAAAAGGCCAGAAAGTTTGATTACAATTGGACTTTGTGACTTAAGAAATAAAAGTCGCCGTTAAACACTTGTCACGTGCCGGGGGTAAGCCGTGCCACAATATATCCTCTATTGTTGTCGAGGAAAATGCAAGAACAAGTAGTGTTTCAAACCATAGGCAACAATATCTCATTATCGACCACAATGTCTATGTTTTAGGTAATAAAATAAAAAGGACTGCCGTTGTGAAGAGTTCCCACGCCATGAACAGTCAAATTTAATGAAATACCAATCGATGCATCTTATTTAGAATAGGCAATTGAGTTTCTTCTCATATCAGCTTCGCCATCTGCGACAGGTTAAATGTTTAAAGTATATTTAAACTAAGTATTACTAAGCCAAATTGAGACTATCCAATCCTCTACAATTTCAAAATTTTCGACACTATAAACTATAATTTTCCAAAAGGAAAAAAAAATCATAATTTTATCTGAACATCAAATTAAATACATTACTTATTCACAAAATTTTCAAAATTTTTGTATAATGAAAGATAATGATCAATCACCCTTTCGATCCCAAGCATCCCATCATGAGACCTGCGTAGATAGAATATTTCTCGGCATTCAATTAAGTTAAGACATTTTAAAGATCGAAAAAAACACACACAAAAAAAATAAAGACTCGACACATTACGAATGCAACTATTAACAGATATTTATTCTTCTATGATCGCCTTCGAAATTTCACATTATGAATTACCCAACATTTTACCATGAAAAATGATTAGGCAGACAACTATACCAGAAAGAACACAACACAATATTTTGCCTCAAAATTCGTCAGCATAAAAGCAAAGATATTGTGTAAACTAATTACTCCATATTGCCAGATGAACAAATTTTGTGTGAAGGCAAAGGCAGTTTCAAATTTCAATCACAAAAAAATGCATAAGATAAGAACCATTCCAATCCAGCAGTCACAAACTTGGATGCTTTCAATTCAATTCAATGAACAATATATATATATATGTGGAAAAAAAATTGCAGATCACGTCCAAAATGCCAGAAGCTCCATCCTATTCCAGAAAATTATTAGAAGTTGAAATCGAATTTGAAAGATAGTGAAGTTGAAATAATAAATACAAACAAAAGTAATGCTAGAATGAATCGAAGAATACTCCAATCCATGAATGAATGATTATCAAACTCAGTTAGCAGACAAATTGGAAAAGAAAAAACCAGAAACCCTAAGTAGTTCTACATGATTCTCAAAGCTATCGCTCCCTAACTTTATACAGATCGAAACAAAAAAATTACAGAAACGAATAAACCCTAACACGATCAAAAGCAACACCTCTTACGAACGAACCTTAGGTTTAAAAAAAAAAAAAAAAAAAAGACAGAAAAAAATTTGGACCATTTCTCGATTTATGCGTGTCATCCTTGCGCAGGGGCCATGCTAATCTTCTCTGTATCGTTCCAATTTTATCGGATGTCCCCGAAGGGACGAACTCCATTGTTGCTGCGCGATAGATAAAGAAGCGAAGCCGTGTTGTGAGGAGCAATGTGGGAGTTGAGATTAGACTTAAATTTATTGAGATTATATTATTATTGGGCCTTTTAACTTTCACCATTTTGGGCTTATTTACGGTTTCTTTGTAGTCCCAAAAAAAAAATTAATTAGTTGCTCTGCCCTTATTTATGCTCTATTAACCCATATTTGAATTTTTTTAAATACTATAAATATATTTGTATTATTCATTTTTTTTAGGAGCGAATTTTGTATTATTCATTAAAGTTTTTATCTTCAAATATACGAATTTATTCTATTTATTTTTGTATAATATTCAATTAAAAATTTATTTTCATGTTTACTAATAAAAATATAGTATTATTTTATTTTAAATATTTTTTTTTTAAAAAAATTATCCAAATAAAATTATAATTTTTCAAAAGTATTTTTAAAATTATCTATATTTAATAATAAAAAATCCAACAAACATTAATCAAAATAAAGTATTATTACATACAATACAATAGTTTATTGTTTTGGACACTAAAATTAAAGAATATTGATAGTAATTGATAAAATGCATAGGTAGAAAAACTTGTTTATTTATAGGAATATATTAGGGTGTGTTTGTTTGGAGGAGGTTTTGAATTTTGAGTTGGGATTTAAATAATAAAAATTTTGAATTTGAATAGTTGTATGATGTGATATAAATAGATGTTGATGTGATTTTTGAATGTAAAATTAATTTCTAATATAATATAAAAAATAAAAAATAAGTGTTTGATTTGATGTTCGGGGGGAGAAATCGGATGAATCCAATCCCCAAACGTAGAAAGAAGTAATGATATTTATAAAAATTATGGTATTAATGTTACAATGATATAATTATTTATATAAAAAAATTATTATTTTGTATTAATAAATAAAATTATTGTATTGAGACATAAAAGTATTTATATATTTCTTTGTCCCATATAATTTATCCTTTTTTCTTTGATTATACACTTTAATCATATTTTAAATTTTAAATTTTATATTTTTTTTAATTTTAATTAAATTATTTAGTTATCTCAATTTTAATCTATAATTATTTTTATTAATATATTTTTTAATTACTTAATTATTATATTTTACCTATTATCGATAATAATCCCATATTTTATGGGAGTAACGGATTATTATTTTAATAAAAGTATACTTATACCTTAAATTAAATATTAGTATTTGATTTATCAGACGGTCTTTATTAATTCAGCTTCCACTATACCCAGATTGTCGTTTCCATATATTCTCCTACCAAAAGCAACCTTAAAAAAAAAAAAAAAAAAAAGCAACCTTAAATAAACCACCTAGTCACTAAGTGATGAGTCATTAACCGTAATTAATATCATAATAATGATCCCAATGAAGACAGCTAAACATTATCCCCAATTCCACCAAACCCTAATTTTCAATTTTCAATTTCCAGTTTCTGGAGCATCAAACCTTATCTTATCTCACCTTCCGACTCCGACGCCTTAATTTGATTTGAAATTGATATTATTATCTTTTTCCCCCAATGGATTGATTCCCAACAGGATTAAACGAACTTCAACCGACCACTGTCGTAATCCATCGCGATCAAAACCCTAATTACCACAAACACCCTCCACAACGCTCCATTAATCCGCAAATTCGAGCTCAACAAGTTTGCATTCTTCGCCGAAAGCAAAGGGATCGAAGCGGATTTGCCCATTTGTACCGCTGCTTAAGATCAGCGTGGAAGAATCTGCTGGCCCTACCCCCTGTTTTCGCTTTATTTAATTATTCGATGAGTTTTCAATCCGACGCTGCCATGTCGGGGCTTCCACTCATCTCTGGAAGGAATTGACGCGTTTCTTTCCCACTTTAAAAGCCCCCCTCAGCTCGCTGTTTTGTTCCTTCTCCTTTTCCCCAATGGACGATCAAACCCTAATTTTGGAAAATGGGGATTCACAACAGAGCAGTAATTCGGATTCGCTCGATGTTTATCCTCTCAGCTGTTACTACTTCGGCTCCAAGGAATCAGTACCGGTTAAGGAAGAGACCGTCGTCGATCGTGTTGCGAGAATGAGAGCTAAGTAAGTATCGATCGAACTTTTTCTCAATTACATGTATTTTTTTCCCCTTTTTTTGGTAATATTGGGTTCTTGTTTCATCTTGGAAATTCTCTCAGTTATGATGCTCATGGAATGAGGAACTCAGTTGCTGCAGTGATTGTGGTCGGAATTTTCATACCTTCTTCCTCGATTCATATATATATATATATATTTGTATAATCATGTGGATTTTGTTAGTAGTTTTTTTGGTTGAAGAAGTGTGTGATCATCTGATTTTCATTTTCTTGATAGGACAAAATTGGTGATTTGTGATGTTTGCTGCTCAATAGCTTTTTATACTAAACCCCTTTGTCACTTATTTGGTTATTGATATACAGAAGATGTGGAAATTATTGTTTGTTTGTCAATTTCTTTCTCTTGTAATTAGTTATGTGATGGTTTCTTGTCTGATCGATCTATACTTTTAGTAGACCGAAGGACCAAATCGATCTAATTTAAGATGACAATAGTTTTTGAAAATAGTGGCGATGGATTGGTTATGTGTAAATTTTTACTTTTGGTATACATAAGATCAAATCAATCTATTTTAAGATGGCAATAGTTCTTGAAATAGTTGCGATGAACGAGGCCAGTTGGTTATGTGTAAACTTTTACTTTTGATAGAGATAAGAATCAAATTGATCTAATTCAAGATGGCAATGGCAATAGTTTTTGAAATAGTGGCGTTTCTGTGTAAAATTTGGCGTCGTGCTGAATTTTAGATGCAAACGTAGCGTCTCAAACGGGCGGAGAATCCTTCGTAGTTCCGTGGACTTTTGTATCTCAAGATCCCTTTCGAAAGCTGATTTTGGTGTGTTTGTTTGAGGGTTTGGATTTTGAGTTGGGATTTGAATAGTAAAAAATTTGAATTGAAATAGTTGTATAATGTGATATAAATAGTCGTTGATGTAATATTTTGAATGTAAATTTAATTTTTACTATAATATAATAAATGAAAATTAGGCATTTGATTTGATATTTTTTAAGAAGAGAAATTTGATAAACAGTAGAAATCCGGGAAAATCTTCACGTGTGTCTGCCCGGGACGTAAAACTTCATTTTTACAGGTCGAGTTATTCAAACACCCGCACCTCTTGCTGCTGCAGCTGCGGAATACGATATATAAACTTCCCGGCGGACGCTTACGACCCGGTGAATCAGGTGAGTCGAATACGGAAAGCGACGGAATCGAGACTTTAGTTGTGCGGAAAAGCCAGGAAATGTTCATATACTAAATATTACTACGTTTTGTATCTCCCTGCAGATGTCGACGGCTTAAAACGAAAGCTCTCGAGCAAGTTATCCGCCGGTGAAGGTACCCGAGGACCCGACTGGGAGGTATGCGTATTTCCGTCGACACGTCAGATTTATTCCGTTCGTCGATGTACTGATTTTTGAGCCAACTTGTAGGTCGGAGAATGTCTCGGAATCTGGTGGAGGCCCGACTTCGAGTCGTTACTCTGCCCGCATTTGCCTCCGAACATTAAGAAGCCTAAAGTGATTCTCCTCTTCTCTTACCACTCTGTCTTGACTTTTGACTAATCATTTACTTTATGAGTCGCCTTGTCTTGTGTTCTTACCAGGAGTGTACTAAGCTCTTCCTCGTCAAGCTCCCGGAAAGTCGGAGGTTCGTGGTGCCGAAGAACTTGAGACTTCTGGCTGTCCCGTTGTGCCAACTTCACAACAACGAAGAGGTACATACGTCGTCGTCTTTTTTTTAGCGATTATCGATTAAATATAAGACTATTTATATATTTATTTAAAGGATTACGTAATAGACCGTACGAGTAGAAGCTTGTTTTGTGTTCTTACTCTTATGTAATTTTATTTTATACGATTTGATGTTTTTTTTTTTTACTCTTATTGCAGACTTATGGTTCGATAATATCTGGAGTTCCTCAGTTGCTGTCTAAGTTCTCCTTCAACTTTATAGAACCCTAACCCCAACCCCAACCCCAACCCCAACCTTCCTCTGCTCGTTCTATGTATGTATATGTATCTATATATATATATATATATAAAAGGTGGTTGGAAAGTTGAAAAACATACAAGTAGTTTGAAAGTATAGGAAAGGGCAAATTGTTTTTGTTGTGAAAAATATATATACAGAGAGAGAGAGAGAGAGAGAGAGAGAGAGAGATGTATGCTATGGTGATGATGGGGTTTCTTGTAAGTGTGTGTTTGTTTGGGGTTTGGATTTTGAGTTGAGATTTGAATAGTAAAAATTTTGAATTTGAATAGTTATATGATGTGATATAAATAGGTGATGATGTGATGTTTTGAATGTAAAATTGATTTTTATTATAATATAAAAAATGAAAAATGAGTGTTTGATTTGATGTTTTTGGGGGGAAAATTTTGGATGAATAGTAAAATTTTGTTAAAAACCTACAAACGAACACACCCTAAATGTCTCTTTCGAATTCTAATGGACTTTTGTATTTTACTTTCTCTCGTTATATAGGCTATTTTCTCTTTTACACATTTTTTATTACTTCCTATGTCCGGCAAATATATGCTCCGAAAAATTTTAATAAAAGTGAGTAATAATTGTTTTTTTTTTTAATAAAAAAATATAAAAATACAATGATTTTTTACTTAAAAAAATAAAAATACTTTTTTTTTATGACAATCTACAAGGAAAAGTGAACATGAATTTGAATATGAGATGAGGTATTATTATTTTTTTTATAAAATATCATATTTAAGTATTTCTTTATTTATTTATTTATTTGCTGATAGTTGACATATTTTGATAAATGTGGATGGTACATCAGCAAGGGACTCGTATCATTTTGATCTGAAAATCAAATTTCTACTATATATTTCTAAAATATTACAAGTTAGGTCGTATGTTCAAAATTTTGATATCACAATCCTTAGTCTTGAGATTCAATACCTATGTTAATTTAATTTGAATGAAGTGGTTTTTTTTTAAAAAAAAACTTTAAGATAAAATATATTTTTATTAGCAAATATGGAAATTTTTTAATTGAAAATGATACAAAAATGAAAGAACAAATTTATATACTTGAAGATAAAAATTTTAAAGGATGGTTCAAAAGTAAAAATATATTTATATATATATATATTATACATGTATGTGAAAATATTTAAATATGAGTTAGTAGACCATAAATAAGGAATAGTGAAAGTTGAAAGGCCCAATAATCTCAATAAAGTTAATAACTCCCACATTGCTCCTCACAACATAGCTTTGCTTCTTTATCTATGGCTGAACAACAATGGAGCTCGTCCCTTCGGGGACATCCGATAAAATTGGAACGATACAGAGAAGATTAGCATGGCCCCTGCGCAAGGATGACACGCATAAATCGAGAAATGGTCCAAATTTTTTTTTTATGTAGTTTCCATTTGGGTTTTTTCTTTTTTTTTTCCTTTAAAACCTAGGGTTCGTTCGTAAGAGGTGGGTTTATTCGTTTCTGTAATTTTTTTGTTTGGATCTCTATAAAGTTAGGGATCGATAGCTTTGAGACGCACACAGAACTACTTAGGGTTTCTGGTTTTTCATTTCCAATTTGTCAACTAACTGAGAGTTTGATAATCATTCATTCATGGATTGGAGTATTCTTCGATTCAGTCAAGCACTGCTTTTGTTTGTAATTATTATTTAGCCTCACTGTTTTTCAAATTCGATTTCAGTTTCTAATAGAACTTTTGGCATTTTCGACGTGGTCTGCAATTTTCTTTCCATATATTGTTTATTGAATTGAATTGAAAGCACCCAATTTTGTGATTGAAATGGTTCTTATCTTATGCATTTTTGTGTGATTGAAACTACCTTTGCCTTTACACAGTATTTGTTCATTTTGCAATATGGAGTAATTAGTTTACACAATATAGTTGCTTTTATGCTTAAGAATTTTCGAGTCTTTAACATTATCTTTGTGTGTGTGTGTGTGTTTCGATCTTTAAAATGTCTGAACTTAAGAGAATGCTGAGAAACATTCTATCTACAGAAGGTCTCATCATGGGATGCTTGGGATCGAAAAGGGTGACTGATCATTATCTTTAGTTAATGCTAATAAATTAAGTATTTGATTTCATGTTTTACGATATGAAATTAGAATGTTATTGTTATTATTATTGTTGTAAAAGTTACCGTCGAATAGTGCCAAAACTTTTGAAAGTGTAGAAGATATTCTTGCTTTGGTTTAAAGATGCTTTGTTTAATTATATTTCATATATTTGACTCGTTGCAGATGGCGAAATCGAGATGAGAAAGAGAATCAATTGCCTATTCCAAACAAATGCATCCATTGGTATTTGCTGAAATTCGACACTTTTCCATGGGGCGGGAACTCATCGCGACCGTAGTCCTTTTCATGACATTACCAGAAACAGAGACATCGTTGGGTATGGTCTGAAACACTACTTGTTCTTACATTCCCCTCGGCAACAGGGGATGTGCCATGGCATGGCTTACTCTGGGAATGTGATAAGTGTTTAATGGCGACTATACTCTTAGTCGCAAAGTTCAATTGTAGTCGAACTTTCTAGGTTTTAGCATCAAAGACCATAGGTTTGTCCATCTAGGTTTTTTATACATCACACTGAATATAGATAGGAAATAGGAAATACATGTAATATTAAGTACTCCCTCCGTCTCACTTCTCATGTCCACTTTTCCATTTTCATTCGTCCACTTATTTTGTCATTGGGAAAAAATTATATACTCTAATCTTATTTTAAAAAATTTAATTATAGATTTTTTATTTTAATTATACTAATAAGTTATCTTAATTTTAATCTATAATTATTTTTATTATATGATCATTATTTTTACTAATATATTTTTAATTATTTACTAATTATACTCCTCATAAATTTCTGTATTTACAGTAAATCGGATAAAACATTCGGGACGGAGGGAGTATATTTTACAAATGCAACATATGGACAAATAATATATGACAATAATTCATACAATATACACTACTATTGAAGTATTGATTTTAACAATATATTCATCAACCATATTTTGAAATATGACCTGAAGTGGAGATGGATTTATGATGGTGAGGTTATGAAGTCAAATTGTAGATAAAAAGTTTTGAATGATTAATAACTTATAAAAATTTTAAAAATTATATATATATATATAATTGAACATTCAATGTATTATTTTATATGGAAAAAAATATTAAATATAGAATGTGTTCACCTAATAATTTTTTGGTACTACAATATGAAATAAATACTATAAAAAGTACTATAATATATACAAATATTGTGTTGAATTTAGCTTAAGATAGAAATTTGGAATTAAGAGGACATGACACAGTTAAATTGACATAGATTTATAGAACATATATTTTAATTATGAATAAATATTAGATGATGTTATTTCATTTTACTCTGTTCATACATCTATCTACGTTACAAATGCCTTTACAATTTACAATATATTACATAAATATCATTATCTTTATCACATAATACTAATGATTATTTTAGTTATTTCTATTTTATTTCTACTACATTTCAATATAATACTAAAAAAAATAAACAGATATGGAGTATAAAAATTACATTTATGAAAAAATGTAAAATAAATACATTTTGAATATTTTTTTTTTTAAAGAAAAAGGATGAATAATACAAAAAGTTTTAAAAATGACATATCTAATCATAGCCATAGATATTTATTTATTATTTTTATATTTATATAAAGTGATAAAAAGAAAAAAAAAAATAAAGATTTGTCTATCCGGAAAATGACGGAGCATCATCTACAAATCGCAATTAACGAAAAGAAATCAGGGGACACGTGTAGAGCGGTTATTGGTATTCGGTTCGAGGAATATAAGAGAGAGACGGTAAAAATTGAAAAGGCAAAGAAGCAAATGGAGAGAGGACAACAATGGCGGGCGCAGGTAAAATAAGAATAGAACTCCACTTAACTAGTAGTATCAGCAGTAATAACGCCACACTACCTCACCCTTTTACAGCAAAGCAAGCAGCAAATGTGGGGAAAAGGCTGGCAGAACAGAAGGCGACAAAAGTAAACGGGGCCAGTAGCACTGAAAAGTCTTGGTCACTCTCTTTACTTTCCCCAGTCGATACAAACCATTATTTAATCGCGTTGCTTTCTCTCTGGTTTAACTTAATCAGTTGGCTGACGGACGGAGTTCGTGTGTGGTGGGATTTACCTAACGTTGATTGATTCGCGGGCGAATTACTTGCGTCTATCAAGGAGGTTAGATTCGCGTAGAATGGTGGGTAAGGGGAGGAGAATCTGAGCGAGGGAGAGGCTAAGAAAGCAAGGGGAAATGAAGAAAGGGGCTTTAGCGCCTGTATTGAAGCTCAATCTTCCGCCTTCTGATGAAGCTTCGCTCTCCAATTTCCTGTACTGACTAATTCGAGTGTTTTTGGATATGCAGGTTTTGATTGTAATGTCTTCTAGCTGTGAATTAGGGTTTCTTCGATTTTTTATGCAGGACTGAGTCGGGAACGTTTAAGGATGGGGATCTGTTGGTTAACAAAGACGGCGTTCGCATTCTTTCCGAGAGTGAAGCAGAAGTTGTATGATTTCGAACAGTTTATTTTGCTTTGCTCTTAGGCTGTTCTTGTGCCATTAGCTGCATTTTGTCGAAATTCATATTCTGATTATTGATTGTGTTTTGCTGTTCTGTCATGAATTTTTGAATAGAGATTGATTGAGTTCTTTTGCTTTGATTTTTTGTTGATTTGGAAAATGGATCTCATCTCACTGTGTAATGCCTAAATGTGGGGAAGATTCTATTCCGCTGCCCTTTTGTAGAGTTTAGAAGCGAAACTATTTTTGAAGAGTGATGAGTTCTTCTGCTTTGATTTTTTTTTTTTTTTTTTTTCTGATTTGGAAAATGGATCTCACTGTTTAATGCCTAAATTTGGGGGAAGATTCGATTCCGGACCCTTTTGTAGAGTTTAGAATCTAACTACTTTGAAGAGTGATTGAGTTCTTTTGCTCTGCTTTTTTGCTGATTTGGAAAATGGATCTCACTGTCTAATGCTTAAATGTGAGTAAGATTCGATTTTGCTGCCGTGTTGTAGATTTTAGAATCTAAACTACTTTGAAGAGTGATTAGGACTTTGTAAGAATAATTATGCTGAATTTGGGTTGTGGTTTATTTAGTTCTTATTATTGATTAAAATGTGTTTGCAGCCAGCATTAATACAGCCATTGGACAACCAATTGAGCTTAGCCGACTTTGATGCAATTAAAGTAATTGGCAAGGGAAATGGGGGGATTGTGCGCTTGGTCCAGCATAAATGGACTGGGCAATTTTTCGCTCTAAAGGTATTGAAAGGCCTTTGCATTTGCCTCTGGTTTGCCTGTTAAATGACCTAATATCTTTCGAGATTGTAAGTAACACCTTCTTTGCTGATAATAAAATGTGTTGTATATTTAGTTTTTGGATTTTAAGGAAAATTATAGATCTTAAAGCATTTGTTATTAATCTAAGCGGACAACTTTATACCGATGTCTTAGAGGGAGAGGTGAAGTAGTATATCTAATGCAATCACATGAATATGTCAGCATTTTCCTTTATTTAAACAGAGTAAATATTCCTAACTGACAAAACGAAGACGAAGAATTCTAAAGTTGAACATTTCTCCGGGCTCCAATGATGATTTCTTAACTAGATCTTCGCGTGCTGAATGAGGACTTTGATGCCTGACCAGAAATGTGATCATCTTTCTCTTAGCATTCATTTCTCCTTATTAAATTTATGGATTCATCTTGTGTCTTATTTTAGGTTATTCAAATGAACATCGAAGAGTCTGCTCGCAAGAATATTGCACAAGAACTTAAGATTAATCAGTCATCTCAATGCCCCTATGTTGTTGTTTGCTACCAATCTTTCTACGATAATGGCGCAATCTCGATAATCTTGGAGTATATGGATGGGGGATCTCTTGCAGATTTCCTGAAGAAAGTTAATATGATTCCGGAGTCATTTCTGGCTGCTATTTGTAAACAGGTGGTATTTGTGTCTTTGTTTTCAGAGTTTTATCAATATTTGCCACGCAGAACTGATATTTAAACCTATATATAGGTACTTAAAGGGTTGTGGTATCTGCACCACGAGAAGCATATTATACACAGGGACTTGAAACCATCGAATTTGCTGATAAACCATAGAGGTGAAGTCAAGATCACCGACTTTGGTGTCAGCGCCATACTTCCCAGCACTTCGGGTCAAGCTAACACCTTTGTCGGCACATACAACTACATGTCTGTGAGTATCCTGGGTATTGCTATGTTGACATCTTCCACATAAACGTTGTATTTTTATATCAATTTTTGTTATAGAAGTTATTTAACACTGCAGAATAATCATGCCCTTTATGCTGCTTCAACAAAATACTATGCATTGTCAAATTTAGTCCCGTTAGAACATTTTTTTTTTCTTTCTACAATTTCGATTCTTTTTCCTTTAAATTTGATGCTTAACTATAGGAATTTGAGTGCCATGTCCATCAAAATTTAAATGGAATTTACTAAAGCGGCGATGCTGTGGAGGGGAGCTTTCATGAAATTATTGAAGGCAGTTTGATTGTATTTCTGCCAAATGTTTAGGGACAAAAGTTTTATGGGATTAAGGTTTCCATAAATTTAACCTCAAATTTGCATGCCTTCAAATATTACGATTCATGAGATTCTAGCCTGTTAGAAAATGGCATCTAGTTTTCTAATTAACACTTAAGTCGACGGCAGTCACGATACAATTGTGAATATGCATTAGACTAACAAAGCTATATTTTTCTGTGATTAGCCTGAGAGGATAAGTGGAAGCAACTATGGTTACAAAAGTGACATCTGGAGCCTTGGCTTGGTATTCCTTGAGTGCGCAATGGGACAATTTCCGTATTCCTCTCCCCAACCTGGAGGATGGGCCAATGTCTATGAGCTGATGGTTTCCATAGTTGACCACCCTGCACCTCATGCACCTTCCGACCAATTTTCGCCGGAGTTTTGTTCATTTATATCTTCCTGGTAGTGCATTTAAGTTCCAACTAACAACTTATCTATAACTTGGAATGTTTAGGCTTTTTATTATAATTTTCTGCGGTAGAATGATATAAAGATGGAGATTAAATATACAGTGCAAGTGAGGAAATTAATGGAAATATATTTCATATTATGAAGATATTGAAATATTTAGATTTCTGAAAAGCTGTTAAGGCTTGTGCGCTCTCGTGATGGTTTATTTTCTGAACTATCAATTTCAGTTTAGGCAACTTCACCTGGCATTGTTACTGCAATGTATGATATTTTCATCGACAACTTGTTCTATCACATCACCTAACTGATATTCTCGATACATGCTTTTTCAGTCTTCAAAAGGATCCCAAAGACAGACTGTCAGCTAATGAACTCATGGTACTTCCTTGCACTTGTTTTTTACTTGATTTCAGCCTGCAGAATTCTCGATTATTAATCCACGCACTATCATGAAATACAGGCACATCCGTTCATCACTAAGTATGATAATCAAGACGTTGATCTTGCGTTGTACTTCACTGGTGCTGGACCTTCACTAGCTGCATTCTAAACAAGGTACGTAATATGCATAGCCTGAAACCATATTGCTTCGATCTTGTGCATAGAACTTGTGGCATTGCTGTTTATTATTTGTGGTTGCTTAATTCTGGAACCCCCTAAGATGGTCTATTCATCATTATTGTTCATAGTTTTGAAGTTACAATAGCATCTATACTAACATTTAAGAGATCTCCCTGTATTGCAAATTTATTGCTGCCAAATTTCGCAATGAGGAAGATATTATTATAAATAAATTTATATGGAATTTTCATTTCAGCTATTCTTTATACCTGTCATGGAAATGATTCTGTATATAAAGATTATACATAATCCAGCAGACACTCGTTTTTGGTCAGCCAAAAGTATAAAAATGTAGTTCTAAATTTGCATAATGAAACCTCATCCAGCTTACAATAGAAAAACTACGGGTTTGTTTAGTTATGTTTTGGAAGTGTATTGGATTTTACAATAGTAAAAATTTGAATAGAAAATAGTTATTGGATGCTATGTTTTGACTTTTGAATAGAGAAGAATTAATTTTCTTGCGATTCTTTTAGGATTTTTTTTTTTTTTTTTATAAATATATAAATAGTGTAAAAACAAAGTGTGTTTATTTAGCGCTTTTAGTTTTAGGTGTTTTTGTTATGAGGTATATAGAATTGTGATAGGAATGATATTTTGTGTGTTTTTGTTGACTTTTTTATTTTTATGTGTATGTATATACTCTCTTGGTCTCAATGAAATATATTCTTTTATTTTTGGATTAAGAAATAATAATATTTTATTGGCAGTGGAAATGTGTAAAATGATTTCGATATTTTTGTCCTTATAAGTACAAAATAAAAATGAATATTTTTGTAAAAGTCAAAGATATTTTTGTATTTGTATATGATTTACTTTTACTATAATATGAAATGAATAGTATATATTTTAGGTACAAAAAAGTATATTATTTTAATTCTTTCGTAATATTTTTTGGGAATCATAAAGAAATAAAACACTAATAAGTGAACACATTTAACGTTTCTAAAGAGTGTGTGTACCGCGTAAGTCATATCAACAGAAATAATTAGCTAAGGGTTTGGTGTAAATCTTGTTAAACCTCATTACAGAGAAAATAAGAAATTGCATTTCATCGAATGGTCCTGACTGCATTTCTTCCTGTTTTTGCAGGTGGCGGGTGTATTCCACGACGTATACTTCACTACCACTGTTTTAATCTTTGATGTTGTCGAGAGGAGACGGCACAGCAAATCTCAGGTTCTTTCCGAGCACTTGATAACATTAGAAGCCTATTGTTGTGCATCGATTAGAAGGCATTGCTATAGTTACAGTAGCATAGAATTAATGAATTGAAGGCTGCCAATTTAATATTGATTTGCGACGAATAATACATACATATATCTATATCCATATCCATATCCATATCGATATCTAATATATCTATATTATCTTCACTGTCTATGAGATGGTTTGTGCAGTGTGTCATGTTTGAGTTGCATTATTGTTAGTTGAGTTTTTGTAAAATTTTTAAGGGATGGTTTGTAATTTTGTATCAAGGTTTGGACTCTCTTCTCTTAAATGTGCAATAAGCTCTTCTCTCTTCTTTATTATTTTATTTATTATTGTTATTTTAAAATGTTGGGTGGTTTAAGTGCTGAACGAACACACATTAGTTGTGGTGTCGAGATCCATATATAAATATTAGTTATTTATAAAGCTAGTCAAAATTATAAGTTTAATTGATATCAAAGACCAATCATATACAATTTTTGAGATCAATATTTCAAAATGAAAATTCTACAATTATCATATATAAAGCCAATCTACCTTGTATTGCTCAATTAAATAAAAAGTATATTTAAAGAAATAGAATTAAACATTTACTTAAAAGTAATATTGTCAAAAGAAAATATATATATATATTTAATTATTCCCGTTTATTTACTATACCACTACGTACTATTATTAAAGTTATTATTATTATTATTATTTGTTTTTATTCTTTTTTATTATTCTTAATCATTTTTATCATAGAATATTCATTTTACCGGAGGGAGGGAACTGTCGATATTGTTGAGCTACAGTAATGAAATGAATAATCACTCCCGTCATCTACCTGCCTTAATGAGCATTTTTCAAGACCTATGACCTCGATTTGATCCTATTAACATATTCACGAAATAATGCATATATTATAACACATAATAATACAAAATATAATATATTTCAACAGTATATAATAAGACAATATACAATATAAATTTTCAGCGCAATAAATATATATACAGTGCAATACTACATCGTACATGTTGACTGATGCGTTGCACGGATTTTATAAATTATTTCCTCCGTTTCATATCTATTTATCCAAAAGAGTATAGTATGATAAAAGGTAATCGAAAAGAATCCAATCAGCACGGCCACCAAAATCCACAGATCACCCAACCTTAAATTAAGCCCCTTTCTCTTACAGCCACAACATTAATCATAAATTTAATTAAAATTTCTTGAGAGAGAGAGATTAACAGAATGTCATTGCAGCAGCAGCAGCGAGTCAGTCACTAAAAATGAATGCTCCACTGTCATTACATCATCATCATCTTTAATTATAATTAGAATTAGAAACCAAAAAAAAAAAAAGTGATGAACAAGATCTTGTAAGCAACAGTCAGCCAAGAAGAAGAACATGAACAACAAACTGTTATTACATACATCGTTTTCATCTTCATAATAATAATAATAATCAGCCCTTCTTCTTGACCCTCCTCTGCGCTTTCAAATCCACAACTATCACAGATATATTGTCTCGGCTCCCTCTCCGGTACGCCACCTTCGACAAATACTCCGCTGCGTCCTGCGCCGCCGCATCGCCATTCTCGCCGCCGTCGTCACCGCCGCAGCCGTTCGGGTTCTTTTTGTGCCATAGAAGTATTCGCTTTCGCGCCAAATCACAAGCCTCCTCGTTCGTAATTATGTCCCACAACCCGTCGCTCGCTAATACAAGGCACTCGTCTTCTTTGGCGCGTGGCATTATCGTTATCTCCGGATCCGCAATCACATATGGCCTCAAGTATCTATCGCCTGTACATTTACGCGAAAATTCGACGTAAAAATCAGACAAACATCGATAAATAGTGTCATTTAAATGGACATTGTGGTTTATTATTAGAGCTCGTACCAATGGATCTCGACACTGCAAGAACACCCGAGACGCGATATCCGTCCCAATTTATGACCTTGCCTCCGGAAGCTTCTATTCTCGCGTATTCGTCTTCTCGTTCCGGCTAGAAACAAAGAGTTCGATGGTAAATATATACGTAAAAAACAATAGTATCTCGAACGAGGAAATATTGTCGATCGAGCTGGGTCTCACTCACTTTATGGTCTTCGGACAACGGAATCGGTGATTTCCCGCGGTAAAGGACAGCTCTCGAATCGCCACAATTCGCGACGATAATGTGGGTCGAGCAAACGACAGCAACGACGGCCGTGGACCCCACCGACTCCGGCGCGACGGGCCAAACCGGAGGATCGTCGTCGGGACCGTCTTCGAGGAATCCTCCGACCTCGTTGTCCAAACGACGAAAACATTTCGTGAACACTCGCAGCCACCGCTCTTTCAATTCGGTAACGTCCGAAGAAGTGTTGTTCGCGACGTTAATCTCTTCGGCTAATGCAACGTGTAGACGATCCCGACAATACTCGGCTACCTACAAACACGCGAAAGAACAAACGGTAAATACGATAGATCAATCGATCGTGCGAAGGGCATTGCTGGCGTGCATGTCCTAACCTGACACCCGCCGTGCCCGTCGTAAACTCCGAAAACGTGTCCTGTTAAGTCCCGACCGGCGGGGCTAAGCTTGTCTTGGTCGCGGCAGCTCAGCATTTGGGCCGAGATCTTCGAGAATCGCGGGACGGCGACGATGGAGTCTTCCATTTCTTGCCGCCTCCCGCAGATCGACGCCGTCCCCCAAAGAGGCCGCGGATCGGAAGGGAAAACTTGTTTCGATATTTTCATTTCATCGGAAACTTCTAGAATCGACGTCGAGAACGTTCTCCGGGGCTCTCGACCGCCACCGGCAGCCTCCCCGCCGTCTCCCGCCGGCGACTTATGAGAAACGCCGCCGCTGGCGGTCTTATTATTACTATGTAAGGACTCTGTATTAGCCTCCAAGCCTATGCAATCGTCCTCGATGCATAAAGCGGTTGCGAATCGAGAATCTACAATGCCGGAAAACGGAACCTCGGCCGCCGCATCACGATCGGCGGCAACGGCGGCGGCTGCCCTAATTAAGACACCGGTGTTGTCTTGACTGTCTTTGGATTCAATTCTCATCACGACTCCATTATCGGTAGGGTTGTTATTACATGGAGGAGCAGCTGCAACAGAGGAGGTCGAATCTATAATATCTTCAACCAAAGGCAACTTGGTCATATGTTAGTTTGATAATCCGAATGGAGAGTCTTCCTCGGACATCAATCAATCAATCAATCAATCAATCTCGACAACCAGAGTCCTTCTTCTTCTCCCATGTTTCTTCTCATCTGAAGTTAAACCTAATTTGAAGACATGAAATTAACAAGGGGATTTTGGGGAAGAATCGAAAACAGAATCAAAGCATAATAATAATAATAATAATAATCGAAATCAATTGACTGTATGAATGTTGGTTAATTCGAAGCTTGTGTAAGAGAAATGGAATCGAGATTCTTATGGATTGACTGATTGATTGATTGATTATATTCTTCTCTATCTATCTAAAATCTAAATAGAACTCTGAAATCGTCATATCCATAAAAAGGTGTAAGAAATTAAAACGATAGAGCACAACATAATCAAGAATCGATAAAGCAAGAAATAATAACAATAACAACAATATCATCAGTATGAGTATGAGTGGAGAGGTAGAGAGTAGAAAGTAGAAATCTCACATAAAAATGAAGCTCCAGACCCCAAATTCAAGGCCTGCACCAAAGCTTGTCATAGGTTCTATATGTCAGTGTATGTATATCTCTATATGTATTTCTTCTCTTCTTCTTCTTCTTCTTCTCCTTCAAGAGGTGAAACTAGAGAGAGAGAGAGAGAGAGAGAGAGAGAGAGAGAGAGAGGTAATCTGGACAAATGAGAAAAGGGCAGAGCATAAGGGTGTGTCTTGACTTAATAATAATAGTTAGATAGAGAGAGATAAAAAAAATATAAATAAATAAAAAGGGGAGGGGGGTGGGGGTTGGGGTAGGGGGGGGTTGGTCTGATGAGGCAACACATGTCACCCAACCAAAACAAACCCTACTCTCTTTGCTTTCATGTTTTAATTTGCACATTATTTAATTTGGGTGAAAATTTATTTAGAACGTATTCCAAAAGAATTAGTAATTTATTACTTAAAATTTTTTGTACTCCTTCAATTCCATAGGAAGGTTGTATTTTTATTTTTGTCCATCTTAAAGGTATGATTTTATAATTTAGTAATTGTACTACTTATTTAATATTATAAATATTTTTTTAATTTATAATATATTACACAAATGTTATCACCTTTATATTATATCATACTAATAAAGATATTTTTGTCTTTTTAACTCCAATTCAATATAATACTAATTTTTTTTTTTTCATTTTTTTTTTATGTATTTTGTAAATCATGGGAAAAAACGTTACAAACTACATTGAGATTTAGAACCAATTTTAGCTAATAATCAACAAAACATAACTTTTTCTATTTATTTAATTCTCATATAGTAGTACTAAATTAAATGCAATTTTTTCTTGGAAGAATAACAATGAACACATGCACCTCTCCCTATTCATCCGCAGATAGGATATGATATGATATGCTCATTCATTTAATAATAATAATAATAATTAATATAATGGATTTTAGTAATCTTTCTTTCTCAATCCCCACAAAAACAAACTACCAAATATTTTTATATTAAAATAAATAAATAAGGAATTAATAAGAAGGTGACACATAGGCAGGCAGGCAGGCAAGGAAGGAAGGAAGGAAGCCTGCTTCTAGTCTCGAGTTGCTTACCGTCTCAAAACAGTTTATTACAATACAATAATTAATCAAATCAATTTTTTAATCTCATCAAAATATTATAATCACATTTCTAATTTTTTTTTTTTTTTTTAAAAATAATTTTATTTTTTTCCCTAAAATGGGCAAAAATATATATATATATATATAAAATAAATAAATAAAAAAGACTCGTGTAGTAACAAAACACAAGTATATGTATGTATGTGTCAAGCAAAGGCAATGGGAGGGACCCCTCTAATTTCTCTCACTAAGTAATAAAATATAATATTTTAATTAAAAAAAATTACTATTAATAAGTTATAGATAAAATTAAATTTTTTTAAAAAACAGAAATATTTATATAAATAGAATTGAGTGAGTCTTCCTTTAGAAATACCAAATTGCCAATGAAAAATGGACCAGCCTTTTTTAATGGGACGTGGGTCCCGCTCATTGGACATGTGTCCAACCAGGTGTGCGTCTCCCCTACCCCCTACGCCTCCTCTCTATAGACTTACCTACACTGATAAACATATACTATGGGTGCGTTTGTTTGGGAATTTGTGATGGAGTCCAAACTCAAGTGCCACAACAAAATTATATATCTTATAAGTTTCAAATAAATTTTACTAGAATAAAGTTTTTTGGAGGATATCAAAACCAAATTCGTGCTACTCAGCTCAAAGCGGACAATATCATACTAGTATTAAATTGACCCTGTTTGATTTGATTATTTTTGGAGAAAAAAGTGAAATGAATAGGGAATTAAAATCCAATCCCACGAACAAACACACCCTACCATAATTAATTAATATGTTTATTTATAATTAATTTTAAATTTTTTAATTTTAATTTTAATTTATAATAATTTATATTATAAATTAATTATTTTTACTAATATATTATTAATTATGTATTAATTATATTCATTTTAAATTCTTGTGTTTACTATAACTAAAATCCAATTTTGTAAGGAGGAAGTACAATTTATAATTAATATTTAATTTTAAATTTAATAAATACTCCTATTAATTTCAATTTTTTTATATTTTTTATTTTTAACCATCGTACAGAATTTTTAATAAAAAATAATTATATATTTTAAGTTTTATAATGCTAATTAAATTATTTAATTAATTTAGTTTAAATTTATAATTATTTTGATGACATCATAATTATTTTTATTAATATATTTTATTTAAATTATCATATTTATAGTAATTTAGACATTTATCGGAGACAGAAGGAATGTTAAATAATTTTATATTTTATCTAATATTGATAATTTATTACTTCATCCTTCAGGTAAAATCATTTTTATTTGAGCTGACGTAAATTTTTTCATTAAAATAATAATTAAAAGTATTTATAAAAATGTTATACCTTTGGCGGTAAAAGTATATCTATCTACTATTTTAATCTATTTATTAAAAATGTATTTATACTATATTTAGTTTAAAAATTACCATTTTATTTATTTACATCATTGCTACTGTCACGTTATATAAATTTTATTTTAATAAAAAAATACTACTACAATCTTATTATATAATTTTTTTTTATATTTCAATGATATTTTAATTTCTATATTTATTTGTTAACTTACTTGAACAAAAGTAAATAGAGTATATAAATAATGACTTAGCAAGGGACTACAAGTTCCTCTTTTTTTTGACTTTTATTCTTAATATTTACTTTTATTAAAATATATTTAAATTATAATACTATTAATCATTATTTAATCAAATTTTAAATATAAATATTACTTTTTATTTAATCATCGTTATATATATATATATATTTAATCAGCCAATAGGATGTCTCCACGAGCTTCTTTTAATTTTTTGGGATTTGAAGAATTTCCTTTTGGGGGTCTGTGTGTGTGTCGATTTCTGGGTGCCCCAGCACAGCACATTACACTTTCCCTTTATTGAGAGCTCCGGGACCTCCCAAGATACGTGCCCACTCCTATCGCTGCTCATCTACTTGCTCCTCAGCTCCAGGGACTACGCAAAAATAATTGCGTTAATAGATTCACTGAATATTTATAATAATTATTTTTTTTGCTATTTAATTAACATTTTTTTTAAAAAAAAAAGGAAAAAAGAAAAGGGTTTTAGAGAGTACAGATTACTCATACACAGATATTCATAATATAATATTATATTTTATATAAATTCAGATCCGTTGCTGATTTTACATATCTTTCTAAATATTATACACGTAGACACATACGTAGAAATTCAACTATTTAATTTTTATTCATATATATATATATATATATTTTTCGAATTAAATTTTTTTAGTCAAATTCGTTCCATTGAAATATAATAAATTAATATAAGTAAAAAATAAAATTGTTTCGTTTTTGTTTTTCTACTCCAACTTTTAATGTGCACATATTGAAGATTATTATTATTATTATTATTTTTGCTATAATCAATTATAATTTGAGGTCTGTTTCGCTTAGTGTTTCGATTTATATAATCAATTATTTCATATTAATATGATTTCAATAAAAAAAAATATTATTTTAATATGATAATCAATTATTTCATATTATTTTAAATATATATATATATATATATATATATGGAACATATAACATTGCGTATGTTTAGACCGTTGAATTTTTTGCACATTTTAATAATGAAATATAATCTAAGTTCAATCCCAAAACCCCATAACATATTATTGGAATTTTTTATTGATTCTTGTTCGTCAATAAATCTTTCTTAAATTTTTAAAATTTTATTTATTTATTTATTATTTCCATGTGGGCAATATCTTCACGATGTTCAACTATGATTTTCTCTCTTGCTTTGAATTTTTGCCATTGAATTCAATTTGGATCTTTTCTCTTTCCCTTTCATACAAACAATTCTTTGTTTGTAATGAAATCCTATGTTTGTCCAAGTCAAGTTGAGTTACGAACTACTGTTAATTTATATTCAAATTAATTTGAAATTTAATATTAATTTATTTTTTTAGATAATATTTTTATTGAAACTGTTAGAAATGATAAATAAACAAATACTTCAAGAAAATTAATAGAATTGTAGATAAATGAGGTGTTCATAAATTTAACTTGATTAAATTATCCTAAACTTAATCAAAATTCATTGTTAAATTGAAACAAATCGAATATAAACACAAATTTTGGATAGTTGCGTGCATGAATTGGTTTAGTTACTCACAAATATTTGATATTGTTTGATAATGAAATTCTTAATTTCTCATCTGGAAAAAATATATACCTTTAACATGCCAAACAAAGGTGTGTTTCATTTGAAATTTTTTTATTTGTATTTGATATTAAAATAATATTTTATAAGATATGTTAAGAGAAAAAGTTATATTTTTTGAAAAAAAAAAATACATAGTCCAAATAATAAATTTTAAAAATGATTTAAAAAAATATACCCTTTGAGTTACTATAGTTTCGACAATTTTCAATAATTTTTAATGAAACATAAAGAAAAAACCAAAAATATGATATTTTTAATAAAGAATAGATATTAGATATATTTTAGTAACAAATAGAAGTACTTATGTCAAGTGATACATTTCAACACATTTGGAGTTTGTTTGGTTTGAGTTGCATAGCACATTTTGTTTTACAATTTAACTGGATTGTTTCTTGTTATAATATTATTTAAACTAAAATTCAAATATAAACACAAACTAAATAGGCCCCAAGTCGACAAAGAGACTTACAATCCTACAAAGCCCGACCAAAATAGCGAACTAGAAAAAGTTCTAGATGCAATGTATAATATAGAAAAGACGGTAGCCAAACGACTAAAGTAACAAGTAAAAAGAAACAAGAAGCAAAAATATCTACAAAGCATTAGATTAGATACAAAAAGATAGATTGAGAAATTCTTTCTAAAGGCAACAAACAGTTGTTTTAATGATGAATGCTTGCAAGTAACCAAAGCATCATCTAATCCATCCCACATTTTCCACAAAACAAACATTCATATTTATGGGAGGGAGTTAGGTTGGCCAACAAAATCTATTTCTAATTTCCAAGTTTCAACCACCATATACCACCTGAAAATGACTCTACATCTACATCCAACCCCGTGTATCTATATATCGTTGTAGTTACTGTACTGAATTTTATAATTTAATGTGATATTGATAACATGTTAATATAATAATATAAAAACAGCACATAATCTAACAATATATAACAATAATTTGCATAACACATACTACTATTGATTCTAGCACAAGATATATATATCTATACGGTACATTTTATAAATATGAACAAACAACAATATGTTCTAGTGTTATTTGAAAACATGTATCTATTTCCTACGTCTGGAAATTCACCAGACTCCTAATGTACTGCTGGAGTTTATCGAGCTAGAAATAAGTGGTGACGGGGCAGTAATGGAGTGTCTACCCTAGCGTGTAATTCTTGATATGGAGCAAGGAAACTATTGTTATTTACGTTCGATAAGTTTGGAGGGCATGTATGTGCAAATGGATGTGACTGTTGCACAAAATGCATATATGGATGCGACAATGTTCCCAAGTATTGAATGACAATAAGCATGATCATATATAGAGCATATAGGCGTAAATGAATGTAACAGAGTATAAATATCCAATAGCAATGGATCGATGAAAGGAATTAATCTTAAAAATTCTATGATCTTGATGGCAATGTAACTCAGTAACAAGTGTAGAAATCCATGATAATATGCACAAGATTAAGCTTTAGCTCCGGATTTGGATACTGTTATTAGTGTGCTGCAAGTACATGTATTCTGAATGTGACTTGGTTTTTAAGAATGCAATAGAAACAAACCGACATAGCCAACTAAACAAAACGATCCAATCATGCCAGAAATGAAAGCATCATATAGTGAAAGCAGAAATGAATGGGAAAAAATTGCTAGAGAATCTCCTTAGCTCTGATTTAGGATCTTACCTTTACGAATAATGAATCCATATATTGCAGTAGGATTGATGGGATGGATATGCGATATTGTGTTTCCAATAACAGCCTGCAAAAACAATCAAATGGCTACAAACGCTAAAAATATCACACAAACTTCATTGGCAAAAAACGAGCAGAAGACCGGCCGATTGCTCATCATATAAAAGCAAAGGAAACTCGAGAAGTAATTTTAATATAAAGCTCACCATAGAAAGAAGTAAATAATCCAAAGACAAAATCATTGCAAGCAATGTTGATGTCCTTGAACTTGCAACTTGCAGTGAGAAATGACATAATGAAACCATGTCATAAATTTAGGAGTTTTTAATCTGGAACTTTGTTGTAAGTACCATACCAGCAAGTATTACTTCAAAAGATATGTATGCATATGTTGTGTACCTTTTTCACAGAGCAATGCAGTTCAGTATGCCTCGGTATAAGACGACACACAGAGGAAACGAAGAGCGCGATTATGAACTCAGGAAAGAGATATTGGAACAGCTTATTGATTTTGGAAACACAGCCCAACATTCCATACCAGAAACACAAAGTTCCACAAAGGCATCTCTTAATAGCAACAAACTAAGGCATATAAATCGACTATGAGGCTGCAATGATGAAGTCATTCAATTCAATGGTCACGCAAGTTCCAAGTAAAGGATATAAAATTTCACAATCTTAACTCAATGATGATTCACCATAGCTCAATTTATGCAATACAAAAACCAAGCAAAACTGCTCGCATATAAGTAGCTACAAGTAAACAGTATGGATGGCCAGATGATGCTGTGATCCACAACATCCTGTTGCCTTGCCTAGCAAGCAAATAACTTCACCTCCGAGATTCATACTTAATTGTTCGAGGAAATGACAATCAACCAGTAAAGAGCAAATTTAAACTGAAAAGTATGCATTGCAGAACGAGCTCATCAACACAACCTTGGCAGATAATAGAATGAGAAGTATAAATGTTAAAAACAGATATGTCATTAAATGAGAGAGCTAAACATGAGATCGCAAGGCTCCAAGTGGAGCATCAAATGAGAAAATGCACAATTCTTATTGAAAATGATATAAAATTATATACAAAAGAAGCTGTTCCTGATCAGTAATGTTCTCAATTAAAAAATATTAGTTTGCGAGGTCTTTATCATTATATATATATATACAAGCTTGAGCACGACCAAAAAGATTTCTACAATCAACACTTGTAAATGTGAAGAGGAGCAAACTCTGAAGGCGCAAAGGTTCACTCACAATCTCAACTCAGGAACTCAAAGGCATAATAACCTAAGGAGTATAAACCTACTTATGGTTGAGACAATCCAGCGATCCGTATGCAACTGTTCAATGCACAGCATCAAAGCATCTTCATGTGATTGGCTAAGAAATGGAATATAACACACTGATGCAAACCATCGTATTCAAATCTGCATATCCAAATCTGCCAGATTATCTGTTGGGATTTCAAGCCCACATGAGAAATCATGATCTTTCAATTCATCATCCTCAAAGTTAAACCATGATCCCAAATCAACCTTTTTATTATCATTGGGGTCCATTAAGTCGTCAGGAATACGAAGAGCAGACAAATCTATGGGATCCTCCAACGTGTCCGGGTCATATTCATTGGGGTTCTTGCCAATATCAGTTCCCACATTCTCACCTGATTTACTTACTTTGGATTGATCAGAGATTTTGCCCTCAGGACCATTAAGTGAAGCAGATAAATGAGCAATTTTCGGCTTAGGTTTTGTCTTGTTCTTTCTCTCACCTTTACCAGTGGATGATGCAGGACGACCGATTTTAGCATTCCCACTTCTGTTTAACACTTTTCTTCCCTTTCCTGCTCTGTCCCTCTCACTCCTCTTGCCTTTGACATTGGGTGAAAGAGAACCGCCAAGTCCTGATGATACATTAGAAGATATATTGATTGAGCCACCAACATCATCAAGCAATAATTCCCTCCTTTTCACTCTACCTGGCCACATTTCTCCTTTATCAGTGTTTGGTTCAGAAGCCGGACCAGCTGTTACAAGCATCTCAGAAGAATGAATTTCCTGATTGTTTGAGGAAGGGCTCTGCTCTGTTTGCAATGGGGCTACACAATACATGCATTAAAAAATTAAGATTATGATATATCAGGAGATTGACATGCACTCAAAGAATATAACAAATAGACATTCACATCCAACTTAACACATAGACGAGGATAAGGATTAAGCATTCTATATATATAGGCAAGACATACCGGACGTTCGAACTTCTATGGAGCACCCAGGTTTTCCCGAATGGAGTTTATCAGATTCATCCTCAGTGTTGCTCGTTGAAGGAATTTCATCTGCAAGCCTTGATACTCCAGAAATAAATATGTCCCTGTAAACTGGTTCATCAAAGGAACTCTTTCCTGTGGCCTCAAATTCCTTATAATGTCTCAACGTCCAATTAACAAAATCTGCAGCAGCTGTTGCTTGCTTGACCAATTTGGTGTTTGCATTTTTCGTCCCAGGTGCATTAGAAACCAAGCAACTCTGCAGAGGCAAGCAAACCTTCAACAATTGGTCATTTAAAAAACTGCAGGTTAATGCTGCATCATCGCACATCCCTCTTCCACGAATATTCTCGCATAATAAAGCTCACACCATCTCTCCATTGTGGATAAAATTTCAAGTTTCAACCTCGATAAATTTTATTATCCAGGGAAAACAAATTTCACACACTGCTAAAGCTGAGATATACTGTTTTAAGGCAGTGTATGCAATCAGATATGACTGCCTTTGCTTCAAGTGAGAAGTAAGGGTTTCATTTCCTAGGAAAATAAATTGCAAAGAAGGTACAATAATAATAATTACCATGTACTTCTGATAGGCAATTTCAACAAGTTTGTCATTGGCACGTCCTTTGAGCTCCCTAAATGATTTGAAGATTATCAAATAGATTTCAATAAATTCATTGTGAAAAGACTGCATAGGAGAACTAAAAATTCTTACGTTTCCTGGAGATCTTTAGCCTTGGTAACATGACTTAAGAGCTCTCCGTGTAAGCTTTTGTTCTTTGACACCTAATCAAAGAGGAATACCCAGAAAATGTAACTTATTCAAAAGCAGTGTGTATACAATGTATAAGCTTCACATATTTTAATTTATCACATAAGAAAGATGATGTTAAAAATTGCAAGCCAAACAACTGTAATCCTAAAATTATCTTCAAACATCTATTATTCATATAGGACATCTCGTTAGTCCTGGTTTCTTGAGACAGAAGAGGCAATAGCTGCTGCCTATAACATTGCATTACCATATTATCAAAAACCAAACAACTTCACTGCATGTGCTTGTTTGCAAGATCCAATTCTTTTCTAGTATTACATTAATGGAGTAATATATCCACCCTGGCAACATTATACACAATATGAAAATAAAAGAAGGATAGTGGTTAAATTCATTATATATTTAATTTCAAAAGCTAACTAAATTAGCCCGTAATTCTCTGGTATGCTTGACTATAAGGTACTAATGAAATAAACATAATTACCTGTTCATGGTACATTTCTTGCAATCCATATATAGTTTTGCTTATTCCTTCATCTCCACCATGTTCTGAATCAGACTGGCCAAAAGTGGATAATTAACTTATAAGGCAGTTAGAAACTAATGGCTGAAAAGGACAAGTTCCTTAGGATAAATGGAACATACCACTAAATCGGGAAAGATACCTATACTATGAATCTCCAGCAGAAGTCTTTCATTCATTGGCATATCCATATACTGATACTCGGAGCATGCTGTGCCAGATGAACAGTCTGCCATTAAACCATCATGCATAGGAACATAGCCAGCTTCTGAAATTCTCACAGCATTGCCCTCTTCCATAGGGTAATCTGGCTCATAAAATGATTTTCAATTAGTCTTTAAAATAAAAAATAAAAACTAAATAAAATTTATAGCGTAATATACAGAAGGACCACAACCTTGCGACATCAAAAGAGCATTTGATTCTTTTTCTATCTCCGCATGGAGCTGAGATCCATAAATATCGTACTTGTTTACTTCTTTTCCAACATCAAAAGCCTCTTCATTTTCTTCTTCAGGAATGATAGCAGCAACAACTCTCTGGTACAGTGAAATTCCATCACTGGTCTTTGTTCCGGTAATTGCAAGTTCAGGATCCACTTCAACATTTCCCATGTCAATTCCATCACTCTCAAATTCAAAGCCATTAGGCAGGAAATTAGAACTATCAGCATCAAGTAGTGGTGGAACTGACATATCCATTTCACAACGAAGATTTACCTAGAAGAGAAAAATATATTGTTTGGTAAACACACACAATCTTTCTAGTAATAAAAAACTACACAAGGAAAAGGATGCATGCTGCAAATTTAATTGTAGAATTTGTGCCAACAACAAACCATTTGGTATTTCATTGCAGTTTATTCTAAAGTTTCCTTAATCCATACCATGAATATATAGCGGGAAAATATATGTACAAGAAAAATTGCAAAATCAGAGATTTTCAAAAGTCAGGGTGGTACAACTACAAATTTAAAATGATAATAATAGACTCAAGAAACTTAGGGTGTGTTTGTTTGGGGGACAGGATTGGATTTACGCTATTCATTCAATTTTTTCCCCCAAAAAACATCAAATCAATACATATTTTTCATTTTTTATATTATACTAAAAATCAATTTTACATTCAAAACATCACATCAACACCTATTTATATCACATCATACAACTATTCAATTCAAAATTTTTACTATTCAAATCCCAACTCAAAATCCAAACCCCCAAACAAACACACCCCTAATAAAATTTCAATGATATAGTAAAGAATATTCTGAAGCTAAGAGAAATCAAGTTCCTATATTACAAAACTATAGTCACATTTTAGAAATTCTATTTCAGTAGAGACTAGACCATATGAAAAGCAAATAGTTTTCTGAACAAATGCAAGAACACTGGACAGTAGGAAATATAAAAGAAGACCTTGTTAATATATTTCCTTTTTTTAAAAAAAAAAAAAAAAAAATCAGGTCTAAATACACCAGTTAAATTTCTATAAAACATACAACCTTTTAATGTCTTTCAATCATGAGAGTCCATATTTCATCAGGAACATGGATCCCCATTGACTTGACATTACCAAGCACCAAGTTTCCAACTGGGTGAGCAGACCAAATCAATGAAATCCATATTACTTCTATTGTTTCAGTGCAGCATTCAATTGTACAGCATCTATGATGTCAGATCTAAATTGCACAAGCAGATACCTCATAAAAGATCATACTACTGAAACATAAACCAGCCTAATTTAATTCAGCCATTTAACTTCCTAAAGAGGATAAGCACTGACATCAGCAAGCAAGTTGAAGTGCTAAAAGCAGCTTAGAAAAACTTGTTGGAAGTATAATGTCTTATAATAACAAAGATAGCATTTGAAACAAGTCATATAAGAAAGTTGTTACTCTTAAATGAAATATGAATCAGCTATATAGTGAATGCCATTTCTTGCTGAAGCATAATTCAAGCCTCTGTTTATACATGCAAAAAAAAATTCGTGCTATTCACCAAAAGTTCTCTACAAAAACATCACAACTAAAACCTATTTTTATTTAAAATACTATATTAAAAAACTATGTTCTATTCAAAACATCAGATCCTTTGCCTGTTTATATCACATCAAAAACCTGTTTTGTAGTCAACTTTTTATTGTTCCCAAAGCAACCAAAAATCCCAAAACACTTCCAAAACATATTTAAAATCTAAACAAACTCCAAATTATATCATAAAATGTATTACCTGTTCTTTCAAATAAGTGATATCTGCATCACATATAAAACGGAAGAGGGGCTCCATTTTCTTCCAAAATGGGCTGGAGAGCGTTTGACCTGCATTAAGAAGTAGATAATCACAACAGCAACAAGATGTACGTAAAAAAGGAAATCAAACTAGGTAACAAAAAGATACCAGGGTTTATAACAGTATTTGTAGCAGCCAAGAGCTCTTTGTGTCCATTATCAGAACAATCTGTTATATTTATTCAGGAAGAGATCAAATAGAGAAGACAACAAAATTATAGGAGTTCAATGACATCTATAATAACAATTATTCCAAGGTTCACGCTACCAAGAAAATCAGCCATCACATTGACAGGTATATGATTATGCCATGTATTAGCCTTCCTATCAGAAGGCTTTCTTGGAGGTAGTCGACCAGACCTGCTGAACAGATTGTTTAACCAAGTCAAGAAAAATTACCAACTATTAATTCTAATAAACATTAACCCAGGGCAATCAAAGGAAATAATGATTAAAATAAGAAGAAATTAATTGTGTTTGACCTTTCAGTATTGACAGGACCAAGCCTAGCAGTTCTCATTCTTTTGGTTGTTCCCAAGCTTTCAATCTTTTCAACTGTTGGAGGAATCACAGACCTTGAAGAAGTAAATCCCCGAACAGTTCGTCCTTTTCTTCGAATACCATCTCCATGGTTATGTTTGCCAGCGGGCTTCTTTTTTCTTGTTGGTAATGAAGTTGATATTCTCTGGACATTCTGATCACCTTTTTCATTTATTTCACTACCCCCCTTACTCGCGTTTTGAAACTTATGTTCAGAAGAACCTGATTCCTCACTTTCAGATAATGTGGCAGGTGAAAAATTAGCAGATTTTATTTTAACTTGCTCAGAAGAATTGGCAGAGAAATGCCTCCCATTTACCACCATAGCAGGTGTCACATCTGTAACAGGATTTTCCTCATTCCCAGGAAAAATAGACAGCGAATTATTTCTCCTTGCAGTTCTAACAATTTTCTGAGGCCTCTGAACCCAACTAGCAACAGGGGGAGATGAAGATTGTACAGGTCTGGGTTTACATTTTCTGGAACCAGGGACACTGGGAATTTTGCTTGTGCAATTAGAAACTTCCCAATCAGTAGAGGACGGAGAACACTGAGCTTTTTGAGATCTACCAATTGAGCTTGATCTTGGGGCACGGATATTTGTGTTCAACTTTGAGCCTGAAGTAGGACTCCCTGAACTGAAGTCTTCCTGGGAATTTTCCCTATTTCAAAGCAAAATGTATCAACAGTTTATACACCCCGAGAACCAAGAGTAATGGCAATCAGTAATTAAGATCAATAATTTCTTGCAAAATATTATTACTTATTCCACCAAAATTTAACAGGATTGCAAGTCTTTCAGTCAACTGATGAAGAAAGATTTAAGGTAACACAGAGACACTAGCAAACAAGCTTGATCGCTGCTAGTATCACTGCTCAATGCATAATCTTTTACAGTGTATAGTTTGGTTCTAAAGTAACTTTTAATTTATTTCAGATTTCACAATGCATCAGTAATCTCACAATTAGCCCAACTCTTTCTATCAGTGGTTTTCAGAACAACATCACATAAAGAAAGTGCACATAGAAAGAACACTAAATCATGAACTATTCTTTTAAAATATTAATGAAAATCAAAGGAGTAATTAGATATACTTGTTTAAAGCTTTTGGATCCACCACTTCTTTCTCTTGACCAGTTGGATGTTCTCTCCTAACATTTAGAGTGGAATTGCTATTGGGAGCTCTTGAGGTGGGTAAATGGATGCCTGAACTGGTGTGTGAGATGACCTCAGCTTTCCCAACTCCTGCACCTCCATTAGCAATCCTAGATCTACATAAAGGTGCAAACGAATATTACAACGGAGGGCACCACCCTATTAATAATATCATACATATATTTTACCAAGCAACAGAGGAAATAAATCAATAAATAAATGAAAGACATTTTATACAAGGAACTATACTACATTACATGAAACATCAAAATTTTCCAGCTCTAGCAATATTAACAACTATGCCAGGGCCGTTGTGCTCTTATTTCAGGTAGCAATCACCCTAACCACCTGGGCAATCATATAAAAGCCAACTCAACCATCTCATGCTCAAGTGCAAATTATCTGAGAATACTATAGTTACAGTTTCCGTATGACTTAAGCAATGAGCAGAATAGTGCAAATATTTGCAGAACATAATAAGCTCTTTGATCATTTCAAAACAGGAATAATTTCTATGTAAAATATAGTAGCAGGAACCTAGTTCCAAAATAGGAGTCTGATGGTTACAAAATCTTATGCATATTGAATGCAAATTTTAGAAGGCCAAACAAATTCGAAATGCAGGAATAAAATTGATTCTAAGATTTTGCTCTTTCTAATTTATTTAATGTAATGGCAGAAGTATACCTTAAACACAATGACGAGTACAACTTATATAAATGAATTTTCAATTTTAATTTTACAAAACAATACAGCACCATACCTATCAACAATATATGGAATCTTCATCATCACTAAAGACTCCCATTCGCAATAACAAAATCATAGATGCAGTCATTCACATGGCAGAGAGTCAATATTATATGCTAGCAAAAATATTGAAGCCAAAAGCAAATCATCTGCCACATAAACTATACGAATTGATACCTGAAACCACGAGCATCAGTTAATCTTGGACTGGCTTCAGTAGAAACCCAAGATTCCCTTCCTTGCTTAGGTTCCCAGTAACCATCCACTGGTTTTGTCTTCAGTGAGGTAGCAGCATCAGGCTTTATACGTGTACGTTTTTTCTTTGTTTTTGGATTCTCCCAACAACCAACAGAAGTAGATACAGTTTGGTCTTCACCACGAATGGAAAAGCTGTTGGACAATCTTATAACACCCCTTTCCTTGCTAACAGTTCCAGTTGGTCCTGTTTTTGGCCGTATATCAACCTACAGAAGATGTATGACATCAAAAGAAGTTGAGCACGCTCACTTTAAAACAAGTAGAAAGGCTGACCAAATTATTCAATATATTCAATCAACAAAGAAAAAGAACAAGCCGCAATAGCATCTAAAAGTAGTTCAAATTAATATAAAAAACTATAGGAAAGTCAGAAAGCATGGAAATCTCATGAAAATAAACTTTATAGTATGGGCAGCAGAAAACAGGGACATTCTCACGTAAATGTGGGTTGAAATTATTATCAAACAAAATATAATCGAAAAAAACTATAAATAGTTTATCTAATATAGGAAACAAATGCTTGATACAAACCTTATCACTCATCATAGAAGTTCGAGCACGTTTGCTTGGAGGGACATTCTTTGTCATTTCTTCAGATTTGTGATTCAGAAGATCTAGCCCACTTGTACCAGCAAAATTTTGGGTTCCAAGTTTATCACTTCCCATTCGAGAATGGGGTTTATTAACTGATAACAATGTGTTGGATCTATCATTAAACAAGGTATCTAACCGTGATCTCTTCCTTGGCGAATTAGATGGGAAGCATTTATTATATACAGATAAACAATCATTGAATATCTTCAGGCGTTCCCTGACGAAGACATCTTCTATTAGTATATAAAAGGGTAAGAAAAAATAAAAGGCCATTTAAATTTAAAATACCTACCGAGCTTTAGTACCACATTCTCTCACACCAGATTTGAGTCGTCTGAGTTCCTCTAGTGAGCGAGAACACATTTGTTTACTATTAGAAGAAGCAGGTAGAGAATCTTCCAAAGGAATACCAACAGCAGCACTAGCCCATTTCTTGAATTCTGAAGGGCGGTTCAATTTGTGCTCTGCAACCATTAATTTTGGATCAAAACGAAGACAGTTGAAGAAGTGAAGGATATCTCCTTTAATTGGAGATAAGCCACTTCTTGACATATTCGGAAAACTTAACAGTGGGCTCTCCAGGTCCTCACGGAAACTGCCTGATCTATCCCCCAAATTGGCATCATAGGATGACCGATGTCCAGATGTATATAATGGCCTATCTGGGCTACCAGAAGAAAGATCAAATTTGCTAGATGCTGACATTGCATCAGTTCCCACACATGCTCAAATGAGACATTTGTGCATCGCAATGTGGCAGCACTAACAATCTTCACCACCTCAAACCCGCAGCTTATAATTTGAACAAGATTACTGGATTTATACACCTGTCAACAATACAGAACAGCCATAAACTTATTCTCAAAAATTCATCACCAAATTTTATGATATTCAGAATATCAATGGCACACTGACAAACATAGGAAGAGGGGAAAAAATCAAGAGAGTGGAAAGGGGTTTGCAAAATTAGATTCCCGAGTTGAATTCCATTAAAGTTATAGCAAATAGCAAACACAAGAACATTCACAGACAGTTTTTCAACTGGTCTGAGTGTATCAGCTTTCAGGGAGAATGTTCAAATGCCAGCCTGCATAAAGATGCCAACACCCTACAATCTAAAAATGACAGAAATATGTGGCTAGAACATCTCAGGATATTTTTTCCAATAATAAAATTGTTTCCAATGTAACAAAGTCATTTTATACCTGAAAATTCACTCTAGACCAACAATCCCAGATTCAGCTAATATACTAGCTTGAACTGTTGCTTGCAACCAAAACCAAAAAACCGTTCTCAGTGCAACACAAACTGGCAGAATAATGGTTGACAAGTCAAAATCATAAGAATAATCTTTAACCCGGAATGGATATCTCAGTTATCCATGTTGATCATTATGGCAAATAGTCTGCAACTCAAATTTTTACAGACAACAATCTGAACTCCACCACCGCACAGCTTCCATATCGAAGTATCTCAAATGACAAAAGCTTATCCATACTTTCTGATGCACTTTTTATTAGCAGCTAAAAGAAAAGGAAAAGCTGCAACCAACAAACTTCAAACAAGAAATTAGGCTGCCCTGATGATCATGCCAAAATACACATATATGATATATCCAAAAGCAGAAAGCTGCAAACCCCAGCGTCAAAAACGCTATAGGAACCTCGCTCATTCTTCTTTAAAGCAAAGAAACATCGGAACAAACAAGGGAACACCAGCAAACTCAACTATCAATAATTTCTGGTAAAAAAAAGTATGATCCAGGACTCTAATAATCATGTTTCTGGCAATGATCATCACAACAGAGTCAATAATCAACCAGCTATTAAGGGTTCAATTAGGGTTTTGAAAAATCAACGTTGAAATAAATTAAAAATAACAGCTACCCCGCAGACCAGCATAGAATTAACATCAATATTCGATTAATGTACAGCAACAAAAAAATTACAAAATCAAGATAACGAAAAACGTAAAAACAAAAACAAAAACAAAAAATCCTACCGCTGTCGAAGAGTCGATAATCGTTGGATCACTGATCGGTGACGAATATACAGAGTGTCTTACGCCTTTCCACCGGAATTCGGCCCGGTTTCAGCCCGAATGTCGAGATTGCTCCATGATAGAAAATTTAAGAAATATATATATATATACGTGTGATTAGAGAAATACGAGATGGACTAAACCTACTTGGGAATCGAACTAATTTGACGGATTATACCCTTTAGGACTTAAATAACAGTATTTTATTCCCTAAGTGGGCTTTACTCCTAAAATCGCATTTATTGTTACCAGGCCCATCTGTCAATCGAAAGTCGCGTTTGCGATTCTATCAATGCCAAGAAAAATGTTTAATTATACGTGGAAAAAAATATTTTATCTGTCCCATCAAATTTATTTTTATTATTTTTAATTTAGCTTATTATTAATTTTATCAAAAGTCCAATCAAATTTAATTATTAATCTTTATTCAACTCTGCATCAATATTACTATATTTATTACTTTTTTTTATTTATTTTAATTTCTAAGTAAATATTTTAAAAATATTTCTACCTATTTTCTACTTTTATTATTTTTTTAATAAAATATTTATTTGGAAAGAGTACTCTGAATTGTCAAAATATCAAATATACAGTACAGAAAATACCAAAAATATTAAAATTTTGATACGAAAGAAAAAAGAAAAAAAATTATATGGTATGACTATGATATTGTACTGAACATTTTTTATACAATATATAATTTCAATATATTGGTATATATTAAAAATAACATATATTATTCGATATATTGGTATATATCAATAATTTAGTATATTGAGAATATAATTATTATAAAACTGTTTTTAATTTTAATATTTTAATATGAAACACTGATTGATTATACAATATTATTTGCATATATTTGTCATACTAAATTTTTGGTACCGTATCAATATACTTTTCTAACATATTGAGAATTTTTAGTACAAAGTACTGTATAATTCCACATTTTTTGTATGCCATACCGAAGCATATTCTTATGTTGAATTTATATACAAAGATGTTCACGGAGTGTTTTTAGTGTATATAATCTCTCAAAATATTATTAAAAAATATAATATATAATATATAGCTATAACAATAAAATTAACAAAAAGGTATAAAATATTGCATTTTCTATAATACATTATGATTTTTTATATTTCACAAAAAAAAAAAATCTAAAATTATAAAAATTAAACAAACATGTTCAATGGGTTTATTCACCCCACATATTTCTTTGTGGTAAATATTATAAAAATATATACTCATTTCGTTTCAAATAGAGTGGACACAACAATTTTAGGGTGTGTGTTTTTTTTTTTTTTTTTTTTTTTGAGTTCGGAGAAAATTTAGTTTGGATTTGATGTAAAAATAATATTTGATAGAATATTTTGTGAAAGAGAAAAAAAATGTATTTTTTTTTAAAAAAACAGAGTCTAAATAGTTAAATTTGGAAAAATGATACTAAAGAAACATATACTACCTCTGTCACTGCCAATCTATCCATTTGAATTTGATCGCAAATGTTTTTAATATTAAAAATATTATTATATTTGTATAATTTTTTTTTATAAATATCATTAACACCAATATAAATACTTTTGTCATTTTTTATTGATTTATATTAATATAATAATTAATATTCAAATATTAGTATAAAAAATAAATAATTGATATAATAATTAATATTTAAATATTAATATAAAAAAATAAATAGATACATTGGATCTATATCTAAGTAATAAACAAAAATTAATTAAAATATAAATATATAGTAATTTACTAATTTATTGAGGGGATTGAATAGAGAGTTCCACTTTGGCGACAGTGGAGATTGAATGAATGAGGTTATTAAAATAAGGGTTGAAAGAGATGGGTGATTCCTGGGACCCGTACACCACATCGATCGTGACCGTACATTGGAGAGAGGCCCACACATAGAACAGTGTGGATCCATCTGGTCCTGGACTCCAGATTTAGCAAGAGCCTGGCCTCAGGTCCCTTTCAGTCAAACTTCTGGATAATTGCATCGTCGTCCCTATGTTTGCATCACCACTTTTTATTATTTTACTACGTGTCATTTGCAATATTGGGTATATAAAAGTCATACTATTAAAAAATATTATCTCGTCATCTAAATTTATATTTATTTAATCATATACGAATTTTTAAAAAAAGTGAGTTAAAATATAAATTTTTTATAATAAAAAATTAGAAAAAAATAATTTTTTTACTAAAAATAAAATAATAATATTTTTTATTACAACTAAAAGAGGAGATTAGACATAAATTTAAATGATAAATAAAGTAAAAATTTTATAAAAGCAAAATATATAAAAATTCTTTTATATGGATAAGGATGTCCTAAAACCAGTCTCTATTAGTATTAATCATTTTATTTTCTTTTCATCAAAATCATAAAAAATTAAATAATATTTGTATTTAAAATATTATATTAATAGATAAGTTTATCCAAATATTAATTATATCAAATATTCCTCCTATAACTATATTGGTTTTTATTTTTTAATTACACTAAATTTATGTATAATTTATATTTATAATAGAATAATTTATTTGTTTAAAATTTTATTATTTATATTTAATAAATAAATAAAAATATTTTCAATAAAGTTTTGATAATATTCTCTTTTTTTCCTTTTTCTATTTTATTTTTTATATTGAATTACTATTATATTTTTGGCAATAATTTCCACAGCTTAAAACATGTTGTGTCGTTAGAAATAACATGATGGTATAGGAATAGACTGTGATCTTGAGGTTATGAATTCAAATGTCAAATTTTTATGCCTTGGCAGCAAAAGTGAAATAAACATCTTACATAAAAATGAGATGATATGATCATAATAAAAATATACTTTTGTCTAATTTAGTATGTCCATGTTTTCATTTTTGTTATTTAATTTATTTTGTTATTTTTCTCTTGTTCGAAAAAATTATACTGTTTAATCTTATTTTAAATTTATAAATTTTAATTAAACTAATTAATTATTTTAATTTTAATTTAAAAATATTTTTTTTATATAATAATTATTGTCATTAATATATTTTTAATTATTTACTAATTATACTTCTTTTAAATTTTTTTACCAGTAATCTGAAGATGCAATGTGAGAGAAAAGAGCAATAATAGCTAGTTGATGAAAAGATGCATGATCTAATCATATAAATTCGTTTTTTTTACATATAAAATTAAATTTGTTCGAAAGAATCAACTTTTATTCCGTCACATCGTTGCAATAAGTTATAAAATATTAATATAATGTTATGTGATTAATGTAATATTTTAAATATAAAATTAATTTCATTATAATATAAAAAAAATAAAAATAAACAGTAAAATCTCGAGCAAAATCCTCGACCCAAAAGCGCTACAAATAATTCGTCCCGACGAATTCGTGATGCAACACTTTACGCGCGATCTCGTCCCTCGCGTGCATCGCCGTAACGGACTTCACGTTCTCCTCCGGCGCCACCTCGTCGTCGAAAACCTCGAACTTCAGGTCGGGGCTCAACGCCTCGCCCCTCGACTCGCAAACGTTGTGCAGCACGCAGCACGCCGCGAGCACCACCGGCAAATCTTTCAGCTTCATCTCTGTCCGCTTCTGCAGGCAGCTCCACCGTGCCTTCAGCCGCGAAAAGGCCCCCTTCGCCGCCATTCGGGCCCCCTCGACTTTCTCGTTGAACGCGTGCTGGGCCCACGTGAGCTGCCCGCTCGGGTAGGGGGCGAGAACCCAGTCGGTCAGCGGGTAAGACGATCCCCCGACGATCCACGAGTTGATTAGAGCTCCCCTGTTTGCCCTGCTGTAAAGGGCCGAATTTTCGAGGACCCGGTCGTCGGACATTGAACCCGGCCAGCCGATGCAAATGTCGGTAAAGACACCGCTCGGGTCGACTACGCCTTGGAGCGTCACCGAGTACGATGTCTTTTGGTTTCGATCGGTGTGCCATTTGTTGTAGTAGACGGCGACGTTGATCTTCGGGGCGATGATCGGAATGTGGGTGGTGTAGATTGCTCCGGCGACGTCGGGGATGCCGGAGGATGCTTCGAAGGCATTTTTTATGGCGGCGGTTCGGGCGGCGTCCGGCCATCGGAGGAATTTCGGCATTAGGACGGTACAGATGGCGGAGCAAACCTCGAGGACGAGCTTGTGGCAGGTGGAGATGCCTAAGCCGAAGCGTTTGGAGACTTCCCGGAGGGCTTCGCCGGTGGCGAGCCGCCAGATGCAGACGGCGGCCCGCTGCCGGACGGGGATGGCGGTGCGGAGCATCGTGTCCTTTTTGGTGATGACGGATTCGAGCTCGTTGCAGATCATGTCAAATGTGGCGCGGCTCATTCGGAAGGCGCGCCGGAAGTCGGCGTCGGGGAAATTAGGGCTATTGATTTGCTCCCACCAGGCGTTCGATCGGGACTTTACCCAGAGGCGGCGTGGCGGGAGGTTGCCGGAGTCGTCGGAGACGGCGCCGGCGAAGTCGGAGTTGGAGCGAGGGCGCTTCAATTTGGGGGAAATGCTGGAATCGATTAAATTAGGGTAACCGGCGGTGAAATCGAGGTAATCGATGTCGCCGAAGTCGGTGGAGATCCGATTGCTGTTAGATTCCGGCGAAATTGACGGCGGCGGAGGAGGTGGAGGAGGATTGGAATTGGCGGTGGTTTTTAGCTCCGGCGGATTGTCGAAGGCGAGAAGCTTGTTCATCAGTTCCTGAAACGACGAATCGTCATCTTCGAGGAGCGCGGTCCTCGGGCGCTTGGGCGGCGACGCCATTTCCGGCGGAGTGAAGTCCTGGACGAGTGAGAAGAAGGCGGAGCAGTCGTCGGAGAAGGGGAAGGGGGAGATTTCCATGGAAGAGCGGCGACGGCGGAGGGCGGGGGAGGGAGGAGGCCGTGGTGGAGAGGAGGGAGTGAATGAGTGGGGAGGGGAGGAGTGGGGGAGTGAATGGTATATATATATGTGGGGTGGGGGGTGGGGGTGGGAGCTGCGCGTGGGGGAGGGACGCGTCGGGGAGGAAGGTTCCGTTGGCGGTGGGGCCCATGGAAAAACGACGACGTTTTGGAGACTGAAGAATTTTGAATTACGCGGTTAGGGTTTTTATACGCACGTTTTGGGAATTGGAGGAAGTACGGACGGGAGGAATGTCAATTGAAGTTTCGTCAATAATAAATATACCGTTGTTACGACTTCTTTATTTTATTTATTATAGTATCAAATTGTAGTACTAGATGCTACATTTTAAATAAATAAATAAAAAGTGTTGGATATTATATATATATATACATATATTTGGAACAAATGATAATTTAAATAATAGTATAATCTTTATCTGACAAATAAATATTTAATATACTCCCAGATTGTAGCTTAAATAATTGATTGTTAATTATTACTTTTTAAAAAAAAAAAAAACAAGGCTAATTTGGTCAGACGACAAAAAGAAAAAAAAATACGAAACAAATTTATTTAAAAATAAAAATGATTAATTGATTTTAGTATCTATGTCACTCTCATAGTCATATATATATAGAATATAGTGAGTGGGATTACTATTTTTATAATTAATATGAAATTCAAATATACTATTACAGTTATTTATTTATTTATATTTATTACGTCAAATGGCTATACTTACACTCCATCAGAGATTAGTCAAACGTAATTAGTTAATGTATATATATATTTGAATTCCAGAGTGGGGGCGTGAGAGTGTATTTATTTATTATTATATCACACTCGGTTCTGAAAACGTGTTACAAATTTATGTCGAGATAAATAACGATTTTACTGTTGGGGATAAAACGTGCTTCCTAGCCTTATACTATAATCATATTAATTAATTTAATTGTTTTTTTTAAAAAATTATAAAAATAATTTTAAAAATGATTAGATAAAAATGTTGGTGCAATAATTACTGCTCCCTCCCTCTCATATTTCCATTTGTTTTTTTGACGAAGTTTTAGATTTATTAGTATTATATTGAGATCTATAATAAAATAGAAATGATTAAAATAATTTTATTAATATTGTGTGATATAAAAATGATGATATTTGTGTAATATATTGTAAATTGTAAAGATATTTGTAACGTTAGATATAGATAATACAATTACTAACAAAGTAAATGAATACTTTGTTACGTAACATATTAAAATGAAAAAAATGGATAGTTTATTATTGGACGAATGAAATATTATAATAATGACGACGATGACTTACTTGTGATGAATAAATGATTAACAGATTCAACGTCAAATCTATATTTACTGCACGTTTTTAATATGAATATTTCCAATTGTATGATAAAAAAACGTTCTTTAATTCTTGACACGTTTTTTAATCAATAAGTACCAGCCACACGTACGGGTTGACTTTATACTACAATATCTATAGACAAATACTGTCTTTATCCCGTAACAAAGTATCTATTTTTTCAATTTTAGTATGTTTCATAACAAAATATCTATTTTTTTAATTTTAGTATGTTTCATAACAAAACATCTATTTTTTTTTACTAATTGTATTATCTACCTAACATTATAAATACCTTACAATTTACAATATATGACACAAATGTCATTATCTTTGTATCACACCGTACTAATAAAGTTATTTTAGTCATTTCTACTTTATTTCTACTACGTCCTAATATAATACTAATATTTCTAAAACTTCGTACAAAAAATAAATGGATACATAGTTATGGGACGGAGGGAGTACTATTCGAGAAAAAAACATTTTGTTTGTTTTTACTTTGGGGATGTATTTGTTCGAGGTTTGAATTTTGATTTTAGAATCTAAATAGTAAAAAAATTGAATTAAAATAATAATATAATGTGATATAAATATATATTAATTTGATATTTTGAATGTTAAATAAATTTTTTTTAGTATAATAAAAAATAAATAAATTGATTTAATAATTTTGAAAAAAAAATTGATGAATACTGAAATTTTTATAAAATATAATAGAAGCACACCCTCAATTTACTTCTGTATTACCTATTCAACCGATGCCATTTAAATTTATTTTTTATTCTTTATTTTACACTCCAAAAAATGAGTTTTTTGGTCGTCTAATATTATTTTTATTTTCAAATATAAAAAATAACAAAAGGTACACTTAATATTAAATTTAAATATTATTGATAAAAAATGGAATAAATAGAAGAAGTAAACATATTAAATTAAATTTATATTTTTTTATTTTGTAATATATTATAGTAAAATATAATTTTATGTTTAAAAGATTACATCAATATTTAATATATAACACATCAAATAATTATTCAAAATTTAGTCAAAAAAAATAAAAAATAAAAAATAAAAAATATACAAACCTCCAAACCCGTAAATTTATTCATGATTTTAATAAATTGTATACAGTATACCTATACAATTAATATACTAGAATAATTTGTTTTAGAGTTAATTTATTTCATTCATATAAGAAAAAGTAATTGTCGTTAATTATGTGTAAGGTATGGAGAAAATAATATAATAAATAGTATTTTAGATTGAATAGAATATAAATATTCTTTCCGTTTACATTTATATATATTTTTGTATTATTGTAATTAATATTAAAAATATTATTAATTATTATTGTATTATAAGATAATATTTGTCTTTTTATCTTAATTTGTACTCCCTCCGTCCCAAGTACGGAGAGAAATATATATATATATATTTTCTTTTTATCTTAAAAAGAAAATATTGCACAGTGTTTGAGACGGAGGGGAGTACTATGTTTTGAAACTCACTCATAAAAAAAAAAGAGAAAAAGGTAACTCTTGTTGTTGAATAGACTTAGTATTCAAGTTTGTCATTTTCTATTTTCGTCAGTATTAATATTTTTTTTAAGTAACAGTACTACCTACTTGACATAATAAATATCATTTTTTTAAGTAACAGTACTACCTACTTGACATAATAAATATCCTTACAATTTACACTATATCACATAATAACCTATTATAATACTAATATTAAAAAATTTATGTATAAAAAGTAAACGACAACTTTGCACCGGCACGGATGGAGTATTATATTTATATTGAACAGACTTAGTATTATATTTATATTGAGAATTGATGTAAAAAAAAAAAAAAAAAAAACCGACTTTTGTAGAACACAAAAGAAGAACTCTAAAAACACGTGTTTGCTGCTTTCAACAATCTTAATAACGCCAAAAGTGATAAATAGACAACAGAAGCAGATTCCCTGATTTCAACAAACATCCTTAATCCTTTCGAACTGAAGAGAATTTTCACTTATGCTATATAAATGATACACAAGTTAAGGCGACGTAAAGATTATAATACACTTGCAGCCACGACGCCGAGTCGATTAGAACAGCGTTCGAGTACACAACTCTAATCGATTCGGTTCAGTCGCAACTACAAGACCAAGCAAGTTTAAGAATGCGCACATATGTGTCTGTGTGTTCTTTTCACCCGATTTCAGCTAAATTCTTACCTCATCGACTGCCATTCTAGGATAGCGGAACGCAGCACGTGGTTTGGTGTGAGCATCTTGTGTGGTAGTCTCTGTTTCGTGACTGGCGACACATCCTGCCTTTCGATCCATGCTTTTATTGCATCGCGTTCGTACGTAAATCCATCACCTGCTACATAAGGATTCTCCATTACTTCCTGCATTTACACGACGAGTAACATATGTAAGCTGTGAAAATGTACACGTGTAGAAAGTCTCTACTATATGATTTAGAAATTGCATGATACTTCTTGTAGTTTTAAAAATATTGCACAAAATCTTTTAAAAATTGTATAACGTTCTCGAAAACACGAAAATATCTCATGTAATTTCTAAATCACAAAAGAGAATAGTTCGGAATTTCAAACTAAAGGTGCATTATAAACAAATTTGTCAAAATCTAGACTTTGTTCTTTCTACCCAAGATTAATATACTACACAAACTTATTATTTTTATATTATTTATGCAATTTCATATAACTCACATAAAAAAATATTCTTTCAAACCAAAACACACCTGTACATGTTTGAGATTTTTTTACCTGAAGGATTGGGCAGTAAAAGTGTTGGGGTGCCTGAGTACGTATTCTTGAAGTCAAGCTGCAAGAATCGGCGAATTCAGAAAGTCTCTTCAAAATCGGCAACACTTCGGTGTCAAGGTCCGGCCGATCTCTGCATCTAAGCTTGCAGCACTTAAGAGCAACTTGTGCTAGCTCTTCTGCTTCAGCCAGCGGCCAATTGCGTATCGAGGTGTCGAGAAGATTGGAAAAGGTGCCGTTCTTTATGGCTTTTTCGAACTTTATTATAAGCCCATTCGGATGACGAGCCGCCAACAATTGCAGGATTATAACTCCGAAAGAATAAAGATCAGATTTGGGACGAAGAGTACCAGTTCTTTGATACTCGGGATCCATGTAGAACAGGGTGCCAGCGATAATAGAGTCCCGATATTCTGTGATGCTATCCGGCACCACGTCGTGAATCATTTTTGCGAGACCCACATCCCCGATTTTGCTCACGTGATACTTGTCTAACAAAACGTTTCCTGGTTTGAGATCACGATGAACTATGGGCTCTGGCTTTGAATGATGAAGAAAAGCAAGTCCACAAGCCACTTCGAAAGCTATCCGGAATCTAACAGTCCATGGAAGAGGCCTGCGTCGGCTGTTTAGGATGTAGTCTTCTAGACTTCCGTTTTCCATATACTCGTAAACAAGACAACCGCTTTCCGGACAAGCGCCGACCAATAAAACAATATGAGGGTGCCGTAACTGGCTAAGAACTTCTACCTGCATATCAATCGCCGAGTTAGCAAATCCGCAGAATAAGATCGATATGTATATTGATATAATGATTGAAACAATAGAAAGTAGAAATAAAGAAGTCAATCGAACAGCACATCCATTAGATCGGGCATGTTCTAAAATCTTATCCGAACCTCTCTTAAAAATTCCTCCTTTTTGTCGGATGCTTCGGGTCGCATAACTTTGACAGCAACCAAAGTATGGTCAAGTCTGCACTTGTAAACTTTACCATATGCTCCTTCGCCGATCATTTTACTGTCAGCAAAAAAATTAGTTGCTGTCTCTATGTCATCTCTGGTGTACCTTCTGTATCTTCGATCACTCGAAAATAATTCATCAACTATTCTCTTTTTCTCTACTGATTCTTTAAGGGCGTCAAGTTCTGATATCTGCCTTATGTATGTCTCAGCAGCTAGAAGTTTTTTGGCCCTCTCAACCTCCCCCTCAGCTTCCAGATATTTTTGTTTAGCAGCAGCCGCCATATCCCTTAGATTTTGTTCTCTTTCCTGCGCAGCATTCAGTATCTGTGCTTTTCGTATAGATTCTGAAGAAAGTGAGTCAACCTGAAACATAAAGCTTCAATCCTGATTTCTTCCCTTTTTTTAATCGACGTTATATGTTGGTTTTAATACTAAATATTAATTCTAATGCCAACACAAAATCCAAATTTCAGAGGATGTTAAAATTATAAAGTCAAGTTTCTCATTGGGATTAAGCATTAAATTTCCTCTTCAAGAAAGACATACAGAAAAGATATAGAGTAACATCTAGTAGTATACACCCATTTCAGTTAAAAATACATAAAATCTATATTTTTTATCGATAGTGAAGTATTTGAACTCATACCTGGGTTTGTGTTCGTACAAGGTCTTCACAAGCTTGATTGTAAAGAGACAAGGTGGCTTCCAATTCTAGGCGTAGGTTTTCTACTTCAGCCTTTACATCTATCTGCAAAACAGAGGACAGCACACTTCTTCGTCGATCATTTAAATGTCAAGTGCAAATGTTGACAAGAAGGAATTTGGAAATTTCAGGTGTTTGTTCTTGAATTGAACATACTGTCCATGAAACAAGGGTTTATTGTTGTAAAGCTTCCCTGCAATTACCTGCTCAGCTTTGGTCGAACAAACAGATTGAACTTCTTCATTGTTTATTGAGGTCTTATTATCTTCTAAAACTTGATGATCGGTTTCCTGAGCCCCAACTGAATTTCTTGAGGAAAATTCTGCTGTTTGGGCTTGAGAATGTGAGGAACTAAGAGATGAGAGATTATTGTCGTTGTTGGACTTAGTGGATGACGAAGAAATACTGTACTCTTGTTCACTGAATACTTTAGGTTCATGCAGCCGCTCTGAGGAAATGCAAACTCAGATCAGTTGACATTGAAAATTCTAGTCAAAGTGTACTCAAAACAAAATAATAACGTACCAGTATCCCCAAGGTTCAAAGAATTCGTTATGCAATTCTTTGCGGATACCACAAAAACTTTGCTGGTGTGAGGAGCAAACTTGAGAACAATTGATGAAACATCCGAATTATCAGGTTTCCTATTAAATTAAATTAATTAGAGGCTTCATCAAGACAAATAAATACCAAAAAGTACTAATGCGCAAAATAGAATATTTACAAGAAAAAAGACAGTTGCAGTGAGGAACATACAAGTAAGCTGGCATGGATTTACCTGGCAAAGTAGTTCGAGGATGACGAGCCCAGGACCAAACTTGCAACTCTTGAATCAGAGATATACCTTATAAGTGCAAATGCAGGATTGTCTCCTTCCAGTATCAAAGTTTCGACCTACAGTTTTTCCACACATGAGATGAATGAACTTAGGTAAACTAACACAACATCGGACAGAAAGCACCCCTCACCGAAATGGTTGTATACATCAACTTATAAGTAAGAAAAGTTTCTTCAATTTTTGCCCTCATTTCTTGCATATACATTTCCACCACACTTGAATCTAATGCCTTGATGGAAATACTGCTGCCTGCTGTTAACTCCAACATTCACAAAAACAAAAAAAAGAACACACATTACATACACTGAAAGCATACAATTTTCATTTCTGAGCCTTAGGATTAATAAGAATTCCCGAAATTATATGAGAAAGCAACAAGCATCAAAATAATGTATCGGTAGCAGATAAATATACTCAATTCAATGAGCACAAATTACGTTCAAGTCACCGGGAGATAAAAGCACATTCTTTCATATATCTTTTTGCCTTATAGCCTTCTGGAAGACGAAAGAAACGAATATGGAATAAAACACTAAGATCATGTTCCTATATTCGATTAATTGGCATAGTAATAACGAGGGAGGAAATCATTAACATCAAAATTGTAACCACGAGGTCCAAAACATCTTATCAATTAGATAACCTTAAAAAATTCAAGCATCAAAGTTCATGAAAATGAAGCTCAAGCAGGCAGCGTTCAGTTTATGATTCTGTGATGTTATCTGAGGCAACATTTCAGTAATTCCCTAAAACTAAGCATCTTTTAATATCATTTCTAATGAAACATTTTACTGTTATAACAGCTTCCCATCAAAAAATCCACAGCAAATCGCTAACGATTCCGCCATTAATTTCCAAACCTGATCAGAAACATTCGATTATTCGAGCTCTAACGCGCTATAAAACACATATACACTCAGAATTCAAGGAGACGAACAGAAACAAAAATCACAAGCAACACATGAAATTAAAACCGCCAACAATATATAAATATAGGTCAATTCCCTCTCAAACCCTAGCCAAACTCCAATTACAGAACCAATAGTCAGAAATCTACACATACACGGAGTAGGAACAGAGGTGATGGTGGGCATAACGTGAACCAAAACCAGACGATCGGCCTTGTGCATCAAATTCTCCACTGCCCAACGCACTGCCCTTCGGCTTCCTCTCCCGTAGGCGCTTCTCACCGCCACCGCCACCGTAGTCATAACTGTTTCGCGGCCGCCGGCCTCCATCGCCGATGGTATTTAGTGATATGTATGTATTACCTGTTTTCATATTTGAAGAGAGATTCAAAACGCCGGCAAGGTTGACTGAGGTTGTATACTGTGAGAAATTGGACGGTGTAGATGTCGTCTGTGGTCCCCACACAGAGTTTTTTTTTTTTTTTTACCTGATGTATAGAAAAATATATATATATATAATATAAAAATAATAAATATATGTTATATTAATATTTTAAAAAAAAACGTATAAAAAAATAAAAAAAAAAAGAAAACACACCTAGATTGCATGAGCTTAAGATGATAAAAGAGATACAAGAACAAGAAGACCTAAAAATGAACATAAGCACAAAAATAACATGGAAGAAACAAAACATAAAATAAATAAAATAATAATAATAATAATGTTGCACATATTTATTATTTTTATATTATTTATATATTATCATTAAATTATTTCATTAAGGGTGTGTTTGTTTGGGGGTTTGGATTTTGAGTTGGGATTTGAATAGTAAAAATTTTGAATTTGAATAGTTGTATGATGTGATATAAATAGGGTTTGATGTGATGTTTTGAATGTAAAATTAATTTTTAGTATAATATAAAAAATGAAAAATAGGTGTTTGATTTGATGTTTTTGGGGGAAAAAATTAGATGAATAGTGGAAATCCACCAAAATCCTTCAAACAAACACACCCTAAATCTCTCTCTCACCTTATAATACCTTGGTTTTTACTTTCTCCGTCCCATCCCACGTACCGTGTCTGCTACATTGTAGATACGGTATTTTATGAGGGGTGTAATTAGTAGATAATTAATAATGTATTAGTAAAAATAATTATCTTTCTCAAAAAAAAAGTGATATGGTACGTGGGACGGACAAAAACGGCAATATGGACATAAAATGTGGGACGGAGGGAGTATCATTTTCACATTTAGAATATTAGGCAGCAATTACATTACATGAACATTCACGTAGGCCATTAAATCACCTTGTAATTCCTAGTATAAACCTCATGAAATTCATGTAATCTCCATCATTAAAATCTATATAAATTCAAGTTTTTCAATTTAACTCTAATTAATACTCCCTTCATCATTCAAATCTATTCTCACTTTCATTTTTTGGTTGTCATCTAAATTTATTCCCGTTTCATTTTTTAATAAAAAAATACCACTTTTTTTTTACCAAAAAAATAAATAAAAATTTCTATTATTATCTATTTTTCTTAAAATCCGTGCCTAATCAAATAAGCAGACAATTGAATGAGGAATAAAGTATATATAATAAAAGCAGTCTGCACATGTTTTTATACAGTACATTTTATAATGCGTCCTATAAAAACATGTGTTGCACAGATCATATAATATTGTATTACTATGTGATATTATACATATGCTATATATTTTTATTGAATATATTGATTTGACTTGATCATAAGTAAAAATCGAACTGATTAAATACTTGGAACTTTGATGCCCCTCTTTTATTACTCCTTATAGATTCTCATCATCACATCCCCTCGCTTCCACTCTCAACTTCTTGCATTAATTTTTGGACCCCAAAAATGATAGGACTTCTTTAATTATATTGGAGAAAAAAAAAAAAAACAATAAAAGTCAATGGCTATTTTATTTTATCGGTGTGTTTGTTCAGGAGTTAGGATTTTGAATTGAGATTTGAATAGTTGTATGATGTGATATAAATAAGTGTTGATGTGATGTTTTGAATATAAAATTAATTTTCGTATAATATAAAAAATAAAAAAATAGATGTTTAATTTGATATTTTGGGAAAAAAAAATGGGATGAATAATGTATTTAAAATCCAATCCCCAAACAAACACACCCTTAAGTATTTTACAATAATGAGATTCTAAACAAAAATATTAGACAAAATACAACATAGAATATACTAATCCTTCCGAAATACTTTTCATTTTTTAATTATTTGATATGATATAAAAATTTTAAAATAATTTCTGACATACCATTAAAAAAAATGTTTGATTTGATATTTTACTATTAAAAAATAATTAATAATTAGATTTGATTTTGAATTTTATTTTTAAACTTTTACAAAAATAAAAAATAAAATTTATTTATTACTTTCAACAAATAAGAGTAAAAATTATTAATCTTTTCAAGTAATATGTGTACTATATGAGTCTGGGTGGTGTAGTTGGTTATCACGCTAGTCTCACACACTAGAGGTCCCCGGTTCGAACCCGGGCTCAGACACGATAGTTTATATTTATTTTGGCCTGGTGTGTAACTCGATAATTATATTAAAATGAATTTATTTATTTTCTCTCATTATATATGGATAGTTTACAATTAATATAATAATCTTTTAAATAAAATATTTTTATTTTATTACAAACTAAAAGTTCTTAAATTATCGTAATTTTATACAATTAATATAATAAAATTTTAAAATAAAATATTTTTATTTTATTACTAATATTACATTAACTAATTAAATTAATTAATTATATAAACTAAAATTTCTTAAACTTGTGTAACATAAAGAAACTGAACCAATTTTCGCCTGATAGAAATAGTATAACATACGCATAACAATAAAGATAAAATAATATGTATAAAAAATAAATTCATCATGATCTATAAACAAATCCTAAATTTTACTATTTGAATTTTGTATTTTAAAAAAAAATTATATTTTTTTCCTTACAAAATAACTTATTAAAAAATTATATTTTTTTTCTTACAAATCCTAAACCCTAAACCTCTCAAGACCAATCATCTTCAGCCAAATGGCAGAATATGATTGATCGGTATTGCAAGAACACTATATATTGAGGGATGGGACAGTAGAATAATTTGATCCCTTCAAAACATTATTTAAATATAAAACTTAAATTAAATCTTTCCAAACCAAACCAAAAAAAAAAAAAAAACACAAAAACAAATTTACATAAAAACCAAATATATACACATACACATATATATATATATAATTTCTGGAAATTGCTGCATAACAATTAGCATCATAACGAAGTTCTTATAGTCTGTACACTGAAAATTATTAAGCAGTTAACAAACATCTATACTAAGTATTAGAGGTAAAATTCATATAGCAAGATAAGTCTTTACCATAATAGCACCTGTAGGGTCGGATATCAGATGGTTGATGAGCCGTTTTCTCATGTCATTTGGTGCTATCACAAACATGTACACCGCAAACAGCACCAGGTCCGCCGACGAAAGAGTCGAGCCGAGGAATCCCTGCGACATCCTGTCACTCAGATCAACGGCGAACTCGGTTACCTTAAAAAACTCGACTCGAAATAAACAACAAGAGTTCAAATTTGTTTTCGCCTAATTCGATGAAATGGTGATGCTGTCCTAATATTACCATTTTGGCAGGCGAAAGAATGAGCGGAAGAATGTTCGAATGCCCTCAGTATCCAGCTGCAGTATGAGAGCTAATCCGAAGAGGAAAAATGCTCGTTGCCGTTTTCTTTCTTGTGGCCATAGCGCGTTCCAGGCTGCATTAACCGCTCCATTAGATTTTTTGAAGAGATAATGCTTTTAGAAGAAAAAGGTATGACATGTGTTACCTTGCAAGGAGATGTTCTGAGAAATTCTTGAGGCGGATGTGGGGCTTTTAGCATTGGACTGTTTTAAAATGTTCGCGATTACAGATGCGTATTTTGGAGCCTCCGACAATGATCTAACAACTGAATAGCCTGTTACATGAAATTTCCAATGGAATTGTTACATTTTGCATCATTTTAGTTCTATACCGACTAATCACCTTCTGCCATGTGTATTTTTAAAACAAAAATAATGAAATAAAAATTTTAAATACACATGTCGGAAGTTGATTGGTCGATATAGAAATTGCACAATATATTGTGGGTAGAATAACTGAACCTTTATTATTATTAATAACCTAACGTATATAATCGAATATTGACAACCCATAGTAGAATCTAATTAAATTATAAACTAAATATTTAGACTATTTAACATTACTTCAAACTCAAGTAATGTCGTAGAAACTTGAGTTTGCTAAGATAGATTGAAAATGACATATCCAAGATCATCCATGAGTCAGAGTCAAAAGCATTTTTCAATGATAATAATAAAGCTAAAGTCAAAAACAAAACTAATGATTTAGAAACAGAGTTTGCTCCGAACGAAGTTATAGTCGAAAACAATCATCTCAATGTAGTTAAAGTCGAAATGTGGACAAATGATCAAAGAGCGAATATAAACTTTATTGAAATTGAAAAATAAATTTGACAAGAGATGCCATGTTACATTTGTAGAATTTCGTAATTGCATATTAATTAGCGGCAAAACTGAATAAACTCAAATAGTAGAACCTAATCTAATAGATATAACCAAAAGAAATATGGATAATAGAAATCTAATCTAAATTATAAACTAAATAGCTAAAATATATAAAATATCTCAACGGGAACAACATCTTGTTCTATGGGCTTAAAATGTTAAATTTGATCTGATAGATTTTACCTGTGGCCGGATGGACCATGCTAGCGGCAGCACCAAAGGCGAGGTTCCGTTGCTCGGTGCTCGGCAATGATCCACCAACAGGGATATATGACCACTCCTGGAAAAGGTTTCAACATGATATTGGTTATAGAAGAATTGGGATGAATGCTCACAAAATGTTAAACAAGTACACACCTCCTCGTAAGTTCTTACAATTCCGACACCCATAGTCTCCAACCTTGCCATGAGCTTATTTTTCAATGCGTCGAAAGGCATTGCATCTTTCGACGCTAAACAGGTTTCCTGCAAAACAGTCATGCTGAGCATAGAGATGGGTAATGCTTTACTTGTTGCATCAACAACACTAGTAGATGATTACATGCCTGCATAATTGTGTTTAATATAGTTGGATCAAACCTCAAAGAAGACTCTTGTTGGAGATACGGGCATAGCATAAAGAAATGTTGGGTATTGTTCTTCGAGACTTTGAACTTTATGCTTTGTGTAATCCCTGTAATCCATGAAAACCATTAAGCTGGGGTCATATGGATTGTTTTCCACCTGAAAACAAGATACAAACATGATTATATAGCTTATATGCGGCAAAGATTAGATAACTTAGAACTTTATGTAAGCACTAAGCATAGCATTTTTCATAAAATAGTACTCCCTTCGTTCACAATAATTATACAAGTTTTTCTTTTTCTGATTGTCCGTTGTATAATCAATTTATAATAAACAACTTTATCTACTTACAATTACATTACTCATACTTTAACAAATAATAACCAATTTGCCACTGTTTTCTCCTAATTAATTCATTATTTTTTTATTTTTTAATAAATTTTTCATAGTATTACACTTTACATTTTACCTACTCTATTTTTACATTACAGTGCCCGAGCATAGTGGCATAAAAGCTCGGACAAGTTGCATAATTATATTTTTGTATTTGTTTTGGGTTTTCAAACTCAAATCACTGCTGTTTAGCAGGTACAATTTTCAAATTTTTTTTTAATAAAATATTATATTAAAATATTATTTAAATTTAAATTCAAATCAAGACCTCAATCTCAAATCGAAACCAAACAAACTAAATTTTACTATTACATAGAATTATCTTGTATATTAGTTAAATAAAATACTTTTTTTCATTCAAAAATAAAATTAGTTTATTTTATCTTGTATGCAACACTGTCATTTTCACTTTATGAAAATACACTATTATTATAGCAAAACATACATCAAAATCATTGTTAATATCAAAAACCAAAACAAAAAATCAAAATACAAAATACAAAATCAAATCCCAAGTAAACAAACCCAAAAAACTACTAGAACCACGCTCGACATCATCTATTAACAGGAGTGTCATACTATGTCATTCTTAGTCGTCATTTCTTTTGGACAGAAAAAGTATTTTATGCCCGACTTTATGATGATACAAGAATAGATGGGCTAGTGGTGTGGGGATGGACTTATGACCACCTCCAAGTCATTTGCCACATATGGTTCGTTCAGTGCGACTTCTCTGTTTACTCAGCGCACTTTCGGGTAGCCGGCTACGGATTCTCACGCTATAAAAAAAAAAAAAAAGAATATTCTATACAATAATTAAAACATAAAAGAAATATTATGTGTATTTTTTTATAAAAGATATTGCTATGTGATATAGTTTACCCAACAACTAAATGCAGCAAGTGTAAGGCTTATGTCCTTTAAGTATGTTCCTACCTCAACCTCAACTCCATAAGCTGTCTGAACAGAAACCCTTGGACCTCCAACCTCATATTCCAACAGTTTCCCTGAGGCTGCCCCAGAAGCCACAGTTGCGAGCCTGTAATTGTGAGTTGGGTTTTAGAAAGTCTATGATCCATCTTCTCTGTAACAGTGATTAAGAAAAAAGAATTAACAAGTATACCGGCAGTGAATCTCAATATTGCCTTCACATTCTACAACCCTGTGGCCACTAGAAGCTTCACTAATCCTCTCTACTTTTGTGCTGATATACGACACTCCTGACTCGACACACCTGGAAAAATCAATGTGGGTTGCAGCGAGTCAACCAACGTGGGCTGTATGATAAAGAAAAACATATAGCAAATAGGAAAGCAATCCAACACTTGCATACAATTTTGGTTGAGTCTACCTCTTAAGTAATTCTTCATGGAGCAAATAACGACTAACACGTCCATATGCACGACCAATAAAAATAGGGTCACTTTCATCTAGATATACAATGGTGTCCCGCCAGACATGCTCAATGCAGCGCTCGAGTCCTAGATCTGAAATGATAGCACAGCCATTTACTCCAAACTTGTGTAGGCAACTGCTCGGGGGCTAAAAGAATTAAAAATGTGGTTGGATTGACTAGTTTGAAATATTTTATATCAAGATGTGTGAACCAGTCAATTGACAATTTCATTATGGCTCTCATTATCACAGGACAAATCATCTAGTTGACATGAATTAGCATTCAGTAGAGGAAGCACCATTAATAAAACATATCAAGCTCTTACACTTTTGAGATCTCTTTCAAGATTCATAACAAACAAGCAACTACTTGAAAGTTTTCATGCTGATATATACTCCAAATCACTTAACAAAAAACAAAAAACAAATATTATAAATTGCATCAAGACAAGCACCTTTGAATTCATCCTCCCATACGCCATAGTTATTTGTGAAAGGAAGATCAGGGCCAATCAGCCCCACATGCAAACCTAGCTTAGCTGACTCTGCAGCTAGAGCTAGCCCGGCAGGTCCACAACCAATTACAACCAAATCCAGTATGTGGTCGCTACTTAATAATATTCTCGGCAACTGCAATTATTGGTACACATTTCTGGTGAAGTTATTATTTCAAATTCAGGAAGAATATACAAGACAATGACTACATCCACAGCCATGAACATTAAAAAATTTTAAACATGTCATCAAATTGCTGCAATGCTTGGCTCAAATTATTGATAGTGAATTCTGAATAAGACTTCAGGCATTTTCTTTCTAAGAAAAAAATAAAATGTTAAATATTAATTTCGAAAATCACATAGGTGAAATAATGATCACAGATGTCCTTATAAATACAGGAGGGATTTGTATATATTATCAAGTTTGATAAAGCTTTAACCGAAATATTTCTCTTGTCCTCTTTGATCTAGTCCTCTAGTATCTCCTATAATGCATGCAACTAAGTCAAAAACTCCATTGATTTGGCTAGATCAAGCTTTGCTTACCTATATGTTAACTGAACCATGAACAGTTTCACATTAAAAATGGGTCAAAATCATCAATATCAAAACCAGTGGCACCGTTACATATTCAGTTTCTAGTGAAAATGTCCCTGCTAATATTCTATGTTTATTAAATTGCGAAATAAAATATCAGCATTCATATTCTAGGGCAGGGCTCATGCAAACAAGAATCATTAATGGGGAAAGTAACAGTAGTGATTTACTACTAACAGGAACTCCTATAACCTACCTTCTGCTTATTTCCCTCTACTCTAATAGGAGACCCTTACTAGATAAAGCTACACTTAATCAATATTTTTTTTAAGTAGTTGCCTCTTCTTCTGTATATCTACAACCTTAAATGATGCTAGCTGCAACCTTCTAGTGAATCTACCATCTCTACAATCTACCATTAAGGAGAACCAAATGAGTGACTTCCCTCAACAATTACCTAAAGCATGAATAGTTTCACACACACCTTCGTCATTCTTCTATAATCAAATTACGTTAACTCGCGACAAACGGTAGTTGATCCCAAATATTGATACTCTGATGCAGTTTATTCTATACATAGAAATTCAATTTAGTGCAGAAGCCATTCTTCCAATCAATACAGCGATCGTACAGATTTCCACTCAACATATGCATGAGTTCATATCGTAACCAGCACCGAGGCACACACAAGCAAAACGTTCAAGCAATCATCCAGGCCAAAATTGATAAAAATCGAAAAAACTGCAGAAATTACCTTATCCGAAAGCTTCGACTGGTGATCCATGCGTTTCTGCTGCTGCATTTGTACAAACAAAATCTCTGAGCCACCGGCCTTCACATAGTCTTCCTCATCAGCAAAGTCTTCCTTCACAGGCAAAGCCAGGCAGCTCTCGCTCCCAGCACTCGCACCGCCGCACCGTACTCGAAAACCAGCCGATGCACTCGAAATGCATCCGTTCGCGGGGAAATACACCTCATTACCGACTCTCTTGCTCTTCGAGTAACACATTGTAGGATATATGGTGACGGCTATAGCGGCCAAGCTTCTTCCAGCCAAGATCTCCATACCTACGTTCCCTGTTTCCCGAGCGTATCTTCTTCTCCAGAGGCTTTGTTTCGTCAGACAGTGAAGCACGCCATCATTTTAAGCGTGGAAAGAAGGGTGAAGAAGGAACTGCAGTAACTGGACGGAGAGTAACTGTAGACACCGGATGTAGGGTGTGCAGTGTGCACTCTGCAGGGAAGTCGGAAAAATGAAGCTAGCGGATAGGGGAGAGAGAAATTGTGGTGAGGTGGTCACCCGCGATTCCATGATCACCACGTGGACTCATTTGATTGGCCTAACTCAACCAAGGTAATACGATTGTCGTTAATGATCTTTGATCAAATTATTGGGCGTATTTATTTGTAAGATTTTGTTCTTAAAATAAAAAAAAATAAAATTAAAATAATTATTTAATATAATATAAATAAATATTAACATAATTTTTTATATAAAAATAATTTTTAATATCATAAAATAAGTAAAAAATAAATATTTAATTTAATATTTAAAACAAATAAAAATAATAAATGAAAGATGTTTCAGGTAAATACACCCTTGGGATTGTTTGATTTTGATTTTCAAGCATTTGTTTTTTTTTTTATTTTTTTTATTTTTTTTTATTTTTTTTTTTTTAGCATTTGTTGTGTTTGTTTGGTTTTGATTTCAAGCATGTGAGGTGTTTGTTTGGATAAATTGATCATTTTTCCTACTTTTCACAAATTTATTTCCTAAAAGCATTAAATAAAATATTTATATATATATATATATATTACTCAATCCGTCTCAATACAATAGTATTATTTATCATTTTTATCCGTTCTAAAACAATAGTCTCATTTTCATAAATAACTATATCACTGTAAAATTACCTTTACTTTTTTATTATTGTTACACAATTGTCACTACTTTTTATACTAATACAATCACAAGGACAAAAAAGTCTTTTACCCATATTTTTTACCCACTGCCAATATAATATCAATATTTCTTAAATCTTGTGTCAAATACAAACCAACTATAATTTTTGAACTAATGAAGTATATTATAGTACTTTTATTCCTTAGTATATGACCCGGTTCGACATAAAATGAGCATTTTTCTTAATCTTTTTTGTAATTTAATAATTTTAAATATATTTAATAATATAAATCAATTTAATTAAATTTAAATTTCTTAATTCAAATCAATATAAATTTTTTTAATTTTTATAAAATTAATTTATGTTAATTATCGATAAAAATATATATATTTTTTATTATAAAAATTTGATTTTCTAAAAAGAAATATGTATATTATATATACTTTTTATTGAAATATAATATAGTGTTTAAAATTTAAACACCTATTTTAGTTTTTTAATTATATATATTAGTTTTTATTTTAAAAATAATACCGACATTAGTTATATAAATAAAATAATATTATAATTAGACCGAAAGTTTACCAAGTGTCCACTTTCCAATAGTGGATGACATGAGAACCTAGAATATTATGTCCTTGACTAAATAGATGCAATGGAGATAATATTAAAAAATAATTTTATATTTAAACATAATATCAAAATATGTTTAAATTATAAATTCAAATTTTTACTTGTTGAATCAAAATTCAAAATAAAAACCCTCAAACAAACACTTATTATATAGTCTATGTAAATTTTAATTAAAAATATATGCTCTCTCTGTCCAACTATAAAGTATATATATTTATATTTTGGAAGGTCAATTATAAAGTAAATATTTCATTAAATATCTTACTTTTTTTCATAAATACCCCTATTTTATATCACATTATTACTTTTACATAAAAAAATAAAATAAGAACAAAAATATCATTACACTACTCTTAACTATTTTTTATAATTAAAATATTATTATTTGTTTGTAATTTCATACACAAATCTATATTACTCAGCTTTTACACTTTCCAATAAAAAATATTACTTCATATGGCCCATGAAAAGAATAACGTTTGATTATTGCACAAGAATAATGTTTGATTTTTCCAATTGTAGTAAAAAAGAAGAAAATAACTTTATTAGTATTGTGTAATATAAATGTGGTGACATTTGTGTAATATATTATAAGTTAAAATAATATTTATTATTTTAGGTATGTAGTACAATTAATACTCTATCCTTTTTATGGAACATAGAAAATATTTATTTTCCGCAAATATTATACTCCCTCCGTTCTAAAACTATAGTTTGAGTTGTGTTTGGCAAAAGATTTAAGGAATATTGATATTATATTGGTAATGAGTAAAAAGTACGGTTAAAAGACTTTTTTGTCCTTGAATGTTAGTGTAAAAAGTAGTGACAATTGTGTAATAGTAATGAAAAAGTAAATAATTTTATAGTAATTTTATATTATACTAAAAATTAATTTTACATTCAAAATATCGCATCAACACCTATTTATATCACATCATATAACTGTTTAAATTCAAAATTTTTACTATTCAAATCTCACCTCAAAATCGAAACCTCAAACAAACACACCCTAAATATATTTAATAAATATAGATTAATTTATATTGATATGTATATACGTTATTGATATTGATATATAATTTTTAAAATATTTAAAATATCAAACATCATCATCGTATCATAAATTTACAAATCAAATCCGAGCTAAAAATCAACCCCAAACAAACACACCCTGATTAGGCAGCGGTCCCCGTTGCTCTTCGTCTCCCGCCGAGTTTCTTGCGAATTCACGACCGTTTTCTCTTCGGGACACAATTAACCCAGGAATCTCCAACGATTCTCAGTAGTAATCACTTGAGTAGAACGCCATCGCAGCCCGGGTTCGCGGCAAAAAAAAAACAACCAGCGAAGGAGATGGGAGTGGAGGAGCCAATGGACTGCAGAAATTGGGACCAAGATTCCTACGGAGACTCCATTTTGCGAGAGCGAGAAACACTCTCCAGAACAGTGTTCAGAACAGCATTTTCGCCCAACCCTAACCCTAACCCCAATTCCGACCACATAGTCACTGCCTCAAGCGATGGCGTCATTGCCTCTTACTCCATATCTTCGTGCCTCGTAATTTCACCTTTTCTTTGTTACTGCTTTCGTTTATACGTCTTCATTTCTTGATTTTGGTCTGAACTGCTTTTTGGTTTTATTGAGCGACAGGGGATGGGTTGTGGAAGTGCGAGGGGTCAAAAGTGAGGTTTAGGTTAATTTATCCTTTATCACACAAATTACTTTGTTTGACTTCCCTTTTCGTTGGTTTTTTGGTGGACTGACATCTTGTGTAATTATTGGTTGTGTTTGCGGAGTTGGCTTGTTGCGGAACCGAAGTTTTTGATTCAGGGGCACGATGGACCAGCATATGATGTTAAATATTATGACAATTCTTTATTGTTGAGGTATTAACCTACTAATTCCACTTGTTGTATATCGTTTCTTGTCATTGTGGAGAGGCATTACAGTGCATTTTACTGGTCGGATGGAGTTTCAAGACTTTGATGGCCTTTATTTCTTGTAATCAAATTTAACATAAATTTATTTTTTGCTGACTGTTTAGTTGTGGTGATGATGGCCGAATTCGAGGGTGGAGATGGACGGAAAGTGTAGAAAATGAGGTGCCGGTTGAAGGTAACGTTGTTTTGATTTAGCTTTGTTGCTTGATCTAGTGTCTCCTTTCTTTTTAATATATATATATATATGTGTGTGTGTAAATATATATAAATATTTCATTTCCTTTTTCAGGAGACAGACTCAAGCTCGTACTTGACATGATGACTCCGCAGCATAAGTTATTTTCTGATTCAAAATACATTATAAGATAGACATGTTAGCTTAGCGAAGCCCTTTTCTATATTTCGTGCAGTTGATGGTCAAGTATTATATCTATATCTATTGTATGCTGTGCCATATTACAATATTGTAGATTCTTTTATACCTAAAGTATACCTGAACTCTAAATTGTTATACTTGGTACTGTGCAAAATTTGTTGAACTGAGTATCCTTATCAACATGAAATTAAAATTTTGTGCTGGAGAGAAGCTTATTATGCTGAGGAATTTAGTCCATTTTCTTTTTATTCCTTATATGTTTGTGATGTAACAGGTGTAGATTGCTGTCTTGTAGAATATAATGCCAGTCATTTCATACTGTAATCTTATGTGACTCTTTAATTGCTTCTTGGCTATGCTAAACCTAATTTTCTTTGTATGTTTTTACTGGTTTTATTTCTGACTCGCTTTCTTGTATTCTGTTATATCTGGACAGAGGTCCTTGGGGTGCACTCTCTCCAGTTCCTGAAATTAATGCTATTGCAGTTGATTCCAAGGTTTGCATTTTGATTCTTGTCTCTATTAAGCTGTTCATTTGTGTGTGATTGTGTGCACGCATATGTGCTTGTTTACATGTTGACCTCTGAATTTTTTTGGTCCCTTAAGGTAACCACAGTGCTTCAGTGTTATAACATCACTGGTGTTATAATAAACGATGCAGATGCACTGTTTTATACATTCCTATCTAAAAGTGGTGATATATAAGTTCACCTACTGAAAGTTTCATTATTTTTTCACCAAGCACTTCCATTTTTATGAATGATTTAATACCCACTTTCAGGCCATCGTGCCTAGAATGCTTACATGTAAACTTTAATATGTATGAATATCTCGCAATGCTGTTTAACTTCTTCCTGCTCTTTATTCTAGGAATGAGATCTAAAAGCCTAAATCTATGTTCGCTGGATTACTGCATATTTATATCCCATATATTAATTTGAAAACAGACTTTGAGTTTATCCTTTTCATTTGTTTTGTTTGCTTTGTATCCATGGGATATCATCGCGGTTTGTAGAATGGGTCTGTATATGCTGCTGCTGGGGACTCTTGCGCCTACTGCTGGGATATTGTACGTATTTTCTTAGGTGGCATAAAACTTATAGTGTGTCTTCCCTTCACTCTTTATGAAACTTGCCAGAAAATGATAACTTGACATCTTTATGGCATGATCAGGAGAAATGTCAAATCAAGGAGCTTTTCAGAGGACATTCAAATTATCTACACTGTATTGCATCCTGCAATTTGAGCAATCAGGTTATATGCCCATTCCCTTCTATCCCACCCTCTGCACTCCTCCCAATTTTGGTACTTCTTTATTTTAGAATTTTTGGGGTTTATCGATGGGTATTTGATTTCAATATTCCTTGACGGTATTACTGGCTTGTTTTAGTTGTTTTTCACAATGTGTTCAGTTACATACTAATTAGCAACATTTATTACTGCTAGGTAGGTTTGTGATATACTAGATTTGTAAGTTACTAGATGTGTGTGTTACTAGAGGTAGAAATTCATCACCTATAAATGTGTTGTTTATTGAAATTTGAAAATCATAAAGATAAGAAATGCAATTACCACTCTCCTTCATTTTCTATCTTTACAGCATGTTCGTTTATGATTGGACATAATTTGCTATCTGGATTGAATAGTAAATATATTGAATTTCGATAGTATTATATCATTCTACGAATGTAGTGCCTTATTCAGTTCAATGATAAAAACCCAATTTATCTGCAAGCCTAATGTCATGGCCTATATTATCCTACTTCTACCAAATACGTCATTTCGCTTTAACCCAGATATATCATTGAAGTGTTGTATTCCATTTTTCTTGTTTGACTAATGACTCTCCTCCTTTAATATACATAATTATGTGTGTTGCATTATTTCTTCCTAGCTTATTTTACTCTGTGTGATCAGTTGTCGTTATAAACTTATGTAAGATTGTGACATTGCAAGGTATGATGATGTAATCATGAAGTTCTGGTCACAATTGAAATAGATTTGTAGTCATAGTTCGTGTGCAATGTGTGACCATTATATTTGGAATAACGGTTCATCTAGGTGAAATTTGTAACCTAGTGATATAATTGGATTCCTATATAAACTTAACAGGAAATCTTCTGGCCCAGCCTAATGACTGAATCCTGAAGTAGAAACTAGACTAAGACCCAACACAAAAATACACCTCAGAGCAGACCACATCCAACTTTAAACACTCTTTATTAACATAATGCAAAAAGATCACTGAAATAATATTACAATGACTAGTGGACTCAAGACCGAGGCTGGTATTAAAAGGTTGCCGCAACTCTTCGGCCAGCTCCCCAGTCTGTGTATCAAAGCAAGCAGGATGGTAATAGTGGGAAGAATTTTCTGACAAACATTTCTTATTGCTTATCATTCGATGGGTAATTTAAACTTGTGTGAGTTACACTGGCCTATAGAACCAAATTCTTTGTTGATTGAAAGTTCACCTGGAGGTTGACTCTACGATTTGATGTTTGCGGCAAGGTCACATATTATATGTTGTTTATTTTTTCTCTAATTGGTGAAGCTCTGTGTCTATCTCAATAAAATGAGATCACCACACAGTTTGGGTAAATGTTTGAATTGAATGAGTGGAAGACCATGATGGTGAGAAATGAGTGCGTAGAAAAATAATGCAACAATGATCTAAAAGTTGAGTTTAACTAGAATGAAAGAATGGGAGATTACTTGAGTCACAAGCATGCTAAGTTAGCTCTCAACATCATGCTAATTACTTGCGCTGTGTGTATAAGATCCTAATCCAATCAACTTTTGCTGCATTGACTAGAAATCAGCTCTTACTACGTAGAGATTGTTTGCTCTCACCTCAAACACAAAGACCTCTAATCAATTGATTCTTTTGGATTGCAGTATTTGTTTGAATACTTCTGAACTTTGTCTAAAAATTGAAGGGTGTGTATTTTGGAGTTTGGTTTTGTTTTTTCAGTTTTGGTTCAAGAAAATCGTATATTTTTTTTAGGGGATTGTGATTGAGGTTATCAATAGATAAAGAAATTCAAATGTGGTGAAGTGACATTATATTACAAAGAACCCTCTACAGTCATTACTTAAGAATGTTTGGTTGGCATCCTTTGATGGATTAGATGTTAGAATGTTGGCACAGTAGTCTCCCATGGATTGTATTTCTCCTTCACTGCATGCTTCTTTAGTCCAGCCTTTTTTTTAACTTGTGTTCTAATCCCAGAATAATTTCCTTCTAAACCGGGCTTCCTTGTCTACTTGCCCGATGCTTGTTTGCTGGCTATTGATGAAACATTTAGTGAACTGTCCAAGAAGAGTTCATGAAATTGAATCAGATCATGATTCTTCGCTTTGTTGTTTCTTCTATCTCCCCATTTCTTGCTGGAGAACTTAAAAGATTACCAAGAGAATGTAAGCTTAGAGATTTTTTATATGAACTATACAATAAATGGATCTTGGCTTCTTTTACATAGGTGGGTGGGAAATTCAATATGTTGTGTGCTGTGAGTGATATACTGATATTGCATATTTCATCACGTATATGCTTCTTTCCTATTAATATCTTAATTTTTTGTAACTTGACAAGCCTAAACTTTACAAGCTTATTAAGTGTGTGTCAATGCTATCCTCTCTTCGCAATGTTTTCTCTGAGATGAAAAAGAAGTAACGATTAAGAGACAGGAATTACATGAAGGTGAAATTTAATGTGATGGGTAGTCACCCATTAGCATTGCATGTTTCTTTATGGTTAAGAGCTACACAAATTCAATTTAAAGAGGAGCAGAAAATTGCTATTAACTATTAAGTTATGCTAGGATTGATTTCATAATTTCAAGTTGGTATTCTGGGAATAACCAGACATTTTTGTATATAGTATGTTCAATATAATGGTTTATTAATAGGATTACAGAAGTTCCTTTTTATTCCATACATCAAACCAAAGCTAAACCACATGTTAATTTATGTCCTCCTCTGGTTGTGTTTCAGATTATAACTGGTTCTGAAGATGGCACTGCACGTATATGGGGTAATTGATTGATATTTCCCTTGAAGAATTTCTTTATTGAAATTATCCTTCGGTATATGCTGATTGTTTATTTAAGATTTGTACATGTTTATCATCAAGTTAGTTATCAATTCTTTTAACTTGATTAAATTGTGTATCTATTAGATTGCAAAAGTGGGAAGTGTACCCAAGTAATTGATCCAGGAGAGGGTGAAAAGTCAAACTTACGTTTTCAATTTATGAGTTGCATTGCACTTGATTCAAGTGAGAGCTGGTTGGTAAGACGATGCCATGTTAATTGTATCATATTACATTGATAATGAAAAAATATGTGCTGTTGGAAGACATGGGGAGAATAAAATTTTCAACTTGGATTACACAAAGTCTGATAGATCGTCAGAAAAAAAATTAATATTACGTTTGTTTCAGTAACATATTGGTCATTTTCGTAGATTGTAGAAGGGGTTGCAAAGGAGTTTTTTCTTCTACCGAACTTAAAACTTTTTTGAGATTTAAAACTGTGAAAAGGTAAATGCTAGTCTAGTCACTTGCCTTTAAACACCTCATTCTATTATATACTGCCTTGTAAAAGAAGACCACTTTTAATAATTTGGAAATTCTTAAAAGAATTCTCTATTTTGTTTGGAAGTCACTTCTGTTATCGTAGATTCATAGTAAGATTAACCTATGAAATTCGAGCCACAATCTCACCTTGACTTATTGTATATCTGTACTTGGCAGGTTTGTGGAAAGGGTCAGTCCTTATCACTTTGGAATCTTCCTGCCGGTGAATGTGTTTCAGTTGCTAGAACTCATGCTTCTATCCAAGATGTTACATTTGATCAAAACCAAGTAAGCTTAATTTCTTCATAATCATGATTTGGGTTTTTCTATGGAATCCAATGTATCTATATTGGTTTTTTTGGTTTCAAAAGCTTTGTTTTGTTTCATGCTCTTCAGATTCTAGCTGTTGGAGCCGAACCACTTCTCACACGACTAAACATGAATGGAGAACTCCTTTCACAGATTCAGTGCGCTCCTCAATCTGCATTTTCCGTTTCTTTGCACTCCTCCGGGGTTAGCTGTCTTTTAATCCTTTTCCCTCTTGCTATCTTTTTTCTTGAATTTATTGTTTTTACAAATCTGGAATACAAAATCAAACTCTTCTGTTGGAGACTCCCGTATATGTTAGAAAAATAATTAATTACGTATCTCTAATAGTCTAAGCTTTAAGATGAGACGGTCATTCTATTGTACAATATCTTCTTGATGTGAAATTTTATTATGGCGGTGCAAATATCTCTTCTCTTCCGATACATATATGTTGTGTTTGTTTTGTAGGTGAGTGCTGTGTCTGGTTATGGAGCAGTGGTCGACATAATCTCGCAATTTGGCAGCCATTTGTGCACATTCCGCTGTAAAGGGCTGTAACTGTGAGTTATGCTGCATTTGTTATTTGGAGAGTTTTGAATACATAGAAATAGAATACAGCTTCATGCTCTCTCATCTTTCTTGATTAATTTTGCAACCGATATTATTGTTCCTCAATATTTCCCTAAATTCTCCCCATTCGTATGATGTACTTATTTGTCATTTTCAGTTTGTCCAAATTAAAGTTTTCTTTTTTTTTTTAGGAAAAAATTACTCTTAATTAACTTTTTATTTTTCACATTCTTTTTTAAAGATAAGATAGAAATTATTTTATTTTATTATACTATATATCTATAAAATATTAATTTATATTAATTCACGGGCAAAAGTCAAATTGGAAGTTTAAGACTGATGGAGTATTATAAGAAGGCCACTTACATAGGATAATTGATAATTAACATTGTATTTAAGTTAATATTGTTTAATTAGTTAATAATAGTGTTAGATATTATTTTATTAATTTTTTTAATATAATTAATTATATTGATAGTTTTAAATAAATTGAAAATATATAATTAAAAAATTAAAGTATGTGTTTAAATATTTTAAAAATTATATGGCAATAAAAAATAAAAAATATAAATATTATTTTGTAGAGAATAAAATTTTTAATGATACAAGTATATAAAAAATATATATACATTTATTTATTTATAATTGATATAAATTAATTTTATAAAAAGATGTGAAATTTTAAATAGAGATAAAAATATTTACTTTTTAAAGATATATGAAAATAAAAGAGTTTTGAGTGGATCCTGTTTTGATTTAGTAAGTTTTTCTCAAAATAGAAAAATATGTCAATAGTTACGGAGAGACAAAAATGAAAAAGGTAATTTTATGTAATACAAAAATATAATGGTATTAAAATAAATAACATATTACAAAAAAAAATAGAAAATAATAAAATGGCAATTTTTTATTTTTTTTGTGTTTGAATGTGATTTAAAATTAATTTGAAATTAAACAAATATTAACTTTAATTTTTATTTAAATAATATTTTAATATAATATTTTATTAGAAAAAATAAATATCGATTGCTTTTACATTGAAATTTTTTTAAGATTCGTATTTTAAAACAAAAATGATGATGTGGAGATTCAAACCAATCTGACGTTTCTCCGCAGTTTAGATTAAGAGAGTTTCTCCGCAGTTTCTCCAATGCCGATAAATTACCGATGCTAGAATGCTAAATTGGTTACTAAAATAGAGGATAAAGTAGGCCTTTTTGTAGAATTATTACATTAGAATGGATCCCAGCTGGGATTAATTATTCTCGATTATCTTATTACTATGTTAGACTTTAATTAATTTCAAATATTTAATTCTAAAGTAAATAAAATCTGGCTGACGAATTTAAGTTAAATGAATTTCAACTAATTTTACCAAATTTGTTAGTTTTATTGACAATGCTATGAATTTCAAGAATATAAAAATGGATGTGGATTTTAAATTCATTCTTTTTAATATTTCAAGTTGTGTAATTTTTAAATTTTTTTATACGGTCAAACAATGCATTTTAATTTTGAAGTATTTCAAGTTTATCTATTTATAAGAGCATATCCAACGCGGTCACATTAATGGCACTGGGTTGGCTTATTTGGCGTCGGTTGTAACCGACGCCAAATCCAACGCCACTTTTTAAAAATTTTATTTTAAATTATAAAAATAAAAAGTTATTTAAAATAATACTCCTTCCGTTCGGTTTTCATTTATTTTTTACACGTAGATTTTTAAATATTAGTATTATAATGAGTTATAATGAAAATGACGAAAATATCCGTATTAATATTATGTAATATAAAAGTAATAATATTCGTGTAATATAATGTAAGTTAGAAGGGTATATATTATATTAGGTAAGTAACACAATTACTATATTAGAAAATGGTAACCTTATTTTGGAACGGACGAAAATAAAAAATGACAATCTTTCAACAGAACTGAGGGAGTAGAAAAAATTGAATATTTGAAGAATAATAGTAAAAAATTGGAGCTAACTTTGAGTTAAATCAGAGATGATAGGTTAGAAATGTCTAATCCATCCTCAAATTCAAACAGGCCTAACTGATTTTAATGGATAAGAATAAGATAATATATCCACTCCAATTATTACATACCATTAGGTGCTATATTTTGAACGAATGAAATTCAAGGTGGAAGTTCTTCAATGGAAAGAACATAAGTCCACTCCTAAATTTTAAATTATTATATTTATCTATTTTTATTTTTTATTGAGATATTTTAGATATTTAGTAGATTTATATTTAGGGTGTGTTTGTTTGGAGGTTTGGATTTTGAGTTGGGATTTGAATAGTAAAAATTTTGAATTTGAATAATTATATGATGTGATATAAATAGGGTTTGATGTGATGTTTTGAATGTAAAATTGATTTTTAGTATAATATAAAAAATAAAAAATAGGTGTTTGTTTGATGTTTTTGGGGGGAAAAAATTGGATGAATAGTGGAAATTCACCAAAATCCTTCAAACAAACACACCCTTAGAGTTTATCTTATCCATATATTAGATTACTTAGATTTTAATTTATCGAGTATATTTTGTATTATCTATAAAGACCTTCTCATAAAAAATACAATCTCATTATTTTTTCAAAAAATTTATATAAAAAATTTCTATCATTTTGCTTTTCTTACATAGGTCAAAAAGAATACAAAAATACAGTAGCCCGACGGTGGTGAGAGGAAACAGACATTTCGCCCTCCTCAAGTTTGAAAGTTGGTCCCGTCACCGTGGATTGTAAAGAATTATCTAATACTTTATTTTTCTGCATAAATTAAAATATTTGGATCCAATACGAAAATTAAAAAAAAAAATGAATATTTTTATTAAAAAAATGATAAAAAGTGAAAAATGTAGTTTATGATATTTTTGAAATTTTAGTTATAAAAACAAATAAAATAAAGAGAGATAATATAATACAAGTAGAGGTGGAAATAGACCAGATCAAACTTTGGCTAAACATGCTAGAGTTATTTTGAAAAAGTAAGGATTGAATCTGGTCTATTAATCTGTAATAAAAAAAACTTATATAGCCTCTGACCTATTTTTAACCTATGTAGCTACGAAACCTATTTTAAAGCTTATATAATAATTTATAGTTTTATTTAAAAAATTTAATATTAATAGAAAACTATAAATACAATTATTATTTTATTTATATATAATTATAGTTACAATTAATCAATTTTATATTTGATTATTATCATTAAAATAATTTTTTTTAAAAAAATGTAAATATATAATAATTTTATATATTAAATTAAAATTATATATATAAATAGGCCGACCTGATATGCTTAAAAGGTTTTTCGTAAAGCCTAAGCCTATTCTAATTAATTAGATAGACTTTAAAATAAGCATATAGCGAATTATTTGAATAAATAGGCCGGACCGAGCGAGGCCTTATGCATGCCAGGCTTTAGGCCCTTGGTAGGCCACCTGGCCTATTTCCATCCATATTCTAAATAAGTATTGTATGAAATATAATCGTTAAATATTGATTTGTTGACTTTACCTAAATTAGTAATTGAGTAAATTTAACGAACAGACTAAAAATAAAAATGAGAATAAATTTGGTGGACGAAGAAAATAGTATAAAATGTAAACTTGTGACCGTAAAATTATAAATTAAAACATTTAGGGTGTGTTCGTTTGATGGATTTGGATTAAATTTCACTATTCATCCAAAATTTTCCCCCCAAAAATATCAAATCAAACACCTATTTTTCATTTTTTATATTATACTAAAAATCAATTTTACATTCAAAACATCACATCATCACCTATTTATATCACATCATACAACTATTCAAATTCAAAATTTTTACTATTCAAATCCCAACTCAAAATTCAAACCCCCAAACAAACACACCCTTAATATTTCTTAATTTTATGTGTCATACAAAACTTGGCTAATGTGTTGCATATGCTTTAGAAAAGACCTATGAAGCCTATCCACTAGGTGTTTTTTTATTGACTTAGTTTGCATAGGAGACAAAGAAATAGATTAAAAAACCAAAAAAAAAAAAAAATCTTAGTCGAAAACTACTAACAAGACATTGCTTAAAGTAACAAGATCAAATTCAATTCCTAATCATTTGCTATATATATATAGAAGATCGAAGAAATGATCATATTATCTATGTTTTATGAGAAGAATATCATTTGTATTTTTAGGTATTGATATTTAAATATTAATTATTATATTAATACATAGTACAAATTAAAAAAACAATACAAAAATATGTCTATCAGTTTCTTATAATACAACGACAATGATATTTGTTGAATAAATTATTAAAATATATAAATATTTTTAACATTAAATACAATGAACGTAAAAAAATAAATAGTACCTTTCTTATAAGAAGTTGATAGTATAACAAATTATACAGAGCAAAATAATCAAATCACTACAAATATAGTTAAGCCTATACGGTCGCAATTGATCTAAGTATTTTTTTTGTTTCTCATGTATAGATTCATAACATGTATAAAAATTACGAACAATCTTAAAATATGAATGATCTAATACTAGTTAATTGAATCATAAACTTCATTATATAAATAATTTTACATAATCGTCGTACTATCTTATAGTTAAAATTAAAAATATCGATCCATATAACATTTTACGTAACCAAGGCCCATTGGGCCAAGTCCAACAAAGCTATGTCGTCGAATAGTTAAAATTGAAAACACCGATCCACGTTAAATTTTCATATCCAAGGCCCATTGGGCCGGCCCAATAAAGATATCCAAAGCCCATTTCTAGTATGTTCTAGAGTGTTCTAACCCCCTTCTTTGTTCATTCAACCCTAACCCTAACCATAACCCTTCACTCCCAAAAATCATTGGTGGGACAGATGAAATTTCAAGAATTCATGTTCCCTCCTCCGTCCCTCCCTCCAAAAATTTCATCCTTACATTATTGTTTCCATCTTTTTATGTCCAAATCATGTGTAGGTGAGGTGAGGTGAGCATTCTTTAACTACTTTCCCGCTGCGTTTGTCTTCCCAATTTCAAACCGCAGTTTCTCCGATTGCGCAAGGCGGATGGATAGAGGACGGTGCGTGGCGCTGCACGTACGTATCTCGTTCGATTCTTTCGCATTCCGTCTGTATTTGGTGTCTTCAGTGTCCGATTCTTTTCTTTATATGGTTGTGACGATTTTGGGTGGATGTTCTTTGCGGATTGGCGATTTTGTTTGTTTTCTAGGGTTTTCTTCGATTTCAACTCATCGACTGTCTTGTTTACTCAGTGTCTCCGAGCATTGTTAGTCTTGTAAATTCTGGAATTCTGGAGAATCTTGGCGGTTTCTTTTTATGCCACTTGATGTGCTGTAGAGTTTTGCCGTCGGATTTTGGAGTTTTTTCGTTCTTGTGTGGGTGTCGGTTCATCAAATTATTTTCTTTGCTGCATTCGGTAATTCTTGAGGATTCTTGATTCTCGTAGTTGCTTCAAGAAATACTGATGGTTATTATAGTCAGTGTTGACTTTTGTTAGAAATGGAGTTAACTATACCAGCAAACCCCCCCCCCCCACAACCACCACCACCCCACCCCCAACACACACGCGTACATATGTGTGTGATTATTAGTCTACCATAATTAGAACATCTTAGTAACATATCTGTCTATTTGGGGTTATCAGAAGTAAAAGCATATCAAGTATGAATATATAATAAATTGCATTCAATGCAAAATAATGAAAATATGGCCGCACAAAGGTTTTAAATAGGGAACACATATAATAATCAAGTTGTAACTTATGGACTATATTGCTATATTTGATCATTTTCTTTAGTTATTCACTATTTATCTATATAAGAAAGTTCTCTCTGTATATTCAAGAGGTGTGAAAGTTTAGTAAGCAAATGGGGGATAGTTGAACAATTATGTTTGTCTGTTAACTTGTTTCGTGGTGGTTTTCATCACAATAAGCATGATTCTTGGTCAGTGCTATCCATTTAAATTGCTCTAAATGTGTGGATTGCTTGATGTCTAGTTTATCATTTTCTGTTCAATTTGGACGGGCTGAAGAGTGCCTACCTTGAAGGTCAAGTGCTAGCTTATCTTTTCATGTATCAGACTTGAGGTTGTAACAATTTTCATTCAGTGAACACTGTGATTGCAGAGACACATCAGGAAATGGAACATTCAAGCCTAACTAAAGAATCAATTATTCTCTCGACGTAGCAAGGATCAACTGAACTCTGGACATTGTTGTAGAGTGAATAAATTTGGTTTGGATGTTTGGCTCGAACAAGAAACAAAACTGACTGTCTACTATATAGTTTAATGGAGGCTAACAAAGAGGAGGCTATCAGGGCCATGAAATTGGCAGAGGATAAGATGAAAGATCTCCATTTTGATGTGGCTCGGAAGATTGCATTGAAAGCACAGAACCTTTACCCGGGGCTTGATAATATTAGCCAACTCCTGAGTGTCTGTGATGTCCACTGTTCATCTCAAAAGAAGATTTATGGATCTGAAAAAGATTGGTATGGTATTCTACAAGTTGAGAAGTTATCTAACGAGGCTATTGTTAAGAAACAATACCGACGTCTTGCACTTTATCTCCACCCCGACAAGAATCGGTTTCCTGGTGCTGAGGCTGCTTTTAAGCTGATCTGTGAAGCAAATGCAGTGCTTTCAGATCCCTCAAAGAAGGCTGTATATGACAATAAAATTAGAGCGACTTCTGGATCTGTTCCTGTGAATCTTCCACCTCCCCATATGAATAGACATTCTCAATTTCATAAGCCCTATGGATCTCATAGCAGTGTTTATACTCATTATGGTGGTATGCAACAACAAACAGCCGAGCCAAGCTTCTGGACGTGCTGCCCATATTGCAGCATAAAATACCAGTATCATAGAAGATTCGTCAACACTCTTCTGGTCTGCCAAACCTGCTTCAAGAATTTTACAGGTTGTGAAACAAGCCCCCCTATTCCAGGGGGGTCTGCATGGGGTGAACCTATGCCTGCAAAACCGGGTGTGGGTCAAACTGCTGGTTTTCAACAAAGAGCAGCACCGGCACCGGCTCATAATAAATTTCCAACAGGGGGTGTTCATAATGTCAAGGTTTCTTCATCAAAATTTGAATATCAGTCGAGTGCCAATGTGAGATCGGTGCAAACCAAAGCAGGTGCTCAGACGGAAAATGCTTCTGGATTTAGCTGGGCAGCAGGTGCAAGCAAGATTGATCTGAAAAATGAAGAAACTAGGAAAAATGCCAATGCTAATTCTTTGCACGGTGGAAAACAGAAAGCTGATGCAAATCATAGCAAAAAGGCAAGTAAAAGAAAAAAGAGGGGCAGGAAGCGGACGGTGGAATCCAGCGAGAGTTGTGACAGCTCAAGTGATTCTGATGTGAACGTTTCTAAAAATATGATGAAGCCTGGGGGGTCTGGTTCTGGTTGTGTCCATTTTCCGCGAAGATCAACTCGGAGAAGGCAAAATATTTCTTATCATGAAGATGATGATGACGATGATGATGATCTCTTTAACCACCTCAAGGGTTCACAGCGAAGCAAAGTATCAGAAGATAATGGAAATGAAGAGAATTCTTCAGAAGGCAAGGAAGATAATTCTTCAGAAAGTGACAGGAATCAAAACAGGGGCAGAGAAGCAAGTACTGATCATCCTGGAGAAAATGTAGAGGACATGAATGGCGAGGGAGGCACTGCTCCAATTGAAATTGAAAGTGATTCCGACCATGATCATGATATCTTAGTGAATGAGGAAAGAGTGGACACTTGGACCTGCCCTGATCCTGAATTTTACGATTTTGAAAAGAACAGAGTGGAAAGATGTTTCGATGTTGATCAATTCTGGGCTTGCTACGATGAGACTGATGGCATGCCTAGATTTTACGCGAAGGTGAAGAAGGTTCGCTATTATCCATTTTTGATAACCTTCACATGGTTAGAAGCTGATCCTGTAGATGAAGCTTCTAGAGAATGGAGAGATGCAAACTTACCCATCGGTTGTGGCAGATTTAAGCTGGGAAAGACTGAAAAGACGTCACGACTTCCTACTTTCTCTCACCAAATGCGCTGTGACCAAGGCAAGACGAGAGCATTGTTTATGATTTGTCCTAGACAAGGTGAAGTTTGGGCTCTTTTTAAGGACTGGGATATGAACTGGAGCCACGACCCAGAAAACCATCGCAAGTACACATATGAACTTGTGGAGGTTCTCTCAGAATTCGATGAATTGTGTGGCATCGAAGTTTGTAACTTGGATAAAGTCCCGGGATTCGTGAGCCTCTTCAGCAGAAGAAAAATGAACTCCTCTTTCGTGAAGCCTGATGAAATGTACAAATTCTCCCATTGCGTTCCTTGTCACAAATTGACAGGTTCCGAAAGAGCAGGAGTGCCAGTGGGTTCTTTCGAACTGGATCCTGCTTCTCTTCCCTTCCCTTGAATGCTGATGATTTTTGCAAGTAAAATGGAACACTCTTTGTAGGAAAAGGAAGAGGGACGTTGATTGATTTGTACGAGTTTGAAGCTTATTGTGATACAGGGATGATGTTTTGCAGTATATACTCGTGATTGTGCTCGCCTGTTTGCTCGATTATGCAGCGGATATGGGAATTTCCAGGAAAGCTGAGGAACTGCAACACCCTGCCTATTAAACTGACCGGTATTTTGGAATCATGAAGGTCGACAGGTTTGTCTAATACTTTGAAAATTATAAACCTGTTTTGTGCTCGGAAAAGGATTTCATCTGACAATATTAAGTGACGGTGACAATAAATTTGGTTTTGTGCTATCCGTATTTCCCTCCCTTCCTTCCTCTGCATTGCCTATCTATTGAATTTTCTTTAGTACTTATAATCTTTTCCATTATGTAAAGCTCGTCTGCATTCATGCTATTCTGTAGAAGTTTATGGTGAGAATATATAGCTGCATTATGCTCTTCTGTGTCTTTCTTGACGTGTGTGTATATATATATATATATATCTTATCTGTTAGTTAACCTGTGTATTGTTGAATTTGGTTCATTTTGTACGTGGTTCATTCAAATTTTGAGGGATTTATCTTTGAATGATTGAGACTGGCAGGCACTTGAAATGCCCTTCACCTCTTCGATCAAAATCTATTAATTAATTCATTCATTCATTCCTTGTGTTGTGAATCCAGTCATCTAAATGTTTCTTTCTTGAATACGATCTGTCCAGTCTAGCAACTTTCGATGATTCAAGATTAGATAGAGAGTGCCAGTCTCTATCTAACTTGAATCTTGGAAATCTTGAATTTCCGATTCAAGATTATTAGATGTATTGTCATCGTCTATCTTGAATCTGAGAAATCACAGCTTGAAGAATTTCGTATTCAAGATTGTACTTTAGAGCTTTCTTCGGGCGCTCTCCCAATTGAGCTATCCTCTTTCTCACATGGGAAGTTAGTTTTTAAAAGATTTTGGATTTGGATTTGAATAACAAAAATTTTAACTTCGAAGACTTTATGATTTGAAGAATTGTATGATGTCACTTAGATAATATTAGAGGGTGATGGATGATATTTTGAATTTAAAATTATTTTTTAAATATGATATAAAAATAAAAATAAATATTTAAGTTGATGTTTTTGAGAAAACTTTTTGATTAATAGTAAAAATTGAATGAATATGACACGTGTATTAGCTAAGATTTTGACTGCGCGTTATAGGCTGCAAATATCAATCAGGAGGCCCTTACGGTTGATGAGTTATTTTATTATTTATTTTTTTAATATAAGTTTAAAAATCCGTTATTAGTAATTCTTTATATTTAAGGGGTGTGTTTGTTCGGGGGGTTTGGATTTTAAGTTGGGGTTTGAATAGTAAAAATTTTGAATTTGAATAGTTTTATGATGTGATATAAATAAGTGTTGATGTGATATTTTGAATGTAAAATTGATTTTTAGTATAATATAAAAAATGAAAAATAGGTGTTTGATTTGATTTTTAGATAAACAGTTTAAATCCAATCCAATTCCCCAAACAACCATACCCTAATGAATAACTACTATCTTTATGTATTTTTACAAAAAATAATATTTTTTGTGTCATGTCTATTTTGCAATATTTTTTATTCCATTTATATCTTTGTAATGTTTTTAAATAATAATTTTTTTTTTCGTCTTTTAACTAATTATTATTATTATTATTTTTTTAGTCAATTTCATAATAAAATATTTATTTATTTTTTTAATAATTGTACTCTTTATCTCATATTATAACTATTTTTTAATTTACAATATATTTTTATCCATCACGATTTGATGTTGAATTCCATGGAGTTAATAGTCATTAGATCTAATTTTGATAGAGGATCTAATTTGATATAATGATATTAATAATAGAACCTAGGTGGTATAAAGTAATTTTAATTTTATTTCATTTGACATTTTATTTCTTCATACCACATCTTGTCTTCAATTCAAATTTTTATTTTACACTTGGTCGTTGTCTTTCGCATTTTGTTACTTTCAATTCAAAGTATCGTCTTCATATTTTATAGTCTTCATTAGTGTGTTTGGTTTGAGTGGGAGAAAGAGTTTGGTGTTTGGGTTACGGTTTCGGTTCGGTTTGTTGGAACCGGAATTAAGTTTTTGTGAGGCTCCAAAATTTTGTAACTGATGCACTCTTGATCAAACAATGTGAATTCTGATAGTACTCTATAAAACTTGTTCGTTATTGGATGAAGTAGCGGTTCTTGTACGGTTTCAAGTCTTGATGGCTGAATTATGAGAATATTGGCTTAAAATCTACTGAAATCTAATAAAATATGTATGGAAATATAAATTAACATACAATATGTTAAAATTAACAAAAGATAATATATATATATAATTGAATAAAATTATAAACCTATGGATAAACTATTAGAAAATTGAAAGTATAAAATTTGATTTTGGATAAGATGTGTGTCATGTGAATTACTATTAGATATGCCATAGAAATTGAAATTGCAACGGGTTCATAGATTTTAGGGGTGGGTTAGTTATTACTTCCCGCCATATTATCTATATTACCTTAAAAGTTTTGTTTGTTCCCTTGTCTTTTTGGGTTATGATTGAGCTTTAACTAATCTCCATCTTCGTCTTCGAGCTTTCTTACTCGAAGCCTCATTTTCTGAAGTTGTTTCCATTGAAGCCCGATGCTTTGGGGCCTTATCTTTTGGAACCTTGTTGTATGGCAAGTAGGATTTGGACCTATATCTAATAATGTCCTCCTTAAAGGGTTGGGTGATCGTTTTCACTGAGCTCATGTCCTATTGTTTGAAGTGTTCGTTTGCCTCGACCGCGGTCATTTTTGTCGAAAAGGAACCCTTTTCGGCCTTTACTTTCTGGACTTTATCTACATCCCAAAATATCAACTTTTAATGGAGTGTTAATGACACACACTCGCATGCGTGAATTTAGTCTCGCCTTAACAGGGCTGAATGAACCGATTACCATAAAACTGATGGTATTTTCTTTGTCCTCACCTGCACATCCAAGGTATAGTACTTGCCAATTTGTAAGAGTTCTCCATGAAATCGGTAGGCCGTATGGAAATAAAAATCAAATTATCTAATCTTTCCGAACTTTCGTAGTTCTAATTGACATCACATTCACAGCGGCTCCGTCATCTACCAAGACTCGGCCAAGCGGATGACCACTTATCGAGGTCTAAATGCGCAAAGATTTGACATGTTGGTTTTGTCTAGGCCTGAGCCTCTTGAATCCTATTATGGTTGTCACGTTATTTCATTTAATGATAGGTTCTTCGACAACGATAACTCCTTCTAGCTCTTGATATTCCTTCGGAGCTATGAATTTTGGTGGCAATAGCCCTACCACGGATAAGGTTTACTTTTGATGTTGCTTTGAGAGTACCTATTTATTCAAAGGTTTGTCCTTGTTTTTCAAAATCCATTGTTGTGTGACTTTTGACATAGGCTCCTCAATTGGCTTTCCTTTGGAAATGGTTTAATGGTTTATTCTGTCTGCTTTCATTTGGGAAGAGGTTTATCAGCCTGTCTTCCTTTCGGAAGGGGCTCATTCGTCTGTTTTTTTTTTTTTTTTCGAAGAACCTTCTTTATCTTTTTTTTTTTTAAAAATAGTTATTTTCTTTTCGGAAGAGGCTTCTCCATCTGTTTTTTTTTCAAAAGAGGCTCATTTTCCGTTTTCTTTTTGGAAGAGGCTCATTGGCCTACTTTTTTTTCATTAAGGGCTCTTTGTCTACTTTTCTTCGGAAAAGGCACACCAGTTTGTTTTTCTTTTGGAAGAGGCTTTTGTGACCCTTCCGCCTCTAGACTTTGGGCTCGCCTCTTCTGAGTCCCAGTGAGCTCCTTTATTGACATCCTAGGCTTTGGTTCGTTTACAATTCATTTTTCTTTTTTGTTCACGGTAAGAGGCTTCTGTGTCAGTTTAGGGATAATAGTAATCTGGTCGGCCGTAGTGATAGTTTAAACTTGTTTTTGGTTTGCAATCCTTACTTTCGCCACAGTTGCTTCAGGCTTGGGATTTTTGTAATCTTTATTCTTTTCCCAACTTGAGGCTTTCGGACCTGCTATGGTGACACTAATATTAGGTCCTGTCATAACTGTCTTTTGTCTTGTCTCCTGCCCACTCGTGCCCGATCCTTCATCCTTGTGAAGATGGTTTTCTTGACGGGCGCCTTCGGTCTTAGACAGCCATGAGCATATAGTATAACATGTCATTTCCGCCGAATATAAAAGAAAAAGCTCTTATGCACGCAGAAATGAAGGCCTCGATGGCTGCTTGCCAAATTTATCTTTTATAGGCCCTTTAATCGATATAGTATTTAACGGCGGGAGCAAACCCCGCCGGTCGGCCTCAAGGCCATTTTTCCTTTCACTAATTTTGTGGGCAGGGCTTCCGCCTCGGCAAAGCCTTCTTCGCCTAAAGCTGCTAGAGTCTTTGCCCCTACAGAGTCTCTTTCATCTAAAGCGTCCAAGGCCTCAGCCCTTACAGGGTCCTCTACGTTTGGAGCTGCAACAACCATCAGAGTCTCTGCCCGTGTAGAGTCATTTTCGTCTAAAGCTACTAGGGCTTCTGCCCTTGGAACATCCTCTTTGTTTGAAGTCATCAGGGCCTCTGTCCCTGCAGGGTCTTCTAAGCAAAAGGATTTGATGGACTTTCCTTCATTATTTCATTTGTTGGATGTTGCGTCCTCCACCAAACCTTTTGCCAAAGCCCCTGTATCCTCAAAAGTCTCTTTGTCAAATTGAATTTTCTCCACAAAAAGTAGTACTAATTTTCTACTCCAACATTCTCCTTGAAAATGTCCTTCTAATGCAATTTGCGAGGATATTAGTGTCTATCAGAGACTTCGTCTCTTGTTGATTTGGGGTTAACAGTTCCACTCTAACTATATACTAATGGCAGGTTGGCGGTTGCGTATATACGGCTTGCCCTCCTTGTCCCCACATCTAGACGGTCCCCATAAATTAGGGATTAGCCACATACGAATCTGAATGTCCCCATGGTGGTGTCGGCTAATTCCATATAGATTGTCCACCAAATTATCCTTATGGGAACGTGCCAAAAGTCCGTTGGTTTTCGGATTAGGGAGTGGCTCCAGTGGTAGGGCCTCTGGACGGCTTCGAGCCTTAACAACTGAATCGGAGAAAATTCAACTAAAATATAATAAAAATTGAATGAAATATGCATAGAAATATAATTTATTATAAAATATGTTGAAATTAACATATATAATATATATATATATATGAAATTAATACATAATTGGATAAAACTAAGAACCTACTAATAAATTAATATAAAATTTAAAAAATAAAGTTTGATATTGAATAAAATGTGTGTATGTGCGTCGTGAGAGTTTCTATTAGATATATTCTTGAGCCTCATCCTTTGGAGCATTTCTATTTGGCAAGTAGCTTTCGGACCGATGTCGAGCACGGTCTAATTTGAATTTAGGGATTAGGTGTGAGGTTCGTTTGTTTTGATTTGATAGATTTCGGAGTTTTGATAATCACATTCGATAGCTGTAATTTTCTTCCAATGTATGAATTTATTTTTAAGTTCATGTATTATTCTTGTGTTTTCGGCTTTAATTCCTTACAATTTTACTAGATTTTTTTATACTTTATTTATAATTAACATTTTTTCGAGTAGTTGTAAATAAATTTCAATTAAAGATCCACGGCCTTTGGACCATAATCGAAGGCTCTACAACCTACAACATTTAGAGTTTAGTCAGAGGCTTCGTAGGTCATGGTCTTTGAAATCTATATGAAGGCCTCCCATTTGAAGCTTCAAAGTCTACAACCTTTGGATTATAGCGGGAGGTTTCACAGTCCCAGACCTTTGGTATTCATACAGAGGCTTTGCAATTCACGATTTTTTTAATATCAGCCCAAGGCCCCAAAGCCTATGACCGTGGATTCCAGCAAGAGGCTCTTAAACCTCTGGCCTTTGCACTTGGGCCAAAGCCTTACAGTCTACGCCTCCAAATTTCATTAAGAGGTATTGCAGTCTATTTCATTTGAAGTCCAACAAAAAGATTCTAAATCAGCAATCCCATAAGAAAGCAAAAAGAACATCACCTCATCAATCACTGACCTCGTTGGCAGACAAGGTGAATGCCACACCCTAGCCGACACCATCATGGTTTCTTAAAGTCGGTCGATTTTTGGGAACCAGTAGAGCTTCGTTTTCAACAATGGTCTTCTCACAAATGGGCAAGGTAGACCTGTTGGCCATTAATACTAGGCCTTGCCCTCCACTTTAAAAGAAATTAAAAAAAATTGCCTCACATAAGTTGAAGTCCTTAGTGGAGCCGAGGCTAGTTCCTAACGATCTGAGGGCCTTAAAAGAATGAAAATTAAAACGGAGGGAAAAAGACAAAAAGAACAATATCTTTTTAAGGTAAATAAAAGCAATGCAAAGGTTCAAACAAGTGACCTAATAGCCAATGAGCTAGAGGGTGAACTCAAGACAAACCACCTTGAAAGATGGTGAATTGTTTGAAGCGAGCTTGAATATTGTCGCAACTTATTGATATTTAGAACAAGCATTTCACAATCTAAATGATTTTACGGTAAATATGGTCATGTTCTTATCTAAGAAGTTCTTGGTCCCTTACGAGAAGCCATAATTTTTGTAGGGCAATGTTGTGATGAAAAAGCCTAACCTTGGAACGTGGGATAATGACAAGGGATGTACAAAAAAATCTCCCCAATTTTTTTTTTTTTTTTTTTTTTTTTTTTTCATCTTTGATGATGTTGTAAGAAATTAAGGCCTAGACCAAAAGTAATCTAAATACATAAAGGTTCGAGGAGTGAATTTAGGCCGTCTTACGCCCTGAATCATGAGTGCCTCGCAATGAATAGTAGCCCTAGAATTGATCAAAGGCTTCTCACCAAGCGAGTCTAGCAGCGTCTTATGTATAGGGATTTTACTTTCGTGCAGACAGGTGACAACAATTCAAAATATATGAATTTTTTAATGTAAGAAATAATAAAATTATGCATTTTTTTATTGTTTTGCCCCTCTAATTTTCAATTTTTTTTTTATAGTGTAAAAAATAATAATTTTTTGGTAATTTTATTGATTTATATTTTTAGATTTTAATTTTTTTAATATAAATGATTGAATTTCATTAAATATTTCTCTCAAAATTTAATTTTTAACTATTTTTTTCATAAATAGTTGCATTGGGAGAAATAAAAAAAAAGTTCCAGCCTTTGAAACGCATAATCCTTTGTATAACATTAATCTATGAGATTATGGGAGCTCTCAAATATCGTTGATTTTATAGTAAACGTACTTCTCTCCCAAGAGCAGCTCTAATTCTTACTATGCGACATTATGGTTGGAGCACCTTGAATAGCTTGATCATACAAGGGTAGGAAAATAATTGAGTCATAGTCCATTTGATTTCCTTTTTTAATTTTAAAAGGCATTTGTTACCCGAGAACTGTGACCTTCAACAAAATGCAATATGGGCTAACAAATTTTGGAAAAGTCAAGGCTCAACTCAATGTCAAGCAGAGGCCCGACAAATAGCAGCCCATAGTCTAGAAATAGAGGCTCTATGAGTTGTTAGGTGGCTCAAAGGGATTGAAACCCAAAAGTGTGAAGAGAAAGTGGATATTTATAAAATTGAAGTTAAAGCCATATTTTATTGGCCTATAGTGTAGGGAGTGAATTTCCGACATGGGTTCAAATCCGATGTTTTCAGGTTCATCTGTCGTATATAATTCGTCTAATGTGACTTGCTTTGTTGGGCTTAGTTTGCAATGATATTGCATATTCAGTGCGTACTTTCAGATGATTACGGATTCTCACATCATTTAAAAAATAATAATAATAAGAAGATATAAAATAAATATTTAATTGATATTGTTTGAAGAGAAAAATTGGATGAATAGTAAGAAATTTTGTAGAATATGTTAGCAAAAACACCCTAAATGTATTTTCAATACTTTATTCATTTCAATTCCCGGTCAAATCCGAATATTTTCTTAAGGAAGCCGATGAACCTATCATGACGACCTTCCAATAAATCGAATCAGCAGTGATAAACAATATTATTTAAATACAAAACTCAAATGAAACCAGATCTTCCCAATCCAAACTCAATTAAACAATAGAGAGAAGTATATTTACACCATTTAACAATGTAGAATATAACATGCCACAAAATTTTCTTTTAGCTTTTTAATAAACATGCATCCCAAGAGACATTTAAACAATAAGTTAACTTCACACCAATCAAATTTAACCTGATTTCGATTTACTTACCCGAAACAGGCGCCTCCTCGAGGATAAGGGAATAATAATCTCGTAAATGTTTTGGAGGAATCCCCTGTCATATATGTTGTTCTTGACAACTCTGGCTTCGTCCAGCCGAGATCTTGCACAGAACATCCTCCACTTGCTCTCTCGGGGCTTTCTTTCATGGTTTAGTTCGTCTATACTCGACTTTAGAGCTGCTGCACTTGCCTTGGCTTCATTCACCTTCCTCTGCCAGCTCAGGTGCTCTTGCCATTTAAAACTCTGCACAAAAAGAACTCAGGCATTGTTGGCTTCTTACATATTCGACTAGTTTGCGTGCAATAATGCCATCATGTTATATGTAATAGGTCTGTAATAGCTTGTGAATCTTATCCCTTTGATATAATTGCAAAAACCGTAGAAGATTTCATTGTCCTTTTATTTTTATGTCGACTATAGAACACTCCCACCTCTTTCCCCAAGACATATGACAAGAACAACATATCATACTCCATTTCTTCAAGATGAACACTGCAGCAGGTAACTATTCTAAATTTCTTTAGCCCTCACATTTTTGAATCGATTTTTGGAGGGACTAAATGGTCAGTGTTGTCTTATAAATATTGACTAGTGTAGTAGCAGTAGCTTTGATTATATTGAGGGAAGAGTCTTACCTCGTTTGTAGTTGTGTTTGTGAGACAAAGTTTAGCATGGTACATGAGGAAACCAGCTAACATAAGAGAAACTATGGCCAGGAACATCATAATCAGAATTTGTGTGTTGTACGAGTGCAGCAACCACTGCCATAAGATCGACAATGCTCACTGTTAGCACAAAATATTGACAGCTATAAAATTATCATCACAAGCACTGGTACAATGGAGACGATACTGATCATCAGCAGGCATATTATAAATATTAACATGCAAATTTTAACGCCAACACAAATGGATAATGTCTTGTGCCTAGATTTGAAATAAATGAACCCACCTGGACCACTAATGGAGCCAATTTCCTGTAAGAATTTTCAATTCCATAGTAAACTGCAAGAAAAAAACCGAGGAACATGTTTGATTTAGATTTACAGTTGCAAGAACACACACACACACACACACAAAAAAAAAAAAATGAATTATCAATGAAACCTGTTAGAATCTCGACAACTTGTAATTCTTTCAGTCTACCAGCAAGCACCAACGCCAGAGCAATAAATCCATATACGCATATGAGAAAATGCCTGTGTATGCATTCAGAGATAAATTAAGGTTGTGTACGGCGTAGCTAAAAGCACCACAATCAGATGGCAGATCTAAAAAAAATTTATTTTTACTCTGCCATATGTTTTACTGCTTACCAGATTATAAAAGCCATGAAGTATCTTGTATTTTTCTCTCCAATGCAATTGTTCTTCAAGGAACATAAAAAAAAAAAGAATTGTAAAACAAGAAGAAAATTCGCAGGAGTGTACACTTTTCAACCTTTACTAGTCAATTCCATAAAAAAAAAAAAAAAAGGAAAATGAACACAAACCATCCACGCACAGTGATGGTCAAACCGAGCAACACAACGATCACAAATGCTGCAATGTTTTGATCTGGCAGGTCTGGCAATAGAAGATGTAGATATTTATATCTAGTTCACACTGTTTTGAAAGTCCTGAAAGTCGAAAAGCCAGATAATGGGCTTACTTAGGAATCTTGCAGGTGGGACATTCTTTTTCAGAGAAGATAATGTTGTCATAAGGATAAACAGACAGATACTGAGCAACATTATCGGAGTTCACAACTCCTGGATCAGAAAAGCTCGTCAATACAAAGAGCAAAAGGCCCAATCCAACTGCCAAGAAGCTCGTATACCTGTTAGTACAGGTATCTTAAGTCAAACAAACATCCGTGCACAAAATGCCAACCAATGAGGATATAGATGATACCTATGCACTTCACTTAAATAATATCCTGGAATGTAGCGGAATGATGATGCCGCAATAGAGTAGTACGTGGCCGCAATTATTAATATATACAACAACTGCATAACGGTGTAAAGGCCAACAAAATTTATTCCATTAATAAAAACAGGCATGTATGATATTCCGCTCTTTGATTCCAAATCTTTGCACGAATAGCTATTAAAGAAGTTGGAATCATCTAGAAGTTACTTTACAGGGTGAAAAACAAAGGTCTTACCTCTGAAAGTGTGTTTGGAATAGAAAATTGAGAATATTGAAATAGAAATATCCTCATTTCTCTTTGTTTGTTCCGAGTTAGAGGATTGAGATTTGAGAATTAAATTATTTCTCATTCGCATTTATAGAAATGAAGAGAATTGAAAATACATTATTCAATTTCACAAAACACTATATTCAATCTACTATTCAAATAAAAAACCAAAACCAAAACTAAAATAAAAATTTATCTACCAAACACAAATATTTATAGTGCAATACATTGTCTTCTCCATATCCATTCAAATGATACTTCTCTGTTATATTTCTCAACTGAATCCTAATAGATTCTTACTCTCTATTCAATTACCTTTCTATGCAATTCCATTATTTTATATTATTTCTCAGCAATTTCATTCTAGATACGACAAGCCCTAAATGTAATTGAGAAATAGGATTCTACTCAGAATTTCTAGTTCACCACTCTTACCTAATCTTTGAATAAATGTTAAGACTGCAACGAAATGGGAAGGAGGTTTCAATTTTCGACCATATAAGTTTGCCGATTTATGCTTCCCTATTCTAGATTCCGCAACTTTTACCTCTACTTAAATTGATTAGTGCAACCCTGTGCAGCTCATTGAGGAGTAGCCTTGGGATATAACAGTTCCAGAACTATCAATTAACCAAATTGAAACTAAATTGAATGAGGGGAAGATACAAATTTCACAAAAAATTCAGAAGCAAAAACATCCACAAACTTAGTTTATGTAAGCAGCTTCGCAAAGGTAACAGCAACATTAAACAGTACCTGTATTATAGGATTGGGACGATCGCAGCAATAATACTCGACCGAGAGAAGCGCATTCGAGCCTCTAGCCCCGCACACGATATGGATGAATCTCCTGCATCAACAAAATCCCTAATTACTGATTAGATGCAATCACGAACAACAAAAATCGTGAATTCGATTTTACACTTGTAATTTCCCAGGACTTAAATGGATCGTAGTACCGGAAATAGTCGTAAATGCCGAAAGTGATGAAGATGTGGATGCGCTGGATGAAGGTACCCTGGAAAATTGGCCACTGGCCGCACAGAAATGAGACCACCACCAACAGCGTCGCCATTCCATGGCACACCAGAAGCCATTGCACCGCCATAAATAAATCCTTGCGAGCAACGGAGAGGGGAATTGGCGATGAGAATTTGAGCTGCAGAAGGTGCGAGTTTTTGACTGTCTGAAGGGTTGAAGATTCATCAGATTCTAAACTGTTAAATTACTACGGCGGTGATAAATACGTTTACCATTTGGTTCCGCTTCGGAATGCTTTTACCGGTTCAGTTTTCATATGCACTCGTACTTTTGGTTTTCTACTTTTAAAATTTTATAAATGGTAAAAAATTGTTTCTTCTTTTGCTAAAATTTAATTCAAGGATGTTTTTTCTTTCAGTAAGTTTTGGAAAAATTAGATTTGAGTTTTGAATTTATTTTCAATTTTAAATTGAGTTTGAAATTTTATATAAAATTTTATTTACTTTTTAATAAATGTAGTGTCTATCTAATATTAGAAATATTTTTACTTTTTATATACATAATACTAAGTTATTTAAGTCATTTTTACTTTATATTAAATATATCCCACACCACACAATATAAAAAACAAATCGATACATAAAGAACTAAATGAGTATTAAATTATTATAAATAAAAAATTGTAAATCATACTTCTTAAAATTTTAAATATATATACATAATTGTCCCTCCAAACATAAATCCAAATCCACAGTGCCATTACAGTAAAAATCACTGATTGGGCAAAAGATGCACACAGTAAGTTTTGTATTTAAATAATATATACTTCATTCTTTGTACGTTTTTAAGCGCCGGATTTATATTTTGTGTTATTATATTTAATATTAAAAATATTTTTATATTTATATATATATTTTTATATAAATAACTTTCTATTATTAAATTATAAGACATTAATAGAAATAATTTTGTAAATTTTTTTTAATTTGTATTATATTTTGATATAATAATTAAAATTTAAATATCAACCCGAAAAAATAAATAAATTCTTTAGAGGACTAGATGTGATATTTTTTTTTTAAAAAAAAAAAACAATGGAAGAATCAAATTAATAAAATTTGAAAAAACTTCATGAAATAAACATGGGGTTTGTTTGCCAACTATTTTCAAAAATTTTGGTTTTAGAAAATCAGCGGTGGTTATAAGAAAAATATTTATGTGAGATACTTCTTCAGTCTATTTTAATTGATACATTTTTTTAATTTTGTTTGTTACATAACAATTGATAATTTTTTATTTTGTATAAAACATATTAAATCATGATATATTTAATAAATATAAATCAGTTTAATTAACTAAGTAACATATAACATCAACCAACTCAAAATATGTTTATTTATATTCCATTCTAAAAAATATTTTTTTTTTATCTATCTTTAAAACTCCATTTATTTTATTTAATTACAAATAAATAAATGTATTTTTATTTACTTGTATTATATGAAGTTTTATTCTTTACGAAACAATATTTATGTTTTTTTTTTAAATTTAAAATATTTTATACATATTTTAAAATTTTCATTATATATATTAAATTTATTTTAAACTACTGACACTATTAATTACATAAAAATTAATTAAATAATATCATAATTTATTATTATTAACTAATTAAATATTATTATATTCTCTACATCCGGCAAGAATGTTGCTATTTGATTTTTGCGTCATTGTATTTAACGTTGAAAATATCTTATATTTGAATAATTTATTCGACAAATATCATTGTATTTGTATCATAAGAGACTAATAAATATATTTTTATTTTTATTATTTAATTTATATTACGTATTAATATAATAATTAATATTAAAAAATCAATATGCAAAAAGCAATAACAACCTTCTTTTGGGGAACAGAGGGAGTATTAAATATTATCTTATTACTAATAAAAAATGTCAATGTAGACGGGACTGGAGAGTATATTTTTTTTAAAGGTTATTAGTAGTATAATATTACTTCCTACAGAATTGAACTCGTTCATTAGTGATACAGTGATTGATGTTTAATTAATTATTAATAGTTAATTATGATATTATTATTATTTTATATAATTAATAATATTGATAGTTTTAAAATAAATTTAATATATATAATTTTTTAAAAAATTAGAAAATATATTTAAATATTTTAAAATTAGATCGCTATAAAAAATATATAATATAAATATCATTTTGTAAAAAACAAAATTTCATATAATACAAATAAATAAAAAGTATGCTTATTTATTTATAATTAATATAAACTAATTTCATAGAAGATGTAGGATTTTAAATTAGATAAAAATATATTTCTTTAAAATATAAAAATAAATGAATTTTGAATGAGTTTGTTATATATTTAATTTCATTCCTGTTTTTTTAATATTGATTTTTTTATATATTAAATATGTAGGATTATATTGATAATATTAGTATTAAATTATTAATTTCTTTTTATAAATAAATATTATATTATTATATACTCCATCCATCTCATTACAATAGTATTGTATATCATTTTTGTCCGTATTAAAATAATAGTCTCATTTTCATAAATAACTATATCACTATAAAATTATCTAACTATCAATATAATATTAATATTTCTTAAATATCGTGCCAAACACAAACTATAATTTTGAGACTATAATTTTGAGATGAAGAGAATATTATATAGAATTTTTTTTAATATTCATCTAATTTTATTTTATATAAATATTAGTACTAATTACTTATATTTCATCAAATATATTGTTTTACAAAATTAAATTTTCAAGTCAATATATATTGAATTTGTTTATCCAATAATTTTTTTGTTGTAGGATTGCTGATATAGAAATATTTTTTATTATCTATATAATTCTTATGCCTAATATACAAAGTAAATTTATCGGAACAAACTCTAAGTTAAAATTTCATTTTGTTTTTCTTTTTTATTTTTGAGAAAAATATAAATAGAGAAAGTCAGCTACGCTGAGAATACTACGGTGCTGGCTTGGCTTGGCTTGGCTGCATACACAGGCACAGCAGCAGAGCTAACTGTATAGAGTTCGCTTCTGACTGCACTGATCTTCATCCAGCTGCGGTGAGAAGGAATTAATCTCATCAACCACTCAGTTGGGCAGATCCGACTACAATTGCGGAGTCTCGGCTATTTGGGTTACCTAGGGTTTGATTGCCGATGGCTTTGTCGTGCTAAGAAGGTGTGAGAAACCTAAACCCTAGGTTTTGCGACGATGGAGCCGAGAGTGGGGAACAAGTATCGTTTGGGTCGGAAGATAGGCAGCGGGTCGTTTGGAGAGATCTATTTAGGTTAAATTTTATGGATACGTATCGGTTCGGTTGCACTTGTTATTTGTTTCTAATTTTTGCTGATTGCGTTATGGTGTTTTGGTTTTCTTTGTTGCAGGGACTCATGTGCAGACGAATGAGGATGTTGCAGTAAAGCTTGTTAGTTCTTCTAACATCTTTCATCTTCGCCCCCTACCTTTTCGAATTTTCAGTAGCAGTTTACGTTTTCGTTTTGGTTGATGGTTGTGTTGTTTACGTGTGGAATTTATGTCCTTTTACTTGAGTCTGGTGGGCATGATTGTGTAATTTACTTGCTGAATAATGATCTGATGAACTTAAGTGATTGATCTAGTGAAACTGTTGTCTTACTTTGTTTTTAGTGTTTTTATAGGTTTTGGTTATTCCTACAGCTCCAATTGTTTTTTCTTGTTTAGATGAATCTCTGAATTCGAGTGGAGTGGGTAACTAAAATTTAGCTGATCGGCTGTTGCCCGTTGTTTAGGTTGTTCGTTATTTAGGAAAATGTTAAGTATGGAATCACAGCAACTATGGGGAATAATAGGAAGTTATTTTTTTTTTTTTGTGCAATTGAGGATTCCAGTTAGCAAATAATTTGGATTGTTATTCGTGTGCTGCTATTTGATCATGTTTGTTTTGCCTTTGACTAGATTCCCTAACATGTAGTATTCATTTCTAACTAAACTTAAACGTATTAATGCTTCCGGTGATTTGATTGGTGGGAACAGAGCCTATCCATTCCTTTCTAGTTATGGAGATCGAGGCAATCTCAGATGTCAGGATGACACGTGACGTATTTGCAGGCTATTTATTCCTTACTAGATTCTTAACAAATCGAGAACTTTAATACCACGTTGCCTAGTTACTGGATCTGTATCCATCATATCATCGTGTCCTGCATGTTCACCATTTCATTGTTTTTTATGCGGTTTCAAGGACTTTTAATTGGTGTTGTTTCTTCGTTATGCAAGCTTTAGTAGGAGCTCTATTGATGAGTACTCAACTTGGACTGTGGCTTTTGATATCGTATTTGATGTTTTCAGGAAGATGTGAAGACAAAGCATCCTCAATTGCTGTATGAGTCCAAGTTGTACAGAATTTTACAGGGCGGAAGTAAATATTTATTTAAAACTTAAATATACTTTAGATAATATTCACTGTTTGTTTAAAGATCATATTTTCATTTTATATGTTATGTGAACTCTAATTCTAGACATGATATGCAGCTGGGATACCAAATGTGCGATGGTTTGGTGTTGAAGGAGAATATAACGTTCTAGTTATGGACTTGCTTGGACCCAGTCTTGAGGATCTATTCAATTTCTGCAGTAGGAAATTCTCTTTGAAGACGGTCCTCATGCTTGCAGATCAAATGGTTGATATTTTCGTCTTTTAGTTGCATTTTAATATATTTGCATGGCTGGTTGTAGGAAATGATATATTTTTCCCCATGATATGATATACATGGATACCTCAAGTTATAAGCTCTCTCTGTGATGCTGTCAGATCAATCGTATCGAGTTTGTCCATTCAAAATCATTTCTACATAGAGACATCAAGCCAGATAATTTCCTGATGGGCTTGGGAAAACGTGCAAATCAGGTTTGTCTTTGCAATTTGATTTCTGTTGGACAGTAGGTTAACTTACATACTAACTAGTTTTTCTTTAAAAGGTTTACATCATTGATTTTGGTCTGGCAAAGAAATATAGAGACAGCTCAACGCATCAACATATTCCTTACAGGTGAGATGTGTATCAATTTCATGTTTTTCAGTGACGTCATTAATGCTCAGTAGTCGTTAACTTACAATTTAGTATTCCTCTCATTTATGATTCGATTCTCAATGTGCTATCATGCTTGTAGGATTAATATGTTGGCTTTTAGTCTATTTAAGATTTTGTCGTATGGATGCTATTTAAGTGTTTAGTTATATTTCTATTTTTAACAGCTATTTCAATTTATTTAAGCTAATAATTTAATAAAATAGCGCGTGGTGTACTCCGCAATATATACAAGCCTTTTCTGTTTTCTACATTTGCCAAGCTGTGGGCCCTGATGGCAATTACTCGTCATTTTCTTAACCTTTAAAAGCGTCTATGAGGTGGAGCAATTTGGTAATAGTTTCATTGCAAATACCGCAGGGAAAACAAAAATCTGACTGGAACTGCGCGGTATGCTAGCATGAACACTCACCTGGGTATAGGTCGGTGATTTTTCTTTCTGCTAGTATATTCTGATATCTGCACTCACTCTATTACAGTTGAAGAATATTCTATTTCTCTGAGATGTTATGGTTTTTCTTTATAGAGCAAAGCAGGAGAGATGATTTGGAATCTCTAGGATATGTCTTGATGTACTTCTTAAGAGGAAGGTAGCTGCTTCACCCTTTTCATTTTTTTTTTTTTAGTTCTTAATTGTCGATTGAGCTTTATGGCTTGACATGTTTTTCTACAGCCTTCCTTGGCAGGGACTGAAAGCTGGAAATAAAAAACAGAAATATGAGAAAATAAGTGAGAAAAAGGTTTCTACTTCGATTGAGGTAATATTATCTTGGATAGTTGTGGTTGGAACTGCATCCTCTGTACGGGAATATAGAGCTGGTTTGCATTTTTCCAGGCACTGTGTCGAGGTTACCCAACTGAGTTTGCATCATATTTCCATTATTGTCGTTCGCTACGATTTGATGATAAGCCAGATTATGCATACCTTAAGAGATTATTACGAGATCTCTTCATTCGCGAAGGTTTGGAATCCTTTTTACTATAATTACTGTTTCTTCAAACAACCTGTTACTATCTTTCCAATTGATGGACCTGAGTCTTTTTAGAGAATGGGATTTCTTTATATATGTTATTCTTGCATCCAGGTTTCCAATTCGACTATGTTTTTGATTGGACGATATTGAAGTATCAGCAGACAGAGACAGCAACAGCTTCCCGCACTCTTGTAAGGAATGAACCAGGAATTTATCTTTCAAGGTGCACCACCCCAATTTTCTCCATTTTCATTTTATGTCTTTGTTTCAGGGTCCAAATGTTGGGACAAGCTCAGGATTCCCTCCTGCAGTTCCCGGTGGTGATCGACTGCCGGGTATGTTCCATGAGAATCTCGAGTATCAGTAAATCTTCCTCAGTCCATTTTCAGCATATAGAATATCTGACAGATCTAGATTATCTTTCACCATGGTGTTTTAAAACCCTTTAATACTCTTTGCATTGTTAAGTCTTTTCATTGAAATTTTCTGCAGGCGAGGAAGAGGGGAAGCAAGTCGGTACTTCCGCGGATCCTTCTAGAAGAAGAAGCTCTGGACCGCCTGTAAATGCCAGAAACTTTTCGAGACAGAAGAGCCCAAATGCAAATGATTCTGCTAACAAAGACGCCATGGTTAGCTGAGAATTTATTATCGAAATGGCACTAGACTTGGCTTTATGCTTTATTAGTTTGTTTTTTACCTTTTTATTTAGAGTATCAAATTCATTGTTCTTCATCTTAAAACAATACTTTCTCATCTAGGTACAAGGTCTAGCAAAAATGTTCGATCGCAGTCATAGATTTATATACTACTTTCTGGTAGAAGCAAAGTTTTACTGAATAGGCGTGACATTTAGATATTTAACGATTAAGATTCTGTAGTTTCATACGATTGCATTGTTCTTAGTACAATTAATGTTTCCATTGGAATATTTGCAGATCTCGAACACTGCCCTCTTTGGGAAGTCCAGCGGACCACAGAGACGGGTTGCTAATCCCGGAAGCCAAGACACCTTCAGCTTCCCCGTGGGAAATGATTCCAACCGCACTCCACCGGCCATGAACAAAGTATCAAGTGGCCAAAGAGTCTCGCCTGTAGGCATGCCTTCCGACCCTTCCGGAAGGATCAGTTCCAGCGCAAAGAATTACGATTCTGCAGTCAAGGGCATGGAGAGTTTGCACTTTGACGACGAACAAAGGTACCGTTAAGCATTTGCGCCATTACATCTATGTAAATCATCAGACTTTATGATATTTCTATCGGTCAGTTCCCTTCGATGAAAATGTGCATTAAACTTGTGAAATCACTCCGCGTTTTTTTCTGTTGTTTTTAAAAAAACTGCGAGACTATGCACAGAAATTGTGAAAACCAGAGTAGCTTTGTCGATGATGCATGTGGTGTGAGTCTTTGGTTTGCATCAGACCTTATTTTCTTGTGGCCTTGCTTATATGCTATGCTACGACTGAATTGTAAAATTTGGCTACTTTGGCTTTTCACAATGTTATCGTCGACATGTTTGATGTACTTACTTATGGTCTTGGTTACTTAAATTTCAATTCTTTAGCTCTTTTTACTATTTGGATCATGTGATTTTATTTTATTTTTTATTTTTACAAAATATTTTATTATATATGATTTTAATATCAAATTTAAATAAAAAAAATTCATATTCCATAAAAAGAAACACAAGTTTTCATCTGAAGAATTTTATAGGCTGTCGATAACAACTTCTATATATATTGCCAAGATTTGCTATGAAACGCTATGTCCCATCAAAGCTCCAAACAAATTAAAATATTGGTTCGAGATCTATTTTGTACGCATTTTCGGGTTATAATGCATAAAAAAAAAGGAAAAAAAACAAATAAATATATTGATTTTGAATGAATCAATAACAAATTAAAAAGGAAATTTTGAAAAAGTCAGAACTATAGTAAAATAATGTACTTATTCTACATTTGTATTTACACACTAATGAATTAATCTATAATATTTTATAAATAGAAAAAAGTACCTATATTTTATTTTTGGAATAATCGTCACCATAAAAATATTCAAAAGGAATTTATTTTTAGTGCCCACCGTCAATTTCAACTAATTTTATTTCAGCGCACAGCCAACGCTCCGTAAGAATTTGGTTAGGCAGTAGTAGCTTACCAACAATACGACGACGACGTCGTTTCCGCGGAAATCACACAACACACAATCCAACGGCTGAGAAAGCGCGTGGGGATACACATCACTCACGCGCGTGGGATTGATTACTGTCCCCCGCTCGCCCATCGCCTTCTCTGCAACGAAGGCCCGCCATTGCTGTCCCGACCTGAAGAGCATTCAATGCTCACAGAAAAACTTGAACGACTCAATTGACAAACAAAAAAATGCTAAAATTGAAGAGCATTGGTGTCGCCATCGCCGAATTCATGCTCTCTCTCTCTCCAACTTTGCACTCACATCACATGGCTGTGAATCGATGTAAAGCTACAGTTCAACTGCGACATGTGGGCAAAAGTTCCTCCCCATGAATGCCAATGTGGACTATGGATAAAAAGGAAAGCAGAGGGTTGTAGTTCGTCAATGTGCGGATAGAGTCGGGAGGAAAAGAGGAGCGAGCGGCAGCAGGATGGGGGGATGGGGGCAGGGGCAGGAATTCAACTAGCTGCACATGGGAACAAGGTTAAAGGCAGCCATTAATGCAAGGTTTCAACCGTATGCTGCTTTGCTGCAGCTTACCCACAGCAATTAATGAAATCCAACCAACAATGCCAGCGGAAAGCTGTCTTTTACTCGCCCCTAAATTCCTGCTTAAATTCCACCAGAGTTCACGCCAATTGCCATTTTTCTCGCACTAGTAATTGCTCCCTGCCCGCGGACCGATGTGGAGCTCGGCGGAGAATTTGTCGGCGCGGTCGGAGTCGTTCCGGGAGGACGGGGATGACGAGGAGGCTTTGCGGTGGGCCGCTCTGGAGCGTCTGCCGACGTACCGCCGCGTGCGGCGGGGGATTTTCACGAACATGGTGGGGGACTCCAAGGAGGTCGAAGTGCATAAATTGCAGGCCGAGGAGCAGCGGATCGTCTTGGATCGGCTCATTAGATCCGTTGATGATGATTGGGAGAAGTTCTTCACTCGATTGCGACGTCGTTTTGACAGGTTAGGTTTCCGCCATGCTTGCCCTCCTTTAGCTTACTGTTCAGCTCTCTGAAACTATACATAGTTACATACATACATATAAATATATATATATATATGTACTGATTGAGACGTAATTTTTATCAACTTCGATCACTCTCAAACTCACTTTTGGATGATGTTTCCAATGGAGGAAAAAAGATCAGAAATACTGAATCATCCATTGCATCGCTTCGGATTTTAGGGCTACAAATTTCTTGCTGTTTAGGGTTTCCATATATAATCTTGAGGTTGTTAATAATCGTCTGTGGGCAGCTTAGAATCGAACATCATCCATTAGCGTCAATTTCAGTGAATGATTCTTGATTGCTGCCCAAAATAAATAGATAATTAGGTTTAGGTACACAAGACAAAGAAATGGATAAACAAACACTGATTTCAGGCGCAGAAGTCAAGAAGAATGAATTCTGATTGTGGGATTTAATAATTCTTCATTGCTTCGAAGAATTTAGGAAAAAGGGGTCATTTTAAATATAGATACCTTGGAAACTACTTAATTGAATAAGCTTATTAATTTAAGTCTTTTAATTACATTTGAGGTAGGAATAGCAGCTTTGATACTGGAAAGTGCTACACGCTTTATGAAGTCAAATTTATATCAGCTTTGATACTGGAAAGTTTGACGCTTTATAAAGTCATTTTGTCTCATCTGGCGGTTGGATCATTTGTTTTATAGCTTGGACAAGACGATCATGTGTCTCAGCTTGGATGTCTTTTTGAGTTTGGATTGAGAAGATTTGGTTTGTATTTGGTATTTAAATAATATTTGATATGATATTTTATTCTAAATAAAAAAATAAAAATACTTCCTCCTTTTCAAATTAAAGGGACATTTTGAGTTTTGTATTAGATTAAAAAATAATAATATTTTATTAGATTAAAAAATAATAGTTTTTGATATATTTGCTTTTTGACTTTCTGAATAAAGTAGTATATTTTTAATTTAAATAGAAGCTAAAAGGGTATTTTTGTATTAGTATTTGATTATTTTTTTTTAAATAGAAAAGATATGAGACATACTAAATGTACTTTGAATTAGAATATATTTTTAAAAAAATGAATAGTCAAAATAGTAATGTTTGGAATCTTTCTCAAATAATACACCAACATCTAACTCATTTGACTTTGGAGTATCAATATATATATATATGTATGTGTGTCTGTGTTTACAAGATGTCTTTGACATGCAAAATATTCACAAATTGCATCTATATATACCAAATATTGAACCATTTCTGAAACTCTTTGATTTCCGAGTTTTCGGTTTCTGCTGGATTAGCAAGATACAAATTACATAACATATGCAACTTAATCATTCTCTAAGCAAGCACTTTGCTGTTTTTTCTTTTTCTAACATATTCATACAACAGAGTGCTACAATGTCGACCAAATGTTTCTATAACACTTTGAACCAATGAAGTTGATATGATCATTAACCTCTACGTAACATCTAGTTTCAAGAAGACAGTTTTATTATAAATGAATTTAACCAGACAAACTACTATTATTTTAAATAGGGTTCCCTGTACATTGAAGCATGCAAATTTTGGGTTTTGTTTGGTTTGTACTATGATAGCATTATTAGAAGTGAGTAGCTCACATGAATCTCACCAGCTCAGTTTATTATTTTCAAGGATGTATGCTATGCTGACAGGGCTTGATATCAATTGTCCAACATTCATTTTTTCCCCTCTCCAAATGATGAACTTTAAAGTTACAAAATGAATTTAGATAGCTATAATAAAGTAATGATTTGACTCTCCTGCAAACCAGTTAGTTGACTCATACCAAGCCTAGTTCTTCCATTACCAATATTTGCGAACCGGCACCGCAATAAAAATAACATAAGTAAAACATCGTAAATGCATTAGGTTTAAGGATATGGTCATGTATCTTCTGATATCATATGTGAGACCTAATATTGTCTCCTAGCCTATATCATTTTTTATGATTTTATGAACTTGATATTGTATCTTTGTTTGAAGTTACACTAGTACATAAAATGAGCTTCTATTAACAGAAAGAGGTATTCTGTTGTAGTAAAAATAATCATGCTGCATTTACTAATACTCTTTAAGAGGTTTTTATCAAATAACTTCTTTTCAAATTCCTTGTGTTTCAAATGTGTATGTAAGCTAGTAATTAAGGATGTTTGATGTTGATGATTTATTCATGTTTGAAACCAAACATGCATAGCCAGTAATTAAGGATGTTTTATGTTGATGATTTATTGTCGCAGAGTTGATCTGGAGTTCCCCAAAGTTGAAGTTCGATTTCAGAAGTTTACAGTTGAATCATTCGTTCATGTTGGTAGTAGAGCTTTGCCAACAATTCCAAATTTTATCATCAACATGACTGAGGTGCAACATTAATTGTTTTGAATTATTAGTTTTAATCAATGATGCTTTCTGTGTCTGACTCAACCTTTTCATTTTCCGATTCAAGGCTTTATTCAGGCAGCTAAGATTACTTTCTGGTAAGAGAAGAAAGCTGACAATTTTAGATGATATTAGCGGGATAATTCGACCCGGAAGGCATGTCTTGATATTAATTTGTTGCATAAACATGTTTTGTGAATGTCCTTTTTGACTTACTTGTGCTTGTTTGTTTCTCTAGATTAACTTGTGAATGTCCTTTTTGACTTACTTGTGCTTGTTTGTTTCTCTAGATTAACTTTATTATTAGGTCCTCCAAGCTCCGGAAAGACAACGCTGCTGCTAGCCTTGGCTGGACGTCTTGACTCCAATCTTCAGGTACAAAAGCTTCTAATATCATCCTCCTTTGTCATGCTTATCAAAAATGCTTATTTGAACATTGATTGGAACTTTTCAGCTGACTGTAACTTTAATCTCTCACAGATTTCAGGCAACATAACCTATAATGGACATGGTCTTAAGGAGTTTGTACCCCAACGAACTTCTGCCTATGTCAGTCAACAAGATTGGCATGTAGCAGAGACAACCGTGAGAGAAACACTAGATTTTGCAGCACATTGTCAAGGAGTTGGCTATAAATACGGTGAAGTTTAAAAAATTATGTGACCACACTGCATGTCAGCCAGATGCTAACCTTATCCTTGCCACAGATATGCTTCTGGAACTCTTAAGGAGAGAGAAGATTTCTGGAGCCAAGCCTGATAAAGATCTTGATATATTCATGAAGGTACATTCATTTCTGTTGATAAATGATGATGCTTTCATTCACTCCGGTTTCTGTTGATAAATGATGTATTTGATACTGAACTTGGCATTTTCAAGTATAAGTAGAATGAATACTAAGAACACTGTCCTGACTGCAATATAGTTATCATGTGCAAATTACCACAGCTAAGCTGTAAGGGTATAATTGCTTTTAGTGGTTGAGTTGTATAGAGGAATATACAAGAGTTTGTACCAGGGGGATGATCTTGAGGGGTGGTTGAGGAGTGGGCAGGAGGCTTGCATGTTTGTCACCGTACCTCATATCCATTAGACTTTACTTCAGAATAGTTCATATATGATGTGAAGTCAAATTTAATCCATTCCTAATGGACATCTTGAGGATTATTCCATTTGTTAAAATAATGGTTGCCCACAAAACTAATTGTAAAACATTACAATTTTGAGATAATTTTTGTATCGAAAAATTTGTGAAATACACTAGAAAGATATAGGATTCTCAGAAGTAATATAGGATTTTGTGCACCACCTCCTTGTAAAGGTAGTAGGATTGATTTTCATGGTTATGAAACTTTTCCGTTTTTCCCATTGATTTTGGGGTTGATTAGGCTTGAAAATATAACCCTGTAAATCTAAACTCCCTTAGAATAACTCTTTCGTTTAAGGCCTTCATAGATTTTATTGGGAAAAACTTCATCGTAATTTTATCTTGTTGTTTGCGCACATTAGAACTGATTGTTGTATAAACCTGGAAAAATAAAGTATTTACTTATAGATCTTCTTTTTCATGTTTATATAACTTAGAAATGTGATGATCTTCCCTTATAGCATCAATAGTATGTTCTTTACTAAGCTCACTCTCATTAGTATCTCGATTCCTTGAGTTATCTTTTCATTTTGCAAATTATTATTCTCACCCCTTCCTTGAGAAAATCCTTTTGTGTTATTGTTCATCCTAAAGATTTAAAAAATTATTTCTTCCCCTCAATGCATTTTGTTAATGTTCAATCTCTACTGAGAAAGATTACATCTGTTTTCATGTTACAGGCATTGTCCTTGGAGGGGACGGAAACTGGTCTGTTGGTGGAGTATACTATGAAGGTATTTTTCTTATGGATATCAACCATATGATATACTAAGTTACTAACTCTCACTCAACACGTGTTGCATTCTCTTGGCATGGTCATGATCACAAAGTCATCACTTATTATTCTATTAACAAATAGCTCTCTAGATTTTAGGATTGGACCTCTGTGCTGATACTCTCGTTGGAGATGAAATGATTAAAGGGATCTCTGGTGGTCAGAAGAAGCGTCTCACAACAGGTGCATATTCTATGGTTGTGGAATTTGAATCCACAATATGTTGACTACGCAAGACAATCTGACTTAGCTGATATATTTGACAGGTGAACTATTAGTGGGTCCAGCAAGAGTGCTATTAATGGATGAAATATCAAATGGTCTTGATAGTTCCACCACAAATCAAATCATCAAGTATCTTAGGCATTCAACATGTTCACTTGATGGAACCGCTGTGATTTCTCTGCTTCAACCAGCACCTGATACTTATGAGTTATTTGATGATATTATTCTCTTGTCTGAGGGCAAGATTGTGTACCAGGGACCTCGAACAGCTGTCCTTGAGTTCTTTGCACAGATGGGTTTTCATTGCCCTGAGCGGAAAAATGTAGCTGACTTCCTTCAAGAAGTATGTACTCAACGGTGCAACATGTGTTACTTTATGCTGTTTTACTTGTACTGAGATTTTTGTCTTATAGGTTGTGTCCAAGAAAGACCAAGGACAATATTGGGCTTTACATGAACAGCCTTACAGATATGTCTCGGCTTTGCGGTTTGCTGAATCTTTTAAATCAAGCAACATCGGCCGGAATTTATCTGAGGAACTGAATGTCCCATTTGATAAGAGTTATAGTCATCCTGCAGCCCTGTCATCGTCTAAGTATGGAGTCAAGAAGATGGAACTTCTCAAGACTAACTATAATTGGCAGTTGCTGCTAATGAAACGGAATTTGTTTATCTACGTCTTTAAATTCATACAGGTAATATAGCCATCAAATTACTTTCTTTTTTCTTTTAAAAAAAACATAACCATGTAGAAAATGTTTGATGTCTTACAAGAATAACTTATTATTTACTTACAGTAATTTTCATTTTGTATGCTGACAAATATGTTAAATGTGGTTATTGCCAGCTTCTTTTGGTTGCTCTGATTACCATGAGTGTTTTTTGCCGAGCTACGTTGCATCATGATACCATTGATGATGGAGGCCTTTATTTGGGAAACTTGTATTTTTCTACGGTGATTATTCTCTTTAATGGATTCACTGAGGTTTCCATGGTTGTTACCAAACTTCCTATTCTATACAAGCACAGGGACTTGCACTTCTATCCTTGTTGGGCGTATACATTACCTTCATGGCTTTTGAGCATTCCAACTTCATTGATGGAGTCTGGTTTGTGGGTGGCAGTGACATACTATGTGGTTGGATATGATCCAAACATTACCAGGTGATTATCATATTAAAGATTTGTATACTAGTCTGACATGATGATGTATTAAAGATCTAATAATCTTCAACTCTGCAGGTTTCTTCGGCAATTCCTGCTGTTCTTCTTCCTTCACCAAACATCTCTATCCCTTTTTCGTCTAATTGGTTCCTTGGGTCGTAACATGATTGTGGCAAATACTTTTGGATCCTTTGCCATGTTGATTGTCATGGCTCTCGGAGGATACATCATTTCAAGAGGTAAATGGGTTTTTCTGTGGCTTCTTTGTGTAATATCTTGTCTATATACCATAGGAATCTGGTGGATTTGATCTTACCTCCTTGACTTTGACAGATAGGATTCCTAGTTGGTGGATCTGGGGATTTTGGATTTCTCCACTAATGTATGCTCAAGATGCTGCCTCAGTGAATGAATTCCTTGGGCATGCCTGGGACAAGGTACATATTGATTAACTTTGAGAATTTTGCTCATGAATTTTTAGTATTTTGGCCTGTGAAAATCTCATTAAAGAACACTTTATAGGCCATATTAAGTACATAGTATTCGCTAACCACAGTAATATATACAAAAGGTTCTTATCTAATGGAGTTTAATTTAGAATCAATAGGTTCTGAATGATGGACTAAACTCCCCGTGATTGAGCATTTCGCTTAAAAGCTTTTTCAAAACGATTCAGGCCAAAACAGGGCATACACTATAATGCTAAAAATTCTTATGAATTAGTTTGACTGGAAATGTAAAACTTATATCGCAGTGGATGAAATATGGAACTAACTTCAATTTGTTTATAGCTCTGAATTTACGGCATCCCTTTTGCTATAAAATGACGCGAATCATATAGATGGCTGAAGTTAACTTAAAGTGGTCCATTTTTGGTCTTTTACTATATACTGTATGGTTGTTGCAAGTTGATGAGCAGAAAGTAGGTTTTCTCTAATCCTTGGACATTTTAATACATTTCAATCCTAAATCAGATTGTCACTGAAATTATATGATTTAATGTACAGAATAATCATTTTTCCTAAAAGCTTGTCTACTCTTAATATTGTGTTGGATTGAAATCATGAAACCTATGTTACATAAAATAATATTGAAAGAAGAGAAGTTTTCACCTATTGACTATAAGTTGCAGTATGAATGTTAATTAATACAAATTTATGAGCTAATCTGTGAAATGTATGTGTTTCTGTTTTATTGGTTTCTCTTATTATGTGGTTCATTTTTTCGAACACTCTGAACTCCATTCTGTAAATGTAACAGAAACAAGAAAAACTAAGAGAGCTACAATTTTGTGTAAATTGAAGATCATGCTTGAACTTGGAAAAAATTATGAATGCATGCACAAGTGTATATTGATAATTCATTTTATTCTAGCTTTTTTCTGTGACATTGAAAGGTCTGTCAAATATTTTAATGGAGCAATTCCAAGTTTTGACAGAAAGTGAGAGATGGAAAAAACCAAAATGAAAAATAGTGTGATAATTAGGCTTTCATAACATAATGCTTATATACCTGAAATTAAGAGTGCAACAATAGTCTGTTTTGATCTTCTAAATTCTATTTAGCACGCATTTAACTGTTACAAGATTGTCCACTGAAGACTCAAAACTTTAATAAGATGTTGAAGTAATATTTCTAATCCTTGTAGAGCATTGAGGGCAACTCAACTTTGTCATTGGGCCAAGCTTTGCTAAAGTCTCGTAGTTTTTTCTCGCAAAGTTACTGGTACTGGATTGGTGTTGGTGCTATGGTTGGTTATACCATCTTATTCAATCTCCTTTTCACTTTCTTCCTAGCAAAGCTGAACCGTAAGTCCACTTATAATATTGGAAATTTGGTAACTGGGAGCATTTTTGTTACACAATGAATAAACTAAATCTCCTTCTTCTCTTCTTTTAACTTTCAAATCTCCTAAAGCTTTGAGGAAGCATCAAGCTATTGTTTCTAAGGAAGAGCTTGAAGAAAGAGATAAGATGAGGAAAGGGGAACCTGTTGTTATCCAGTTGAGAGACTTTTTACAGCATTCAGGCTCATTTGCCAGTAAGAATAAGTCTTCTATCTGCTAGTTATAAACCAGCGATTTCCCAAAATTCTACTTTACTACTTTGGAACTCACGTTCATCCTTTAATTTGCTTGTCAGAAAAGAGTTTTAAATCCAAAGGCATGGTGCTTCCTTTTCAGCCGCTTTCTATGTCTTTCAGCAATGTTTGTTACTACGTGGATGTGCCTCTGGTATTTCAGCTATCCGATAAATTTAAATATAATTTCAAGGATGCATTTCTCCTCATATCTATCATGTGTAAATCATCAGGAACTGAAGCAGCAAGGTATAGCAGAGGACAAATTGCAGTTGCTGAACAACATCACAGGAGCATTCAGGCCTGGTGTGCTAACTGCATTAGTTGGAGTAAGTGGTGCTGGAAAAACCACTCTTATGGATGTATTAGCTGGTAGAAAAACCGGAGGACTTATAGAAGGAGACGTCAATATATCTGGTTACCCTAAAAACCAGGAGACTTTTGCTAGAATATCTGGCTACTGTGAGCAGAATGATATCCATTCTCCCTGTTTAACTGTTCGTGAATCGCTTCTTTTCTCTGCTTGGCTGCGGTTATCATCAGAGATTGACCTGGAAACCCAACAGGTAAGTTAATGCCGTTGCTGTTTTTGAATTCTAGACTTCAATAACTCAATAAAATATTTGCATCCTCAGGCATTTGTTGATGAGGTGATGGAGCTTGTGGAACTCATTCCTTTGAAAGGAGCCTTGGTTGGTCTACCGGGAGTTGATGGCTTATCAACAGAGCAAAGAAAGCGCCTTACTATTGCTGTTGAGCTGGTTGCTAATCCATCCATTGTATTTATGGATGAGCCCACATCAGGACTGGATGCTCGAGCTGCAGCTATTGTCATGCGAACTGTGAGGAATATTGTAAACACTGGCAGAACTATAGTTTGCACAATTCACCAACCCAGCATTGACATCTTTGAATCCTTTGATGAGGTTCTACTTCTCTTCATTACTGGTTGACTTCTAATGCCGCAGATTTTATAATGCAAACCCATAGAAAGATATTCAAAGCATATATATATATATTTAGTCTCAATGTATCTATTAAACTACATCCATCTCAAAACTAACTTAAACTGTTTAATCTACTGACCAACAGATCTTATTAGTCATTTGGAACTGTGTAGGAAGTTTCATACTTCATCAAAAATTTTATGCTTGATGCTGATAATCTGTTAGCTCTGTGTGGCAGCTTTTGTTTATGAAGCGGGGAGGAATGCTCATATATGCCGGTCCTCTTGGTCCTAAGTCTTGTAAACTCATCGAGTATTTTGAGGTCTGAATGCTAGGCTTTGGCACTTCATTCTGGTGCCTGCTTCATGATGTCAGTCACTGAAAGTTCATATTCTTTGCTTCTGTTGTTTGCCTAGGGGATTGATGGAGTACCGAAGATTAGGCCTGGACATAATCCTGCAACATGGATGCTAGAGGTTACATCGCAAGCAGCGGAAAGCTGCCTCGGCGTTGATTTTGCTGAAATTTACAGAAAATCTAAACTATTTCAGTATGTCCATATAAAATCTAGCTTGCTAGTTGAAGTTATTAGTTCTCGTCTCACAAGGATATAACTATATTGTATGTCTGTGTTGTATTTCAGATATAACAAAGAGTTAGTTGAGAGGCTAAGCAAACCAGCCGATGATTCAAAAGATCTTCATTTTCCAACAAAGTTTTCTCGATCATATTTTGATCAATTTGCGGCTTGCCTGTGGAAGCAACACCTATCATACTGGCGAAACCCACAATACACTGCAGTTCGTTTCTTCTACACAGTAATAATATCTCTGATGCTGGGAACAATATGCTGGGAATTCGGTTCCAAAAGGTCTACACTTCTTATAACAATTTTTTCTATTAAAAGTCGCAGCTATATATTTAGTTTCAAGCTCTTTCTTAGACATGTCTATGCCGTGTGTTTGTATTTGCAACTTCCGTGGGAAGCTATTTGATAAGTGCTCTTGTGTTTGTCTTCTAAGCAATATGGGTGCTATTCTTCTTCTTACATAAACTTAAGATTGTACAACCCGGTGATGGAAAACAATGACGTGGCTTCTGTGCTTGACGATATTACATTATATATATACATATATATATTCTTTCATTCCATTGATTCTCCCATGCTCACAACTTTTAATGCATGACAGGGATACGCAGCAAGATATTTTCAATGCTATGGGTTCCATGTATGCAGCTGTGCTATTCATCGGAGTTACAAATGGCGGCGCTGTACAGCCCGTGGTTTCTGTTGAAAGATTTGTTTCGTATCGGGAGAGAGCAGCAGGAACATATTCTGCTCTGCCTTTTGCATTTGCTCAGGTGTTTTTTTTCTGCTACCTCCCACTTCATCTATAACTCTATTTGGTTTGCTCGTGTTGGTTGACTTCCGTTTGTAGATAAATAATTAAATGATGACGTATCCTAACATTTTAAGCTTTTAGGTGTGTCGGTCATTTATTTCATAACAGCTCGCCTTCAAGCATGTCCTTGATTGAAATTTTCTTTCATTCAGGTCATCATAGAGTTTCCCTATGTGTTGGCACAAGCACTAATCTACTGCACCATCTTCTACTCCATGGCTTCCTTCGAGTGGACTGCTTTGAAATTTTTATGGTACATCTTCTTTATGTACTTCACAATGCTCTATTTCACCTTCTACGGCATGATGACCACAGCCGTCACACCCAACCACAATGTCGCCGCCATTATTGCTGCACCTTTCTACATGCTGTGGAATCTATTCAGCGGTTTCATGATACCACACAAGGTTTGCTACACTTTGAGATTTAAGTGTAGATGATGACATTAATATTCTTAACAAACATTTCCGAACATTTCTGTACTTCTTCGCGCAGAAAATTCCCATATGGTGGAGATGGTATTACTGGGCGAACCCCGTGGCATGGAGCCTCTATGGTCTCGTTGCATCTCAGTACTCCGACAGCGACGAGCTCGTGAAACTTTCAGACGGAGTCCACTCAATGTCGAGGAAAGTGTTGGTTAAGGATGTCTTTGGTTTCAGACATGATTTCGTCGGCCTTGCAGGTGTTATGGTGGTCGGATTTGCCGTCTTGTTCGCAGTGATCTTCGCCTTCTCCATCAAGTCTTTCAACTTCCAGAGGAGATAAATAATAAAGTATAATAGTCTGTGTGTGTGTGTCTCTGTTGGTTAGTTACTACTGCATATGGAAGCTGTAAATTTTGTATGAAAAAGATTGAGCTTTGTTTTTGTTGTTGATAGTCATAAAATTTATATGTTGAATTGATTCTATTATTTGTTGTGTTTTTAGTGTTTTTGATAGAGATGACATTTGTTGGTGTAAACTAAATTGGTACATTAATTTGCATTTTATAAACATTTTATGCATACATACAACTTGATTATATGGATGTTGCTCATTATTCTCTTAATTTGTGTTAGCTATTAATATACTCCCTCCAATTTAATTTGTCAATGTCTCTTTCATTTATGGAAATATAATTGTATTTTAAAATTAATAATTAATAATTTTTTATTTTAATTAAATTATTTACTTACTTATTGATTATATACTACTTAAAATACTAAAATGAACAAATTAACTGTGACGAAATTAGTAATATTTAAAAATTTGCGCGACACTTTTCCTTTGGTGTGGAAGGAATATATTAGTATATAAAAAGTAAGTGCATTTGGCTGTAAATTTAAATTTTTTAAAAATAAAAAGTTGAATTTAATAATTGATTTGATGATATATATATATAAATAGATATTTAATATAATATTTTAAATATAAAATAAATTTGTAATAATTGTTTGATTTAATATTTTTTTTAAAAATATATTCCTCCTTCTCATAACAAAATATCTTTTTTAGTAACGGACTATCTACCTAATATTATAAATATCCTTATAATTTAAAATATATTTCATAAATTCCATTACTTTTAATACTTATTTTAATCATTTTTATTTTATTCCCACTGTACCATAATATAATACTAATATTTCTAAAATTAATTTACATTAAAAATAAAATCCATATAAAATTTACATAAAATAATACTTCCTTTTGGGACGAAGTAATAAAAATCCGAAGTAATAAAAATCCATATAAAATTTACATTGAAACGCGACTTTAATTTTACTGCGTATAACACAAAAATATAAAATATACACAATTATTATAATAATTAAAAAAGAAAATGAATTTCTTTAGAAATTTTCTATAGAAAAAAAATTCAATAAAGTTTACTAACAATAATTTATTATAATAATAATATTATTATTTTAAATTTATTATAACTAATTTTTCGATCGGAAAATTTATTATAATTATTGCTGATATGGATGCTAGGGTTTGCAAACGCCCTTAAACTTAAAAATTGCTGGTTGAGGTGATCAGTTCTCAACTTTGGGGTTCCGGTGGTTATTTGTTGTTTCACTTCGTGACCAGCTTGCCAAAGGTATTCTGATTGTTTAATTTCGATGCGAAACTGAATTGTGGTTTGGGAGTTATTTGGCGTGTTTTCGTTAATTTTGTTGCTGCGGTCCCCTGAAAAAAATGCGTATGCGAAATTGAACTGTGGTTTTGTGTTTTTGGTGTTGGGATTGGTGTTTGGTGGCTTCAATGGTTGTGAACAATAAGCATGGGCGTTGTCGAATTCATGGAGGTAGATTTTATTATGTTTACGAGAAGTTTGAGATGGTGATGTTGTTGAACTTCAAATTGAACTTTTATTGATTGAGTTTTGTCAAATTTTATTAATCTCTAGATCTAGTTATTGTCTTCGAATTGAAAATTTAAGGTTATCGGAGGACTGGTTGGTGCCTATTGATTTTGATTAGGTGATGGCACCATTTCTGGGTAATGGACAGTAATCTGTGTGTTGGACTTTGGGGAAAATGTAATTTTCGGCAGAAATAACACACCTGATAATCATATTAGATAACAATTCTATATATCTCACATAAAAATATATCTCACATAAAAAAAAAAAAAAAAAATCTCTTCAAATTATTTTACAAAAACAAATACTCCAGCTATCTTACATAATGTGCTAAATAGGAGTGAACAGAATATTCGAACCTAATTGGTGAACTGTTGAATTGAACGAAACTTAATCGTATTTTAGGTTAATGGAGAAAATTTTGTTCAAATATAAATATGGTATACTCCTTCGTCCAGGACAGTAGGTGTATTAAAATTATAAATAGATAAACTTTTTTATTATAAATAGATTATGTATAAGATAGTCGTCAACAGAAAACTAGCTCAAGACTAGAGGGAATGGTTGATATTTATTTAGTTCGGTTCGATTTTAGTTTTTAATATACTTTTCAGTTAATTGAACCGAACGGAACCAAATTTATTTATATTACAATATTTAATATTTTATACTAATAGTTGTATTACATACATTAAAAATTGTTAAGATTTATATTAATATATTATCAAAATTAAATATAAATACAATTGTAGTTTAGTTTGATTAGGTTTGAAATATTTGTGAATATTTTCGATTAATCTAATTTTTTATTCTCTCCGTAAATACAGTCTTAATTGGGTTGGAGACAAGATTTAAGGAATATTGATATTATATTGGCAGTAGGTAAAAAGTATGGATACAAGACTTTTTTTTCCTTTGTGAGTGTATTAGTGTAAAAAGTAGTGGTAATTGTGTAATAAAAATGAAAAAGTAGGGGTAGTTTTATGGTGATATGGTTATTTATGGCAATAAGACTATTGTTTTAAAACGGACAAAAATAGTAAACAAGACTATTGTATTGGGACGGAGGGAGTATTATTTATTGAATGCATTCGATTCAGTTCAAATTATTTGCTAATGATAAAAATATTTTCACAGTTAATCGAATAATTATGTTTATGGTTTACGATTTTGAATATTTGTTCAGTTTGATTCTAATAACAAATACTATAAATTTACAAATAACCAAACTATATCCACGCTAGTGCTAACTAATCGTTTCGATGCATTTTTTTATTTGCAATGTAAAAAATAAAATTAATTGAAGGAGTTTAACTTTTATATGGGGCTAAGAAGTGAAATGGCTACTCCCTGAGAATAAAAGAAATTGGAGAGCAGAAAATCAAGCTCCATTTTAAATAGTAATTGAAATTGATATGAAATGAGGTGCTGATTTGAGTTTTTGTTTGAATATTATTTTGATGTGATATTTTCTAAGAAATTTTAGTGTATTTTTTATTGAAAACTGTGAATGATGAATGATGTTGATTTTCATTTTGATTTGAAATGGTAAAAGAATAAACTCTGATGTGGAAGTTTTGGAGTTTTAAAAATAGTAAAAAATTGGTATATAATGTGAAATTTTGTGAGAGAAAATATATCTGATGTGATATTTTTGTCAAAATATGTTGTGTAAACAAAATTGAGTTGTTGAAAATTCTTTATTTTATTTTTAAAAAGCAGTATGAAAACAAATTGGCAGAATCTCCATATTTGTTTAACGTGGGTGATATACCATAGGTTCTCTTACTTTTAAGTTTTAAGCATTATTCATCAACAATATATTTTACTTTTCGTAAAAGAAGTATCTCACTGAATGCATGTTATATACCAGATTGTGTGTTTTGGTTCGAAGGAGAATTTTTTTATGTAAGGTATAAAAAATTATGTATGTAATATAAAAATAATGTGTGCATAATATATATAAATATATATATTTGAGGAAATGTGTTGGGGTTTTTTTCACAAAACAAATTTTTTACTAAAATTTCAAAAGTCTTGGCCTTTGAAACTCTGTTCCAGATGGGTATTTTACCGCAACAGCGGCGTGGGGATCCACCTTCTCGCCCTATGTTTTCCCCAGCTGCTTCCGTTGATGACTCCCGTCCAATCCCTGATGTAAACATTCGTCTGGAAAACATAGAAAGCCAAGTTCTAGCACTCCGGGCGGACATGAGGACACTGATTGCAGAGATCCGAGCCCGCCAGCAATCTTCAGTTGCGCAAGGTCCGGGCTATGAGACCGAGGACATCCCAGACCATGCAGGTGGGAGCAACGGTAAGTGACAGCCCTCTCTCAGCGCTCTCTTGATGCACTATGACTTTCCAGTTATCGTTACTACTTACATATTGATTACTGTTCCACCGTATCGATTACAATTGGATAAATCTGCCCTAGCAATTTTCCTTTTCTCGCGATGGGCAGCGGCATGCTGCAAGTATGTTATATATATATATATATATATTTCGGTATTCATCTAGTAGTAACTTTTGTAGTTATCTTATTGTATGGTATTCGTAGTTCTAGTAATTTCATCGAGGTGTGGCTGTTTGTTCTAAACTTGATGATGGTACGAGTCGTATATATTTTCATGAAGGATTTGGATTCGTGGCTGAAAGTAAAAAAAAAAAAAAAAAAAAAATCAGTATTGTACGGAGCTGTCCAAAATCGACTGCCCCCTCCGCCATGCCCGCCTCCTCCTCCACCGAGCTGTCCTCGCCACCACTGCCTCCTCTTCCAAATAAATTTTTATGTCGGGAAACCAAATGTTTTACCATACGTGAGATAAAAGGGTAGTATTTCAAATGGAGAAGGTTACCGTGCTGAATTTGAAAAATCAGCGCCTCTTTGTAATACAAGCATGTGTTGTTGGTTTATAATTATAATGTATGAGAGTGTTGTTGGTTCATAAGTCATGTGCTAGAATTAAATATTATATGTGATGTGTAAAATTATTTGTATTATATTAATCGTATACTGTAGCCGTCGCCATTTTAAATAAAAAATAGTAATGACATATGATATAAGGAGACTTATTTTACAATGCAAGTAGAAAATGTAAAGATAAATAATACATAATGTAAAAACAAATAATACATATGACTAACCGTAGATTGACTCACACAACATATAATATAAAACAATGAATGTAGGAATTAGGATATAGAAATATACATCACATGAATTATATTACTATAATCTTACAAAATATTGATTTAAATACAAATATATTAATAGAGCAGCTTTACAACTATTTCGATTTCAAATTTAGTTGGATTATAAAAGCCCAATTAGATACTGGGCCAGCCCAATAATTTAGAACACACTCAAAAAACATGAGAAAATGAATGGCAATTACGGACAGTGAAGAGAGAGCGGCCGACTTATTACATAAATTTGGAAATAAAATTAATAATTTTGAACTTTCCAATGCGAGATCGCCACGTGAACCAACTATGTATGTATATATGTATGTATATGTGGGTGTGTGTACGAATTTTCTTCTTATAATTGTGGTTTATAGCAAACCCTAGCCACCATCATCTAGTGGCCGTACGGCACCGCCTGGAGCCGCCACCGCCTTGATCGGTGCTTAATTTAGATTGTTCGTTGAGGTGATCGGCTCTAAAATTTGATCGGTATTCTGTTGTCGGCGAGCTTGCGTTGCTGTTTTTATTTATTGTATCGCTTCTTGGTCAACTTGCTAGAGGTATTTTGATTTGTTAATTTTGTTGATGTGGTTCGGTGAAATGTTTATGTGACATTGAATTGTGGTTTGAGAGTAATTCGGTAGTGTTTTCGTTAATTTTGTTGCTGTTGCAAATTTGAATTGTGGTTTGGGAGTGATTCGGCGTTGGAATTGGTGTTTGGTGGCTTCGATGTTGTGAACCCTAAGTTTGGGTGATCGAAGGCGTTGTCGATCAGTGGTAATTCAGCTGTTTGCGGCTGATTGTGTTTTGAGAATTTATTGAAGTGGATTTCATTATGTTTACGTTACTAGGTGAGAATACTAAGTTCTTAGTTTGTTATGATGATGTTGAACATCAATTTGAACTTTAATAGATTGGGTTTAGTCAAATTCTATTGATCTGTATATAGATCTTGTTATTTTGTGGAATTGAGAGCTGGGTGAGGTTGAACTTTAAAGAATTAATGGTTTTTTTACTTCGGGTTTTTGGATTTTTGAGTTGTTTTAGATAAACCATGCGAATTTTGTCTAGTAATGGACTAAGTGGTCGGGATTTGAGTGAAATGTTTAATTTTCGTTATGTTTACTAGAATATTAAGTCCTTGATTGAGATGATGATGTTGAACATCAATTTGAACTGAAATTGATTGAGGTTTTTCCCAATTTTACCGATTTGTCTTGTTATTTTCTGGAATTAAGAGCTGGGTAAGGTTGCACATTGAAGATTGTTGCAAGACTGGTTGGTGCCTATTGATTTTGATTCAGTGATGGCTGGCCAATGGGGTTAGCTTCGCCATTTCTGGGCAATGAACCAAGTGGTTAATTGATAACCGATGTGCTAGAATTTGAGGGATTTATTTGTGGGAAATGTTCAAATGTATAATTTTCAATAGAAATAACTCATCGGAAGGAGGTGTGTTCATAGGAGCAGAGATACATGAAGTTGTAACTAATTGTTTCGATGTTTCTTTTTTTTCCTTAAATGTCATTTTGCAATGTAAAAAGTCAAAAGTAACTTAGGGAGTTTAACTTTATGGAAATAGGAAATGAAATGCAAAACACACTTGAAGATGGCTACACTAGAAAATAAATGAAGTAGGAAATATTTTTTATTATTTTGTTTTACGAGCTATATGAAAAAAAGTTGGCTTGTATTTCCCGATGGCTTGTAGCTCGAATGGTTGAGCCCTCCCTTGACATGCTTGAGGTTAGGGGTTCGATCCCGTCGGGTGCATAAGTGTGCGCGTGCGGGTAAATTAACATTATAAAAAAAAGGTGACCTGTATTTGCCATTTTTGTTTAAGGTGGGTATATTAATTATATAAACTATATTCTCATTTTGCTCGTAATTTATCCGACTATGTGTATATATGGCGCATTCTATTCGATCTTTCTTAATCTGCGCTTATTGTTTGATTGCAGTTTCGGATTCTTTTCTTCCTAAAGCTGTCGAAAGGCAACTCCTTTATTTGTTCCAATCAGTTCATAATCGTATCCGGTTTTTAGTATGCCTAAAGATAGTCGAGAGCGATCTTTGTCCCTCGACAGGGCAAGCCTATCTCCATTTCCTTGCAGATCTACTTCAAGACAGCCTCAACCAAAAAACCCATTAGAGGACGATAAAAATGCCAAACAATGGGAAGATGCTCGATGTCCGGTTTGTATGGAGCATCCCCACAATGCTATTCTACTTATGTGTTCGTCGCACGAGAAAGGGTGCCGTCCCTTCATGTGCGACACAAGCTACCGACACTCGAATTGTTTCGACCAGTTCCGGAAGTCGTTCAAAGCCACATCAGCCGAAATATGGACACCGGAGGACTTATCGAACTTGACAACAATGCCATTACTCTCCACAACAGTCGCTTCGGAAAACCCGGTTCCCAACCCGGAAACAGAACCCGGTCAAGATGGATCGGCATCATCGATTCCCGCAGCTCCGCCCCAGAAGCCTAAACTAGTTTGCCCTTTATGCAGAGGCAACGTCAACGGCTGGACTGTAGTTGAGTCTGCCCGTGGCTTCATGAACGCAAAACCGAGAACCTGCGCGAGCGAGACGTGCGATTTCAACGGGACGTACACAGAGCTGCGGAAGCACGCTCGATCGATACATCCTCTTGTGAGGCCAACGGATACCGATCCCGAACGACAGCGAAACTGGCGGAGATTAGAGAGGCAGAGAGACCTCGGAGATTTACTTAGCACACTACAATCGTCGATCGGAGAAGAAAGGACCGACGGAAGCACATTGACTCTCGAGGAAGGCGGTTGGTTGACCGTTTTTTTACTAGTTCGATTTATTCAGCCCGGAAATTCGTCTTCTAGTAGATCTAGAAGCACCCGAGCCCGAGCTCAAGTTGCTCTCCGTAGGTACCCGAGAAGACTTTGGGGCGAAACGTACGATAATGTGGAGCAGCGATACTCGAGAGACGACGAAGGAAGTGAATCTTTGGATAATGGGGTTCGGGTTCACCGACGCAATGTGCGGAGGCGTTTGAATAATACCGAAAACCAAAACCAAAATCAGAACCAGAACCAAAACGATAACCAAGAACGGTAGGGAAGATCCAAAAGAGCTATTTGGATCAAGAGGTTGTTTGAATTGTATTGCTTTATGTTGTGACTTGTGTTGATGATGATTATAATATGAGATGATTGATATATGTTTTTACTTATTATTGCCTCTTGATCATCAAATGCCTAATAATGGTTTTTGAGTGAATTCAAGTTAGATTATTTGGGTTTTTAGTTTGTCTTGTGTAGGAAGGAATGCTTTGGATTTGATATGTGCCCTTTTGTGTAAATAAATGATCTTGTGTTTGTTATAAAATACAGTTATGTTATTTATTGAAAGAAATTAATAGTAATTAATTTTTAGTGCAGTGCAGTGCAGTGCTCTTGCATGAATACTTGAGAGAGATGTGAAATAATATGCTTTTGACAGAATGTACATACATTTTGATGATTTAAAAAGAGGTTTTAAGGTAGGATGTAGACCAGACCTTTCGAGTTGAGGGATGTTATGTGAGAAATTCTTATAGATAGATCTCAACAATAACAATTGTATGTATATTCCCTATAGCCTTTGTTGTACTACACTAGATTAAACAACTCGATGAGAGAGTAAGTCTGTCAACGAGCGGAGGAACTCACACTTAGTGTTTTCCAAAATATTATCGGTTAATAAATAGCAAAAAATTAGATTATCGTCAAAATGGTACCATTTAGGAGCAATCGCCCTGTCGAAGACTCTGCAGTAGATCCAGATATCCCAACTCTTCTGGATTTATATACCTGCAGCCATTCGCATAATCAGATTATGCAAGATACAAGTAATGCATCGAGAAAATGCCATTTTGACTGGCGCATGCTGTCGATCCAGAGACAATACAATTGGATGGAAACAAATATGTCGTACCCATGGCGAAACAAAAAATCAATAATGACTAAACCGCAATTTGGCTTGAAGAAATCTGTGTTCCTTATGATATCTGCAACTTGGGTTACAGGGATTAACTTAAAGCTTTCCACCTCTCCATCTGCCATAAATGAAGAATACCAGATAAGAGAGAGTTTTCGTTTATTTCAGAACTACAAAGTTTTAACAGGTTTACCCTCATTAAAGGGAATGAAGTCCTCGGGAAGCTTAAGATCATAGCAAAAGAGAACATCCCTCTTGAATCTATGCCCATCAATGTCCGAGTACGATATGGCTCCAGCTGCTGTGGCTCTAAGATAATGCATTTAAATCATTAAGTGGTGTATTGAAAAAGGATCTAATAGTACGGAGTTTTAGGTGAGAAAATTACTTGCTGGAAATTGATCTCGGAATCCCAGCTTCTTCTTCACATTCTTTCACAAGATTTTCCCCACAAGGGATCCCACGCGGCTGCACTAAAAATATGTAATTAAAAACTTCACATTTTTATATAGAGACAATAGAATATAGTAACCTATTTTCTAAAGAAAAATCAATGGGTGATTTCTAATTTCTTATGAGCAAAGTTACCAAACGGGAAAGTGAATCCAAATGATGAATCGGAGGATAGATAGAAATTGACCTCAAATAGTATCAAATGCTTACTTCCTTCGCCTACCGAGCACACATTGAAATTATATCTATATTATAGGAAGTTTAATATGTACCTGGCCTCCAGCAACCAAATGATCGAGCTTCCCAGGATAAGTTTGCTTTTCTTTACTTCGTTTCCCAACCCACAGATATTTAATGCCATCTTTTTCAACATAGCCATTCATGTGAACTCCATAAGCCTGTTTTGGCAAGATATTGGACAGTGTTATACTGTTATATATATATATATATGTATATATCATAGTTTTTTAAACTATAACTGAGATCCACAGAAGCATTCAGTGCAAGCTTATTGTCAAATATAAAACAGCAAACAATGGTGCATTTAACAAGGCCAAATCAAGCAATTCTCGACTAGATGCAAATGGTAAATGAAGTAAGAGATTAAATGAAGGCTTTGAATTAACCGGAAGGAGAGGAGAAATTTTTGAATAATGAACATTGTAACTGATTGGATATTCATGTTTAATACTCCCTCAGTCCACGATATATATGTTCATTTGAACTAGAAACAAATTTTAATGGATAAGAGACGATCATCGCACTTAGTTCTTAACCAAGAGCATGAGTGAAATGGACACCATGCTAAGATGAAGGAAACAATATCGATGAAAAGAGCCTTGAACTGTTGCACAATGAGCCTTACGCCCTTGCCCCAAACAACAAAAGATCGAGGTTATCAGAAAGAGCATATGCATAAATTGACATCATGCTGTGATGAACTCCACAATACGCATAAAACAAAGAGCACGCAAATTAAATTGTGTGGACACCAGACAGCTTAGAAAAGGCAACAAATAAACTAAAAAATGCAATGCCCACCTTTATTCCAAAATATGGAGCTGCTGCACGTTCGAGGGAGAAAATTTCAGGTTTCCCAAAAGAAGACATAACAGGATAGAGCTGCAGATAGAAATCATAGAAATTAAGAGAGTAATATGATTTATACATGTCTTCAGAAATACTGAAAACAGCCAAAGTTTCTTAGGGCAAAATTTGTAGGAGAATACTGAGTGGTAAGCTAAAAAGAGACCTCATTTCGAATTCCAGGAATAAGTTCTTCACCCCAGGATTTGATTATGTTTCCAATAGCTTCTGTCCTGTCCTCAGGGGCCTTTAGCGCAGGATGCAATGTTAGGTAGCATCCAAAATTGGTTCCGTAAGAATTGTCTTTTGGAAATATGAATACATCATTATATCTTCTCAGATGATGAGCAAATCTTTAATATAATATCAAAGAAAACACTACGGTCAGTTCCTCCTAACAAAGAATTAAGTGGTTGTTTCAGCTAGAAGACAAAATCAGTTGTCCAAGACTTGGTATCTGCTCGAAAAACATGAAAAATCACATACTATTTGCCAGAAAAACATTTTCGCTAAAGCTTTTATGTGCCATGGAGACTTTGTGAAACCTGAGATATGGAGTTACTGATTATGTTGTTTGGACGGTGTACAAATATTCCACTGCTATGTCCATATTTGCTATATGTTATCATTTAGTCTTCACATTTCACATGTAGAAAATATGGTCTGAGATTATTTCTAGGAATTATCTATCAAATCCCATTAACAATTATTCAAGGGCCATCATAGAACTTCAAAATATAAATGTGATTAGGGAAGATGGAAAAAACAAATCTTATCTTCCCTAATCACTCTTATTAAACATGACCCTAAAAATAGTACTTACAGTTATCCCTTAAATGTAGGCTATATAATGAATCAGTCATATGACCATGCTACTTTAAATCTTGATTTGAAGCAGTTCAGAAAATAACAATGAAGCACAAGTTTGAACTCAAAAGAGAAAATTTCACTAGAAACTAACATGTCTCAATAAGCTCAATCCCAAAGCAGCAAAATTAAGGTGAAAAAGGGAAGAAAATGATTGCACAAATCAGAATTACCCGTTGTGAACATAGCCCACAATCCGTCCTTCAATCACGAAAGGTATGAACTCACATACCATATCCTGAAACAAAAATCCATCCATAATTAGAACATCCAACAGGCCACAGAAACAGGAGAATTTTTTGAACATTGACAATTACAGAGTTGCGATTGCAGATCGACACTTTCTCGAAAAATCCTCTGAGGTCAGACGAGCGATGCGTCCGAGCTCCGGAGACGCAAAGCACGTCGTCCCAAGTGAACTCGGTGGTGCGTATAGTATGGGACGACGAGGCAGCATAACGGCGGGCAGCGGAATAAGAGAAACCGAGCCTCCTGGTCGGAATCGAGTAAGGAATGGAAGCGAGGAGCAGAGAAGCGCGGGGCAGACAGCAATGGCTTCCCATTGAATCGTCCTCGTCCTCGCCGCCCTCAATCCCGTCCGATTCCAACACAAGAAAATTATATTTTTAATTTTGTAGTGTTTGGTAGACTCGTTTATCGACAAAAACACATACTCCTATTTTTTTATTTACCAAAATATTTTAATATTAAATTCAAATAAAAACTTTCGAATATTGAGATGTAAATTTAAATTTGTTTTACATATTAAATTATTTAAATTTGAATAAAATAACTTTAAAAAAATATGAAAAAAATTAAATGGAATGGCACAAGTTGAATAATTTTGTAATTTTGAAGCAGTGACGAAACTATGGATTATTGTTAGTGGCGACTGCCATTTATTTTTTTTCAAAATATATATATTTTTTAAAAATACATTATACAATTAAAAGTTACTAAATATCTAATTTTTCAGATTCATGAGTTTATAAATAAATATACTTGAACAATTAAGCTAAATAATTATAATGATATCTTTTTTCTTAAATCAATAGGGATGATTAGTTATGCAAAATCTTATATCAATTACTCACTAATTTTAACCTATAATCCAAAAAATTAATTATATATATATAATAAAAATAAATTAAATAGTTAAGGAAGACCAATATCAGCTAGCTAAGATCATCTCTAACCGATGAGGTTTTCCTCTATTTTTGCAGGGTGGCGGGAAAAAATTGCTCCAACCCACCATGTAGTTTTGCAGAATTCACCAGACCCAGCGGAATACTGTAGCACCCGCTGTCATTGTGTATTTTTTTTTTAATACAATTATCTATTTATTTATATATAAAGAAAATATTTTTTAATCCTGAAAAATAGAGGGTATGATTGAAGAAGAGATCCTGCAAAAATAGAGGATATGGTTAGAAATGGGTTATTGTAGCAGACATTTTGTAAAAATATAAAAATATACTGTAGATCCTGTAAAGATACAGATAGAGTTATGGGTTGAAGATAGTCCAAAAAATATGTCATTTTGGGAAGGTTGTTGAACGCTTGAAAGTATTTGAATATCGTGCAAATAAAAAAATTCATTAATTTTAAAAATAATTAACTACTGCTTACTGAAGGGTAATGACAAAAAAAAATGACAAAGAGAAAAAAATACAAAAGACTCAAACAGTAGAGATGAGATGGTTGAAACAAACGACATACCAAATATGATACACATAAAGAAACATAAACCATGTCTCAAGTGAACTAGCAATGGCATCATCAATTTTTTTCATCAGATTACACTATATACCCTAAACCCTACACTTATTTTATTAAATAATAATTTAATTTGATACTTTAAAAAAATATAATATATTCTTATTAAAAAATTATTATAAATAAATAATAAGAAAATATTCTCCATCGCTCTAAAATGTGAATATCAATTCACTTTATATATACATATAAATTAAAGAATATTAAAATATAAAAACATTGTTGGTGAACAATTTGAATTATAATATAGATATGTTGATGACAAACAAAGAAAGTATCTAAAGAGACCAGAGCTACAAAATATATATACATATATATATATGATATATAAATGGTGGGGGTGGGGGTGGGGTGGGGGTGAGAATTGAATAGAAAAAAGGTGAAAAGAAAGGGAAGAAAGCAGCGAAAGCACACGTAGACTTGCCCTGGAAAGGACCATTTTTAGTTTTTTACTTATCCACACACTGTTTTATCTTTCTGACAATCACCTTTCCCTCCTTATTCTAACTTATTTCTACACCTTTAAACCATCCTATCGAATTATTATTATTATTTATTTATTTTTAAAATATAATTTTTTTTTTTAAAAAAAAAAAGAAAAGAAAAAAAAGATCCCACCGAATTCGATATGCCAACGGTACTTGGCTCGTTTAAGATTTAAATAAAATAGTAATTTGAGCTTAAGCCTAAGTTTTCCTGCATTCATCTACTCTTTTATTTTATTTTATTTTATTAATCTTTAAATATTAATTATTATATTAAAATATAGAGTAAACTGTTTTTTTTAGTCCTAATTGGACTCCTATCATTTTAGTTCCGTAAGTGGAGCATGTCGCAAATTAGTCCCATAAGTGAAAAATTTTTGCTGTTTTAGTCCTCTGGCGCCGGAGACGCCCGCATGGCTCGCCGGAGGTGACGTGTCCGCCAGGTCGGCGGATTTTTTTTTTTTTAATTTTTTTTAAAACTTATTTTTAATTTATTTTTAATTTTATTTATATATTTTTATTTTTTTAATTTGATTTAATTTTTAAAAAATAAAAAAAATTGAAAAAAAATAAATAAATCCACGTGTCCGCCAGGTGTCGCTGACCTGGCGGGACACCTGGCGGACACGTCACCTCCGGCGAGCCACGCAGGCATCTCCGGCGCCGGAGGACTAAAACATCGAAAATTTTTCACTTATGAGACTAGTTTGCGACATGCTCCACTTACGGGACTAAAATGATATGGAGTCCAGTTACGGAACTAAAAAAATAGTTTACCCTAAAATATAATATAAATTAAAACAAAAAATTAACACAAAAGATAAATATAATCCATAAAACCCGAAGGAATATTTAATAAGTGCATATTTTGAAATAGTGACATAATTATTTATAACAATCAAATACCAAAATTGACATCAAAGACATGCAATTTTGAAATAGTGATTATTAAGCCTGAATTGGGACAAAAAGGTTATTGGCAGAGAGGATTCATCATGCATTCGTCATTTGTTCGATGATGAATGCATAATAAATTATTCAGGTAAACATGAAAATCGCTTTCTTTTTCAAAAGGAGCTTCTTTTGAGGTGGACTTGATACGCACAAGAAATCTGATAATAAGTTTGATATATGAATGATCCTGTCATCCTGTGCTCTGCTATTGTGCTGTGCAGTGCAGTGCAGTGCAGTGCCTACGTGATTTAAAGCAGACCAGAAAAGCTTGGAGAAAGAAAATGGATGGATATGGCTGACCAATCTCTCTCTCTCTCTCTCTCTATATATATATATAATATATGTATATGCATGTATAGTTGAGAGTGGAGTCTGATGAGATCTTTGATAGTGGTATGGTGTGGTGTGATGTAAATGTAATTCGTAACTGAATAACAGAATTAAGAAGAAAGGAATCTATCTATCTATCTATCGATTAGCAGCTATTCAGAAAGTAAATCGATCGATTCGATGGTTACCTGATTGATGCGCATATGCTCCGATGTTTCTGATGCTGCACTCGCCGCCGATTGTCGACCAGTTGATTCCGTGCTCCTCGACAATTTATATATTCCGCGCGGGAAATTAGGTATCAAAAATTGGGGGAAATGGTGGATAACCGTCGCACGTTGGTGGTGTTTCTGGTTGTGGCGATAGCAGCAGCAGCGACGGCGGCGGGCGGTGGAGTCGGAGTAAACTGGGGGACGATGGCGGCGCACCAGCTGCCGCCGTCGAAAGTGGTGGATATGCTCAAGGAGAACGGTTTCGATCGCGTCAAGCTGTTCGACGCCGACGCAAACATTCTAGATGCTCTCTCCGGCACCGACATTGAAGTCATGGTTGCACTGCCGAACTACATGCTCGTCGAGATGAGCCTCGGCGGCGCCACCGCCGCCGCCGCCTGGGTGGACGCTAACCTCACAGCCTACGCTTATCCCGGCGGCGTCAATATCAGGTTTCGCCATCGCCATTACTCTGCACCAATCTATAGATTTTCAATCCAAATACATATACATATATATGTATATATATTGATTGATTTGCAGGTATGTAGCAGTGGGGAATGAGCCATTTCTGAAAACCTACAACGACACATACCTGAAGCACACATTACCAGCGCTGAAGAACATTCAGGAAGCAATCAACAAGGCAGGATTGGGATCCCAAATAAAGGCCACAGTCCCTTTCAATGCAGATGTCTACTTCTCCCCTGAATCCAATCCCCTGCCTTCCGCCGGCGACTTCCGACCGGAGATCCGCGACCTCACCGTGCAAATCCTCCAGCAGCTCCACACCAACGACGCCCCTTTTGTCGTCAACATATACCCCTTTCTAAGCCTCTACGCCAACGTCTACTTCCCTCTCGACTACGCCTTCTTCGATGGACCGAATCGCCCCATAAGGGACGCCCAGAACGTCTACACCAACGTTTTCGACGCCAACTTCGACACCTTAGTATGGTCCTTAACAAAAGCAGGCTACCCTGACATGAAGATCATAGTCGGCGAAGTCGGGTGGCCAACCGACGGAGACAAGCACGCGACCATTCCGTACGCAAGGAGATTCAACCAAGGGCTGCTGCAGCACGCGCTGAACGGGCAAGGAACGCCGGCCCGGAAGGGAAAAATAGACTTCTACTTATTCAGCCTCATCGACGAGAGCGCCAAGAGCATCGACCCGGGGATGTTCGAGCGACACTGGGGGATATTCGAGTACGACGGTAAGCCCAAGTACGAGCTCGACTTACTGGGGACGCACGACGGAACCAGAGGGCTTGCAGCTGTGCAGGGGGTGAGCTACATGGTGAGAAGATGGTGCGTGCTGAACCCGAAGCTGAAACTGAAGGACATCGATCAGGACTTGCCGGGGAATATCGACTATGCGTGCAGCCTCTCGGACTGCACGGCGCTCGGGTACGGGTCGTCATGCAACCACATCGGGGTGCGGGGGAACGCATCGTACGCGTTCAATATGTATTACCAGCTGAAGGAGCAGAAAGAATGGGACTGTGACTTCTCAGGGCTGGGGATGATCACAGAAGAAGATCCTTCAGATGAGAAATGTAAGTTCCCTGTGATGATAGCTCATGGCTATTCCATGGTAATGCTGCACAAGAAGCTTGTCAATATTTTGCTAGCTGTTCTTGAAGGTTGTATAGTCATTTTGCTTTTGGTTTCTTAGTCCTGTCACCAAACATGATCATAGTTTTTCATATCATGAATTGCTTTTACTCCCACGTCGAATCGATGTTTCGAGATCAAATCTTCGTAGTTACGAGGTTTTTCAGGAGCTGTAGATGTCATATTACTTTACAGCAGGATTCATATTACAGTCGAACACACCTTTTATTTGTTCAAATAGGATGGATGGATCGATGGAAGAAAGCACCCTCTCGATCTATGGCTATGGCAATGGCAAGTCGGGAAGTGGTGGGAGCAGATGGTTAGACATTGAGTTCTCCGATGTCCTCGCCCAAGGGCTCAAAGAGAGCTTCGATTTCGGAAGCATCCACTTCATCCAAGCTCCCAGGGCTCCACTTCGGGTTCTGAAGGAAAACAAAGGATTAGTAGCCGGTAATCAATGACATTATCGTAATATGAGGTTGATAAAAGACAAATTAGTCGAACAAATTAAACATAAAACATAGAAACTCATTGGTGGATAATTCATGGAACAATTCAACAAAATTTGTTCAATTAAACAAACAATCGACGGAAATTTCATCTACATAAGTTACAGAAACACAGGGCATCTATGGTTATTATTCCAAAATAGTGGGAGGTTCGAACCGAAAAAATAGATTCATTCCCATTTTAATATCATGAGAACATATTTTAGGCTTCCAATTTTTCAAGATTCAAGAATTTCCACGGGCGGAAGATACTGATACTGATAGTGTATTAGTTCGATGAGATTTTTTGGCACCTAGACTCTACAAAATTTAGTGTTAATTAAGGACAACAAAGCTCTCTAAAGAACCTTCAAATAATATAATGCACAGAAAAGAATAAAAACTTACAGGACTAAATTGTCATCATTTGAATTTAAATGGAAAATACTGTATTCAAAGAGTATGACCAAAATTCTAAAAAAAAGTTATTTAACTAGATATGATATTGGATTTTTATTAGGGAGGAAGAATTGGAGAGGAAGATGTAAAAATGTTATGATATTGTGTTGATGATTGACGTTTTAAGACTACTTAGATATGATTCACATCAGTCGATTTAAATCGAAAACCTTCATTATGTTCCCAGACAGTTAATAAAAGTGCAACTAAGGTTAACTTTTGGCTTCCAATATGACAATCAGTCTTTAATGCAATGGATGCAAATAAGTTCCGCAAATAAATTTCGACTCCATGCTTAGTTCAGATTAGTGAGGAAATTTTTCAAGCTTATGCACTTTAATAAATAAATTTCTTCCTAGTTACCTTCTCTTTTTTCTTCTTGTGTCATACCGGGTCTCCATTTAAACCTCGATTTCAATAATTCATTTATTTAACATAAAAATTTATTTCATTACTAACTTATAGATCAAGTGACTAACCTGATCCTTGTCGACTAAGACAGCACGGACCCCTTCAGCAAAATCATTTCGAAGTGAAGATCTTACAGCAATGCGGTATTCAGTTTTCATCACACCACTCAGCTGGAAATGTTTCAGGAGAAAGATTAAGCGAATAGACATCATGCAAAAATGTGAAAAGGTCAATATAAAACAATGGTTAGAAATCGGGTATAAAGTGAGGTATGTAAGTATTTATCACCTTCGACAGATCATTATTAGCCTTGCCTTGAGCAGAGGCAACTTTTGAGAAATACTTCTCAGTGAGGCATAGTGAAAAAGGCGCACCCTTCCTAAGTCCTTGCAAAGCATCTTTCGCCCACTCAGCCACTGCCAAATTAAATTACGCAGAAACGAAAAATTACCACAATAAAAAAACTATTCAAACACTTTAAAATAAAGAAAAGAAGAGCCCAATCACAGCATTAGCACTCACCCAGGGCATCCCCACTTTCTGTATGACTTTCCAGTTCCTTCAGTAACTCCTTCAAGGACTTTTTACTTCCAAATGTTGAAATTATCCGTGGTAAAAGCAGTTTTAGGCGAGGTTCAGACTCGGGACTTTTGCTGTATCTTTCCAACAGTGCTCCAATGTCCTGATCAGGGTCTTCAGAACTACATCAAACAACAGACAGAAAAAGAGCAATATTGTTTGTAAATACTTCAACAAGTCATATATAATCCGCACAGACAGTCAGACACCCTTTCTCTACAATACGATTTTTTAAATAAGTAGAAGTGTGTGTAACTTCCTATCATACTACAGGCTTTCACCCTCATAGAAGAAAACAATGAACGCTATTCATAGGAAAGAGTACACTTCTTTTCATTACTAATATAGGAATTGTGAAAAGCACGAAATAAGCTGTGTTCATCGTAACAAAAAGAATTCGTATAAACATAATCCTTACAAGTTGGTGGCCAAGAGATTCTCCTTCAGTGCTGACAAGGTTTCAGATGGAATATAATGTGTTCCCAGGCCAACATACAGAGCATCAGCAGGCGTTGATATTCTATTTCCAGTCAATCCAAGATATGCCCCTACAAAGCAAAAATGAACCAGAAACAAAATCGAAAGTTCAAAAGATAATAATTGATACAATACTTGATTTGCATGTTGATAGATTGGGATGTCTCTTTCTAAGGGCCTGTTCACTTTGGTATCAATCTTATTAAAACTCATTTTGATGTTCATCTATCTGGTTATCGAGTTATATCCAGTAAAACAAAATCAAAATGTGGGTAACATAGCACTTTACTCACAACTAAGGAAGACAAGAAAACAGAGAAAAACTGACCTACTGCTCCTTCTCCAGGACTTTTTGCTGCTATGTATGAAAAGCCAACATCTGGAAACAAACCAATGCCATTTTCTGGCATAGCAAGAACAGTTTTCTGACAAAAATTATACAAATGATCAGATTGCGAGTATTTTATAACACTAAGTTTCAGCTATACTCAGGTATAGTGAAGAAAATTGATTACCTCAGTGATAAGCCGGTAACGACCATGACCACATAGACCAATACCAAATCCCATTGTTATGCCATCCATGAAGCTGATATAAGGCTTCTTGTACTCGTGAATTTTGCATATCAGAGAATATTCAGCAGTGAATACCTAGTTAAAAGTCAAATTATGTGATTTTTATTTTTTTTTAATCTCAAAAACCACATACAGAAATACTATAACCAAAATGTCGTGCATATAAAAAATATATTAAAGTTACACTTATTCCAAAAATTGATTCTATTGAATATGCTTAATCAAGAAGAAACATTCTCACAAGTAACACAAATTACCAGTCCCACCATTCACTCCAGGACATCTGACGGAGTCATATTTATTATGGATGTAATATTTAATAAAGAATTTGATCTGAGAAGTCCTTGGCATGAAACGATTATATGACAAAATCTTAATTAACATATTTAGGTCATATACTTCTATACTCTTAAAAAGGCTCACATATTCTTAGAAATTATTGGCCTAATCAAAATTTTCCTTCACTGAGAAGGTGAATTTTGTGTCCATAATGGTATGAACACACATACAACAGGCCAAAAGTACCATCAGGAACAACCGTAATCAAGAACATGCTTTCCTAGATCAGGAAAAATCTCTTATCAATGTTAAATGCATATTTCTTCAGTTATATGTGCTACAAGACCTCAATAACATCTGATTGTAGATTTTTTGTTGCAATCTGCTTCACATCACCACCTGCACACGAAGTAATATATCTAATAGCCTTAGCAGCCAATACCCAAGGTTCCAAGCAATCAATTTGCATAAACATGCATACATAATTTTCAGATCAAACAAAAAAAAAAACAAAAAACAAAGATAAAACCAGGGAATGTCCACAATGCTTACTGCTTCACAAAAACAAATTTGGAAATAAAAAGCAGTGTGTAGTAATCATTCCTAGCAGTGTGTATGCACGAATTCTATCTATAGAAAAACCTTGGGTACAAGAGGAGTGAATTTGTCCTTTCGAATTTCAGCAACAACACCCTTAATATCCATTCCTGCATTCATGAGGAATATTTTCCCTCAAAAACCAGCAAATATTTACGAAACCACGCCAATATCGAAACATCACTAACACTCCAAACTCAGAACAGATTACAATTTGCAGTTACAACAAAATAAGAATTCAAGTTAGGGATTTAAACCAAGGCGCAGTGAAAATTCAACAACCTGCTGAAAATGCACGAGGCGAGCTACTATCAATCACTACACACTTCACCTTCGGGTCGGATTCCCACTCATCCAGAAAGCTTTTATACCTAATATCCATGTCTGAAAAGATGCCAAATCAAGTCGGCTCACTATATTGATCAAAACAGCTCATCCACTAATGCAATTGATAGATCAGTGGGAAGTAAAAAGGTTAAGAAAATCAAAACCTAGATTCATGGCATTGAGGGCCTTGGGGCGATCGAGAGTGATGACAGCTACACCGTTGGGGAGCACATTGCCCCTAACAAACTCGTCGGCCATAGTGACGAAGCAGCGCACTGCTAGCTGCCGGAAATTGTAGGGTTTTGCGGAGGAGCAGACGGCGGTTAGGTACGAAGGATTAATCAGCGACTGGTACAGCGCTCGCATAATCTTCATAAATTGGGAATGGAATTTTGGGCAGCTTATTGTAGATAAAATGTGCAAATAGTGTTTTCATGTGTCAAGGTGATTTTGCTTTGATTACATAACAAATTTTTATTTATAATACTATTTATTTTTTTAAAAATATTTTAAAGTTTTTAAGAACTCTTGTCTATAAAGAGACTGCTTAGATTTAAGATTTTTGGAAATAATTAAACGTTAATTTAGTTTAATCATATAATGTAAGTTGTTTATCCAATTATTTTATTGTTTTAGTACTGATAAATATTTTTAAATAAATATTTAAATTAAAACAATAGAGCATTATTTAAATTAAAACAATCGTTTGCTTGATTTAAAATTTCATGGCGAGATCTCAATCTTTTAAGATAAAAGTTAACTATTTCTTGTTTGATTCAAAATATAATTGCAAGATCTTAATCTTTTACAATAAAAATTATATTTTATTTAAATTTATTTATTAGGTTCAATTTATCAAAATAAATAAATAAATCCTACTATTTTATTCTTCGTGCAAATAAATATGCATTTGTATTGTAATACACAATAAATGTGTTTTATAGTATTTCAAATGCCTTTTGTTTTAAGACTACTAGGGGTTTGTTTGTTTGGGGTCTTGCATTTTAAATTGGGATTTTGAATAGTGGTATGATATAATATAAATAGGTGAATGTAAAATTGATTTTTAGTTTAATATAAAAAATAAAAAATAGGTATTTAATTTGATGATTTGGAGAAAAAAAAAATTGGATGAATAATGTATTTAAAATCTAGTCCCCAAACAACACACCTTAACAAATTTGATTGTTCCTTGATAAGCAAATAAGATTTACTGTTTCTGCATACAACAACTAAAGGCTTTATGTGATTCACCTTATTGGCTTAGTTTTGCCCAAAGTGCGCACTTTGTAGAATAAATAAATGACAATAAATTAAATCAAAGTTTAACTATGATTTTAATATAAAATTTAGACATTCTCTTTATCAAAAGCAAATTTCATAAAATTTTGACCATCCTGAACTAATTAAAATATAAATAGACATAAAATTCAAATAGAAATATTAGAGAAGAATGAAAAAATTCAATATAAGAAAAACCAAATGCATGCAATCTAGCAAGAAGCAATGTTTGAGCCAAGCTTTGGCTCATATTCCCTCTATGGGTATTTCGGAACTATTACATTCTAAGAAAGAATCCATGAAAGAAAGGTATGTTTGAGTCAAACAATTTCAAATTCAGTTACTTGGTTACTAAATTTGCAGCCACCTTGAAAACAAGCCTCAATCTTTTTCTTCGATGTTTCTTGATCTCTCATCCGCAGCAGCTGCCATCAGTTCATCAAATTTCTCCGACTTCTCCAGCACTATCTCAATCTAATAGAAGAATCGATCAGGCCGTGAATAGAATGGAATATTTATCTCAGTTCCTTAGTAACACATATCAAATCATAGGATGGATAAAATGAAGAAGGCAAGAGGGTCTAGAAAAAAGAACAAATAAATAAATAAAAACTGGATGGTGTTCAAAGAAAACTGTGACGATAATTGGAGCTGACAGAATAATACACGCCACCATATAACAGTAATATACAATGAAATGATCAGAATATAAACTTACTTTGGCTTTTGAGATAGATCGACCTTTTGATTCATCCTTGATTTCAACAGTGGATGTCCTAATATCTGCAAAGTGTATCTTTCTTATAATACACAGACAAAACAACAAATTGCACTAACATCAATTTTTAAAAAGGGTAAAAGTTATGATTCTCACTCTTCTCAATTGCAAATCCATTGTTCTTCAAGATTTCAGCAATACTAACAACTGTGGAGATAGCTGAAAATAAAAACGAGGAAAGTGCCAACAAGAATAGTTAAAACCAAAGAAATGTAAGCTGTCGCATCTTATATCTGGAAAACAAAAATTCACAGTTCAGGTACAAACAGTTTAAAATGAAAACTAAAAGACCAAAATGGCATACAAATATCCCTAGCTAGCAGATAAAAGGTTCTCCCAATGACCTCCATTTACGCAAAGTCAGGTGATGATATTGAATTATATCTTCAGGTATTGTTGAAGAACCAAATTTTCTCAACCCAGATGAAAATATGTACAAATGCAAACCAACTGAAGGGCTGACTTTATTTTATTATCTCAATTGTCTAAATAGGTTAATGACAATATGGATGTCACCAATATTGTATCATCTTGATTTTGCCTGCAAATATGTTCCTTTGCAACAATATTTATTTTCAAGATGGATGGCAGAGTCATTTAGTTCATTATATTTCCCAAATGATCAACCATATATGTATAGACTACTAGATAGAATTGACAAAGCAGCAATTATTAAAGAATTTTCAAGCTCAAATTCTACTAAATACAAATAAGCCAAGCCCAAGCACACAAAGTAAATTCAACTATAAATTCTTCATCAGTTTCTAAGAGATATAAACTGCTCATCACAATTCACAGAAATACCATGATTTTTATAATCTTAGAGCTCCTCTGTTTACCAAGATACATTATCTTGACATTATTCCCCCCTTTATACATCATATATATATATATATATATATAGCCGAAAGAAACAACAACAACTGGAATCAACATCAACCTGTTTTAAAATATTTTAAAGCATTGTAAAATTGAAACTGCTGCCATTCTAAGCATTTCATTTTAAAAGAGACAGTTCAGTACAATAAGGATATTGAAGATGATGCCACTTTTAACTGATACATAAAAAGTAGGAACAAGAAGAATCGAGGGGTGAAAAACAAACTCCATGTAATCTTGAACTTCCAATCACTCTTTTGAAATTTCTCTAAATTAACTGCTTATACTAAAACTTTTTAGACTATTTGTTTCAAAAAAGGAGATCAAATAAAAACATGTGCAGAAAAGAAAACCGAAAAAACAGATTGGGGCTGCGAGAAATACCCATTCCCAGTGCGGAAAGCTCCACCTCGTTGTGCTGCTGCAAATACCTCTGCAATCATTCAAATTTCTTCGATTACAAATCCAGGAAACAAAAAAAATCTAAAATCCAAATTATAACCGATTAACACATGTACGAGCACATACACACAGGCGCGAGAAATTGACTGCGCCAAAAACTGGAAAAAAAAATCAGAAAGCCAGACTAACAAATAACCTAACTACCTTGGCGAGGTTAACGTAGAAGAAGAGCGGCTTCTTCGTGTTCGAAACTTGGATTCGATTCCTCTTCTGAGATTCAGCGGCGATGCCGATGCCCTTCATGCCTTCCGTGATTTCCTCCATCTCCGATCGAGCGTAAAAACGGTGATCGTTCGATTGGTCTCAACAAATTCGAGAGATTCACAAGCGTTAACCCACCGACGGTTAAGCAAACTGAAACCGGAGCGCCTGTAGAAATATCGAAACCTGTATCTATCTGTGTATATATACGTACGAATCGTTGCGAAGGAAGAAGATAACTGTCGACTACAGAATGCAAACAGACTGCGCAATTTTTATTTTATATTCCTTCCCTTTTTTGGATAGGCCGAGCGCCGTTACTCTCAACTGTTATATTTACTATTTTGCCCTTTTAGGGTTTTTTTATAACAAAATGATAAATTAGGGTGTATTTCGTTTTATTGAATTTTAAAAATTTTGAATTTGAAATTTATTATTAAAATGATATTGAATAGAATACTTTATATAAAAAAATTATTTTAAAAAAATTGTATAATTTAAATAATAGAATTTGAAAAGTTTGAAGAAAAAAAAAAGACAGCTCTATTCTATATTAGAGTATTTAATTTTATTAACTAATATTTTTCTGAGTTAATAAAAATTACTAGGATCTCATTTTTTTTTATTATATTTAAATATTAATTATTATATAAAAACATAGTATAAATTAAAGAAAACATACAAAAATATTTTTATTAGTGTTTTATAATATTATTATATCTATAAAAAAAATTATACAAATATAATGATATTTTAATGTTAATACAATGAAAATAAATGAGATTTTTTTAGAGCCGAACAGAGGAGATGAAGTAATTTTTATTTGTAATTTAGTATTTAGAACAGTTATTAATTAATATTTTGTTTGTAATAATGATGCGATGATGGTCTAATGTATAAAAAAAAATGTTAAAATAGTAGACATTGGGATTTATTTTATGTGATTTCAAACCGAATCAATATTATTTATTTTATACAATTTTAAGAACAATGAATAAAAATAATTTTTTTAAAAATATATATAAATTTAAATAACGTTACTTTATATTGAATAATTATTGTGTGTATTATATTTTTTATTAATATTATAAAACATAAGAGTATTTTTTTAATTTTTGATTTAAATAATAAATTTAATATAAATTTTTATAAAAATAATATTCTCTTCGTGATATTATTTTTATTTTAATTTGTCCTTTTAATAAATGATATATTTTTATATTTAGTAAATTTTTCAAAACAGATGATATCATTTTTATTTTAAATAAAATGTAAAAAGTATATACTTTTAATAATATAATAATAATAATAATCCACATCATTCAAATCAAAGGACAAGAATATGCACATTTAAATTATATATCTTTGGTAAGTTCCTTCTATCAATTGGAGCGATGGAGAAACCTTTTGCTCCAATGGACAATTTGGAAGAAATATAGTATAAAGATACAAAGTTGATAATTTCATCCATAAAGAAATACCGTGGAATTTTGTACAACACAAGGAAAGTGAAGTCGAAGAAATACAACAAACAGAGGCAGGCAGTATATTATAAACAGTTGTTAATCATCATCGTATCACGACAATATTAGCCGGAGGATGTCGCCGGAGAACTTGAACGACTTCTCGGTTTCTTCCAGGCAATGATCCTTCTCCTCCCGACTCCACCCCTGTCCCCAAAATATACCATAATTGAATTCGGATGCTTGATGTTATACTTTGAATATAAAATTAGCTTTTAATTTAATATGAAAAAATAAAAAGTATTATATTTGATTTGATATTTTCAGAAGAAATTTTTTTAATGAGTGATAAAGTTATGCTACAATATCTTAACCAAACACACCCTAAAAAGATTATACTCCTACCGAGTTTTGGTTACATAGCCAAGATACTATTCATTTTTCAAAAAACATCACGTCAAATTCACTTTTTTTCTCACAACACAACACATCAAATCAAATATTAATTTTTACTCTTTCCAAATTTCTAAAAACTCCGGTCTAAACAGAGATGTGTACTCAAAATTTGGGCACAAATTGGCAAATATATATATATATATACATTTTTACTGCTAAGAGAAGAGGCAAATATTTTTTTATGACGGCCTCAAAGAAATGTGAACATAAATTTAGATGATAAAAGAGAGTAATTGAATTCATCTGTTCATACCTCGGCAACTTTATTGAGCTTGTCCCGAACATTCTGCAATAGCTGAGAAAGGTCGTCGTCCCATTTGTAGAATTCCAATTCTTTCCCATCAAGGATCTTCTCGGATACCTGGAGAGACCACAGCGATTTTCTTGCATAAGAGGCAAACACCCACTCGACTAATGTGTACGCCGATAGAAACATGCATTGTTTCGATTCAACTCTTTCGACTAAAATGAAAGACACAGGCTCTGTTTTTTCATTTTCTTAAACATACCATTATAGGAATTTTCAAAAAAAAATTAACTATTTCTTGGGTGTGTTTGTTTGAAGGATTAGGAGAGATTTGTACTATTCGCACTATTTTTTTTCCTAAAAAAATATTAAATCAACCACCTATTTTTTATTTTTTATATTATTCTAAAAATCAACATTACATTCAAAAACATGGCATCATACAATTTTTCAAATTCAAATTTTTTACTATTCAAATCCAGACAAAAAAAATTCAAACTCTCAAACAAACACATTGTGTGTTCTTTTTGCAAACTTCCCAATATTTCTATTATTCACTATTTTTTTTTTTTAAAAAAAAAAAAATCAAATACCTATTTTTTATTTTTTATATTATACTAAAAATTAATTTTGCTTATTTATACAGCAGCATCATATATTTACTATTTAAATCTCAACTTAAAATTCAAACTCCCAGACAAACACTTTGCTAGGGCGGCACTCACCTTTCTCCCGATCATACGGCCACCTGCGGAGTGCGCAAAGTATGTATTGTAGAAATGGCAGACAAATGCCTGAGGATCTTTCTCAGACAGCTCCTCAAGGTACCGAGCATAGGTAAGCCCGGGAGAGGATGGATCTGGGATATCACGACCTTGCTGTTTAAACCATTCGAGATCTTTTGCAAGTCTTTCGGATCTTTCTAGACCCGTGTTCTTGAACTCGGCATCTGCAACTCCGCAAAACAAGTTAACTTAGCTGAGTGAAAACTAAGTATCATACAAACAGGCTGTATTTCACCACAAAACATGATATCTCATCGAAGCAGAAAATATCCATTTCAAAGAATAGGATAAATATAATCGGACCAACTCTACAATCAATCTAGAGGTCATTACGAGGACGAATCGGATAATAATTCCGAATAATTCTATCCTCATAAAAGGTAAGATTAATTGTCTCATCATACATCTTTAAAATATTTCTATCCACTGTAATCGGAGTAAAAATGCTCTAACGTGATGAAAAATGATTTCCAAACTCATATTTTGAATAAATGAAATACTTTTAGCTCGCTACAGTCACCAACACAATAATCATAACCAAAACCTACATTGATCTTTTTATAAATGTTCTAATGATGGAATTTCCGCTTCAACTATGAGAATAATCAATAACAAAGCGTGCAACAAGAAACGAAAGGAATAAACGTATGAAAATCCCACAAATGAAGAAATTTATAGCGTAAACAATAGAACGTTACAACTCGAACAATATGAAGGTGGAATCACAATATTTAACTCACAAACAACACTCTCAAAGCCCAACTCATCCGACTCTACTATTTCTACTCTTTATATAAGAATCAGTTCTATATTACCAATAGTCGTAATTCTATTAAAAAAACAAGATTTCTAATCAACTAAAGATGACATAACTTGCAACAAAATCCGGATACAAAGATCATCTAAAGCATACAACAAGACCCAATCAAACAAACTCAATCGAATAGTTCCTCCAAACTTCTGGATAATAACTATTCCACAAAATTGTTTACAATCTATTTGTGGTTTGAAAAGTGTACATCATACCCTTTCGTCATTTACAAAATGCAAGAAGCTCGAAGTGTTTTAAACAACATTAGTATTTTCGAAACCATTGCACAAGGATTCTGCCAAATGTTTTTCAAAATCAATCACGAGAAGTGAATGAAAAGCAATTTTACCTAACTATTTTGATCCACCAAATACAAAAAGACAAATCTTAATTTACCTAACTACATATCTTAAAGGCTTGTTCTTAGAGTTTTTATAATTTTCCGATTTCTTTAGTATGCAATACCACAGTTAGGGTTTGCAACAATTAGGGTTTCTAACACTAAAGTAGCAGCAGATAATTAAGGATGCTGCTCATCGATCTGCAATCAAATCTCCAAGCAGATGAACATAAAATCAGAACAATTTGATGCACAAAACACTCACATTCAGGGAACGCAGATTTGTCCACAATCCTCTCCAGAGTATCGTAAACCACTTTGCTATCCACCAAGAACTGTAGGTATCCTTCAACGCTCGGCTCCCATTTGGCCACCGGCGGGCCGTCGGAGGACTTCTCCCCCTCCTTAGCCTGGTCCTTCGTGTGCAATTTCATCGCCACAAATCTCATCTCCTCCACAAACCCCTTTTTTTCGCCGGGGTACCTCTTCCTCGGCTTCTCCGCCGCCGTCTGCGCCGCCGAGACCACCACCATCCTCGCTCGCCGCACGGAAACCGTCTGCACTGCCGCCGCCGGGAACTGGAATCGAGGAATACGGAATTCCCCCAATTTGGGGTTCTTAAAAAGGAGCTGCGTGCGGGCGATGGGGAGAACCGAATCCATATCGTCGAAAATAGCTTTCAAAGTTGAGTTCAGTAGAGACAAGAGAAGAGCTCGACCTCAACTTCGGCTATGGCGGTTCGATTGCAGTAAAAGGCGATTCTAGAGAAGAATTTCTGCATATATTAGTATGTGATTGTTGATTAATGTTCGATTTCTTGGAGGAAGGGGGACAGCAGCATCGAAGATTGAGTGGAGGGAGGGATGGGTTGCCTGCAATCAGTGATGAAATAAAATTAAAAATTCGATCTTTCTTCAATCAGGGATTGGATAAAGTTTTTTTTTTTTCTTTTTTGGGGAAACAATAATATATTCCATTTGTTGAGGGATCGGATAAATTTGTGGTTGCATTCATTCATTAAATTATATCAAATTTATAATTTATAGTAATTTGTAACTGGAATCGTCACGGCAGGGAAACCGAGAGGGGTGTCGCGTGGCCACCAAAACGACGTCGTTAATAGGCGGGTGGTGTCGTTTCTATAGTAGTAGTAATTTTTTTTGGTTGAAATAATGTAGATTAAATAGAGTATAAAAATTGGTTTGAAATAAAAAATAATAATAAAAAAAAAAAAACAACAACAAACATTTGGATTTTTAATAAGTAACAAAATAAAATTTTAATAAAATAACTTATGTAAAGGAATTTTATTATTTAAGTATAATATTTTCTATATTTATAGAAAATATATTATTTTATTAAAATGATTTTTGGTAATTATATAAATATTTTGATTTTACCTTTAATGTTAAACAATATTAATTGTGTCGTCTGTGTTATAATATTTTCTATCCACAAGGATCATATAGAATATTTTTCTATTTCATAATCACACTCAACATACGTTTTTTTTTATTATTTATTTAATTTAAAACCTCTGAATACAGTATCCGATCAAAAATAACAATAATAAATACAGTATATAAATAAATAAAATTCATTAAAGAAAAAAAACTTGTTGGAATATTCATTAAACAAATTCAAAATATATATTTTAAAATATAAAAAGTAAATAATGGATAATAAATTTACAAGTAGCATAAATATAATATAATATTTTTAAAATCAATTTTCAGTAAGTCATAAATTAATATTTTAAATGGAATGTGTATATCAAACTCAGTCACGTTACAAATAATTGTTTGATGTGATATAAATATGTATTGATATGATATTTTGACATATAAAATTAAATTTTAGTGTAAGAAAATAAATAAAAATTAGTGATTTGATATGGATGATGATTGTTTTATCTATATGATTATTTTTTTTTTTTTAATTTCAAATTCTAAATTATGGTTATTTTGTTTAGGGATTTTTATTTATGGAAGTTTCTTTTAAAGGATCCGTAATTATATCTAGGTTGCATTTTTGAGTTAGAAGTCACAAACTTTACGACTTATTCATAATCAAGTTTTTACGTCTCTAATTTTTTTTTTTCTTTCATTTGGGAACTATTCTACTATTGTTTATTTTGTCGATGCCGTCTGATAATGATGTTGCTTTTTTTGAAGGATTATCTTCGTTTTACCTATGGGAACACAACTTGTTGGGTGCAAATTCAAGTTCAGGTTCAGTCCAAGTGAACTCTCCACTAGTATGAGGTCTTTTGGAGAATATTCAAAAACAAGTTCGTGCAAGCTCAGCCCAAAGCGGACAATTTATACTAGTATTGAGTTGGTCCAATCTCAACAATGGTATCAAAGCCCAGTTAGATAGTGAAGTGGACTGGGTGGCATTGGGCATTGGTTGTGATAGTAGGCTCGCCTTCGTGACCTGCAGATGTGCCTTGTATCGAAAGTCTCCTAGCGGTATTGGGTCGGTCCCGGTTGAGGTAGTCAGACAGCGGGTCCCTTTGTAATAGGCGGTACAAGGTGGGCAAGGAAAGTCCATTAGTTGGTCCTTGATTTGAGGGGAGGATTGTTGGAGTGCAAACCAAGTTCCATATTGGAAGTTGCGAAGAAAATTACACATTTTATAAGTCGCACGTGAACTCCATTGGTATGAAGCCTTTTGGAAAATATCCAAAAATAAATTCGTGCGGGCTCAACCCAAAGCGACAATATCATACTAGTGGAGTTCATTTTGCACAGGCCATTTTTTTCTCATTGATTCGAATTTTTATTTTGTTATTGCATATGTGTTAACAATTGTAAATGATGAAATTTTTTTGTTACCCATATTATCCATGATTGGTGTTCTTTTTTTATTTTTATTTTACTTTCTTTATCACACTTATATAAAACTCATCAATTACAGAACAATTTATTGTGTGATACTTCTTCTGTCCTCAATAGTGTCATAGTTACTGTAGACATGAAAAATTTAAAAAGGATATGAAAAGCAAATAATTAAAAATATATTAGTAAAAACTAAATGTAATATAATAAAAAATTATAAATTAATGTTAACACAACTCATTAATATAATTAAAATTTTAAAATATTAAAATATTATTAAAATATGTATTTTTTATTTTTTATTTTTTATTTTTTTTTTTAAAATGATATAAGATATGGAACATATAAAAATAAAAAATGTAATATTATATGCGGACATAAGAGAGTAATTGATTACTGCTACAAAAAAAAATAAAATAAAAAATAAAACGAGTACTAAAAGAATAATAAATGAAAATTAATTTTGTAGAAGAATTAGAATACAATATTTCAAACATAGTTAAACACGTTTATTGAATATAGTTACACACGTACAATACAATAATATCTAGTGTAATATAAAAAACCAAAAAATATAAAATAAAATAAAACTAATAGTACATCATTTAACAACATCCTTATATTATATGACACGTGGTCGGTTAGTAGCTGAAAATATTTTATTGATTACATTTAAGTAATATTAATAGGCAGATTGTGTAACTATAAACTATACCTCAATTCAATAGCATCATGTCAAATATCCATGCCATGCCAATTATTAAATAGTACCCTGCAATATTTTTTTTTATTTGTCTCAAACTCACTGCAATGTTTCCAAATTTAAAAATAATTAATAATATTTATATATATATATATTAAAATACATTTCACTTTATCTCATCACATCACTCAAATAAAAATAAATAAATAAATAATCATTTTTCTCTCCAATCACATCACTTAATATCCAAATTATCTCAAATTACCATATTTAATACTCTCCACCTAAATTTCCGTCTCAAACACAAATATTACACGGTGTTTGAGACGGAGAAAGTACTAAATTGTAGTAGTATTTATTTTAATTTTTTTTTTTTTTATATAATGAAAATTTAAAACACATAAATAATACTCCTATTAATTTTTCAAGGGAGTGTTTTAAATATAATCATGAATATATTTTTAAATATACTAAAAATTAGTTGGTGTACAGTCTCTCTGTGGAGTTTTTTATTATTATTATTATTATTATTATTATATTTTTATTTAATAATAGTTTGACCTATTATTTATAAGAGAAAATTTATACTTTTATTTAAGTAATTAGAGACTAAACAATAATAAAAATTAATACAAAACTTTAAATTAGATTAAATGAAAATAATATTTATTTTTATTAAATTAATAAAAGAATATTGGACTCAACTTTAAAAATTAACAATCTTATATTATACATATCAACTTTAATAGTATATTAACCACTTTTTTTTTTAATATTATCTATACAATATATATATATATATTTTTAAATATTGTCTAAACAATTCCTCATTTCACATGAAAAATATCAAAGGTAAAGTTTATAATATAATATGCAACCCAATATCAGATTGAAGAAATAAAAATAATTAAACTGTAGTTGCAGATTTGGAATCTCAATCAAATTTTAGTTTTTTTTTTTTTTTTTATTTTTTATTTCAAATCAAAAATTATATTGATTATCTTGCACGATTTTTTAATAAATATATATTCTTTTTTTCTAAAAAATTATTATATTCATTATGTGCAAACTCAAAAATCTTAATATTTTATAAATTTCACATAAACTCCACTAATACGAGACATTTAAAAAAAATCCAAAACAAATATGTGTAGGAAATCTGTAATTTGTAGCACAGCTGACCGTTTCAATTTGTTATTCGATCACTGATCATAATACCCGTAAAAATATCAAAATATTATTTAAATAAAAATTATCATACCAATTTCAAATCAATCCAAAAGAATCATTTTTTTTTCTTTCTATTTTTGTTGGTTTCTTGGCTTTTGGTTATTTGTTGATTGTTGGATCATATATTGTACTTGAGATTTTATATTTACTAACTAGCGGAATACCCGTCTTACGCACGGTGAAATCAATGAAAAAAATTATAATCATATTTTTTTGTTTAATAGTAATTTCTTTATATTATATATATACTTTTAATCAATATAAAAAAATAAAATAATATTAATAAATTATATTGTCTCCGTCCAATTATAAAATAAATATTTAATTTTGTAGTATTTTTTTTATTTCTTAATTGAATATAAAATTATAATAGTAGTATTATTAAATATAGATAAAATATTTTTTAAAAAATTTTTTACGGTGGATATAAGTTATTATTTTAGTGAAATTATTGTCGCCACTTGCTTAAATGTAAGAATTATTGACTTCAAAATAAATAAATTATTATTATTATTTAATCTTTCATGATTGAGATCGGTGGTGTTAACGTCTATCACATATAACTAACTATATATATATATATATATATAACAACTTTCTCAATAATAAATATTGCCATAGGCATATAAAAATACAAAGAAATTTCATTTCCCACGCAAAGCCAACTATTCAACACGATCGATCATGTTCATTAATTTCTTATTACAAGTTGAAATTTTGTCCAAATCCCACACGTGCATTTAACTTAAGCCTACACCCCAACCACCCACCCACCCACCCCACCCCTTTCTATAAATAGTTCCTTTACTCATTCTATTTCTTATTCACTTCTTAAACCTCTAATATAATCTTTGATATATACATTTCCATTAATGGCTTCGATCTCATTCTTTCTTCAATCCCAAGTCCTTTTCAAGAATCCTCATTTGGCATCCTTGACAAGTTCATCCCCAGGACGCCATTTCTCGCCACTTCCCCCGACAAATACACTTTTTTTTCAAAAGAAATCGGGTAGTTTGGTGATTTTTTCATCCGCACATGTGGAGGGGCCGACGAAGAGGGCCCCCGATGGAGCTAAGGGGTTGGTAGATGAACTACGATTCGCGACAATGAATCTCCACACATGGGATCAAGCCAAGCACGGGAAAATGCCCCCTCGAGGCCCCCCTGTCGCAGAATGGGAGACCTCCACGGAAGGGTGTTTAAAGTTCTTGGTGGATAGTAAGCTCGTATACGACGCCCTTGAAAGGATCGTCGAGAAAGCCGCGTTCCCGGAATGTAAGATTCTAGTATTATATGACTTTTAAAATCGGAGTATTGTAATTTAAAAAATATATATATACTTTTTTTATAAAAAAAATAATATAAATCTAATTGGCCACGAAAGTTAATAAATAATAATATTTTTATGTTAAAATATATATGTAAAAGGTAAAATAAAGGTATTATAAAATTTTTATTTAAGACTTATTATAAAATAATGACAAATGGATGATTATTAGTTAAATATAAAAATAATAAATTTATGAATTAATGAAATTATTTACTATAAATAAATACAAGTTTAACCGACAAAAATAATAATAATAGTAGTATAATTTTAGTGAATGGAAAGAATATTAAATTTTTTGCATAGCCGTAAAGAGAAGGATATTTAATTTAATTTTTTTTTATCAAATGTTCTAGTGTCACTTTTATTTTATTGTTTTTACTTTGAGATTTGATCATATAAATTTTGAAGATCTGTTATTATTGACCTAATTATATACGTATAGTTAACATAACACCGTACATGTGTGCACAGATCATGTGTTTATTTGTTCGAGTCAGCATATGTCATATGAATGATTATTTATACATATATTATGTTATATTATAAATATATTGAAATATGTATAAATTGCACGAGGTTCTTCATATATGTTTTTAAAAAATTAAAAATTAGATGAAGGTCTCTCTCGTAATTTCGTATACATTGCAGATAATTTTCTAAAAAAAAAAAGAATTTTGTGCAATATATTTGAAAATACGAGAGAGTCTTATATAATTCTTAAACTATAAGGAAGAATTATGCAAACTCTTCAAACAATAAGTAATCTTGCCAATTCACTTATTTGGCCGGGAATACAATTAATTTAAAATTTAAAAAGTTAGCTTAAGATTTTTAAATTTACCTTTTAACAATTTTAAACATATATTATAAAATATTTTAAATATGCATTAATTCAATTTTATTCATTTAAAATCAACATCTAAGATCCAAATGTATACATTCAAATAAATATTTTATCTATATCGTGTTGTTTTGTAGACATGGAATTGAGGAATACCGGGTTAGAACGGTCTGAGAGACTCGCGAAAGACTTAGAATGGTTAAAGCAACAAGGGCATGAAATTCCGAAGCCAACATTTTGCGGTGTTGGTTTTGCCGAATACTTGGAGGATATTTCAGAGAGAGATCTTCCTGCATTTATTTGCCATTACTACAATATATACTTCGGCCAGACTGCAGGCGGCCGGATGGTGATATCAAAAAAAGTAACGATCTCTTTTTTTAAAACTTTATATTCCTTAAGTATAATAAGCAACTCATTTATTAATGTTGAGATGTCTTGAATTATGTGTTTCGACATTTTTTGCTACTTTGTTGAGTCGTAAATGTGCTCGGATTTTTAAACCCTAATAAGATTATTCTCCTTCTGCCGTGGGGTGGCCAACACCACTATTGGTGAACCACATATTTCTTTCTTTTTTCTTTTTTTTTTTCATTTTTTTATTATATTTATTATATTCTTCGCAACAATTAAGATTATTGAATCTCTTGACATGATGTTCATTCACAACTGTTATGGTTCGTGCATAATGTTATCGTCTTGCAGATAGCCGAGGCTTGCGATGGAAAGGAACTCGAGTTCTACAAATGGGACGGGAACCTTTCTCAAATATTACAAAATGTTCGAGACAAGATAAACAAAATTGCCGAGGTTTGAATTTGTGTTTTGTGTCAGTACTGTAGTTTGACCTGATGTTTTATATTTCTTCGTTCAGGATAATTATGTTACTTTTTTATTGTCCGTATGATTTATAAATAATTATTTGTAATAAATAATTTTATCTAATTACAATTTTATTATTTTTATTTCAACAAAAAACAATCTATTTTATACTATTTTTTCTACTTACATTATTATTTTTTTATTGATTATTTAATAAAATTTCCATGATATTCTAATTTACTTTATATTTACCTCATTTTTATCTTTAAATATTATTATTTCTTAATCGTTGTGTTCTAACAATATGACATAAATAGTCCAAACACCGTTAGAATAAGATAAAATAAGAGATTTTTTATGGAAAATTGTTAGATTATAAAGTAAAGATATTTTTAATTTATTTTAAAAAATCAAAATAAATAATGATAAAATATTTCATACAATATAAATAGATGTTCGATGAAGCATTTTGAATAAAAAATATATTTTTAATATAAAAGATAAAAATATTCGATATAGTATTTTTTAAAAAATAATATAGTGTATATATATATTCAATTAAAAGAAAGAACATTAACCATCAATTTTGTATTGCATGAAACAGGGATGGAGCAAAGAAGAGAAGGATCGATGCCTCAATGAAACTGAGAAGCCACTTAAGTTTGGAAGGGATATTATTGGTTTGATCAAATTGTAAGGGTGAATTAATTATATACATTATTGGACCCCTATTTCAATTTATATACTCCCTTCGTCTCGTAACTAAATATTCATTTGCTTTTTTCACATAGTTTTAGAAATATTAGTATTATATTGGTATATAGTAGGAATAAAGTAGAAATGACTAGAATAACATTATTAGTACGTGTGATATAAAGATAATGACATTTGTGTAATATATTGTAAGTTGTAAGGTTATTTGTAATGTTAGGTAGATAGTACAGTTACTAAAAAAAGAAATGGATACTTTGTTATGGGACGGACTAAAATAGAAAAATGGATATTTTGTTATGGGATGAAAGAAGTATATTAAATAAGTTATATTTGTTTGGTTTTCATTTGAATTTAAATTTTATTTGTTTTAGTATTTTGAATTAGATATAATATTTTGTAAGTATATTTTTATTAAAAATTATACAAATTAAAATTGCGATGATTTTGCTTCGGGATCAAAACCAATTTTACTGTATAATATATAATCAACAAGCTTACCGATTAATATTATAAAAAAATAATAATAATGTATATATATTTTTTTTCATAATTCACACAACAAATGTGAATACTACAACATATAGTATAACACATTATATAATTTTATATAACATAATATATGTTTGATTTTAGTACAATATATAACTTAGACAACATATATTTCTATATAACACATAATATGCTAGCTATCTTGTAATAAAATTCTAATTGCTTTAAGTTATTGTGTTTACTTGGTCATATGCTATATGTATTGTTATGAAATATTAATTGTTTCAAATTATTATATTAATCTGATTATATATTATCTTATTTGTAATGAAACACTAGTTACTTTATATTAATGTGTTAATTTAATCAAATCAACGTGATGTTAATTTGATCTAGTCAGCATTCTAACCAAGCGCCTTCATTTAAACACTCTCATTTAAAAAATATGTATCATTAAAATTATATTAAAAAAAATATCGTAGTATATTATATTTTTAACCAAAAAAAAAAAAAAAGTCTCAATTGAGCGTCATTGAAAACAAAATCAAACAAAACCAAGTATTTGTTCTTCGATTTTATTTTTAAATAATAAAAATTTAAATTTGAATAATTATACGATGTGATATTAATAAATATTAATAAGATATTTTGAATATAAAATAATTTTTTAATGTAATATAAAAAATTAAAAAAAAATTATTAAATTTAATATTTTCAATAATAATAATAATAATAAATAGTAAAAAATTCACAAAAGAAAACAGAAGTCCATTTTATTACAATCAAGCATATCTCGCGGTTTCTCACAAAGATCGCGGGACAGCATCAATATATATATTGCACCTTCTTCACACTACATCACATCACAAAACATATATATATATATATGACAACCATTACAGTGTTGAATTTTAGATTCAGCATTGTATTGAAAAAGCACATTGTGTGCTGTCTAGCACACATTATTATTATTATTATTATTATTATTATTATTATTATTATATATCTCACATACAACACCTTAATCCATCCTCAACCTCACTAATTATCTTACACTTCATTCGATCGACATACTACGATCGTGTTCAATTCGACAACATAATTAACTTCATTAATCAATCATAATTAACTCAATAATTAATCTTGGAGCAAATCCTTCTAATCTCCCCTTGCACCCCTGTCTTAACCTCAATGCTTCCCATTCTTACAATAGCCTCCTCAAAATTTTTACGAAACTTGTGCGATCCAGTCGCATCCCTCGCGTACATGTTCACCATTGTATGCGTCGCCCGGTCCTCCCACAGCCGCTGGTCCGACTCCAAAACGTCTTTTCCCTCTCTAACATTGTGATAAAAGCTCGCGTCGAATTCGAGCTCCGCGCCGCTGTCCAAACCGACCCTTTCCCTTCCGTCGCTGTTCTCCGGACACACGCTCTTTAGTTGCTCTAGCATTGTCTCGTTTATGGTCGGATCGGGGCCGGTGCCGCTTGTTGAGAGTGAATTGCTGCCACCGCTGCCACCGCCGCCGGAGGAGCGATAGGGGTCGGGCCTGGCGGCGGCGGCGCCGCGGCTAAGTGTGGGGAAGTTGTAGAGACGGTAGCGGAAGAATTGGCAGGCTGTCTTGCCTATGGTGTGTGCACCTTTATTCATGTATATGAAAATATGTTACTCATTTTTTTCAGGTGAAATTATTTTTAGTTTTAGTTTTTATCTGTTATTTAAAATGTTCTCTTTTCTTATACTATAAAAGTATAAAAAATAATAAAAAGTATATATTCATATTAAAAATTAAAACTCGTAAATTAAAATTTAGAGTAAACTATTTTTTTAACCTAGTATTCGACTTTTTTATCATTTTAAAACTTTAAATGGATCATGTCTAGAATAGTCAGTAATATTTTTTCGCTAAAATGGTCATCCGACCTGTCTTTGTTGACGCAGCTAATATGTCATCGCCATGTAGATGTCACGTCAACAATACCTAAATTTTTTTTACAAAATGTCTTAATAAACTGTTTTTATTCTCATATCTGGTCTTCTTTTATTATTTTGGTAAAATTGTTTATAACTCTCTTGTAGTTTCAAAATTCAGCGAAAAATCTCCATATACTTTAAAAATTGCATAGTACCCCCTTATACTTTAAAAAACGTTGCATGAAACCCCACCACTAAGAAACTTTCCCGTGTGATAAGAAGATGATTTCCTATCTATATGTTTTGCATGGCAGAGAGGTTTTATACAATATTTTTGAAAGTATAAATGAGCGTCATGCAATTTTTTAAAGTAAAATGAGAATTTATGCTGAGTTTCGAAACCACAAAGTGGTTTCATACAACATTTTTTAAAGTATAAGGGAGTCATGCAATTTTTAAAGTAGAGGGACGCTGAGTTTCGAAACCACAATGGAGTTATAGACAATTTTGCCTATTATTTTAGAACTTTAAATGAATGATATCTGAAAATAGTTCCGAAAGTAAAAGGAAACTTTTATAACTAAAATGATCATCCAACGTGTCTTGTCAATGACATGTCAGCAACCGCAAGTTAGTGCAACGAGTCCGGCACTTGACTATTTTAGCGAAAAAAAAATTTATAGACAAAATCAATTTAAAATTTTAAAATAATGAAAGAAAATCGTATAAAAAACCAGCTACCCTAAAATTTAATTACCTTTTTAGATAACGAGTAGTGATGTATATAATATGAGTGTAGTATTTAATAATTGCAAGGATGAAATTATTATTTAGACAAATTCATTTTAAGTACGGTTTCCTTTTGCTTCCCAACTAATTATGTCACTTTTTGTTTATTTGTGTTTTTCTAAAAAAATATTGTTTTTAGTATAAAATAATTATTGAACGTGAAATTTTTAATTAATAAAAACTAATATTGAATGTATAGTTTTAAAGAAAATTTGTTAAATAACGGATTTATATATATATATATATAAATAAATAGATATTAGAAAATGAAAGATATCCGTACCAACGAGTGTGACAAGATCGAAATGATCGAGTCCCTTGGCTGCAAACTTCCGCCTTTGTACGGCCACCGAATCCGCCGGGCTAGGCAACGCGAAGACCTCCGATGCAGATGAAATCCGTCCGTCCCTCCTTCCCAACGGCACATCCCAACTCGACCCGCCGCACTAAATAAATTCACATATAAAAATAAATTATATAATGAGTTCATTCACTTTAAGTCAATAGTTATATAATTATATTTTAAGTTATAATATGATCGTTAGATAATTTATAAAGTAATTATATATAGGGAAAATTATAGTATATATATATCTTTAATCATTAGTTTTGTTTTATAATTATTATTTTTTTTTTTTTGCCAATATATTTTATACTTCACAAAAATTTACAACCTTCAACTTCAGAAACTCGAAAGTCCGCGTGAATCTCATATATACTATTTTCTCCATCCCAGCTAATTTGTCCATCTTAGCTGAGACATTGAGTTTTAGGTATAATGTAATTAGTAAGTAATTAAAAAAATGTATTAGTAAAAATAATTATAAATTAAGATTAAGATAACTCAATAGTTTAATTAAAATAAAAAAATTATAACTTATGAATTTTAAAATGTGATGAAAGCGTACAATTATATTTTCAAATAAAAATGATAAATTATGTGGGCCGGATAGAAATAAAAAGAATGAGAGCAAGTGGAACAGAGAGAGTAATATATATGTGTATATATATACATAATAAAAAGTGTTGGAGTATGATATAAAAAATACCCTATATACGGCGTCACGGCAGCCAAGGCCAATATATCGGCACATGAAACGGTGTTGGGACATGCCTTCTCAAGTTCGGCTTTGGCATCATCGATCACGGCGAATCCTCTCAGCCCGAGATTGGGCAATGCCGTCCTCTCGGAAGAAGGGGCGTCAATCAAAACCGAAGCATCGCATCCCTACATGCAATGCAATCAAAATCACTAGTGATTTATACCGATAGATGGATTTATTCATATGCTATAATATAGTTACATATGTTCGAATTATCGTATTGGTCTTATTTAAGGAATTTACAAGATTTTAAACTTATATAAGATTGGTAATTCATTATATATGTTAGGTGCGATTCAAGTGATTAGTATTACAAAGTATAAATTGACAATACATAACTTGAATGAAAGCCCAATAAGTTTAATTATACACTTTATGAATATATATATCTATTATTTTTATGAATGAAACCCAGTAAGTTTAATTTTACAAGTCTAACGCTATGTCTGAATGTAATTTACTTTCTCGTCCACTACTAAACTTCTCATTTTCATTTTAGTCTGTAATTTTATTTTTTTTGTTTTCGTCCATTACTAAATATTTTTATTTTAGTATGTTCAAATCAAGATTTTTTTTTTTTTTTAGAAAAAATAGTTCTCAACTAAATAACAAAATAGTCTTTACGACATGTTTATCTTTATCGATCGAATGATAGATCACAAATTAAACTTAGAACATGTCTTTCTAATCTCCCCTTGAGTCCCGGTCTTGACCTCAATGCTGCTCATTTTCACCATAGCCTTCGGAAACTCAAAGTTAAACCTCAACCCTAATAGCCCTCTTATGCTTCCCGCGTAATTATTCACGACCCGCCGTGTGGATTCATCTCCCCACAGCCGTTGGTCCGACTCCAAAATTCCATTTCCGTCCCTCACATTCTTGAAAAACCCCGCATCGAATTTCAACTGGCTACCGGTGTCCAATGCCACCCGTTGGGAGGCCGGCCCGTCTTTAGGACATGTGGATTGCAATTGTACAAGGAATGGTTGTCTGATGCTAGGGTCGGCGTTCCCTGTCGCCGTGAAGTTGTAGAGACGGTAGCGGAAGAAGAGGCAGTCTGTCTGGCCGATGGTGTGCGCTCCTTAATCCACAACATGTCATCGAGAAAATTATTTGTAAATATTTTTTAAAAATATTAAATCAAACATTTATTTTTTATTTTATATATTATAAATTAATTTTACATATAAAAGATCATATCAATATTGAAATTATTTTTTTCTATATATATATAAGAGGTTGTTTGTGTGCTGAGTAAATTTATTTATTATGATACTAGCAACACCTTAAATGTTAGACAAAATATAAAACGCGTTATCTAGTAGTATATAACAATAATTTACACAATGCATAATATTTCACACAAAATATGTCTATATAACACATCCTATAAGTATAAACTACTAACACATATTTTCAAATATCAAAGTATATGTTATTTTAAATAAAATTATGTATTATTTGCCTACAATCAACACTTTAACCAATCTCATATATATACAATAAAATGGTTATATCAATTGTTGGCTTAATTTGCAAATTATTGTGTTCGATATGAGAATTTACTAAAATGACCTCAAAGAATAGCAACGCAAATTTTTATATAAAAAAATAATAAAATAAAATGGTCATATCATGTTTTAAGATAAAATATATACATATATGTCACTCTAATAAAATAAATATATTATTCAATAAAATTATACAATAAGTGAATAACTGATTTATTAATTTAATATGAAATTGTATCTTAATTAAATTAAATTAAATTTACACTGAATTTTGGTTGCGATACAGTAAATAGAAAATAAAATTTTAATATAATATTTTAAAATAATATATATTATATGTTATCTGTTAAAAAATATTTACGGAATACTACGCGACTAAAGTGAAAGTAAAATAATATGATCTTTTTTTACTATAAATTGAAATCAATATTATTTATTTTGTATTATTTTAAATAAAAATATATTATTTTAAAAAAAAATTATCAATTTAAAATATTATTTTTAAAAAAAATTATTCAATATTTTATTTAAAATCAATTTCAAAATACAGTCCGTTAAATTTCATTTTTACCAACAAGCGTGACAAGATCATGATCATCCAACCCCTTGGCCGCAAACTTCAGCCTCTGTACGGCCACGGAATCCGCCGGCCCCGGCAACCCCGACGCGTCCGACGAGAAAGAAACCCGCCCGTCTCTTCTCCCACACGGCACTCCCCAGCTCGGCCCGCCACTCTGCGCGCAACACGTAAATTAAAATACACATATATCATTAACCCAGCCTGACCCTCAAAAATTAAAACATCTAGCGATCGACTAATTAAAGATCGATCGAGCTAGTAGCAATCAATTATATATATATATTTGATCACCAAATCCACGGCATCGCGCGCCGCCAACGCTAATATATCAGCGCACGATACGACCCCGGGGCACGCCCCGTCCGCCTCGAGCTGCGCTTTTGCATCTTCCACGACGTCGAACCCTCTCAACCCGAGATTAGGAAGCGCCTTCCTCTCCGACGAGGGCGAATCGATGAGGATCGACGCGTCGCAACCCTGTAATAAAGGTCATCATCTACATACTATAAATTGAAAATGACACACAACATATATATATATATGTGTGTTTGTGTGTGTAAGAAAACATGTACATGGACAAAGCAGTCATGAAAATGAAGCCGGAGCAAGGCGGCAGCGATCGTAGGGTCTTTGTCGAAGCGGGCCTCGACTGTGGATCGAACGATGGATTCGACTTTCGGGCAAGAAGACGAGTAGAAGTTTGTCTTAAGCCCAACTTCTTGCTGTCCTAATGCTGCTTCAAAGAGGAAGAGGAAGAAGAAGATGATGAAGAATGCCATGATCATAGGCTAGATGAGAAGATGTTTCATATTTGTGGAGATTCCATTGTTGCTTGGATGTATCTATATGTATATGTATATATATACATGGTTGTCTTTACATAAGTTGACAACATATAGTTAATAATATAATATAAATAAAGAAAATGAAAAAATAATACAAACAAATAATACACATGACAATAGTTTATACAATATGCAGATTACTATTAATGTGAACACATGAGATATATTCATACAACATATTTACAAAATATAATTATTGACATATACGCTTTAAGTGGCAGAGCATGTGTTGTCTGTTTATTTTCTAAACAAGTGACTATAGATGATCAGTAAAATGCTTATTAGCCATAACCTAACAACATAATCTTTTCTACAAATAGAGAATCAATACGTGCACTTTGGGTAAGTTTTCGATCAGACTTAATATCCTACAAACTAAGTTTGATAAACAAATCACACTAAACGAACTATATATGACAGATGGACCTACAAGCATCGAGAATTTAAACCTATGACCTCATCGTCACATGTTTACCCAGAGACTAGGTTTGATATAATATTTATTTATAGAAGCTTGTACTGCACACCTGCTAATTCTTATTATAATTCCATATAATATTCTTAAAAGAAAAAATTATGTTCACACTAAAATTTACAACGATACCTTATTAGATATGATGTTGTATATAGTGGTCAATTATTGAGCAATGAAGGGTTGCTTAGTGGAGCATAATTAAACGTGTGGGGCCCGGCCCATCCACGTAAAAGTGGATTCATTATCTGCTTTTATTTTTTGTCGTGGCTTTTGGGGATATAATTAAAATTATTAGTGGTGCTTTTTATCCCATGATACAAATTTTGGCATTTTTGTCTATAATTTATTATTATTATTATTATTATTAAGTGGTCTGATTTCAATGACGTTGCGAATTTTATGTCAAAGAAAAAAACAAACAAACAAATATTTTATCATATTTGGACTAAATGTATCCATTTTATTATTTATTTATTTATATTAAATGATATTCATATAACTCAATATATTTACAACAATATTATTCAAAACAAAATCTTATTAATTTGTGTTTTTTTATATAAATATTCTGCTTTATCTACCAGAATAATGAATTTTTATTATTTCAATATAATGTTTTTTTCTATGTAATTAATTTCGAACGCACTTAAACCGTCGACTTTGTACCGGAAAAGATGCAGCTATTTCGATGGGCTCCAAAAATTCATGCCCAATCATCAAACTCCAAAAGAAAGCCTATGGGCCTCATAATATCAAAGCCCATATTAATTTCTTAATTTTCTAGGCTCCATTCACTTACAAATTAAAAAATTATGTTTTGTTTGTTCGTGTTTTTTAATTCTTGTTTTCGTTGCTCATTTTATAGGATTTTTATAATATTATGTTAAAATATCATATTTATAAAAAAATATTATAACCGACTATTTGAAATATTAACTTAGCAATTTTAATATTGATGGTTATTTGATCAAATTAGCATAATAAGCAAGCGGAACAATACATGTATATATATATAAAACATTATTATAAAAAAGTATGTAATTTGAAATAATATATTGTTATATATTCGTTTAATTGATTTGTAGTAACTGAATCAAATCTACCCAATATAAAAATCGAGCTCAACTTTGAATACTAATACCTAATGAAACAATACTACATTTATCATTATTTTGAAATAATGAAAATATATCTTTATTTGTAATAAATAAAAGAGGACAAATTCTACACTCCAATACTCCATTGGATTACAGTATCCGTTCGAATCTATTATATATACTTACTTGTTAAATATATATTGAATTATATACTAATTTATTAATATCATCAAATGTTTTTCGAAAACTAAAAATTTCTATATAAAGACCTTGTTAGTATATACTGTATATAATAGTGTATCAGACTATTAGTATACATGCCTGAACAAGCAAAAATCAACTTCAAAGGACGAGGACCGATTCATAACCAAAAAAGAATATAAAAGACCAATTTGCCCCCGCGACGGGATCGATCGATCTACTTAGCAACTTGTTCGAGAACCGACATTTTATTCCACGTTTCTTCCAAGCCGGGGACATGCAATGGCGGCAATGAAAATGCGCTAACAGTCGAGCTCCCGCTGCGAATCTCTTTCAAAACCCGAAGCGCCGCTAAAGTGCTCTTCATGTAGAGGTTCTTCATGTACTCTATCTCGGCTAGCTCTTTTGGGTCTTTGATCAGGCTGTCATCGTGCATTGAGCTCGTGGAGGGCTCGTTGGTAATTTCAGCGCTCGATCCGGCGGCGGTGCTGATTGATGGGAACATCTGGTCGAGCATCCTCTCGCACTGTTTTACGAGCTTGTAGAGTAAATCGGTGGTGAAGAAGGGCTGCTGCAGAACCTTCTGGATGAAGGGTAGCCGGAGGAGTGCGCCGGTTCTCTTGTCGTATTTCTTCAATATTTTGACTAATCCTATTCAACGAGAGACGGGTTAGGATTCAAGAATCGGCAATCAGAACAGGGTGTATTGCTAAACATTAGAAAGCTTGAGCTTTGATCTACGTCGGATTTTAAAATTTTGGGGCAATTTCCAAATTCATGTTGAGAAAGAAGCATTAAGTTAGTATGTTGAATTCATATATTCCGCATGGTAATTGACAGCACCTTAAATATATCCAAACAGAACATTATCAAATAGTCAATCTACATGAATTATATTAGCATAATACAAATACAACAACACAGGATAATTATCTACGGCAGAACCAAAGATTTTAAATTAGGGGGAGCAAGTTTCTTGTAAAAAATCAAGACTAAGAGTCATAAATTCGAACGCAAATTATCTAAAATGTTGTTCAAATAAAATTGTACAGAAATGTTCGACTTGCCATATTCTAAAAACGTTGCAAAATAGCTTTATTTTCAATATTTGCAAAGATATAGGTTAAAAGACACTTTCACAATATCTACAAAAATAAAAAATTAAAAACCAATCTAGAAACAGAATCGAACGAACTACTACAGGCACCGATAATTCGACAATGATTCAGATTATGTATGTAAATTGACCAACAAATGAAACAGGATTGGAATACAAGCTACACAATGGTTACTAAGAATGAACTGGAAGGTCTCACAGAAGATGAAGGTCCAAGAAGATGTTACCAGTATAGTTAAGGGCGCTGTAATTCTCCAGCAAAACCATCTCCCCGTGGAAATCGACAATTTCTTTCCTGATCTTAATCATCACGTCTTTGCGATCCTTTGCTCTGGCAACTCTATCCTGAAGTTCCTGTGCACAAAAATGCAAATCCAATGTACTACTCAGGTGTCAAGTTTCTAGGCCACAATCAGACAAGAACATACAGTAATAGCACAGGTTTTGTTGTTCACATGGATTGATGACTAACCCTAACTGTTAGCTACAGCTGAAATTAATATGGAATATGGTTTTGCAAAAAACTAGAAGAAATCTACAGAGATCAATTCCAAGTGGTCCAAATTGTTGCGGAATAAGCACAACACCGATCGATAATGTTCGTTCTAGATTCCTTACACACGCGTAGATGCCATGGAAGTTACTGCGGATAGTCCAAATTCTTAAACATAAAATTATTCGACAGTAGAGTGGGACAAAAGCACCAAAACAGAAGAAGATATATGGAAAAACAAAAATCAAGCACTCAGGAAACCGTCGTTTTCCCCTAACCGGAAGTAATGCTGAAAAATCGCAAAATACCTAAAGAAGAAACAGTTCATCGAAACGAAGAATCAACAATCGTTCGTAAAAATACCTTCAATCTAATGATATACTCCTCCTCTTTCTCAACAAAGAAGGCGTTAAATTTCTCGAGCTCGTCCTCCAGCAATTTAACGAAATCCGCCTCTTCCTCCGTCATTCCTTCCTTCTCCGCGGAACCGTCGTCCATTCTCCTCCTCTTACCCGGCCTCTCCTCGTCCCCGCCCTGCGCCTTCGGCTCGATTAGCTTGAGGCGCTTCTTCAGCTCCTTGTAGGACAGAAACTTGTCCCTCCATTCCGGCAACGTCTCTTCAATCTGATTGCTCAAACTCTTCCCGAATTTCATCTCCACACAAAAATTAATAACAAAAACGAATATATACCGCAAAAAAAAACAGCAGCGGAGTGCGGAGAGCTTGAGCCAATGGAGAAATCGTGAATTGCTGCGCTAGTATGGGCTGAGCAGAGCGTAAATGAGCGGCGGAGAGTGAAGAGGGGCGGTATATAATGGGAGCGAAGAACGAAGAAGGAGAGGAGAATATGCTGAGAGCGGAGGTGGGAATATTCTTACGCCCAAGAGGATATCTCCGTTTTATTCCTCTATGCGACCGCGACGCTATTTCAATTTTATTCCTACTACCTTCCACGTGTCACCCTATTGACCTGCCACGTAGACCTGTTTACGCAGACCTATGGCTACTGACTTGAATGAAATTAAAATTGTTGACTTCTCTAACTATGCTTTTCTTGATCTGTTAGGTTGTAATTAAGATAATGAATATTTTATACCGAAAATTTTTAAATGAATTTTTTTTTATTATTATTATGATAATTCAAATTCAAATTAAAATAAAATAAACTCATAATACTCCTCTGCCACCAGGGTTTGTTTGTTTGGGAGATTGGATTAAATTTATACTATTCATCCAATTTTTCTCTAAAAAAACATCAAATCAAACACTTATTTTTTATTTTTTATATTATATTATAAATCAATTTTACATTCAAAATATTACATCAACACTTATTTATATCACATTATACAACTATTCAAATTCAAAATTTTTACTATTAAAATCTCAACTCAAAATCCAAACCCCCAAACAAACACACTCCTAAAGTGTTCATATTAATAGTTCTTTTAGTTTCACTTCTCATGATATATATTTTATTTTTAAAAAAAATTATATTTTATTTTTATTTTTTTTATTTATAACAAGTAATTATTTTATTATTAATTTATAATTATTTATACTATAAAATAATTATTTTTATTTTTTATGAATATATTTCTAATTATACTTAATTATAGAATGTGCTGAAGAAATTAATGACTGGCACAAACTATTGTGCTATTCGAATATTCGGCCATCACCCTTTATTATTATTACTAGCCAATAGCCATTAACCCGGATATTGAAATTTGTATTATTTTATTACTAGAAAATATTTATGTATTTTATATTAAAAAAAATAAAATTGCCTAGAGCGACTAAGTATATCGAGTGTGTTTTTTTAGTATTTTAATTTCAAATATTCTTTATATAATTATGAGAAATTATATTGATAAGATAAAAAAATAATATTTAATGTTGAAAATTAATTTTTGTTAAAAAAATAAAAATATATATTAAAATTGTGTCGATAAAAATTGATTAAACAAACAAACTCATTGTATTGTTAAAAAATGTAAACATTGAATTTTTTTATATTTTCACACATTAATTTTTACCAATATTCTATATATTGGAGATTATAAACTTAACGGGCTAGAAATTTTTATATTGCTTGGGCTCAAGGGGCGTATCTAATGGGGATCAAGGGTATTGGACCCCCTAACTATTTTCAATTTTTTTATTATATGTATTAATATTTTTTATATTATAAGTATAATTTTAAAAAATTGAATATAAATTTAAGATTTTAAATAATAACCCTCTTATTAATTTATGAAAAAAAAAATTATTTCAAATATTTAATTTAATTGTTTAAAAATGTCTATTATTTCAAAATGTTGGAGTGTCTATTTAAAGTTTAAATTTGGTTTTGTAATATTCATCATTTTTTTTTTTCTAAATATCAAATCATATTTTTATCTTTTCTTATTTAATACTACTGTTAAATTTATTTATTTTTATTCAATATGGTATAGCAAATATGGATTATTTTAATTTTAGATTGAATTTGAACTTTTTTATTTAAATTTTATTTAATAATTTAACATGATATTTCATAATATATACATATGTAATATTGATATTGATATTGATATTGAAACCAAGACCAAATAAATGATACTCCCTCCGTCCCAGATACGGTGTCTGCTACACTGTAGATACGGTATTTTAGGAGGAGTGTAATTAGTAGATAATTAAGAATGTATTAGTGAAAATAATTATCCTATAATATAAATAATTATAAATTAAGATTAAGATAACTAATTAGTTTAATTAAAATTAAAAAAAAATTAAAAATTTAAAATGAGATTAAAGTGTGTAATCATTTTCCAAAAAATGAAAGTGACATGGTATGTGAGACGGACAGAAACGGCAACGTGGACATGGTATCTGGGACGGAGGGAGTAGTATATATTTATATGATAGCACTCCCTCATTCTCATTGAAAGGTTACCATTTTATATTTTCGTATGTTCCAAAATAATATTATAATTTCCTAATTTAGTAATTGTAGTACCTACTTAACATAATAAATATTATTTCAACTTACAATATATTACACAAATGTCATTACTTTTATATTACATCGTACTAATATGCGTATTTTTGTCTTTTTTACTACAATCCAATATAATACTAATATTAAAAAATTTATGTGTAAAAAATAAATGTCACCCTTCAAATATGAGGGAGGGAGTATTAAATACTAGTACTATTCAATTCAAAACTTTTTCCCATTTTTAAACTTCAAATCGCACATCTAAATCCAATAGTTAAATGAAGATGCCTTTTAAAATCCTTCTAAACATACTTTTGAGTAGTAGACATCACATCATCACATATGTTAGATTCAAATTAAAATAAAATAAAATAAAATAAATGAAAATATGTGTTGGTTGTCTTATCCTATGCTAGCGATAAAGGGAGCGAACCAAACGTGACTGAGGAAGCCCACCAAATGATGATAATAATATTATTATTATTATTATTATTGCAATACTAATAAAGGCAGGAGAAATCCGCGGGCCATGCGTGTAGGTCCCACCGCCCAACACATTCTCCTCCACGCGCTCTCTTATCCACGCTCTGCCCACGTGCCGCCTGCGATATCATTACGACGAAATGCATGTGGGTGCGTAATCTGTTTTACTTTAATTAATGTTCTTTCCTCCAATATAATTTGTTAAATTTTTTTATTTGTCTATTTTTTTTATTTTAATTTGTCACAAATCAAATAGGAGTAATTTATTTTAATATAATTATAAATTTTAATATATTTAATATATTTATAATTTTATCATTTTTATTTTAATTAAATTATCTAATTATTTTAATTTATTTCTTAATACTTACTAATTATATATTCTCTCCGTCTCACATACCGTCTGCTACACTGTAGACACTGTATTTTAGGAAGAGTATAATTAGTAGATAATTAAGAATGTATTAGTAAAAATAATTATCTTATAATATAAATAATTATAAATTAAGATTAAAATAACTAATTAATTTAATTATAATTAAAAACAATTAAAAAGTTTAAAGTGAGATTAAAGTGTATAATCATTTTCCAAAAAAAAAAGTGACATGGTATGTGGAACAGATAAAAACGGCAACGTAAACATACATGGTACGTGGGACCAAGAGAGTAATATTTAAAACTCTTACCTCCACTAGAGTGAACAAATTAATTTAAATTAAAAGAAGTATATTTTTATTTTAATAATTTATATTCATTTAAGACATATAACAAATATTCTTTCCTTTTTAATCAATGTGTTCTTTTAATATATTTTTAAGATATTAAAAAATATATATTATGAGTAAGTAAAGTATATAAAAGAGTAAATATTTTTATAAAAAATTAAAAGTATTTTATTTTAGTATTTAAAAATTAATATTTTTATTATAGTTGAAATTATATATATATTTTTAATAGGACGATGAAAATGATAAAAGAAAAAAAATTGATATATTGAATTGACATATTATTAATATTTATTTTTTTTCAAATATTATTTATTTTCAATACAAAATATTATATTCATTATATAACATGGCATATTAATTGTTTTATTCAATTTTTTATTATTAAAAAAATCCAAAAATTTAAAAAATATATATTATCAAAATATATCTAAGCACATTCTTAGTTCATTTGATTGTTATTTTGGCATTTGAAGAATAGATAAAATTTGAAATTGAAATACTCTCTCTATCCCGGTGCAAGGTTGCCACTTATTTTTTGCGCGTAGATTTTTTAATATTATTATTAAAATGGGTTGTAGTGAAAAAGACGAAAATACCCCTATTAGTATTGTGTAATATAAAAGTAACGACATTTGTGTAATATACTGTAAGTTAGAACGGTATTTATTATATTAGGCATGTAGTACAATTACTAAATTATAAAATGGTAACCTTGTTTTGTAACAGATGAAACTGAAAAATAAAAGTATTTCAATATGACGGATAGAGTAATAATTTCATACTATATTTAACGTGATTCTATAAATGAAAATTTAATTATATATATACATAATATATCAAATATAAGATAAATGTTTGATAATATATTACATTTTTAGAAAAATAAATAAATGGATTATTGTATATGGCAGGTGATAAAAAGAAATTGTTAAAATTAACCAAACCAGATCTTATAGTAATTCCTTTTCTAAATCTGTTTTACACTCTAGTTTCTCTGCATACTGAATCTAAACTGAAAAAAAAAAAAAAAAAAAAAAAAAGAAAGAAGGGCATTTATTACCTTAAATAATTTCACCCCGATCATATAATTTTTTTGAAATCTTGAATTAACGAAAATTATAAATTTAGAATACTTAATGTACTATTTTGTGAGAAAAATAATCATTCCTCTCTCCCAATATAATCGTCTTGTTTATCATTTTTGTCCATCATAAAATAATAGTCTCATTGTCATAAATAATCATATCATTATAAAATTATCATTACTTTTTCATTATTATTACACAATTGCCACTACTTTTTACAGTAATACACTCACGGACAAAAAAAATCTTTTACCCATACTGTTTACTCACTACCAATATAATCTTTAAATCTCGTGCCACTCACTACCAAACTATAGTTCTGGGACGGAGGGAGTATTTAAATTCCCTCAGTCCCACACTAAAATATTTATTTATTATTACGTCAATGTATTTAACATTAAAAATATCTTCAATTTGTATAATTTTTTGTATTAATGTCATTATATTAGTATTACAAGACATTAATAAAATATTCTTGTCATTTTCCCTTGATTTGTAATATGTTTTGATATAATAATTAATATTCAATAATCAACACGAAAAAAATATACGAAATAAAAGTAATATAATATTTTTTTTAAAAAAAAAATTATTGTTAAAAAATAGCAATTCCTTTATCCACTTGATATACATAAATCTAAATTTGAAAATATAAAGTTTATTCACATAGTATTTTTGAATAACTTTGTTTTTTATGTTAAAATAGACCCTTTTTTTTGTAAATTAGTAGAAATATAATATATATATATCATATATATTATATTGATGCATGCATATATTATATTTTTTTAATAATAATATTTATATATACAAAAAAAATAAAAAATTATGCCAACCAAAAACAAATAAAAAAATAAAAAGTATAAACTTAAAAAAAGTGTGTATATAATATGGGCCGATAAAGTCTACAGAGAAGCTTATAGTAAGTAAAAAAGATTTAAGTATTCAATATATTATCCGTCTCCTAACAAATTATTAAATTTTTCATTATGGTCCGTTCTATAACAAATATTCAATTTTTTAAAGTAATGTACTATCAGTTTAACATTACAAATACACTTATTTCATTATGGTCCATTCTATAACAACTATTCAATTTTTTTAAGTAATGTACTATCTGCTTAACATTACAAATACACTTATAATTTATAATATATTGCACAAATATTGTTACTTTGTATCAACAATACTATATTATTTTAATTATTTTTATTACTATTACTAATATACTTTAAGGAGAGAGGGAGAATAATATTTAATAAAAGAATAGTTATTTAATATAATATGTTAAAATATTATTATGAATAATTTCAAAACATTTGAAAAAATAGATTTGTTAACTGGTTTTTGAAATAATTTGATTCTTCTTTGAAGTTATTTACCAAATTTGATATTTTCATTAGAATTTTTCACCTAAATATGTTTACTATAGCGTAATTAGAATGAATATTATTATTTTATCTTTCATAATTTCATATTTATTTCAAGTATTGGAGCTCAAGATAATTGTAAGTCCTATATAATAGTAGCATTTATGTCACTTAATAAAATCTAAAATTATACACTTTTTAGTCATTTAGAATAATTATAATAATTTTTTATTTAATATTTATTTGAAATGTTTTTTTCTAAAAAAAAAAACCTTTGAAATGTAATTTGATTTTTTTCTTAGAAATTTTTATACATAATACAATTTGGCATGTTTAATCAATTCAAATAAATATTATACTAATTAATATCTTAATTATATAATTCACTCAAATAATTCTATCTATTATAATGCATTTATTTAAAATAAACCAACCTTAAAATATTATATTTGCATGGATTCACAGATATTTTAATGAAATTGTATAAATTAAATCAAGAGAGAGGAAACAATAAGAGCCACTTTATTTTTATTTAGAGTAAGTATTTTATGTAATCCAAATTTCAAGAATACAAACACATTTGGTCAATATATGAAATTGAATAATTTTCTGTTTGTGTAGAAGTAATTCTTCACAAATCTGAGGACTAAATCCGCAAATTGATTGGAACCGTTGATCTAATTCTACCAATGGTGTAGATCCATTTGGCGTTGAGGTCCCGGATCTGCAGAGATTATCAAGACCGCTAATTACGGAGAGAATAATGATAAAATAGTAATTTCAATAATTAGGAGCAATAAAATCTAATAAAAAATAATGAAAAATAAATAAATAAATAAAAAATGGAACTAACGCGTCTCAGAGAATCATAGCTGTTACTTTACATAGCAGGAAAGAAAAAGCTGTCCTTACCAATAAATAAATAAAATAAGTAAATAAAATAATTAAGTAATTAAACAAAAATCAGGCGGATTCTAACGCGAGCCTTCAACTTGACTCGATCCGTTTCAAATTGGACACCACAAAAGGCGTAATCGAAATGCTAATCCAACGACTACATTCTCTCTCTACCGGAATCTAGAGTGAGAAACACCCGCCGTCGCCGTCGCTGGCAGAGTCACCGGACTGGAATTGTGCTCCGCGGCATTAAACTGAGGTTTACGGTGTGATAAATTGTTGTTATTTAGGTAAAGTAGATTTCGTGAAGGTCTTTCCAACATGTCTTCGCCGGCGCCGGTGGCCGCGCCGCCGCCTTCCTCACCCCCGAGTAACAACACGTCTCCACCGCCGGCCGCTACGTCGCCGCCGCCTACTCCAGCGACGACTCCCCCTCCGAGTCCCGCTCCCCCCGTCGGAACCCCGCCCCCGACTTCGTCTCCGTCTCCGCCGGCTCCTACGACTCCGCCTCCGACGTCTACGCCGTCTCCTCCGTCTCCATCCGCTACTCCGCCTACCAGCTCTCCATCTCCGCCATCGCCAACTACACCATCCGGATCTCCCGTTCCTCCGTCTCCGCCTGCTCCTTCTGGAGGCAGTTCTCCATTGCCACCATCGGGCGGCGGATCAAATCCTCCTTCTAGAGGCTCTCCTCCGACGGGGAGGAGTCCTCCTGCGCCTCCTACCAGTAGAGGCGGATCGCCGCCATCGCCACCACAGTCCTCCGGCGGAGATTCATCGGGAATATCGACCGGCGTTGTAGTCGGAATTGCTGTAGCAGGCGTCTTCATACTTATTGTGCTGAGTATCCTTTTCGTATGCTGCAAAAAGAAGAGGAGAAGACCACAACCAGATTACTATATGCCTCCGCCGCCGCCAGGCCCTAAAGGTGAACAACTTCTACCCTAATTTATCTTCAGATTCAATTCATACTTTCAATTTCTACACTATTTCAGATTTCCGATCTCCGCCTGCTAATTCGACGCTGATTTACTTTTTCCTTCCGTCGGAATCCGATTCCGAGGATGAATCGGCGTTGTCTTTCCAATCTGTGAATCGAGATGCTTGTATTATTAAAATCATAGCATCAGATTCCCAATTTCTCTGTCGTTATCCAAAATTTGTTTTCTGTATTGTGTAACTGTAATGGTGATTGCAGGCAGTAAAATTAACTGGTGTTCTGTGTTCCATTGGTTTTTTTTCTTGTAGATTTTTATGATGTTGATTATCTCTCTGTTTGTATATTCATGATTATCATCTCAAATTTGTTATGTGCATAATTATTATCTTAGCTTTTCTTCTTTGATGGAAAAAGTATTGTGTTCTTGTGGTTTGGTTTTGGTTTTCCTCTTTGTTAATAACCCATCCTGCTGTCTTTTTCAGCTGACCCTTACGGCGGTCCTGTGCACAATTGGCAGCATAATGCGCCGCCGCCGGGAGATCACGTGGTCACAATTCCACCTAAGCCGACTCCTCCACCAGGTGGCGTGCAGTCGCCACAGCCTCCTCCGCCACCGCCTCACTTCATAAGCAGCAGTGGTGGCTCTGGTTCGAATTACTCAGGCCCCGAAACCCCCCTTCCTCCACCTTCCCCCGGCATGGCTCTAGCGTTTTCAAGAAATACATTTACATATGAAGAATTAGCTATGGCCACTGACGGGTTCTCAAACGCCAACCTTCTCGGACAAGGTGGTTTTGGTTATGTTCACAGAGGCGTCCTTCCTAATGGCAAAGAGGTCGCCGTTAAGCAGCTGAAAGCCGGAAGTGGCCAGGGGGAACGTGAGTTCCAAGCTGAGGTTGAGATCATTAGCCGCGTGCATCACAAGCATCTCGTGTCTTTGGTTGGGTACTGCATTACCGGAACTCAAAGAATGCTCGTCTATGAGTTTGTTCCCAACAATACGTTGGAATTCCATTTACATGGTTGGTTCGATTTTCGCCTATGTACTTATCTTTGAATGTTTTGTGCACTCGGGTTAAGAAACTCTCTGTAATTTTCAGGTAAGGGAAGGCCTGTGATGGACTGGTCTACCCGGCTTAAGATTGCTCTTGGCTCTGCTAAAGGGCTCGCGTATCTGCACGAAGATTGTAAGTTTTTTCCCGCACATTATCTACCTGTTGCGCCGTTTTTTGTTCTCTGTTTAGAAAATTTCTCCTCCTGCATCAGGTCATCCAAAAATTATTCACCGCGATATCAAGGCTTCTAATATTCTCTTGGATTTCAACTTCGAAGCTAAGGTGATCTATGAATACTATTCTTGTGTTGAGTTGAGATCAATTGTAGTATGTGTGCTGTTTGCATTGTGCAACTGTTTTTAGGGCTGGTTCGGTACGGTATACCGAAACTTATACCATATACCATACCAAAATTTTCGGTATGGTAATTTATCACACCGTTACCGAACCGAGAATTCGGTATGACTTATATTTTATGCTGTACCGTACCGATTATTCGGTATGCCTAACTATCCGTTTTGTTATCGGTATATATCAATTTATACCGAAATATCAAAATTTAAATGGTAATTTGGTATTTCGATATTTCAATATTTCTGTATATTTTCTCACCCCTAGCTGTTTTTGTTAGGTTATCATGTTTGATTTGTTGAAATTTGAATTTTTCAAATATGTACTTTGAAATCTTCTTTGTTTGGCGGCATACATTTCTCTGGCTTTCGACGTAGCCGGTGATTTAAAAAATGTTTCTCAATGTCAAGCTCTATTTTTCTGTTTTATTGTTTTTTAAAAGTCAACCAAACGACAGCGAGGTTTTCGGATTGATTAATGAATTGCAACTCGTTCTTGCAGGTTGCTGATTTCGGTCTTGCCAAGTTCTCTTCGGACACAAACACTCATGTCTCGACCAGAGTTATGGGAACTTTCGGGTACGCGATCGACACATACTCCGACCCTTTTGTGAGGTTTTTCGATGTATTTATGGTGTCCATGTTTCGCTATAATGCAGATACCTTGCGCCGGAGTACGCCTCCTCCGGGAAACTAACTGAGAAGTCGGACGTATTCTCGTTCGGCGTGATGCTGCTGGAGCTGATCACCGGGCGACGCCCGGTTGACACCACCCAGACTTTCATGGATGATAGTTTGGTAGACTGGGTGAGTATTAAACTCGGCTACAATTATCGTCGTTGAAATCTTATTTATTATCTTGTCGTAACTGAATGCCTCGACTATACTGTAATGAAACAGGCTCGGCCATTGCTGACACGAGCTCTCGAGGATGGAAACTTCGACACCCTCGTCGATCAACGGATCTTAGGCGACCTCCATCAAAACGAGATGGCCCGGATGGTCGCCTGTGCCGCTGCTTGCGTCCGTCATTCAGCCAGACGTCGACCTCGAATGAGCCAGGTATGTTGCTAAAAACACATGATTCTTAACACATTATCGAATATTTATGCTCTGTTTAGACATAAGTTTTTCGAGTTTTAAATTATTTTGATATTAATAAAAAGTTGATATTTAATGTGAAAAGCAGCAAAAATTGTTTATAAATTTTTTTAAAGAATTGGCCTTGTGGTTTCGAAACTAAACGTAAATTCCTCATTTACTTTAAAAATTGCATGACGCAGTTTATTATTTGAAAATTGTTGCATGAAATCTTCTGACATGCAAAAAAATATATATAGATAGAAAATTATTTTCTCATAACACACAAAGGAGATTTTGCGGCTGAATTTCAAAATTACCAGAAAATTATGAGTAATTTTACCATTTTTAAATTATAAAAAGAATGGTATAAAAATTTCAAAATTTCAAAAAAGTGTATATGTAAATAGAGCTTTAATCCCCGAGTCGTCGTCTCCAGGTCGTGCGCGCCTTGGAAGGGGACGTCTCCCTATCGGACCTTAACGAAGGCATAAGGCCGGGGCACAGCAACGTGTACAGCTCGTACGGGAGCTCTGACTACGACGCGGACCAATACAACGAGGACATGAAAAGGTTCCGGAAAATGGCGCTGGCTAGTCAAGAACACGGCGGCGGCAGCGACCAGTACAGCAACCCGACGAGCGAATACGGGCTGAATCCGTCGGGATCGAGCAGCGAGGGCGGTCAGCAGACGCGGGAAATGGAGTCGGGAGGGAGGATGAAAAGGCCGAGCCGAGGCTTCGGCGGCGCGGCTTAACACGCCGCCGATGTTTCCCTTCCCTGTGCATAAACATACCTTACAAATGTCTCAAAGCTATCCGATCATTCTTTTCTCTTTCTTTGGCTATCTGTTTTATTCGCCTGACCTGACCTGCCCTGCCCTGCCCTGCCCTGACCTGCCCTGTGAGTTTTCTACACAAGCTTTTTTTTTGTAACTTTTTGGCTAATGATTAAGATGCTACCAGAAAAATGTATTTACGACATAATTGCTTATACATATGTTGATTTAAATGAACAGCGTTATTCTGTTGTTTTTATTATTATTATTTGGTTACGGATTTTTTTTTTAGAAATATTTAGGGTGTGTTTGATCGGGGGATTGGATTTAATTTTCACTATTCATCCCATTTTTTTTTCCAAAAAATATCAAATCAAATATCTATTTTTCATTTTTTATATTATACTAAAAATCAATTTTACATTCAAAACATCACATCAACACCTATTTATATCACATCATAAACAAACACACCCATGTATCACAAATCACTTCATTAATTTATATGTATGTTTTATAAATATATGTATTTTATGTTTTTTGTGTCTAATTATATTTTTTTAGTTAGTCTATTAAATTTATCTTATTACTAATTTTGACAAAATTAAACAAATATAACATTTTATTATTATCTTCAATTCAACATTTATTTACAATAAATATAACTAACTCTCTATTTTCGTTTACTTTACTTATTAACTAAATTTTTAAAAATACCTTCAACTATCTGTCACATTTTTAATAAAATATTCATTTTTTTTAATTTTAGTGTCGGGCCCAAATGAACTAATTTTAATAGAGAAAGGGAGTACATCCAATTGTCTCACACTTTAAAATATCATTTTTTATTTTTCAAAAAAAAAAAAAAAAAGTAAAAAACAAGACAAAAATATTAAATTTTTTTACATATTTTTATTAATTAATAAAATATTATTATTTTTGGAATTTCCTATAAACTCAAAAGACGTATTGAATTGAAACGAAAAAATATTACAAATGAACATATATTTTATAAACAGAAAGATTAGTAATAATAATTTTCTCTACCATCAAAATAAATATTTATATTTAATTTTTTAATAAAATATGATAGATTATTTAATTTTAATTTTAATTATTCAACATTAAAGTCATATTCAAATTCCACAAACGATGAAACGAACACACCCAATTATGGAGTATTATTTTAAAAGAATGAATGTGGGATATTTTTTATTGTTTTTTTGGGTTTCTAGAAAGAAAGTGGAAAACCAGCTGGAGTACGCTTTATGTCAATATAATTGGATTTGTTTATTTATATATTTATTTATTTTGTGAACATAAGTCTGTTTGTCCGTTTGACTATGCGGGTATTATCTTTGGAATATGCTCTTAATATATCTAACCTATATTTTAATATTTTTTCTTAAAGGATTTATTTATAATTTAATATTTATATATTTATTTTAAATAAATTAATCTATTCAATTTTTTATGAAAATATTTTTTGAAAAAAATTTGTATTTGAATTTTGAATGTGAAAAATATTTTTGATAGAAGAAATAGAATTTACATATTCTTTAATTAAATAATAATTATATGTATATATACTTATAAATTTTTATTATTTATAAAGAAAAAATACATTTTTTATTTATTTATCAAAACATAGCTTTGAAAATACTTTATAATATATATTTATTATATCTAAAAATTTGTTTAATATTATTATCTCGTCTCAATTCAAAGTATTCTCTTTATCATTTTGTTGTTATGTTCATATACTAATACCAGAATATTTTTAATTTTTATTTAAATTATAAATATATTAGTAAGCATACAATTATACATAAAATTAAAGAACAAAAATGTAAAAAATACTTATACATTTTTACTAATCAATAAAATATTAATATTTTTTAATCTACTAAAAAAATTCAAAAAGTTCCATTGAATTGAGACGGAGGGAATATTATATTAATCACAGTGTAAATAATTTAAATAAAAAATAACCCCAAAATTCAGAATAAGTTTAAAATCTATCCGAACATTTTATTTTATTTTGTTTTTTCTAATGTGGGGAAGGTTAGTAACATGGGCGTGTCGGAGCGAATTTGTTAACCACTTTGTTTGGTTGTACATTTAAAAGTTGATTTTAAAAATTGAATTGTAACAAGTATTTGAGATAATATAAATATATATTATTTTGAATATAATTTTTATTTTAATATAATATAAAAATATATATATTTTTAGAAAAAGCATATGTAAATATTAAATTTAATATAAAAATTACTTTCTCAGTCATATCATATATTTTTATTTGTCTTATGCAAAAATAAGTTCATTTCATTTTTAACAAAAAAGCAATAGTACTTTTCGCCATTTTTAACTACTACTTATTTTATATATATATATATATATATTTTTATTAATAAAAATATATACTATATTAAATTTTATATTCAAATCAAATAAACTTATTTTTAGGTGATGAAAAAAAGTAGAAACAAACCTCGCCCAAGGAGGGGATGGGAGTTCTCCACATGGAACAAAAAAAAAGCGTTGGTGGTGGGCCGTCCGATCAGATTAGATATTTTAGAGCGGCAGTTGGGTCCCCACCGTCAACGTTTTATGTGGGCCCTACAAGCACGTGCCGGCAAATAGCAGCACGTGGGTGCCAACTGCTGCCCAAGACACTCACTGGCGCTTCCTAATCCTTCCTTCGGTTCAGAATTTTGGACTCATGTGCCATTTACCATGTCATCTAATAAAAGCGTCATTCATATAAAATATATATATATATATAGGTTGTGTTGATACGTGGTTTTACTAGATATTTTTACTATTTTTTTTTTAAAAATATTATATTAAATATATTTTTTATATTATTTTTTTAAATATTATTTTACATTCAAAATATTACATTAACTTCTATTTATAACATATTAAATAATTATTTAAATATAAATTTTTTACTATTTAAAAATTCAAATCAACGTACAAAGACACCCTTAGTATTTTTATTATCATATATATATATATTAGTATATAATCTGTGCTGTATGCATATTGTTAAATAATATATTATTTATTATAATTTTTATTAATATAATTTACTAATAAAAATAAATATAAAAATTAATTAATGGGCCGGGTCTCAAATGGGTATGTTCGGGCTGGCCATCTCTCTCAAAATGGGTCAATTGAGCCCAAGAAATATCCAGAATTGGGCTGGTTCAATTTAAAATGGGCCCATTAAGCAGCCATCTAGGCCTGCCCGATCCGGTCCGGCACTCCAAACAGAGCGGAGCCGGTCAGGATTGGGTCTGAACACAGTAGAATACTTTATCATCTATAATTTGATTTCATATCTTAATACATAATAATAATAATAATAATAATTTTACCATTATTATTATTTTTTTTTTACTTTAATATATTAAATTTTTTATAATATTTTCACTCTACGTTATTTCTTTGATTTATTTATTTATTAATACTCCTATCATTATACAAGTTTGTTTACTTTACTAATTTAGTCTATCAAAATGTGCTCATATTTAAGTGAAAAAATATATAATTATTTTTAAAATTATATCCAATAATTTTCATTTATTTATATAAATGTCAATTATGAACATCGAATATTTTTTACATATATATATATATATATTCTATTTTAATTTAAAAACTATATTACTATAAAAGTACATAAATATTATTAAAGTAACATTTTTAATTAATCTGCGTATCCAAAATTTTAAGATAATTTTATAGAAGGGAGAAGTATTTAAATTTGTAGTTCTTTGATTGTTTAATTTGTTGTTTGAATTTTGATTGTATAAATAGAGCCGTAGGCGTATGTATGTATGTATTTATGAAATACGCAGGGATAGTTTGGCCTGTTGAGAATTAGAGGTAATATTAATAAAAATAAATTACTTATATATAAAAAAATAATAATATTATAATACTATTATATATATTTAAAATATAAATTTTTTTTTTTATTAGATTGAATTTTAATTATTTAGATATTTGGATAATAATGATATTTAAATTTTAAATTAGAATACTTAATTTTTTTTATTTTTATTTTTATTTTTATTTTATTTTATTTTTTTTAAGTGATGGTACAATTATTTAATTATAAATAATATCTTTTGTGTGATAAAATTTTACTTGAATCCGCCTCTGTGAGCATTGATGCCTTTGCGGGTTTCTCGCCAGCGTTGCGCAATGCAGCCATTCATTCCCCTTTCGCTTCTTTCTTCGTTCTCTCTCTCGTCGTCGCAACGTCTTCCTCCTCCTTCCTTTCCTCGTCGTCTGCTTGCTTGCAGCTACGGTAGGATCTCCGATTATTTTGTTTTTCTTTGGAAGGAATCAGTGATGGCGATAGAGCTCTGTTTTTTGCTCCATCTCATGCGGAGGTTTCACTTTTCGCCTTGACGGATTGCGGAATTTTGCAACGAGAGAGAAATTCTACGGCGCGGCAAAATGTTGGACGAGCAGAAGCAGGTTAGGCTTACGGACGCAGATTCTGCCGAGTTGTTGAGTGACGATGGGAGTCAGTCCGGGAATAATTCTGCCAGCCCCAGGGCCAACAAACATTCTTCAGGTATATATGGTTATGGACATGGTGGCGTTCTCTATATATATATATATATATATTATTTATGTGTGAGAGAGAGCTTCTGTTGCGAGCTAGGCTGATGATGGTTTACTATGTGGATTTTTCAGTAGCGTTTGCAGATGTGGAGATGATGAGGGAACGGTTTGCGAAGCTATTGTTGGGAGAGGACATGTCTGGTGGCGGGAAAGGTGTTTCCTCCGCTTTAGCCCTATCGAACGCCATCACTAACCTTGCTGGTGAGGATAATCGAGATGCAATAGCTAATGCCTCATTTCTGTGATAAATCGTTGCTCGGCTTTCTGATCGGATCCTTTGTTTGTTTGTTGAAACTGTGCAGCATCGGTTTTCGGAGAACAATCGAAGCTAGAGCCGATGTCGGAGGATCGGAAGGCGAGATGGAAGAAGGAAATCGACTGGCTTCTATCAGTCACCGATTTCATGGTAGAATTGGTTCCTGTGCAGCAGAAAACAAAGGACGGATCAGAAATTGAGGCAAAAACAAAACCAGCTCACGAATATGATTGATTTTGTTCTTCATTATTTCGTTGATGAACCGCATTGAAATTCCTGTTTTGGTTTCGAATCTTTTACAGGTGATGATGAAGCAGCAGAGGAGAGATCTTCTGATGAACATTCCTGCATTACGCAAGCTCGATGCAATGCTACTCGTACGCGTTAATCAAAATCCCGAGCTAGCTGAACCAGTTCCACTTCACTTCATCAATTAATTACTTGTGATTGAATGATACTTACTCCGCAGGAAACGCTCGATAACTTCTCAAGCAAGCAGGAATTCTGGTACGTATCTCGACATGCGGATGACTCTGAAAAAGGAGTGCAGAAGGACGACGACAAGTGGTGGCTTCCAACTATTAAGGTTCCACCAAACGGACTCTCAGAAGAAGCACGGCAGTTCCTGCAGCAACAGAAAGAATCAGTCATCCAAGTTCAAAAAGCATCCATGGCAATAAACGCACAAATCCTCGTGGACATGGAGATTCCCGAAAGCTACATCGAAACTCTTCCCAGGGTAAATTCTCGCATCCAATCAACTCCTCAGCTAATTCCTCCATCTTTTGCCTAAACTTGTGCGTGAATTTGTTGCAGAATGGTAAATCAAGCCTCGGAGAGTCGATATACAGGAGCATTACAGATGAGATCTTTGATCCTCAGCAGTTCCTGACCTCCATGGATTTGAGCGCAGAGCGAAAGGTACTTGATCTCAAAAACAGAATCGAGGCATGCATTGTGATATGGAAGAGGAAGCTTCACAACTACCACAAGGACTTATTAGCCTCGTGGGGATTAGCTTTAAGCCCTGAGAAGCGCGAGCTGTTCGAAGAACGAGCAGAGACAACATTAGTCATGTTGAAACACCAATTCCCTGGGTTACCTCAATCCTCTCTCGACATAAGCAAAATCCAACACAACAAAGTACTACATACATCTCTCGATTCAATTCAATTCCACCATTTTGTTCGTTAATTCTGCATATGATTTCTCAGGACGTGGGGTTGGCCGTGCTGGAGAGCTATTCGCGGGTGCTGGAAACGTTGGCGGCAACGGTAATGTCGCGCATAGAAGATGTGCTGTACGCCGACTCGGTGGTTCGGAATCCACCGAAAGATTGTAAAGAAGAAAGGGAAGAGGAGGAGGTTGAAGTTGTGGACACCATGCCATCACCAACTGTGAGCAGCTGCCCCAGCCCAAGTCTTGAGGAGCATCAGCGCTCGGGCGACGAGACCCCGAGCTCGGATCTTGAGAATGAGCCAACAGGTAGTAGTAGTAGTAGTAGGTAGTGGTTTGAGAAGCCCCATCATAACATATGCAACCAAAAAACACATTTGAACCCAAGTCAGACACGCGCCTGTATCAGAGCTTGCTTTTAAATGAGATGATCATTTAACTCTTCTGTCAGGATTGTCGATCACACGGTGCGAGGCTAAGAAATTCCAAGAAGATGTAGTCGCGATGATACGCGAAATGGAGGCTGAAAAGGCTCCTCCTCCTCCGGATGCCTTGACAATGATAGAGCGTCTAGATGAGGATAAAATCAACCCCAAGGAGGATTATCTATCGGACATGGCACCACAACCACAACCATCGCCCGATCCTTAAAACCAAACAGAGTTTTGTTACCTCCATAAACACCTTTCCTTGGTGCTCCGGCGCCGCTCGCTCCTCCACCTGCAAAAGGCTTCGTCTCTACCTTCCTCTCCCTCCTCCTCCTCCGGCCATTTTCGATTTCAGGTCAATCATATATAATCATCTCTTTCTTTCCTCCAATCCTTAATTCTAATTCATGTCTATCACTTTCAGGCCTGCCTCTGCCTCTGGTGTTCCATGATCCTTCGATTCGCGACTTTCGTTCCGTTGTCAGAGATATAATCTATGGTACGTGACTATCAACCAAATCTTATAATCTATTCTTCGACGCATGTACGGCTTAATTTTCATGTCAAAGAATAAGTTCCTTCTATTCGAGTCCTTACCCTATACATGTGTGTGCAATGTGCATATGCTACCAGAAACAGTTCTAAAATAAAGAACTCATAGTCAATTTAGAAACACTTTATAGTAACCTCTCAAGCAGAAAATTTTAAGGGTACATACATATCCATCCCTCTAAAATCAAACTTCTGCTTTATTCAACAACAATATTAATATCCCTGGTGAAAAAAATTTACCTGCTTAAAATTGATCTATTGAGAAAGCGCCTCCGGCGATCTATGCACCAATGGTTGTAACGGCAGCATGTATGGCTTCTACAAGATGCGGAACTGTTTTCGAACTCAGCCCCGCCATGCTGATCCTCCTGCAAACAAATCAATCGCAAGGAAAGAAAATGTTAACTAGAGTAGCGCCGTGATGTCTTTATTAAGATATGAGGATTAAGTTTTCGTTGTTACCCGTCAAATGTCATGTAGATGTGGTATTCCTTAGTCATGAAGGCCACTTGGTCCGCATTCAGCCCGGTGAACGTGAACATCCCTATCTGCTTTATAATGTGACTCCAGTCCCCCGCGGTTCCTTCAAAAGTTAGAAAGCTATGCTATTAGGGGAGATTAGTGTTGTTGCAAATATGTTGAGAAAGCCGGAAGTATCTTATCTTACCTTTAGCTTTTAGAGCATCGAAAAGTTGCTGGCGCATGCTGATGATCCTATCGGCCATGGCTTTGAGCTCAACTGTCCATTCGTTGTAAAGTTCCCTAGACATGGAATCCCAAGCATCGACAGGGTAACGGTTATCAGTTTATTGTATAGGGAAGGATTTGCTTCATAAGGTTCGAAAAAGATATGTACCCATCCTTGAGTATGGTGGCGACAATAGAAGCTCCATGAATGGGTGGATTCGAATACATTGGCCTGATGACCAGTTTTAGTTGGCTTTCGACCCTTTTGGCAATTTCGGCACTTCTGCATACCTGCATATCAAAGTTAGCTCCAATGATGTTCGAGGGAGTAGACAAAAACCGAAGCAACTCATTAACCGGCACAAAAATGCACTTATTACTCAAGAATGGCTATCTACAGACATCATTGGAGCTAGCAATGTGATGTAACAAAACAACTACGGGCAATGTATTTACAATAGAAATTGAAGAGACTCACGATGCTAAGTGCGCCAACTCTCTCGCCATACATTCCCATGTTTTTAGCATAACTCTGTGCTGCAAGACATTCGCCCCCGTCAGCAACAAATGCCCGGACAGACCCTGCATCAGCGTCAAGGCTCCCACTAGCAAAGCCCTAACACATGAATGTATGGTTCGGTTGGAAAGGTTTCGATTCAACGAACAAAAAAAAAAAAATACTAACGCAAAGGTTTCGATTCAACGAAAAAAACACCGTTGGTCCAGTCGAAAAACATTGGAGCCTACCTGATAAGCGCTATCGAAAAACGGAAGCAACCTTTTCGATCGCACCAGCTGCCTAATTTGCTCCCACTGATCAGAAGTCGGGTCGACTCCCGTTGGGTTATGAGCACATGCATGGAAAAGAACTATTGCTCTTGACGGTGCATTCCCGAGATCTTCCAACAGTCCTGTGCACGGAATCATTGTCACGGAACAGAATTCAAAGCACAAAAACATTCAGAAAAAATGTGCTGCTGACACATTTCACCATACTACCTTCAAACCAACATCATATTCATTAAACTCTGAAGTGAAGACGGTCATTCAACATGGTATAGAACAAGAGGTTCGTGTAGAAAAATTAAATAATATGTAGTTAACGATGTATTTCCAAATTTAACAATATTAACATATTCAGTCGAAATGAATTCCTACACACCATGAATTAATCCGATAGAGAAGAGTTCACATAGCAGATCAGAGTATAAAACCTGAGAAATCCAAGCCTCTTGTGCTTGGATCATAATACCGATAAGTCTGCACGGACAGTCCTGCTGCATTGAAAACCTTTGGGTGATTCCCCCACGTCGGCACCGGAATGAGTATAGTTTTCTGCCAATAGAAGCAATATTCAATCAACATTGCAAAAGGTTTCATGACAACCAATGTAGTGAAGGAGACAAAAGGGTACTTACAACAGGATAATGTTGGGCAAGAAATTCGGCTCCAACCCTTAATGAACCTGTCCCGGATAAACACTGCACAGTCGCCACTCTACTCTCCTGAATGGCCGGGCTGAATCCAGATTCGAAAAGGTCGTAACTCAATCAGATCAAAATTAAAGCAATAGGGTGCAACAAATGCTAGAAACCTCTAACATAGAAAGATGAATTTCACAAAAACTGTTGAGAATTCCTGAAATTAGTCGCCACTCTACTCTCCTGAATGGCCGGGCTGAATCCAGATTCGAAAAGGTCGTAACTCAATCAGATCAAAATTAAAGTAATAGGGTGCAACAAATGCTAAAAACCTCTAAAATAGAAAGATGAATTTCACAAAAACTGTTGAGAATTCCTGAAATTCCATTTCACAAATCAGTTATATATCATAGAAATGGGACCAGTTATAGTTTCCCAATCATCACCTGAAAAACTGACAGACGGCTTATGTTTTCAAATAAGCTATGGTTTGCCAATTAGTATAGGGCAGACGTCGCATAAATTACAACATATGATAGTAAGTATATATTCTAACAGTATAATACAATATGCAGCACATATTTGAACAGCCGATAATAATTAATATACAGCACATTATATTATTGTTTTCAGCACAATAGATATACATATACAACACAATACAATATATAAATTGCACACCACATACTTTTATATGGAGGAGCATAATATTGTGCTATATAAAACTGTGTTATCTGCCTTGCCTGGGTCAAATAATTAATAAAACACTTAACAATAGTTTATACACTATACATTATCATTGATCTCATGACAAGTACCAGACAGCAAGATGTTTTCAAATTACATGTTTCACAGGTTATACTATATTGATATATATAGCTAATGTGTAGAATATTGTTAGTTTATGTATTGTATTTTAACATAAATAGCTTAATTCCATATAATTGAAGCAATTTAGATTACACATACTGGTTTTCAGTACCTGGTGCCTCCGAGGATGAGCTTGGCACTCAGCTTGTTGAAATCTGCCAAGCCAGTGATTGGAAGATACTCTTTCACACGAGAACTGCATAACAACAAAATATGGTAATTGTAGAAGAAGATGACGATTACACTATTCAGATTGACATAAGAATCAGAAAACAAGCATACGTATCATTAACAAGCAGCTGCTCTGCCTTCCGCACTACATTCAAGACAAGAGGTTTCCCTTCCTGTACAAAAAAATTGTAAGTCTTCTTCTGCATATAATCGTACTTTGAATCACACTCAAGAAAGGAAAGGAAAGGATCGAACGAAGAACATACCTCCGTTCGATAAGCACCAACGCCCAAATTCAGCTTGTTAGGGCTCTGATCTTTGTTATAAGCAACCGTGACCTGGTTTTATACACGATCCGAGATCGATCCGTGTTCATCAGAATTTTTTTTAAAGAAAATATGGAAACGAAGAATCAAATCTATCCTACGATCGTCGTCGTTCATACGATAATCAATCCAATACTCATGGGGAAGGGAATCAATTCTCTAAAAGCACATGAACTCATAAACAGAAAAGTAACCGCTAACACGAAGTACACAGAAATTGAAGAACAAATTTGGAGGATCATGTTACCCCTAAAATAGAATCTTCGGGAGCCTGAGCGACGGCGGCGAAGACGGAATCCGACATTCTTCAGATCGGCAAGGTACGGCAGTGAGAGGGACAGTGATCGTTCGTGCCTCTTTCATATATATATATATATATAGAGAGAGAGAGAGAGAGAGGTGAGTATCAGCGTGGGGCGGTGGTGAAAACGTGGGCGAGGGGCAAAGGGAATCCGGGGGCGGGCGGATTTTACCGTTGGCTCCATCTCCTCCACAACCCGACACCGCCAAAGTCTAAAGACTGTCTGATTACCATTTACAAGGTTAAACAAAAAATAAAATTAAAAATAAAAATAAAATTACAAAGTTAATGAGTTAAGGTTATTACAGTCATTTCGAGCGACACAGATTTTAACGGTTACTTTATACACAGAGGTACATCTGTGAAAGTTGCGGTGACGCATCAAAAAGATGTATATAACTAATAACTGCAAGTTCAGATGACCGGAATATATATGGCCGTAAACTGAATTATAGTACTTCTTTTGTAATCGTTTTTTTTTTAATAAATTTTAGAATATTAGTATTTTATATTTAATAATATAATAAAAAAATATTTACTTTTTAATATTATATTGTAAAATATAAAAATATTTTTCTTTTTAAATAATAGCAAAATAGATAAGTTAAAAGTGGACAGATACTTCATCTGTGTTGCACGGGATATTATATTCCCTCAATTTATTTTATATTGTCCTAAAATATCTTTTATTATAATAATATAGAGATTAAAAGTAATAAATGAATGAACAGTAAAAAAATAAATTTTGCGTTTAAAAAAATATAGGACAATAGTTATTACACATTTCAAATAAAAAAATAGGAGGGAGTATTATTTTATATCAGTTAATTTTATATATATTTATTTATAATAAAAAAATTATTTATTTGTAATAATAAATATTTTTTTTCTATTTCGAATCAATAATTCATTTGATTTGAGATAAAATATTTATTTATTAAAAAGATTGATAAAAATGAAATGATTTTAGTGGATTTGCATAATATATAATATAATATAATATGTTTCGAAGTAACTAACTTGATTTATATTTATTAATTATGTTTTAAATTAATAAATTTTATTGAATATAAAAAAATATCAAATAAAAAAGAACAAACTAAAATAAAAAATATAATGTATTATAGGATGAAAAAAGTAATAATTAATTTATAATTATTATTTTTTATTTATCCTAACAAACCTTATCATTCATCTCCCATTATTTTCAACAATCTTAAATTATACTTGTCTGAAAATCAAAATATTTATAAAAGAAATGGTCAAGGAGTGATTTACACTTACTTTAATGTTAATAATAATTTAAAATAAATGAATTTCATGTGAGCATGCTTTTTTAGGGTTTGACAAATGAACAAAAGAAGGACGATTTGATTTCATTGGTTTTATTTATTTAGTAATGGGCAACATGCTTAATGACTAAATTTGTTTGTTCAACAGTCACTGTCCACATTTATTTATATGCACTATTAATTAATGTTATAAGAATTAGTACTAGTAGTAGTAATGTGGTCCTCTAGCTCAATTTTGTGGTTCATATTTGATTTGTTATTAGTAGAAGACATGCGTTGCTTTTGTGACAAGTCTAACATTTATTTATTTATTTAAACTTTTATTCCGCTTCCTATATATGACTACGAGTTGGAAAATTAACAAAACTCAACTCAACCCACTATCTAATGGAACAATTGATGCAAACAACAAGTCCCGTAAGGGATATCTCGTGGTGTAGGGATTGGATTTGTGATCGAGGGTATTAGATGGACTCCAATGCTCAGTTGCAAAATAATACTCTATTCTGATTATTGGTCGGAAGTATTCTGAACTTTTAATTTTTCTTCTCTATATTAATGATTTATAAAACTACCTTTAACAACATTTTGATATGAAAAGTTTTGATCATTTTATATTTTTTTTGGGTCTTGATACTTATGATAATTCGGATGGATATTATATATTTTATGCCAAATATGCTTTTGATCTCTTCTCTCGTGCTAATCTCACTAATTGTTTGACAACTTTGATACCAACTCCTATATTAAACCAAAAATACATATTGTATTCTTTCGTAGGTTTTACCGTATATATTTACTATTCAAATTCTTTTTTTTTTTAAAAAAAAATATCACATCAAACAATTATTATTATCATTATTTTATATTATACTACAGACACACCCAAAAAGTTTGATGAATACACGGGAAAAAAAAAAAAAACAAAACAAAACAAAAAAAACAGAGCAAGGAAACTGGTGTATTTATACTTTAAATGCATAAGCTACCAAATGTATGAATTATAATTAGATTCATATGTAAAATAAATATAAATATATATATATATATATATGTCAGTACTTCTAAGAATGGCGTTCTATATTTACCGTAGGCAAAATCTAAATAATAATAATAATAGCCTGAATGTTACAGGCAGCTGCAGATATGTATATATATAATTAGTAGAAAAATTTCTACTCCAAAGCTCAGATTTTACAACTGACCTTCTGGTGTTGCTGCTATTTTTACATCACCATTTTCGGCGCTTTTTATTTTCTGATGGGGTGTTACTGTTAGACTGCTGCTCTCTGAAGGAATCGAAATTCGACCGTTGCCTGCCGACTGTTGATTCCTAGTTGTGTTAGAAGTGGCGCTGCTACTTGTAGGATCTTTATCGTTGTTTCCTGACTGTGTTCGCGCCAATGACGAATACTTTGTTTCTATAGGGCAGAAGCAATGGATCAGCTGCCGGTAACATAAAAAGAATTGGAACAAATAATTTTAAAAGCCTAATGTTTAAAGTTCAATGGCCAGAAATTGGCGAAGCGGATGGACCTGCAAAATCGATACCAAGATGTCTAGAAAAGTTCTATTATGTAAGAATGGCAATATCTTAAAATACTGATACTGTGTATGTGTCGGCAGATTTTTTATATTTTATTGGCAAAATTTTCTATAACTTCTTTATGGTTTTGAAATTCAGCGGTTTTGAAACTCAGCGTAAATTCTCTTTTTACTTTAAAAATTGCATAACGCCCCCTTATACTTTAAAAAATACTGCATGAAACTCCATTGTGGTTTCGAAACTTAGCGTAAATCTCCACTTTATTTTAAAAATTGCATGGCGCTTCCTTATGCTTTAAAAAAATGTTGTATGGAACTCTATTCTCATCACACAATGAATGTTTTATGATGGTGGGGTTTATGCAACGTTTTTTAAAGTATAAAGGAAGCTATGCAATTTTTAAAATACTGGGAAATTTGAAGCTGAATTTCAAAACTAATGAGAGTTATGAACAATTTTACCTATTTTATTTATATGAATAAAATTGCTTATGTATTTTAAATCGTTTGCACCAACTAGGTAATATTCCCTTGTATTTTAAAACATATTGCACATAATCACCAAACTGTAGTGCTCGCATAACAATAGCACCCACCAATCCATTAACGTTTGATGATTTTGTACAATATTTTAAAATTTAATGAAATGTTAAATAATTTTTAAGCTACGAGGGAGAATATGCAAACTAGGGAAGAAGATGGAACTTGCCTTTTATTTCTCCTAATGTGATGAGCTTGTTGAGGCAATCTCGGAACTTTGTTAAAACGATTCTTTCCTGCTCAGCGTAGACCTCGCTGGGCCCTTGTTCATCCGACGACTGAGAATTTGAGTTGTTATGGGCCACCAACCCATTGGAGGAGTCAACAGTACTGAACATTGTGGCTCCTTCATCGCAGAGTAGAGCTAATGTGCTGGGAGATATTGGCCCTTTCGATGTGTCAGCTCCATCAGAAGCAGACTCGGGCTTGGCCTTCTCATCCAACTTTTCAGATGAATGATCATTGGTCGGAGCTTCCTCGGCTGCAGAATGTTGCTGGTCTTGAATTGACGAACCCATTGAGGTTTCTCCGGAAGCTTCTGTTTGCTTGTCTGTTGCACCTCTGCCTGAAGAAATAAAAACAGGAGATTTGAATAATGAATTAGGGAAAAGCAAAAGCATCACAAGAAAATCTCAATAAAATGATTTCTAAAAGTGGACATTTTCCCTTAATTCTGAGTCCTGACTTCCATTAATGTGTAGCGTCGTAGGAGCAAGTACATTTAATAAAGCTAATTACCAAGCAAGAACTTTCAAAGCCGAGTTTACCTTCAAACATCTTCGCAGCTTCTGCCGAATACACAACAAGAACTGAGCACAGCTCTTTCAAATCCTGGGGCTGAATGATGTCAGCTAAGAGGGACCTTTAAATGCAAGGTATCAAATTAGTACTGCGTGATAAAAATGGTGACAGGTGAATCTTCGAAGAAAAGGTGTGTTTGTAGTCTGTACCTATATCTATATTTGGATGGACTTAATACCGATGCATTGCCAGGGTGAGCACAAGGAACTGGAGAGAAGGGAGAGGAAGATACAGAAGCCTTTATCTGGTTAGCCTGTTGTTAGGGCAATAAAGCATATCAGAGAGCCATCGAATGGATGAAGTTTCACGTTTCACCAATTTTACAAATATGAATGAATTTACCTGTTGCAACGGTTCAAGCCTGTGTGCGGGGTCTTTTGTTGTTGATCCAAAGAAAAGATCTTGACCCTTCCGTTTTTTGCCCACTTGGGGTGAACCAAAACCAGAAGATCCAATTGCACCTGTAATTGCAGCATTGGCTGCCTGCTGGATATGCATCATGTTATTGGCATGATCTCCATGGAAGAGAGCTTGTCTCTCTTCACTTCCTTCGTAATTTTTGCAGTCCATGCATTTGCAATTTTCGGAGCAAAGAATATTTGCTTGGAAGCATTCACAGTACTTCTTGAGACACCCAGATTTCTTACAGTGACATCCTTTGTTATGCTTTCCTGAAACCAATATTTCGCCCATCTCTTCCTGCATATTTTATGAAACACACTAGCATATTTTATGAAACACACTAGTCGCTTATTCAAACAGAAAAAATGTTGCAACTCATTCATTTTGAGAGGAGTTGTTGAGAACACTCCCAGGAGATATAATTTCATAAACATGTATATAGACCAAGTATTGGTGAGAGAATTCAGATTCTTGCATACACAAATAAATGGAAATGACATGCTAACCACGAGCTTATACTAACCACAGGATTCAACTTCAACGAACATGTCTTTCACAAGTAAATTGGAAAAGACAACTATCATATAATCTGGAAATAAATGTAACGACAGTAAACACAAATTAGTACGCTGGTTGAAGCAAAAAAGTTTCAAACATGCTCTACTATATGATGTAAATTAAACTTTCTGAGAACTAAAGACAGCACCATAAATAAAAAATATAATGATAGTTGAAGAGATTCCATACAAGCAAATCTAATAAAGTGGATTAAATATAACATACTAGAAACGGTGAAGACATGATAGGATATAATGACTACTTCAAGTCCAATGATTTATATATGAAAATGCATTTTAATTAGATGGTGCATGAGTTTTGAGTGTACCCTTCTATCTCGGGGTCCATAAGGACTACTAGCAATTTTTGGCCTGAAAGCATTTGGATTGCGCTCCAGAGTCGCCTCAACTGCTTCACGTCTGGCAGCTTCATTTTCAACATTGTTATGACAATTTGCACAGTTGCAACCATCACAATAGGTTCCCGATGCAAAACATTCACAATATCTGACATAAGATTGATAAAAGTGATACATAGCCAATTAGATATGCCGCCATGCAGTGTAAAGATCTCTAAGATTGTGTTTTTTCCTATCCACTAGCCAAATGAAAGTATCTAATAAAATTTTCAATATATAAAAACATGGTATAGTTGATTGGAGTAGAAATGGAAGAGCTGTGGAAAAAAGCAGAAGGATCTAAAAGTTGTTCCCCTTTTAAAAGTAAGAAAACATGAGTAAGCAAAGGAAAAGGACTTAAAGATACAAAGTTAATACTGGCAAATTCAATACACTAAGAGTAATAATCTTATTTACAATCTTTGAGACTCCAAATTTATTTTTATACAGTTGCTTGAGCTTCAGAAAAATTGTTGATAAAGATCACAGAGGGATGAACGTGAAATGGATTTTGAGAAGCCAGCCATTTTCAATGAAGCATAAACAAAAAGCAGCAGTTACTTACAACTTCAAGCATCGTGAATGCTTGCAATTACACTGTTTTGGCTTCTTTGGCGTACAATCTTTTACGTCATTCACATTCTGTCTCGACCTTGCTCTTGGGGATTCAGGTTTTCTGAGATAGGAAATTCATTTAAAACAAAAATCATGAGAACTGCAATTCTAAACAATAATGTAATCAGGAGAATGTATGATCAAATATACACTCATAGAATACAAGGCCAAATTCCAGGCATCAACCTCAGAGAGAGATGTTATATTTGCTTCTCAAAAATTGAAGAGAACCATAAAAAACATTGACAATCATCCGATACAATGCGAGATATGAAATACATGTAAGGCAGAGAAAGCAGCGATGATGTAATATGTAAAAAACAAAAAGGAAATAATGTCACAATTATCAGAAATAATGCATTGAGCAGAGTACTGGTCCCCAAAAAATACCCAAAATAAAATGGATTAACGCATACAATCGCGTCAAGCAATTAAATAAACACCAAGAACCATATGGAAAAAATTCCAGCACCACAATCTAACATTCATGTTTCCCAAATGGCTCATATCCATCCAAGATCTATCTAATAGAAGAACATGTATACGTCCTCTATACTTGCGTCAAACAATCAAGCAAACAGCCAGAATATATGAAAAGCCTCACTAGGATTATCCAATAGCACATAACTTTTTCCAAATAGGCCAAAAACTATCCAAAAAAGGATAAAAGGTCGTCATCCAATCAGATGACAAGGCATGTAGGCATGCTTCAACTAAGTGCAAAAGAAAGAAAAATATAAACTTTAAATCCAAATCCACAGGAACTCTTCCAACATGCATAAAGATACGTCAAAACTTCCCAAAATTACACATTATAATATCAAACTTACCATGCTATTTCCACTTGTCACAGCCCACAGTGTGGGGATCGAATCGAAACTATTAACTCTCTAATACTAAATTTTCCAATCTTTTCAGAGCAAACTGATCATGGGAGCTCTTGAACCACCCCTCCCACACACACACCTTACGTCTCACTAAAATAGCAGGAAGAATCAAGGATAATATAAATTGAACAAAATAACTAAGATACTGACAACAAAATTAAGAAAAGAAAATGAAACGGCCAAAACTCCGTTTATCTTCAGCTCTCCGAACTGAAATGTATTCCAAATGAGCTTCAAACCTTTACAAGTAAACAATAATCAGTATTGATCAAGAATGTAAAATAGACTCACGCAATTGGGCGCAAAGAAGGATGAGCGGGGGGAGCCGCCGGCTGCAGTGGCTGTTGTGTCGTCATAAATACCATCTGCGGCGGGTGAAGGTGAGCGGGCATCGGCGGCTGGCTCGACTTCGCCAATTGTGGCTGCCGAGGAGCCGGCTGGCTCGAATTTGCCGACTGTGGATGCTCCGCACTCGATGCGGTGGCGCCATCACTAAGACCAGTAAAATCCAGCTGCCTCACGAGCTTCCTCGCCGGAAAATCGGCTGGAGTCGACGACGAAGTTTCCGACTGCGGCGGTAGCTTTTTTGGAGGGAAATCCGCTCCCTCTCTTTGCTCCATTCAATAATCAAAACCAAAGCGACAACAGAAAACCAAAATCCAAAAACTTCCACAAACAGGAGGAACACACCAATTGAATTGAAAAAAAAAAAAAAAATCAGAAATAATCCATAGCCACCAATACTCAAATCCAACGATTTATCCACCAGAACAACCCGAAAGCCTTCGGATTTTGCGTCCGCAGCCCAAAGAAACAATCGAATTCCAAATTCCGCACCGTAAATAATTATTCACACGAGCTCAGATTCGAACAAACACAAACAATTCAAAAGAAACCCCAATAATCCTGCCGCTATTGAGCCTCAATCCGAACGAGAATGGATCCATACAGGCGCAAATAAATTCGAATACGCGTAGATATATATACGCGTATGATGAACGTGTATGGTTGGAGAGGCAAAGGAATGATTTTTTTTGTTTTTTTTTTTTTTTTCCTTCGAAAGAGAGGGGTTGGGGGCTCTGAGAGAGTGTCGTCCTCCCTCTCTAGCTTTGCTTTTGAAATTCAATTTCGTAAATTTTCAACGGTTAGATTTCGGGAAGGATCTCATCCGACGGCTGCTGTTTACGCTTTCATCGCACGGTCAAAATTCATAAAAGCAGCAGTGATGAGTTCACAGCCGTTGATTTCAGGCGCCTGCCTTCTTCACAAAATTTTGTTACGTGAACCAAACTGCCGTCACCCTTTGATCCTAAAAAGGAAAATATTGGGTTTAGTTGGAGTTTTATTGTATTTTTTATAATTTAATTGATATATTTTTATTTTAAAAAAAAGTAATTTATTTATATAGATATATAAAAAGTATAATTAAATTATATTCAATTCTGTAAGTTTATAGAACGATAGGTTTAAAGAGTTCGTCCAAGAAAACTCATAATTTTTTGAATTTTAAATAAAAAGTTCGGGGATGAGTCTGTCCGGCCTGTAATAATGAATTATTATTATTATTATTATTATTATTATTATTATTATTCAATTTTAAGTTTTATATTTTACCATTGTTTTAACATATATCACATTTTATTATTTAAAATTAAAATATAAATCTACCCAACTATAAAACTACTAAACTCAATTATCCAAATACTTGTCACTAAAACCTTTTTAGTCTGTTCCTATAACACAGTCAAGGATATTTCTATATATAGTTATATACTGAAATTCTTTTTCAAGTCGTGTATTGTTATAACAGAGATTGGGGATCTAAGAGAAGAGAAGACCCTAAACTCTAAACCCAAACAATAGAAGATCTTAACATAAACCATAAATCTGACTTAGAGGTGACACAAAATAATTAGATTTGAGAAAAAAATTCAACCGATTATATATACGGACATACATGAACTTGACATGATAATAAACGAATCGGATTACAATTGAGGCTTTCAATTCAAATCCGACACGACAATAAACATATTCAATACAAATCCACCGAGGCGAATCTACCCATTGTAAAGAATACTCCAATTTCCACATTAAAAAAAAAATGAAAATGTAAAAGTAAAAATACAGTTGAAAGAAAAGACTTAGGCAAAAAATACAGAATAGTATAAGTAGCAATAGCAATAGGGAGTGAAGGAAACCATTTCTTACAGCAGCTACAGACATGATGCATATACTAACCCACCGGAACAATTCCGGCATCACTCATCATGTCCGCCACTGCGCCGGTCTTCTCGCCGCCTCCTATTCAGGTACCCACCACCACCCCCACCACCTCCACCTCTGCGTCTGATGGGAGACCGACTCCGACTCCGGCTCCTACTCCTATCTCTAACACGAGCAGACCAGCCGCGAGGGGGGACAGCCAATGAGGGGGACAATGCCCTCCGCCCCCTCCCCCTCCCGCTCCCGAACCCTTGCCTCTCACTAAACAAGCTGTCCCTTGCACGATGATCTCTATGGTCCCAGTCGGAAACCATGGCTCTATCATACCTGTATCTATCCCTCGGGTCGTCTTCAGGATAAAGTCGCCGATCACTGCGAATAAAAGGGTCGAGGAATTTCCCTTCGTGTCTTCCCACTGGTACAGGAGGAGACCTAAAGTCTCTGGGACCATCCCGGAGCCAGCCACGAGGTGGAGGAATAGGAGGAGGTGACCTGTAGCCATCGCTAATGTCTCTGGGAGAATGATCCAGTGGAATAGGAGGAAGGCGCTGGCGCACAGGAGGAAATGCAGGGCCAGGGTACCCCCCCCTCCTGGGGCTCCCAGGGGAACCATACCGTGGCCTCGTGCAGTTGTTACAGTACTCTCGCCTTGCGAAATTCAAGTTTTTGCATCTGTGATTCAAGTCATAGTATTGGCAAGAGGATTAAAAAACCAAAACTACGAAAACAATTAAAATCCTCAAAACTACATAAACTGTTGCAGCACTTTTGTTGCACTGGTACATTTACCCTTCAAGGAAATGCCACAAATGCAAGAAAAAATTGTTATCAGGCTCCACTAAGCAAACGTAACTAACCAATCCCGCCATGTGTAAAAGTGCATGTGAGAAAAGCAGATTTTCCACAAGCCAAAGAGAAATCACGATAGAAAAAACATACACCAAAATATTAGCATACCGAAAGCCAAAATGTGAGAAAGTATATTTTACGCTGACTCAATGAAAACATAGCAAAGTGCAGAAAAGTGGAAATTATAAATATAATCCAGTGTTAATTAAAAGTTTTGATCATATAAATGGCACAAGGATGACACAAAATCGATAAAATCAAATGAGTGGAAGAATAATAAAAGAGAACAAAACAAATACTCACAATGGATCAGAGCAAATCCAATCTCCTTCTCTAGGCTGCACATTCGGGTTATTTCGACGCAGCCCCTCTCCTCTCAATGATCCAGGACTAGGTGCAGACCGATCAAAACCTCTACCAGCAAACCTGCCACCATCCTTCCCACGGCCATAAGTCGGTGAATAATCACGATATCTGCCAGGTTCTCTCCCATTTCCCAATCCACGGTTCCTCAATGCACCATCAGATGGTTCAAAATCTGGACTAAAGTGATGATGTGCATCCCTACGACGTACAGGAGAAACAGAACCTGCACGTATTCTATACCCTGAAAAAAGCCAGTGAAGCCCAAGATATAAAAACCCATCATCATCATCTAAGCAGAAGATACCAGGAACAGTTTCCAATAAATCCAAGTTTGCAACCCGGGAAATGGCAAGGAGAAATTTAAATTATGTCAACACACAGTAACCTTTGTTGAAGTGCCTTCATCACGAATACAAACAATCAAGAGAATCCAGTCAACCACTGCCTTGAAATATCTTCTCAACTAACCAGATCATATATAACCCAAAATGGAAATTCAGCAAGGTCACACTACGCTGTTCTATCCCACACCCTAATCAGAGTTCAAGATCTTTGAAAATAGCATCTATATTATCACTATCTTTAGTTAGCAGCCAATACATCGTCAAGCATCAATGCTAGACAATGGTTGCCCCTATGAAGGCTCAACTCAAGTATAACCACTTACGATAACATAACCATCCCAATGCTCATGCAATGCACCAAGCCTGCAAGATGCAAACCCGTCTGACCACTCCAAATGCATGTAGAAGCCTTCAGAGCTCAGAGATTCTTACTCAATTGGCATCACTGACAATGTCCAAATCACAACATCCAGAATACACAATCGGAAGCCAAGTACACCCCCAGTGAATGTTTTCCAAATGAATCTGTGCAATACCACGTATTTATCCTGGAGAATCCAAACTATGCAACCCCCTATTTCAGCCATTTCTTACCATTCCTTATTCGCAAATGACCAAAAAAAATGGCACAAAACCTGCAAGTTTTGATATGCTCTTACACAACCTTGTACAATCTTAAAAGCTAATCACATCTTAAATAACCTTTCGGTGATAACTTTACAAAACCTCAAAATCATTATATGTTAAATCACTGCTAGTCACAGCCAGCTTTTGGGTAACCATGCATCCCACACCATTATCTTCAACAGGATATCCAGACTTAACAGTGATCCTACCAACTTCAGTACAAACCCGGAGCATGCTCTCATGGGCAAGCCACCACTCTTCAGAGAGTAAATGAATTAAATTGATACAGACCTTCAGTTTCTTGATACCACAACAACATATGCACAGCACATTCAGCTGAACCAAACCATCAGACATTTTTTACATGCATAAACTCATTGATAGACAATGATTCGTATCAGTATTATAAATGTTTTATACCCATCAAAGAATAATCCCAACTCTATACCATCTTAAAACCCAAAAACAATAACCAACTTATTTCCAACATGCCTTCCTCAAGATCAAGTTCTTGCACCAGGCAATGTTCAGAGCTGTAGAAAACAACAGCAAAATTCGTTTCACCATTCAACAGACCATAAGGGCATTACTTCGTATGCAAGAGGAGACCACAGAGAAGCAGGCTATATAATAAAAGTGAAGACCCACTTTCAAGGAAATCATTCATGATAACAAGTAAATTAAGGTAGTAATATTGAAGCTTTTATCACATCACATATAACATATGATAAAAGTGCTGTAATATGTGATACAAGTATACCCGTAAGTCAAATTTCATTGCTTATGAGCTCATAACTTAGAGAAGTATAGTTCTTCAAACAATATAATAGCTAATGCATGAAATGCTTCCACAACAATCAGAAGTTATGCGGGCACAAGGAAACACAGTGGTTTAAGTAAAACAATCCTTTATTATTTCAAGCACTGCCCCATCAATCAGAATCTGAGAATTGAGTTCAATAAATACAAATCCACAACTCTGAAAGAAACATAATATGCATATATTACCCCAAAGAAAAGAACAGGTTTATAGGTCACCTAGCACAATAGTGAAAACCAGATAAAAAACAATGATGATATCAAACTTAGGAATGATAACATTCAGTTACAGGCAGCCATAGTTAATTGTTTTTCTCAATATAGAGGTGAAAAAGTAGCAACTGGAACTAAACTAACGTTGCCATAAACAGATTAGATTCTCACATCAGCATCTCATAGCAAGCTCTTCATACAAATAACCACTTCAAATATATTATCCACCTATTTCCCCCATTGATCAATTACAAGCATGCAATCAAAGTTAGTAAAATACCATGGCTCAATTCCCCTTACATAAAATTGCAAGGTTCTTCACTTTTCATCTATCTATCCTGCTTATTGGTGTTGATCATGCAATAATGGATTATAAATCAGTAAAGTCACGAAGTTACAAACTGTTGCCATGATAAATTGGAGAACTCACAATTGCTAACTAAATTCTCGCTGAAAGTTTCATTATAAAAGGAACAAGAGTAAAAACATTGCATAGTCATACTTAATATTGGACAACCACCTTATGATTCTACCAGCACTGCAATGAACAACTGCATAAAGAAGATGAGCTTCTTTCCTACATCAAGTTCAGGGAAAGCCCAACCTCTATATGGTTTCATTTTGCTCAAGCCTTTTTCTTATCATCATACAATCTCCTTTATCCACAGAACCTATACAACTCATGCGTACAGATAAGGAGCAAACAATTATCGCACAAAATTATTCGGCTTCTTTGATGCATAGGCTGAAACGATCTCCAAAATCGACTTAGCACGTGTGCTTGCCGTGAGGCAAAGCATAAATTTATCAGATAATTGAAAAGCAAACCCTATCAAACCCTAATTTTAAACAGTATAACCAACACCCACGGATGAGTTCTCAAATTTGTCCTACGATAAAATACATAACAAAATCGAACCCAAAATTTAAATATATATATATATAAATTAATCACACGACGAACGATTTCAACAACAATAATAACAAAAAACAAAAAAGCATACCCTGGCCATCATACCGGTCGGAGCGAGAGTACGGAGGCGGATCACGACGAACCTCCCCAGGTTCGTATTCACCGCCTCCTCCCCCTCCTCCGGCGTCCGTCGGACGCACGACGAGGCTGCTCAGCAATGGTTGGTGCGGCGTCATTTGATCCTTGTCGCGCGAACCCATTTCTCTTTCCGCTCACATATGCGTGAATTTCGAGCAAGCGATCCTTTTTGAAGGGTGGGACAGAACCCTAACGATGGGGCGATTCGCCGTAGGCGAACAACGTATATTTGGTGCGGAGTGGATTTATCAATCCCAGAATTGACTTTGCTTCGACCACACCGCATTTGTTGTGCGTTACGTTTCCGTAGGATTGGTAAAAGCAAAATTAGCGTGCTGCGAGCACGTTTTTGGTTGTTTTTCTTTCTTTTTTTTTTTTTTTTTCTTTTTTTCCAACGCTAGATGGATGATCTTGTTTCAAATGTTTTTTTTTTTTTTAAAGTATAAATCAGTTATTTAAATAGTAGGTCTTGATTATTTAAATAGTAGAGATTATTTATATAATAATTAAAAAGTAAAATATGCATTTAAATAATTTTAACTTAATATATTTATTTATTATTATTATAAATTAATTTAATACAAAAATTAAAGAACTTTAAAGATAAATAAAAATATTTGTTAATTGAGCTGAAATGTAAAATAAATAAAAAATTAAAAATTTAATTAAATTAATTTATATTAATAGTATGTAAGTCATCTTTTATGAAAAAGAAAACATGAATTATATATGTGGTGGGACGATATGAATATTATTTTTTATTATAAAAGTTAAAAAGTAAAAAAAAAATACATATCATATTAAAATTTGTGCAAAACAGTTTGAATCTATTCTTTTATGACTGATATAGTGTATGATTTTTATCCCAAAAATTTTTTATTTTTATTTATTATTTAATTTAGTTTATATTGTTTTTTTTTTTTCAAAACTCTCCATACAAATATTTTTTTCGTACAAATTATTTTCAAATAAATTTAAACATCAAATTTAAAAACTATTCATCTAAACAGCATAGTTGCGTGTTGTTTGGTTTATGAAAATGAACTAGCATTTTTTTTTTAGATAAAAGCATGATTTAAAATTTATTTATTTATGATAAACATAAAATAATTTATAAAGAATAAAATTTTAAATATAAATTAAAATATTTATTTATTAAAAAATATATAAATAAATAATATTAAGTGTATTCTATATGTATAATATTATGTGTTACTAAATTAATTTATATTTATTACATATATTTAAAATTAATATTTATTTATTAAATATAAAGAAATGTGGACATATTAAAATAAAATTTATGTAATTTGTTATTGTACCGGAAGTATAGATATATTAATTTGTTCTATTATATTATAAATAATTATACATTAAAATTAAAATAAATAAATAATTAATTTAATTATAAATCATAAATTAAAATATTTAAAACGGAATCAATAGTTTTTTTAAAAAACAGAGTAAATTTTATTGTATTTTTAGTAAAAATGTTGTGTTTTATTTATTGTGTAAAATCATTTCTATTAATATAAAATTTATACTAAATAAAACTTAGTTTTTTTATTCTAAATAAAAATTTAAATTATGCAAATTTTGAATAAATAAAAATAAAAAATATTTTAAATAATTTTTAAAATAAATAAATAAGTTATTAATATAATAAGGGTGTGTTTGTTTGGGGGTTTGGATTTTGGATTGGGATTTGAATAGTAAAAATTTTGAATTTGAATAGTTGTATGATGTGATATAAATAGGGTTTGATGTGATGTTTTGAATGTAAAATTGATTTTTAGTATAATATAAAAAATGAAAAATAGGTGTTTGATTTGATGTTTTTTGGGGGAAAAAATTGGATGAATAGTGGAAATCCTCCAAAATCCTTCAAACAAACACACCCTAAATAAAAAAAATTGTATATTTTTACTAAAGTAGATGTCATATAATTGAAAAAAAACCTCAGTCCCATACCATGTCCATTTTGCCGTTTCTGTCCGCCCCACGTACCATGTCACTTTTTTTTTTAAAAAATGATTATAAACTTTAATTTTATTTTAAATTTTTTAATTTTATTTTTTTAAAATTTTAATTAAACTAATTAGTTATTTTAATCTTAATTTATAATTATTTATATTATAAAATAATTATTTTCATTAATACATTCTTAATTATCTACTTATTACACTCTTCCTAATACTGTATCTACAGTACAGAACAGAGACAATATATATAAAATACTTCCCCGTCCCCAATCTATCTATCCATTTTGTTTATGCACGAGATTTTAGGAATATTAGTATTATATTAAGATAAAGTAGAAATAAAGGTAAAAAGATTAAATTAACTCTATTAATATTATATGATATAAAGATAATAGTATTTATGTAATATATTGTAAATTAGAAGGGTATTTGTAATGCTGGATACATAATATAATTATTAAACAAAAGAAACGGATACTTTGTACTATCAAGGACATTATGATTTTAGTGTGCAGTGGGCCCGTTCTCTCCTCGACAGTATCATGTTCTTTAAAGCCTGGATCCAACACGTGTCCTATCCAATATAAGTACAGTGCGGCATTCGAGTGACATATTTACCCCTGAATTTCATTTTCGGATGTGTTTGTTTGGAAATTGAATTTTAAATACATTCATTTTTTTTCTTATAAAATTAAAAATTTATTTTTTATATTCTACTAAAAATTAATTTTATATTTAAAATATTATATAAATATTTATTTATATCACATTATATAATTATTCATATTTAAAATTTTTACTATTTAAAATTCAAAAAGCCCGAACAAACACACCGGCTGTGTCGTGGAGTACCGTCACCGCTCGTTTCGCCACACGTGTCCAACAATTCGTGTACGAAAGCTCTTCCCATCTGCGCCCCGCCCCCCGCAATTAGTAAAGAAGATTCTGTATGATGTGTTTGGAAGTCCGATTTCGTCCCAAATATTTTATTCGTTTTATTGAAGACGCGATTAAAATGTAATTTTTTTTTAGAAAAATAACAAAATAAATGAGACGAAAGTAAATAAAAAGTGGCCATGAAAAGTGAAAAGAAAAAAATATTATATTATATAGTACTATAATTTAGTTATATTAGATAATTTTATTCATTATAATTTTTTTATACGTATTTTAACAAACAAATAAATAATTTATTATTTTTATTTTTATTTATCAACTATTTTTTATTATTTTTAACGTATTTTTTATAAATACGAAAGACTTAAACTAAAGTATTATTTATAAATACGGAACAATTTTAATTTAAAAAATAAAAATAAATTATACAAATTTAATCCCACAAAAAATATATATATATAATTTTATAGGGTATTTGAAACTGAGTAAGTAATAATTTAAAAAATAATAAATGAATATACCTTGATATTTTGTCATTTTGAAGAGCAAAGTTTATAAATAAATAAAAATTATTTAAGAAGAAAAACCAAACAAACAATTAAAAAAAGAAAAGAAAAACACAACCAAACAAACCTACCAATTATTGCTAAACGCCTGGTGTTGAGATCCCAGGAGCTCTTAGCCATTTTGTATTTAAAGGTTAAACCATCATAGTTTATGTCGGTTTTGCAGAAAGTGCTACGTAGCATTAAAGCATCCAAGGAGAGAGGGAGAGAGAGTTGGATTGAGAGGCAGCAACCCACCCACCGCTCGAGCCGCAACTGTAAGCAATCGAGGTTCCTTTGACGTTGTTTTCCTGCTGAACGGCGCTTATCACTCGCTGAAATTAATTTTTCTTGGTTGGAGGATCGGCATTGAGGTAAGGCGGTGGTGCTGCCAACTTCTTATTTTAGCTCTCCGATTATGTTCCGTAATCGTTTGGAATCGGATGTTTGGATTGATTTCTTTCGAGCTGTAAGTGTATTCGTATTCGTGTTCATCTTCTTTTTTTTGGATTTTAGTTTTGATGCTAGGTTTTGTACTGGTGAAATGTATGGAAAATATTTGTGCCTGCTTGTTTTCTCTCGTCTGTATTCGTTTAGGCCACGGCTCATGATCCTTAGTGATATTCTTCTTGTTACTTGACATTGCCTTAGGTTGCGGAATTGTGCTTTTCTAGTGTTAACAGGTTGTTTTTGTGAATATTTTGTTGTACTCAAGTTGATGATCTGATTTTGCTCGTGGAATTAAAACAATTTATGCAAAGTTGAAATTGAATGCATCGTGAGGATTGTCCAATATTTTGAAAATCAAGCCCGATCGGGCTCTGGGGCTGGTTGAACGTCCTGCCAATTCAAGAGAAAGGTCCGGCTAGATCACAGAAATCCGACTTTTAAGAACAGTAGAAAACTGTAGTTGACCCTGCAAATAGGGCCTGGTTTAGTCCGACCGTCTGGCTAAAACCTAAAAATGCGTTGAAGTAATTTTCAACTTATTTTGTTTATTTGTTGGCGATTTGATTCCTATTGAATTGATCTGTTTTATTTGATGTTAAAACTTAATAAAAATGGGCTGTTACTTTGTTGGTGGTTTAGCGTGTATTTTACAGTAGTATTATTATTATTGCTTGGATGCCAAAAATTGAGTATAATTTCAGTGCATCATTATGCTTACCATCTAATATAGTTTATTATTAATTTTTATCTATGTACTAATATTTATTTTATATGTACGATGTCATCGTTTCAACCAACCTGCAAAACTTAAAACTAGTAAAATTCTCAATTCCATATATGATCTGTTTTTCCAAACATTGATGTTAGCCTGGTTGTGTTGAAGGAGTTTTAGGCATAGGAGCTTTATGCCTACTTCCATACATCATTATTCCATAGAGTGGTTCTTTTCTCTCTTTTTCTATTATTCTTATTTTTTGTATTAGGACCCATCCATCTTTTTTAGCCTTAAACTAAAAGTTAGAAGATGTATAAATGAAAGAAATCAGAATATTAAATTGTGTCTTAAAGTATGCCCAAACTCAATGGCAGAGTGGATATAGAACTCTCAATCTTGTGATCTGGAGGAAGGTTTATCATTGAGATTTGAAATGTTAGGAAACTTGCCTGGAGCTTCCTCAATGCATAAGCGGGCAATGATGTCAAGAGATTACACTGACCTGAGTGATGTTGAATATGATGAAGGTGAACTCTGCTTCTCTTACTCATTTTTCTAAAAGCTTTATTTTGTTTAACCTTGTATTCCTTTCCCATTCCATAAAACTGTGTATTCATGTTAAGATGATCTTACAAAATTATTGTTTCCTTTGTATTTGGAGATCTAAACTTACTAGATTATTCTAATGATCACTACAGGAATTAGTAAAGATCTTGTTGTCTTAAAAGCAATCTAGTGTAAACTCCCTGAATTTCTTTTTCTCCCACAAACTCTTGTTCACATGTTCATTAACCTGTGATGGTGTTATTTAAATATCAACACTATGCTTTTTCAAGACACATGATACTGTGAGGTTAGTTAAATCATAATCAAATCTACTGTTATTTTACAAGTTTATTGCTGGGTTTTTGTGTGTCTTTCAGAGCTTGAGAAAAGCAGTTCAGAGCAAGAGACTACAAAACCTCCATGGAAGAAATCACTCCCTCATGTGCTTGTAGCAACTATAGTTTCTTTCTTGTTTGGCTATCATCTTGGGTTTGTTTTCTATTATTTTTTATTCTTTTGTTTTGTTTTGTTTTTTTTTTTTTTTCCTTATGTACTTAATTATTTTATTTTTATTGCTCAAATATTTCACTTCTCAGAGTTGTTAATGAGCCACTTGAAAACATATCTATCGACTTGGGTTTTAACGGCAATACATTGGAAGAAGGTACTATCACGTTATTCAAGTCATATTTCTTTTATTAGCATTTCTTTTGATATTTTCATCTTCAGTTTTACTGTTCTTACCTAACACAGGCTTGGTTGTTAGTACTTTGCTTGCTGGTGCATTTCTTGGATGCCTGTTCAGTGGTTGGATTGCTGATGAAGTTGGGCGCCGTAGGGCATTTCAGTTGTGTGCATTGCCTATGCTTGTAGGTGCTTCTATATGGTATGAAATATTCTTTGATTTTATACTTCTGAAATCCTCTTATGGGAATGAGTGGAGGACGAGGATAGGATTTTTTTTTTTTGAAAAGTCATAGTTGCTTTAGATTGTTTCTGTATCTATCCATCTCATGGATGCGGGCAGTATACTGCCTCAAGTTTGCTGTGAACACAATCCATTGTATCTTTTTATTCTATGACTACTGACCTTATCTAGTAAATTAGCAGCAGACTGAATGGATCTTTCAAATTTCCCTTCCATACTTTTCCACTTGAAAAGTATTTAGAGTTAAGTTGTACCTCTCTCTTCTTCCCAGCACTGGCATTTATACTGGCTTGGTAGTTTCTCATTTAGTTTATGTGTAAATTCTAAATATAGGGCTGAATGTCTTTAACACAGATAGATAAGATGCTTTACTGTTATTTACTTGTATAATTCATGTCTCTCATGCAATCAATATTCTTCTAGTGTGTTTGTTTGGGGGTTTGGATTTTGAGTAGTAAAAATTTTGAATATGAATAGTTGTATGATGTGATATAAATAGGTCTTGATGTGATATATTGAATGTAAAATTAATTTTTAGTATAATATAAAAAATAAAAAATAGGTCATTGATTTGATGTTTTTTGGGGGAAAAAATGGGATGAATAGTGGAAATCTAATTCAATCCCCCAAACAAACACACCCTAAATGTTTCTTTCATCAAATATTCCGGTTTGTGTGGGCATGGTGTGTAACATGTAAATCTTTTCTCATAACTTATATTCAACTTCCAAAGAGTTCCTGATACAATATTTTCAGTGCGACTGCTAAGAGTTTGATGGGAATGCTTCTTGGGAGGTTCCTTGTTGGTACTGGTTTGGGAGTGGGTCCGTCAGTCGCATCGCTTTATGTGGCAGAGGTACTGAATTTTTAATTTTGTTGTCCGTTGAGAGCACATTCAATGAATAGAAGGGTTGACGCTTGTCCAATGCTTGTTTGTGACCGTCAAGTAGATCTCTCCAGCTCATGTAAGGGGAACTTACGGGAGCTTTATACAGATAGCAACTTGTTTTGGGCTGATGGGAGCTCTAGTAATTGGGATTCCTGTCAAGAGTATTTTAGGATGGTAAGCTGAATAAGCTGAGATTTTGATCTGTGATTTGAAGTCTGTGAAGTCAGTTATTGATGTATGTATGCTCTTGTGTATCTTTGATCAGGTGGCGCATCTGCTTTTGGGTATCCGCAGTTCCGGCTGCAATGTTGGCTATTTTGATGATGTTTTGTGCTGAATCTCCACCCTGGCTTTATAAGGTTTTCAGTTATGCTTCGGTGTATTTATGTTGCATCATACTTCCTTAGTATCTGTTTCCTAGAATTTTCTTTCATGGAGTTATAATCATAAAAAATTACAATGCATTTACGTTGCCCCTTGATATATTTTAGTTGTTAATAACATCAAAGTTGCATGCTGTTAAAGTTTCTGAATATCTGCATATTTTCTCTGTACATCTATAACTCTGCTTGAGGTGGTGGTGAGGCGGCTGGGATATCTTGATATATTCCTTCGGTCTAGTAATCTTCGTCACCTTGTACTTATTTCTAATTATAGTATGCTTGTTCTCGAGTCGACTGGAATACTACAGCTAAACAGAAAGTTTGGTTATTTATTTCTAGCCCTTGATATGTTACTTTCAAAGAATCTATTTTCAAATTTTATGAACAGTTATCATAGATAGTTGAATAATATTAGTTGTTTGTTTAATTCAACATTTTGATAGATTGTGTACATGGCAAACATGAAATGCTTTATATATCTACATTGTCATATAGAAAGGAAGAATTGCTGAAGCTGAATCTGAACTCGAGAGACTTCTTGGAAGTCCACATGTTGCAGCTGCAATGATAGAGTTATCAAAGACAGACTCAGGGGATGAAATTAATGCTGTAAAGCTTTCCGATTTGCTTTTTGGAAGGCATTCCAGAGGTATTATTGTATTTGCTGCTCCGTATGTCCGTCTCTCTCTTTCTACATATATATATATATTTATATGTAGACACCAAAATGTTTTGTTATTCACTGGGTTCTTTTGCAGTTGTTTTTATTGGATCAACCCTATTTGCTTTACAACAGCTTTCTGGAATAAATGCTGTATTTTATTTCTCTTCAACTGTATTTAGACGTGCTGGAGTTTCCTCAAACCTTGCCAATGTTTTTGTTGGGATTTCAAATTTCATCGGTTAGTTCTTTTCTCTTTCTCATTTTTTAAAATCCATTATACGATCTTGGTTGGAAAATTTTCGTATCACTACCAATTGATTTTCTACAGGTTCCTTCGTTGCATTGGCGCTGATGGACAAGCTTGGAAGAAAAATCCTCCTCCTATTGAGCTTCTTTGGCATGGTATACATTTGATGAGGAAAACTAATTTGCTTTTAAATAATTAGCATACATTGCCTTTCAGAAAGTAGTTTCTCTATCATCATTTCCTTTTTCTCGGATATAAACTAATAAGTTTGAATTTTAGTTATTTTCTTTACCCCAGAAGTTTCCATATACTCTTTATCTGATTGTCCATGTCGGTCAGAAATGCTTTGCATTTCAATAGTAACATAGTCACAAAATTCAACTTTTTGTAGCAATCATTATTTGACTCTGGATTTCTTCTACTTATAATTCAGGCTATAGCAATGGCTCTTCAAGTTATCGCTGCAGCATTATTTACGTCAAGCAATCCTATTTCGTTTTATCTGTCTGTCGGCGGCATGCTACTGTAAGTGCTAGCTTCGGAAACTTTTTCTTTTGTTCGGTGCCACATAAAAAGTGCATAGACAGTTATATGTTCTTATGGTTAATTATTTGGTGAATCTGGTCAATCCAATTGCACAAAAATCTGCTATCAAGTGAAATTTATTCATCTACTAACAACAATGATACTGTCTGTCTGTATCCAGATTTGTCTTATTGTTCGCTGTCGGCGCTGGTCCCGTACCAAGTCTTCTCCTCCCCGAGATATTTCCAAATCGAATAAGGGCTAAAGCCGTGGCGTTTGCTATGTCTGTACATTGGGTAATTATCCTTTCTGCATTTTTCTCTTCAAAAAGACACAAGTAAAGGCAATGGATTCAACTTCATTCTCACCCACACACATATATATGTATGTATACTTTGTGTTTGCAAGGTGTTCAACTTCCTCGTCGGCTTACTGTTCCTGCGCCTGCTCGACCAATTGGGGCCTGCGACGCTGTATTCAATGTTCTGCACATTCTGCTTGATGGCGGTGGGGTTTGTGATGCGTAATGTGCTGGAAACCAAAGGGAAAACGCTTCAAGAAATCGAGATCGCACTTCTTCCTCAGTAGTCATGATCGGGTATAGTGTTCGCGCAGCCGCTGCTCTCATCATACGACAAAAGTGCATGTCCCTGACTGACTGACAGTGTAGGCAAATCTTTCTATCGACTGCCGCCATGCGACGAGGATGACGGAAAGGCATTGGGTGTGCACTTAAAACAGCGTGTGGCGTGGCTGGCTGGCCTGTTTTGCTGAGTTAATTCATTACAATGATGCTTGGTCGAGACGGGGTATCGTATAAAGCTCTCACTTTTGAATATGAATGCTTCGTTACTTGCAATTCGCTTTTTAATTAACTTTCTTTATTGAAAATATTAATTAAGGTTTTTTTTTTTTTTTTTCTAAAGTAATATATACACTAGAAAAAGAAAAAAATAATCATTTTTAAAATTTAATAAATGTGCTTTTTTACTCAATAAAATGGTAGTCCCCCATTTTAACTTTCTTTTTCTGTTTTGGATTTTCTTTCACTAACTTTTGATTTGAGCATTTTTTCACCACATTTGGATATAATTTGTAGACTTTTAACCCAATTTGAGTAATATTTCTACTCCAAATTGACTTCTTGATCTAAAAGAGATGATCTTCCTGGGTGATTTTGCAAATACTTAGATTTAGTAGGCCTTCTTTTTGAATAACACTTCTTCTCAAGGTAGCCCCTTGTAGAGTTGGTTTTCTTTTCAACTTTTTGGGGGAGGGAAGACTTTCTATTATACTTTCAATTGATTCATTCATTCTCTTCGACCTCACGGTCCCGTGATAGTAGCACCTATATAATATAACTAATTAAATATAGTAACTAATTGAATATTTAATTGATTTTTTTGGTGATATGTGTATAAAATATAATTTAATTGTTTTAAACTGCCGCTTTAGTTAATGTGGTGGCATATGTTTATAAAAAGAATAGTGAGTATAAAAAAACAACAAAATATTCGACAGTATATCTTGTTATAATATGAAACATATATTTTGGTAATATATTATATAATGTTATATATTACAATATATTATAATTTTAGCACAATACCCATATTATATAGTGCAATACAATGAAATTCATATAGCAAATGTTAATATAATATATAACATATATTTTGAAAACATATTATAAGACGGTTATAGTATTGAATTCTAAAATTGAGCACCACACTATTTATGATTTCATAATTAATTTTAACATATAAAATACATTTATAATTATAAACGAACAATACATGTCTTTAATATGTGCTTATTGATTTTTTCAAATCAGCACCGTAAATCATTCTTATTATAAAATTTTATATATCATAATATATGACCCCCACAGAGTACATGCTTCTATTATAACAATAAACACATATTTTGTAATGAATTTTAATTATTTCAAATTAATATGTTCATTTTCTATTTCAAATCTATTGACAAATTAAAATCAAACAAATTTATGTCATATAATTTTTAAAATATTATTAATAAATAATATTAATATATATATTTATAAGTAAAAGACCTTCGTCGTTGTTGTTGGGAGTATTAAATGCGAATAAGACAATAATATCTCATATGTATACATTTGGAATGACTATGTTACATATTTTAAATTTATTATTTATAAAATTCTACCTTAAGCAATCATATTAGAATATCTTAAATGGAAACACCGCCAGGGGTAAAATCGTCATTGATGGCCGGCCGGCCAAGCCATTTCGCGCCTGCACAAAAAACAGTTAGTCCCGCCCCGCCCCGCCGCAAATCCATTCCCACTGCAAACCAAAAGCCTCTCTACGCCGCCGCCGTCGCCGCCGCAGAGATGTCTGCCACCACGACATCTTCAGTCCAAATCCTCCACCACACAGCCTCCTTCTTCTCTGAAATCGTCTCTCAACCCGACCATCGCCACCACCTCTTCTCCGCCTTCCTCCGGCGAGTCCCTGCCTCGCTCGTCAAGCCACTAAACCTCGCAGCGCAAACCCTAGAACGAGCGATTTCCACCACCAGCAACTCCGTCGAATCCTCATCCCTCCGCCTCGCGGAGAAGCTCCTCCTCTCCAATGGCAAATCTCCGTTCTCTTCATTTTTTCTCTCTCTCGTAAACCACCTCTCCCGCCGTCCAATCGATGCAGCTGTCGGACTTCTCGACGCCTTCCACTCCAATCCTTCGCTGTTCAGACTAGAAATCGCGCCATCTTTGTTCCAGGAGCTGTTCCTCGTTCATTTCCCGCCGATCCTCGAATGGTACAAGGAGCAACGATCAACTATTCTATCAACTCTGTACTTGCACTCCGGCTACAACAGCGACGACCAGTCTATTGTTTCCACCACAACACTCTTGTCGAAAATGAGCGGCGATCAAGCTTCGGCGCTTGGGGATCTGGAGAAGGATTACGAGGATTTACTAGACGAAAACTGCAGGGTATTCGTGGAGTATTTCAAGGAGGTTCTGCGTAGTAAAAGTGAAGATCAGACGATTGTTCCGCCACAAATTGTACTTCAAGTGATCGACGGTGCAGATAAGTTTGTTTGCAGCAATGAAGAGAGGATTAACGGCCAGGATTTTGGGGCGACAAACAGACGGTATAATGTAATGTTTGATTATCTTGAAATTCCAGTTTTCGTTTCTTGCCCTAGATTTGCAGTGTTCAAACTTCAAGTATTCATGATTGTTATCTTGATAGTTTCTAATGAAAAATTATGAAATTAATTGGGAAAACAACTTAGGATGGTGATTCTTGGAGCTCTAGAACACACTACCAGAGATGGATCTATGAAATGGTGCGAGATCCATCTGGGATTAGTGTGCAAGGAGCTCTCAACAATCACTCTGATTTGATAAAACCATTATTATCCTTCGCGGAGATGTTTGTTGTCCACATCCGTATGGACTATGGACTCATGGGTCAGGACAATCAATGGTTTGAATATTACATTAGATGACTTGCCTGTTTGTTTGATTTTCTGTAATTGCTGAAAGTTAGATTTGACAATGTCAAGGGAAAAATAATAATACTAATAATTAGCAAAATTGGTAATGAACAGTTGACCATATTTGCCCTACAATGGACAGAGTCCACCAGATTGATTGCATTAAAGATTCATTTTGACAGGATAATCAGTCTTTTTTTTTAAAAAAAAAAATTATAGATGTAATTATGTTTGGTTGTTATATTGTTGTTGGTGCAGCCCATGTGGGCAGAAGGAGAAAGATCAGTTGAATTGAGCAGCGACAGGGGGAAGAGCCTGTCAAGGTTTCCATCTTTCTTTCCTGAAAGAGTCTCTCCGAAAGTGCTCACAAACCTCAGATCCTCAAAAGACCTGGAAACATCCGCAGATGACAATTCGATTGATGATTATTCTTCCTCAGATTCTGATGCTGGACAAGAGGTCTCTCTCTCTCTCTCTATATATATATTAGTACATATCAGCAATCAGACAGATACTTTCTATGTTGTTTTACAATACCAAAGCTGTTTGTCTTAGTTATTCAAAATAGCTATCTTGTCCTGTAGGAAAACATCAAGAAGTTGACATTGTTTGACGACTCTAAACAAATGCCATCGAAGGAATATAAGCAGCTTTTCTCAGAACAATCCAGCCGGTATGAATATTTGCCAGAACTTACAGGATTAAAATTGCTGTGCAATGCTGATCCATGTTTTTTGCCTTGCTGATGTTTCAGTTCTTACATGGAAGACGGTGATCACTTGCCTAGCAGAGGAAAGCGTACTGCCCCGAAGGATTTTGTCTGCCCCATAACAACTCACATATTTGATGATCCTGTGACTCTTGAAACAGGACAGACTTACGAAAGAAAAGCCATTCAGGAATGGCTTGAAAGGGGAAATTCCACTTGTCCAATTACTCGTCAGAAGCTACACAGCACTCAACTTCCCAAGACAAATTACGTCCTCAAACGTCTGATTTATAGTTGGCTAGAACAAAATCCACTCCCCATTCTCAGTAGTCAGCCAGTTGGAATGGAAGCAGAAAATCATCATAAAGAATTCAAACCTTCAGTTATGTCTGTTTCTCCTAATAGTGTCATAAGCCAAGCCGCCATCGATGGAACCATAACCGAGCTGAGACTTGCGATCACTGATTTGTGCACATCAGAAATCTTGATGGAAGCTGAAAAGGCCGTTCTCAAAATCCAGCAGTTCTGGCAGGAATCAAATATGGAATCGCAAATGCAATCTATGCTAGTCAAACCTCCTGTTGTTAACGGTTTTGTGGAGGTAATGTTTAGTTCCTTGGATATACAAGTTTTGAGAGCCGCGATCCTTCTTTTGACTGAGCTAGGATCAAGAGATGCCAGTGTTATCCAGACACTAACCAGAGTAGACTCAGATGTTGAATGCATTGTTGAACTCTTCAAGAAAGGTTTGACTGAGGCTGCGGTGTTGGTTCTTCTCTTAAGACCTTCAGCAACGAGCCTCGTGGAAATGGACATTGTGGACTATCTCTTACCAATGGTTAGCAAGAACGAGGACAATGATGAATCCACAAAACTGTTTATGAAGCCAAAATCAGCTGCAGTTGTTCTGTTGGGACATATCATTCGAAGTTCCAGTGAAACAAATCTAATCAAGATCGTAAGAGGGATTATTTCATCCGATGCAGCTGAGATAATTGTTGACAGTTTAAAAGCTGAAGATGTTGGGGAAAGGATTGCAGCTGTGAGCATTTTGGCAAGATGCATATACGAGGATGGAAAATGTAGGAATGTTATAGCCCAGAGGGCGGTTTTAGGCCCTCTGATGGAGATATTTGTTGGCATAAGCGATGACGAACGGTTTGAGATAGTAAATTTCCTTTATGAGCTGATTAAATTAAACAGGTATCAGCTCCTGTTTGCTTTAGTTTCAGAATATCTGAAGAATGAAAACTCACTCAGTTTTTCTAATTATGCAGGAGGAATTCGAACGAACAACTCTTGCATATCCTGAAAGAAGAAGGTACTTTTAGTGCAATGCACAGTCTTCTCATATATCTCCAACATGCCCTGCCTGAACAATCACCTGTAGTGGCTGGTCTACTCCTACAGCTTGATCTTCTGGTACCCTCTATGCTCTATTCAATTATCCATAGCATGTTTAGATATGGCATAAATTTTCTTGTAAACCAATGATGTACTATTTTAGGATGAACCAAGAAAGATGAGCATTTACAGAGAAGAGGCCATAGATGCGCTTATTTCATGTCTCAGAAATTCAGATTTCCCAGCTGCTCAAGTCTCTGCTGCAGAGACTCTTTTAGCCCTACAAGGGAGGTTCTCCTACTCAGGAAAGAGTCTTTCTAGGGCGATATTACTCAAACGTGCAGGTTTTGATAGGAGCTATAGAGCTTTTCTCCGAAAGGATCAGCGCCGCCACAACATATATGCTGAACCTCAAGACATAATTGTTAGCCCTTGATTCTTAACTTATTGCTATATTTACTAGTCTTTTGGTACTGGTCCATATAAGAATAAGTTAAATGTTTACTTCTTTTTTCTCTGCAGGAAGAAGAAAAGGCAGCAGAAGAGTGGGAACGAAAAATGGCTTATGTCCTTGTGAGCCATGAATTTGGGATAATGTTTGAGGCTTTGGCAGAAGGCCTAACTAGTAAAAATGAGGAGTTGCGTTCAGTTTGTTTCATGACAGCCACTTGGCTTGTGTACATGGTGTCGCTCCTACCTGACACAGGCATAAGAGGAACAGCCCGTGTGTGCTTACTCAAACACTTTGTCTCAATTTTCATATCTGAAAAGAACACCGACGATGTTGCCCTCTCCATGCTTGCACTATATAGTTTCATCCATGTTCCAGGTTAGTTTCACACAATATGATTTAGCATTTTTATTGTGATACTTTTTTTGGAGCCTGGTTGTCTAAGTTATTGTCATCTTGTGTTTTAATTTATTTTATGTTCTATTGAGTCAGATTTATGTCCTATTTCTTTTGGCTTGGAATCGGCGCTTTAGTCCTCATTCCTCAAATTTTAAATTAAACCCGTTTGCATATTAGTGATTCTTATTCTATGGCTGCTACTGCAACAGAAGGATTGCAAGATTTATCAGCCAACATGAAGGATATTCTGAAAATCTTGAGGGAGCTCAAGAAATCCTCCACAATGGCATCTGAGATGCTAAAAATCTTCTCAGAAGAACATGACAACAGCGCTGTAAGATTTGCACATTTAGGGATCCATTTCTGCAGCAAAAAACAATAAATTGCCTAATCTAGATGATCTTGCAGGACATATGGACTCATAATGAATTAAGTCAAGAAGATTGCAGCATCAATGGAGAAGTTCTCGTGATAACTTGTTTCAAAGCCAAAATTTTCTCAGGCCATTCAGATGGCACTATAAAGGTCTTTTCTGTTGCATTTAGTTAGTTCTTCCACACGGCATCTACTTCTGTGACGTATGATTGAATTTGCGCAAGTTGAACTGAGTTTGATGGAAATTGTTTCATTGAACTCTGAAGATATGGACTATTGGAGATACCAAGCTACAGCTCATTCAAGAAGTTCGACAACACACAAAACCGGTCACTAGCCTGGCAATTCTGCACTCATCAGACAAGCTGTGCAGTGGTTCTCTCGACAGGACTGTGAGGGTATAATTTACTACATAAAAACATACGAGAAGAGACTTATTGCACACATACATCATGTATAGTTGTATCGAGTACCAACAGCTTTCAACAGGCCTTTTGTCTCCAAGGCTAAATGTTCCAAAAAACTTTTTGACAGGTGTGGACAGTAACCGAGGATGGAATTTACTGCGAACAGGTTCATGAGATGAAGGAGCAGATTAACGATCTTGTCGTTGCTAATAGTATGGCTTGCTACATTCCTCAAGGTGCCGGTGTTAAGGTTATTGACAAAATACACCCTGCCTCTTGATCATTGGCCCCTTTTTGTCTGTAGATTTATTTACATGGTTACTTACACTGGGCTTCTCTGGTTTCAGGTGCACACATGGAATGGATCCTCGAAACTACTGAACCAACATAAGTACGTGAAACGCTTAGCTCTTGTACAAGGAAAACTATACTGTGGATGTCATGACAATAGCATTCAGGTTCCATTCCATTTAATCACTCCATTTATTCCATAAAAAACTAGAACAGGAGAATTAATTCATACATTCAAACCACATCCAAATTCGCAGGAAATCGACTTGGTTACAGGCACAGTAGGAAGCTTACAGGCTGGCTCGAAGAAACTTCTAGGAAAGGCATATCCCATTCATGCCCTACAAGTCCATGACGGTCTAATATACGCTGCGAGCACTTCACTTGACGGAGGAGCAAACATAAAGGTATCAATAACCATTTTCTCCAAAATTCATGATTGCATACAGCTGCAAGTACCCGAGAAAATTGTTTACTTCCCTTTCCTGCTATAAATAGCTTATGTAATCAAACCAATCATACCTATGGTCAGATATGGAGCGCATCCAATTACAATATGGTGGGATCTCTGTCATCGACATTGGAAGTTAGGACCATGGCCGTAAGCTCGGAGCTGATATATTTGGGGTCTAAAGGAGGGACGGTTGAAGTGTGGTGCAGAAAGAAGTACAGCAGAGTGGAGACACTTCAGACAAGTCCCAGCAGCAGAATCCTTTCCATGGCTATTGATGACAATGAAGACATGTTGATCATTGGGACATCTGATGGAAGAATTCAGGTAATAGACAATAATTTTATTCAATCTAATTATATGCAATAAAATAGTTCCCTGATCCCACAGAATGAAAAAAGTCCTGATGTAGGAAATGATTAGGAAAATGAGTTAAATAGAACACAATCTTTTATACTCGATCTCTACTAGTTTGTAGTTCATGATTTGGCTTGAGCTCAATTTTAGGAGTCCATTTAAATAATTATGAAAACAAGCAAATAGCCCATTGAGTTTGGTTTGAAATTCGAATTAGAAATCCACAAACAAACAGAGCCTCAATGTTTTTTTAAAATAGTAGATAGAATGAATACCTATCTTTGTGCTATAGTATTCTATGCATGCTTGCATTGTTGTTATACAATCAAATTTATACACAATATTTTATACATGAATATCAAAAGATTGGTATCATATATATAGCTTTGTTTCTTGCTATGATCTTAAAGTAATTTAAATGTATATGTTAATCTTTGGTGCAACAATTTTTATTTTTTATCTTATATTTCTTTTTGGATTTGCAGACATGGGGTTTGAGCTGAAGAAGAGACCCTAGGTCAGATTTAATCAGATACTGAAGAAATTGAATCAGATTCAAACAGATATGCAATATAAAGGTATGCTTCGGTTTTGGAATAACAAATTCGTATTTCATTTTTTACTTATGTAATAATTATAGATGATGTATATATATGAAGCGTTATTCATGAATTCATAACGACATTATTTGAAGTCAATTTCTTGTATGCATGAACGTATATGGTCGTGGGTAAGGGAGCCTTGGTGGCGTGGGTGAAAAATGTAAAATATAGATTGATTTCATTTTTCAATTTAAAAAATATATATATATATATATATATATATTAAAGAGATTTAAAATTTTAATTAGATGACAGTGAAATCTCAAATAATAAAACTAGTAAAAAAAAAAAATCACATTAGATCATGAAAGTATCCTTAGAATTAGGCTACTAGAAATCAAACTTAGATGCTCATGATGTCCCATAAGGAATAACACGGTGACGTAGAATTGGACTTGTGACCGTGAGATTACGGGTTCAAATTTCCGACGCCTCGGGTCATTTAAAAAAAAATAGATGCTCATTATATTCAATTTCTTTTACTAGTATTTGTCTTACTAAGATATTCCTTTGTATTTTGATATGATAAAGAACTTAATTTTAACATTGTTGCTGTTTAAATTATTATTATTTTTTTTCAAAGTGTTCTATCACTTGTGTACATATTATTTTTCAATTCAATTTATTAGATTTTACTTTTAAATCTTACATTTTCATTTTTGCTTCCAAATAAGAAAAAACTAATTTTCCATTATAAAAAATCCAAAATAAGGTATATTCAAATTTGATGTTTACAACTTAAAAAAAATAATAAAAAATTAAATATTCTGAAAAAATATATATACTAAAACGTAATATTCACTAAGAATTACAATATCAAAAAAAAAAAAAAAGTCCCACTCTTACCACGTACAAAGTAGACAAATATAAACACAATTTACATAGAAACAAAAATAAACAAAAGTATTAGATTTGATCGAAGTTTACCCAAAATTCAAAGAACAATTACTTTCTACATTAAAAAAAAAAAACACCATAAATGCATGCACACAGATTACACCTATTCCAAACAAATACTCCCTCCGTCCCAAACACCTGCAACATTTTTTTTTGGTATCTCTCCAAATAGCCTGCAATATTTTTGTAAGAAATAATTAATTATACTTAATATCTATCCCACACTTTATTCTCTCACATCGTCCAAATAAAAAAATAAAATATTTATTTCTCTTTTTATCACATCATCTAATTTCTAAATTATCCTACTTAATACTACCTGCATAAAAATTTGTGCCAAAAATAAATATTGCACTTTGTTTAAGACGGAGGGAGTATGGTAAGACACAAAATTCTCATTAACAAATAACCTGAAAGTACACCCAAGCAATTTCAACCAAAACAAAACAAAACACGACATTTACTTACACTCCATATAAACTCAAAAAAATGGCCACAAGCATAAATTGCAATCAATGAAAATTAATATATAATTTTCTTAACATATTATCAACAACATTTTGATTCGAAATTTTTTATTTCTCGACAATATTGTTTCACAAAATGAAATAATTGGACAATAAAGAAATGACGTTTATACTCTTTATTAATATTTAATAAATAATAATCAATTTATCATATTACTTTATTATAATTACTTAATAAATATTTTACAATTCTCCCCTTTTGCTTTTTTACACGTAACTTAATTTTATATCAGTACGTAATAAGATATTTAAAAAATATTGAATAAAAAGAAGCTCCTAAATTATTAAAAAACTCAAGTGGGGAAAACAACAGAGGTGGTCCAGTCCAGGTCCAGCCCAACGTTCGCCTTCGCCCACCCTAAATTCAAACCCTCACTCACCACCCCACTCCATGTTTCTTTCTGTCGTTGGATTTGAATTTTCTTCAGAGTCTGCTCTGCTCTCTCTCTCCAACTCTCTCTCTCTCACATCCAAAAACACAGAGACCAGACATGGAGAGACAGATACTTACATATTTATGTATCTATATGCTCACACTTTCTGTTTCTCTCTCCCTGTAGTTTAAGCTATTTAATGTCCTCATTGAAACTCCCAAGGAACCTCTAATTATTGCTCTCTCCCTCTCTCCTCTTCTTCACTCTCTTTCTTCGTTCATTCAACATCCCAACCCCATTTTCTCCCACGCCTCCTCTCTGGCTATTGCCGCCGCCGGCGACATCCAGAATTAAAGGAAATTAGGAGAATGAGTGCTTCCAAGTTCATCAAATGCGTCACCGTCGGAGATGGCGCTGTGGGCAAGACCTGTATGCTCATTTGCTACACCACCAACAGATTCCCCACTGTACGTAATTAATCAATCCTTCTCTCTCTTTAATTCTCTCTTCCATCGAGGTTAGGGTTTCCAATTTCATTTTCAATTCCATTTCCGAGGCGACAATATATAGCCTACATTTTTTTTCCTCTTTTCTTCTTTAATCAATTTTTGTTTTTAGGGCTTCTTCAATAATTGTATACATGTTTTGAAATTGTTATTTCCTCAGGATTACATCCCAACAGTGTTTGATAATTTTAGTGCCAATGTGGCTGTGGATGGCAACATTGTTAACTTAGGGCTCTGGGATACTGCAGGTGTGTGTTTGAATATGATGATGTACTAAGGGCTCATATATCTATTTATCTACCTATATATATATATATATATATAAAACATAATTAATTACTGCTGATTTATAACATAATTTTGGATGAAGGTCAAGAGGATTACAGCAGGTTGAGGCCACTGAGCTATAGAGGTGCTGATATATTTATCTTGGCCTTCTCTTTAATCAGCAGGGCCAGCTATGAGAATGTCCTCAAGAAGGTCTGCGTATATATGATGATCAAAATTAATTTTAAGTTCAACGCAGGGGAATTTCTTGGAATTTATCTCAATTTAGTAGTTATCTCTGCTGTTGATTGATTTCTTGTTCGGCATATTTGCTTTACATTATGTGTAGTTTGGTGGTTCAAAATTATTCGCGGGCATTTGAATTTTATGTTGACTGGAAACCTTGATGTCATAGGTTTGTGGTGGCCATTCAGAACTATAACCCATTGCTTGCTTGCTGATAGCTTTGAAACTCATATTTGATAGATGTCATACATTTCTGTTTTTACTGTGTGAGGTTAGTGTCTGATTTGATTTCATCCTATTTGGATTCTTGTTTCAGTGGATGCCGGAGCTTCATCGCTTTGCGCCCAATGTCCCGGTTGTACTTGTTGGAACTAAGCTTGGTATGCATTGATTTGGATTAAATGTTCTATTTAGATAGAGGTTTTTTAGAATTTGAATTTTTTTTGAAATAGTAAAAAGTTGAGAGTATTTGATTTAATGATTTAGGAGAGGAAGTAGATATTTGATGTCTATGTATTTAAAAAAAAGTTGCTTTCGATAATTTGATGAATAGTTTCAAAACTTAAAAAATGTATATGAAAGTAAAATGTAAATGTTCATAAAATTGGAAAAATCATTCTGTTCTGTGTATCATCATTCGGCAAAAGATTTTACTCTACCGAACATTCTTTACACATTTTGTTTCTCCATTGTAGATCTTCGGGAAGACTCTGGATACTTAGCCGAGCATATGTCCGCCAACATTGTTACCACCGCACAAGTTTGTATTCTTTTGCCTCTTATTTTTTTTTATAAATATTTTTTTTTGGTTTTGTGAAATTTGATTCTCTTACTTTGGTTCACATATAGGGAGAGGAGTTGCGGAAGCAGATCGGTGCTGCAGCTTATATAGAATGTAGCTCGAAGACTCAGCAGGTTCAAACGCTACAAACCGATTATATTTCAAAATATTTTGGCGAAAAGGATACACAACTAATTCAATTATTTTTAGAATGTGAAAGCCGCTTTCGACACTGCTATTCGGGTTGTGCTTCAGCCCCCTCGGAGAAAGGAAGTTAGGAAGAAGAAAGGACGCAAAAGTAGTGGTTCCTCGATAGTGTAAGTCCAACGAAATCCTCTAATTTTCCAAAGGCATTCCTTCATTGGTGCCTGATATATTTGCATCTTTGTCTATGATAAAGACGATGGTGTTGAAATAAACATGAATGGTGTTGTACTGCGCCAACATGTGATATGTGCTGAAATCAATAGCAATATGTATTGGAATATTATTATCATTATCATGTGCTGTCTGGTAATATGATGTTAGACTATATTTGCGAGACTAATTTCAAGATTTTCGATTTTTTTTTTTTCGCAGAAAGGGCGTTTTGTGTTGTGGTTGCACCGCGTAGCTCAAATCCCGTTGCGGCGGTGCCGGCGTGACAGATGAGATAGAGACGTATGGATGTATGTATGTATGAATGAATGCACGTATCGTATGCATTTACCTAGCGATGGAAGGTTATGTCTCGAGATTTTGTGACAATGTGTTTATAATTTTGACTTGTTAGCGGATGGATGGATATAGGGGTAGTTGTTTCTTTTGGATTTTACTAGTATATGTTAAAAATATTGTTTGCTTTTATGTATGTTTATGTGTGTGTTTACATATATATATATTTTTTATCATTTTCATAGTATATATATTTTTTATTTAAAAAAAAAATCATAAACTAATATCAGTATAACTTTCAATTCTTTTTAAAAAAAATTATATATTTTTATTAATTAATAAAATACTATTATTTTTATTATTTTTTAAATTATTGTAAAGATACTTTCATTTAAGGAAAGAGAAAGTGCCATATTTTCTTAATTTGTTATATATTTGGTTTGAATTCGATTTTAATGTGATATGTATTTTTTTTTTATTATTTTTGTCTTAAAATTAAAAAATTAAAATCAAAGTTTAAAATTAAAATTCTATGGACAGTCACTCATAATAATTTTAGTTATAATTAAATTATTACTCCTAATTTTATTATTCTAACATCATGTTTTGAAAAAAAAAAAAATTAAATTAAATATTTAATTTTTTATTTATTTTATTACACTAAATTATAATTTTATATTCAAAATATTATATTATTCCGTCGGACATAGTCCGTTTCTGTTCGTCCCACGCACCATGTTATTTTTTTTGGAAAATTACACTTTAATCTTGTTTTAAACTTTTTAATTTTTTCTTAATTTTAATTAAACTAATTAATTATTTTAATTTTAATTTTAATATATTTTTAATTATCTACTAATTATATCCCTTAATATTTATTTATATCATTTGAGTATTATTTTAATTTAAAATTTTACTGTTCTAAATAAATAAATAAATAAATAAATAAAAAAACTTGACAAGTAAACACGGATATGCATCCACAGCGGCCGCCGGCACCACAACCGGACCAGGTTCTTCCTCTCTTCTTCTTCCCCCATTTTTCCTTTCTTCTCTTTTCTCCCTTTTCCCTTCTTCTTTACGCAGGCTGCTCCGCTCCAGTGACTGCTAGCGCGAATGGTGAAGTTAATTGTATTATATGTACTCCATTTTTTTTTTTTTTTTTTCTGTTCCAAGAAAAGAGGAACAGAAACCGTTCGATCGATGGCGGTTCCGTCCGGTTTGAAACCGATGGGGCACCTCTACCTTTTCGTAGCAGCACTCGACCCACACCCATCTTCTTATGCTTTCTTGTTTATTTATTTAATTTTCGTTCTTCTTCTTAGCCCCGCTTCTCAGCCGAAGAGGATCTACTGCTTTAGTATTTATTAATTTATTTTTATTTTTATCCTCCAAGGTTGCAGTGGGATGACGGCTTCAAATCAAGGTAAATTTACTGTGTATGCAATCGTCAATTCTGATTTGTTTCGCATTTTGTAAATATATATATATATTCTTTTATCACTGAATATTTGAGTGTTGATTGTGTTTCTTGCTAGAATTTGTGTTGTGTTGCAGATATACCGCTGCCGTTGGATAAACTCTCCTTGGGATGCATCGAAAGAGATGGATTGTCTAGTCCTCAATGGAAGTATGCAGTATTTTAATTTACAAGCTCTCTTCTTATTTTGTGATTTTTTGTTTGTCGGCTTCTAGGTTTAAGAGAAATCGATTGAATTTCGTAAAATTCTCTTTCAGGGGAAAGAAATGTGTAGTTTTACTGTCAACCGGAAGTTTTAACCCGCCTACGTACATGCACCTGCGGTGTTTCGGTAGGAAATTCTCAAGTCTCAGCTCATGTAATCCTTTTGTGTTCCTTTCCCTTTTTCTTGTTACTTTTGTTGTTGGTTGTGTGGTGGTGGTGTTACGTAATGGATTTATTCATATGGTTTCTGTCAAATGCCTCACAAAAGTTTGGGTTTTATGGTTACATGAAGTGCAAAATGTGTAGTTCATGTTGATAGAGCTGTCATTATGTGTTGTTATGTCTGCCCCCGGCGATGGGGATCTATTCATGACTGTTTTAAACTTTTAATGTTCAGAGTTGGCGAGAGATGCTTTGCGCGCTCGAGAGTTAATTGTTGTTGGAGGTTACATGTCGCCCGTAAATGATGCGTACAAGAAGAAGGTTGTACATTGTATTGTAGCATGCTAAATATGGCGTAATAGATCCTTACCGAAAAGAGTTTTATAAGATGAATGTGGTGCAAACAGATAGCTGCTAATTCAATTAAAGAAATAAAAGTGTGGTCGAGAAAATATTGGGAAGATGGAGGGGTTAAATGTGGTTGGTTTGAAGGTTGTTTGATTTGCGCTTGCTGATTTAATATAATCTGTGTTATATTTGTATCTTGTTGTTCCATATTCTGTTCTTTGTAGTGGATCACGACTTTCATAAGGTGTCTGCAACTTGGTTTTCTATTGTTATGGGAATCATGTAAGATTGATAGTCGTTTGTATGATGTCTTTGGAATGGTGTGCTTACCATTTTCGCTTACTTTTTCAGGGTTTAGTAGAAGCTAAACATCGGATTGCTATGTGTAAACTTGCTTGCAAAAGTTCTGATTTCATTATGGTAGATTCATGGGAGGTCTCTCTCTCTCTCTTTCTCTCTCTCTCTCTCTCTGTTTTAATGGCACATCAAGCTGAACATATTCGTCAAAATCATCTATTATAATTCAGTTAAGAAAACCTAAAGCTCGAAAGGTTTTGATTTTGTTACAAACACATCTTCTGTTGAGATTTTGCATTTTATTTTAGCTCTTCTGCCCTTGTCTATGACTATTGAAAATACTTCGATTTCCTTCAATAGGCAAGTCAAAGCAGCTACCAACGCACATTGACAGTTCTATCTCGAGTTAAAACCTTGTTGGGCGAGAGAGCAAATGTGTCCATTGGTAATTTTGAAGCAACTTATTGCCGAGTGCTATGAATATAAATATTTCTTATCATATGACATATGGAATGCTAGCTTATTCATATAGTCTTGTTCTACTATCAAAAATAATTTTGAAAGCATGAAATACTTCAAATGCTACCCCGCATAATTGTGTCTTTCTGGCTCAGTGTGTACAATACTTTTGTCCATGGAAATCTCATGACTTGTTTTTCTCTTTGTAGAGTCGCTTAAAGTTATGCTTGTATGCGGTTCTGACCTGTTAGAATCATTCAATATTCCCGGAGTTTGGAACCGTGAGCAGGTAAAGTCACACTTGGGTAGCCACCCCACCTTTAGATAAGACGTCGAATATAGTTTGTGAAATATTTTGATGATTGGGGTTTCAATTTTGCTGATCATTGTTCTATGAACATGGTTCTTCAAGGTCAAGACTATTTGTAGTGATTTTGGGTTGGTTTGTATTCGGAGAAGCGGCCAAGATGTGGAGAATATCATATCTAAGGATGATGTTTTGAATGAACACAAGGTAATCCATTGTAAAATGTACGTGTTATATTATTCGGTGTTACATATACCTTTTATTATATTTCTATTTATACTCATTGCTAGGGGTTAGCAAAATACCTTAAATTTGAATATATGATCCGAACCAAACTAAATTTTAGAATTTCATTCAAATTTTTTGGATTTTCGAATTTTCGGATTGGATTTGATTGAAACATTTATGGAATTTGGATTTTTGGATCGACTTGAGTCGGTAAACTAAAAATCCTAACTAATCCAAAATTCACAATATTACAACAGTATATTATTATAGATATTTTATTAAAAGTGTGACTTAATTCACTCATCCTTTTAATTTCATTCATGCCTTGTATGATTCTGAAGGCATGAAACCTTTCTTTTATTATTTAGATGTGGGATATATTTTGTATAGTTTTCAGGATGTCAAATGCATCCATGGTTAGGGTCGATTCTTTACAAAATTTTGGATTATTTTCGGATTGGTTCTGATTTGGCAAAATCCAAACCATAAATCTGGCACTTTTTTTGTTGCATGCTCTCTAAAATCTTATTACCACACGCCCTTTGGCATACCTTGTCTATTAACACACAAATTCCTCCCGATAGATTCATTTTCATTAAAGGTGACGTACATCATTGTTTTGTTCACATCCTCTAGAAACTCTTTTTCCTGCAGGAGAACATCCTAGTGATCGATGAAGTGGTTCCAAACGGTGTAAGTTCAACCGGATTGAGGTAAGAACTCTCAGTACTGAATCAGTTGAGTGGATACCCGATTAGTGTGGCCTACCATCCATCTATCGATTCAGGAAGAGGAACTTCTTAAACTTATGGAATTAATTATCATAATTTCTTATCGCAGGGACTCTATTTCAAGAGGGTTGTCTGTCAAGTACTTGACGGCAGATGGGGTAATCGATTACATCAGAGAACATGGTTTATACATAACACACCGCGGCTGAGCCCCCCGCCGGTTAGTAACACACTGAGCTCTTTTCATGCTGTAAAATAAATTATTGCATAGTATAATAAATTATTGGCAATTTTTACCTAAATATATATGTCCTTTCAGGTTGTTTTGATTGATAATATGATATAAATTCATATGACATAGCAGTGGTTGATGTTTTGTCTATCATTTTCTCAATTCTTCAACAGCTTGTAAGTTGAAATTTGGTTCAGTAACTTTTACATGGAAAGGGTATCCAAACAATATTATTAAATTTAATCTTGTGAATTATTTAGTAGAGAAAGGCCAAAGTCTTTGGTTTTTAATGTTTGTTCAGTAACATTGATGTGTTAGTTAAGAATGTTATTATTAAATCAAATACTATTTATTTTATACTTAAAAGCATCGTGTCAAAAATCAATTAATATTCCCGTAAGGAATGAACTGGTGGTCTGAAGTTTAGATTTGTGACAATAAACAATGAGTTTAATTTTAAATTATAAAAAATGTTAGAAATTAAATAGTTATGTAATATGATATAAATATGTATTAAGTATTTATTTATTTTTTTCCTAAAAATATTAAATTATATTATATTAATAACTAAATTTTACATCTAAAACAAAAATAAAGATAAAAAATACAAACACGTGGATACAAAATTGATAGTAGATTGAAAATTGAGTATTGGTACGAGACAGACAAAAAACTATAAGTTATCCTGGTTACATACACACATATTAATACAAATACAAATAAATCATGTAATATTTTTATATTTATTTACATGTGGAAGTTGAGGAATGAATATGAGCAAAAATCCAACTCTATTAGTCATTATAATGTGGCTGTTAGCTTAGCTTTGTACTATTTAGCTAATGTACAAAACAATTAGGTTTAAGGTCAAATTAAATAACTTCATTTACAACTTTGAATTATTAGGGAATTAATTATATGGGACATGGTCACTGTCAGGTCTTCTTCTATTATTCCACAATAAAGTTTTTAAATTATTATATATATATATCCTATTATATATTTATTTAATCACAGCTAATTCTAACAAAAAACACTCGTCCAATAGCTATAAATCACATCTTGAACTGCTCCCTAATTAATAGTTTAATTATTAAAGAAAATAAATAAAAATAAACAGCAAAGGATTCCATAATAGTACTGTATATAATTAAAGCAAACGATTCCATACATCTTTAATAGAGTTGGGAGTACAAATGCTAAAGCAAGAAAGATAAAAAAGGCAAAAAGAGAAAGTTAAATAAATTAAAATAAAGAATGAGAGCAAGAAAAATTACAAGGGTGTGCTTTTTTGCTATATATATTTTTTTTTCAAATTTTATTATTTGAACTATATATATATATATATTTTTTTTAAAAACTTAAATACAATACATATTTTTTTTTACAACATATCTTATCAAATTTTATTTTAATAAAAAAGGCATACTAATTTTTCTCCAACTTACCAAAAATATTATATTGTATTAAAATAATATTTAATGTGATATTATATTAGCATTTTTTCAGAAAAATACAAAATCTAAATAATAAAAACTAAGGTTGTGTTTGGTTGGAGTGTGTTGCAGAGACTTTCATTTTCATCATTTTTTTTATTTTTACTTTTTTCATGTCAAATGTGCATAATTTTAAATAAACGCAAGTAGTTAATCAATTTAAAACTCTTTTATTATTTTTTAATAAATAAATATTTATTTATATTTAAAATTTTCTATTATTTTTTAAAATTAATTTGTATTAATTATAAATTAATATATTTTTATTTATATTATATAAAAATTTATTCTCTAAAAATAATATACATATTTCATATCCTTTATTAAAATATATTTTTTTAAAAAAATAATTAATTATATGATATCATTCAAATTTATTTTAAAAATATTAACATCAATACTTATATAAAAATTATAATATTATAACTTATTATTCCGCTAAATTCTCTTATATTACTAATCAAACTATGTTTATTGAAATGGACTAGGGAGAGCATTTTTTTTTTTCTAAATTATACATAAAAAAAAAAATTATATTCAAAATATAATATTAATATTAATATATTGTCACCTTTCCATTTAAAAATAACTTTTTACCATTAAAACAATTATTCAATTTCGAAATTTACAATCCAAAATCGTGACCAAACAAAACCCAAAGTACTTTTGGGGAAGAAACACACCAAAAGATTCCCCAAACCCCATGTATGTCTACATCTCTCTCTCTCTCCTTTTCTTACATCTGATGAAAATTAAGCTCTCAGGAAGAAAACCCTATGGCTATGGCCACATAAAAAAATACAAGTGAAGCTGAAAGACAAAGGCAACCTCAAAAGTAATTAAATTTATGACAAAAAACAGAGTGAGAGAGATCTGAGGCACTGATACTCTCTACATCAATTAAGGCCAATATATATCTAGAGATCGAGAGAGAGAGAGAGAGAGAGAGAGAGAATTAATGAGATATGAAGAAAGGTGGCGGGAAGGCGGAGATGGCGTCGGCGGCGCAACAGCAACAGCAGCAGCAGCAGCAGATAATCAGCGGCAGATGTTGGCCGCCGTCGTCGTCGAGGAAGAGGGCTTCGTACTCCTCTTTCTTCCATAATAATTACGATTATGATCATGATCGAGTCGACACCCACCACCTGTAAATTATATTAATTCTCTCTCTCTCTTTATATATATATATATATATATATATGTTGATGCAGTCGTAGGAATTTGATTTAATTTGGTTTAATTTAGTTAATTAATTTGGTGTGCAGAGAAGAAGGGTTTGTGGATGAAGAAGCAGCTTCACCCTCTTCCTCTATTACTGTTGTTACTAACAACAGCACTGCTCTTGCTCAAGAATATAATTATGATTATGATTACGATTATAATTATAATAAATATTTGTCCCCTAAATTATTACATCATCATCATCATCATCATCATCATCCTCATCAAAATCCCTCTTCGCAGACTCAAACTGATGATCACACTCAGGTAAGCAATATTATATGTTATGTTGTATTCATACACTTAGCTAGGGTTTCTCAATCATCTCAGACATAATTGATTAATTAATTAATTCAAGATTTTTCAATACAATTACTGGTTACATTTGGTTTTTTTAATCTCAAACATTTTCAACTTTTTTTTTTTTCCATAATCATGATCAAGTGCAATAGCAGCACGGCCAAGAAAGCAAGAATTGAGCCATCTGGGCAGTCCAGTTTCAAGGTATTATTTTTTTCTCATCAATGAATGAATGTTCATTATTATTATTATTATTAGACTTCTCCAAAAATTAAATTAGGCTACTTTTCAGTTTTTGGAATTGAGCCCTTGTCTTTCTTGATTGTCGTGTTTCCATGCTTGCCTTATTCCTTTTTGCCACCATTCATGATCGATCTCATCTCATATATTATTCTCGTCCACACACAAAAAAATATAATAATAATAATAGCCAATGAGGAAATTTATAACATGATCAAATTTGATTGGAAATCAATTATATTTAAATCAATTCCACAGGTGAGGAAAGAAAAGTTGGGTGACAGAATTACAGCCCTTCATCAAATAGTTTCACCCTTTGGAAAGGTAAATCACTTATATCCCAATTATATATACATTATGAGCACAAAGAACTACATATTAACTACTTATTTTTATAAAGCAAGGGAAATTCGTGTTTTATTTTATTTGGTTTCTCTATCTTTATATACTTTCTAAAAAATGGTTTATTTTCATTTGCTCATCTACATTTTCAATTTTACTTCATTTTCTTAAAATTTAGTTCTCATTGATAATCAAAGTGTCATGTGTCTTCAAAATTCAATCCTTTTTTTTTTTTTTTTTTTTTCTTTTTTTCCCTCTTGAATTGCTCATGTAGTTAGTTTGCAAAGCGTCTTGATTCAACTCAAAATCAAATTTAATGAAAATCGAAAACTTATACGTTCGAATCGCAATGAATTTTCAATCGGGATTAATATATATGGACAAGCTTAACAATTTTCCTATAAAGAGAATACCATTCTTGATTCTATATATACAAAAGGTGAATTAAATTAGGGTGTTTTTCACTTTCTCTCGCACATTACAAATTCATCAAATCAAGAAATTCGAATAACCAAATATATATATATATATATATGAATTACTACATTCGATTGATTATGATGATCCTTTTCAAGATCAAGAATTTATTTTTTTATGAAAGCCACACATACGCACAGTTCCCATTAGGGTTTTTTTTTTTTTTTTTTCATTAGGGTTTTTGGGTTGAGAAAATTCTCTGGACATGGAAAAGACAGTACAATGAGAAAGCATGTGTTCGATCAATTTCCTTTTCACAGTTAAATCAAATATTGAGGTTTTTCAATTAAGAAAAAGGTATTTATATTCTCTTGCAGACTGACACAGCTTCTGTCCTGTTAGAAGCTATTGGATACATTAGATTCCTTCAGAGCCAAATTGAGGTCATCACTTTTCTCTATCACCTCTCATAATCACATATTTCTTTTGTTGGTAATTAATCTCCACTCATTTTTATTCCGTAATTTTTGATAATTGGATTTTGTTTATGTAAATTTTCGAATTTTAAATTTTGGGCTTACCAAAATTCAAATGGCATAACTATTATGTGTAGTTTTAATACCAAAAAAACTTATATGATCAATACGATTGTGAATGTAGAAAATTATATTATAAAAATGATAAGTGAATATATGAAAAAACAAATTATAATTTTGCTCTTGTAAATCGACAATGTATCATTTTAGTCTTCTATTTAAATATATAGTTTAAACAAAGTCTTCGCGTGTAGGTGTGTATGTGGTTATAAATGTATCAATAATTTGATTTTATTATTGAGTAATGAGATATATATATTTTTTTGTTACTGTATAGAATATTTTAAAAATTATGTTCAATGTTATTTTTAAGGGCTTCATTAATTGTTTCTGTACAACACTAATTCTTTCTTCATCCATCATCATCTTTATCTTCATGTTCTCTTCCACTCGATACATCTGCAGGCCCTAAGTCGACCATACATGGGGAATAAATCATCAGCATCGACAACACAGCACGATCACCCTGTAAGAAAACCTACACACGTGCGCGCGCGCACACACACATATATATATAGCCAAGTTACTAATATTTTAGGATACATGAATATTAGGACACTATCGACTCAATACATAGGATGCACCCTTATCATCTTTCTCTCCGAACAAATTTACTTACAATGATAATTTTGTTTACAATACACTTGTGATTTATACATATTTTAAAAACTAGTGTACAAAATTTCTCGTACTACAATTCTCAAACAACAATCCATTAAATTTAGATGTTTGAATTATTTTATGTAATACACATGAAAAAAAAAAAAAAAAAAAAAGTAAATATTTAGCTTTAGAGTACATCATAATTAATTGAACTATTGGAAAACAACTTATTCGAAAGTGTAAGAATATTTTAAACTATGTGGATGATGGAAAGGGAGCATGTGCAGGTGAACTTTATTTCTAAATTATTCGATAGAAATCTTCTTTGCCCATTAAATATATACAAATTAATATTCTCTTGCTTTAATTTTCTGCAAATTATTAATATAAACTGTATAAAGAGCAACTTTGTGATTCCTTACAACCTAATTCAGTGCAAGAAATCAACATGGAATTAATTCTGCTTCATTTATGCTTTAGTGATCGATAAATTAAATTAATCACCTGTCCAATGATCTTTCCTAATTTAATTTGATCATCATCAGGATGAACTCGTCGAAGAACAGAAGAAGGATCTTAGGAGTCGAGGGCTGTGCCTTGTCCCGATATCTTGGACAGTCGATGTTGGGAGTCATGACATCAATGGAGCTGATTACTGGGCTCCGGCATTCTGCGCAAACTTTCGATGATGACGGCGCAATGATATTATTGTTCGCGAGGATGTCGAAAATGTTAAGACATCTTGAGCTTGCAGATTGAACTGCTTCTATGATATTCATATATGATTCATTTTGATTCTTGATGTTTTAGCTATGATGGAGATGAAGATGATATTTAATTTGTCTAAAATATTAATAATGGTTTATCTGAATCATACTACTATCTCCGTCCCATAAGAAAGGACATTTTTTTGCGTCGTTATTATATTTAACATTAAAAATATTCATATAATTCTACAAATGTGATTATATTTGTATTATAAGAGGTATTTTTGTCATTTTTTCTTTGATTTGTACTATGTATTGATATAATCATTAATATTGAGTATCATTTTTTACTTTTTTTTTTAACCATTTTTTCTTATTTTTTACTTTTGCTATATAAAAGATAAAATTTACAAAACATATTAAAATTTGTACCCAAACTAATTGAACTTATTTTTACATGAGGGATAAAGTAGATAACTTAATTGAAAAAAAATTGCAAAACTCCAAAAAACGAATGAAAAATAGGGTTGAATTAGAATTCCTGGCCACTGCATTTAATTTAGAAATGAAAGTAGTTTGGACTTAGAAGAAGGGGTGCAGAATTAGAGTGCAAATAGATAAATGTTATTATTGGGCCATATCATACATACTGGTTTGCGTACTTAAATAGTATTTTTAATTGATGGACTCTTTAATTGTCACATTAATTACTTTTATATTATAATAATAATAATAATAATGGCAATTATTGGATAAAAAGATAATAATAAATTTGATATAGATGATCTGTTCGGGGCCCCATAATCAACGGTGTCGATTCTCGCAGCTATCAGGTCGTTGCTATTCATCAATTTATTTACTCTTATCATTTTATTTATTTTTTATTAAATATTAATTAACTATCATACTATTTCATGACATGTAAAAATACAAAGATACCCATAATAGAGATATGATTCAATGTAATTTAATTTTTATATATTGTATGATTAGTATTCAACTATATCCATAATAGAGATATATTAAAATATTATTTAAGCCAAAACTCTACTAAAAACTCCAAACTCAATCAAAAACCAAACAAACGTTTGTTTTATTATGTCATATAATTATTTTAGTTACAAAATTTAATTTTTTAAAACCAATAAAAATAAAAGATCAAAAGCAAACGCAAACGCAGACAGAAAGGAAGTGCTGCAGATGCAGACAGTCGTGCATCACGTGGAGATGTTTCCTTTTCAGTAATAATTCATCAAAATAAATTAAACGAACAAGTCCAAGGCATATATATATATATATATATATATGCATGCATAGAATTTCATTTTTTTTTTTTTTTTTATAATACAAATCTCCTAAATTTTATTTTTTGCAAATTTTGTCTTTAAATAATATATATATTTTTTCTTTCATAAACTATTATCTAATACAGAATTAAAATCGATATAATTTTTAAAAAATATCATATTAAATATTTATTTTTTATAAAATATTTAATTTTTGTATTATTTCAAAATTTTGCAAAACTGAACATTCCTAAAACATTTGTTTTAAGAAAAAAGAAAGAAAAACAATTATTGAGCGTATATTAATTCTGCGTGACAAATTAAGAGTAGGTATAAATAATTGGAGAGTGAGTGAGAATGTAATAAATGCGTATTATCCTTTCAACAATGCATTGGTTACAGTGACCGGCAGCTTCATCTAATATTTACACTGCACTATTTGGTCAACTCATTTTCGTATCTAATTTTATTTATACAACACACTTTCACTTATTTGACATTATTTATTTTTTAAAAAATATTACATCAAATATATTTTTTTTTTGATAAAACATCAAATCAAATACTAATTTTTTATTTTTTTCAAACTTTCCAAAACCCCCTATCTAAACAAACATTTGTACATATAATTTATTTTTTAATTTTTTTTAAAAAATAATTAGGTTGATGATATGCTGATGTTTATAAGCATTCAGTACATAGCTGAATTTATTTTTAACCTTCAATTCTATATCTAATAATTTTTAATTAAATTAATAAGATCTAAATCAAGGGATGTAATTCAATCCGATCCTCCTTGAAATAATTATATATTCCCCCGTCCACAAAACTGTTTTATTTTCCGTACAATAATTATTCATAAGCTATGTTATTTTTTAAGTTTGAGTTTCATTTTTTACTATTCCACCACATAATTTTCTATATAAATATATTTTTTAATTAATATCTAATTTACTATTATTAATTATATATAGTTAATGATATTTTAGGCAAAATTAATTATCTTATAAAATAATATATGTAATATAATCTTATTTTACAAAGTAAACACACGCTAGGTGTATATTGGTTAAGTTGTCGAATCAAGCGCAATAGAAAAAAATATTTGTTCTCTTTGTTTTTTTTTTTTTATATTATATTTTTTTAAGTGAAATTGTTGAATATGATTATGAATATAGTTTACATTTCTTAGGAAAAAACATAAGTAATATATATAATAAAAATTACTAGAACACACTTATACTATCTTTAATTACTTTGATTTTAATTTTTTTTTTTACTATACAATATTCATAATTTTTATTTTCTTTCTCTTATAAAATACGACATCTAACCTACTATTTAAGTTAAAATAAAGAATACAATAAAAAATTATGAAGTAAACACATCCTAAGTCAATAATCATATATATATACACACACATTAAGATAAGGCTTTCATGAGTCATGGGTGATGCATGCAAGTACATTGAATTTGTCATCAATATTAGTGTTTTATTTCTATATAATTTTAAAAATATAATAATATATAAATAAAGTTCAATGAAAATATATAAAATATTGTTTCTATAATAATATTAGTACGATTTGTCATACACTAAAAAAAAAAAAGGAAGAAGATAAAACTATAATTACTAAATAAACACACTTACTATTTATTTATTGAACAATCAATTTTTCAATGCTGCCACTTACAATAATAATAATAATAATAAAATTATTGGATATTACTGATTGATTACTTGAGGATTCATTTGATTATTTGTATATATAGAATAAAATTATTTAATTTAGTAATAGAAGTCTCTTTCCATCAGAAGGGCAAACCACTTCTTCCTGTCTGTATATATATCAGCAACCTCAATCACATTCAGATGATCCATCCACCTACCGTGATTTTATAAAATAATAATATTATTATTATATGATTAATTTAAATTGATTGTAAATAATTTAATGTAGACATTTTATAAAACTTGTATGTTTTCACTTCAAAATGCTACGTAATAAACATGTCATATAATGAAGCCAAATACTATCATGTATATTAATACTAGTATTAAGGATGTAATTTAATATACTCCTCATTTCATCTTAAAAGTATTTTCTTTTTTATTATTTTTGTATGTCTCGTTCAAAAATATATTTATTATTATAATAAAAATAATTATATATTAATACTAAAATAATTGTTTTTACATAAATTATAAATAAAATACTATAAAAAACAAAAATATCAAAATCATATTATATATTTCTATTAACTAATAAAACATTATTATTTTCTAATTTACTACAAAAATCCAAAATGGTACATTTGAGTGAGATAAAAGAAGTGTTAATTAATAAGATGTTTACATTTGTATATATAATTGTTGAATTATATACTTTTTCCTTTTCAATTCAAAATACTATTTTTATTATTTTTATCAATCTCATTCAAAAGTATTTAGAATTATCCTTTAATGTTTAATAAATTATAAATATATCATTATGCATATAATTAATTTATATATAAATCATAAATAACAAAAATTTTAAATTTATTTTACATACTTTCACTAACTAATAAATATTATAATATTTTAATATACTAAAAAATTCTATGAGGTTGTTAAGTTGAATAACCTCATAATTTATTTTTGGCATATTGACAATTTTTTTTTTTTTTTTTTTTTTGCTGCTGTAATCGTTAGATTCCAATTGACTCAGCTGGGGAGACCCAACTGTGTAGTCTTTTCAAGTTGCATTTTATTGTTTTTCCTATGAATGATGGTTTCTTAAGACAAAATAGTCACTTTGACTTTGTCCTTTTGTAGTAAAAAGTGATTAGCTACACATAATTCCTTATTTGTATCAAGGAAATTAATTGCATGTCTGAAACATGCTTACTGTGGTTGCCTTACACAGCTCGAGATGGTGGGAAGGTTGGGGTGGTGGTTTTGAGAGAGTGTGTAGTGAGAGGAATATTGTATCAATCCTCTCAACATCTTCCCTTTCTATCTCTATGCATTGAGTGGGTAATATACACTACTATCTCGTCGGAAAATTCGTCGGTCGAAGGGGAATTGGAGTTCCGATCAGGAGAACATTCAGAATTTGAGCTACTCAGCTATGTGTTAGTTGTTAGTACGCATATGTGACAATATATGCCTGTGGAGGGAATTTCCTAGGTAATCAGTTTGTAGTTTGGGTTGAAGGAATTTTGGTATTTTGTTCTTAATCAGCACTAATTAATGAACCTCTTCTGAATTGGTATCCCCGAAAGTAGGATTGTTTATATCCGAACCGGGTAAATAAATAACTTGTCATTTATTGTTTTGGTCTCTGCATTTATTTCATTGACAAGTCACCGTTAACTGTGATATAACTACGCTTCGGGAGTTGACCCTTGAATAGGTGCTCGAAAAAAATATTTGTGCATCACTTATTCTCTCCCAACAAAGGTGAATATATATTATAGATGAATTATTTCATACTGAACAATGTGTTTCTTTTGCACGAAACCCCCAATTTTTACTATATGAATTATGCATTTAAAAAAATATATATACATTTTTTATCTCACAAAATATTCAATTAAATATTATTTTAATGACAAATTTAAATCAAATTTATTCAAACCAAAACAAAAGAAACATACTTAATGTTTTACTTCTTACGTAAAGTTTCTTTTTTTTTTTTTTTTTTTTTTTTTTTTCATGTAGGAATTCTTGAACCCAACAACGTTTTGAAGACACAATATATAAAGTTTCCTGTCGAACATAACACATAATAACATGCAAACTATATTAGTGGAATAAAACACTAAGAAGTGATATAGTAAAATGCTAGATTAAAGGGGTATTGTGAGGTATGTTGAACACGATCTAACGGTTATAAGTTCATCTGCCACACTAATTCAATCGACATTTAGACTGCAAAATTATTTTCTTGAATTAGTGATAGTGATCGAGACAGTGACTTTGAGTTTAATTAAAGGGAAAGAAAAGAAGACGTGTCGCTCCTGCGTGTTTCATTAATTATCTGAATAAATTTATGTCATTCATAATAAGGCTATGTGTATCAAAATCATTTAGTTTATTATTAAATTTCAATAATAATATGACAATATATGTCATTAGGTCTAGAATAATAATAATTATTATTATTATTTTTTTACATAATTTTTAAAGCTGACGTTAGTAATTTTTTATTAGGGAGAAACCCCAATGTAGGTGACCTTACATGTTTAGAAAAATAATTTATTATGGCCTGAAATTTTATTTACTCAGAGGTCTGATAAAAGAAGCAATATTTTTAATTTGACACAAGAATTTAAGTTGGTGATGTGATAAAAGATGATAATATATATTCATATTTTCATTTAAGTAGTGTCATAGAATAAAATATACTATTTTGTTCGACTTTAAGGATCTTATTTACTTTTTGGACGTCGATCTTTAAATATTAATTATTATATTAAAATATAATACTATAAATTAAGAAGAAAATACAAAAATACTTCTATTAATGTCTTATAATACTAATAAAAAGAAATTTCTATAAAAAAATTATACAAATATAATGATTATTTAATGTTAAGTATAATGACGCAAAAGTAAATGTGACCATTGGAAGCGGACGAACGAAGTATTAATTATTTCTTAAATATTGTAGCAATGTAAGATATACTAAAATAGAAAATATTGTAGAAGGGAGTATTATTTAAAAAAATGCTAAAACTTTTATAATTTTATTTAAACAAACATCTTTTTTACTATTCTATATATAATTTACAAAATATATTAAAAAAATAAAATAAATTAAAAATATTTAAATTATACCATTAATATTTGGTAATTTTTAAGAGTGTGTTTGTTTTGTGAGATAATTCAAAGAATTATTTTTTGATGTGAAAGTATAGAAATTGTGTAGGAAATATGAAATAATAAATATATGTAATATATTAATTTTTTTGAAAAATATGTGTATTTTTTTTTTTTTTTTTTGTTAAAAGAACACACGCCGGTGTTTGCTCAACTTGATTTAATATACAATACTTTGCTTATTTTTATCTTTAACCTATGGTTTGTTGTGATTTGAAATAATATAAATATTATGAGTTAACATACAATACTTTGCTTATTAACTGAGCTTTACTTCTTCTGTGTCTTCCTTCTTGTTTACCGTTGATAGAAGATTTTAAGAGTAATATAATTAATATATAATTAAAAAATATATTAGTAAAAATAATTATAAATTAAAATTAAAATAACTAATTAAATTAATTAAAATAAAAATTTGTGAAGTAAAAATTTTAAAAATATAATTAAAATATGCAATCCTTTTTCAAGAAAAAAATGAAAAATGATTAAAGTATGCAATCTTAAAATTGAAGGTCAACCATGTGTCTTGACTTAAATAAAAAAACATATAAGCTCATAAAAAATGGTTTGTGGTGTGAGAATGAATTTTGTGACCGTAAAATTATGAGTTCAATACGTTTAGTTTTTTCAGATCTAATTTGTAGATTATAATTAAATTTGATAAAAAAAAAAAATTACTCAAAACACATCGAAAAAATAGCGCTTATAGATTTTGATATTATAAAAATAATAAAAACATATAAGGTCGAAGAACAAAAAGTAAATAAAGTTAATACAAGTCATTTCCTAATCGATCCACTCTCTATTGATCTAACTCAACTCGGGACTTCTCACATTTTATTTTAAAATTCTAACACTTGGATTTATTTGAGGAGGTTTCTAGTAGTATAGGATAAATCATATATATATATATATATATATATATGAGTAATTGATGAGACAGCCATTACGTTACGTCCCCACATTCGCTGCATTGAATGCAAATATATATACAAACAATAGATCTATTGCAATCCCTCACTCCACAAAATATAATACTCAACGAGCGAGGTTTTTGGGATTTTATACTAAATTAAAAAATTATAGTATTTTATTAGTTAGTGAAAATGTGTAAAAAAAATTTGAATTTTTACTATTTAATTTTATGTATAAAATAATTGTATATGTAACCGTATATTTGTAATTTAAATAAAAATTATGAATATTTTGGTAGAAATATATGATTATTTTTTTAAAATAAAAAATAGATATTTTAAAGTTGATTATACCAAAATAATAAAAAGAAAGGAGTAATAATAATAATAATACAAAAATATAGAGAGTGATCATACAGGGTGGTGATTAAATTCATCGTCATATATTTCTATTAAGCAGACTATCAAACTTAATAAAGTTTAATTATAACAAAAGTGTTTAGAAACTCCTCCCTCCATCCCACATAATTTTCTTTTATGGAATATAATTATACATTTTAATCACATTTTAAATTTTATCATTTTTTAAATTTTAATTACATTATTTAATTATCTTAATCTTAATTTATAATTATTTTTACTAATACATTTTTTAATTACTTACTAATTATATTTTACCTAAATTTCCCTGTCTACAATCGTACATCCATATTATATAGGACGGAGGGAGTACAATGTTTCTTTTTCTTTTCTTTTAATGTATTTTCATTCATTAAAATATCTAAATACATCATCAATTTAATGTTTTGGAATTTTTTGAATTTTTTATTATTAATTATTAAAAATTGTGAAAATATCATATGAAATTGTAATATTAAAAAATAGTAGTATATTTTTAATAATAAAAAATGAGAGTAATTTTTTTTTTTTTTTGTTTAATGGAATATATTGTTGCAGACGTTAAAAAGACCAAATCCTTGACAATAAATAATACTTTTGAAAAATGAATTTATTTAATAATAATAATAATTTTCAAAAATATTAAAAATATAAAAGGAATCATGTAATTTAAGGGACTAGGGATGGATTAGCTCTCCCCATCTCTATTCTATAAAAGGTAGACAATGGAAGCAAAGAAAGAATCAAATACTTAATTACAACTAACTGGGTAATCACTTATAACTATCTTCATCGAATTCGCTGAGTTCGCATTTATATATTAATTAATCAATTAGGTTGGACGAGATGGGGTTGACGGGAAAGTTGATCGCGGCAATAGAGTTCAAGCATGGAGGGGACGTGTTCCACGACCTCTTCAAGCAAAGGCCACACGAGATCGCAAACGCCAGCCCCCTCGTCCATGGCTTTGAATTGCACCAAGGCGAGCTTGGCAAGGCTGGATCCGTCGTTTCATGGCACTACACTCATGGTATCGTCTATATATATATATATGTATGTATATCTTAATTTTATCATCGATTTTATCTTGTCATTAGTTAGACTTTGTTTTGTATATACATTTAGAAAGCTTTCTTACAATTTATTAATAGTGATTATTACAATAATAATAATAATACTTCTGTTTCGGAAGAAGAATAATATTTGTTTTTTCCACATAGATATTTTAATATTAATATTATATTGGTTTATAGTAAAAAAAAAAAAAAGACAAAAGTGCTCCTATTCAATTGTGCGGTATAAAAGTAATGACATTTGTATAATATATTAAAGTTGTAAGGGTGTTTTGAGACGAAAAAAAAAATAGTATACTTCTTATGAAACGAATGAAGTAATAATACATATATATATATATATTTCATAACATATCATATCAAATACTTATTATCGTTAACTTAAAAAACTTCTATCTATAGACAAAGCCTTGGTTTTATTAGTTCGAATATTTGTTGTTTTTTCAACCTTATAAGCTCATATATACAATCCCCATACCAAAACACCACAAACTACTACATCTTACAAATTTAAAATATAATTAACTCAAATGACATAACAAAAATAATACTCCTACTACTTGAACATATTATATATATATATATATATGTATGTCAGTAATTTAAGTATATCTTGATAGCAACTATTATTATTATTATTATTATTATTATTATAAAATGCTCATGGTGAGATCTTCAAACCCTAAATAAGTTCGACAAAATTATTTGAGTTCATTTATTAATTCGAGTTCTGAAATTTTAGGGGGATGCCTTCCTTCCTACGATATTCCTACAATTATTGCAAGCCTTTACTTGTGAGATTTCGGTTTTAATTTATTATTTCAATTTTTTCTCTAAAAAAAGTATCAAATCAAACTCTTATTTTTTATTTATTATATTAAATTGAAATTTAATTTTACATTCAAAATATCACATCAATGTACATTTAAAAATATCATAACTAATATTTTATTATAAAATACATACAATATAATTTATGTATATAATTGAACCAAACCCTAGTATCATTTAATCATAATGAACACCAATTAAACTCGAACTACAATTCAATAACTTACAATCACATATAATCATTATAATATAATATCATCATATTTTCTATATTAAACATGCTCTAAGGGTTTGCTAATTAGTCCATTAAAATATTATAGCCTTAATGACATAATAAATTTTCCCAAGAACCATAAGTGTTATAATTATTACTCTCTCCATCTCACAAAAAGTGTAACTTTTTCTATTTCAGTATGTTCTACATAATTTGTTTTTTTTTTTTTTTAAAAAAATATGATTATACACTTTAATTATATTTTAAATTTGATAATTTATAATTTTATTAATTTTAATTAAAATATTTAGTTATTTTAATCTATAATTATTTTTACTAACGCATTTCTTAACTACTTACTAAATATAATTTACTTCAATTATCGTATCTACAGTAACGTGGACATTTTTTTACTGGGATGGAAAGAGTATTATTATTATTATTATTATTATTTGTGATATTATTGATTGGATATGTAGATGGAAAGAGAAAAATTGCGAAACAGATCATTCAAAAAATCGACGAGGAAACCAAGTCAATGGAGTTCAAGATGATCGAGGGAGACCTAATGGAGGACTTCAAGGATTTTTTAATTGTATTCCACATCGAGACCAAGAACAACATCGACTTGGTCACATGGACACTAGACTATGAGATGCTTCATGAAGACGTGGTGCACCCGACCACACTCCTCGCCTACTTCATCGAGGTCACTAAGGACATCGAGGCTCACCATGACAACAAGCCATGAGTATGTTTGATGGGTTGATGTCGGTATCGATGTTTTATTTATCATCGATGGTTGATGTAATAATTAATTTGTGAGAACTATGTACTTGTTGTATTTGGTGTTGTAATAAGTCGGAGAGTACTTAGCAGCTTCGCTGTCTTTGTCTCCCTCAATGATGTGTTATGATGTTTCTGCATATGTTTCTTTAATTTTCTTGTGTGAAGTTTGTTCATGCATTGCTTTCAATGTCTTGTAAATATATAGATTAATTTTTATATGGATGTATATATATAGTGTGGGTTGCTTTAAAGAGAAGTAAATGTTCATTACATTAAGATCATTGGATTAACAATCAAATCACTAAAAATTAAAATGGATAAAAATAGGCATATTCGGATAAGTCAGCATGATACTGATTTGACCAAATCAACATATATTGTATAATTAATTAGCATATATTTATACATATCTCAGTATATTTATAGTATAAAATATGTTATATTATAATTCAATATATGGTGATTTTTCATATTAGAATTTATAGATGAACACTTGAAGGGAACTACAGTGATAAAGGTAGATACAGAAACAAATCTCTGAATTTTGCTTAGCCAATAATAAATGATATTTTAATATGATCAATGACCAAGATTTTCAATAAAAGTATAATATTTTTTCTCATAAAATGCTATATTAAAATACTATTTAAATTAAAATTTTAAATTAAAAAAACTCAAAAAATTCAAACTCAAACTCAAACGAAACATACTCAATATTTATTTTGTTTGAATGATATTTCAGCACCTTATCCAACCATTGTCCAATGTACATTTAACGTATGTTTGGATGTGCCGTTAAAAGTTACATTTAAGGTTGAGAATAAAATTTGAATCAGAATAGATGTTTAATACTATAACATAAAAACATATTTGATCCATTATTGAATTAAAAATACTTTTAATATAATATAAAAATAAATAAATATTGAAAAATGAAACTAAAACAGAAATCGTAAAACTCCAAAAGAATTTTTATATAATATTATTGTCACATAAAATTTCTATCAATAAAAGCAGTCGATTTTGAATCAAATATCTTCGACCCATGACCAATAAAGTTCCAATCCAAGACCAATCGATGCATGTATGGTTCGACGATATGCAAGCCTAAAAATGCAATCAAATTGATGATCCATTAAGTGGACTATCATTATGGAGACTGATTGGCCATTAATTCATTATTCATCCTCCTTAATTACATGTGTGAATCTTAACGGATCAATCATTGGAATTTTAAATAAGCATTATGAAATAATAATGAGGAAGAAACGTGGGTTTAGTAGATCCTACTCCTGTGCTGCGGGACTGGACCAATAAAACACTGCCACGTGGCAGTACACAGAAAGTAAATTAATGAATGGAATACATTTTGAGATCAAAGACGAAGCATAATTACTTGGAGTGATAGATAGATAGATCCAATCCATCCAAGAATTACACAACTAATTTTCACTAATTTGATTCTATTTATTTTTTAAAAAAATATCAAGTCAAATATATTTTTTATCTCATAAAATATCAAATTAAATACTAATTTTTTATTTTTTCAAAAAACTTTCAAAACTCTAAATTCCACTATCCTTACCTTTTTATTTTATTTTATTTATAATCTTTTTCCTTATTTATGTCATTTATTGGATGTTGTATTTTTTTGGCCTAACATTGAGAAATGGCATCAAGTGGCTCACAAGACAATCATTGATCCTCTCAATTGAGACTTTTGGATCGGAATCAAATTTCGGGCCAACAAATATATTTTGGGATGATATATATTTTATTTTAAATTCAGCATTTATTATATGTAGAAGCTTCTGGTAGTATAGAATTAATTTATATTATTGGATGCACTTAAAATAATGCTCTGATATGATCCCATCAATATATATATATAACATAAACAATAAATATTTTTTATATAACATAGTATAATATTATATTATATAGAAATATATGGTCCCATTTATATATATATATATATATTATACTCATTCCGTTCTAAACAAAGTGCAACATTTGTTTTTTGCATGAATTTTTAGGTGGATAGTAGGTGATGTGATGTGATATGATGAAGAAAAAAATATATATTTTATTTTATTATTTGAATGATGTGAGAGGATAAAATGTGGAGCATAGATTAAGTATAATTAATTATTTTCTATTTTGGAAATATTGCGGCGTGTTTGGGCCATACAAAAAATAAATATTGCAGGGTGTTTGAGACGGAGGGAGTACTATATTGCATAACATGTTATCAATAATATATTACGTGTTAGGTAGAATTATTTTACATAAAAATATATTGTATTATATTTCCTCCGTCCCATAACAAAGTTTTTATTTTTTCATTTTAATATGTCTCATAACAAAGTATCTAGTTCTCTTTTTTAGTAACTGTACTATCTGCCTAACATTACAAATACCCTTACAACTTACACTATATTATACAAATGTCTTTACATTTATATCACACGTACTAATAAGATTATTTTAATTTTTATTTCTATTATATCCCAATGTAATACTAATATTTTTAAAACTACTATACGTGCAAAAAAAAAAAAACAAATAGATATTTAAGTATATATATATATATATGCATTTTAATTTTGATCTGATCAACATCCTAATGGAAACTCATATTAGACTATATATATATATATATATATATGCGTGTGTATGATTGAGGAGACAGCCATTAATTACGTTATATCCCCACCTAACCCCTTCACTCCAATGAATGCAAATAAATTAATACGCAGATCAGATCCATGGCTATCTCTCACCAGGCAAAATATCAAAATAAAAACACCAATAATAACCATAATAATTGCGCTGATATATATACATATATATATTTAAAAAAATAAAAATAAAATAGAGAGTGATTAGGACGTGGTGATGAATCTGCGACTGAACAAATTCATCATTCACATATTTGGCGATCAAATTTAATAAAGCATTAGGTTGTGCTTAGTTGTGACTAATTTTTGTTGTAAATATATACAATTTGAATGTCATATTTTAAATAGTAAAAAAATAGTAATATTATTATTATTATTATTTAAAAACATTAATAAGAAATGGGATCATGTGATCATACTTGATTAGGGGTAGATCAAACCCCTCATTTCTATTCTATAAAAGGAAGACAATGGAACAAGTAAAGAAACAAATAGTAACAAGTACTTGATCACTCTACAACTATCTTCTTCTTCTTCTTCTTCTTTACTTTCTTCGTCCTCGAGATTCACACACACATATATATATATATATATAGAGAGAGAGAGAGAGAGAGAGCGAGATGGGGTTGACGGGGAAGCTGATCGCGGCAATAGAGTTCAAGCACGGAGGGGACGTGTTCCACGGAATTTTCACACAAACACCACATGAAATCGCAGACGCGAGTGTTCATGTTCATGGCTTTGAATTGCACGAAGGCGAGCTCGGGAAGGTTGGATCTGTCATTTCTTGGCACTACACTCATGGTATGTATGATTCCTATTATTTTATTTTATTTTATTTTGTCATTCTTGATCGATCTACATATGTAAATCTTAATTTTGTTTGTTGGAATAGTTGTTGTTTTCAACCTTATTCTGTCATATTCAAAAATATATATTTTTTATTATAGTAAAAATGATATATATATAATATCAAAATATTTTTAATTTTTATTAAAAAATTATTTTGTTTGTACTTATAAGGAAATACGATGGCTTTAATTTTTGTTGTTATTTTAAAATTATCATTTTCAAAACGCTATTGTTTATACTGTTTTCATTACTCATTTTTTGGTGATTTCTTTCTCCTTTAATTTAGAGTGAGTGTATATATTTTGCCGAAAATTAATTTACAGTGAGGAAAGTCTCTCTAAATCTCGAATTATGATTGAGTTTATTTTATTACATTATATTTATTGAGATATCTTATTGGAGGGTTTTTTTAGATAATATCTGTGTTTTAAAATAAGAAAATGATAATATATCAATTATTGATTCACTGAGTGGTTTAGTCAAGATAATTTATAAAATTTCCATAAAATATTAGATACTGCATTCACTATAAAATATAAATACCAATTATATATATATATGAATGTTTTACTCTTTTTATTATTTTTAATATTTCAAGATTTTGATAAGGGATAGAATCTCTACCATTAGGTGGGCTGTAGTTGAAAATCTCCTACTCAATATTTTAAAATAACTCGATTTTATATTATTTTAAAACTTATATTAGAATGTGTAAGATCGTCGAATTTATTAATAAGTGAGTTATTAAAGATTAGATTTACAATTATATAATAATCTCATCATCATATTTTATATATTAAGCATGCTCAAGTTGACGAATCTCAGCCTCAAGTTCAACTCAGCCCCTCCTACCCTATTAATTAAATTCTGACAAGTACTATACTATTTATTTTTCATTTAATTATTTTTTTAATATATATATTCTGAGCTTTCATCATTGCAGTTGATTATAAAAAAAATAAAAATATTTTAATTTATTTAATCATCCTTAAATAATTAGAGATTACGATTAAGTTTGCACATTTTGATTTTATTTTTCATCTCAGCGTATGATCGATGGGCCTTTTTTTAAAAAAGAAAAAATGTGATATGCAGATGGAAAGAGGCAAGTGGCGAAACAGATAATTCAAAAAATCGATGAAGAGAACAAGGCGATGGAGTTCAAGATGATAGGCGGAGATCTAATGGAACACTTCAAGAACTTTCTTATTACATTCCACATCGAGACCAAGAACAACATCGACTTGGTCACATGGACACTCGACTACGAGATGCTTCATGAAGATGTGGTGCACCCGACCACGTTCCTCGCCTACTTCATCGACGTCACTAAGGACATCGAGGCTCACCATGACAAGAAAGCATGAGTACATTTGATGGGGTTGATGTTGTGATCATGAATGTTTTATGCATCTTCAAAGGTTAATGATGTGATAATTAATTTGTGATGTTGTTGTTGTATTTGGTGTTGTAATAAGTCAGAGAGTACTTAGCAGCTTTGCTGTCTCTGTCTCTCCCAATGTTGTGTTGTTAATGTTTCTGCATATGTTTCTTTAATTTTCTCATGTGAAGTTTGTTTGAACTACTTGCTACTATATATATTGCCTTGTAAATACACTAATAATGAGAATGGTTACTTTCTCTGCTTCATATAAAAGTTGACTTCTTTATATACTTTTACTATACCACACAATTAAACAATATAATACTATATTTATTAAAATTCCTATCTATTTTATATGAACATATTTTTGAAAATAGTATATATAAAATTTTTTAATAAAAAATTTATAGTGTTCTTTTTGCCAATATAATACACATTTTTTTAAAAAAAATAATATATTAGTATATATATTTATTATTTTTATATTAATTACACAATTTTTTATACTTTATATAAAAAATATATATATCCCTTAGAACAATCTTACAAAACAAGCACACGGTCGTTCTAACTTAAAACAATGGAGTTTCTCTAACTTCGATGAGCTTACATAGACTAAAATAACAACTTGAGATCAAATCAACTACAATATTATATTGATTACCCTAAGGGATTAATTATCAAAGTAATTCATGGTATCAATCGATTATGTCAATTTTGTATTATTACCTTATTGGTCTAATTTGCGTTGTTATGCTCAGCCGTAGATTTATTCCGTAAACACTCAAAATGAGCATTGATTTCCAAAGAAGAATCAGGAATTTATAACAAAACACAAATAATTTTTTAGGCGAAGAGAGAATGCTAGTGTATGAATACATGGTCAACAAAAGTTTAGATTTTTTCCTTTTTGGCAAGTTACAATGTTTGAAATTTCGCCTGTTTATCGAAGAATCTATCTCTTAGTAAATACGTACGTCGAATGAAGAAAAGGTTCGATCGGTACAGATCCAACGAAGAGGGAGCTGCTGAAATGGACGAGCTGGATGAACATCATCGAAGGAATCGCTCAAGGACTGGTGTATCTTCACAAACATTCGAGGCTAAGGGTGATCCACACGACATCAAAGCAAGCAACATTTTTAGGACATTTTCGAAGGATTCTTGAAGTAGTATTTATGCAGAGGAATGAAGCGCTCGAGCTTCCGGACCCAAAACAGCTTGGATTTTTCGTTTCGCGACGAACCGATGGTGTCATAGAGTTGGAAGAGTGGATGAAGAAGAACAGCAGGGATCAAATATCTAGTTCAGTGTTAGAAGGAAGGTAAGAATGTAAGTAACCTTGGATTATGTATGGTCTGTTGGACTTCACGTTGTAAGATCCCTCGCCTTGGTACAAGGTTTTTGCCATAGTCATTAGTTGTAAGTTATCACTGTCATTAGCAAAGATCATGCCATAATCACAACTACGTTACATTGCTGATTTGAAAAAATCAGCACCATCACTATGTTGATTCTCTAACACAACATCGTTCAAATCTTCAAAAATTACCGTTCAAAAGTTCAAATAGCACCACTCAACCGTTCAAATAGCATGTACTATATTTAAAATGTATACTCTCTGGACTCTTGAATTGATATTATTAGGAAAACTAACATCAAATAATAGAGCATAATATGTACTGCATAGATCACCTGTCGTACTTCAACATATTTCTATAAAGCACTAGATATATTCATAAACCCTAAACCCTTCTCTGACGAACCAATTTAAAAATTAAATAAATAGTACTGCACTAAAGATTAATGATAGTACTGAACCAATTTCAATCAGTGCTTTTTGAAAAAGTCAACACCGTACTAATTTTTTCAAATCAGCACAATAACGAAACGGTATAATCATGAACCTGTTAGAAGGCGGATGGATTGCTACATGTTTCCCCTAAGATTAATTCATCATTTCTCAATAAAATTAATTGTTTTTGTTCACGATTAATTCTTCGAATCCTCAATAAAAACTCATTGTATTCGCTACACGCTACACTCTATCACCAAACTTGTGGAAACCATAGAATCTGCAAAAGCACAATAAAGAGCCAATAACTGAGTGCTCGTCAAAATCTATATTGCACGCAATGACCATGTTCAGAAGAAGTTAATACACAAAAACATAAACAGGCTGCTTCGCAGGGCAGACGCTAAATATTGTTTTTCACATGGGATAGTAATGCAGAGGAAATAACTCAGTGGGCCAGATTTATTACCACGACATTGGAGAACTGATCCGAATTATGTTCTTCTAAGCTTCTACTGTTTGGACACAATTTTTCGGTGCTCGGTGCTCTGTAATTCAATAAACACAACATAGTTTAATGTATCGATGGAGAGGTCTGTTGGGGAATCGTCAATGGGAAAAGAGCAGTTAAGATGAAATTACTTTGAATCTCCATATTCAAGCATTTTCTATGGCACTATGATTTGTACAATTATCCTACTCCAGTTCCTTCAGAAAATCAACATTATCGACAAAAACCTGCAAGACAAGAAAGATAATTGTAAGCACCTGATGTTTAGCTTTTAGACATGTGCAGTATATAGAGTTAATTGTTGGCAACAATTGCTTATAGGCTATAGCTCATTTGTTGTTTGAAAAATCCGCACCATTCCCTCTAATGGTTTAAAATTTGCGCAAACATTCATCGTTTTTCAAAAATATTGCACAGAACCAAAAAATGTCTAAGCAAAATAGTTGGTGGAGGCCGTCTGGGGGACTTTGTGCATTGTATTTTAAAACACGAGCAAAAGTTGCCCAATTTCTAAATTATGATGGAAATGAAGAGACTTTCCAGACCACACGTGAGCTATAAGCATTTATGCCATATTTGTATATATCATGTGGCAACTAATGTTGTTTCCCAAGAATGTGTGAGGTTCAAATTATGGAAGCGAAATGCAAGATAATAAGCACAGCCAAACATTTGAAAATTCAATTCATAATTTTTATCATGTAATACTGTAATGAGTACACAGAAAGATTCTTCGATTCTAACATGAACAATCATAATAAAATTCAATAAAATTTCAACCATTACCTCCTATCTCAATATGAACTCAAATTCATTCATCTAGATATTCAATTATACCCAAACCCAAAGTTTAATATCACTCCTACAAATAATACTTGCGCAAAAAGGATAAACATAATTAGAATTAAATCATACTCCCTCCATTCAAATCGATGCTAATATTTCTCTTGTGGATTGTCATCAAAAATCATTTCCTTTTTTTTTTTAGCAAAAAAGTAGATTACTTTTATTATACTTTTACTATAAAAGACAAAAATAACAATTATTAACCACTTTTATTAAAACTTGTGCCCAAATATTCGACCCAAATATTCGAGTGCACAATTGGATGACGGATGAAATACTCATTATTCTTGTGTATAGAATACAAATACTAACACAACTACGATGGGTGTGTTCACTTTGTTTTTCTTCCCTATTTTTTACTATTAATCTAATATCTTCCCTCCAAAAACATTCCATCCAAATACCTAAGATACTATTATCAATTTACATCATATCAAAGGTATCCAAATTATGATTTAAAACTATAGGCAGCCTTCTTGTAGGTCTCTTTACTTTCACTTAAAAATATTCATATTCAGAATCGAATCCTTGGAGAGGCATATGTCAATTGCTAATGCAAAGCAGTACTTAGCACAATGAATCTATAAAACTTGCACTCTAAATCTCCAATGCAACCAAACTAAGGATGTGAAATTAAAAAATCATACACAGAGGAAAACTTAGAAAGCAAAGGCAGTACCGTCTTCCAACCATCGGGATCTAGGCATGCAGTGATCTTGGTGCTAATACCAGGAAGGGGACCAGGCTCTCTCGTGATCTTCCCACCAGATAGCTTAATAGCTTCAGCAGTTCTATAAACATCATCCGTCCCGATTGCAATCTGAAATAAGTAGTCAGGAAGCAGGTAATAAAGATCCAATGATGGATTGGGGAATTGATACTAAACTTAGCAGAACATCTACAACCCTAGGCAACAGGGAAAATGGGACCTGAGCATAAGCATTTCCCTTGTCGTATTCTGTAACACCATAGTTGTATGTTAACTCCATTACAGCATTTTGATCTTCAGGACCATAACCCATCATTGCTATGGTGTACTACATAGATGCATGAAAAGACTAAATTTGTCATGGCATGGTAATAAAATTATGAATGGATAAAAAATTTTACTATAACTAAATTATGCAAAGTTTAGCGGACAACTAAAAATGAAAACTGATGTAATTTTGGTGGACGGATGGAGTAGTAAATACACCAATTAATAGCTGCCATTCAACAATTTTTGGCGTATGACATCAAGTTTTAAAAGGAAATATTAGCAGAAACAAGAGTTAAAGAACAGATTAGCGAATCGAGTGGTAAATTTTGCATCGATGAAGATAAGTACACGCACACTTACCTTATAATCTGGATTGTCTCGCTTCCGAAGAAGCTCCATTCCATATGCCTATAAAGTAACATCTAAATCAATATTTGCAATGTAAATTGCAGACTATTTAAGTCCCAATGAAAATCTAACATGCCAATATCATCATAAACACAAATGAGAAGCCCACTCTACGAATACGGTGAAATGAAATATATAAAGGGTGTGTTTGTTTGAGGGATTTGTTTGGATTTCTCCTATTCATCCTATTTTTTCTCCCCAAAAACATCAAATCAAACACTTATTTTTCATTTTTTATATTATACTAAAAATCAATTTTACTTTCAAAACATCACATCAACACTTATTTATATCACATCATACAACTATTCAAATTCAAAATTTTTACTATTCAAATCCCAACTCAAAATCCAAACTCTCAAACAAACACACCCAAAGAAAAAAGATAGGGAATAGTGCACGTCATTAAACCATGCTCACCTTCTTATAGAATTCAATAGAGCGATCAAGATCTCCTACTCGAAGCATCACTTGGCATAATGGCTCAGGAGTAGGGCCTCTCTCAAGAAGTTCAAACTTATAACCATCCGGATCTTCAATGAAGGCAATCACAGTTTTGCCACCTTTGACAGGTCCGGGTTCTCTAGTAACTTTACCACCTTTAGCCTTAATCAGATCTACAACCTTTGTGACCTGTCAGTTCCAATATCAATATGCAGGCAGTTCCAAGTCTCCAACTAAGCTTATATTTGGCAAGATCATCTGCCGTAATCTCATATTTATTGTTTAATACGTGTATCATAATAAGTGGAACGATATAACTAAGTTTCCAAATTTTAAATTGGGAAAACTTTAACAAGAATTCAAACAAATGAAACAGAAATATGTTACAAATGGCAGTTCTGGAGACTCGAAATCAACAAATCCTCAGATTTTTGCTTCGTGGGTATATAAATAGAGAGGAGACGTACATCATCCACTGCAATTCCGAAATGACCAAAACCGGATCCAATATCATATTTGTCAACCCCATAATCTGTCAACACAATAGACAAAACAGTTATCAATGAATAGTCCTGTTTCCATCAAGATGTTATAAATAATACTTGATCATGCAGCTTCAATTGAAGTTAATATGCGAAAAATGGCGATTACTTACTGTAGGTAAGTTCAATAACAAAGTGAGAATCTTCAGGACCGTATCCCAGAAAGGCATTTGTATATCTTTCCTCAGGAATATCACGCTTCCTAAGCAGTTTCATCCCCAGACACTCTGTGTAAAATCTGCAGACACCATTTGATCATGCTAAAGGAATCATCTTATTGTGCAAAGAAAGCCCTACTATGTAAAATAAAATAAAAAATAAAAAAAAAGTACTTTATTGTCCTGTCCAAGTCTCCAACACGATAAACAACATGAAGCATCCTCCTCTTGTCTTTCTTAACCCACTCCAATGCATTTTCCTGAGTAGTTGCAGTGCTAGCATGTGCTTCCCTTCCTGCAGCACTAACTGATATGCAGCAACTCTTTCTTCCCGATAATTTAGAAGCTCTGAGCCCAAAAGACTGCAACTGCGGCACGGCTGGGTAAAACCAGACACCAAATAAAAACATGTTTAGAAAGGCACCCAGTTCAAAATCTCATTCATACATTATAAGCTCGTCTTCGTGATTACAGTAACTTTAATAAGCCAAACAGGCATGTAAAGAATAAATGTTACGGTGCAGCACAAAATCAGATGAAAGAATGAAAATGGAAAATATATATATATTTATTTATGGCTTGTATGAGTGCCCATGTCCACTTACTATATTATCTATGAGTTTTTTACAGCCCATCATTGATAGTTAACTATCGTTGTGTTTGTTTGGAATTTTTATGATTTTTAATATTTATCAAATTTTTTACTTACAAAACATCAAATCTAACACCACTTTTTCATTTTTCACATTATACTAAAAATCAATATTAAATTTAAAATATTACATCAATATTCAATATCCGTTTATACTGAAAACTTAAAACATAACTGATAATCAATTTACAGTACTTTCTTCATCGTATACATATTAGTGTTACCCACCTCATTGCACCAAAGCACAAGTGATAAATTAATAAACTAACAATAACCGAATCATCTTATTCATAAGAATTATTTCTTAAATTAAGGAGTCGGCGTATATTATGTCACCTAGTTATATCTTATCACATAAGGTGGATTGACCAGCTAGATGAAAGGATCATGATGAAACAGGCCAAATTGAAACAGCATTAAATAACCATAGCCTTTACTTGACAACTCCTCTTAAAAAAATTAAACACTAATCAAATAATAGGACTTCCAAAACATCAAAAAAAGCACAAATGCACTCCTTAATTTCTATTGAATTTTCACTCATGCAGTTTATTAACTTTAACAAAATTCATAAGAGTCTAATGCAGTTTACGAATTATCATTATCCTTTGTTTTTTTGAGATTTCATTAAGTCTTGCATACAAGCTTTTCAAATAAAAATCAAGCTAACTTTCTTAGGAATCTAATCACTGTTGAAAGCAACTCATGTAAAGCATTTCCAAGGGAATTAATTCCTCAAACTTCCTGGGCATATGAAAGGAAAGATTTCACCATAACTGATGATTAACTCTTTTCTACACAAAAATTCAATTCGCTACACAACACTACCAAAATTTTAACATTCACCAAAATAATGCATAAATTTGATTCAGAAATCAACCTCACTCGAAAAACAAAACAAGAATAATAAGAAGAAAAACTAAAAAACTAATAACAAAATCCAAAGCTATTCACTGATAAAACTAACAAGAAGCAACCTAATTCACTCTCTCTACTGACATCCCACAAAAATGCTAGTATCCATTCGAAATTATCTTCTCATAAAAATATCCATCTCGACCGACAATCAAAAACACAAAAACGGACAAATTTGAATCACCCGAAAAAAAAAAAGAAAAAAAAATGAAAAAAGAAAGCCATACCAGTCGCAGAATGAAATAGAGAGAGCCTGCGACAAAGATTGGCAGAGGATAAAGAAACGCCGAGGCGAGCGGTTCCGGCGAACCCCAAAGACGAAAGCGAGGGTTTAATCGATGACGCCATTGGGATTATTCTCACCATCTCTACCAGGTCCACCCTTTTATCTACAGAGCGAGAGAGAGACAGACGCCCAAAACTAGGAAACAAGAGGGAAAGGAAAGGCAAGAAGATAAAAGAGAAGAGGTGTCGTGGCGAGCGAGGGGCGTGGCGTGCAGAGCTCGGGAGCGTATTTTGTTTGTTTGTACGTTGGGTTGTGTTTTCTCGTATATTCGAATGACTTCATACAACAGCTGTACGAAGAAGTGGAGTCCGGCTCCGGGCCTAAACTTCTGAATGTTTTAGGAGTTTGTATCACACAGTGTCTGTTCATTAAATTAATTAGCATCAAAATTATTAATATTTAATAGTATAATTGAATAAAATTATGGATAAAATATATTTGGGTTCTTTCTTTATTCACATATATCTCAATTTTAGTCTTTAGTATTATTAATATGATAAATTTTGATCTTTTATCTATTAATATAGTTTAATTTGAGTTTTTTTATTAATATTTCCTTTAAAATATTAATAGACTTTACCCAAATATATTATTCTCATTTTAATTGAAATTAATTTATATTATTTGTATCTAAATTTTTTCATCTAATTTTAAATCCACACAAACTTAAACATCCAATTCACTCATCAAATTTTTTGTATTATGCCTAATCAAATGCCCATATATGATCTAAATTTGTTTAGATAGTGTTAGAAAATTGATTTGAAATAAAATATTAATATAAATCTAATATTTTGTGCGAAAAATAATACAGTATATTTTTTATTAAAAATATATTGAATGAATAATTGTGATTTCACAACACAAATTAAAATAACAATTAAAATATTATAATGCTCCCTTCGTTTGAAAAATATTGTTTTTTTATTATATTGAAAATAAATAAATATTAATGTATATATGAGTCAATAAATCGAGGTCAACAGTCAAAATAAAAGTAGACGCCATCTACTTATGTTTACAAAACTGTTCACTATTTATCAATCAAAACTATACTCTAAAAGAAATCTAATCTAAAATTTCATTTTTCATTTAATACTACTATAATACATCAAAAACTTGTTTCCATTAAAATAAAAAATAAAATATTCATTCATATCATAACATATCAACAACAGTATGGTATCTTTCCAAAATTTCACTATTCCCAAACCAATTCAAAATTGCAAAACACTTCCAAACTGTAACTAAATGCAACATACACAGCACCTGTAAAAAGCATCCACAAAATGTACACATAATTGAATGACATTTTCCCCAACCATAAATAAATAAATGCATACATACACAAACCAGCCTACGAATTTCCTATCAAGCTGATGCATAACACTTGCAATGATTTATGAAGATATTTAATCACAGGCAGAAAGAAACCAAACATATCACTTGCATATCTACTGCCTATTTACAAAATCAAGAACTGACCTTTGTAAGAATTTCCGGGATCTCGACTATGTTGCAGACAATTGAGCTTCTTAATCTCCAAGTTTTTCGGCATATTTTGATTGTGCATTCTACCAGTCTTCGAGCCATTCTGGTGTGTTTAGATCATCTAATTCTCGATGGGGCGAAGCTAGGACATCCTCGGGACGGCTATCAAGGTAAAGGTTTATGCGCGAAAGAATATCATTAGGAGCAGGTTGTTTGCGTTCTTCCAGTTCTTTCCAGTTGATGCCATTGAACCAGGGGTGGGATTTGATCGAGTCGATGCCTTGGCTACCAAGTCTTGAACTTTCGTCTACCTCGAGTAACTGATTGATGTAATAATCTGTTAGATTTCAGATGGTTAAATCATTGAAAGAAAAATTGGTTGGTGGTTGAACCTTGGTGATGAGATCAACGGCTTCGATGCTGAAATGTTGGGGGAGAGTAAGCTGTCCTTTGACGATTCTTGCAAAGGTGAGCTCGCTTTCTCGCCAAGATCCAAATGGCATTTCACCATGTAGCATGAAATAAATCAGAGCTCCCAAAGCCCACCTGCGAAAACCAAATAGTTGAAGCATGATCGCCTACATATCACTTTAATCAGACAGATCAAAGGTGAGATATAATCATCGAGCAACATTTTCAACTTGAAAACTCTAATTGCATACCATTCAACAGGGAAACCATAACCTTTTCCTTGGATGATTTCGGGAGCCAATGAATCCGCCATACCACAGATGGTGTACGTTCTTTCAGAATAATCCCGGCTTAATTGCTTCCCAAATCTGAAGTCCACGAGCTACAGTGAATAATGAAAACTATCATCACTTGAATATTCAAGCCGCAGGAGAAGGAGCCATTTGAATTGAATATTTAAAAATGATCAAGAAACAATACTATCGACTTACTTGTATATATCCTGCCTGATCAAATACTAGAACATCAGGGGACACGCCTCGATATAGAATGCCACTCTAAAGTTAATAGTGCAAAAAGAGAAAACAACATTAACCTCAGGAATATGGTATTGGAAAAAAGGGAAATGCATTTGACAGAAATTTACGGACCTTATGCAAGCCTTCTAATGCAATAACAACAGAGGCAGCACAGAACTGTGCCGAGGTTTCATCCAGTGGGCTCAGAATAATTGATGTCATGGGGCAAGCTATACATGTGTCCAGTAGTAAGCCTGCATATGTTCTATCAGCAGTAGTTGATATAACTCGAGGAACAAAAGCCGATTGGTTTGCAGACATTAGTAAGCTCCTCTCCTTCAGTACTGATGCTTCTTTTCCAAGTTTTTTCACCTTCTGCTTTGAAAACCTTTTCAAACTGAACAACTTTTCTGCAGATCACCGAAAAAATTGGAAATGATTATTGGAAAAACCTTAAATCACATTGTCTTAGTGCAATTTATTAATCTGTAACTATCTTCAAGCTATATTAATATAAATCAAGCATATGGTAAAACAAACAAAAAGGGGAAACACTTTATGGTTGCCAAGGATATTAAACATACGGGTAACTTGAAATTGTTAATTTGCACAAAGTACAGCAAAAAACCAACCTGATTCCATGATGCATACAAGACCAATCTCACTGCAGTCAGTGGAATACAAGCATGCTCTCCACTCCTTGAAAGATAAGGTAGAGGTGTTATACTCACCATAAAAACAACACGATGAACAAATTTTAAGAAAATTATATTAGTCTCATACCATATCCGAGAGCTGAATCTTCTGGACAGTTGAGGAATCCAAATGTTTTGCAGGTTCTACGGATAAACTGGTTGAAAAGTGCTTTGACCTACAGAAATTTAAACATATGATGGAGCTTAGTTATGGATCTTTAAATTATATATTATATATGTATAATTTGTATGTTTAACCGTAGATAAACTAAAAGGTTGAAGAGAAAAGCTGAAATAAAGGCCATACTTATGATCATCCTGTGAAAGTTTTGCGAGAGGGCCAACAACTGAATCAAGCTTCTCCTTGGTTAAGATAGAGCAGACCACATCACCCACAGCAATGGCACTTAAAGAAGCAATGCTTTCACCACGAAGTGTCCACTCTCCGAAATAGCTCCCCTCAGTCTTTTCTACTGTAAAGCTCTTACCAGATATTGCATCATCCTGTTCCTCAACAGCAGGCATCAGGCTGGAAGAATTGACACCTTTAACAGAATCCACATCACAAGTAATTCTTACGACACCCTTTTGTATAACATATAAACCCAGAAGCTCCTGGTTCTGCAGAGACAAAACAAGGAAATAAGATAAAATGCAACTCAAAAGTTAATTCAGAGTTGGAAGCAGCATATACCTTATCAACTATTTTCTGTCCATCATAGAAAGATACTTGGGAAAGTGAATCTGCAATATGACTCAGCTGTAAGATTGTCAATCTGGAAAGAAGATCTACTGATCGAAGTAACTTCAGTGAGGATAAATTAGAGAACTCGGACATAAGTATTCCTCTAAAATCTTCTCTTTTCAGAGCCCATAATGTTCCATCGGTCACAGCTCTGACCGAAGCTTGGAGTGGCTTATTGTACCTACAGTTTAACTGCTTAGAAATGGAAAATGAAGGCGAGATCTATAAAAACAACATAACCTGCATCAAAGGAAAGAAAGAATAGCCAGAATAATAATAATAATAATAATAATCAAAATACACTGAAAACATTAAATAATAACACTCATGGAGGAAAACAACATGGAATTCATTAAACTATCATATACATTATAGTCCCGGAGGCCCTCATCACTTATTACAAAAAAAAAAATTGGTGCCACTTTGCACGTGGACTCATCTAGCTCTCCATCTTTGAGATATGAGAAGGTTAGGTACCAATTCAACAATTGAAGCGTGTTGCAATAAAAGTACAAAATTAATTGGATAGTTATGGACACCAAGGGGGTGTTCTTTTGGAGTTTAGTTGTAAACTCCGGTTTTGGTTTTTTTTATTTGAATAGTGGTTGAATATGATGTTCTGTGAGAGAAGACGGTGAAATAGTATATTTTTTAGGAAAATGTGATAAAATGTATAGTAAAAAGCCTGAAACCAAACTCCAAAAGAACACACCAAGAGTTTTTTTCAACCATATAACAGTCCAATAATATTAAGGTGCAATCATCGCATATCTTCAATAAGGCTATGTTTACTTTCAAGGATATTATAAAATCATTGAAAGTAACCATACCTCAAATAAATTACAACCTACTAGAAACACACAATTATATATGTTTACACCTTCAAAAGATTTGATCCTCGCAGATCCTATTACATCAATATCATTCAATTATTTACACATAATTAGATTATAAAAAGGAAATCTAAAAGGATATATATCAAAACAACAAAAACCAAGGCATGTCGCCCTATGATAATGATACACATTTTCAATGAGTCTTATTCCCACGAAATACATTGGTACTAATACGTTTTCAGATCATAAAGTCGAGATAGGCATACTAATGTAATATAACAACAATAGTTAACATAGTCATTACTGAGCCATCTCTTCATCTCTTGTTGAAGCAAGAAGAGACTCTACGCATTTTGCGATATATTATTTTCGAAAGAAGTCCTTCATTTTCCTAGCAAATGCTTCAATGTGTAATTATAACAAGATAATGAATGTTGTATGCTATGACTGCTCACACCAAATAGTTATAGCTCAGAAAAGGAAATTTTACATAAATAGCAAAATACAGTTAAGGAAACGGGCAGAATAGAAAAGTTGAAATAAAATAAAAAAAGAAAGAAGATCAACTTTCTGTTATAACTATAACGAACAATTGTGTTTGATTCAATTTGGGGTGGAAAAAGAAAAGGTGTATATCTTACATCAGTGCCAGCTCCCCAAAGGAGGACAACTTTTCGGCATTATATCGCTGTAATACCCGTGGCACTTCTCCATTCTTCTCTTCCTGGTACAGAAGTTCGAAGTGAGACACATTATAGCACATATATTAAAAATTATAAATAGTAAGAAGTATCTTTAGTTTGACTTGTATCTTCTGCTAATTAAGGCATCATTATATCAGAAGAATCCCAGATATAGAATCACCTGAGTAGCCAAGACCTCAAACTCCCCACTGCCAACGACATAGAAACAGTCACCTTCCCCACCCTGGAAAATGCATAACAATGAAATTTTAATACCGACACTGCACTCATATATATTTGATATCCTTTTACAACCTACGTATGCTATACTCATTAATAAAGAAAGTAGATATCGCTTTAATTGATTGCACTTCATTTATGACTTTCATGACCTTCACTCCACCCTTAATCCAGTTCAAACCTTTAGTAAGTATAGTTACATGTTGCATTAAATAGGTTGTCGGTAGTTGCTAAAGAGGGAGAATCTGAAAATACATCCAGTTTAATGCGACATGGAATTACTAGACTTTCAGGTAGGATATGGAAAGTTTGGTGTTTAAGAAACAGGGAATATTACTGATGATTTATAGATAGTCACTTAGCATCCCACAACAACAAAAAGAAACACCCAGAACCGTTATTCTGAGTGTTGATGATCAATGGAAAAACGACCTGCTGCACCACTATGTCGCCCGCTTGAACCTCAACTCTTTGCATGCAATCCAACAGAACATGACATTGAGAGTCAGTGAGCTTTCTGAAGAGAAAATGATCACGCAACGCCTGTTCAATTTGAGCCTGCAATAGTTCCATTATAAATCAACTGAGACTGAGGGATGTGTACAGATGAATTCACAGAATACGCAAGCCAATGACAAGAAAAATGGTTTACTTCTTCTTCCCAGGTCTTTCGATGGGCTGGAGATGAAGGAACCCAAGTTTGCCCAGTCTCAAGAGAATTTTCAAGTGCCCGTAGACGTGCCCGGGATATACTAGCCCGATGATTTCTTGATCTCCAGTTTGCAATTGAAGGAGACTCAGATCCTGATACTTCAATCACTTGAGGATATGGAGGTCTTAACATTACATCAGAATTTGTTGACTGTCCTGATGAAGCCTACAGTTATTGATGAAATAACCAATTTAACATCTGGAAGTAATAATTGAAAAGAATGAAAGTAAATAAGTTAATGCTTACATCATTTAACCCATTTATGTGCACAACTATCACAGTTATGTCATCAGTACGAGTTTCATATTGCAGCCAAAGACGGTATGATTCAGCAACAATTGCGGCGCATGCATCACGAGGATCTTTATATCTTGCAACCTGAAGAATCAATGGTAGGAAAGGATATTTAATATTGCAAACTAGAGAAAAGAATGATAATAATAGTAAAAAATAGTAGAGTGAAAGCTTGTTCAAGAAAATCAAAGCAGTTCACAATAAAATATTTCTTCAAAAGACGAGGGTAAAATAGTTTGTTTTAAGCACTTTAATTGGCAGGTTAGTAGAGTCTACCAGCTTCAGTTTTACCATCCCACAAATCCTCATAACGGTCTATACAAATGACCATAACTTCAATCTGTGTTTCCACTGGTCTAGCTGCATGACTAAATTTAGCAAGTCAAACATTGTCGCGAAAACAAAAGATCATAGTTATTGAACATATTATTTTCCTTTATATCCTACATGTTGCAGTGAAAATTCTAAAAATTTATTCTTTTTTAACTTACAAGAAATCGACATCTTTGCATAAGATCCTAGAACTAAACTATTACAGCACCCTCCCAAGTGAAGTGGACCATGAGAACTTGCAAGTTGTCAGCTAGCACAAGAAAATGGACATAGCCATAAATAGGAGTTTGAAAACCAGTAAGGCATCGGGCACCTCTGTTTATTTCCAAAATTAATGTTCTATAATGCATACACCCTACACTTCCATTCTTTAAAATAAATCGATAGCCTGTCAAGACAATTGGACAAGGCCACACAGATTTTGTTGCCCAGATGATATATTTCAAAACCACTTTATGATCATTCCCTTTCCACCACCGAATATATGATATTTGAATATCTGAAAATCATTGATGCTCCCCAAAATATAGCAGGACAACCTGTGGGAGCATTAACCCAAATTTCTTAGTTTAAACAATTCCATCCATGTTCAAACATATATCAGGTGTAATGAACAAGTTTACTCCCCTTTTTTTTTTTCCTTTTACGGTGAATTTAATACTATAGAACATACATAGATCTTTAGTCAAGAAGCACGGTTAAATAAACACAGAAGATATATAATGAGTGGAAGATTGAAATATAAGCATGGAGAAAAAGGCAGTTTACCATATCTACCACAGTCTGGCTTGAAAGAAACTCAAAAACACCATCACTCGCAATCACAAAGAAAGGATGGTTCTGTGTGAGCTCCACAACAACAATCTCTGGGTTCGCCACAACCCCTATACTCTCAGCAATAGAATCACCAATACTTCTTGTGAATGCTGTTCCGGGATACATGCCATTTTGCACCCACAGTCTAGGAGGATCGCCATCGTCACCTTCTTCAGTTCCCCAGCACTGCACATCTGGATTCTTGAGTCCTTCAATCTGATCCAGTGTGAGAACCCTAGCTCCACAAAGCTTCACCCTCTCAAGTTCATCAGGACGAAAAGGCGTTTGATCAATTGACAGGTCAACAGCTACAATTTCACTCCCTCTTTTCTCTCCTATGACAGCCCTCGAGTCACCTGTGTTAGCAACATAGAGTGTCCTACCCCTGACCAGAACTGTGATTGCAGTCGTTCCACTCATACTGTCATCTATTGCATCGGCATGCAACTGCGAATTCGTTGTTAAGAAAGCAGCATGGGAAGCTTCGACTGCATCCACATGGAATCTACCATTCCTAAGCAAATTCTCACATAGCTTATGCTTCACAAATTGCGAGCACTGTGCCCCAAATTCGCCATGGCCATCAAACACTCCGAAGAAATGATCATCCGGACTCGATCCAAATGGAGTATGAATACAAAAGCTGTCTTGGTTGGCCTTGTCAAGTGCATCAGGGTAATAACCCCTCTGAGATAGAAACGAGCAGCGTAACTCATAACCCTCAGACGGAACTTTCACAGTCCTTGAGCCATCGGGAGGTAAAAACTGCGCCGATACCCTGGACAGTCTAGTAATACCCACTTCATGATCTGTTGTGGCACTTAACTGATACAACTGATTCTCATTTTTCTCCTCCTCATTCTCCGAACGAGCAGGCGAAAACACAGCAATCTCACTCGTATTCGTTTTGACATCACCTTTCGCCAGAACATCTCGGGGAGCACATAGCTCAATACAAGTTTTCGAATATATGCAGCCCATCACTGTTAACACAGAATCAAAACCAACCCTGATCCCCAAATTCCCAAAACACGGTGCATCAGGTTTCTCAACTACAGTGCTCTGTCACAAATCATCAACCAAAAGAACTGCAACAAAAACATTTCCATTAGCTCCTTTGCATTACCCCAATCGAAATTCAAATTAACTTCAAGAAGATTCAAACAAATTCACTCTATGCTGCTACTGACAAATTCATTGATTAACCACTGAACACAGAGAAACCCACAATCCAACTTTCGAGAAATCCCAACCCCTCTCGCTGAGATAAAATCAAATCAAAATGCATCCAACACACCCACAGAGTATTCTGATCTAATTTTCCCACACAAGCAAAAGCACTCGCACCAAAACAACCCAATTAAAAAAAATAAAAATAAAAAACCGCCCCGTACACAGTCAGAACCCATACTAAATACCACCAAAAAGACACGTAGTACTTCAAAAGCACATTCGATCAAATTCACGACAAAATTAAAAAACAAATGCGCACTGAAACAAGTCCGCCGAAAGAGAAGCATACTTTCCAAAATTGAGCAGTCAGGGATGGAGAAACGTGCGTCGGCACCTCACCTCAGCTACGGGATGAGAAGAAGAGAGTGTGGGTGTCGGGCTAAGAGACGTAGCAGTGCATGTGTGTAGTGTAGGAATGAAAGGCTGGGCAGGGGGACACTTCTTCTTCTCGTCTACACTCTGCTTTTTGTTGCCCACGCGCTGAATGGCCCACGCGCCGCCGCAGATTCAGTCGCTGGAGCGTTGGTTGGGGATAATGTCGGACCCACGCCAGTCGCTCAACACATGGACCGCACACACAGACAGACACACGAATTTACGTGCAGAATGGGAAATTTCGAGTCGGGTCTGGAAGAAATCTTCGGTGGTGAAGATGAGCAAGTCTTAATTGATTTCCAAAATTCACTGTGTAATCAGTACCGTACAGTGTGAATTGCAGAAGTGAACGTGAAAATGACCGTATAATAAAAATCGTTTTGTGAAAAAACAAAAATATAGCTTATATGTTTGGGTGTGAATGTATTAAATAACACTATTATTATAAATATGATTATTACTTTATTTTCTGATTACATAAATTGAATCATGTTAATTTTATTTATTTACTATGGGTGTGTTAGCAAAGCAAAGGTCAATGTGTTTTTTTAAAAAAATAATATATTATATATTATATATTTATTATGTTTATATTAGTTATATAATTTTTTTATCTCATATAAAAAAATATATAATAAAAATAAATTATTTCACAAAATAAACACTCCCTATTAATTTTTATTTGAAGTGTAATTATTGGGATGAATTTATTACTTTTAACTTATAATTAAAATATACACAGTTTAAAAACATTACAAAAATCGAACATATAGGTTCGTTTCTTTTGGTTTTTTCAAATTTTTACTTTTGTTTCCAATAAATATACATATATTTCTATATATAAAATATTGATTAATTTATTATATATATTTGTTTAGTATTTTAATATAATTTTTTTATTGAAACATAGAGAATTCTGTTATTAAAAATTTATATTTGAATATTAATTATTTTACAAAAGAATATAACATAGTATCTAAAAAATTTATAAATTTATTTGAACACAAACATTAATAAATAATAAAATATTTTAATATTAAAGTATAACAGCTAAAATGTAAAATAAAAATATTATGATAAATTTATTAGAAAATTTATAAAAATATGATAATATAGATAACGTGGGAATCCTTAGTCTTCGACCGAATTTAATATCTTTTAAATTATATCTGACAAGACAAATCACATTATTATTCTTATATATTCTTTAATTCATACATTTCAACATTATTATTTACAAACTTACGACAGTTATTTAAACATGTAATATATAAAAAATTTTCTCTCAAATCATCTATCACACATGGTTCGTCTGGTATGACTTTTCCGTCGGGTCTGGTTTGTAGAGTATTAGGTTTGGCCGGAAGTTTATCCAGTGAGCACTTTCGGATAACGGACGCGGGTTTCGATGTCATGAAAAAAAATAATAATAAAAAATTCTTATACTACCACATACTTTTATGTACCTAGTCAATGTCCATGAAAGACCTGAATTTGTGCATTGCACTTACTAATGAGGTTTTTAGACTTCTATTTTGGGGTAGGAAATGACTACCTCTTTGTGTTTTTTGTATTAAAAAAAAATAATATTCATACGATATGATTTTCTGCTAATTTTTCACTAGTTTTTGAAGGAATTAAGTACTAGGTACAATGAGCTTTTAAATTCGTGAAGAGGCATATAAAATGCAAAAAAAAAAAAAAAAAATTTAAAATATATTAATTGCACGGTATTTTTCATAATAGTAAGAGATGGTTCAATTCTCACACCATTAAATCATTTAAAGTGAGTATCAATTTTTATTTTGTTTTTAGACTTTATGAAAATTGAGTCAAATATTAATTTAAGCAAATTAAATGTGAATATGATGTTGGAGAGTGGAGTTGGAGTAAGACGATAATGGGCTGGACTTGAGTAGGACATAAGGGTATGTTTCTTTTTGGGGAAAGTTGGGGTTGGATTTGGTTTTTATTTGATTTTTTTAATGAGTTTAGATTTTGTTGTTTGTTTTGTGTTTGGGTTTGGGGAGTTTTGACTTGTATTGATTAGATGAATAATAAATAAAATAATATAAATATGTATTAAATTTAATTGATAAAATTTATATTGTATGATTTGATTATGAATTTATATTATACCATATTTCAATTTTTATTTATTTGTATTATAGAAAATTTTATTTTCTAACAAAATGACATATATTATATATATTATTTAATTATAATAAATATAGAATAAAATTTTAATTAAAAAAAAAACAGTAAAATGGGCGTCAAACCTCCTTGGAGAAACATACCCTAAGATACTATCGTAAAAAATAAAATAAAAAAAAATACTAAAAAGTCATAATCAAACCCGAATTTTGTCGGATCCAATTTTACCCAAATCCTACCCGATAAAAATCCAACAAATATTCTCTTTGTAATTTATTATTTTTTTAGAAAAAAAAAATACTATATTAAAATATGTGTTAAAAAGTAAATAGTCTATTTTTTATTATTGAAAAACTACTGAATATGTTTGTTTTGTGATATGATTTGAAGAGATGCTTTTTATATAAAATATAAAAAATTGTATAAATAATACAATATAATATAATGTATAAATTATGTATATAATATAAATATAATGAATATGTTTAATATAAAATATAAAAAATTGTATAAATAATACAATATAATATAATGTATAAATTATGCATATAATATAAATATAATAAATATGTTTAATATATTAATTATTTTTAAAAAATATGTATTATTTTTGACAAAACAAACAAACTCTATATATAATTAATTATTTAGATAACATGCACTGGATGTAGAGGGGGAAGCTTTTGACATGACAAAAAAGCACATGTATGTGATATATGGGAGATATACGTCCACACTATGCTCAATTCCCACCAAATAAATTTAAATAAAAATAATAATAATAATGAACAAAAATGGGATGATTGATAAACACAGGTATCTAGTTTTAATTAGCATAATTATTTCAATATTGCTGCAATTATCATGCTAATTCACTTTCATGTTAAAAAAAATACCTGATAGCTTAAATTTTAGGAAAAACGGTCATTTATATCATCTACAATACTATTTAGGTTTTAGGTCTCGAATTCAAATTATTGACTTGCAAGTTTTGAAAATATATAAATAAATAAATAAAATAGTAAAATTAAAACCAAATCATTATAAATAAACACACGCTAAGGTTCATAAATTGTTTCAAACAAATCTACAAAATTCCAATGAATTCAATTAATTAGGCATTGTTTACATAGAATATTTTTACTTATTTGATACTATTCATTTAAAAAAAAAAAAACAATCACATCATATATATTTTTTTCTAACAAAGCATCAAATCAAACACTAGTTTTTTACTTTTTTTTTCAAACTTTTGAAATTTCAAAAACCTCAAAATACATCTATCTAAACAAATACTAAGGATGTGTTTGTTTGTGGGTTTGGATTGATGTGATATAAATAGATAATGATGTGATATTTTAAGTGTAAAATAAATTTGTTGTATAGTATGAAAAAGAAAAAATAATTATTTGATTTGATATTTTAGAAAGAAAATAAAAATAGTAAAAAGTATGTATAAAATCCACATAAAACACAATATAAGACTTTTGACAAAATTTCAATAATTTTTATTTGAATTTGTGGTTCAGAGACATTCCTGCATTATAGAATTAAACCACTAGGGTCCAAATTAGCAAAGTTTAATGAAGAAATTTGTGTATGGGTTGGACAAAGTACTGGTAGGAAGGATCAAACAAATACACAAATCCAACAGCGAATAATTAAACGAAGAAAAAGGCCTCTGCCACGGCCACTGCCACTGCCAAGATTTGGCTGGAACTTCAATTTCTTCCTTCTCCAATTGTGGCTTACAAAGGATTAATCTTTTGCGCGCTCTCCTGCAGCTGGGTTCTACTTCTGCGTAAGTGCCTAATTCCCCTTGTGGAATCTTCGGATTGCTTTACTACCTGCTCAGTTTCGGAATTCGTATGCGTTTTTGCCCGATAGTGTGTGTACAATGTTTGCTGGGACTGTGTGAAATGATTATTGATAGGAAGAAGACGCAGCAGCTTGATCTTGCCTGCAACCTGTTCGTTAAAATGCTTGTATAGAGATCATTTTAAGTTCATTTTGCTTGCTTGGCAGCAACACTTGATAAAACCCTAATACTGTGACTGTTTTAGGTTTTCGCAGTCATCTTAGGAGTGAAGTGCTAATCTTTCAACTAATTCAGCTTAACTGCTTTTGCATTTAATTTGAATTATCTAGCTATTATTTGATTATATTCATTAAATTAATTAGATAGTTCTTATTTGATTATATCGGGTTTGGATTTATATACGGATTTCATCATTAGTGAAATGCAATTCTATATCATGATATTAGAACCATGTTTCTTCAGGTACACTAGACCGTAATGTATCAAAGGTCTTTTTTTTTCTTTTCTTTTTTTTACTTTAATAAAATTTATGTTTGGTCTTTTGATTGTTGGTCCTAATTCCATTCACTTCCGATTGCGTTCAAGAATTCAATTTCCGACTATATCTCATTCTTCCGGCTGCTTTGAGAATTCAGTTCCTGACTATAACTCGATTGATAGCAAGTTTTGTTTCCGATTCTAGTTCTAGTTCTATTGCGAGCGCTTCTAAATCTAGCTACTTGTGAGTGAGTTTTGTTCTCAACTCCTAACTCGGTTGAGAGCCAATTTTATTTCCAATTCTAATTCCGTTGAGACCAATCATGTATCCGAACTCTGAGCGTGTCATGTTTCCTATTTTAACTTAGTTGAGAGCGTTACTTCCGACTCTAACTTAGTAGATGGTTTTGGTAACATCCGGCTAGGTCAATCTTCACTCTCTCTTAGCAAACTCAAATTGTCAAGTCCATTCACGAGTTTCTTGAGCTGTATTTCTTTGGCTGAGGTGCTCTCTATTTTCTTGCAGATCCTTAATCAATACAGGGCGTGATTCGAATTGAACGCCGACAACAGTGTTTTAGACACCTCATTGTTGCAAAGTGATAGGCATGGTTTTGAGACACTACAAGCATTTCAATTAGATAGGATTATTTCTTGCATATATGTTTTTTAGTCGTTTTCCTATGTCATCGAGGGGTTCTTTAATGATAATGGGATGACTATCCATGGTTGGTATGCATTCGGTAACAGGATTCCATCAGCCTTTAGTAGATGATGAGATAAATGATCCGATTCTTTTCAGTGCCAAGTATGGATATATTTCAAAGGTCCCGTCTTGTGCATATGGGACCATCGGTATTCTTTTTAGGTATCATGACTGTTCTGGCTCTTATATGCTTGTTTCCTAGTTCATACATAAGCTACATGTCGATTCTGCCATATGAAAATGGTGGATTGGTATCCTCAAGCAGTGACATCGAAAGTTTTTCCCGTGACTCTAAATTGGTGACCTCTGATTCCATTAATACTCGTATCGATGATTCAAATATATCCTCTGGAAAACCAGAGACATTGGTTCTCCCTATCGAAACCAATTTCTCTTTGGAATACAGCAGCAACAAGCCAAGGTTCAAAGATGGCGGTGTATCTGCCAATCTCTCCGTGATGCTTCATGATACTTCATTCAGAAAGAACAGTGGAAAAGCTATGCCAATTATTCAAATGGCTTCGTTGCTGTTGGAAAATCGCGCTACGAAGAAATCAAAGGTATTGATTCGAAAGTTTCATATGTGAGAATTCATCCCTCTGGACTTACTTGTGCATTAGATCTTTAACTCATTATTTCGTTTTAGAGGGCTTCGAATCGTGATCGGGAGCTACAAGCTATGAAATTCCAAATAGAAAATGCTCCGATACAACGAAGTATATCTCGAATACATTCCTCAATTTTCAGGAACTATTCCATGTTCAAAAGGTACTCACAGGTGCTTCTATTTCCCTATCATATCATTTTTCACATGTTCTTACCATTGATTGATTGATTTGTCGAAACCTTGTTTGCTCGGTGCAGGAGCTATGAACTGATGGAAACTAAACTTAAAGTTTATGTCTACAGAGAAGGTGAAAAACCGATTTTCCACACTCCATACACAAGAGGAATATACGCCTCCGAAGGATGGTTCTTGAAACTTATAGAGAGAAACAAACAATTTGTGGTGAAGGACCCGAAGAAGGCTCATCTGTTTTACTTACCATTTAGCTCGGTAAAGCTAAGAAATGCGATTAATGATTCGGGTTTCGCCTCTCAAAGGGATTTAGAAAACCATCTGAGGAATTATGTTAATACAATAGCGACAAAACACAGATTCTGGAACAAAAGTGGCGGTGCTGATCATTTCCTCGTCGCCTGCCATGATTGGGTACGTAACTGTGATACCCCTGGAATTGGGACGTTGCTTGGCCAACTCTCGAGAGTATGGATGAGCCAACGCTAGACATAGATGTTAAATGAATTGAATAAACTACTTATGTCAATAATGTGCACATTTCTTTTCGGAAGTCCTACTCAAAGAATTCTAGAGTAATTTGGGGATGGGTGACTCTGGGAAGTCTCTCATAGTGTGCGTGAATGAGGATAGAAGCACGCTGAAATGACTTTTGTTGACCTGGGACCAGTCTACGATCCCGACACGCTTGATTTCGTGTGGCTTGTGGGCCGGGGTGTCACAGTAGCGTACAATGGTTAACGATTTCATGTCTAAATATTCGATATATAAACATAAATGTTTTTCTCTTGTTCTCGACAGGCTCCTCGGTTAACTCGAAGCGTATTCGAAAGTAGCATACGAGTCCTATGCAATTCCAACGTTGCTCGTGGCTTCCGAATCGGGAAGGATGTCTCTCTCCCGGTGACCTACATTCGTTCCGCAGACAATCCTTTAAAGGACATTGGCGGATATGACCCTTCAAACCGGTCGACTCTGGCGTTCTTTGCCGGAGGCATGCATGGGTACGTACGTCCGGCGCTACTACAACATTGGCACAACAAAACATCCGACATGAAAATTCTTGGGCCCATGTCGCGCGACGCCAAAGGCAAGGAAATGTATCGGGAGTTTATGAAAAGCAGCAAATATTGCATTTGTGCGAAGGGGTACGAGGTGCACACGCCGCGCGTGGTCGAGTCGATTTACTACGAATGTGTGCCGGTGATCGTATCGGACAACTATGTGCCGCCGTTTTTTGAGGTTTTCGAGTGGGAATCGTTCGCCGTGTTTGTTGCGGAGGCGGATGTGGCTAGACTGAGAGAAATACTGTTGTCGATTGGGGGCGGTAAGTATGCGAGAATGGTGGGGAGATTGAAGATGGTCCGAAGGTACTTTCTTTGGCACAGAGTGCCTGAGAGGTTCGACTTGTTTCATATGATTCTTCACTCGGTTTGGTACAACAGATTGCTTCAGATATGATGATGGTTTTGGTGATGATGATAGGTACACCATTTAAAATTAAAATTATTTTGTTTGGTTAAGGAAAATGAGTGTGTTTAATTTGGTCAGAGTTTGAAAAAAAATTATTTGAATTTAGTAGTAAAATAATATTTGATGAGATGCTTTTAGAAAGAAAAAAAAAATTTTAAAAAAATACAAAATTCAAATAGTAAAATGTGAAAAAATTTGATTAAATAAACAGAATTAAGTAAACTTTCATACCATATTGCCTTATCCTTCAGCCACATGCCCTTTTTTGTTGTACAATGTAAATCTTTTCCTCAAGGTCATCTTAAGAAAATGATTGTCTTAAAATTTTAATGCTACTATATACAAAATCAATCTAACTAGGCAGATTTACAAAAAGAGTGAACACACTAGTGTAATCATTTTTATTCATATTCTTTCACTTGTACTGTGCACTCACATCTACCTCATTTTTTTAATCACATAAACACATTTCTTATTCAACATCCAAAAAATCACTTAATTCTCAAGTTTGGTTAGTCATGGAAGAATTCATCTCTATTGTTCATATCAAATTTCCATTTGTTGTTAGCTTCCTCATTGCTAAACCTTAAACATTGATTTTTTCATTTTGGTTCGTCCCTTCATAATCTATTCTCATTTTGGTCGTCGTATTTATTTTTTTTTACAAGTTCTCTTTCAATTTATAATATATTATACAAATATTATTATTTTTATATTATACAATATTAATATAATACTAATATTTTTAAAATTTTGTGAAAAACAAATAGATAGATAGATAGATAGACAGGAGAGGAAGGGAATAATTTTAAATAATTATTCTTTTCAATAAGTACTTTTATTCTCGCAACTATATTCCAACATTATTGGTGACAGACACATCTACCTACTGTTGTGTTTGACACTTTGAATGGTGCCACTGCCAGCCTATCATATTATTTTTCTTGTTAGTAATTGAACCTTTGCCTGAGTTATGTCCAACACAGATCCCAAGGTTCATACCTCATGTTCACGTTGATGTTCAACAACGACATGACAGGACAGGACAGCGGACTTGAACTTGTTATTTACTGCAACACAACCTTGTCATGTTTGAACTCGGATTTGAGTTGGGCTTTTATTCATCAAGATATGTGAGTTCAAATTTTTTGTTTGAGCTCAGCTTGTTTAACAATTTTTTTTTTTTGTTTGTATTCGATTCGATAAGAAAAATTTTATTTATTTTTTTAAAATAATTTATATTTAGTTAATAATAATTATAATTTTTATTAATAAATTTGAATAAAAAATAGAATGAAATATAATATTTAATAAAGATATATATATCTATTAAATATAAAATTATTAATTTAATTTTTTTTAATAAATACTATCGAACGGTTCGTGAACATAACAAACCAAAGTTTATGTTCATGTGAACAAGCTCTTAGCGGGCTCAAACGAGCCGAATCGAACTCGCAAAGAGTCCATTTGTTTTACAGCTCTATTCAATACTAAATGCTGCTTCTACATCCTGCAGGTTGCAAGAACAAACATTTCGTCTAAAATTTCTTAATGACTACCCATCCAAGAAAGATGTATATCTCTGGGGAAATGAATATCATATTATATGGTTGATAGATATTTGGCATTACAATTAAATATCCCTTGCAGCACTTGTGTCAAATTACAAAAACAAAAAAGAAGAACACAACCAAACTAACCTCTGTTTGCCTGCCTGGCCAGCTGCTACGCCCTCGTCGGAGGAGTCCCGTCGTCCTCCTCAGGCTTACAGTACCTCTTCCAAAACCAGTGATTCTCAAACAGCAAATAGATCTCCTCGATCGGCACCTGCTTCGTCTCCGGCAGCAGAAAGTATATGAAGCAGCTCATCAAGAATATCAGCCCTGCAAACAGCAAGAATATACCGTACTTCAGGTGGCACAGCGCCGCCAGGAAGCACTGCGCAATCAGCGCCGTGAATATCATGTTCACGCACACCACCATGCTCTGTCCCGCCGACCGTGTCTCCAGCGCAAACAGCTCGCTCGGGACTAGCCACCCCAGAGGCCCCCATGATCGCCCGTACGCCAGCACGAACAAGAACAGCACGATCACTAGGAAGACCCCTATCCCTCTCGATATCTCCTTCCCATCCCGGAGATTCAGGGCTAGCGTAATCGCGACCGCCACCTGACATGAAACAAACCATTTGCAGCTAAAAAAATAAACCAAGAGTTTCACAATTGTATCGAGATTGAGCTTCCTTACGAAGCAGAAGATGAGTTCGCAGCCGGCTTCGAGAAAGAAGGCACGCCTGCCAAACTTGTCGACGAGAGCCATGGATATCAGTGTTGCGAGAACGAGGGCGGCGCTTGTGATGGCGGATGAGTACAGGGCAGCATTGGAGCCGAATCCCAAGCTTGTGAATATAACCGGAGCGTAGAACAGGATCGAGTTGTTCCCGGTCAGCTGTTGACATGCTGGTATCCCGATTGCGCCTAAAATCAACTGGGGTCGATATTTCCTCCTCAGAAGATTCCGGAACGGATGCTTGATCGCTTTTGCTGCATTGCTTGCTTCGATGAGGTCTTGAAACTCTGCGTCGACTTTTGGGGTCCCTCGGACTTTCTCGAGCACTTTGCGGCCTTCTTCCAGCTTCCCTTGCTCGACAAGGCTGTTGGGCGTCTCCGGGAGGAAAAGGCCGCCGACAAACATGAGAGTGGCGGGAACTGCAGCCAAGCCGAGCGATAGTCGCCATCCCCAAGGATGAAGATGTTCGATGCCATAGTTGACGAAGTTTGCAATGAGGATTCCCAAACATGTGGTGAGCTGGAACAGCTGGTTCACGGCTCCTCTTATCTTCGCCGGCGCCATTTCTGAGAGATACAGAGGAACTGCCTGCGGTGATGCAATTATTAAACATTCAATTCTAAATTTGAACTTATCTAAGATGGATGGATGCTTACTTGGTTGCCAAAACCGATTCCTACGCCGAGCAGAATCCGGCCGAGGATGAGCATTGCGATGTTCTGTGCGGCGGCGTTGAGGACGGCGCCAAGGAAGAAACTGATGGATCCGCAGATGATGCTGGCCTTCCTGCCTTTGTTTCGAGTAACGTAGGAAGCAGCGAATGTCGAAACGAGTGCGGCGAAGTATAGTGAGGATGTGAAGAGAGTGAGGACTTGGTTGTCGTACTTGCAGTAGTCTGTTTCCCCTCCTTTTGCTTTCTTCCTGCGGGCGATGTGAGGGAAGAACTCCTCCAGGAAATCATCCATGGAAGTCACTCCTCCTGCAAATTCACTCAAACCAGAATACAGACGTTAACATCCAAACATACGCTTCCATGAAATCATCCATGGAAGTCACTCCTCCTGCCAATTCACTCAAATCAGTACACGGACAACGTCCAAGCATGGAGGAATCCAATCAAAACAAAAATCGAATCGAATCGAATCGACTCTCTATCTTATCTCATCGCAATCATTTCTCCTCTCTTCGTCAAAAATCAAAAGCAACGCAGCCAATGACGAACAAACAAACAAAAAAAGCCCTAAATTCGAGAAAGCAGACATACATAAACCAAAAACAAGCCATCGAAAAGCAAAAGCACAAAACAACAAAGACGAAACAGAGAGAATCTGACCGGAGACGCCGAGATCATAGCCGAATAGAGAGCCGCCGAGGGAGCCGACAATGCAAGCGAAAACGAAGTAGGGAGTGATCCGATACTCGTAGAGATGCGCCCTGGCTCCACTGTTGGCGTCGAGCACTCCTCCCCCTGCCATTGATGCTTCTGCTTCGATTCAACCAGAAATGAGTGGCGCAAAATTTCCACTTATATAGAAGACGAGGGCGAATCCATTTCCAATTGCAAATCGCAAATCGTCCTTTGGATAAACTCTGCCCAGTCAGTATGAATGTGAGTTTCTTGATTTTCCATTTCTAATTAGTCAACACTATCCTCTCTAATTATTGCAATTTTAAATGGACCCACCTTTTATGTTATTATCAATCAATTTGAATAATTCATGCACCCTACCCTATTTAATTACTTTCTCCAAAATTACAAAAATACAGTATAATTTAAAAAATAAAAAAAAATTACTAACATAATATTGTATACTACTAAAGTGATCTTTGTTTTAAAAGAATAATATTGAAAATAAGTTAATTTCCTTAACATGTACAAATTATATTGTAAGACTTGTTTGTATTTGAAATTTAAAATAACAAAAAATTGAATTTATATAAATTTTTTATGTTATATAAATAAACAATGATGTAAAATTTTAATACTGTCTAATGTAAAAAAAAAAATATATATATATATATATACATATTAAGTTAACATTGTTCTTTAAAAATTCAATAAATAATGAAAGTCGTTAGAATCGTACAACCAAACACATGCCCAGAGGATGTCTTATGCATATTTGTACACAACATATATCCATAAAAACACATATATAACAAGTAAATAGCTCATGTTTTTATTTAATATAGTTGTATTAAATAAAAGCATTTCTTATACTGAAATTAATAGTATTATATATTTTTTAAAATTATATTTATATAAATTAATTATTGGTTCAACAAACCCTTACACACTTCAATACTCACTCCATAATAAGAAATGACGAAATTGAGTTTGTACTATGATTGCTGTCATATTTGTTATTTTCTAATTTTGTATTTTATTTTGTCAACAATAATTATCTGATGCAGTTTTGTTATTTTGTCTACTGTGCAATTGTTACCAATTATTTATTGATAGTATTTTTAATTACTAGTTAATTGTGTTCATATGTGACAACTAATATGGATATACTATATTATTAAATATTTTAGTTTATTTGGATAGACTTTAAATTGCTGTGTTTGAATTGTACTTATATTAATCATTTTCTTACCAAAAGTTTTTTTTTTTTTTTTTTTTTAAATGTTAGATTCGGTGTGAATGTGAATTTGTCTTTGAAATAACAAATATATATGAATTATTTGAATTTGGTAAGTATTAATAAGTCGATTATATAATACTTTTAATTGTATACAGTTGAATATAATCATTCAAAATGAAATAGATATTTTGTGGAATAGTTTATGAAATATGTACTAATGCATATTGATTTTGTGAATAGATTCAAATACATTTTTGTGCAAATTAGTATTTTTTTATTATTATTTTAATTCGGTCTCCGATTTAAATAGTAATTTACATTTGATATTTTATATAAAAAATAATATATTTTTATTAAAAATAATGATTGAAAAGTAAAAAATAAAAAAAAAAAAATGAAAAAGTGAACATATTAAAGTGTCTTTTTAGAAGTTTAGGGTATGTTTGTTTGGGTTTTGGTTTGAAAAAATATTATTTATGTAAAGTATAAAGAATTGTATAGATAATATAAAAATAATAAGTGTGTGAAATATATTAAATGATTTTGGAAAAAAATGTTAGGAAATTTTGGGTAATTTTGAATTTGAATTATAAGTTTCTTTGGGTATTTATGTAAATTATTTATAGTAGATGTATTATTTTATCAAAATCTTAACTACATATTTACTACAAATATTAAAACTATATTGTCTTGAAGTTGTTATTAGCCCGCTGATCTATGTCGGTCTATTTTATTAAATAAATCAGGTAATATTAATTGTAGTTTCAAAAATTATGATTAAAAAATATAATTCTAACATCATTTTTAGTAGACATACTATTAAATTTTAGTCATTTGAATTTTTATTCTACCAAAATTTTTTTATTGATGCATAAAATGGGCCCATCATATAATAAATAGATTCCAATTCAAGTGGTTACTAGTCTACATCTTGCATAAAAATATGCATGTAGTCAATTATTTAATTGACCAACTCAATTTAGAAAAACAAAAAATTATATTGTTATATACATAATTATCGATATATATTATTATAAAATATAATATATATTCTACTTATTAAAAAAATAATTCAATAAAAATATTGTTTTTTATTTCATGACACAATATTTTATACATAAAAAAATGTATCGATCCAAAAAAATACAAAGTAAACACGCCAATTTTCTTAGTCAACAATAAAATTGAGTCTAACCACAACTTTAGTGACATTGCATAAAATTCCAATATCATAAATCTAAAATAATAATATTGAATTAACTATAATTTGATTTGTTTGGTTTATTGTTGAATTTGAATAGATATTTAAATTTTGATTCAAATAATAGTTTATGAAAAAATAATATTATATTTTTTTGGAATCATACAAATTAATTTATGAGTCCAACAAGTTGGTATAATATTAATAAAAAAATCCTAAGTAAACAACGTGACAAGTTGCTCAAAAATTTAATTGAATTTTCAACATTAACTTAATAAAATCGAGTCAGTCCATTTTAGACGTACGACAAATCAGTCAACATCCCTTTAAGTCAATATATGCATAGTCTAAGTCAGTGCCAGCTAAGCAAATAAATTACTATTTATTATTGTTTTTCTTTTTTTTTTAATCTAAAAAAAACAAAATATTAAATTTAATATTTATTTTTATGTTTATATCATATTAAAAAAATGTTTTTATTTTAAATATTATTGATTAATCAGGTAAATATTTTAATTGAATGAATTTAAACTAAATTAATTTTTTTTAAAAAATTAATTAATCAGTTATTAAAAATGAAACCAACCAAAAAAAACAAATTAGTGATATTTTTTTTATGATTAGTTTGGACTTAATTGGGCTTACATGCTAAACCATGTCCTATTATTATTATTATTATTATTATTATTATTATTATCCTATCATATATATATAACTATACCAAAGGAATGGACTTCACTTTTTTTAAAAGTTTTGAAATTATGCAATTTCTTGTTTTTGGTTTTTAACGGTTACTTTCACAAATTTTGATCATTCTTATTGTTTATATTGTTAAGTTGCAAATCCAAGTCTCACATCGAAATTTGTGAAAAAAATTCTACACCTTATAAGTCTCTAAGTGAACTACACTAAGTATGAGTCTTTTTTAAGAATATTCAGAAACAAATTCGTACGAGCTCAACCCAAAGCGGACAATATCATACTAGTATTTTAGTTTGTCCAGTCCCAACACATATTTTCTCTATTTTTTGTATACTAAATTTTGTTTTTTTATATTATTTTGCAGAAGCAAAGGGTTTGAAGATGGAATGTGCTACTATTTGAATAGTCTTTTCCGCTGTAATGTTGACATATGTTAATCGACCAATCGATTGCTACTGTAATTTATCTTTCATTCTATTTTTTGTTTTTTTTTCTTTTTGATTTAGTTTATTTATTTGTTGAGATGTGTTAATCGAAATCGATTACTACTGCAATTTATCTCTCATTCTATTTTATTTTATTATTTTATTGTATTAACAAAGTTTGACATTTTGAAAGACGTTTTGGAAGATAGTACAATTTCGATGCCAAAATATGTTCACAAACAATCAGTTACTTTTGGCATTGAAGATATGGCCAATCATCAAATTAGATAATTTTTTTGAATTTTTATATTTATATTTATTTTGATTTTGTAATTATAATTATTTTATAATATTCGGATAAATGTTGTTAAATATATATAAATATGGAAAAATTATTAGAATTAAATTTTATTTTTGATTTTAAATGCTTAATTATTTGGATAACTTTCTATAATATTAAGATATTTTGTTTTAGTTAGAAAAATTATATATATTAATTGAATATTTTTGAATTATTTTTTTATTTCTATACATATATTTGCGTATTTATTTTGTTATTTATGCGTATTGTTTTATTAGTGTTAATGTTCGAATATTTTTTTATAATGCTGATACTATAAGAAATAGGACAAGATAAAAATGCAGCAAAAAAATATCAAATAATAAGAACGTAATTTTTTTTTAAGTTTTAAATGTGTGTTGTTTTTTGTGTTAATTTTCTAATAATTTTTTCACATGTTACTTTATTTTTAGTAAAGATGAAGATGAAAATATTGTTTTTAGTATGAAGATCCAAATATTAAATATATATGATTTTTGTTATAATAAACACTTCAATTGTCACGTGTTCTACCAATTAATTAAAAAATGATTAATTTATTTTATTTTTTATTAAAATTTGAAAATATTTTAATTGTTTTTTATTTCATAGTCAGTTAATTTTTTTTATTTTATTTTAAATTATATAAATTATTATATTATAAATTTTATTAATTACGCTAGTTGGAGTATTTTCTAAAGGATTTAAAAGGAGATGTTTGCCAGATAACTAACTTTAGATTTTGTTAATTATCCCATATTATTTGTTACATTAATTTATGATAGACATAATTATGTTATAAATAATGAATACAAAATGTAGCAGGGTACGATTTAGCTACACACACGAACGGCTGCCTATTCATTATTTTTTTTATTAATTTTTATATTGATTATCCTATTTATATATATACTACTCAATTTTTTTTTTTGATGAATTAATTTTTAATGTATAATAAATTATATAAAAAAATATATAAAATATATTATTTTAGAAAAAAACTATGCCCGGGCAGCTTTGGAGGCGATGCAGTACTCCACGCCGCCGCAACAGCTTCCGTAGAATCAAAGCAACCATCACCATTACGACATTACCATCACCATTGCCATTATCATTACAAATAGGGTTGACCTGCATACCTACCCTACCCACCTCTGATGTTTTCGACTTTTTTTTTTTTTTTTTTCTCATCTGGGAAAGGGAAACTTCTCACCACTGCTGACACTCTTCACTATACTGACGCGTGTGCTCTTCTCTTTCTCTCTCTTCTTTTTTTGGATTCGGCAGCCACGCATCGCCATTGCCATTTTCTTGATTGACATGATATTCATATGCAGTGATTATCCCGCACCACTGCCCATCTCGCTTCCTTTCTACTGTTGAAATTTTAATTAATTTGATTTGATTTGATTCCTTAATTTAATGGGCATCGTATCGATCAAGCAATACGGCGGTCTGTGACTGTAACCCCCATTGAATTGTTGATATCGGTTTTCGAATTCGATTGATGAAATAAATGAAGGAGGGGCATTGGTCAGCCACTGCATCAGCAGCAGGTATCATCAGCAAAAAAATGGCTTGCTTTCTCCTCGTCTCTTATCTTCTTTCCCACCAATGGATGAATTGGTTCAAAATTCAATCCCAAAAGTAAATGCAGTCATTCATTGCGGATATTTTAGTGTAGGTTTTGCACGTCTCGTCATTAAAGCTACATTCGGTGTTGGAAATGGGCATCTCTAGGTTTTTCTTTTCTCTCTCTCTCTCTCTCTCTCTATTGGTTTCCCAATATGCTTTTCCTTTATATAAAATATATATATATATATATTATATGTGGGCTTTCTTGAAGGGGAAACCAGTTGTTCTTGGCTGATTTGTGGCCAACCGTTCCTATTAATTGTCATTTTCAACCGATTTTGAGTGAGGATTCTTTCTGTTTTTAATCGCCATTGGGTTTGAGGATTTGTGCATCAATCTGGTAGGGATTGCTGTGGTAATCCTTTGTTTTCTTGAGATTTGGTCGTTATAGTGATCGAACAGTTCCGTTTGGCTGGCATCAGATTTGTTTTATATTATGTCTAGGATTTTCCCGTTTTGTGATTCATTTGTGTAACTCTGTGTGGTCAACTATGCATATGATCTGAGTTGTTTTTTTATTACTCTTAACTACTTGCTGTCTTTCATATAGTTTTTGGGGATTTGATTTGTCTGGAACTTGTATGAGGAAAAGGATTCAATCTTGTTTCAGTTAACTGTTGATATCCGGATTTAGTTGCTAGCTTCTTTTGATTACTTGTTTTTAGTTTTTGGAGATTGTCTGATCTGCTTCTTCGTCTTCTCTTTTATTATATGTCGGTGTTACCATTTGTGTTGGGAACACACATTGTGTAGTTTTAAGGACATCAGATGATTTTGTGTGCAATGCTGCCTAATGAAATTTCATGTTCATGAGCAAATATTTCAGTTGAAATCATTGATCCAGTAGTTTCTCTTCCCATACAGATCGTCAATGTTACAGTTTGTAACACTGACTTTACGGTGTTAATGAATCGGAATTGATTGAAGTGTCGTGATACTCCTTACCTTATATGCTCTGCTAATTTCAAACTGGTGCAAAGTGTGATTTTGGACTGTGTTCTTGGTTTTTATGTAGGCTTACATTTCGGGATTTGCTGGTGCAATGGCAACAAGTGACTATTCTGCAATTAGCTATTCTCCCTGTTTGGAAATGGAGGATATCTTTTCTCGTCTCTTATCCTTGACTTCCTATTTAGCTCATCGTGTAATTGAATTTATCGGTGAGTTCATCCAACACACTTTGCCTAATATATATGTTTCAAAATTTTGAACAATATTGAATGTTGTGTTTTTTGCTTTGCACACTTTTGCAGGAGATATTGTTTCAAGAGATGTGAATAGGTGGTTAGGAGATTCAGAGATATACTCTTTTAATCAGCATCTGAACTTTCCAATCAGCCATGATCACGAATATCTTGCTTCGGATCATGCATCTTCTTCAAGACAGTTTGAGTTTAGCAAAAGCTTTGCACTTCAACAAAGACATGATGCTTCAAATATTGAGGATCCATCATTTGTCAATTCACAACTAGAAATTGTAAATAGAAATTGCAGCAGGGGTATCCAATTCATTTTTAAAGGGTATTGTTCTAATTTATTTGCTCGGCCCGTTTTATGAAATGCTGCAATTATTGTTCAAAACCCATTGTGCAAATCAAGCACTAATGCCGCACCTCCTGTTGCATTTCTTGAATATCGTTGTTCAAGTAATTAATTGTTCTTCAATTCTAAGATGTAGATGGCTTCCGTTGGCTGTAGGTTGGTGCTCCCTTTGCTCTGTTTTGAATTTGTTTGGAAATCAGCATTAGCATCCTGGAGATTATCTTGTTACCAATTAAGATGTATGCAAGCTCGCGCGCAGAGGTAAAAGTTATTTACTTCGGTTCAGAAAATATGAAGAGTAGTTCTGATTGAATATGATATTGAGTTGAGTTGCTGCAGTGATGTTTGACTATAATTTTCTTCTGTACCTCCATTCTGAAATCTGTAGTGTTATATCCCGAGTTTCTAAAACTTTACAAGGGTCTTCTGCCGACATTGGGTGGTTACAATCTGCTCCTGGAATGGCTCCTGTGGAGGATGGTTCAGCTAGATTCAGGGAGTTACTACAGGACATTAGGTAAAAATTCATTGTTGATACTTAAAAATAAGCTTCTTTTAATGCAGAGAGATACATGTGATTCTACCTCTTTAGTCAATGTTTTCACTTGAAATTCATCGATAATAAATTTTGTTTTTTCCCTACACAACTAAAAATGCTACCTGGGAATTATGTGTTGATTTCAAGATGTATAATGCTCTGATTCAGGATATTTTGCTAGATTTCTTATTGTAGTTTGAATATTATATGTATTTCTTAATATTCGTTTATGGTAATAGCTCAACTTATCATAATAGGATTGTAGAAACTGAGAACTATTCTAATACTTTAACAGCTTTCCATGTTCTACTTCAAAGCTTGGGTTTTAGAACTTGCAGTCATGGTTCTGTTTTTCAAGTATGATTTTCTTTTATATAGTTATATTGCTATGATCGAAGCAGGAACTAGTCAATATTTCCTTGATTAAATGTCTCTGATTATGTATGTGTTTTATTTTGCCAGTAGAAATATATCAAAAGATATTTAAAGTATCTATGTTCTAATCCGAATGAGAGATCATTTAATAATTAGTTAAAGCAAACAAGTCCCAAGGATAATTTTTTTTTTTTAAATAACTTAACATTTTTTTTATGCTGCATTCTGTAACTGATGTGTTGATCTTATCGAGCTTGATTTTAGTTTCAACTTGATTAATATAAGCCTACATAGAACTATCATTTCCGATTGGACATTCTATGCCAATGTAAGCAATAGCTAAAAAATAATTAACTTTTGTTTGTAATATAATTTGACCACTCGATATTAAAGATATAATATGCATAAGCATACCCGAATACCACCTTCTATCTAATACCAGCTTATCACCTTTTCTTTTTCTTTTTCTTTTTTTTTTCTGTGCCTTTGATAAAAGTATGAAAAAACATAAGACTCGTTTTGTATGTAGGAACATATAAATTTTCCTCCTATTGGTTATTGATCACATGAATTGTTTGCTTGCCCTTCAGGAATGGGATGCACAGACTACCTGATTCGTTTGTTTACCTGTTGATTCCAGGTTTCGCAAGTTCCACTTCCTATCATTTTATCGCTTCTTTTCAGATTCTATGCTTGTCATTGTGATGTGATGTGATGCATCGTGTTCTTTGTGTAATTATTTAGGACTTTTTAGCAATCATGGGCCTTTGTATTTTGTAAGCACCAAAAGGTTTTTCTCGAAGATGGGTCTGGCTTGTCACATTGCTAAAATTCACAGTGAGGTAGCTACTGCATACTAAGTCTCGACAAATTTTCGTGGCTATTACTTTTTACCATGTTTCTTTACGAAGAAAGTGACACACACACACACACACATATATATATTAATGTTTTAATGCATGGCATAGGCATCGGTTGAGTACAATGCTTGGGAGCTAAAGCAATACATAGAGGAGCTATACTGGGGGTCCGGAAAACGTGTGATGTTGCTAGCCCACAGCAAGGGTGGAGTTGATGCTGCGGCTGCTCTGTCACTTTATTCCCAAGAATTGAGGGATAAAGTTGCCGGTTTGGCTCTAGTGCAGAGTCCTTATGGTGGATCGCCCATAGCATCCGATCTTTTTCGCGAGGGCCAGGTTGCTGACAAGGAAACCCGGCGGATCATGGAGTTTTTTATATGCAAATTGATTAAGGTAACATTCTCTGCTGCCTATCAACATATATTTTCATGAACTTGGGAAACATTTCGAAAGAAACACTAATTTTTGTACCCCTTGCCTATATTCTTTCTCTTCTAATAGCATTGATCAAATGCCCCAAGATTGAATATGTTTTCATCTTCCTTTCCATTTTATATTTGAGCCTCGTAAATCTATCGATGTGTTGCTATAACTTTTTATCCTGTCCCGGAATCTTGGTTGTTTCATTGAGTATGTTATGATTGAACTATCAAGAGTCTTGCATTGCAGGGCGACATACGAGCACTGGAGGATCTCACCTACGAGAAACGAATGGAATTCATCAACAACCACAAACTCCCTGACAACATCCCTCTCATCTCATTTCACTCGGAAGCGAGTATAGGGCCAGGTGTCATTGCAACAATGTCCCACGTCGCCCACGCCGAGCTCCCCTGGCTCCCTCGATTTTCCAGCGAAGGTGCTGAGCTGGCAGCCCGCAAGGTTCCTGTTATATTCCCAGCATCAGCTGCCCTGGCTCTCTGCGCGCTCCACCTGAAACTGCGGTATGGAGAGAAGAGCGACGGTCTTGTGACATGCCGAGATGCTGAAGTTCCAGGCTCGGTGGTGGTGAGGCCGGACAGAAAACTCGACCATTCATGGATGGTCTACGCTTCGTGGAGGAAAGAGCAGAGCGAGCCGGATGCATGTGAAATGTGCGAGGCTTTGTTGACTATGCTGGTCGAACAGGACGAAAGCAGCTCGGCACAGAATCGACGCTAGGAAAGAGTTGGAAAATGGCACTCTCCCTCTCTGTGGTTCATCGAAGTTTAGACAAACTGTGTGTTTTAAGGTATAGTTCTTTCTTGTATCATCTATTTGCTGAAGATGTGAGGGTATTAGGAGATTACTTAGTATCCATCCTGTTCATTTTTGTATGATTTCCTCTTTAGCTTAATAGTAGTATCTTGCTTGGTTAATTTGAAATTGGAAGATTGATTTAAGTATTATTTTGACTGATATTTTGTAAGAAAAATAATGTGTTTTTATTGAGCATTACGCAGGTCTAATAGTATTATTATTAGTTTCATTTTAAAAAAAAAAAAAAAAACACATTTTTTTGGGATTGTTGGGAGTTGAAATAAAGAGGCATGAAGTGAATGATTTAAGCTTGATCTGCTATGGGCTGATGGGCCTATGCCGTTAATAGATGGGCCCGGCCCATTATTACGAACACTCTCGATCTATCACCTTCATCTCACGCCTCTTCTTTTAATTAATGTGTGTATATATATATTTTTTAAATATTATGATGCAATATTAGGATTTATTTATATTGTAGTATTTTATTTTTAGTTTTGGTGTTTTTAAAGTAAAATGGTTATTAAAGTAATATTATATATAAAAATATGAGTGGACTTTCAAAGAAAATATGAATACATTAAGTGATAGAATTTTGCCAAAATAGTAAACACATGTAAAAAAGTAATAAAATAAAATTTATGTTTTTTCCGATATTTAGATTTTAATGTTTTTATTGTTAAATATTAAAGAATTATAAAAATGAACAAGCCCTAAAACTCTAAGCCATAAAATTTAGCAATTCTGATCCAAGGTATTTTAATTTGATAGTGTTTTTACTTGCAATTTTATTTTTTTTTAAAAAAAATCATACTATAAAAATCATAACATTTTTGTCACTTAAATTTTCAATAATACCCCCTCGGTTGTCATCTAGAATAATTATGATCGTTTTAATTTTTTTTATAAAATTAAACTCATGAACAATCTATTTTTAGTAAAGAAACTCATTTATTTATAATTTAAAATATTTAATTTAACAATGATAATCATTTTACTATTACTTCTTTTACTAGTTATTTTGCTATCATATTTAAAATAAATTTTTTATGATATGTATACAGTATACTCTATATTTTTATCTACCTTAATGTTTATATTAAAATATTATTAATTTTTAGTCTATACCAAAACAAATTTGCATAAATATTATGGACGGAAATAGTATTTTTTTAAAAATATCTATATATATATATATATATAATAGATGTGTTTACTTTCATTATTTTTCATAATAATATAATTTTTTTAACAAAAAATCAATAATAAAAATAAAACTTTTAATAATACATTTACAATTTTTAATAATAAAAAATAAAATTCTCAAAAATTCAAAACCGCCATCATATATTAAAAATAATACTCCATCCGTCTCATTGAAAGACTATTATTTTCCAATTTCGTCAATCCCAAAATAAGATTACCATTTCTTAATTTAGTAATTGTACTACCTACCTAAAATAATAAATATTCTTTCATCTTACAATATATTACACAAATGCTATTACTTTTATATTACACGATACTAATAGAGGTATTTTCGTCTTTTTCACTGCAACTCATTATAATACTAATATTAAAAATCTACGTGTAAAAGTAAACGGCAACCTTGCACCGGGATAGAGGGAGTAATTAAAAAAAGTAAGACTTCGTCAACATTGAAAATTTTGAAATTTTTTTTAAAAAAATTAAAATTATTGAAAAATTAGGTCTTTAGTTTGATATTTTGTAAAAAAAAAAATATTTATTTTATTATTTTTTAAAAATATTATTATTGATAAAATTCATTTGTAAATATCACCAATGTTTCTATTCTATCTATATTTTTTATTATTATTTTTTTAATATATGAGTTTGGTTTAAAAAATTTTAATTTAAATAATATTTAATAAAATATCATATAAAGAAATATTTTTTTAAGAAAAAATACAGAATTGAAATAATAAAATTTAGAAAGAAAATTATTAAAGTAATTTTTATATATTTTTTTTCATTCAAAATTTTTTTATTTTCTTTTTTAACTAAAATTATATTTCACATAAATACTAAAATATTTACGTTTTATCATTACATGATTATTTTTATACTTTAAAAACAATGATAAAATTACTTTTAAATATTTTACTGTCTATTTTTTATTGTCCTGAAGTATATTTACACGATTTTTTTAGGTGATTGTATTTTTGTTATGAATGGACAAATTTGACCTTAAGTGTGTGGTGGAGATTAAAAATAATAAATGTAAAATTTTTATTTAAAAAAAAAATAGAACAATAGTTGTTGAACGCCCCAAATAAAAAAAATAGGATATTAGTTTGTGGACGGAAGAAGTATTTATATTATATTTTAATAAAATACTAATATATAGTAAAAAAATAAATTAAAAAATTATTAGTAGATAAAGGGAACAGTAAAAACACAAATACACACACGCACACCCTGAAACCACGAGTCTTACTCGGGGAAGGGTAATTTCTTTCATATGTGCCGACGTGGCAGCGTTAAGACAGCTGTGGGGAAAAGAAAGAAAAATAAAATAAAACGCGACATCTATCTACAGGGAAATATAGTTTGACGACTTTAGCCGTACGGGAAAGCGATTTATGGGTCCCTTCAAATATACGGATGTCGGAGTGCCCTTAGCTGGAATTTTAATTCAATACATCATTTTTATTTACTTCTTTATTTATTAAATTCAATTCACATTACAATCTGTTGGGATGGAATAAGTGCAACCCCAATAAATTCTTGTACACTTTTCCAAATGGGCCAACTCCCGAAGCGTGGTAAAATCACAGTTGTAACATTATCTTGTCAACGAAATAAGAACAAAATCCAAAGCAATAAAAGACAAGATATTTGGTAACCCGGTTCGGTTATAACCAACCTACATCCGGGGGATTCCAATCCAGGAGAAGTTCACTAATCAAGGTTGATTATGAACTAAACAGCCCAAAACTCCTTTATCCCATACTATAACGCAAACCACCTAGGAAAATCCCTCCACAGGTATAAGTTGTCACGAACTCGTACTGACAACTAGCAAATAGCAGGGTTGCTCAGACTTTGGACGAATCTCCTGATCGGATTTCCAATCTCTTCTTCCTCCGACGATGTCTCCGGCAAGTAAATGTGTCTAGCACTCTTTCAATGCATGGAGAAGGGAAGGGTTGGGGTTGAGAGGATTTAACTTACTTTCTCTCACAACAGTTCTCTCTCTCTAACCTATGCAACAACCAAAAAACTTCCCACATAACAAACCAAGAAGCAGACAAACAAGGCATACAGGACAAACTTAATTAAAACCCTTTGCACGAAAGTGGAATGATGTAATCCTGCATGAATTCTGTCAAAGGTTGACCACCCCAAAATTCATTCTTTTTGTCTCTTCTAAGCTTCCCAAATCGAGAAGAGTAGACCAGCAGAGTTGCAGGCAGTCTGTTGAAATGACCTGAATGGAAACAGAGACAGGCAGCAGGGGAAAAGCAAGAAGAACCATATGCCAAAAAAAAATTGGAGAAAAATATTGTTCCAACATTCTCCCCCTTTTTGGCATATGGGACTTCGCCCAATGTGCAGGAGAATCACTCCCACACCAAACCAATCAATCCAAACAAAAACAGCAGTAAGTCATCAATTTGTTACATGCCAGCAGAAAATAGACACAGGCTACAGGCAGCCTGGCGAATGGAATGAAATAGTCAGCAACAGGAAACAGTAGCAAAGCAGCAACCACACAAACACCATGCACATCTCATGCACATCTGTTCTCCCCCTTTTTGGCATATGGGACTTCGCCCAATGTGCAGGAGAATCACTCCCACACCAAACCAATCAATCCAAACAAAAACAGCAGTAAGTCATCAATTTGTTACATGCCAGCAGAAAATAGACACAGGCTACAGGCAGCCTGGCGAATGGAATGAAATAGTCAGCAACAGGAAACAGTAGCAAAGCAGCAACCACACAAACACCATGCACATCTCATGCACATCTCTCCCCCTCGAGAGCAGATGCCAAAAAGGGATGGACGAGCAGTTCAGAGAAGCGAAGGGTCCTCCCCTTCATCAGCAAGTACAGAACCAATCTTCGGCATAAGGTTGATCGCACGAATGATTTTCTGACGATGCTCACCCAGAGTGATGCGGATGGCCGCTTGTTCTTGCACCACTTCTTGAAGAATTCGTCGGGCTTCAAGAAGCTGTTCGGTCGCATTTCGGGGGATGTCGTCAGTAATGTCGTTGTGCAGACTGAGAATATTCGGTTTGGGCTGAAACACCTCCAGGTTGATGACGTCTTCGGCAGAATCCGGAACAATGCCGTTTCTCTTTAATAACAGCGTGATCAAAGCAGGATACGGTAGGTTCGTGCCTTCCGTTTTCTGACCGCGAGAGAACTTGACCATTTTTGACATCACAATAAAACCAAAGTTAATGTTAGGACAAAAGCGATCAATGGAATACATTAGTTTACCCATTTCAGAACCAATAGTGGTTCCATTGCTGGTTGGAAGAATGTTTTTGGAGCAGAGACGGAAAAGACATTGAAATCTCAGTGAAAGCTCAGAGGCACTGAGTCCTTTTCTACCAAAGTCCACTGACTTGCGTGAGGACAGGAACAGGGCAACATCTTTCGTGGAGTCTTTCAGAAGATCAGAGGGTAGCTCTTCAGGATTGTCAAGAGGGAGTTTCAACAGCTTGTTTATGACGCGCGGGCTTAGCTCAAAAACCTTGCCACGCACATAAGCTTTATGAAACCAGGGAGAGTCTTGATCTAAGACATGAGCAGAAAGGTTAGCGTAAAACTCCTTGACCAATTTTGGACAGTACTTCCGCAATTTGACAGCCCAGTGAAACAATCCTTTCCGGCGCAGATAATCGGAAAAACCAACCTCCACATGCTCATTGCTCGTGAATTTCTTTTCAATCACAAATTTTCGGTCGGCGAGAATGTCGTACTCAAACACTTCAGCAAGATCATCAAAGTGTGTAGTATCCATAGCTTGTTGTGCAGTAATGGAATGAGATCCGAGAGCCTTTTGACGAGTTTTGGACTTCTTCCCTTTTATGACTTTCTTTGAAAAAGATCGTTTGAGCCTTTTTCGAAAAGACCCGGGAACACCAGCAGACGACTTCCTCTTTTTGGAGGGTTGTCTCTTTGACGAGGATGGAGTAAACTCAGCCTCCATGGCCTGTTCTGCAGATGGTTGTTGTTCTG